AGCAACAGCCTCAAGAAGGAGAAGAAGGAAAAGAAAGAGAAGAAGAAGGAAAAGAAGGAGAAGAAGAACACGAGCAGCAAGCGGCTGCTGTCGGAGGATTCGTTGGCTTCGTCGGCTTCGCAGTCGACGCTGTCTCCGACGGCGGCGTGGACGTCGTCGTCGCCGGCCGTGTCGACAGCGCGCGGGCGGAAGAAGAGCGGCCAATTGGGCGAGCCCCAGTACGCGCTCGACCTCGTGGTCCAGAGCGCCGCGGACCTGGTCGCCGCCAACCGCAACGGTAAACCGCCGCACTCGCGCACGCACGCACGCAACACGACGACTCACTGTGTGTGTCGTGTGTCATGCGTTGTGCGCGCGTGTCGTGTCGTGTCATGTCGCGGATGGCCAACGCAGGGCTTTCGGATCCGCAGGTGCGGTTGAGCGGGTGCGGGCAGAAGTTCAAGACCAAGTACATCTCCAACACCCTCAACCCCGAGTGGCACCAGAGCTTCAGCTTCACCAAAGTCCAGGTACACACGCACCGCACACAACGCACGACACACACGACACGACACGACACGACGCACGACGCACACGACACACGACACAGAATGACGCCGATCGGGTGGTGGCGAGTGCAGGACCCGGAGCAGGACCGGATTCTGTTCGATGTGCGCGACCACGAGAACATCGGCAAGTCCAAGCCACTGGTACGACATTCCTGCTACACTCCTTCGCATTCCTCGCTTGAGACTCAACATTCCTCGCACATTCGCCCAACTCCATGCAAAGGGCACGGCGGTGCTGGAGCTGAAGCAGCTGCGGGTGGGCGAGGAGACACCCGTGTGTCTGCCGATGATGGGCCTCGCCAAGAACGACAAAATGCAGATCCCCGCCACCGGCCGCCTCTACCTCTCCGCCACCCTTCGATCCAAGGTACCCGTGCCTGTCGTGTGTCGTGTCGTGTCGTGTCGTGTCGTTGGTCGTGTCTTTGGTCGTGTCTTTGGTCGTGTCGTGTCGTGTCGTGTTGCGTGTGTGTCGTGTTGCTGACGGGCAGGAGCAGGATGAGAACAAGAAGCGGGCCGAGGAGCCGAACGAAGGCGGCGCCGTGCCGGCGCCGACGAGCAAGCGCGCGGACGAGAGGGTCGTGGAGACCACCACCAGCGCCACCGGCAGCGGCAGCACCGCGGCGTTGGGCTCGGGACCGGTCCCGGCGCCCAGGAGCAGCGAGGAGCCGCGTCCGGCGCCGGTTCAGCCGATCTCCGGCCCTCCGTCCCTGGGCGGCGTCGGCGAGCCCCACAAAAAGCCCCCCTCTCCTCCCTCCACCCCCCGCTCCGCTCCCCCGTCAGCCGTACGCCCCCTTTTTCCTATTATAAATAATTATTTATCATTTTATTCGTAATTTATATTTATAAATCTATTTATTTATTAACGTAAATAAATAAATAAATTGACTTTTTGTGGGGGGGGGTGCAGGAGGGGGTGGACCTGGCGGACTTGGACGACGGGCTCGACACGGTGGTGACCGAGGACGAGGCGAGCGGCGTCTCCAAAGAGGCCATCCTGCGCCAGGAGGGACCCCTCCAGATCCGCACCCTCAAGGTCTGTGTGCCCTCAGTCGACCACCTCACCCACCGCACCCCCTTCCCTCGAACCCTCTGTGACCCTCTCCTGTCGTGACGTGCGTGTCGTGTCGTGTGTCGTGTGTCGTGTGTCGTGTGTCGTGTGTCGTGTGTCGTGTGTCGTGTGTCGTGCGTCGTGTGTCGTGTGTCGTGTGTCGTGCGTGTTGTGTGTCGTTGGTCGTGTCGTGCGGCACAGGTGTGGAAGGAGCGTTGGTTTTCGCTTGCCGACGACGGCCACCTCGTCTATTGGAAGAACCAAAAGGTCGACCGCAGCAATCGTTTTGATTTTATCGATTTCATTATTGACTCTATGTCGTGTCGTGTGTGTCGTGTGTGTCGTGTGTGTCGTGTGTGTCGTGTGTGTCGTGTGTGTCGTGTGTGTCGTGTGTGTCGTGTGTGTCGTGTGTGTCGTGTGTGTCGTGTGTGTCGTGTGTGTCTGTGTGTCGTGTGTGTCGTGTGTGTCGTGTGTGTCGTGTGTGTCGTGTGTGTCGTGTGTGTCGTGTGTGTCGTGTCGTGCAGAAGAAGAAGCTGTTGGGGATGATCGATTTCCGGGGGTGCGAGGTGCGGGTGCGCATCGCCACCCACAAGTCGGTGGAGAAGGCCAAGAAGATGGCCAACGGCAAATCGGCCGAGAAGGCCAACAAAAAGCTGCGCTTCGCCTTCGAGATCGTGCAACCGGCCAACAAACCCATCTTCCTCCGCGAAACCGTAATCACTCCACCCCCCCTGTTGTGTGCGGTGGTGCATGCGTGTGCGGTGACGTGCGTGCGTGTGCGGTGTGCTGATGGTGGTGGTGGGTGGTGCGCAGCCGAGCGGGGCACAGCTGAAGTCGTACAAGGCGCACGGCCGCACGCACCGGTGCCTGCTGCGGGCCGGGTCGAAGATGGCCATGGACGACTGGTTCTACGCCATCAACTACTCCGCACACAGCCTCCAGGTATTTCCACCGCACACGACACCACCGCGCCATCGCACACGCACACACGACACACGCGACACGACACACGCGATGTGACGACTGCGTGTGTGTGCGTGTCGTGCTGTGGGTGTCGTGTGTCTCCAGACGAGCGAGGGGCTGTTCTCGATCCCGGCGAGCGCGAAGATGGTGCCGGTGCCCTACCTCAGCATCCTCATCGCACGCCACTTCGAGGTAAACACATTCAACACATTCCTGTCGCATTCCTTTCCCATTCCTGAACGTGTGTCGTGTGTGTCGTGTGTGTCGTGTGTGTCGTGTCGTGTCGTGTGTGTCGTGTGTGTCGTGTGTCGTGTGTGTCGTGCGTCGTGTGCGTCGTGTGCGTAGGACATGCGCACGTCGTCGATCATGCGGCACGTGCTCATGAAGAAGCTCGGCGGCAAGCTCTCCGCAGTGCGCCGGCCCCCGGCCTTGGTACGTACCACCGCCCCCGCGTCCCTCGCTTGCGTGACCATCCCCCGACCCCCGCCCCACATTCTCATCTCTCTGTCGTGTGCGTCCTGTGCCGTGCGTGTCGTGTCGCTGTGCGTGTCGTGTCGCAGGGTCCGTTGGTTCTGGAGGACTTCGACCTGGGCCAGAGCATGAAGGACATCTTCAAGGGCATGCGCGCCTGCACCACCGACATCCCCAACGAAATGGTGCGTGTGTGCGTGTGTGCGTGTCGTGTCGTGTCGTGTCGTGTCGTGTGTCGTGTGTCGTGTGTCGTGTGTCGTGTGCGTTCATCGCATTCCAACACATGTGTTGTGTTGCGTTGGTGTGGTGTGCGCGCAGCTGGGGGAGATCGACATCAACTACTCGAACGGGGTCAGCCTGCGCGTGTCGACCTTCCTCACGAAGGGCATCGTGCAGATCCCGCTCGTCGTCGTCATCAACATCCACCTCCTCGCCGGCAAGGTATCCCCCCGCCCGCCCCCACCGCCCCACCCGCCCCCTCACTCCTCCACGTGTGTGCGTGTCGTGTCGTGTCATGTGTCGTGTGTCGTGTCGTGTGTCATGGAACAGTTGAAGGTGTATTGTCCGGCGGACGTGAGCGCCAAGTGGTGGGCGTGCTTCAATCGGCTGCCGGAGCTCAACGTGGGCATCACCCTCTACATCGACGGACGCAAACTGCCCGTCAGGTACTACTACGCCCCCCCCCAATCCCTCCTCCAATCGCCTGCGAGTCAGTTTGTTGTCGTTCGGCTGATTGGCTGACACCTTAGGGTTAACCGGTGGCCAATCGGCTCCTTTCTCCTTATTTTGGTTACAGTTCACTGCCGAAGCTGCGGCATTGGGTGTTCCACGCCATTCAGAACATGGTGCGCGACCGCCTGGTCTGGCCCGCCCGCCTCAAGTTCCGCTTCCCCTTCCCCGGCCAACGCATCGGTACGGACGCCGACCACAGCCCTCTCTAATCACCATCAACTATCATCAACTATCATCAATCAACCACCATGGTCGTCGTCGTGATGATGGTTGATGGTGATTGTTGTTAATGTTTGATGATGGTGATGATGGTGATGATGGTTGATGGTGGTTGATGATTGATGATTGATGGTGGTTGATGATGGTGATGATGGTGATGATGGCGATGGAGCAGATATGGAGATCGTGTACGCGGTGGTGCGACCGCCGACGGCGCCGGCGCCGGTGGTGCCGGTGGAGATGAACGAGGTGGTCGCCCGGCGCTACCTGGCCACGCGCTACTTTGAAGAAATCATCAACCGACGCCAGATCCACCGTACGTCACACGCACACACACACGCACGACACGCGCGGCATGGCACGACACGCGCTTACGCGTGCATGGGGCGGTGCAGTGATCGAGGAGCTGTTCACGGCCGACTGCGTGGTGCACGGCGGACTCGCGGCCAACGGCGAGGCGGCGCTCGGGCCGCTGCACGGCGTGGAGGGGGTCTACACCCACGTCTCCGCCCTCCTCACCGCCTTCCCGCGGTACTTTGCCCACCGCCCCCCCCCCGCCTAGACCCGCGCGTGTCTCGCCCACCGCACGCGCCTCACCGCACACACGTACCGCACGCACAGCGTGCGTTTCATTTGCGAGAGCGTGAGCGTGGAGGGCCAGTACCACGCCATCGTGCGCTGGAAGGCGCGCGCCACCAACGACGGACCCTTCCTCGGCCACACCCCTCTCGGTACTCCCACCACCACCCTAGCCCCCCCCATCATGGCTCACGCGCGTGTTGCGTGTCGTGCGGCGTGTGTCGTGGTGTGTGTCACGGCGTGTGCTGTTGCAGGGGAGGAGGTGATCCTGCACGGCGTGACGGTGAACGTGATCCGGTACGGCAACCAGCGGATCGCGGTCCAGCACCACTACTTCGACGCAGAGGCCGTCGTCAACCTCCTCTCCACCAACCGCGCCCCCGCCACCCTTCCGGCCCAACCGTCGTGATCGCCGCGCGTGCGGTCGCGTGCGTGTCGTGCGGTCGCGTGCGCTCCGTTGTTTTTGTTTTTAATGTGCTGTGAATACAAAAGTGTGTCTTGCTGTTTTCTTAGGCCTGGGGCAGCTTCTGCTGTTCGGCCGCGCCGGCGCCGGAGAGCTTGAGGAAAGCCGAGATGGCGCCCACGTCCGTCTGGGTGATCATCTTGGTGTAGGTCCTGTTGAACAGCTTCCGGTCCACCACCCACACGTCCCTCGGCACCTCCACATTGCCATCCGCAAAGTTCTGTCGTTCGTTCATTTTCAAGAAGCAAAAGAGAAAAAAAATAAAAAATATAAAAAAAAGAGAAAAAAAGAAGAAAAAAACGTGTAAGAAACCGCACACACGGCACACAACACGCACCGCACACACCGCACACACGACACGAACCTTGAGGACGTAGTCGCCCTTCTTGCCGTGCATGACGCCGTAGGAGGTGTGGAGGACGAAGTCGTGGGGCGCCGGGGAGGCGAAGAAGCCCTGCTGCTTGGGGTCGGGCACGTACTTGCGCCACGGCCCGTCATAGGTGCCGGTCGGCTTGTACTTGGCCAGCAGCCGCTCCTCCTGCTGCGGCCACACTGCGCAACCACCGCACACACACACGTACGACCGCACACACGACAAATTCAGTGCGTGCGGTGGGCGTGTGTCGTGCGGTGTGGTGAGGAACCGTACGTTCGCCGGCGACGCCGCGGCAGAGCATGTGGCCGGCGGGGGCGCGCTCGACGCCCTCGAGCGTGTGGACTTCGGTGGCGACCGTCAGCTTCTGAGCCCACACCGGCGCAAACTTGCGCACATGGCTAGGAGGAATAAAAAAGTAAATATTAAAAAACAATAGAAAGTGTGAAACATTTAATAGAATAAATTAAATAATAGAAAAATTGGGGGGGAGCGTACGTCCAGCCCTTCTTCTTGAGTTGGGCAAGCAGCTCGGCGTTATCGGAAGAGGCCATGGTTTTGTGGAGTTGTGTGGTTGATGTGTTGCTGGGACTGGGACGAGAGCTTCAGTTCAGAGAACCAAAAGCACAAACTTTTCTTTTCCCTTAGCCAGAACAAGGAAAGAAAGAAAGTATGCAAATAAGTTCCACGAATTCTTTCGCAAATAGTGCGCCAAAATATAATTCTGAGGTGGGAAGTGATGTGCTCTGTTCTGTCTATTTGAAGATGAAGATGAAGAACAGGAACAACAAGTCACCTGACATAGACAGTGGATAGCTTGTCTAGTAGGTGTAGTTGGAGACGTAGAGGGACTCGGAGGCGGCCGAGTCGGCGGAGCCCTGGTACTCGCCGAGGGTGGCCTGCGAGTTGGCCAGCGCGCGGGCGATGAGGACCTGCTGGGCGGCCTTGATGTTCTCGGGCTTGCCGGCCCAGGCCTTGATGGTGGAGTGCTGCAGTGCTCGGCCGTACGAGAAGGAGAGGGTCCACGGCTTCTTGATGCCCTTGAGCGCGTTCATGGCGTTGAGGTTGAGCGAGGCCTCCTCCTCGGACTGACCACCGGAGAGGAAGGTGATGCCGGGCACGGCCGGGGGCACGGTGCGGGAGAGCACGGTGACGGTGGCGGCGGCGACGTCGGCGGCCTTGGCCTTGGTGCCGGCCATGCCGGCGAGGACCATGTTGGGCTTGAGGAGGGTGCCCTCGAGCAGGACGTTGGCGTCGTGGAGGGCCTTGTAGGTGGCGGCGAGCACGCGCTGGGTCACCTGCACGGAGACCTCGATCGGGTGGTCGCCGTCCATGAGGATCTCGGGCTCGACGATGGGCACGAGGCCGTTGTCCTGGCAGATGGCCGCATACCGGGCCAGACCGCGCACGTTCTCCTCGATGCCGATCTCAGAGGGGCAGTTGGTCTTGGTGTCGATCTTGATCACCGCACGCCTGAAAACGAACGAGCATCAGCAAAGAAGTAGAAGAAGAAGCACTACACATGTTACTACAAGTCTAGTAGTACTTGTCTCCAAGCCTCTACGTCGTCTTAAAGTCGAAGCACGTACCACTTGGCGAAGCGGGCACCGTTGGCGTAGTACTTGGCGCAGCGCACGTCGAGGTCGTCGAAGCCCTGGGTGTAGGTCTCGCCGTTGGTGCCGCGGAGGGGCTTGACGCCCTTGTCCACCTTGATACCGGGCAGGATACCCTTGGACTTGAGCAGGTCGGTGAAGAGCACACCGTCGTCGGTCTTCTGCCAGAAGGTCTCGTCGAACAGGATCACACCGCTGATGTACTTCTCGATTCCTGCGAGCGAAGAGGAATCGCACGTGGCACAGGGGAAATTAGAAGATGTTCATCAAATCTCAGAGTTACGTGCGCGTGTAGCGCACAGTGATGAATTTGTGGCGCTACGCGTATCGAAGCTGTTGGTTGAAAAGGTAGGAATGCAAAAGATTAAAAGAATCCAGTACCCTCGGTGGTGAAGAGCAGCTGGCGGTAGGCCTGCCTGTTGGCCTCGGTGTTCTCGAGGTTGATCGAGTTGAAGCGGCTGCCGATGGTGCCAGTCGACTCGTCAGCAGCGAGGATACCCTTGCCAGGGGTGGCGATCGCGCGCTGCAATTCGGGAAAAATGAGACATCACCCACGAAAAAGGCGCACAATCGCAAAAAAAGAATAATTAAATGATGAAGAGCCACTGCTCATCAAGTAGCGCACAAACCGTGCGTGGTACGTACGGCGTTCTCGATGAGCTCGTTGCGGTACTTGTCCTTGCCGGCCAACATTGTTGTAGATGGAGATTGTGTGAAGATGTCTGCTACAAGTTTGCACTTCGCGCGAGATCAAGAAGAAACAAAAGCCGTGAGTGGAGACACGCGGTATTTGTCAGCGTGAAGGGGGGGGTAGCGGCACAGTTTTTTGCTTGCGGCAAATCGACTGACAACTCCACGAGCCGTCGATGGTCGCTACACATTCACTCCGACTCCGGAGGTCTCCGGTTCAATATTGAGACTCAACATGTCCATGTTTGTGTGCTGTTGGTTTATGGGTACAAATAAATAGTAGTTTTACTTTACTGTTCTACATTGATATCGTCGTTGTGTACATTTTGGTGGGTGAGCACCATCTGGGGCAGCACCTTGCCGAACAGATTCTGCATGCGGTCCCGGAAGTCGTCGCGGTCGTCCTCGAATCGCACACGCGCGAACTCGCCCATCGAGCGCACCTTGTCCAACCTGAGCTGGTCGTCGTTTTCGTTCTTGTCGTTGTTGTTGTTGTTGTCGTTTTCGTTGTTGGTCTTCTTGCTGATGAGGCCGAAGTACTTCTCCATGGCCTTCTCCAGGTCGGTCGGGCCGACGCGGCAGGCCTGGTTGCCGGGCAGAGACGACTGATAGAGCGAGGTCGAGGTGAGCTGGCACGGGATGAGCACGCCGAAGTGGTCCTGCACCATGTCGTTCATGGGCGCCCAGTTGGTGGTCATGACCAGCGCGCCCAGGGCGCGGGCCTCGTTGATGTAGTGGCCGAAGCCCTCCTCGCGGCTCGGGCACAGGTGAACGCCCGACGACTGCTGGAGCCGAAGCAGCTCCTCGTCGGCCAGGCGCTCGGTATAGATGATCAAGTTCTCTTGGACCATGACCTACACACAAAAAGAAGATGAAGACGAATATGTCAGTTCGCTATACATGGTGGGTGTGAAGCAGATATGTACAACATGTGCACGTCGGAACGTACCCCGGTCCTGTTGGGCCAGGAGTTGTAGGCGCAGTCGGCGCACTCGTGCTCCGCGCGGAAGTAGCGCTCGCTGTGCTTGAAGTCGACCAGGTGGAGCCTGGGCCACTCGGGGTGCTTCCGCCAGGTGTCGTACACCACGTCCGACCCCTTGTTGATCGACTGCATCGCCACAACAACTTCACGTCAGTCTCATTGCGTGCGGTGGTGCTTGTGCGATCATGTGTGCCGTGGCAGATCTGGTACCTTGCCGCCGACGTGGATGAACTGGGTGAAGTCCTGCTCTACGGCGGGGAGGCTGGCGAGCTTCTCGCGCGGGTCGGCCGAGGTGTGCCCGACGTAGAAGACGTCGAGGTCGAGCGGCGAGCGCCGCCGGGCGTAGTTCCGGAGGTGGCGGTCGACCAGCTTCTTGGCCACCATCGACTTGCACACAATGGCGTCGAGCAGGCGGTAGAGCCTTATCTCGTGCTTGATCTCGTGGTTGATGACGAACATGTTGTAGCGCCCGACCACGAGCCACGGGTGGTGCAGCCTCTCGAACAGCACCTGGATGTCGGCCACGCCGGCCGCCGCAGACTTGGGCGTCGGGTGTTCGCGCGTGTTGGCGATTTCCACGGCGTAGCCGAGGCCCTCGAGAAGGTCCCGGTAGATGACAACGTCCATCCACAGCCCGCCGGACCGATTGTATTTACCTGTTCGGAGACAAACACACAAATATGTAAATATACAGTCGCACCAGCAAGATCATCTGGTGACCAGATAAAGATATAACCGGCCAATCACCAGCGGAGCTGTAAAATCTCAATTTCCTGCTGGAAGTTACAGGCTACAGAAATACGAACGAAAGAGATGGCATTGCTATGAACTGATAACATTGAGGGAGGGCGGTGATGTTGACGATGGTGAAGAAGGTGAAGATAGGGGGGGGGGTGATGAAGGTACCTTCGTAGATGAGGCGGGCGGTGAGGGGAGCGGGGATGCGGAGGCTGGGGGAGTCGCCGGAGGTGGAGTTGGCGGGCAGCAGAGAGGAGAGGGACCGCGAGCCGACTCTCCGCGCGCTCTCGGCGGGGCTGTTGGCTCGGGTGGTAAGAGTAGTAGAGGAGGAAGAGGAGTCGAGGGAAGAAGAAGAAGAAGAAGACAAGGGGGCGCCTCGCGCCAGGTTGGTTGTGAAGAGAGAAGAAGCAGAGGAAGAGGAGGAGGAAGAAGAGGTGTTTGTTCGGGCCATCCAGAAGACCTGGAGGAGGAGCCACCAGACGACCAGGGAGGGCACCAAGTAGGCGCAGCATCTTCGTAGGGTCGTCATCGTCTATGTGGTGGTGTGTGATGTGCGATGGTGATGATGGTGATGATGGTTGGAGGTGTCAAGGCCCAGTCAAGCCAACCAACTAGAGAAGGTCGCGGCTGACGTGTTGGCTCTCTGCGGTTTGGTGGTGAGCCAGGGAGGAGGTGGAGGTGCTCAGAGAGATTGCGGTGGAGTGAGAGCGTTCACACTTCCCTGATGCTTCGTGGACGGAGAAGGTGACAACGAAGAGGAGGAAGGCGGCAAAATAGGTTCAGTTTGTTTGCGCCCGGCCTTATGAGCCGCGTACCGGGCTGAGGTGCTGGTTGAGCGCGTCGTCCTCTGGGAGTTTTCGCGGCGATGCTGGGCCTAGGGCCACCATGTGCCGGCTTGATGGCCTTGCTGTGGTGTTCTTTTGGGCGTGGTCCCCCGGAAGTTTCATGATCCGCCCCCAGCTTGAGGGGAGCATGCAGGGCGAGCCAGATCAGGGCCGGCCGCACACGTGACCAGAACGTCTGGGAATTTCCACCAATTTGACCGCTGTGCGTGTGTGGGTACTTTAAACTGGTCGGTGAGTGGACGGCGGGTGGACCAACGCATAGTGACCACATCACCATGTACAGTTCTCTGTGGGTGAGCCTGGCCAAAGCTTCCACCACCCACTGGTATGGGCCAGCCGTTTGGTGATTGGCTCGATTGAGCAGTCCTGCGTTACACGCCAAGGAATGGGCCAAGAGAGTTGGAAATCGATTTTGATTTGAATGAGCGGGATAGATGGCTACAGACCTGCTTTGGTCGGGGGGAGAGAGGTGGGGGGCTGGGTCGAAGGGGGCGTGCGTCCGTCGTCGATCTTGTCGAGCAATCGGAACCAGCCGATGCGCGCGATTTGATCGAGAGCCTCGTCGAATTCAATTTCGGTGGCATTCTCCGCCCTCCGGCGCAGATGAGCAACGATGCTGTGCTTGTCGTGCCCCTTGACGGCCAGGATGAAGGGGAAGGCGTGCTTGCTGGAGTAGGCGCTGTTGAGCCGCAGAAGCTCAGCATGCTCCTCGGGCGTGAGATTCGACAGGAGACCCGCTCCTCGTTGCTCGCTACGCGATTCATCGGTGGCGATGCGCGCTACATCGCCCAGCGAAGGATGGGCACGGATCAATCGCATCTGATCCTCCTTGCTCGCGCCATAGAGCGCTACGCTGAAGAGGCTCCACAAATGCACAGCGCTGCGCAGGGGCACCTTGCCGTACGAGCCGGTCCACAGCTGCCACGCGCCCTCGGTCACCCAGGGCGAATGCTCGAAGATGGAATCAAACAAACGATGAAAATCCTCTGCGTTGAACGCATTCACTTCCTCTAGTGCGAGCCTGCGCGGCAATGTGGACGTCATCTCTTCGTTCTGCTATGATCGACTCAAGCGTTTCAGAAATTTCTGTCGTCTGGGGGTGAGGAGCAACGAAAATCACTCAACTGAAGCAAGATGGAGCCAGAAGATGAGGATGTCGATTGGCTCGTCTCAGAAGTGCACATGGTGCACGAGGTGCCAGCATCCTCTGGCGATGTTGCTGGCGAGCTCTATCTCTCTAGATTTCCGCTCTACACAGATGTGGGGGCGGTAGATGGGGAGAAGGAGCCGCAAGATGCAGATGATGACGAAGCCGGCGTGGATGAAGAAGGCGATCTGGTCGTGCCTCGGCGCAGGGCTGTGAGCACTGGTGATGAGCGACGGCGGCAGGTCACCGGTGTAGTGACCCTCCTTCACGCCCTCCGCACCACCCTCCCCGCCGTCGGCCTGCAAGTACGCACACGACCGCACACGCACACGAAGCAACACGCACACACACACGCGCTCACGATGAGCGCCCAACAGGTGTGGCGAGGCAGCCTGGTGCTGGCGGATTACATCATGCGCGAGCAGGACGCGGGCCGATGGCACGACGTGCACGCGCTCGAGCTGGGCGCCGGCGCCGGGTTGGCTGGGCTAATCATGGCCCGACACGCGTCGCGCGTGTGGTTCACAGGTAACCACACGGCACCTTACAGTGGTGTGTGTCGTGTCGTGTGCGGCAATCGTGACACTCACCGCGTGCGTGCGGTGCGTTCGATCGAGTCAGACTACGACGACGAGGTGTTGGCCAACTGCGAGAAGAACGGGCAGCTCAATCGGCACCTCTTTGCGCACGAGGACGTCGTGCGCGTGCGCAAGCTGGACTGGCTCGCGCCTCCGCCCGCATGGTTTCGCGCCTCGCCAACCAACGCAGCAGAACCGGCCGTCCGCCCGGCAGCGGACCACAGCGGCGACGAGGCTGCGGGACCTCCCTACGAGTGGACCCAGGCCGACGTGGCCGAATGCCAGCGCATATCTGTGCTTCTCGCCGCCGATGGTGAGTCGGCTGCGGCCTTGACCCCATGCAGCACCTCACCTTCGCTTTCTTTACGTGTGTCGTGCCATGCATGTCGTGCGGCGTGTGTTGTGTCGACATGCAGTGATCTACGAAGACCACCTCACCACTGCTCTCTTCGGCTTGCTCGAGTACTGCTCTCGTCCCATCACTGTCGGGGGGTTGGGTCCGCAGGTCCCTGACGGCTTTATCTTTCACTGTCCGTGTGTCGTGTCGTGTCGTGTCGTGTCGTGTCGTGTCGTGTCGTGTCGTGTCGTGTCTGGCACGTAGAGAAATGCTGCGCGGCGATCGGGTGCTGGTGCTGTCCATCGAAAAGCGGATCAACTTCACCCTTGAGGACCTGGCACCCACGAGCAAGGCCTACGACCATTTTCGCTCCTTCTTCGTCGACCTGGACGCCGAGCCGTGTTGTTCTTCATCACCACCAAGTACGTAACGCCACACTCTACATAGCGTGTCATGAGTGTCGCGTGTGTCACACATGTGTGATGTTCCCAAGTCATCACACGATTGATGAACACAACGACAGAGCCACGGCCACGGCCACGGTTGGAGGGACGACGCATTGATGTGGCCGATGTGCCCCAGCGATTCGACTATGAGCGCGTTGCTGAGCTTGAGCTATGGACTCTGCGCCTGGCTCGAAGCTAAGCCAGGCCAATCAAACACGCGCACAAAATAAAAAATAAATAAGAGGAAACGATTCATTGGGCAGTTGCAGAGGTGGAAACCACGAGGTGCGCGTGCCACCACCTGTCGAACCCTCTCTCGCTTTCAGGCGAGATGCAGCGCGAATTGATAGCCTGCTCAGATGATGCGTCCGACATCCCCGCACCCATATAACAGTGCCAACCCAAACACCACACACACACAGAGAGAAGAAGAAACACAAGAACACCACAACACACACACACAGAGAGAGTGCAGAAGAAAGATGTCGACTGGACCGAAGAAGACGTGGCGCTCGGGGACGGAGCACATCAACAAGCCCGAGATCAGCAAGGCCTGGCAGAGCGCCGAGATCGACGCCGACCGAGCTGGTACGTTCCCTTTGTCCTCTTCTTGTTTTTTTGCTTCTTCTCCTTCTTGTGGTTGGTGCTCAGTCGCGTCCGCTTGGCTCATCATCAACAAACAGAGAAACTGCACGAGGTGCCCCAACACCTCAAGGTGGGCGAGAAGGTGATCTCGCGGTCCGGCGACGTCAAGCAGCCGAGCAAGAAGGCCACCAAGAAGCACCCCTCGGTACCACGGCACCTCGCGCTCGTGTGTTGTGTCGTTGGTTGTGCGTGTGTCGTGTCGTGTCGTGTCGCGCGATCGTACTCACCCGGTAGTTGGGGGAAATGCATGGAACAGCCGGGTATCGCGCAGCCGGGCTTCAAGCAGGACCTGACGGCCAAGGAGACCCAGGGCCAGCCCAAGTTCGCCCAGCAGACCGAGAAGGTCCTCAACCAGTTCTAGAAGAAGAGCTGTTGGCCGTTCACTTTTTCATCAAAATGAAGAATGAAGAAACAACCGCGCGCGTGAACGCTCTGTCCACACAAGAACGAAGAATGAAGGAAAAGAACGAAGAGGAACGAAGAAGAAGGAGGGGGGGGAGGTGTGGCTCTTGTTCAAGAGGAGCCCACGGAAGCGGCGGTGCGTTGCCACTCGCCGGCGAAGGGCTTGGCCTTCCAGGCCATAAGGTGGGTGGTCAGCGTGAGCGAGGACATCGAAAAGGTCAGCGAGCCCACTATGCTCTCCTGCGCCCCCCCCCCCAACAACGCCGCATGTGTCCGTTTTCCTATGTCAGTCAACTGCCACCTAAAACTCGCGCGTGCGGCGGTGCGTGTGTCGTGTAGTTGTTGGTCGTGTGCGGTGGTGCGTGTGCGGTCGCACCTTGAGTTCGTACTCGGATTGGTGGAGGCCAAGGCATTCGGCCATCAGGTGCAGGCGGTCCATCACCGATTGCTGTGCGCCGAAGCGCCCTCGCAAAAGCAACTCCTGTGAACACACGACACACACCACACGCACACACGAAGGCCCAACTCAACAAACCGCACGTGGTCCCCCAGTCCGTACTACACGCGCATTTGTTTGTTACCTGCGATCTGTAGCTGCCGGCCGTGCGCTTGGCCGCGATCACGATATCTTCCATCTTGGTCAGCAGTCGGCCCACTGTCGTCAACAACCACAACAACACCAACAACGGCGACCACGCTCGTCAGTCGTGTCAGCTGTGCCAGCTGTGCAAGATGATCATCACGAGAACGCCAAGCGAGCGCCTTACTACGCACATTCGTCCATGACTGCCCGAAGATCGCTCAACCGCTTCTCGGCTGTATGATGCAATGGTGGTGGTGGTGGTGGTGGTGGTGGTGGTGGTGGTGGTGGTGGTGGTGGTGGTGGTGGTGGTGAGAAGGCTCACACCAGTGCTGACAACAAACGTTGGGCGCCCAGAGCCGGGCACAAGAGAAAATGTGGAAAAAAGAAGTGTACCCTGCAGTGATGAGGCCGACAAGCCGCGGCTCGGTGCAGTGATGCCGCCCACCTGGTCGCGGATGGATCGCTCGGCTGCGGCCTCGTCCTCGTGTCCAGGCTCCACGACCGACGCTGCTTGGTTGGCCAACATCCCGGCGAGAGTGCGGGGTTGTCTTGTGTAAGGGCGCGGGGAGCTGAACGCGTGTGGAGAGATGGAGGGGACGCACCGATGTCTCCAGAGAAGGAAGAGAGCAGGCCCTCCCCTCGTCGATGCAACGTGCTCCACTTGTCCGCGCTACACGCCACACCACATCGCAAAAATCAAAATTTGAAATCTTGGCTACACGCAAGCGTTTGATTAATGCAAGCAGCACGGCGTACCAGGTCTGAAGTTCCAGGAGTGCCGCCTGAATGACATCGCGCGAGTTCATTATCAATCAATAAATAAAAGTAAAAGAAAAATGAGAAGTTTGTGACCCAAGAAAACGAAGAAACCTTGTTGTTTTTGCCCAATTTAAAATGAATTAAAAATGCTGTATGGTGAGCTGTGGCAGTGTGCTGCTTGAAGGGTAACCCCTTACCCTTGCAGCTCAGGATGAAGTAGTGCTTGAGCTTGAGCAGCAGCTTCATGGTGCTGCTCAAGTCAGGCACCCATAGCCATGCACCACTTAGATCAGGGCAGGGGACAGGTACCTGATCTCAGCACATGCCTGGTATTTTCTTTATGAACTCAGCCATGATCTGTATGGTGCAACAATAGATCCAGAAAATGTTGAAGTGCAGTGCCCTGTGGCTCACTAACCACCCATTCCTTCCCATCAATAGATCCAAGGAGAGCGCAGCAGTGGGTCCCTACTTGGGCAATGGGGACCGCCTGCGCTGCTTGCTGGTACCAATGTTCCTTTTGTGGACTTTAATGGTCTCTGTCTTTGGCACACCTTTCCTTTTTCTAGCCAATCCAATTTGTACCGCCGGAGAACAACAAGCTGCGTACCTCCCACCTTCGCACATTACACACCGCCACACACATAGGCGATGATAACCCTACGAAAAGGTGGCGCCTACTTGGTGGCGCCCTCCCTCCTGGTTGTCTTATGGTGGCTCCTGCAGGTGACTCAAACAAACACATCCTCTTCCTTTGCTTCATCTCTCTTCACAACCAACCTGGTGCGCTTGCTTCTTCTTCTTCTTCTTCTCCCCTCGACTCCTCTTCTTCTACCACTCCGCTGATCACCCAAGCCAACAGTCCACCGAGGGCTCGCAATCCCTCTCCTCTCTGCTGCCCGCCAACTCCACCTCCGGCGACGCTCCCAGCCTCCGCAACCTCACCGCCCGCCTCATCTACGAAAGTACCATCATCACCCCCCCTCCCACTCTTCACCTTCTTCCTCCCTCATTGTTATTAACAGTTCATAGCAATGCCACCCCTTTCGTTCGAATCTAGTACCTTCCAAACAGAAGAGACGGCCCCTTAAAGTTCAAGTGTGCTTGTCTCCAAATAGGTGAACACAGTCATTCCGGCGGACTGTGGACGGACGTCGTCATCTACCGGGACCTTCTCGAGGGCCTCGGCTACGTCGTGGAAATCTTCAACATGCGCGAATACCCGACACCCGAGTCCGCGGCGGCCGGCGTTGCCAACATCCAGGTGCTGGTCGAGAGGCTGCGCCATCCCTGGCTCGTGGTCGGGCGCTACAACATGTTCGTCATCAACCAAGACATCATCCACGACATACGGCTCTACCGCCTGCTCGACGCCATCGTGTGCAAGTCAGTGATGGCCCAGGAGCTGGTCGACCAATACCTCCGTAACTACTCCCGGGAGCACACGCCACTGGGCCTCGACGTCTTCTACGTCGGGCACACCTCGGCCGACCCGCGCGAGAAGCTCGCCAGCCTCCCCGCCATACAACAGGACTTCACCCAGTTCATCCACGTCGGCGGCAAGGTACCAGATCTGCCACGGCACACACGATCGCACAAGCACCACCGCACGCAATGAGACTGACGTGAAGTTATTGTGGCGATGCAGTCGCTCAACAAGGGGTCCGACGTGGTGTACGACACCTGGCGGAAGCACCCCGAGTGGCCCAGGCTCCACCTTACCGACTTCATGCACAACAATCGCTACTTCCGCGCGGAGCACGAGTGCGCCGACTGCGCCTACAACTCCTGGCCCAACAGGACCGGGGTACGTTCCCACATGCACATGTTGTACATATCTACCTACATACCAACAGTTATATTGCAGTTCACTGACATATTGGTATGTTCTTTGGTGTAGGTCATGATCCAAGAGAACTTAATCCTCTACACCAAGCGCCTGGCCGACGAGGAGCTGCTTCGGCTCCAGCAGTCGTCGGGCGTTCACCTGTGCCCGAGCCGCGAGGAGGGCTTCGGCCACTACATCAACGAGGCTCGTGCCCTGGGCGCGCTGGTCATGACCACCAACTGGGCGCCCATGAACGACATGGTGCAGGACCACTTCGGCGTGCTCATCCCGTGCCAGCTCACCTCGGCCTCGCTCTATCAGTCGCCCCTCCCCGGCAACCAGGCCTGCGTCGTCGGCCCGACCGACCTGGAGAAGGCCATGGAGAAGTACTTCGGCCTCATCGGGAAGAACGAAAACGACGACCAGCTCAGGTTGGACAAGGTGCGCTCGATGGGCGAGTTCGCGCGTGTGCGATTCGAGGACGACCGCGACGACTTCCGGGACCGCATGCAGAATCTGTTCGGCAAGGTGCTGCCCCAGATGATGCTCACCCACCAAAATGTACACAACGACGACAACGATGTGTCAGAGAAACAGGAATAAGTCTGCTTTTTAACAAATGACCCTGTTATGTTTCTTGTGCCTGAAGCACCGATGTCTCCAGAGAAAGAAGCTTAGAGCAGGCCTCTACGATGCAATGTGTAGAAATAAATTACACAAATAAATAAATGAAATAGATAAATACAAATTTGTGGCCCAAGAAAAGGAAAAAGAAACCTCGGCCAAGCGAACGGCGAATTGATCATAATCAAAACTGGTTTGATTTCGTTTCCAGCACGCAGCGTTCTACGTCCATCAGAAGGAAGAAGGGAGAGGAAGATCTGGGGCGAATGCTGCAGCAACCGGCCGGCGATCTCCTCTCCACGAACACTTCGCTCGACGAGGTGCCCGCAATGATGCAACACCAGCCAAGGGCCTCCGCGGTTGGTGGCAGGCACGAAGGTGGTGACCATGATAGCGATGGTTCCAGCGGGGACGAAACCGAGACCGCTCCCCTCCTCAACAAGGTACCTTGAGTGGCCCTTTTTTATTTTGATATTTATAGTTTTTATTTTACAATATTCCCCCGCATATTTACGAATAAGTATTTCACATAATTATTGTTTATTTTATTTGTCGGGGCCTTGTGTGCAGCACTCGTCATCGGGCAGCGGCGGGCACGACGGGAAGAAGGGCGACGGCGACGGCGGAGGTGGTCGCGAACGACGGTTGCGAATCAATGGTGATGGGACGTGGCGCGAGGGCGCGGCCATCAAGAAGGGCAACAACGCCGTGACGACCTCCAAATACACCATCCTCACCTTCATTCCCAAGAATCTCATCGAACAGTTCAAACGTGCGCTCTCCTGCCCTCTGCCCTCTGACGTTATCATTGACGTGTACCACGTGTGATGATGCGCTGATTTCGGTTGCCTTCTTGCAGGGTTGGCCAACATCTACTTCCTCATGATCTCCGGTTTCCAGGTGCGCACGCCTCACATAACATGACACGACACGACACGACACACACGACACACACACACACACACACGACACACACACACACACACACGACACGCACGACACACACCACACACGCACTCACGCACACGCCTAACCATCTGCTCTCGTTGCTCGCACGTGTGTAGTTGATTCCCGGGCTCTCGCCTACGGGACGATTCACCACGCTGGTCCCGCTCGTGATCGTGCTCACGATCACCGCCCTCAAGGAAATCGTCGAAGACATTGTGCGTTTCCGTTCCCAGATCTCATACCTCCATCTTCTCTCGGTTGGCCTCCGTACGCGCCACTCTGACCACTTGCTCGTGCGTGTCACATGTGTGTCGTGTGCGTCGCGCGTGTGTTGTGTTTCGATTTATGCTGCGCAGGCGCGACACCGACAAGACGCAGCCGTGAATAACACCGAAGTAGAGATCACCCGCAATGGCCAACTTACAGTCGTCAAATGGCACCAGGCACGCCACTCCGTCTCTGTAGCCAGCACTTGTGTGTGTGGTGTGTGTCGTGTCGTGTGTGTCGTGTGTGCCGTGTGTACATGCAATGCTCATCTGTGGGTATTCGCAGGTGCGCGTGGGAGACATTGTCCGGCTCCAGGAGGACCAGTACATTCCCGCCGACCTCATCCTCCTCTCCTCGTCCCTGCCGCACGGCACCGCCTACATCCAGACCGCGAACCTCGACGGGTTCGTCCGACGCCCGCCCACTCCCGCACTCACTCACCGCTATCACCACCATCAGCGTCAGGACCGTTCCGGAATGAGCTCATTCATCTTTCCTTTTATGTGCATGCGTGCATGCGTTACAGTGAAACCAATCTCAAGATCCGACAGGCGCTGCCGGAGACCTCCCACCTGACCGACCCCGCGGCGCTGGCCGACCTGCGCGGTGCGTGTGCCCGAGGGTTGCCTGATGTTTTTTTATTCTTTACATATCTTGAATTTTTATGTGCGCCTCGGCAGGTGATATCGAGTGCGAGGGTCCCAGCAGGCATCTGTACAGCTTCAGCGGATCGCTGCACATCGAGGGCTCCGCGCCGCTCTCCGTCGGCGTCAAGCAGCTCCTGCTTCGCGTTCGTCCGCCACGCATTGCATGCACGCACCGCACCGCACGCGCAGCACTAATCAGTGGTGGTGCATACCACAGGGCGCGATGGTACGCAACACGGAGTGGGCCTACGGCATCGCAGTCTACACGGGCCACGACACCCGGCTCATGCAGAATTCGACGTATGCCCCCCCCCCCGGTGGAGCGCATCGGATGCAGACCGGATCTGTCAACTCACACGCTTGTCGACACACACACACACCACACACACCACATACACCACACACACACACACACACACACCACATACGTTTAGTGAATCGCCGCACAAGCGGAGCAACGTGGAGCGGACCACCAATTGGATGATCCTCGCGGTGTTCGCCATGCAGCTGCTGCTCTGCGCCGGCGCGGCGGTGGCCAACACGATCTACACCAAGCAGCTCGAGGACGCGTGGTACCTCCAGCTGGAGGGCTCGGCGGCGGCCAACGGCGCGCTGTCGTTCATCACCTTCATCATCCTCCTCAACAACCTGATCCCCATCTCGCTCTACATCACCATGGAGATCGTCAAGTTCGGCCAGGCCTACTTCATCAACCACGACCTGCGCATGTACCACGAAGCCAGCGACACCGCCGCGCAGGTTCGTTGTGTAGCGTGTGTCGTGTGTCGTGTGTCGTGTGTCGTGCGTCGTGCGTCGTGTGTCGTGCGGCTGAATGTGGCGGGCTGGTTCACGCAGGCGCGTACATCGAACTTGAACGAGGAGCTGGGCCAAATCAGTTACATCTTCTCGGACAAGACCGGCACCCTCACGCAGAACCGCATGCTCTTCCGCAGCTGCACCGTGGCGGGTACCGTCTACGGCATCCCACAAACAGGCCCCGCGCCGCACGACGCCGAAGGCGTACGTCTCCCCCCAGTTTGCATTGTTTCTTTTTCGTTTTTGTTTGTCTTTTTATTTAATTATTTTATCGTTATAAATTGTCTAATTTTTATTTCGTTATTATTATTAATTATGGAATTTTTGTTGGTTATATTGTGTACAATTAATTATGTTTCTTTGCTCGACATTCAATCATCGCCGACGTGCTCGCAGGCTGGGTCGGACGATGAGGAGGAAGAGGAAGAGGTGGTAATCGCCGTGCCTGCACACACGCGCACCTCCGATTCGTTCACGCTCACCGAACGGGTACGTTGTCCTCGAGTCAACTCTCTCTTTTTGTTTTTTTCTTATCGATTCTTTTTCTCTTTTCTCGGTTTGCTTTTTCTAGACGGTTGGCGACGGAGCAACTCCCGAGAAGGAGGTTATCATCTTCTTCATCACCTTCATCACCATTTCTCTTTTTATTGGTTGGTTATTGGTCGTTTCGGTCGAAAGTGTGATGACACTCGTGTCGACACATGAATGTGTTTTCCTCTGCTGCAGGAGCCCGACGAGGGGTTCGACGGGGAGCAGCTGCTGGCCGCCCTTAACTCGCAGGACACCAACGAGGCGCAAACCGTGCGCCACTTCCTGACCCTCCTCGCCGTGTGCCACACCGTCGTGCCCCAGGCCAAGCCCGTACGCCTCAACGCCTCTCTTTTCTTTTTCTCTTTTCTCTTTTCTTTTTTCAAATGCGACCTACTCACAACATCGCCGTCGGGTGCCGCAGGACGGGACCGTGGCGTACATGGCGTCGTCCCCGGACGAGGCCGCCCTCGTCTCCGCGGCGCAGTCGATGAACTTTGTCTTCCACGTATGTGCGAGAGGACCCGCTCCTAGGTTCTTGTTCGGACACATGCGCAGCGCTCACCTCTCGTGTGTGTCATGCGTGTCGTGCGTGTCGTGTCGTGTCACCAGTACCGTGAGCCCACGTCGATCACGATCAAAGTCGAAGGTGAGGACCTCGACTTTGAAATTCTCAACATTCTTGAATTCACATCCGAGCGCAAGCGAATGGTACTGTAGTGTGTCGTGTCGTGTCGTGTCGTGTCGTGTCGTGTCGTGTCGTCACGTATCTGATTGGTTGCTGGGTCGCTGTGCGACAGTCGGTCATTTGCCGGTGCCCCGACGGCCGGCTGCGGCTCTACATCAAGGGCGCGGATGACGTCATCTTTGCGCGCCTGGCCGCCGACCAGCCCTACGCCGAGGTGACGATGACGAACCTGCAGGACTTCGCCTCGGCCGGCCTGCGCACCCTGTGCTGCGCCTACGCCGAGCTCGACGAGGAGGCCTACCACCGCTGGAACAAGGAGTACAAGCGCGCCGCCGTCGCCATCCTCCTCCGCGAGCAGCGCGTACGTCGCATTCCCTCTGTCGACATCAATTCTCTGCAGCGGCTGACGTGGCACTCACTTTTCTTTTTCTTTTTGGGAGTTTAGTTATCGGAGGTGGCGGAGAAGATCGAGAAGAACTTGGTGCTGTTGGGCGCGACGGGCATCGAAGACAAGCTGCAGGACGGCGTGCCGGAGACGATCGTCAAGCTGTCGCAGGCCGGCATCAAGATCTGGGTGCTGACGGGCGACCGCCAGGAGACGGCCATCAACATCGGCTACGCGTCGGGCCAGCTCACGGCCGACACCGACGTGATCGTGCTCAACGTCGCCAACCCGGGCGCCACCAAGCGACACATCGAACAGGCCCTCACCCGTCTCGTCCCCAACGCCGTACGCACACGCACACGCACCACCGCACACGCCCGACCGCACACACTCATGCGCGACCGCGCACACGCACCGCACACGCATTGTTCAGAAGGCGGGAGTGGTGATCGACGGGGAGACGCTGATTGCGGCGCTCGAGCCGGACACGCGCAAGCTGTTCCTGGAGCTGTGCCAGGGCTGCAGGGCGGTGATCTGCTGTCGCGTGTCGCCGCTCCAGAAGGCCGAGGTCGTGCGCCTCGTGCGCGAGAACGTCAAGGGCGCCATCACCCTCGCCATCGGCGACGGCGCCAACGACGTCTCCATGATCAAGGTACACACGACCAACGACACGACACGACACACGTGTGTGCGTGTGCGGTGGGTGGGTGTGCAGACGTGGATTTTTTATTCGATGACGTGGCAGGAAGCGCACGTGGGCATCGGCATCTCTGGCGAGGAGGGCCTGCAAGCGGCCCGCGCCTCCGACTACGCCATCGCCCAGGTACTGACTCTCCCCGCACCTGTGCTGACGTCATCATCTGTGTGTCGTGTGTCGTGTGTCGTGTGTCGTGTGTCGTGTGTCGTGTGTCGTGTGTCGTGTGCGTGTCGCGGGTGTAACTGACGCCAACATGCCATGGTGCCGCCGCAGTTCCGGTTTTTGTCGCGGCTGCTGCTGGTGCACGGGCGGCATTCGTACCACCGCCTGGCCAAGGTCATTCTCTACTCCTTCTACAAGAACATCGTCCTCTACCTGACCCAGTACTGGTATGCCAGCCACACATTCCACGCAACACGCAACACATTCCACACAACACACAACACATTCCACGCGCGCCTTCCTACTTTCTTTTGTCGACTGTGTGCCATATGTGTGTGCGTGTGTCTCATCGCACACGCACGCGTGGGGTGGCCACATAGGTTCAATCTGTACAACGGGTGGTCGGGCCAGAGTCTGTACGAGCGGTGGACGCTGGCGCTCTACAACGTGCTCTTCACCCTCCTGCCCGTCATCATCGTCGGCTTCTTCGACCGCGACGTGTCCGACCGCATGGCCCTCCGGTATTTCCTCCACACGACACACGACACGCACAGCACCTATGTCACACACGACACACACGACACACACGACACACGACACGACCCACGACACGACACGACACACGGCACACACGACTCACACGACTCACACGAATCGCGCGTTGTGCGTAGATATCCGGGGCTGTATGGGACATCGCGGCAGCGGACGCAGTTCAACATTTGGGTGTTCCTGGGGTGGCTCGTCAACTCGGTGTTCCACTCGGTCGTGGTGGTGGTCGTCATCGCCTTCATCCACTACGACGGCATCGGCGACGCCAGCGGCAAAAACCAGGGCCTCTGGTACCACCCCGCCCGCCCGCCACCTTAAAATTACGAGCTTAGGTGGCCAGCCTTCTTAAAAACAATCAATACGTATTGCGCCACCTTAAATGAACGCAGGTATATGGGCTCGCTGGCGTACGCGGCGGTGCTTCTGCTGGTCACGGGCAAGCTGGCGCTCGAGATCCGGTCCTGGACCTACCTCCACCACGTCGGTACCGATCATCGCTTGTGCCCTCTGATGGAATGCGAGGAATGATTCATTAGCGCTCATGCCCCTGCGTGTGTCGTGCGTGTGTGTGCGTGTCGTGCGTGTGCGTGTCGTGCGTGTGCGTGTGCGTGTCGTGCGTGTTGTGCGTGTCGTGTAGCGGTGTGGGGTTCGTTGGTGGTGTTCCTCGGGTTCGAGGCGGTGTGGCAGATCGCGTCGGCCCTCCCCTTCTTCCCCTTCGGCGAGGAGGTCTTCTTCGTACGCAATATCCTCCCCCCCCAGTTGCCCTGTGCTCACCGGCGCGTGCAACCGCTCACCCCCCCCCCAAATCTCCACCGCACACGCACACGCGCCACCGCACACGCACACGCGCTTCACATGTGCAGGTCATCTTCCGGCAGGTGGCCACGCCGCAGTTCTACCTTGCGCTCCTCATCATCATCTTCATCGCTCTCCTGCGCGACTTCACCTGGAAATAGTACCTTCTCCGCCCCTCGCGCGTGTGTGGTGTCGTGTGCGGTGGGGCGCGTGTCATGGAAAGGGGCTAATTTTTGGGGGGTGGGTCCACGCAGCGTGGTGCGAGCCTATCGGCCAGACACGTACCACATCATCCAGGAGGTGGAAAAGGTGCAGCGCAAGCGCCCGCGCAAGAAGGCCGAAGCCGGCGCAGCCCGCCCCTGTACGTGCAGCTGCCCCCCCCCCGGTGACCCGCCATTTTCAGTTGTCAAACTGTGCTGCTTGCTTACTGGAATGGTGTTGCCCGAACAGACCTCGGGTACTCGTATTCGGAGGAGAGCGGCGGCACGGCGGAGGCGATCGCCTACGGGACCTTCGGCAAGAAGCACTTGTGAAGCAAAGACAAGGCCTGGCCCCAACAGCAAGCGAAACTCCCCCGAGCTTGCATCAATATATTTTTTTACTAGAGTCGAAGAAGTTAGAATGCGGCTGCACGTTCTCTTGAGAGTTGGAACACTTTTTTACTGCGGGTTCTGGTGGGCCAGAATGAACTTCTTCTGCAGCTCGAACGCCATCAGAGCGATACCGAACATGGGTGCCTGGATGATGTGTGATGGACATTGTATCAGGCCTACAACTTCAAGCTTGGTGGGTGGTGGTGGGTACCTGGACGGCCATACGGGGCACGACGCCCTTCCAGAAGGCCGCAATGCCCTCCTCCCGGAGCACGGTGGCGGCGCACTGGGGGATGGACGTGTATCGCGAGTTCTCGACCTGCACGCGCGTCTTGACCACGTCCGCCGGCGTCACCAGGCCTGCCGCCGTTGCACCGGCAAACGCGCCCGACAAAAACAGCCGCACCAGCCCGATGTTGCCCTAAAGAGGAGGGGGGACACGACCATCATTCGCACGCATTCAAATGTATCGTGCGTGTCGTGCGTGTCGTGCGTGTCGCGTGTGCCGAATGATGTGTGTTGCTTACGTCGGCGTCGGAGAAGATGGCCTTGAGGTTGGCGTAGGCCGGGAAGAAGATGAACGAGAACGGCACGTCCCTGAGCAGCGTCACGGGCGTGCCCTGTAGGCGTTGCGTTGCGTGCGGCGATGCATGAGTGGGGTGGTCCTGCAACGCCTCCGTGTGTTGACATGACATGACGTACCTTGTAAAGGCCGCGGATGCCCAGCTCCTTCACGATCTGCGCGGCGGGCTTGCGGTTCTCCGGCGGCAGCGTGCCCTGCACCTGCATCCTAATTTTCACTGCACATGCACGACACACACGACACACACACGACACACACGACACACACACGACACACACACGACACCGACACACACGACACACGACGCACAAACGCGTGAGTGCGGCACCCGGGGTGAGAGGGGTCGGGCCGAGGTCGGTGGACATACCGATCTCCATCGGGTTGGTGGCGATGACCTGGCAGAAGCCGGCGCCTCCGCCGGCCATGATCTCGTGGGGTAGCGTGATGCTCCCGTCCTCCTCCTCCAACGCCTCGCGCAGCCGCTCGTTCACCGCCAGCTGTCCTCCGCGCACCACCGCCCGCGTGAGCTTGTCGTCAGCGTGTTGTGTGTGTGTGTGTGTCGTGCGTTCGTGCGTGTCGTGCGGTAGTGTGTGTGTGGCGATGTGTGCGCAAGGTACCTTGAGGGCCTTTTCGGGGGTGACGCCGATGAGGTTGGGGCCGAGGCCTCGGTAGAGACCGCGCGTGCCCTCCTTGGAGACGATCTGACGGAAGCAGTCGAGGGCGCCCTTGTAGAGGCGCTCGCCGCTGGGTCCCACCTTCTGGTTCTGGAGGCGCGTCTTGACCATGTCGATCGGAAAAATGCACGTCGTGCCGATAACGCCTGGCCAACGCGTGTGTGCCAACAACGACGTAGAAGGTCAGAACTGTTTTCTTGTTTTAAAAAAATAAATAAAAACAAATCAAAGAAGGAACATAGAGTAAATATATGCGTGTGTGCAACGAATATGAACAAGGGAACAGATGGTATAGAAAGAATATTTGGATAATGAATTGAATGAATGATTCACGGCAGATTGGGGGGGACAGTACCAGCAATGGCCCCGACAACGAGCTTGGCCGGGAGGGGCACGCGCTGCTGCTTGTGAGGCGCCTTCTGCTCTGTTGGCTTTGACATTTGGCTGCTCAGCTAATCTTGTCTTCTTCCTTCGTTGCCGTTCTATTTATCAATTTGTCGACAAAATAAACTATGTAATTCTACGTTCGCCTTTGACCATCGGAGCAGACACCAACAGCTTCAACAACAACCCGAAAGTAATACCAGGCCTTTACATCTTGGACAAGTAGTGTAATAGTGGTACATTGGGCAATCAAGAAATATCACGGACTCTTTTTAAAGAGTACACATCTGGGTGGTCTGGCCTAGAAAGAGGTCGACCCAGGAGGCGAGCGACGCGCCCGAGCTACCGGTGGAGTAGCTGGCCTGGGTGGCGTGGAGACCGGCGGCGGCCAGCGACGAGTCCTTGTTGTGCACCCGAGTCACGAGGCTGTTAGCGACGGTCGAGCCCGACGAGCTGCCCACGGTGACGATGTAGAACTCCACGTCGAGCAGGCCAGAGCCGGCCGGGCTCGTGGACATGATGTAGACCCGATCGGTGTCCCCCAGCTTGAGCGCGTTATTGAGCGCGGTCTTGAAGCTGGCTGCCGAGTAGGAGCTCGCAGTCGTGTTGAGCGTGACGGTGAGCACGAACTTGTCGTTCTTGAAGTAGGGGTAGCCGGGACAGATCGTCACTGTGTATATTATATATCATATTAATATATAAACTGTTCATTTCGATATCATGGATATTGATAAAATAAAATAAAATTGATAAAATAAATATCTGTATATCGGGGAATTAATGATTGCGGTTGGGGTGAGTACGGGGGAAGGGTCGCTGGCCGTAGTTGCCCGGAGGGTAGTAGTTGCAGGAGATCATGGTGGCGTAGGTGCCCGTGCACGTGGTACGGAGGCCGCAACCCACGGACTGGGTGTTATTCCACATCACCTGCGTGTAGTGGCCGCACACTACATACCAACAAATCAACCACGGAAGACAAAGCAAAGATGGAGATGAAAATGATGAAGATGATGGAGGGTTTGTACTTTTGTTGGACTGGCAGTTGTTGTTTTGGCACGACCAGTAGGGCTCCTCCGAGTACCAGGAGTTGACGGCCGGCACCAGGGTGGTGGTGCCACTACCCGAGCTCCAGTAGAGGTTCTCGCCATAGGTGCCGCTGCCCGAGTGGTCCAGGGTGCACTCGCCCGTGTCCACGTAGCCTGGGGTTGCGTGCAATGAAATCGGGTCAGCACGAAACGGCACGCCGCGCACGTCATTGGCAAGACAAGATAAAAAATTATCGTGTAGGACGGAAGTCGGTCAGGGCTTACCTTGGGCAAAGGTCTCGGCGTCGAGGTTGTAGGTGAGGGACCTGAGGCCCTTGAGGGCGCGGAAGTCGTTGTGGGCCTTCAGGACGGCGTCCCGCTGGGCGGAGGTGAGTGCGTGGGCGCCGTAGGAGCACAGGAAAGAAGTCGCGAGCACAACGGCGAGAAGGAGGACGATGCTTGTCGAGGAGGAGGAGGTGGCGACCATGGCTGGAGGCAGAGGAACGTTCGGGTGTGATGTTTGTGCTGGGATAAGAAGATCCTCAGGGAGGCGACCGAATAAAAGGCATCGCCAGGCGATCACCGTGGCCAATAGGCAGTAATAAATGGAGCGTGATGAAACGTCACCCAATCGGACGGAAAACGAGGTATCATCAATTCTCATTGGTAGCACGACGACAGTTAGCCAAAGAAAATCAAGAGAAATTATTTTCTATGATGTTTCTTCCCTCCGCTCGAAATACTTGGAATGGTTGCAGTTTAGTTTTGTGTTCTGCCTGGGCAGTATCGAACTTCAATCAATCATTGCAATTCAATGGACCAAGCTGGGCGGACAGAGCTGCACCGAGCGTGTCGTGAGGGCGACTCCGCTGCCGTGGCTACCCTCTTGGCTTCTGGACATGACCCGCTCCGTACGTCGCGCTACGTTTTCGATCTAATTTACTCTTTTTTAATTTATTTACAAAACTAGCACTATAAATGATTTGGGAGAATCTGGTTTATATTCATTTATTATTTATAATTTATGTTATCATTCCTTTTTTTCTCTTCGAAAACCCAGGGCAGGACAGGTACGGTCACACGGCGTGGCACTATGCCGTCGCCGCCAACAGTCCGGAGTCTCTGGAGCTGCTACGATCGCACACGCCCTCTACACTCGTTGTCCAGGTTTGAGCCCTCCCTTTCCTTCCATTGAACGTCGTTGCCTCGGCCATTTAACGCCCTTTTTCACGTGTGGTGCAGGCCATTGGGCAGTGGACTGATGGGCCAAGCGACGTCAAGGCCCGGCTCCCTCTCGTTGAGTACAACTTTGCCGATGTCCATCCGTCGCCCAGCGCTGTCCTCTCGGCCGATCGCATGAGGGTACATTCACACTCCTTTGGTCCATTGGGCCATATTTTTTGTATTGATCGCAACTTTTATTTTAAAATAAACTGACGTCATTCATTTAAATGTGATTGATTGCCACAGGTCATGAACGGCGGATCGTGGACATCGGTGCGAGCGACGCACGGTCCTCCCATCGCTGGTATGTCCACCAGTCTGATTTACTGTTTCGATTGTAATCAAATTGACGGCAACTCGGTCACGCAGGCTCGGAGTGGCCACGGTCGTACGCGTACGAGGTCGAGATCCAATCGTCGAGCATCATGCAAATCGGTTGGGCGACCAAGAACGCTCAATTTGCCGGCACTCAAGGTACCACTGCACTCCTTGCCTCTGACTGTTTGCCATGTGACTCACCTGTCGTGTGCGTCTCGCTGGGCGTGTGTCGTGTGAATTGCCAGGAGTGGGCGATGATGCCCACGCGTGGGCGTGGGACGGCTGCCGCAAGTCGATCTGGAACGCCAAGGGCGGGGCGGCAGCCATTCTGGACGACGTCGCGGCGACGTGGTGTGATGGGGACGTACTCACCTTTTGTGTCACCTTCTTGAGCGAGGCCCCGAGCGACCCCGCGGCGGACAACATTGGCGCCCAGAGCACCAGCGAGGCCGAGATCAAGCGGGAGCCGCGGTTCGTTCTCTGCGACTTTAGCGTGCTGGTCAACGGACAGGACGTGGGCATCTCCTCGCAGACCTCTCTCGAAGTAACAGCCCCCTCCCAATCATGTCGACAACTCTGGGCTCTATTTCAATTCGTGGCTGCGTGCACATGCAGGTGCCGGAGGACAACACGCTCTATCCCGCACTGTCGGCCGAGCGCATGCAGCAGGTGACCGCCAATTTTGGATATTCGCCCTTCCGGTACTGTACCCGCCCGCCCGCCCGCCCGCTCGCTTGGCTTCCTCGTGTCATTTCGTCGCTGCTATTACATCACCGTCGCCCATTCCTTCATTTTTAACAAACCTGGTGCGTGTGTGGTGTTCTCTCATTCCAGGTACCCTTTGCCGGAGGGCTACCTCCCGGTGGCTGCCCTGTCGCCGGACACGCTCGCTGCCGTGCAGGAGCTCCACCCCGCCTTGCTCGGCCTCAAGGTATCATAAACCTCTCGACATTCTCGACATTCATTTGTTATGTTTTTGTATTGTTTTGATTTTATTTCATTTCTAATCTTCGCTCGTCTCGTCATCCTCATTGGTGAGCGAAGGTGGAGGTCGGGTCTCCGCTTCACTGGGCGGCGCAGTTGGGCTACACAGACCTGCTGAAGGCCCTGCTTGACCCTCACAAGCAAAGTACGCTTTGGGCTCTGTTATTTATTTATTTTTACTGTTTTTGGTTTGAAATTGGCCGTAATTGACATACACACTTGCCTTCTCACAGACGCCTATGATCTGAAACGATTGCTGCTGGTTCAAAATCCCGAGGGCTGCACCCCCGCTCTTGTGGCTTGCCGCCACGGTGCGATCATCGCCTCCGCAGGCATCTTTGTCCTGGGTCGTCACACACCTGACCCATATCTCCCCACGCACACGCACACGCACACGCACACGCACACGCACACGCACACGCACACGCACACGCACACGCACACTCACACGTCTAGGCCGGCTGGAGAGCCTGAAGCTCCTGCTCTCGTACGACCCTGCGCTGACCGACGACGACAGCGACGTCGCTGACAAAGTCGGCTCGGCCACGGGCAAGGTCAAGTACGAGCAGCTGCAGGTGGACTTCCACAAGAAGACGGCGCTCATGCACGCCTGCGCCGCGGGCCAGACCGAAGTGGTGCGCCGCCTCCACTCCTCCTCGCCTTTCTGGTGGTCATCCGGGGGCTCACACGCGGCATTGGCCTCCCCTATAGGCGCGATTCTTGCTCAAGCGCACCAATGCCTCATTGACCGAGGTCGACGACAAGGACTTCCTGGTGACCAACTACGCCGTGACCAGCGGCAACCTGGAGCTGATCGACCTGCTCATGGCGGAGGACCCCGATTTCGCCGAGCGGTCTTCGAGCATCCTCTCGCCGCTGTTCTACGCAGCGCGACAGGGCTACGTCGACGTGCTGCGCCACCTCATCGAGAAGCACGGCATCGACCCCTCCGGTGCGTTTACCCCGTCCACACGAGACACACGCACACACGCACACGCACGAGCAATCGGATCGATCTGATCATTGCTTATCGACGCCCAATCAATAGTGCGAGACTCGAATGACCACTCGCTGCTGCACACGGCGGCCTACAGCGGTAAGGTGGAGGTGATGCAATTCCTGCTCGACAAGGGCTGCTGCCTGGTCGACGACCGCACCACAGCCGACATCACGCCCGTCCTCTGGGCCTGTGACGGGGTGCGCCTTCATTTATTTCAAAATTATTTAAATTATTTAAAAATCATTGAAAGTACCTCTTCTCATATAAATCGTTTGTTCTATTTTATGTAAGTAATTTCTCAACCATTATGGTCCTTTGTTGTGTGCAGTGTTCGGTGAGTGGCGTCAAATATCTGATCTCGCAGGGAGCCAATATTCGCGACAAGGCCATACGGGGCATGACCGCGCTCACCTTTGCCATCAGGGGCAGCAACAAGCAGGTCGCCGAATGGCTCATCGAAGAGCAGGGTAGCCCCTAGCCCACAACGTGCCAATATGTCGCGCCTCAGTCCCGGCATTCACACCTGACGACCACTCCACACTCAGGATTTTCGGTCAACGAGGCGGACGATGAGGGAAACACGCCACTGATCCACGCCTGCAAGCACAGCGAGCTACCGTTCATCAAGTACCTCATCTCCAAGGGTGCGGCATCATACGACTCCTCTTCTGGTCATCCGACGAATTGGCGCATTGATTTTTAGTTTATTTTATTTATAAATCATTGGCTTTCAAAATGGTGTGCAGGAGCGAAAACGGACGTGCGCGGCCAGCACAACTACTCGCCGATGCACTTCGCAGCAACGCAGGTCAACCTCGAGGCAATCCGCTACTTCCTGGAGAACGGTACGCGTTGTACCGGCCTATTCCTTGATCGCCTACTTGCCTCTGCAACTACGCAGGCTGATCGTTTGGCCATTGAATGTACATTCAACGCTGCGCGCAGGCTACGCCCAGCCCAACGAGCTGAGCTCCGACGGAGAGAATGTGATGTTCCTGCTGGGCTTCTACGGCGGTAACTCCCCTCCACTTTTTGTTTTACTACATTATATAAATTAGTATATATAATTTATAATAATATTATGCCAACATACGTTAATTGCCTAATTTTTGTAATATATATATTTTTATATATATTATATTCACTGTGGGAGCAGGCAAGAAGGAGGACTCTTTAGAGCCGAGCATCGAAACTCTTACCTACCTCGAGTCAAAGGGCGTCTCGCTGGACAATGTCGACAATACTGGCAATCACCTCCTCTGTACGCGCAGCCCCCTCTCTTTGGGGCCTGTCATGTATGTATCGAGATAGAGTACCAATCCGCCCCTTGCGCAGCTGCGATTGGGTCTGACGACCGGCTCGATGTGGTCAAATGGCTGGTGGAGACCAAGGGCATGCCCGTCAACGCGGCCAATTCAGAAGGCACGTAGACCAGAATGCACCCAACCCAACATCTAGATCGGAGTGGCGTTGTGTGGTGTGAACGCGCAAACTCATCGCTGGCGTTCCTCTCCAAACTTAGGCTGGAGCCCGCTGCACTTTGCCGTGTTGCGCAAGGCCACAACGATTGCTCACTATCTCATTTCTCGGGGTGCCGACGTGAACCTGATCACCAAGTACGCACGCACACCGCACACACCACACACACACACACACACACACGACACACGCACACACACGCACACGCACACACACGCACCACCGCACTCGCAGAGGCAAGAACTGGTGTTGAGGCTGTCTGTGAATGGGGCAGGTCGGGAGACAATATTTTGATCTACGCGGCGCTCACCGACAACCTTGAGCTGCTGCAGCATCTCCTCTCGCCCCAGTTCAAGGGGCTCAAGCTCTCGATCAACGACCCCAACAAGGACGGTACAAAACCACCTTCCTGACCACCATCAACCCAACATCCAAACAACAATCAAACAACAATCAAACAACATCCAAACAACAATCAAACAACAATTCAGACCTGGTGCTGACCCAGCCAATTGCCAGGAATGACCCCGCTGCTGGTGGCGTGCAAGAGCGCGTCCCTGGAGGTCGTCGAATTCCTCGCCTCGCAAGGTGCGGATATAAATTTGAAGTGAGCCAATAATGCGATCAGTACTGATCGCTTGTGTGCTATAGGCGCGTCGCTTGACCAGGTCGACAAGCTCAACACGTCATGCTTCATGATCGCCCTCCGAGGTTCGCTGTCGTTGTTGTCGCTGCTGTAGCCGCTTTCGCTTTCTAACCTCGCAAAAAACAAACCTAAACGCAAACGCAAACGAAAACGAAAACGAAAACGAAAACGAAAAAGGCGGAAAACAGGAGACGGTCGAGTGGCTGTTGGGCCGCGGCTTCAGCATCGAGGAGAAGGACGAAGAGGGTACGTACCTTCACGTGCCCTCTCTGGAGGAAGCGGCAGCTGAGCAATCCACACTGAACGGAAAACAACACCAGGAAAGACGCCGATCTTCTATGCGGCTCTTCACAGCGTCGAGCGAGTCAAGCGCCTTCTCTCCCTTGGTACGCTTGTGTCGTGTGTGCGTGTTGCTTGTGCAATGTGTGGTGTGTGTCGCGTGCGTGTCGTGCGTGTCGTGTCGTGTCGTGTGTGTGTGGTGCGTGTCGTGTTGTGTCGTGTGTGTGTGCTTACGCAAGGGGCCTGCGCAGGAGCGAGAGCGTCGGTGAAGGACAACCTGGGGTACACGCCTTTCCTGATCACCGAGCAGGCCGAGGTGGTCAAGTACCTACTCGACAACGACTACGCGTCCATCCATGAAACCAACAACGCCGGCCAGACTGCGCTCATGTTCGCCGCCACCAACGGAGGTACCGTGTGTTGTGTGCCGTGTGTGCCGTGTGTGCCGTGTTGTGTGCGTGTGCGTCATGTGCGGCGTATAGTTTTTGATTGGGTTGGATTGCTCTTGTGGTGTGTGCGTGCCGATTAGATATCGACCTGTTGGAGTACCTGCTGAGCAGGGGCGCTTCGCTCGACGAAAAGGACGAGAACGAGCGTACGATTTTCATGTACGCCGCGTCTGGCGGCCACTCCAAGATGATCAGACACCTCATCGCTAAGGGTACGAATCGTGACCACAGTTTTCATATAATTCGAAATATAAACATAATTAATTATTAACATCAATGTTATGATTCTTAGGTGTGGACGTGAACGCCAAGGACAAGTCATCGATGACGGCCGTCTTCTACGCCGCAACGAACAGCTTGCGAGTGGTCGAGCTGCTCGTTGTCAACGGTAACTCCACTCGTCCGCCGTGTGTGCGTGTGCGTGTCCGTGTCCGTGTGCGTGTGCGTGTCTGTGTGTGTCGCACGCCCACTTGCTGACACCGCCACCGGTGACAGGCGCGCGGCTGAACCTGAGGGACAAGGACAACAATTCGGTTGTGCTCAACGCCTGCTTCTCGGGCAAGACCGCCATCGTCAAGTACCTCGTCTCAAACGGTAACGGCCCATCATCAAGCAAGAGAGTCACCAACTTAACTCACTTAACACTTACCTCGCATCCCGTTGGTCGCGCATGCGCCGTGCGTCGTGTTAATTCGCAGGGCTGGCGTCGGCGGACGATTACAACAACCAGGGGATGACCGCCATCATGCTGGCGTGCAAAGGCAAGGGCAACCTCGAGTTGGTCCGGTTCCTCCACGAACACGGTAAGCACCACTCCCTCCCAGGCAGGCGGTGAGCTGGTGGTGCGTCGAAGACGCAGCCTTGTCCCTGCTCACGTCGACGAACTCTTTTGTTTTGTTTTGGTTTGTTTGTTTTGTTTTGTTTTGTTTTGGGGGCCATACCAGGAGCGCTGGTGGACGACGTGAGCAAGTCGGCCACTAGCACGCTGATTTATGCCGTCGACGCGCAAAAGTCCGATATTGTCTCCTACCTACTGGCCAACGGTACCCTCTTCCGCATGGCACGGCACACGCGACACGACACACACGACACACACGACTGCTCACACTCGGGCACGGAATTGGTTCTGCCTACCAGGCGCCGATGTGAGGCGAAGGGAAAAGAACGGAAAGACGGCGCTGTTCTTTGTTGTCGACAGCTTGGAGACAGGCCGCGCGTTGGTGGAGCACGGGGCCGACATCCACGTCAAGGACGACACCGGCAAGACCTGCCTCCACTTTGCCTGCTTCAACGGCCACCTCAACTGGATCCGCTACCTCGTCGAGCAGGGCGGCAAACTCGAGGTTTGCTCCTGCCTTCCCGTGTGTGTTGTGTTGTGTGTGTGTGTGTGTGTGTGTTGTGTGTTGTGTGTGTGTGGAGGCTGATGGGTGTGGATGAATGCAGGAATGCGATAACTCTGGGATCAACTCAATTCTGGGCGTGTTGGCCTCGCGCAATCCGGAGGCCTGCGCCTACGTTTATTCGCAGCTGTCCAGTCTGGACCTCGCGGGCAAGGTGGCCAACCTCAACCAGGCCCTCTTCGACCCTCTGTTCGAGGTACTACTACATCGCATCCTTTGCATTCTCGCCCGTGAGCGCCCATTTTTACTGAGGACACGCACGACACGCACGACATACAGACGCTCAAGACGAACACGACAATCCACACGCTCAATCTGAGCGACAACGGGTTTGACAATACAATCTTGCCGCGCCTGCTGGACCTGCTTGAGTACAACCAGCACCTGGCGCGGATCAAATTGCTCGACAACGCGTTGGACGTAGACGACCTCATGACCCTCTTCGAATGCATAGAGTACGCCTCAGCGCTATGCAATGCAGTGTCCTAGCTCTCTCTCTCTCTCTCTTGTGTGTCGTGTGTCGTGTGTGTCGTGTGCGCGTCATGTGTGCGTGTCCAGAGGAGAGAGTTGGTCGGCTCAGATTGGACTAACCAGTGTTCTCCCCTGCAGGCGGTGCAACTTCTCGATTGTTGATCTTCATTTCTCCCTGCCGGTCCACGTAAGGCCTGAGGAGCAGCCCAAGACCGAGAGACTGAAGGCGTTCGGTTGTGCGACCACCGCCCGAAACTTAGCCTACCGAGCGTACGCCCTCGTCTTTTATCACACTCTTTTTATTTATATTTTGTTTTATTCTAAAAATGTAAGATGGAAATGTTACGTTTTTATAGTTTTTAATCAAAATATGTCTTCTGTGCAGGAAAATCATGAGAACTGCATTCCAGATGCTCATGGCAGCGCGCATCCTGCTCCAGCCCCACCCGATCACCCTCTGGCTCGGTACTCCTGCCTGATCATCTACGCCCCGCTTGCGTGTCGTGCGTGTGCGCGTGTGCATGTGTGTGCGTGCGTGGTGCGTATGTGCGTGTGTCATGCCTGCTCAAGACCTCCAACCTCACAGATGACGACCCGCTGCCATTGGAGGTGATCGAAATTGTGGTGCGACAGCTCGACACCTACGAGACTCTCACCGACAAGGAGAAGAGCGCCATCATCGCCTACGCCTTTGACAAGGTGCGAACATTGACCCCCTTTTTCTGGATGAAATCAACATGTTGTGGCATTCCAATCACGTATTATTACATTCCTAACATACGTTGTTGCATACCAACCTCCCATAATAGGAGAATCTGGGGAAGGACAAGTGGTACTTCCTCAAGACGTGTCTGCCCAGGTTCCTCTTCGACATCGGCACCGACGACGAGGACGCCGCCCAGGCCGCGCCCACCCAGCCCCCGCAGACGGAGACCCGCGCCTCAACGACGGCTGGTATGGATGAAAACGAGGAAGAGTGGGAGGACGTGGACTTGGCCTCATTTGTGGTGCCGATCCTGTCGCGCCTGCTGCGGTTCATCAAGCGCTCATGATTGCAGCAACAGGTTTCACTATTTCCCCTCTGTTTGAGTTTGTAAGATTGATTTGTAGGGAAACAAATCATCAAGAGATAGGTGGAGTCTAATGGCATGCCAGTCTCCTTGTCTGGTTATTCACAAACCCATGTGCCCATCCTGTGCAGTGCCCAGACACAAGGTACCTGGTGGCTGATTTTATTTTATTATTGGAATTTAAATCAAAGACCAGCAAGCTGCAACAAAAGGGGAAATTACTTAGTTTCCTAAACCTGTTCTCGGTGTCCGTTAGCAGCCCCTCCAATCAGGGCAGTTGGTGGTTTAGGGAGTTACCGCGTCGGCCAGTTGCCAGTTGCAAAGTGATTTTAGTTTGCTTTATAAAATGTGCAAGCGGAGGGCCGACCTCGCCTTCCTCTTGGTCGTTGGTTGCTGCCTGGCCTGGTGGCAACCCACCAGCACCGACGCCCAGCTCATAGCGAACAGTATACAACCTCTCGTCTTTCTTCTCCAACTTGAAGTCACCTAACTTTATTGGCCGCTGTGTACGTTCGCGTCCGCCACAGCAACCTCCGGAGTCCAGGTCGAGTTCGCCCCTGGCAGTCCCAGCGTCGACCTCACCCCACGAGGTAGCCCACCACCTCGCCCTTCGCTCTTCGTTATTCTTCGCTCTTTCTTTCGCTCCCCCCCCTCATATTCTGCCGACCCACAACTGATTATTGCCAACACAAAAGGAACCCAGGGCTCGCTTCGGCCCCAGGAGCAGGTGAGTCTCAGCCTCAACTCCCTATCCGAGTACAGCCAAACCGATGGGACCTTCTTCCATTCCGCCACCTTGGTCAATGGTACGGGTCGCCCCTGACCTACATACATCAGTTTCCGCCTCATTAACGTGGTTGTTGTTGGTATGTTAAGGTGGCTGGCAGGAGGTGAACGACACCCGCTACAACGCCACGCGGTCGTTCGTGTATGCGGCGTCGCTCGGGTTTTCCAACGGGGCGGGCAACCTGACGCTGAGTGGCACGGTCGAGCTGCAGTTCTTCGTGTTCGACCAGGACGCGTTGCTGTCGGTCGGCCCGGGCCTGCTGCCGTTCACTGTGTCGCCCTCGCTGGCCAAGTTCTCGCTCAAGGTCACCGACTGGCCGTGGGAGGGCCGGGAGGACCACGCGCTCGAGGTGCGGATGGACATCACGCCCGAGTACAACCGTAGCGAGCGCTTCGACAGCAGCCCGCAGGCCGGGCTCACCACCTTCAAGCTGTTCGGGCAGTACCCGTTGAATCCGGACACCATCACCCAGATCCGGGTGGTGGAGGCCGTGGAGATCGACGGTGTGGTGCTGGACCAAGGCGGCGTAGACTACCGCATCGATCGCGGCCAGCTCCTCATGCAATTCGACCACTTCACCTCTTACTTTCTCTACGACCCTGGTGCGTTTCCTGGCTTTCACTTCTATTTCTTTATTCTCTGCTTCTCGGACTGATTTAATTATATATATATACATATATTTCTGTTACACTCGAGCACAGATGTCGGAGTGCTTCTTGGTGCCTCGGGAGGTGAGCAGGATAGCGTGAGCGACAACACGGCCCTGATCGTGTCGCTCTCGGTCATCCTGCCCGTTGCCGCCATCGTGGTCATCCTCGTGGGCGCCGCGGTGCTGGTGGCCTACCTCAAGCGAGAGAAGCTCCGCGCCTCGACCTCGGCCATCGACATCGGCGAGGAGCACATGTGAACCCGATGCAGGCCACCCTCATTCATGTACCGTCCTGTGGCCGCGCTCTAGGCGTTCCGAAATAATTTCATATTTATTTTCGAAACTTTGAAATTTTCACCAAACATATGTTGAGCCTGCGCGGTCGAACAACCGACGTGTTTTCACTCTCGCGCTCTCCAAACCACATGCAGCTCGGCCTCGTAGTAGTTGGTCTCCTCGAATCCTGTAACGCCCCAACTCCTGGCCAGCGCCCGCCTGGTCATTTCATTGCCCCGCACCCTGGACTCTCTACATTTCTCGTCCAACAGGCCACATGCTGCACCCACAACCCCCACCAGCGCTACTGCCCCACGCCCGCCGTACGCCAGACTGTTTGCTTATATATTTCTATATTTTTAGTAATTATGAATTATTTAAATAATTTACTCAATCATTTTATTATTTTGTGGAAGCAGCCAAGGCTCCCCAGGTGGGCAGCAGGGGTTGGAGGTGGGTGCGCGGCGCGGCCACGGCGGCAGCTCTAGCGGGCGCAGCGCTCGTCTTTGTGTGCGCGCTGTGTGCCCACTTCATGACGGTCCCGCCAAGCACCTGCCGCTCGCCACGCGCCAATGGCATTCTCTTTGCCGTGCCCCTGTTTGGCTCAACCAGCGGCCCACATGCTCCCAGGTGTCGTGTTGTGCGTGTGCGTGTGCGTGTGCGTGTGCGGTGGTACGTGTGCGTGTGCGGTGCGTGTGTGTCGCGTGCGGCTGGCTAAATCCAGAATTACAGGGCCGAGGACACGATCGTACGACGGGAACGAAAGGGCGAGGACCAGCTCATCGCCTTTCTGCGACTGGAGGAGCTGGACCAGCCGCACCTCGAGGGAGTGTTCCCGGTGCTCTTCGTGCACGGCCATGCCGGCGAGTGGCAGCAGGGCAACCACCTCGCGCACGTGTTCAACCAGAAAGAGTTTCAAGAGTTGAACCACGCGAAGGTCCGGCACGACATCTCCGGCACATGACGACACATGACGACACATGACGACACACACGACACACACGACACACACACGACACACGACACACACACGACACACACACGACACACACACGACACACACACGACACACACGACACACATTCGATACAGATATCTGACATGTATGTGCAGGTACGGATGTTCACGATCGACTTTGCCAGGCGGCAGATGGCCTGCAGGGGCGATCTGCTGGGCCAGCAGGCGCACTTCGTCAATCAATGCATTCGCCACATTCTTCAGGACTACCTCCAGGTACGGCGGTCGGAGGTCGATTGCGCACTGCGCGCGCGTCACGCTGACCTTTTGGATTCTCTCTACTCCCGCTAGGGCTCGGTGTCTTCGGTCCTGGTCGTGGGGCACAGCATGGGCGGACTGGTGGGCAGGGCCACCATGATGCAGAGCAACTTCCTGCCCGGTTCCATTTCCGCTCTCATCACCCTGGGCACTCCCCATCGTCTCACGTACACCTCTGCTTCTTGCTTCTTTCTTTGTGCTTCGCTTCTTCGTGCCGCCTCCTTCATGTCCTCCGTTTATTAACTCATCGACTTCGCATCGTCTGTAGGTCGCTTCAATTCGACCGCACGCTGTTCCACTTTTACTGGGAGCTGCAGAGTTTCCTGGACACCCAGCAAGAAGGTGAGGCTCACCCACCCTTTGAAAACATGTGTCTGTGTTCTATAATAGATCGTGTCCTGTGCATCAACAGCTGACTCACTTGACGCCACACACACACACACACCACGCACACGCACACGCACACGCACACACACACACCAGCCGCCAATTCGGTTCCAATGCTGTCCATCTCTGGCGGGTGGCGAGACACCATGATTGCGGTACAGGACCCACCACCTCGAAACAATGCGAACTATTTTGGTGCTTTTATCTGTTCTGATAGTTCTTCTTTCCCTGGGTGGAGCACAGGGCGAGGCGTCCGTGCTCGCTACCGTCGTGCCCGAATCCAGCGGCCTGTTCGTGCTGACGTCCTCCATCCCGGGGCTCTGGGCGTCTGTGGACCACGACGGCCTCTACAGTTGCGAACAGGTTCTCGCAAGCTCTCCGATTTCAATGCGCTCACCGTCTCCTTTTCTCACGCACGCACGCACGCACGCACGCACGCACGCACGCACGCACGCACGCACGCACGCACGCACGCTACCGCCTCGTGGGGCTGTAATGTGGGCAGCTCCTCACCATCGTAGCGCGGTGTGCATTCGACATCATGACGTCCAGCGAAGAGGCTGCAATCGAACCCCTGTTCAGAAAGCACTTCACCAGCAACGTCCCACAAGCACTCGCCCTGCGTCCCAATGCCCCCGACACAGCGAGGGAGGTCTCGCCATTGGGGGAGGTTAGACACCACCGCACGACACGCACGACACGCACACAATACTGACGCATGATCGCTACAGAGCTTGAAAGACGATGCCTCGCAGGCACGACCAGCCATGGCGGCCCACCTGCCTCTCTTGGTGTTGGGCGGCCGCGACGCCGGCAACACCTACTCCATTCTGCTCAGAAAATGGTGCGTGGGAGCACACACACGTGAAAAATCATTCCGAGCTTACGCGTTGGGGACGCATATATCGCCATAGGAAGGAGCAACACAGCCACCCGATGCTGGTCATCGCCACCACTTGGCCCAGCTCGGCGCTCACGGTCAGGCTCATCAACGAGGTACGCCACCGCGCGCGCCGCCCAGTGTGGCGCTCGCCGCGAGTTGGCTTGCTTGCTTGCTTGCGGGCCATGACTGACGACGTTTCAGACGAACCAGCGGCAGGCAATCGTGAATCGACAGGACTGGGCCAGCCTGGTTCGGGACACGGCAGCCGAGCGGAGGTACATGCCTGGCGCGGTCCCTCGCACCACTCAAGTCCTCCTTCTCCGCCCCGAACAGCTCGAAGGTGCGTTCAACCCTTTAGAATTACATTTGGCACTGTCTGAACTCGAAGCTATGGCACGACACGACACACACGGCACACACGACACACACACTACACACGGCATAATGATACGCGACACGCGACACACGCAGAGTATTCTGAAGTACGAATTGATGTGAGCCCGAGCGTAGGCGATGGAGGAGATCAAACGAAGGCGCTGGTGCAGATATTCAACGCTGCCCCCGCCTCGACCAAGCTAGCCCGCCCCACCCTGCGCGAATTCTTCCTGCGTAGCGCCTTTGCGCCTTCGTGCCTTGTCGACGCCACAGGTTCGATCAGTGTGGTGCGTGCTGTGCGTGCCGTGCCTGCCATGGTGCGTGTTTTGCGCGCGCGTGTTGTGCGAGTTGTGGGTGTTGTGCGTGTGTCATGGCACTAAGCTCGCCCCACCCGCACAACACGCACGCGCAGCCCAGGAATGTAGGGATAGCAGAGTGCATCGTATGATCAGGCATATTCCGCTGGACTGTCCATGGCTGCCGCAGCAACTGCACGTCCGCCTCAGCCCGCCGCAGTCGATGTCGGACGGAGCTGAGGTGCGCCCCCCCCCCACAACGCGCGCACATATCACCCACATACCACGCACGCGCATTACACACTAGACTCACTCTGGCGCACTACTTCCTCAGCCCCTGTTTCCGCCGACAGTGTTCCAGTTCTTCGAGTGCCGCAATGATAGCCGACTGACCATGTGGGAGGAGGCCACACACGTGCTGCCCGAGCCCGGACTCGTGCCGCTCCTCGCCGCCGGCGCGACCATCCGCTTCCACACGCGCGCCATTCCCGCCGGTACCCCCAAGAACTCGGAAGAGGCAAATATTCGAAGCTCGCTCACTAAATTTCTTGCATTCCTGAATACCTCAGCGGCCACGGACGAGTGCAACGGCAAAGGGCACCACTTGGTGCTCCTCACCGACCCGCGCTTCTCATACCAGGTACGTAGATCGGGACATGCTTCACATTCCACGAGGGTCAGGGTGACGAACGCGCGCGTGTGTAGGTGTCGTTGGAAAACGATTATGTGAGCTACGTGACGGTGTTCCTGCCGATGTACGTAGCGCTGCTCATTCCCTCGGCCTTTGCCTGGTACTTCGCGGCCCTCGCGTACCAATTCTATTGCTGGCGTGTCATCGGTACGCCCTCCCCCCCGTTTTCCCGACCTCTGTGCGATCGCGCAGTGGCGCGCGTGCGGTGGTGACGTTGCGTGTCTCTTAAATGTGTCAGGATCGTTCCCGCCATTGGTAGCATCGCTCCACCGGCTCGCGGCCCATTTCGGCTGGCTCTTCGTGGCGGTCTATGCCCTGGCCCGACTGTTCCCCTACTTCCAGCTGCAGTCCATCAAGTCCGGCGAGGACGTACTCTCGTGGACGCTCACCACCGACCCCGACGCTGCTCTTCCTTCTCACCTCTTCGTGGTAGCCCTCAGATCATCGTCGCTGTCATACTTTAGTTTAACTACTCACGACACACACGACACACACGACACACACGACACACACGACACACGACACACACGACACACACGACACACACGATACGTGGTGTACAGATCATTCCATTCCTTTCATGCATGGTGGTGCTTGGCTTGGGCTATGCCCAGGCAATCGGCCTCACACTGGGCACTCCAGCACTGTACGCGCTAGGCTCGCCGCTCTTTTTCGCCACCAGCACCTGATGACGTGGCATGACGTGGGCAGGAGAAGGCTCGGTGCGTGTCGCGCGTGTGTCGTGGGCGTCGTTCTGTCCCTCTTCGGCCAGCGCGCCGCCAAGCGGGCCGGCCACGCTTGGAAATTGATCGTGCGATCGGCCGGCTTCCGTCTGGGCCTCTACCTGCTGGTGGCGCTGTGCAGCCTCGTCGACAGCCTCTACGCGTGGATACCGCTCGTCGTCATCCTCACCGCCTATCGCCCCAACCACGCTCAAGAGGTTCGCCAAGACTCTGATGTGTGGGTGCCCGTGTGCGGAATTCGCTCACATGCGCGCGTGCGCGTGTGCGCGTGTGCGGCGGTGCGTGTGTCGTGTCGTGCGATGATGGCAGAAGACTTCGGGGTGGAACTTCAGGCGAACGTGGGCGGTGCTGTTCCTGCTGCGGATCGTGCAGTCGTTCGTGTGCCTCAACAATCCGCTCAAGCTGGACGTGTGGGCGCGCGAGTTCCGCTTCGACTCGGCCGTCGCCTTTGCCCTCGCTCCGCTCCTCTTCGGCTGCCACGCCCTTTCTATCACCAACGCGGCACTGCCCAAGGACCGCCTCATGACGTACTCTCTTTCTCTGTGGCGTGTGCGTGTGCGTGTGCGTGTGCGTGTGCGTATGGAATTGCTGATGTGCGTTTGTTGCAACAGCTATGCTCCAGTGGCGTGCCTGGTGTACATACTCCTCTTTTGCATGCACGCCCCGTTCAAGTGCGTATATTCCTCTTTATCATTATTATCATCATCATCTTCTGCTCACTCGACGGGCAGGATCACGACCGTCTACTCGAGCTACGCCCTGTTCCTGTTCGTCTACGTCGCCTTCCATCGATGGCGGAAGCGCAACGGCCTGGCGTAGACTTGACGGTGGAGACTGCGAACACGAAGTGTCTGATCTTCAGGCAGAGCTTGTGCGCAGTTCTAAGAGCTTTCCGGCACAAGCGCGCAACTCGTGGTAACAGGGCTGATCCTCACTTTAAAATGGTTGGTCGGAGCTAGTGGGCGGAGTTTTTGATCGAAAAACACGGGGGAAATGCAGGGAAATTGGATATCAAAATCGAAAAGGCTTTGCCGCCAAATTTTCGTTTGATTAGAACGGGCAGAGATGGGCGAATGGCGGCAGATCGAGACCTCCGGGCCAGGAGCTGGTCGATGAAAGGGATGTGGCATCTTCCCCCTCCCTCTTCTTCTACTGCGCGTTCTCGATTCCTTTCTTTTTAAAGGCCACACGCCATAAACGCTCAATTCCACAACAACAACCCACCTGTTCTCGCAAACCCCTCTAACACAACAAACACGCCAATTCGGCACATCATCTATCACCCTCCTCTTGCCCCCTTCCTCTCCACTCTTCTTTACACATAACACATAACACATCCGAAATGGGAGACAAATCGCTCGCCGCGCTTACTGTCTGGGAATGCCTCGATGGACGGCAGAGGGGGCGACTCGCAACCCAGTTGAAGCTGCACAAGAACGACCCGCTGAGCCCATCTCCTACACCCGCGGCCGACATCAAGAAGCGTCGCGGCGTGCCGGGCTACGTCGACGTGGGCATCTCGCAGGCCTCGGCCGAGGCCACCCTGGCCGTCGAGTGGAAGATCGGCGCCGACGCCTGGAAGCAGGCCCACGACGAGGGCGCCACCCTATACGTGAGCCTCCACAGCCACCACCCCGGCGACGAGAACGAGAAGAACGCGCCCACCGACCACGACAAGCACGACATCTGCCGCCTTCCCATCGACTCAGCACAGGGTACGAGGCCAGCTTGCGTGTCGTGTAGTGTCGTATCGTGTGTGTCGTGCGTGTGTCGTGTAGCGTGAGTCACGCTGACGTGGCATTTCGGTGAATCCAGGCACGGCACAGTTCCCGGCGGCGAAGCTGAACCTGGGCGGCAGCCTGCGAGCGGGTCTCGCGGCGCGGATCCTGAAGGTAACGAAGACGAAGAAGAAGGCTGCGGTAAAGGTCAAGACGGGCGAGGGACATGCGGTTGAGACGCCCGCAGCTGCCGGCGATGCTGACCTCCCGAGCGACGACGACGACGTGGCGGTGCTGGCCAAGAGCGAGGTGGTCAACATCGTGACGGGCACGCTCGAGAGGACGTGGAGCATGCAGGTGGAGAAAGTCTCCGTCATGCTCAACACCAGCGCCATCCCACTCACTCCACCCAAGGCCGCAGGTACCACACACCACACACCACACACACCACACCACACCACACACACACACGGCGCACACCCCACCACGTTTCGTTAGCTGATCGCTTCACGCCGCCACGACAGTGACCGTCGCCCAGCCTGGGACCCTGTGCGCGACGCGCCGCGAGGACGCCGTGGCGACGATGCAGGACGAGTACTACGAGGGCATGACGTCGGAGGAGCGCGAGGCCGCCTTTGCCTCGATGTGGGCCGCGCTGCCGGCCGCCGAGCAGGCCAAGCTGCGGCCGCACCTGACCGCCTCCAACCGCGGCCGCGAGATCGTCAAGCCCACCAACAAGAAGTCGACGTCGAAAGCCGCCGTGGAATGCTTGGCGCAGAAGAAGAACAAGAAGGCGAAGACGAAGAAGACGAAGAAGGTGACCAAGAAGAGCGTCGTCAAGAAGCAGAAGAAGGAGAAGAAGGTGATGACGACGTCGGGCGTGACGACGGTGATGACCGAGGAGAAGACGACCACGCCCATCAGGGAGAAGCCCTCGCAGCGGAGCGCGAACGCGCGGACGGCGGTGCTCATCCCCAGCACGGTCGAGCCGCAGCTGGAGGCCGCGGCCGCCGCGCAGCTCGCCGACGACGATGCCGCCGCCGCCGACGTGGACGTGGAGGACTGGGTCGTGCTCGCCCCGGAGATCGGAGAGCCGGCGGTGAACGAAGACACCACCTCCACCGTGTCGCTCTCCTTCGTCGAAGTCTCCTCCTCGATCCAGCCCTCGGTACCACACACACGACACACACCACACGACACACACCACACGACACACACACGACACGCGCACGCATGGCTTACGCTGCGCTCTCCGTGTATGTAGGTTGTGTGGAACCTTACGGCGACGGAGTACTACGATTGGATCGGTGTCGTGGACGCCGAGACCGACGACACCGTGGCCAAGGTGTCCATCAACACCCTCGTCTCGTGGACCAACCCCGTGGGCGCCCACTCCTGGAGCGAGGTCATGACCACCGTCGCCAAGGTACTTCACCCCCGCAATCTGCGCACTCATGCCAACACACACACACACACAACCACACACACACACACACACACACACACACACACAACCGCACACACACAACCGCACACGCACTATCGCAACCTGATTATTACGGCGCGCATTGTCCTCACCACGTCATCACTCTTTTTTTGTGTGATCGAGCAGAAGAAGGGCCTGTCCAAGAAGTACTACGCGGTGATGTGGCGCTGGCACGAGGAGGCCAACCAGTACCACGCCCTGGGCTACAGCTCCAACATCATCCGCTCCGTCGTGTCCATGGGTACGCACAGCGCACACTCTGCTCTCGCTCGTCGGTGTCGTGTCACGCTGTGGCGATGGTCCGATGGCTGATTGCGCGGTTGGCTGCGCAGAGCGGCGGGAGCTGGTGCGACAGAACGTGTCGGCGACCGAGCACATGTCCGCGGTCTACAAGGACGAGTCCCTCGAGTGCGCGCAGCTCGCAGTCGCGGCCTACAAGTGCTACGACGCCCTCACCTGCGCTCTTCCTCCGCCTCTCGAGGTTCGTCATTTCCGCGCGCGTCGTGCGTGTGCGTGCGAGTGCGTGTGTGCGTGTGTGTCGCTGTGTGCGCGAAACTTACCTCTTTTACTATTTTGTCGTGCAGCCGGTTTACAACATTGAGAACGCGAAGACGGACACGCAGGGCTTTGTGTCGCTCGACAAGACGCGAGGGATCGCGTACGTGGCGTTCAAGGGCTCGTGGGAGCTGGCCGACTTCATGAACGACGCCGACCTCTTCCTCGGGTCCTTCGTCGACACCCCGCAGCTCAAGGCCCAGTTCAAGATGGTCGAGTGCTGGAAGTCCGTCAAGGACCCGCTCCTCGACCTCCTCCTCAAATACCTTAAAGGTAACAATTATTAATTATTTGTTGTGTATTATTTATTATGAGCAATTATTTATTCATATTGATATTATTGTTTTTATTTCTTGTTGTCTACAGATAAGAAGATCAGCAAGATCACGATCACGGGCCACAGCTTGGGCGCGGCGCTGGCCTGTCTGATGACGGAATCGATTCTCCACGACACGCGATTCGATCCCTACAAGCTCAACTCCACCAGCCTCAAACTCTTCACCTTTGCTTGCCCCAGGTACCACCCTAAACAACACACACGCCGCACACACGACACACACGCACCGCACGCACCGCACACACAACACACACGACACACACACGACACACACACGACACACACGCACCGCACACATCACGTGTTGACCTTGTGCGGTGCGTGCGTGTAGGTCGTTCGATTGGGCGGCGAATGCGGATTCGGTGAAGCAGCTGGACAAGGACCGAGCGACGATGCTCAGCTTCGTGGACCAGAACGATCCCGTGGCCACGGGCGCCTGGGGCTTCCTCAAGTACTTTGGCTACTACCACGTGGGCAGCGTCGTTCTCCTCCAGGGCTCCGGTCACGCCATGAGCAACTACATCAATCTCATCAAGGCGCTCACGCCATGATTCAAGCTATTTAAACATCTTTCCTCAACTCAACACAAACACAATACACGTGATGCGATGCGTCAACCAACAACTTACCAACCCAAGTTTGAGCATCATGATGTAGTTTTAGTTCTCTCTTTTTCTTTTATGGTACGTTGTTGATGAAGAAGATGATGAACATGGATGAACGAAGAGGGTAGGTAGGAAGAGGAGTAGAGTTTTTAGTTTTCGTACTTGTTCCAGCAGCAGGCCTTGAACTTCTTGCCGCTCGAGCAGGCCGGGCACGGCTCGTTCCTGCCAACCTTGGGCCTCTTGCGGTCATCCTTGATGCCGAGCTTGGGCGCCGCAAACTATAAAGAAGAAAAAAGCAGTGCCAGTAATCAGCGCTGTCGTGTCGTTGCGTGTGTCGTTGCTTGCGTGTAAGGGGCGTCGTACCTTGACGAGATTTCGGACGTAGTTCTCCATGGCAGCGTCGTTGGCCTTCTGCTTCTCGTCGAACTCCTTGGCCTCCCTCTCGGTGGTGGGGAATCCGTTCTTGAGCCTCACGATCTGCTCCGCCGTCAGGGTGCCCTGTGGATCGAACCGAAGTCGTGTGTCAGCTCGTGCGTGTGCGGTCGTGCGTGTGCGCGTGCGGTCGTGCATGTGCGGTATGTAGGCGTACGTTGAGGTAGCGGACGATGAACTGGTCGAACTGGTCGTTGATGTCGGGGTACTCGACCTTCATCTGCTCATAGCCGGATTCGTGGACGTCATCGCCGACCTTGAGCGATAGGTCGTAGATGCCGCTCCACACGAGCGAGCCGTAGATATCCTTGCTCTTGTAGACCAGCGACAGCTTCTTGCTCAGATCGGCCTGCAGCGTCTTGATCGGCACGTTGATCTGTCGTGTGTGTGTGTGTGTGTGTGTGTGCGCGCGCGCGCGCGTGTTTGTGGTGTGTGTGTGCGTGCGATGAGGGTTTTGGTTACGGGTCTGATGGTGCGTAGCCGTGGACGTACCTGGAGATGAGCGTTCTCGCATCGCCAGATCTCGAGGGTCTCGGTCTTAATATGTCCATCGAGCTGCAGCTTGAAGTTGGTGCAACGCTCTATTGTGCACATTCCAGGCATATCGTAAGTACACACAACACCGCACGACACTACACACGACACCGCACGACACGCGCAGGAGCGGGTGGGTGGACTTACCGACCAGCACCTTGGTGCAGGGACCGGTGATGGTGTAGGTGCCGTCGTGGCAGTCCTTGAAGTAGACGGTGGCGCCGTCAGTGTAGGCGTCGGCCTCGTAGGCCTTCGTGGTGCCCTTCTCTCCGGTCTGCCGAGCAAATTATTTTTAGTTTTTTAAAATAGCAAGAAGAAAAAGCAAGGAATACGAACAAAAATAGCATGCATTTTGAACGGAATTAATTTGAATATGAATTTTTTGGAATTTAATAGTTCTGAAATATTAAAATTGCAAAAATTCGAGTAGCGGGATTTTGTAGGGGAATGGAGATGCGTACCACGAGGAAGACCTGGTTCTTCTGCTGGGTCTCAGCGAGAGCCTGCTCAATGCGCTGCTTCTCCTCCTCAGTGAATTCGGTGTCATCCTTGTTCACCACCACGCCAGCCGGCACCTCTGAACGATCGGCACAGAAATTTAGCATGAGTAAAATAATAATTATTCTACAAAATCAACAAATTCGTTGTAAATGAGGAACGGAAACGCTTGAGTGGATCCAACGCAAGTGTATAAGGCGCAGGTGCGGTGCGAGCGAATGGATGGTGATGATGGATGGCTCTACGCGTAGAAAAAAAGATGAAAGAATGGCCGCTACAAACCTGTCTTGGGAGCTTCCATATCTGTTTGTGTTTTCGGTTGTGGTGCGCTGTCGTACTTCAAAAGAGTATAGAATGCCGATGCAGACCAGGGGATCAAGTAGCGAGCCAAGAAGACGGTAACAACCTTCAGTGCAACCACCACGCTCTTTGTTGTTGTCGACAACAAATTGACTTGCGAATTCTCCGCTGGGGCAACCACCAAGTGCACACCAGGAAACTCTGAGAAAATGCTGCACACCAGACAGACCAATCAACAAACACTGGGTGTTGGTTGTTGGTTGTGTTTCAACGCAACAACAATTGCTGCATTAAGTGAGGCCGTGAGGCCGGGAGGGGAGTGGCTGCTGGCCCCACGCCGCTCGGAAGGCCGGCGGCGGCGGGCACACGATTCGAATCCGCTCAGCGGCGCCGTTCGAGGCTGTCGGGTGGGCGAAGACGAGCTTCCACGAGTGGAGGAAGTACCCTAGATCGCCGGGCACGCCGTTGGTGTCGTCCTCCACCTCCTGGGCGCCGTCTTCGCTTTTGTGACTATCGCCGTCGCCTTCGTTCTTTTCCCCCTGCTGCAATTCTCTGCGGTATCGCTCTTCGTGGTCTTCTTCGGTCTGTGCGGAGTACATGTAAGTAAGGGAGGGGGAGAAAGAATGAAGACGAGCGAACAAAGAATGAATGAAAGTAACAAAGAGCGAAGAAGGTACGATGGCGCGTGGTCGAGGAAGGCCGCCGGCGATGTACAACGGGTCGCCGAGCAGCGGATGCCCCGCGTAGGCCATGTGGATGCGGATTTGGTGTGCTCTCCCGGTCTCGATACGAACCTGGAACGACGCACACGACGCACACGACGCACACGACGCACGCCGGGACTCATGTCGTCAGCTATGGGGGCCTTGGGCTCTGCCAATCGGTTGACTGACCGCGGCTGAGTAGTACCTTGACGAGCGACAGGTTGAGCTCTGTGTTGACGGCGAGCGTGGTGGCGTGGCTCGTGGCCTCCTTACCATCGTCCGACGCGGCAAAGATCGACTGCGTATGGGCCAAGGCCGCATAGGGCACCGGGCCTGCGCACATAATGCGGTTGAGCTCCCGAAGGAGAAGAAGAAACAAAGAACGAAGAAGAACGAAGAATCAAAGAACGAAGAAGAACGAAGCCCAATACGACACACACGCACCGATCCTTTGCGTGATGGTGAATGTCTCGTGCAGGGGAAGCAGGCCCTGCACGATGGCCAAATAGACCTTCTTGAACGACCGCTCCATCATCGCGCGACACAGGACCTTCCGCGCCGGGGCGGTCTTGGCCCACAGGATTGCCCTGCACGCGCAGATATCACGTGAGCTGAAGGGAATCGAAGAGAGGATCTATAATCGGGTGTTATATCGTATGCGTGTGCGGTGGCGCGCGTGTCGTGTGTGCGGTGCGCGCGTCGTGTCTCGTGTCGTGTGTGTGTGTGTGTGTGTGTGGGGTGTGGGTGTGATACCCGGAGGTCCCGCGTCCGAGTCGGTGGATGGGCGTGAGGCTGTTACACGAGGTCAGCTGTCTCGCCATCGCCAGCATCGTGTTATCCATGAACTCGGCGCACGGCAACACGGGCAGCCCTGTCGATGTCGGTTGGTCCAACTCGCTCAGTCAATCAGCGACCAGGCATTGGGTCCATCCGCGCTTGCCAAGTAATGAGGTGTGATGTACATGCCTGAGGGCTTGTTCAACACGACGAAGTCTTTGTCGTCGTAGAGCACGGCGCTGTCCGGGTCGAGCCGAGGCACCGGCCGCTCGGTCCACGGCGGTCTGTGTTCAAGCACTCTACAGTAAGAAGCAGAGCACAGTCTCCACCCTGCAGGTGCGTTAGAAAAGAGCACAGGAGGCGAACCGATGGTACTCAAGAACCTGGCCCGATCGCACCTCTTCCCCCTCATCGGTCACAAGCCGGCCGTCGAGGCGGATAAGCCCTGGTATTTAAATTACAATATAGTATTAGTTAAATAATATTAGATTAAAATAATGATAAAAAGCGCATTCCTTTTTGTCGTGCAGACGATTTAATTGAGTGAATGGCGGCGGTACCGGAACGGATGCGGAGGCTCCATATGGTCGTGGAGAAGTGCGGGTGATGTGTGGTGTAGAACGAGAGGACCGTAGTGCCTGGCTCCAGGCTCCGGGTTAAGCGATCTCGGTACACGCATCCTCCATTCTTTGGCTGTTCCATTGAAAAAGAAAGAACAAGCAGTGCCAGCAAACAGCTAGTGGCACTCACAGAAAAAGTTGGAGGTGACGGGTATCGATCCCGCTACCTAATGCATGCAAAGCATTCGCTCTACCATGTGAGCTACACCCCCTACTCTCCATATATGAAGCTGGTAACTAAATTAACAACAAAACTGCTTTTCTTAAAACAAACTGGGGCTTTGCCTGGTCAAACAATTCCCTTCCTTTACACACTTAGCGCCTCCATGGAGCCCTCAAGCGGCCAAGGCACAACCTGCCATCTGCCCTACCAGGTTCCTTCTCTGCTCACTGATGTGGCCTTCTGCCTTTCTCTCGCCCTCCCGCAGCCACTGTACTCACCCCCCTTTCTTTCTTTTTTTTTCTACCACTGGTCCCACTCCTCCTCCGACCGCACAGCCCTTGCCAGCAACAGATGCCACGTGTGCGGCATTCCTGGCACTGGCCCGGTCGCGCACCGCCAACGACGCAGAGATGGCCGCGCTTGCCGAGGAGGTCGAGCGCCTGCGGACCTCACCCACCGCCGCACAGGTGCAGCAGTGGCTGGCCCAACACCACCACTACCACCACGACCAACACCATCACCATCTGAATGGCAGCACTGCCGGCACTCAGGGCAACATCTACACGCAGACCTTCTTCTCCCGCCTGCACCTGGCCAACCGAGACCCTCTGCCCTTCGGCGAGAACTACTCTGTCGTCCTCCAACCGCTCACGCGCCGGCCCCGGCCTCGGTCGGCGTCGCTGGCCCAGGTCGCGGCCTGTGTGACCAGAGCCGCGCTGGCGTTCTGGGCCGGCCTCTCTGGGCCCGACCGAGACCAGTTCCTGCGGCGCGTCGAGGGCACGACGACGACGACGACCGGCCACAGCCAACTGCCCGAGTGCGGCCAGTACCACGCCCTCTTCGGCTCGGCCCGCCTGCCCGCCCAGGGACACGACACCCAACACTCTTCACCGTCGCCCATCTTGTTCTCTTCATCATCGACTTCGTCATCGCCGTCACAAGCGAGCTTCGTGGTGGCGTGCCGAGGGCACCTGTTTGCGGTGACGGTGCCGAGCCGCGATGTGCCCAGCGCGTCGGCCGCCGGGCTGCGGGCCACGCTGGCCGCGATCGCCCGACACGTGTCGGGCGCTCAGCTGCGGCCGGCCTCCGCCAGTGGTCACCACCATCAGCTGATGGGCCTGCTGACCTGCATGGAGCGCGACGCGGCCGCGGCCCTGCGCGCCCGCGTTGCACAGCAACACCCGGAATGCAAGCACGTGCTCTCCGTTGTACAGGACGCGCTCTTCCTGGTGTGCCTTGACGACGCCGACGCCGACGACAGCGATGGAAATGTCGACAGCACAGCATCGCAAGTTGAAACCGACGGCGTGCGCGTCGAGGCCGGCGAGCTGGAGCGGCGGCGCCGGCTGCGCACGGTATTCAATGGGGTGCCCGACCTGGCGCGCGGCCAGTGCAACCGGTGGTTCGAGAAGGGACTCCAGTTCATCGTCGCCTCCGATCGTAGGCAGGCGGGCGATGGCGCTGGCGGTGACGATGGCGGTGCTGACGTCATGATCGGCCTTAACGTGGAGCACTCCTTCGCCGACTCGGGCGTCGTGCACAAACTGTGCTCCTTCCTCTGGCAGGAGGCCCAGGCGGACGAAGAAGATTCGGGCGACGATTGCTACGACGGCGACGAGGTTCAGCCCTACGAGTGGCGGCACCTGAACTGGGGTCCGCTCGACGACGACGACGAGCTGCGCGGGCAGCTGAGCCAAGTGCGGGTGGCGGTCATCGAGCAGACGCGAGCCCTCGCTGACACGACCGTCGACTGCATCGTACACGGCGTTGGGCGCCAGTTCTTCAAAGACCACAGCGCCAGCCCCGACGCCTGCTTCCAAATCGGTACACACACGCGTGTTGTGTGTCGTGCGTGTCGTGCGTGTCGTGTTGTGTGCGGTGGTGCGTATCTCAAATTCCGTTGATGGAATGACAGCGCTGCACATTGCGAGTTGCGTGGACGAGGCCAAGTATGTGTGGAATTTGGAGACTCTCGACGCTCGCCACTACCTCGACGGTCGGCTGATGATCGCCGACGTCTTCACCGCCGAGTTCCGCGCGCTGCAGGCCGCCCTCTTCGCCCACCTGGCCATGGATGGCGATCGCGGCGAGACCGGTGGTGACGTCGACAGCGGCGGCGCGCGACTGCGAGACGCGCTCGACGCGTGCGGCGAGAACGAGGGTCTCGTCGCGCTCTTTGAGAAGGCGATCGACGCCCACCTGGAGGTACTCGCGCGACACAAGGCCGGCATGGAGTCCTACCTCCACCTCTTCCTCCTCACCAACGAAATGGGCACCCTCCCCGTACCGTCACCCCCAAGCCGACCGGCCTTGCGTTATGTGCGACTCACTGGGCGAGCGGGCTTCCTCCTGCGCAGGACCACCCGCCGCACGCCTTGACCGACAACCCGACCTACGAGGCGGCCTATCGCCACCACATTGTGGGCTCTAACCTCGGCAACGACGCCGGCATGTCGCCCACTTCCAATCTTCTCAGAGCCTGTTCTCATGCGTGTCGTGTGTGTCGTGTGTGTGTCGTGTGTGTCGTGTCGTGCCGTGCCGTGTGCTGCGTGTGCAGGGATTGAGTTCGTGTTCTCGGGGATCCCGCCGGCGCAGAGCATGGACGTGCTGGGCTACATGCTGGCCGACGACCACATCAAGCTCACCCTGACCTCGCGGTCGGCGATCCGTCGGTCCTTCCTCCCAACGCTCGTCACCGCGCTCGCCCTCGTCCAGCGCTGGGCGCGCCGCCGCGCCGCCGGCCACGCAACCATTGCCACGACCGTCAGCCACCCCGCCTCGCTCTAGAGGATCGTCGGACCCACCCGCTGAGGCACACGACACACACGCAACCGCACGACACACGCAATGAGCGGCAGAAACCACCAATCGGACGTGTTGGGAAACTGTGCGTCCCTCCCGTGCAACGGCTGCCCAGGTCCACAACCGGCCCATGTTATGCGATTGGCTCGGTTGGTGCAAAACTAAATGAGTTCCCGAATCCGCCACTCGGATGTCGTTCGGAGTTGCTTCCGTGTAGCGTTCCAACAATAGGCGCCAACTACTATAGGCCATCGTTCATTATGGTACCCAATTGGTCGCGCCTGCCCTACAACCGGAGTCAAACCTATAAAAATCTCACTAGCCACAAACATACCCCCAACGCCCTCCAACTTGTACAACACCCACCAACCTCTTCACCACCAACTTCTTCATCACCACCCTTTACAAGTAACCATGCGCTTCCTGCTCGCCTTCGTCTTCGTGTTGGCTCTCGCCAGCGCGGCCTCGGCCACCACCAATAACGCCAACAACCTGGAGGAGCTGATCGCCAACGCCCTGCCGGCCAAGTACGGCCAGCTCAAGGCCCAGGTGGCCGCCCTCCAGGCCAACCTCACGGCGCAGATCAACGCCGTCCAGGACTCGCTCGCCGCCGTGGCGGCCAACGTGCGCTACATCAAGTCGCTCGAGCAGCTGGGCAACCTGCCCGACGCCTCCACCTGCACCACCCTCGACTGTGTCCGTACGCCCATCAACCAGCTCGACGAGCTCCTCATGCAGCTCTACGCCACGCGCCTCTCGTTCGCCCTCCAGGCCGGCTACATCAAGTACGCGGCGGGCCAGGACGTGCTGGACTCGAGCCGCGAGTCGGTGGTGCTGGCCAACGCCCGCGCCAGCGCCGTGGCCAACGGCCTGCCCGAGTACGTGGGCCAGGTCCTCTACGGGAACTACTGCATGCTCTACGTCTCCAAGCGCCTTCAGGTGGAGACCCTCAACGCCGAGTTCAACGCCGGCCTTCCCGTTCCCGTCCAGCACGCCGATTGAGATTACCCACCAGTTTGCTTTGCGACAACAACAAAACTGTAATAAAATTGTAATATATTATGGCAATAACGTCATCAAATTATTTGAAAACCGTTTTTTAATAAAAACAAATACCAATGTGTGCGGTTGGTGTCGGGTTAGCGGCGGAGAGTTCAGTCGCGGACGTAGGACCACGTCCACAGGAGCACGTTGTGATAGTTGCCCTCGCCGAGGTCGCCGCCAAAGTGTGGCATCTCCGATCCTGCACCCACGACCCATGCGTTCAGGTGACCGCCAGTGCCGTGTGTGTCGTGTGTCGTGTGCCGTGTGTGTCGAGTGTGTCGAGTGGTGCTGGGCGCGTACCTCGGAAGAGAACGGCCTCGCCGACGGAGAGGGAGAGGGTCATCTCTTCGACGCCGGGCAGTAGGCTGCCCAGCGCCCCGCGTCGTCGTCTGATGAACGTGACCGGCCGCGGCTGTGTCCCACCCAAGTTCCCATAAGAATGCGCTGCGACTTGACTCGCACTTCTCTTCTCTCTTCTCTTCGCGAAGGAAGGCACGCGTACCTGGGGGCCGACGTGGTCGAGCACGAAATCGAGCGTGAGGTCGAACGGCGGCACCGAATCCCGATGCAACGGGAATCCATGTCCTATTGTATGTGTGTGTCGTGTGTCGTGTGTCGTGTGTCGTGTGTCGTGTGTCGTGTGTCGTGTGTCGTGTGTCGTGTGTCGTGTGTCGTGTGTCGTGTGTCGTGTGTCGTGTGTCGTGTGTCGTGTGTCGTGTGTCGTGTGTCGTGTGTCGTGTGTCGTGTGTCGTGTGTCGTGTGTCGTGTGTCGTGTGTCGTGTGTCGTGTGTCGTGTGTCGTGTGTCGTGTGTCGTGTGTGTTGTAGCGAATGTTGTGTCGTGGTGGGTGTGAGACTGCAAGCGCGGGAGGAAGTGGAAAGCTAGGGGGACAAAGGGGAAGGAGTAGGCGTACCCTTCAAGATCCAGATGGAGAGGGCCAGACCGGGATGAAGCACCGGCTCCTGGACCAGGTCCTGGTTTCCAAACGCAATGCGCACACGGTAAGGGAGAGATCATGAGCCGTTCGTAATGCCACACAACACACGCGGCACGCGGCACGCGGCACCGCACACAACGCACGTACGTGCATCATGCCGGTGAGGTAGTGGTTGATGAATCGCGAGCTGGGTTCGTCGTTCCACTGCGTCTTCTGCATCTGGTACTTGTCCGCCTGCACATGCACGCAGTGCATATATATGAGGGTGACGAGCCTTGTTACACACAGAAGGGTGCAGCTCTGCCCACGCCCGTGAGTTTCCGGAGGGCGAGTGCTCGTACCGCTGGTTGGCCGCCCAGGGCCTGGAAGAGCCGTCGGTAGTACCGCCGCAGGAAGTGAAGGTGTCGCTTGGGCAACTGTTGTCGTTGCATGCAAGACACCATTGGTGAGTGAGTGAGCGGGTGGCGGGTGGCGGGTGGCGATGGAGAGAAGGCACGGCGCGGCGTACAAGGTTGCGGAGGATGGTGTAGCCCACGGTCCGTAGCTCGTGTCGGGCGCGCTCGTTCTGCTGCTTGAAATAGGCAGCCCGCTTGCGCCAGTACCCCTCCGACACCACGATCTCGCTCTGGATCAACTCTGTTCCCACCACCACCATACCAGCGTGTTAGCGGGTTGGCGAAAAAAGCGAAAGATGAAGAGCGAAGAGCCAAGAGCGAGAAGTACTTTGGACGAGGGCTGTGTCGTGGTCGAGCAGTTCGCGAGGGATGGGGAGGCCGGGCTTGAAGGAGGCGAAGAGCCGCATCAGAGCGGCCGCTCGCTCCTCGTCTTGCCTGTCTTCATCCGTCCTCGCGTCGACGAGGGCGCCCGCGCCGCTGCTGCCGGAAGCCTCGAGCTGGCGCTCGGCGCGCTCCTTGGCTGAGCTCAGCTGGTAGGGCAGCGGGAGGCCCGTGCCGGGCATCGTCACCATTACGATGGGCTCGCCCCTGTACATGCCCAACCATTCCAATGAGTGCGTGTGTCGTGCGTGTCGTGTCGTGTGTGTGTGTGTGTGTGTGTGGTCCTGTACTTGAGGTGCTTGTGGAGGAATTCTTCTGTCCAGATGCAAAAGTAGGGAACTGTTGTCTCGGCTTGAAACTCGAATGCTGTGCCCAACAACATGAATTAGTCAATAAATAAAAAGCGAAAAGCGAAAAGAACGAAGTGGAGGGCGTACTGGGGTTGACGATGAGCAACTCGTCGCTGAGCTGCCCGGGGCTGGTCTCCTTGGCCTTGGAGGAGCCGAAATGAACGGCGTAGTCCTCGTCCTTCCCCTCTGGCTGCCACCTCACCCGGTCCTTCTCTCCACCAAACACCGGCGGCAACATCTGCGCGCCGTTCGTGTGCCGCGTCAGCTCAAGCAAGCTCAAGCGTGAACGATGAGTGTCATCATGGCCCGCGAACAGTACCACGTCGTTTTGCTCATAGTCCTCGTCGAACAGCAGATCGCCTTCGCCGCCGAACAGGTACGTCGGATCATCAAGACCCTGTCGACACAGCACACGCACGACCGCACGCACACGCACACGCACGACCGCACGCGCACGCGCACACCCACACCTGTTATCGGCTGCCGGAAGTAAGAGAGAACGTGTGAACGCGCACCTTGACGATGTCGAACAGCGGGCAGGTGTAGGGCACGCGCAGGAGCGGCGCGGAGTCGGGCAGCGGGCTGTAGGGGTTGGCGACGGCGCTCGCCGGGTCCATCTCGGTGTCGCCGTCAGTGTGATGCCCCTCGCCCTTATCGCGCACCTCCTGGTGGTAGTGCGCCACGTTGGTGTGGAAGTGATACTTGGCCGGCAGCACCGTGCCACCGCTCGGTGACGCTTCTGCGCGCGTGTCGTGTCGCGTGTCGTGTGTCGTGTCGTGTCGTGTGTCGTGTCGTTAATTGTTGGCCGTGCTGCGTGGGCGGAATTTGAGGAATGCGGAGAGGGAAGTCGCGCGTACGTGAGACGTCGTTGAGACCCACTCGGTCGGAGTGAGGCAGCAGAGCCGCGCCGTCGTCGGTCGTTGGCACGGTCAGGCCCTCCACCCTCAGCCCCTTCTCCTCGGTTCCCTTGGCGCCGCCAGCTCCAACTGCGGCGGCTGCGCCGTGTCGGTGCAGGCGCTCGGCCACGACGGCCCACGCCACGTAGAGCAGACACCCGACGCCCGTGAAGGCAGCGAAGAAGGCCACCTGGTTAATGGCCGGGTAGTAGTGCAGGCGCAGCGGGAGGAAGACGGCCAGGCATGCGGCGATGGTGGCGAGCGATGTGGAGGCCAGGCGGCGGTTGAAGCGGCCGCTGAAGATCTCGTAGCGACGCTCGAGCTGCCGAGGGCCGTGGCTGGCCGCGAGGAACCACCACACGTAGTCCACGAAGCGCGGCACCAGCGAGGACGGCCGCTCGCGGAGCTTCTCGACCTTAAGGTGGCGCCATGGGTGGAAACGGTTACCGTGGAACGAGTGGTGGTAGCGTGGATGGGTGTGGTTCCATAGGTGGTACAATGGGTGAGGTACGTACCTCGTAGCGATGGTAGCGGGCGCACTGGGGGTCGGAACAGGTGTCCAGCCAACGCAGGAAATCAAACCATCTGTTGCGTGTGAGACACTACGCAGCACGACACACGACACACGACACACGACACACGACACACGACACACGACACACGACACACGACACACGACACACGACGAGACCAGGCTGGCGTACCCCATGTAGGGCTCATTGATGCGCTTGCGCACGAGAGGCGACTTGGCGTTGGGGTTCACCACCGCGCCTCCGATCGTGTGTCCCAACTCGGTCTGCCACCTTCTGAACTCCTCGTCGCTCTCTAAACATCGAGCGATGCATCATATCATGCAAGTATCAGCAGATGTTTGGCCAACCAAGAGAAGAAGCACGTGCGGGGGGGAATGAGTCTGTACCACCGACGCAAAGGGGCAGAAGCCTGCTGGCACCGAATTGGCTGAGCCACTCATCGATGTATCGCGGGATGTCGGCTGCACCCGAAACGAGTAGTATTATGAGCGATTGCTAGTGACTATCACCAACAAGGCATTGCTGCGTAGGCCTGCGCGTACCAGGCGGGGGAGGCAGCGTAGCGGCGTTCTGCGGCAGGACAGCGTAGACCGAGAACTTGACACGCAGGAATGCGATGCGTCGTGTTCCTTTCGTAAACACACGACACGACACGACACGACACGACACGACACGACACGACACGACACGACACGACACGACACGACACGACCAACGACACGACACGAGGCATGAGAATTAGCGTGAGAGCGGCAGCGATGATGACGAAGCAAGTACCTTCGGGCGTGTAAACAATGTTCTTACGCGGACCGACATCGGCAGACTCGGAAACGCGAAGCGTCGCCTCCTCGCTCAGCCACAGGGTCATCTCATCGTGACCCACGCCTGTAGGTGTCGATTCGAAGTGGTGTCAGACATGGGCCTGCTTGCTACCGGATGATTCGTGGGCGGCATGGGAATGCACGTACCTTGGGGGAAGGCGAACGGGTCGACCACGAAGATGACCGCAATCGCGCCCTCGCGCACGAACGCGTTTGCGTTGAAATCGTTGATGGACTGTCACCCACCGCCCAAAAGAACAATTATCAGCTGCGTGTGGTCGTGTGGTCGTGTGGTCGTGTGGTGTCGTGTGGTCGTGTGGTGTCGTGTGGTGTCATGTGGTGTCGTGTGGTGTCGTGTGGTGTCGTGTGGTGTCGTGTGGTGTCGTGTGGTGTCGTGTGGTGTCGTGTGGTGTCGTGTGTCGTGTGTCGTGTGCGGTGATGCGTGTACCATGACCGACTTGGTGAAGCCCGCATAGGTCGGGTCCATCGACAGCTCGTAGGCCTTCTTCTTGGCCATGTTCTCCTCAGCAGCTTCATCTCCCACCATCGCTGCCGTATCTCCTGGTGCCGTCGTTGTAGAGGCAGATGACGATGGCGTTGGCGTTGGCGTTGGTGTTGGGGTGTAGAGGAAGTAGAGCTTGCGGGTGTAGCGCTGGCGGTCCTGCCCGAGCTCGAACGCGTAGAGCTGCACCTGGAGCGCCACGCCGAACCACACCTGCGCGCAGGCGCAGAAGGCGGCGAACAGGTCGAAGGCCACGAAGAGCAGCGCCTCGAGCGACACCTCGTGGTCGACCACCAGGGCGTGGTAGCGGCCGGCGTCCTGGACCACCTGGGCGGCGACCAGCACGGCGGGCAGGAGCGCGAGGAAGAAGACGGTGAGTGGCCGGCCCAGGCTGGCCAGCCGCGGCAGTGTGAAGAAGTGGCGGGCGAGGGCGCGGTTGCCCGCGAGCCAGGTCCAGGCCATGAGGCCCGCCATGGCGTAGACGGCGCAGGCCACGTAGAGCACATCGTCAACGACCACGGTCGCCACCTCGTCGCCGTAGCCGCCACCAGCTGTGGTCAGGAGATGGAACGGGAGGTCGATTACGGTGGAGAGGTAGAGGAGGCTCGTGGGCACAGCAGCCGCCAGGGCCAGGGCCAGCCGCAAGTAGAGCGAGCGTGCCATTCACAACCGCGTAGAAGCACAAATCTAATCTGCAACCGGAAAATAGTTTTGAGTCGCATGAAAGAAAAAATACATTTGACCAAAGGGATTTGCGTACCGTTGCAAGATGTGAGACTGCTCCAAACTGCGGGCACAGGCTCAGAGATTAGAACGATTACGACGTGCGCTGGCGGAGGTGAAGGAAAGAAAGGAGCCGACGTTCTCGTTTATTGTCGGGCTGCCCCGCAGAAAACGACAAATTTAATTACAGAAATAGAAAAGGCAGCCTCGGCTGTTGGCGTGCGACCGAGTGATCTCCTTGAGATGGCGCTGCCCATCATCATCATCATCATCATCAGCCGACCTTCACCCTCTTCATCCTCAAGAAGCTCAGAAGGTTTTTGGTGAATAAATATTTCTTGTGGTGGATTGTAAACGACGGTTGAATGTTCACTACAGGCTCACACGACGAGGAGCTGCTTGTTGTGCCAGTTGCCGCCGACCTTGTGCTTGTACTCGTCGAACAGCTTGTGCAACTCGGCCACGAATCGTTCGTGCAGTTGGTTGATCTGTTCGTCGGTGGGGTTGTCCACCTGCTCCACCTCCATGGGCTCGCCGATGACCATCGTGATCGGCACCTGCCAGGTGTGAAGAGGTGGGCCATCGTGAGCTGGGCAGTTGTCGTGTCGTGTCGTGTCGTGTCGTGTCGTGTCGTGTCGTGTCGTGTCGTGTCGTGTCGTGTCGAGCGTACCTGATAGGGCACGGGGAGGTACCACCGGCCGTAGAAGAGAAGCAGCGACATGCGAAGAGACCGCGAGACCTTCTGCATGGCCGGACCTCCAGCAAAGTCAAGCAGCTGCGTGTTGCCTAGCAATACAGTTACACGTTCGAGCAGGGAAATGAGGACTTGGCAAGAAATCTGCAGGGCAGCGGCGGCTGGTGTGATGTACCAAAGTAGTAGATCGGCACTAGAGGAGCACCACGCTGGAGCGCGATCTTGACAAATCCCTTGCGCTTCTTCAAATACACTTTCTGTTGAACATCATAGCATATCATAGCATGCATAGCACAGCACAAGACACGACACAACAAACGACAGGTGACCAACGAGCGCATCAGTACTTCACGAAGCGATGGCCTAAGTAATGAAGGGGATGAGGGAAAACGACAAACCTCGTGCTCGCGAGACGAGAGGAAGATCTCGGCGATGCCGCCGGCCATGAGGCCAGCCGAGCCCTGGTCCAACAGCTTGTGAATGTTGCCCGTCGTGGCAGGCCTGTTGTTGTATGTGTGGATGATTAGTGTATGTGGCAAGTGTTTGTTGGCCAAGAGCAAGGATTGAGATGAGAGTGAACGTCACCTGCTGCCGAACCAATGGCACAGCTGCGCGAGCACGGGAATGCGGAAGAGAACGGAGGCGATGGCGCCCTCGACTCGTAGGCCGGTCAACACCTTCTGCACGATGGTGGCGGAGAGCATGAAGCCGAGGGGAAAGACGCCGTGCGGGAACTCGACGAAGATGTAGTGCCTGTCGGGCGACACTCCCTTGCCCTTCTGCATCACCGTGAACGAGAAGTACTCGCACCAGGTCTATCCGCCAGCGTGAGTTATTGAATAAATTGGAATCTAATCTGATTTATTGATCTGACAATAAAGAATTGAAATATGTAAAGACCAAAGTTCTGATTATTGAATTAGAAATAAATTAAAAATAATAAGATTAGAAAGATTATTAATAATGATTAATTCGAGCGCAGTGAGGACGAGGACCTTCCAGATGGGCAAGTCGATGAACTCCTGCCAGAGAATCTGGGAGGGCCAGTAGGTGGAAGAGAACAGGACTATGAGGAGCGCCACGGCTACGAGGGACTGGTGCACGAGCGTGGCGTAGATGCACACAAGTACGATGAAAGCTATCACGTAGAACCAGCCGACCAGCATCGCCAGTGTCACGAGGGCCACCATGTATGACAGCCACCCCTGCTCCTTGGCATCGTATCTAATCTTTACCTCGCCTGTAGCCGCTACACCATTCCCATTGCCTTCAATCGCGCGAGTGGTCATCTTTTCCTTGCCATCTTCATGCGCCAAGGACGACATCCCCAGCATCTTGCGAAAATCGACAGATGTGTTTTACCTCGTACTGAAATGTGGTTGGGAAACTGTCTGAAACAATTTCATGACATGTTAATTTAATGGTGATGGCACTAAAAGCTTTTGACCCAGGATTCTCATAACCACTCAATTAATTGGGTTTATCACCTGACATGAACATTCCTCAGCATACATGCAAGCACTGATTGCACCTGCATCCACTTCAGGTGCATTGTCTTGAACCATGTACTGGAATTGGTCACTCATAGGTCTGCTGGCTGCAACTACATCATTCTCAAATTCAAAGGGCAAGAAGCCCTACTACAACAAACCTTCTTCTTATGGTTCCCTGAGATTGTGTGCTTGAGGGGAAGTAGCTCTTGTAGGGCTTGTTCCTTGAGGGGGCAGATCTTGCCATCCATGAAGGCTGCTTTTGTCTGTCAGGTGGTGGTTGTGCATGACTTGTGCACTGATGGATCATTGCAGTGTTGTCCTCTGGTGTGGCCATGTTAGTGGGTTCTGCACTGGTGCAAGCCATGGTCATGGTGCCAGTCTGGACCAGCAGGCAGTGGTTCCATAACCTCATGGACCCTGCACACTCCAGGCTGGATTGTCTGGTTGTGCCCTCACTCCAGAACCAGTGCAGGATCTCTGGTGCACACAAACCAAGGGCTGGTCACCCCACACACTTGCCATGCTAGACACCATGCTGGCTCCAGCAACATGGAGCCAGTATCACTCCTCACTCCTTCTGTTAGTGAGGAGACAAGCTTCCCCCAGAACAGGAGGAAGCCATAGCAGTGATCACCAACTTCATTGAGTTGGAAACAATAGCATCTCAACAACCATCCTCAACCTTCAAGTTGTTGATTGCAGTGATTGTGGTGCTCTATGAACCACTCAACCTTTTCCCCATATGTGACCTGCTCATTCCCCCTACATCTGCCAGGACCAAGTGCCCAGTTGACCATGGCAAAACCTTCGACCTCTCCAGCGTTGCTGCCCTCTTCTGGAGCTGGGGACCGGACACGACCCCCCCACCAGGACGAGGGTGAAGCTCATCGCCCTCCTGTGCGTGCTAGGCCCGCTCTTGGCGGCCACCCTGCCATTCCTGTTTCCTCGCGCACTGGTGCATCGTCTTCGAGCTCGAAGCCCCCTACGCGAAGCTTTCACCAAGCCACTGCGCCGAGATCCTCAGGGCGGTATGCTCGAAGCCGACCCGGCCACATTCACGGCGCGCACTCTCCAGAAATCGGGCGTAGAAATATATAAATAAATAGTAAATAATAATAATAAAAAAACAACGCAGAGCGTGCCCACTCCGAATAACTCGGAACATTGGCAATGGGTTTCATCATTCACCAAGAAGTTCCTTTTTTAATAATGTGCCTTCAGGGGCTCAATAGCTGACTTAGTGGGTCTTGCGGAACTCGAAGGTCTCCCACTCCTTGGGGGCGGCGCGGTCGGCGATCACCTTGCCGCTGGGCTCGACGCAGAGGTACTTGCCGTGGTGGGTCTTGAAGTGCACCTTCTTGTTGCCCAGCTTGTGGACGTGGAAGGTCTCCCACTCCTTGGGGGTGTCGCGGTTGGCCACCACGGTGCCGTTGGTCTCGGCCGAGAGGTACTTACCGTGGGCCGACTTCAGGTAGACCTTGCCGCCGCCGAGCTTGATGACCTCCCGGTGCTCCCACGCCGCGGCCGCGTCGCGGTTGCCCACAACGGTGTGCGCGGGCTCGGCGCAGAGGTACTTGCCGTGGTGGGTCTTGATGGTGAACTTCTTCGGCATGTTGTAGGAGGGTGGTAGTTGTTGTGGTTGTGGTGATGAAGCAGAAGGCAACGCGAGGCCAGATTTTATGGGGGTCGGAGCTGAAAGTCCGGCAATTGCCTTCATAGAAGTTTATACGAAGTCAACCAATGGGCTGACCGCGTGTTAGTGTACCAATGGGGAGCCATGTGGCAGGGGTTTAAAACACCGGTCGCCGAGCTTCGGGCCATGGTTGGCGAGCGCGTAAATTAGCAGTGGTGCGACGGGAGGTTTCTTGCGGCCTTTCTAGGCTACACTATGTCTGACCCCTTTGGGTGGGCGACACTCTGCTCAAAAATTCACATTTGCCTGGATTATGTCCCCTCAAATCCTGTACACTGGATGATTGGTTGTGATACCAGGCAGTACTGCACAGAGATCATACCAGCCTGGTTGTGAGGTTGTGTGCATGCTTGATCTTCATGTTGTAGTGTTTCTTGGAGCTAGTGTACTGTTGAACAGGCAAGATTGTCATTGCATTTGTAATTTGGTGAGTTTGTATGGATTCTACACCCCTGCCAGCTACACTGGTTATGGAGCATCTGCTCTACACTGTACTGAGTGGAGAGTTTGAAATGCTCAACTCCACCAATCTCATAACTCTTGTCTTGTATAGAATGGATGAGGCCCTCATTAATCACCTTCAGATCAAGTTGGACAAACTCATTGTCTGTTGAGAGAAGGCACTCAGTGTGGCCTGCTCCACACTTGATGAACTGTCCCTGGTTGCTTTTGCAGAGATCCATGATCCTCCAGACCAACATACTGAGTGGTGTGTTGTGATTGGCAGCACAAGTTGGAGAGCTTTGCTGGTCTACGCCCTGAGCTCTCCAAGTACATCATGGCCATCAATGACACCATCACAGTATGACCTTCCATGCATCACAACCTACCTCATCACCAAGGAACAGCTCATCAATTCATCAAAGAGCAACTCCAACCCCACTCCAGCAGCATTTCAAATGGCCAGTTTCAAGCAAAGCAAGGAGCACTCTTATGCAGCAACAGTCAAGGCCATGGCAACAAGACCAGGCAAGGCAGAGGCAAAGGAGGAGAAGAAGTGCATCAGTTGTCAAGTGCTCAGGCATGCACTTAGCCAGTGCACACCCAACCATGCAGACTCACTGAGGCATATGATGAGCAGATCAGCATGTCCCATGACACTTCTGGCGCTCACTCCAGCAACTTTGAAGAAGAAATGGAGCAAGTCAACAGTGAACCACGCCAGTTGGGGGATGGCTCACACTCCTTGGAGTACCATGTCTCTGTGTTCATGTGAAAAGAGGGTGAGTCACCTGTTGGAAGGCAAGGCAACAAGGTCCAACAACACCTTGGGAGCTTGTCGTCTCCTGGAAAGGCGTTGAGCTCCAGGCCTGCTGGACAAGCTTCGTGTTATTAAGAGTCAAACCGGGAGGTACCGCGAGCCATTCTGCTGAGTGTCGGCTACGATCTTGTTCCCATCGACGGAGACGGCCTGTGCCAGTTCCATGCGCTTGCCGCCCAGCTCAACCAGCAACCGGGCATCCATACCGCCGAGAGTGTTAGAGATGAGCGGCCGACATCTACGGGGTCCAGATTCGCATCATCTCTTCCCTCCAAAGCGAGGTGACTCTGAGTCCGATGACAGGGACCTCTGCCGCCCCAGCTCTCCTGGTCCTCGCCCACATCCACGAGGTCCACTACGTCAGCACTCGGTATTCAGTAGATCTACCGGCGACGCACCAGAGACTCTGCCTGCGAGCGACAACGACAACAGTGACGAGGAGCAAGGAAAGACCAAGAACGCAAGGAACGCGCACCAGGGTATCGCCCCGACTTCGCCTGAAAGGAGCCTGACCTCGAACGTGAGCGGCTGCACGTTCAAAGCAGAAGCGACCGGATCCTGTCTTCACTACATCACGCACATCCGGCATGTCCCGAAGGGCCAGAACTTGGAAGAGCGCGCTGCAATTAAAGAAGCCAGACGAGGCAATCGATTTGCCCAAAAGTCTTGTTTTCGCCGCCGCGACGACACATTATACGAGGGTGGAGACGGCGCCGTAGAGCTGGCACAGCTGGGCGGTGTTGAGGTTGAGGTTGCGGAAGGAGGAGACGTCGCCCTTCTTGCTCTTGCCTGACTCGAAGTCACGCACGTAGTTCTCGATGGTGGCCTTGCCCGTCTGCGACACCCGCTGGACCTCCGCCACGTCCATGCCCGCATCAAAGTACAGCGCGCAGATCATGTACACCTTGCCTGATGTCGCACAACATACGATATATTGACATAATTAATTACTAGAACGACACTCTCTCCATTGGTTAACAGTGGCCAATTGCATGGAGACCTGGAAAGAATGTAGTTGGGGTACCTTTCTTCATGAGCTCGGGGTAGATGAAGTAGCGGTAGGCCTTCATGATGAAGGTCTCGGCGTCTTCCCTCACCTTCTTCAGGGTGAGACCAACACGCGGTGATGCGCGAACCGCGCGGTTGGGCATAGCGACCGTTTCTGTTGAGTGTGAGTGTGCGCGTGTGTCGTGCGTGTGTGGTTAGCGGAAGAAGCCATGAGTGATGGGTGGTGCGGCCGGCGTATACCGTATTTGACCGAGGGCGAGGAGGCTACGGCGGAGATGGGCGCCAGGTACAGCTGGCGGCCGGCGACGTAGTGCGCGGGCGGCGAGTCCGCGTGCTCGGGGAAGTTGCTCGCCACGAACTTGATGATCGAGTCGGCCCCGCACACGTTCAGCACGCGGTCCACCACCAGCGACGGCCCCTCGATGAAGTCCACGCTGCCGCTCGCGGCGGCCTTGCCCTTCTTGGCCGCAGCCTTGGGCTTGGCCTTGGCCTTGCCCTTCTTGGGGCCTTTCTTTTCCTCCGCCTCGTCGTCGTCATCGTCTTCGTTTTCGTTCTCAGCAGCAGCCGCGCCGGCGAGGGGCTCGATGGCTCGGATGAGGATCCCGCCGAACGCCCGCTTGCCATCCGCTCCCACCTGGCCTGTGGTACGTCACCCAGTGAGCAATTCAAAAAACGAAGTGTGTTGCATGTGTGTCGTGTCGTTGGTCGTGTCGTGGTGCGAGGGCTTTGAAGATGGCGTACCGCCAAAGGTGATGTCGAGCCCCTTGTACGAGCCGCCCTTGTAGGTCGCTCCGGACTTGTGGAAGTACCAGTTGGCCCTGCAACACGTCACCACGTCAGCGCAACGTCCATACACGTCACGTCAGTGTCATGTGGTGTGTGCCGTGTGTGCGTACGTGGTCTGCTGGAGCGGGTCACAGTGCGTGAAGGTGTCATGGTGGTTGCCGCCCTCGTAGTAGTACTCGATCTCAGCCAGTCTGGTGGACACATGTGCTGACGTCAGCACAAGTCATACACCATACCGCCACACGCCAGAAAGAACGAGTGCTCATACCGGTGCGGCTGGCCGTTGATGACGAGGGCGACCTCGTTCAGCAGCCGGTTGGAGATGCGGGCGAAGGTGGCCTCGTACTCCTTGAGCGTGGCGTGCTTGTCGCTCACCGTCTTGGCGGCCAGCGACTTGAGGTGCTCGTCCTCGAGCACGTCGAGCAGCCAGCGCTGGTTCGCGTCGGCGCCATCGCTGTCGGACGACGACGAAGTCGATGACGAGGCCACGCGTGGAATCGAGTCCTCCTCGGCTTCCTTGGCTTCCTCCTCGCGCTGCAGCTCCCGGTCCTCTTCCCTCTGCTCCTCCGTCTTCCTGTTGCCGTTATTACGGAGTTAAAAAAAGGCGCCAAAACGCAACTAACGATTTGACTTCTATCATTTGTTTATGTCAGTAAGTAATTATTTTATAATTCTATACTTCTCGATCCACTAGGGCGCGGTCACGATGTATTGAATTTCTACATAAACATATAGTTATTTTTCGGATTGATAAAAATTCTTACGGACACGAAGAAGAAGAAACCGGGCGCACCCTCTCTTGGTTGCCATTTCCTGCTCTTGCACGTCGGCCTCTGCCTCCTCGTCGCTCGCCTTCTCCGCGCGCTTCCTCTTGCCGGTCGTGTTGTCCATGGCTGGTTGTGCTTTTGTTTCTGTCCCGTGCCAGGAGCCTGTTTTTTTTCACCTCACAATAAGCGGATTGGTCGTTTCAAATTGTTCTGCAAATACTTTCAATTCCAAGAATAAAAAGCGTAACAAATAGAAAAACCATTATTTTGGTTTGCTAGCACCGAAGAAGAACGAACAAGAAGAGCGCTCAGGAGATGGTGGCATCGACGACGGTGGAGGTGCACACGCCGGCCGAGGTCATGAACGGCGAGTCCTTCCACAGCGCTCTACCCTCACCATCCGTGCGCAGATCCTTCACAGTGGGCGAAGACGAAAGTCGGCGTCAGCAAAGCCTGCGTACGAGACAAAGAGGGACGAGAGAAGAGGGAGGGAGTAGTACCTTGAGCAGCTTCTTGAACCTGGCGTTGGAGATGGAAGGCCTATCGGGCTCGGCAGTATCGTCCTCGAAGAAGACAGTCTCGCCCACCTTGGCGCCCTCGGGCGGGTTCACCAGGTCGAGGCCCTGCACCTCCTTCTTGTCCCTATGTGTGACAACAATCGAACAAGTGTCATCATCACAATACCATCAAGTGGCGCTTGTTTGAATGAGAAAGAAAAGAGAGGGATTACCTCTTGGTGGCGGCGAGGACCATGCCCTCGGAGGTGACGCCGCGGAGAGCGGCGGGTTGGAGGTTGGTGCAGACGAGCACGAGACGGTTCTGCATCTTCTCGATGGGAATGTAGTTGACGAGACCGGAGACGATGGTGCGGGGCTTGTCCTCGCCCACATCGATCTGCTCCACGTACAGGGTGTCGGCCTGTTCGTGCTTCTTGATATCGACAATCCTGCCCACCTTCACCTCAAGCGATTGCGGACCCACTACAGCAGCAGAAGAGGCAGCGCGCCACTCGATCAGGGTCCATCCACGTGGTCACGTTTGACCGTGTTCGGTGCCCAAGAGCCCCTGGGAAGGGAGGATGAACGTACGCGTAGCGGTGGCGACCTTTCCCTTCTTGGGCGCGGCGACGGGGACGGCCTTCTTGACGTCGGGCTTGCCGCTCACGGCGATCACCACGGGCGCCTGGTGCGGGTACGCCCGGCTGGCGAGCTCGGCCTGACGGCGGGGCCGAGAAAGAAATGATGGCGGTGAGCTGGCGGCATTGAATCGGTGGTAGAGATGAGGGAGATGCATACCTTCTCGTTGATCTTCTCGCGAAGAGGGTGGAGGAACTCGTTGAGGAGGTCCCTGATACCGCCCTTGAGGTCGCCGGCCATGAGCTTGCCGCTGTCGCCCTCGGGCAGGACAAAGGCCGCCTCGACCTCGGCGTAGGTCTTGAAGGTCTGGAGGCCACCGTACTTATCGATGCGCGGCGCGACGAAGGGTCGGTCGTGCTTCTCGAGGAACCTGAACAGGATGTGCTTGAGGATGGCGAGAAGACCGTTGCCCTGGGCCACACCCTCGCGGGCGAAGGCCTGCTTGATCTTGTGCTGGATGGCCTCCTTCGTCTCATCCAGCTCGACCTGTTACACCAGTTTGTGAGCAACAGCAAGAATGCGCCCGCCAGCGTGTGTCGTGCGTGCGTGCGTGTGTGTGTATGTGTGTCGTGCGTGTGTTACCTTGGAGAGGGGCTCGGAGGAAGACATCTTGCCAGTCTCGCCGAGGCCAGGGATGAGCGGGTTCATGAGGTGAGCCCTCTTGCGGTAACCGATGCGGGGCAGGTTCTCGCGGGCGAACATGAAGATCTTGCGCTGGTCGACGCCACCGAACTGAACGTCGACGTCGAGGTACTCCTCGTCCAGCGCTTGGAGGATAGGGTACAGCAGGTTGGACATCAACGGGGCCGTGGTCATCTTCACCACCTCGGCACCAGCCTGCCATGTGTGTACGCAAAGCCACGTGAGCGCGACGTGCAGGGAAACGCGAGAGAGAGAGAGAGAGGAGGGAGGGCAATGCTGACCTTCTTGGTGTGCTCGGTGGTGACGAGAGCGCTCATGCGGTACATGTCCATGGTGTACTTCTCGCTGAGCTGGTACTCGGTACCGCGAATGAACTTGAGCTTGTCGAGCGGCACGCCGATGTAGGTGAGCATCTCCTTGATGATGAACTCGTACCACTCGCAACGCAGCTTCAGCAGCTCCCAATCGCTCTTCAGGTTGTCCAGGTAGGCGTGCAGATCGGCAAACAGGATCGTCACATGGCAGCCAGCTACAGGAAAAAAAATTAGGCGTGTGTGATTAAAATTCAAGTAGCCGAGCGAGATGACAAAATTGGCCAATGCATACCAGCGAGGAAATCAGAAAGCTTGTAAATGGGAACGAAGTATCCCAAGTGCGGCTTGCCCGTGGTGGCCGTGCCCCAGTAGATGCGCACATCGCGGCCCTCCTTGAGGATGCTGCGGAAATCGTTCTCGCCGACGATTTCCTCAAGATCCCGAGTGATGAGCTCGTACTTGGCCTCCTGCTCCGGCGTCAACTCGATCTTGGCCTCCTTGACCTCCACCGTCTCAACAGTCGATACCTCGCCCTCCATGTTGTCAGATCTTGTATCGAGTCGATTGATCGCACAATCGATTCGTCCGATGTGTTGTGTCCCCCCTTCCTTGTTTTTTCCCAGAACCGAAAGTGCCACTGGCCGCTACGTAGCCCGCCTTCTTAAACAAATGAAGTCAAACATGTTGTGGTTCAGCTAAACATATCTGTAAAAATTACACGATTGGCAGCGTCCCTCTTTGCCGAGTCTGATATTAGAAGCGTAAAATATAAGAATATCAGACCTAAACACTCGAGAATGGAGCGGAAGGAAGACGGTGCCACGCGGTTTCGAGTGCAGGTGCAGCGCAATGGCGGCCCGCAGCAGGGAGGCAAGGTGGTGCTGGTGACTGAGGGCCAGGCCTACGCGTTGGTGCTCGACGCCGTGGCGACCAAGCTCGGTCTCGACCGCGCCACAGTGAAGCTCTTCACTGCCGAGGGCGGCCTGGTGGAGGACACCGACGAGCTGTGCCCCGACGACTTCCTCTTCGCGGCCCACCAGGGCGAAGCCTTCGGCCATCCCACCTCAGCCAGCAACCAAGTGAGGTATTTTCATTTTATTTCTACTCCCGATTATTTTATTTATTTTATTTGCTTTTCCTATTATGATTAATTATTTTCGTTTTTTTGGGGGGTAGAGATGACAGCGCCGCTGGAGCGCCGAAGGAGCCGGAGGTGGTGCAAGAGACTGTGCCGCCAGCCACGGCAACGACCGCCGCTGCTGTATCGGGGTCGTCCTCTTCGTCGTCGTCATCGCTGCGGCCGCCGACGCTCTATCTGCTCTCGCCGGAGGCCGGTGGACAGGGAGCGCGGCCGAGGAAGAAGAGGACCGCCAAGAGCAAGAAGCCCTTGTCGCCCGAGGAGCTGGCCGAAGCTGAGCCCGAGGAGGGTAAGCAAGCCACCACCATCGCATGTGCTGTGTGTCTGTCGTGTGTGCAGTGTGCGCCGTGTGCGTGCGCCAACCGATAGGATTACACATCACAGAGGAGACGCTGCCGCCTCTCGTGGACGATGAGCAACGGAAGATCGAAGCGCGCAAGAACCTGCGACCGGGTGGACGCCCGCTGGCCGATGGCTGCTTTACGGTGGAGCTCGACCTGTCGCACTTCGTGCGTGTGCACGAGGAGCGTAACCAGAAGACCCTCATGATCATTGTCGCCGACAGGAGCGGCTCGATGAAGGGCAGGCCCTGGCGCCAGGTACCCGCCCGTTATCTTGCGCGCGGAGTGCTTGTGTCGTGCGTGTGTCGTGCGTGTGTCGTGTCGTGTCGTGTCGTTGGTCGTGTCGTGTCGTGTCGTGTCGTGTCGTGTCGTGTCGTGTCGTGTCGTGTCGTGTCGTGTCGTGTCGTGTCGTGTCGTGTCGTGTCGTGTCGTGTTGCGTGTGTCGTCGCTCAGTGACTGAATTCATGGCATCCACCAATTGCCACAGGTCCAAATCGCACTCATCCAAATCATGGAGCATATCTACTCTACGGAGGACGAGAGCTCGATGATCGTGGAGGTGGTGGTGTATAACCACGAAGCCACCTCGCTGGCCCTCACAAAGGAGACCTACAAGGATGTCATCAACCAGACCCAGGCCAGCGCCAAGACCTGCTTTGCCTCCACGTTCGATTGCATCCGCGGTATGCCTGTTGCGTTTGCGTTTGCGTTTGAGTTTGTGATTTCAGTTTACTAAATTTTGGTTTTGCACCCAATGACAGGGCTGATGGACAAGTACACCACCAAGGACAGCAATGTCGACAAGATTGTGGTGGGCTTCATGACGGACGGTCAGCACACCAGCGGGAAAGGTACGGTCGCAGCTGCCATTGCCCCCCTAGGCCGGCAGAGGCGAAGGTGGTGATCGCCAGTTTGCTCACACCACCTCGCGCAACAAATTTCAGACCTTCGTGCGGCCTCCATTGCGCTGCGCGACAAGATCAAGGCGCTGAACAGGGAGGTGGTCATCCACGCGATCGGCTTCTCGGACGACCACAACTTCCGCCTGCTGAACGACCTCCGGTACGAAGCCGGCCTCATCACATAGACCTCATCAGGAAGCTCAAATTCGTGTGCGTGTGCGGTTGCGTGATCGGATCAGGAAACTCGGAACCAAGGAGGGCGTGTTTCAGTACGCCGAGGCTGCCGACGGCGAGGAGGCGCTGCTCGAGAAGATCCAGCAGCTGTTCAACCTGGTCAACTCCTCCATCGGCGACGTGCGCTCACCCGCGCTAAACAACCACCAACCACCAACACTTGCTTACACTTACATTGAGTGGCTGGGTGTAACAGGCGACGATCACGTTCGAGTTTGTGGACCCGCGCTACTCGTTTGTCGACGGCTTCTCGGCGCCGGTCACCCTGCGCCGAAAGTGCACGTCGGTGGTGCCCATCCCACGCGAGGGTAAGGTCGAGCTCGAGCTGTGGCTGCGCAGGGACGACTCGGCCGCCGATTCGGCCGACAAGGGCAAGGCGGCGGACGAAGGCACCGCCACCAGGGTCTACGTCCTGTGCAAAGTCGAGTCCAAGGAGGGTGTGCTGGGCAACAAGGTCGAGGTCAACGTGGAGAAGCTGAGCAGGGGCGGCACCAACGACCTGTGTCTGCTCAAGTACCTCAACCAAGAAGGTATATCGCACACGCACGCACGCATCGCACACGCAACCAGTTCCTGATTGAACGCGTTGTTGTGTGGCTAGTGAACGAGCTCTCCAAGAAGATCAGCGATGCCGTGTCGTCGGGCAAGAAGCCGGCCCGCGCTCCTTCGAGCCCGCAGCCCCAGACCGGCGGAGGTGGAGGTGGAGGTGGAGGTGGAGGTGGAGGTGGAGGTGGAGGTGGAGGTGGAGGTGGAGGTGGAGGTGGAGGTGGAGGTGGAGGTGGAGGTGGAAGCGACAGCGGTGGCGGCGCGCAGAAGCCGGGAGAGGGCAAGCTGCAGCAGGGTGGTGCCACTGGGGCCGCCGCCGTGCAGAAGGCCGCAGCCACGGCGGGGATGTCGCTCGTCAACGTGAGCCCGGCCGAGATCAATGAATGGACGCAGCAGCTCAACAATCTGCAGCTGCGCATCGACGAGATCATGCCCTTCCACTACAGCAAGGACGAGCGCGAACGGATGCTCCAGATTCGCAGGTGCGCGCACTCGCGCCTTGTCCAGCTTTCATTGTTTCTCTCGCCTGGAGTGAGGTCTCATCCCTTTTCTATTATGAACCACGGCTACAGTGAGGCGCAAGCAAAGCTGGACGGCCTGCACCGCATTCTCGCCGAGCTGTCTCGTGGCGCTGTCTCGACGGCCGTCATCGCACGGTACGCCCATCGGGTGTCATTGGCGCGCTTCAAGGGTCAAACCGACTGATGGCAGTTAACTCTGCGTGCAGAGCCAACGACATTCGATTCGCGGCCGTGTTCTCGAAGGCCCGTCGACAGCGTAAGATGGACGTGCGCGCTCAGAAGAACGCCAAGGAGATGCAGCGGCTCGAGAAGCTGCTCGCGGAACTCGAAACCGAGGAAGAGGTGCCGCACACGCGCACACGCACACGCACACGCATACACACACGCACCATGCGCCATCGCACCCACGCAGCCACCTACTTCAACGCTAACGCTTGAGTGATGCCACACAGGAGTTGAAGGATGTGTCGGAGGACTCCAAGGAGTTCTTTGATTGCATGCTCACCCAGATGAACTGGACGGAGCTCCTGCTCGAGGACCAGGACGTGCTGGGTACGCAGCGCGAAGCCTTGCGTCGTCATATAATTAATCAAATCACATGCACTCGCTCAACCACTGACTCTCTATGCCAGGCGTGGGCTTGGCCGTGGCCCGTCCCGAGGTGTCGATCGACGACTCGACCCAGATCCGCATCTTCGACATCTCCAACACCTTCATGGCCAAGTCCGCCATGGAGGACGCCATCAAGTACTCGCTCGACTCCAAGGATGCTATTCGCACCCACGGCGGCTTCGAAATGGCGCGCAAGATCGCCGTGGCGCTACGGGGTACTGTCGTAGATGGCGTTGCCTTCGTTCTTGCCCTTCTCATCGATGGGAATGGTGGTGATGGTGTGCGCAGGTAAGGGGCGGGAACCGATCAACGCCTGGTTGCCGCTCTACATCCACAAGGCCCACTGGGAGCGTGTCAAGATTCTTCTCAAGCCCATCCTGGGTTATTTCTGGTGCGGCTTTAGCACACGCACCGCCGCACACGCACGCTCGCACGCACACGCACCGCCGCACACGTCGACTGATAAAGTTTGTTGATCAACACACAGCACGTTGGACCCGCTCGGCTACGACATCAAGCAGCTGGACGTCCTGTTCCTCATCCTGGGCACCATGATCGTGCGGCTGGGCAGCGAGCCCGGCGAGTTCCAGCTCAAGCTGCTCTTCTCCTTCATGCGCCTGTGCGTCGAGGCGGCCAAGGACTTCCGCTGGATCGACCACATCCGGCGCGTGGTCACAACCTTCATCGAGTCGCCCGCCGGGCGCACCAAGGACCAGCTCCCCAACCTGCTCGTGCTCGTGGGCTACCTTCTCGTCGTACCGTCGCACGAGCTTGGCCTCGACAACGACCGAGTGTGGAAGAGCTTCTGGTCCGCCTTCCTTGGTACGGTTACACTTTCGTTTTCGTTTCGTGTTTCGTTTTTGGAACGGAAACACAGTGCGCCTTTATTTATTCTTTTTTCGTATTACTTTATTCATTTAAATAGCTTATTTCTTGGTTTAATTATCAATGTAGAGGAGGCGATGAGGAGGAGCTCGGACTCGATCTTCTACAACGCCAACGAGTTCGAGGTGCTGGGTCTGCTGGACGTGCTGGCCAGGGGCAGGTCCTACCGGGAGCCCGTCCTCAACAGCGCCGACGCGGTCGTCCTGCTCGCCGAGACGGGCAAGGACTTCAGCGGTACGCGCAGCAACCTCCAGCCTGTCGCGCTGCAAGCTGGTGTAGCGCGAATGTGAAACCTGACGCGCTTGTACATGCGCCGCGCAGGTGATAAGCTGTTCAAGTTCCCCTTTGAGGTGCCGGAGGGACATGGCGCGGTCATTGCCGACGAGCCCGCTCGCTACGACCCCAAGCGCCTCGGTAAGCGCCTTGTTCGCAAATTGAGGTGTTTTCTTTTGGGAGCTCTGGTTGACGCTCTGCGGTGTGTGTCGTGTGTCGGCACCACAGTGAAATCGATGATGGACGCGACGCGGTACTTCGAGCACCGGCTCAATGAAACGGGCTACCCCAACATCGAGGCCATGCTGTCATCAATCACCTTTATCCGCCAGTGGCTCTTCCTCCAGAAGCACTACTTGCACGATCTCACCAAGTATTTGACCTCTCAGATCGCATCAATTGTGGCGTTGCCGACTTACTCACGACCTTGTGCGTGTGTCGTGTCGTGTCGTGTTGTCTGTCGTGTGCTTTACTAGCATCACTCAGCAGATGGATGACCGCGACGGATTGGTGCCTGACGCGTGGGTGTCGTTCTTCAAGGACGACTTCGCCATCCGGTTGAGCGGGGTAGACGGCGCGCCGACCCTCCACTCCATGTTTCGCCACATCTTCAAACTCGCGCCCAGCACGGTCAAGCCGCCTCGCATTCGCACCCTCAAGGCTGCCTCCGGCGGCGGCGGTGGTGGCGATGATGGAGGCGACGACGATGGCGACGATGGTGATGAGGATAAGGAAGATCCTAAGGTTTGTGGTGTGGTTGTGTGTTGTGTGTTGTGTGCTGTGTGTTGTGTGTGTGTGTGCGGTGATGCGTGTGCGTGTGCGTGTGCAAGTGCGGTGTGTGTCGTGTACGTGCCCATGTACTCACATGTGCGCGTGTAGAAGGATGAAGAGGAGGACAAGAAGGGCAAGGGCAAGGGGCAGAGCGACGAGGATGAACCGGAGGAGCCCCACTACATGCGAGCAGCGCTGGCCCAGGCCATCCGCTACCGCTCCAACAAGAAGGCCAGGACCGCGATCGAAAACGAAAGCTTCCTGCGCGCATTCGATGATCCCTTCAACGTGCTCACCGACCTTCACGACCAGCTTGAGCACAAGCGCGAAGCCGAGCGGTGCGCATCTCCACCAAACATGTCGGTTGTGTGAGTGTGCGTGGGTGTGCGGTTGTGTGTGCATGTCTTGTGCTGATTCTTGGGCGTGCAGAGCCAAGTTGGAGCTGGCGCGACTGGCCAGGGCGAAGAACCACAACTATCGAGAGAACATGGAGCTCAAGAAGCAGCTGCTGGCTGACCTACGCGGCCACCTGCACTTGCCTGCGCAGTGGAACTCGCTGAGGTACCTGCCGCTGATCATGGGCCTCTTCCACAGCGCCGCTGGACCCTATAGCCCGCACTTCTCGTCGGGTGAGGACTGGTAAACACGCGCCGCACGCGTACCATCGCACGACACGCGTTCCCAGAACGCTTTCGTGGTTTCTTCTCCTTTTTGTGGTATTTATTATTTATTTGTATTTTTTTGTTATCAATTGAATTAAACAACGAGCAAAGATGGCGCAGATGCAAAAGGAGGAGCGAGTGTTTAAGATTTCGGGAATCGTGGAGGCCTTCTTTGGGCGGCTGTGGAGCATGGACGATCGCAAATCGCTGGTCGCTCGATTCGTCCCTAAAGGCCTCAATCACTACCTCTATGCCGCCAAGGAAGACCCCAAGGTTGCACGCACCTCCCATCTATTTTATATCACTTGAATTAATGAGATTTGATTATTAATCCAATTTCTTATTTACCATTTTATTTTATTTCGTTCATCACTGCAGCAACGCAAGGAGTGGCGTGAGCCCTACACCGAAGAGGAACTGGGCCAGTTCCGCGACTTCATCAAGTTCTGCTCGGACAAGGGCGTCGCCTTCAACTACGGTACCGATCCCTGCACCCGCCCACCCCAACTTATGTTGTTCGCTGACATCTTCGCGTGTGCGGTGTGTGCGGTGTGTGCGGTGTGTGCGGTGGTGCGTGTGAGCAGGAATCTCGCCCCAGGCGGATCTGTCGCATTACGACGACGAGCGCGGCTTTTCGTCGGACGTGGGCCAGCTGGCCAACAAGCTGGCCACGTTCGCCGAGCTGGGCTGCCGCAACGTGACTCTCTTCCTCGAGGACCTGTCCGCCGCGCGCCAGATGGCGCGCACCAAGACGCCGCCCCAGAAGGGGCAGCAGCAGCTCACGGTGGGCCTCATGCACGCCAAGCTGGCCAACGACCTCGCCAAGCGGGTGGCCGACGTGCTCAAGGAGCGGCTGGGCGACAAGCCGGCACCGCGGGTCAATTGGTACATGTGCCCAACTCACAGCTGTGGCGATTTCCAGGTACCTGCTCAGTCCTGTGTGTGTCGTGAGTGAGTGATGTGTGTGTGTGAGTGAGTGAGTGAGAGTGATGTGTGTGATGTGTGTGTCGTGTGTCGTGTTGTGTGCCGTGTGTGCCGTGTTGCACTGGGTGTCGTGTTGCTTACACCACATGCGATGCATTTCAGGCTCTTGAGCGTGGCACGGAGGACAAGGCAGACCAAAAGAAGATCAAGTACTGGCGAGACCTCAACCAAGCTCTGCCCACCAACTGGACGCTTCTCTTTACAGGTGAGCTACACGTGGCCTTTCTTCTTCTGCTGCTGCTGCTGACGTGTCAACGTCGTTATTTCAAACCAAGGACGGACTACCGTCAGCGCCAACGTCACGGTCGAGTTCGCCAAGAGCCTCTCCGCGTTCTGGAAGAAGCGAAAGCTCATCCTGCTCGACAACTTCCCTCGTACGTCACTCCCACCCCAATCTGCGTGCCTGTTGCTCGTGAAGCTGAGACCGTCTACGATCGCCGGCACAGTGAACGACTACCGACCGCACATCCTGTTCCTGCACGCCTACCAGGGCCGTGAAGCCGGCATCGAAAAGTTCGTTCCCCCTTGCGCGCCGATCGCGCCCACAGTGGCCTGTCTGATGAGGTTGAGGTTTGAATCTTACGGACGGTCCACCGATGATGCAGTTACTTCGAGGGAGTGTTGGCCAACCCCATGGATAGAGTCGAAGCGTCCACAATTCCACTCACCACCGTGTTCGACTTCCTTCGCGACCCTGGTACCTCGTTTGCCCTTCTTTGTTAGTTGTGCGTGTGCGTGTGCGTGTGCGTGTGCGTGTGCGTGTGCGTGTGCGTGTGCGTGTGCAATCGTTGGTGATGCTGATGGCGATCTGTGGGCACAACAGCCAAGTACAACCACAACACGAGCCTCTTTGGCGCGCTCAATGAGGTGTTTGAAAACAACAGCCTCAACAACCTGATGGTCAACCTCATCCAGTACTACCCGTCCTCCCCGCTCTGCAACAAGGAGAAGATCATCGAACTCCACAAGCAGCGAAAGGTCCAGAAGACCGAACAGCAGCACCTCACACACCTCAACCAGGTCCGCCTCACCTCCGCTCACACGCACGCACACGCACTAGGAGTGTTTCAAATTCCAGCCCGCTGCAGGGCAAAATGACCTTCTCTGATGCGGATTTCGAAATATGTGTTTTTGCACGGCAGGGACTGGATCGAGTGGCGCGTTTCCTGCAACAGAGCACGGACGAAAGGCGGCAGCGATTGTTCGTCGAGCTGGAACCCTTCTTCACACTGGCCCGGGCCTTCGTGGTGATGAACCTCACCCAGTACGCGCTCGAGGAACTGCTCAACTCCCACACCGCCACCGAGTCCGCCATCGAGACCACGCAGCTCGAGCTCACCGAGGCCCAGCGCACCCTCGACGCCCTGCTCTTCCCGTCGCGCCCCGCCAAGCTGCTCCGCCAGCGGCTCCTCGAGCTCAACGAGCGCTTCTGCTCATGAACCCTACCCGCTACACGAATGTAGAATATGTGTAGCGTCCGGTGTACTCGTCTGGGCTATGTGGGGCTGCCCGACCATTGGCCGAGGGAGAGAGATGTGAGCTCGACCATATCTTGTGGTAGGGTCAGGTTGCTTGTCCTACTCCCAGTCCTCCAGGCATATGTTGCGGGGTTTTATGCGACGATTCCGATTGGGCGCCAACCCTCCGGTCCGCCCGTGGCCCACCACCGCAGCAACCACGACCGCCAACACAAAAGCCCGCACCCGTGCACTCGCACTTCTTTCTTCTTATCTCTGCCCCCGTCGCCCGCACCTTGAGCTCCAATAAGTCGGCCATGCCACGACCGTGTTACGCCGTGCCTGCCGCTGCTGTTGTGCTGGCGGTGCTCTTCTTGGCGCGCTGCAGCCACGGCCTACCGTGGGAAGACGTGGCCCGCGCCGCTGAGAAAGATGACCTTCACCTCCGGCAGCAGTCCGCTCACTCCTCCGGAGCACTGCGGGAGGTGCGGGGCCTCACCGTGCCTCCGTGCCCCGTCCACCCCAAGCCCGTCGCCCAACAGTTTATCAGCCAATCGGTGCGCGCTCGCCTGAGTTCATAGTCGACGATGACGCTAACGTTGTAGACGATGTCGTTGTTGTGCGAAATGTGCAGTTCATGCCGGACCGGCTGAAGCAGGCGCTGAAGAGCGTGGACGCGATGATGAGCAGTGCCCTGCAGGCGCGTGGCATCACCGCGGCTTCTCTCGGCGTCGTGTACGACCAGGAGCTCATCTGGCAGCAGGGCTACGGGCGCATCGACCCCGCCAGCTCCTACTCGTACGTTCTCGGCTTCACCTCCTCAAGTTGATGTGTGTGTGTCTCACCCCGACCATCCCCAATGCGCCCAGGCCACCGGTGGACGCCCACACGATCTTCCGAGTGGGCTCTGTGACTAAGCTGGTCACGACACTGATGCTGTTCAAGCTGCGCGATGCCGGCATGCTCTCGCTCGACGACCCCATTCACGTACATGACTCATTGCCGAGCTGTGAGTGCTGAACTCCCCCAATGTTAACATTGGCTTTGTTTGATGGTTCTGTTCCCAGCTCTACGTGCCGCAGCTGAAGTGGGCGTCGCCTTTCAAGGGCAACCCCGGCATCACGTGGCGCTCCCTCGCTGGGCAGACCAGGTACTACCTACGCTCTTGATCCCCTATCTTGCGGGTTGTGGGAAGACTGACCCATCAGCGACTATTGACAGCGGGCTGGGTGGCGCCACGCCGTGCAACTTCTTCACGCTGTGGGAACCGATCCTGGGCGATGCCTGTGATATCTCCAATGAAGAGGCCTGGAAGCGAGTCTCGTCCTCTCCCGTACGCCTCGTCACATCGCCAATTCATTGTGCGGAGCTCACATGTAACAAACCAAACCAAACAACAGCCGACTGTGCCGATGTGGGAGATGCCGCACTACGCGGACAGCGCGTACGCTATCCTCGGCCGGGCGTTGGAGTCCGTCGTGCAGATGCCCTATGAGGACTGGGTCAAAGAAAACATCTTCAAACCTCTCGGTACACCCTAGCGTACAACACACGAAACACTTCGCACACGCGCAACACAACACACAACACACTTCGCACACACGCGACACAAACACAACATAAAGTCACAAGACACATGTGGCACACTCGCTCATGCAACTCTCTATGGTGGATTCATGAATGAATAGGGATGGACAGCTCGTTCATGGCCTACGACGGATGGTCGGACATGGCCAAGCGGGTGCCGCCAGGCATGGAGGGCAACTTCACCTACCCCTCCTTTGTGGCCCAGGTCGACCTCCGCTGGGCTCGTCCCACCGGCAACGTAAGCGTTTAACTCTCGCTTTCGCTCTTTTTCTTCGCTCTCTTCGCTCTTTTTGTTGGTTACTGACCCATCATCAATAGATGTACTCGTCGACGGCCGACCTGGCCAAGCTGGCGTCGGTCTTCATGGTTGGCCAGGGCGAGCCGCAGAACGCCCTGGGAATCTACAGCAGCAGCCTGCGGGAGATGATGACCCCCTCCTTCATCAACGACGATAGGGTGCACCACTCCTCCATACTTCTTTGCATCTTCATCAACATCACTAGGTGTTGTCTCACACGAAGCGCTTGTTGTTCTGGTAGGTGTCGGCGTACGGCTACCCGTTCGAGATGTACCACACCAGCGCGCTGGGCGCCGGACTACCAGACTACTGGCTGCGGGGCAAGGCGGGCACCATGCCCGGCTACTTCAGCAAGGTGATCATAGTCCCCGAGATTAAGATGGGTACATATACGCCTCCCAACATATACACTGCAGCCAATAATGCAAGTCTTTGTATTGATTTCGTACAATGCTGATATATTGGGTTACATTGCAGCGGTCATCGCGCAGGGCAATAGCCACGTCAGCACATGGGACGTCCTGGCCACTCTGATCCCGGCCTTTGACCAGACCCTGTGGGACCTGCAGCCGCTGCCCACCAACCCGGGCAATCTCACCGCCTACGAGGGCACCTACGTCGCCTCCGCCCTTCTCGAGTACCAGCCCGCTTCGCCCACGCCCCCTCTCAAGCAAAATACAACATTCTGTCTGACTCGTCTCTTTTTCTCAAGTCTGCTGGTGGCCAACGCCACGGTGGTGGCCGACACAGCCAACCACCAACTCCTTGTCTACATCAGCGTTGGAGGTTCGTGCTGTGTCCTCTGTGTGTTGTGTTTGTTAATGGTGTGTCTCACAAACATGGTTGTGCGTTGCGCAGGCATGGCATCGCCGTCCAAGTCGGTGACGGTGGTGAATGCGGTGTGGCAGGAGGGCAACTCGTTCCTGATGCTCAACACAATGGGCCGGGGCCAGTCGTGTCTGTCGCTCGAGTCGGGCTACACCAACATCCTGATGACCTTCCACGAGCAGAAGCCGTGGCTCGGTGGCCCGTCCTTCGTCGCCTCGCTCGCCATCCCATCCGACCCCTTCTACGGTTGGACCTTCACCAAACAATAACATCATCTTTTCTTTTCTTTTTTTCGAAGTGGTTACAAGTTGCAACCAACTCTACACCAATCAGCAAACGCTTGAAATTAACGAACTTTAGCCAATGCCGAGAGACTTTGGGGCCATCGACAGCTCAGTTGTCGGGGTACCAGTCGAGGTCGATGTTGGTAACGCCGCAGGCGCCGCTGTCGCGGTCATAGTACTGCTTGATCGCGGGACGCGTCCAGCCGCCGAACGAGTAGGCCCAGGCGTCGTTGAACGAGGGCATGTTGTCGTAGTGGGCGTACCACAGCGGCAGCCCAGGGAACCCGCGAGTGCTCGCACCGACGGTTGCACCCCTGCGCCAATCTCATTCGTGAGAACGCGCGCGTTCGTGTGTGCGTGTGCGTGTGCGGTGGTGTGTGCGTACCACTCGTAGTCGGAGGAGTAGATGCCCACGCTCATCCCCAGCCTTTGGGCCGACGCCACGGCCTGCTTGATGAACGCAAAGTTGGACGCGTCGTCGTTCCAGCACCCCGTGCACTGCTCAATGTCGAACCTGGCGGACACCGAAACTTGCGTTCAGCAAGAAAGAACAACAACAGCTTCATTTCAGTAGAGAGAGAGACCCAAGGGGGCAGCCGGCAGTACCAGAGCTGGCCGTACTGGACGTTGTTGCTCTTCAGGTAGTTGTCGATTGCGCTCACGGCGTTCGCGGGCGGGTTGTTGCCGCCGCAGTTGGGACACAGGAACGCGTACTGGACCATCCAAAAGCCCCACAAAAGTGGTTAACACACCAAAAGGGAAAAAAGGTTGGGAGGAACGTAGTGTACGATGTCGACATGCGCAAACCCAGCAGCCCAAGCGTTGCTCACGCAGTAGGCCACTGTGCACAGCGGACGCGTTAGGAGAGCGAATGCGGCTGCATCATTCCACTCATTGATGACGATGATGTAAAAGTACGCTTTTGGTTGAGCTGGAAGCCGCCGTTCCAGGCTTCGATGATGGCAAACGAAAAGCCCTCCTGCTCCCTCAAGCAGCGCCACTGGGCCGGAGTGATCGAAGCTGTTCGTCAAGAAGTTCGTCAACATGATCGCAAGCCCTTAAAAAAATGAACGCACTAAAAGAAGGAAACCCGCCACCTTCGCTTCCTTCTTCCTCATTGGGGGGGGAACAAAGTGTTTGGAGACGAACCGCAGTCCTGCAGGGAGACGTCGAGCCCTTTGGCAGCCTCGGCCGGCGGCAGAGCTGCGAAGGAGGCCAGAACTATCGCAACCACCACAAGAACGGAGGTGGACTTCATCTTTCTCTTTACTTTGTGCCCAGGCAAGGCACTTCCCCAAGTTGTGGTCATTGGCTCGGGCAAACCCTGGAGCTGACGTCAGCTGCACCATTAAATTTTTTATTTATTGTTTTTATTCGGCACTTTCCTCCTCTAGCGAGCCATCGACCTCGTGGAGACGTTCGCGGATGGCGGCGGTGACGTTGTCGCCGGTGACGCGGTCGTAGCGCATGAGCTTGAGCACCTTGCGCACGAAGTTCCACTTGTCGTTGGACGAGGCGTGGCGGAGGACGAGGTTGTAGTGTTCGAGATCGGGGAAGGACTGCTTGTGGACCATGTTGTGCAGGAAGTGGACCGCGTCGTGCGTGCGGCCGAGGCGGCACAGGGCCTCGAGGTAGGCCAGCGCCACCGTGCCGTCGGGCTGGATGCGCCGCCGGGGCTCCATCAGCATGTCCCAGAACTCCTCGAGCATGGGCCAGTGTTCGGGGCGGCGACAGGTGGCGAAGAGCCGCGTGTAGGTCTCGAGCTTGTTGGGGTCGAGATAGCGCAGCAGCTTGCGGGCGCGGTCGAAGCTGTTCTGGTCGATGAGGCCGTCGATGACCTGGAGCGCCGGCTCGACAAAGACCTGGCGCGAGAGCTTGTGGGCGACGTTGAGCCGCTGCAGGGTCTCGAGCACCTCGGCGACGCGCGGACTGCGCGGGTCGCGCGCGAGCCAGTGCTCGAGGAGCAGCACGATCGAGTCGCAGTGCGGGAAAAACTCGCGCGGGTGGGCCTCCATGTGGCGGAAGAGCTCGTCGATCTTGTCGACGTCGCGCTTGGCCGCGAGGGCGAAGAGAAAGGTGCGGTTGAGCACCTTGTCGGGCTGGATGTCCCAGCGGGCCATCATGTTGCGGCGCACGTCCCAGGCCTCGTCGATCTTGTCGGCCTTGAGCAGGATGTCGATGAAGGGCGAGAAGGTGGCCAGGTGGGGCGCGACCTTGCCCTCGCGCCGCATGTCTTCGACGAGCTGGTAGCCGGCCTCGGTCACTCGTCCGTCGCGGTGGTACATGACCGCGAGCAGACACGCGACTTCGGTGGGCGTGGGCTCCAGGCCCTGCGCCTTCATCGCGTCGAGGAGCTGGTGCACCTGCTCGAGATCGCCGCGGTGCGCGTAGATGTCCATGAGCGCGTTGAAGATCGGCAGATCGGGCTCCACCTGCTCCTCCCGCATCTGATCCCACAGGTTCAGAGCCGCGTCCAAGTCGTGCGTTCTTGTTTTTTGTTTTTTTTTCTTTGTATGTTAGTTAAATAGTAATGCACGTTAACAAAAATAATGATAATATAATAATAAATATATTAATAATAATAAATTCGTACCGTTTGCAGACAGAAAAGAGCTTGTGGTAGGTCTTGACCGATGGAGTGACGCCGAGAATGCGGAAACTGGAGACGATGTCGCGCGCGGCCTGAAGGTTGTCGTTGGCAAGCTGGCCCACGATGAGGGATAGCATGGTGAACTCGTCAGAGGACAAGTCCTGCTCCTTCATCAGCTGGAAGATCTGCTGCATGCCCGCAATGTCATCCACAATCGCACAGCACTTCAAGAGAGCGTTGAAGGCGGCTGGTAGCAAAACGCACATACACACACACACAGAGAGACACACCATTAGTGAGGTGGCCGAGTTCACACTGCGGCAGAGGTTGAGTGAGGCCCGTACCCAGGTCAGGGGCGATGCCGTGTTGCTGCATCAGATTAAGTACGGCGAATCCCTTCTTGGCAAAGCTGCGCTCATGTAAAAAGCGCCGTGAGCAGTTAGCGCCCGCATTCGAGGTAATTGGTGGTGGTGGTGGTGGTGGTGGTGGTGGTGGTGGTGGTATCTCGTACAATGGTTGCGTGGAACAGACGTTGGCTAGCGTGGTGAGGAGCGGCAGAGTGTACGGGAGACCGTCTGCCTCCACCATCGCCATGACCTGGATGCGAAGAGGTGTGCAATGAGTGAGACCCCACAGCAAACTGTAGCAAACCGTCCACAGTGCGCACCTTAAGAGCAGCCGAGACGTCGCCGTGCCTGGCGCAAGTCCGAATCAGCGCCAGATAGATGCTCATGTCGGGCTCGAGTCCCTGTTGCTTCATCTCTGCAAGCAGCTCGAGCGCCTCTTGCTTTTTCGTTTCTTTGCTTACTCCACCTTGGCGATGTGTCGCATGGAGCTGGAGTGAGTTTTCATGCAGGGAAAACAAGAACGACGTACGCCAGTAATAACAATAATAATAATACAATAAGGTAGCAAAGATAGACGACGTACAGGCGCGAATGAGGGCTGAGTAGAATAGCAGGTCGACCTGCAACCCAAGCTTGTGTGCCAGATCGCGCATTGCGAGCGCCTACGTCGGTAAACAACAGTTAATGCAACACTCACAAGGTGCTGTACACTCGTGGGCGCCACGGGTTGGCGGAGGGGGGGAGGGCAATACTATCTCTGGCTTGTGGTTGTTTCGTGCGACATTTGCGTAGTGCGTGAGGGTTCTGATATTGGGTGCCTCCGTTCGCTGGAGTAATTCAAAAATATGTTGGGCAGCAGCCTGTAGAGAACCAGAGTGTGAACAAGAGCATCCCACGCACCACCGCACATCGCACGCGCGCACGCACGCAACACAGCACACGCACACACACGCATCCACAGCTGGCTGTGGGACATACCATAGATGAAGGAATGTCTCTCAGTTTCGCGAGTAGCGCATTGGCCTCGCCGACACACACCTTCGGTATACGACGAACGAGCGACAAGAGGTGGATGCGCAGCTCTGGATGCGCGGTAAGGCGTGCGACCAGCTCCTTCTCGTCGCAACTTAGCAAAACCTTGATCACCTCCTTGGCCGTGACTGGCGCGCAACACAACACAATGCACCGCACCGCACCGCACCGCACACATCACCACATATTCCCGAGTCAGTGTGGCTGTAGCGTGCGACCCGCGGCTGGAGCTCCGTGTGGTACCGTGTCGCTGGCCTTGAAGCTGGTTGACTCGAGTAATGAGCTCCTCCGCGGTGCAGGATTCTGTTAGTCCCCGCCTGAGTCAGGCTTGTGTGCTGTGTAGCGAGTTTCAACGTTGGCTGAACGTACGAGCGGGTGACGTGGTGGTGTAAGTCGAGTCGGCTGCCGTGGAAGTGCGCGCACTCGGCCGCGACTGCCATCGGCTATGGCACCCCTCCGGGCGCACCAGGAGGGCGCACGCTGGGGGGCGTGGGGACCCGCTTCGCGCAAGGGCACTACTGGCCGGTAGAGCAGTGGTTCTTATGTGAAGGCCGGCTTGCGCTGCAGGCAAAGGCGCTGCCCGTGGCTTCGTGAGTGCACAACCATCCCCGCTGCGAATAGAAAAACTAATCAGAAGCCCATTGTGCAATCCATTCAATTTAATCTACTTTTAATACACCTTGCGCCGGCGGACTGTGAATGTGTTCGTTCATATTATAATGTTCGGATGGGAGTGAATGCGTACACCAGCCAGCCTGGCCGCCCAGCCCCAAGCCTTCGACGCATGATCGGCCTTCCAATTAAATCTTGTGATCTTCGTTTTATTTTTTGTTTTCTTTTTACTTTTCTTCTCGAAAAGGAAATTTTAATTGTATTTTACAGACAGTTTGTCACCCACGGCTTCTTACGGTGCCAGGTTAGGCACGTCACCATCATCGCCTACCTGACTGTCGAAGAACGACACGACGTGCTCCATGAGCGGCCGCTTGTCTCGGTCGGCGTGCCAGCACTTCTTCATGACCTTGCGGAAGTCCTGCGGGCAGTCGTTGGGAATGGTCGGCCGGCGGCCCTCGAGCACGTCGAGCGACACGCCCATGAAGTTGCGGCCGGCGTAGGGCTCGCGGCGGGTCAGCACCTGCCACATGATGACGCCGAACGAGTACACGTCGACCCGCTCGTCGTACTTCTCGCCGCGGATGATCTCCGGCGCGGTCCAGCAGGGCGTGCCGCAGCGGGTCATCGTCGCGTTCTCCTCCTTGATCCGCGCAAAGCCAAAATCGGCCACCTTCACGTTCCACGTCTCATCCACCTACATGCACGAACAATCAAAATTGTGAGTTGGGCATTTTTCTGCGGTGGTGCGTGTGCGGTGCTGTGTGCGGTGGTGAGGGTGTGGTGATGCGTGTTAATTGCGGTTCACGTACGAGAAGGTTGGATGGCTTGAGATCGCGGTGGACGATCACGGGATGCAATGAATGCAGGTAGTTGATGCCCAATGCGGCGCTGCGCAGGAGACGCAGCTTCTGCTTCCACGTCAGCTTGATGGCGTTGTTGGAGAGGATGTCCTTGAGACTGCCCTGCTTCATGAACTCGGTCACGATGCACAGGTTGGGCTTCTTCACGCAGGCGCCTGTATTCATTGATGCAATGTTGTAAGCCTAAATAAGAACAATTTAAGAAAATAAATAGTAATAGAACGTACCAATGAAGAGGACGATGTTAGGGTGATGGAGCTCGGAGAGGAAGGCCATCTCGGCCCTGAATTCGAGCATGCGGCGCTCATCGAGCTTCTGCTTGATGAAGCGCTTGATGGCGACATCGACGCCCTTCCACTTGCCGCGGTAGACCACGCCGTAGGAGCCGAGGCCCACCTGCTTGCCCACCTGGATCTCGGCGAAGTCGATGATCCACCGGCACAGGTTGGCCGACGTGAGGAACGTGTCCTCCTTGAACATCATGCCCTCGCCCACCATGGTCTGCACCACGCGGGCGCCCCGGCCGTCATCCTCGTCGCTGGGGCTGCTCGACGCGCCGCCCTCGGTGGTGCCCTCGCGGTGGTCGTCGCTGCCGCTCGACGGGGTGTTGTTATCGTCGTCGGCCGTGACACCGCCGAAGAAGCGACCCTCGAGCTCGGGCACCTTCACTTCGTAGAGCGTTGAGCCTGGAAAGATCACAATGAATTTTAGCTCCGAGGGCATAGAATTTAGCTCCGATTCAATGCCGCTAGCTACCGTACCGTTGGGGGCGTCAGGCATCTCGAAGGTGCCCAGCTTCACGATGTTTTTCTTGTCGACGGGCGAAGCTGACGCCTCGGCGCTGCCGTTGCCCCTGGTCAGCATGCGATGGGCCGCGTGGCTCATCAGGATCTGACCGCCATGGGTCATCGCCGTGATGCGCGCCGCGGCATTGACCACCGGGCCGATGTACTCCACCCGCCGGGTCATCGGGTCGCGCACCGTCTTTGGCGTGCCCACGTGAATGCCCATGCGCACCCGCAGCCCCTTAAACAACACTCTGCGACCATCACCAGCCAGAGGGAATGACGTTAAGCTAGGCGATGACGTGGCATGGAATTATCATAATCTTGGAGTTTGATCAACGTACCGATCGTCAGTGTCGCCCCACTCCTCGGCCGCGCCGGGGTGTTCGAGGAGCGTGTCGGGCCAGTCGACTGCCAGGAGCGCCTTCTGAACGTCGCAGCACCAGGCCACCGCGTCGGCCGCGGTCTGGAAGGCCATGCAGAAGGAGCCCTCGCCGCTGTTGCGGTCGCGCAGGAACACCACCTCGTAGCCGCTGTGTCGCTTGAGCGCGGCGCGCAGCGTCTCGTTGTGCAGCAGTGTGGCGTCGCGCATGCCCGCTGCACTGAACTCCCACAGCGATGCCGCGCGCGTGATATCGGTGAACACGATCGCCACCTCGCCCTCGGGCGGGCGCACTCCGCCGCCGGCAGCCGCCTGGACCGCCGACAGCTTCTTGGAGGCGTTGGATGACGACGACGAACCGGTCGACGTCGAGCCATTGGTGGAGGGCAGCGTCCACGAGCCGTAGATGTTCTGTGTCTTCTTCCTGTCGCCGCCCGAGTCGCCGGACGATGACGTCGAGGTCTTGGAGGTGAAGGAGGTCATGCCGCCCGAGGTCGAGTCGCCATGCATGGCCGACAGGCGGGTCATGATCTCGAGGAAGGTCGGGCGGATGGTGGGGTCCTGGTGCCAGCAGCTGGTGATCAGCTCTTCGTACTCCTGCGGGCACGTTCCGGGTGTCTCGGGCATCTGCGGCCTGATACCGTCCCTGATCACCGCAACCGCCACCGCTGCCGGGCTGTGTGTGTGTGTGTGTGTGTCGCGCGTTGAGTGAATGCGCACTGAGAAGCTCCAGAAACAAGAAGACAGTACCTGAGACCGAGATAGGGCTGCTCTCTGGTCAGCAGCTCCCACAGGATGATGCCAAAGGCGTACACGTCGGCCAAGATCAAGTCGACATCGTGCGCCTCGTTGAGGATCTCGGGTGCGGTCCAGTGGACGCTGCCGGCGATGTCCTTGCCGCCGCCCTTGTTGTGCACCTCCTCCTTAAACTTGGTGAGGCCAAAGTCGCTCACCTTGACGTTCCACTTGGAGTCGAGCAGCAGATTGAGCGACTTGAGGTCGCGGTGCACGATGCCTGTAGGAAGCCTGCGTCAGCCTGGGGGCAACGTAAGCTCTTGGAGCTTGGCGAGAGTCCACGTACCGGAGGAATGCAAGAAATGCATGCCCTTGGAGGCCTGGTAGGCCATCTTGGCCTTCAGCGCCATTGGAATGTCGGGGATAAGCTCGTTATGGAGCAGCTGCGGAGAGGAAAGAAGAGAAGGGTTCAGAGTGCGCAACAGTGTGGAGAACCTATAATCGAGTCGCGGAGAGCGTACATCGTAGAGCGAGCCGAGGGTCATGAACTCCATGACGATGCACATCTTGGGCGCCTTGGTCGAAGCCGCCATGAACAGCACCACGTTGGGATGCCTCAACGAAGTCATCACGCGCACCTATTCACCACCGTAGGTATTAAAAAATGGAAATATGAATGAGCCACTGGAGCTGAGCTGAGTACCTCGTCCTTGAAGCTCTTTTCCATGTCGCGGGTGATTCTGTCCGAGGCCATGACCTTGACGGCCACCTCGGTACCCTTCCAGGTGGCCCGGTGCACCTCGCCGAAGCCTCCCGATCCGAGGTGCTCGCCCACCTCGAGCTCGCTGTAGTTGATCTCCCAGTCGTCGGTCTTGTTGCCCTTGCGCTGGATGATCACCACCAGCGCGACGATGAGAGCCACCAGGCACAAGAAGACCAGCGCCGCCACAGGAATGGTCGCGCCTGGGGCCACACACGCACTTCAGGTGAGACACGCTTCACATTCCGCTCATTGGTATTTGAAGCAGGCAGAGCAGAACTGTACCGAGAATGGGGGCGAGGACGTCATCGTCGCCGGACTTGACGGTTTGGCAGTACTTGCCCTCTCGATCGGTCGGACACACACACGCGTTCTCGACGCACTCGCCCACGTCCGTGCACAGCTGGTTCTCGTTGATGCAGTGGTACACGTCGCTCACCGGCTCGCCGTTGCACGTGAAGCGCTGGAGCTGGCCCAGGAATTGTCTGCGCACGTACTCCTCCGACGTAGGCAACACAAGCCCTTGCCTGGGTCGGGGCACCACGTTCGTCAGTTCCACATTCCACACCCCCAGACCTGTGTGTGCCGGGTGTACCCTTTGACGATCGCGGCTGAAGTGGGGTCGGCCTGGCTCCAATAGAAGAAGCTGGCGACCGCCTTAGCTTTGGAGCAGTCCTGCATGGTCGACGAGCGATAGATAAACGAGCCGAACGCCGCAATCGGCCAGCTCTCAGCCGATCCGCCTGTGGAAGCGCAAGTGGTCAGGAATTCAAGGGTCTGGTCAGCAGACTGAGGGCTCTGAGGGGGCGGGGGGGAGAGGCAGGAACCGAGAAGAAGGTCCTCGTAGGTAGGGGCGGCCGCCGCAGACACGCCATCGACCTTGGGAATGTAGTCGCTGAGCGCACTGCGGAGAGATTCCTCCGTGGGACTGACCACCTTTTGCGCTGTGTTGATGAGGGACGCCGACCCGAGGCTGCGCGACTGCGAGAGAAAAAAATGAACAAGAAGTGAGTCAGAGTAGCTACAGCCAAAGCAGACGCCTTGAGCAAACGTACAAGCTTCACTTCGTAGCCGGTCCAGAACCCAAACGAGTAATCGTGAGCAGTGAGTGCGGCCAGACCTTCACTCTCCTCGGTGGTCACAACCGACCGATTTGCCGCGCTCTGCACTGGGAACGTAGCAGTCGGGCCTGGCGCGACCTAAGCACCAATAAGAGCGGAGATGAGGGTGACGCGCAATTCCTTTGCAAGGCTGAGGGGGCCAAGTACCGTGAACTCGGGCACGCTGCGGCTGAGGGCGGTGGTGAAGAGCTGGGTGCGCGCGGAAACGGCCGAGGTGGTGACAACGACGATGGGCTCGTCGGGCAGGGCGTTCGATACATTCGCGGAATTGAGGTCCTTGATACGTTGGTCATTCCACATGGTCAGCCGATTCTCGTAGATCGCGGCGATCACCTCAAAGCTCAGCACCAGCTGGAGGTCAGTCAGCTCCGGCACATTGTAGGCTGCGATCAAAGCAATGATTAAACATCAGCAGCACATATATAAGTCAATAGAGATCAACAAGGCAGCAAAATGGGCTGAACTGTGGTGGAAAGGCGCACCAGGCACCAGGGCGTAGACGGCCGAGGGCATGAGCTCGACGTCGGGCATCTGTGTGATCCACTCGGTCGATAGTCCGTTGCTGGTGGCTCCGTAGTGCAGATCGTAGTTGGTGAGCTGCCGTTTGGCTTCGTCCGAAGACGATTCATAGTACTTCATCTTGCTGGTCGACGACGCCCGTGCGACGCTCCACGCGGTGAACAGCGAGAGTCCGGTGCCCGACCCGACCAGGTAGGCCGAAGTGAAGGCCAGCTGGCCGCGGCACTTCATCGTGGACAGAGCGTCGATGACGCCCTTGCGCAGGGACACGTCCAGCGGCACAAAGTTCACACTGTCCGCCGCCCGTGAGGCTCTGTGTGGTTGTGTGTGCACGTGTGCGTGATTAGAATTCCAGTGAATGAGTGCGGCGAGGGACGTGGTGGGTGCACGCACGCGTCATTGGTCTGAATCCAGGCCACGAACTCGATCAGGTCCTGAACGTTGGAGCACTCCTGGGAGTAGGTATCCTGAAGGAGGGTCACGTAGATCATGTAGGACAGCGGCCACGAATCGGTGCCGTTGGCGTCGATGATGTTGACCGTGAAATCGCCGTCGCTGATCTGCGTGGTGAAGGTGGACATGGCCGCCTGTACCGACGTAGTGGAGGGCTTGACCAATTTGTTGGCCCGATTGTACATGTCCATATACCTGGCGTTGGCATTGACCGCTGCGGGCAGGCTCACGTAGGTCAGACTGTTGGGCTGATCCTGCAGACAGAAATATGCGTGGAACGCTTTAGATTTCAAGCTGGAAATTCTTGAGATTCTTAAGAAGGACGGTAGTGGTACCGTGAGGAACTGCAGCCTGTCCTCGTCGAACACGCCAGTCTCGTTTGATCGGCCCTCGAGGGCCGGCGGCAGCAGACTCCACGAGCGATTGGCCCGCTCCAGCGCGGCCTGGAAATCGGGACTAAACTTCTCCAGGGCTATCTTCATGACCTCGGCCAGCGAGACGTTGTTGCCCTCGTTGTAGGCCATGTGAATCTTCTCCCCCGGGAGCTTGTTGGCGATGGGGCCGTTCAGGTCCTTGATGCGGGTGTCGTTCCACATGGTGATGTTGCCGGCCCAAATCAGCCCCAACGTCTGCCTGTCCATCACCTGTGGTCGCGTTGCATGTGTGCGCACGCAGTCGAGCAACAGTTACCCAGTTAGCCCTGGTTGCAGTGTTACCCTCCAGCACTCAATGCGCAAACTTCCGGCGGAGCTCGCGAGGGCAACTGTCACGTACAAGGCTGGGGTCGGAGGCCGAGAGGGCGGGGATGTTGTAGGCCATCACCAGGGCCTGCCCCACAAGCGGGAACTGAGCAAGCCCGTAGAAGTTGAGGATTTCTTTGGGAATACCACAGTCGAGCGCCAGAAAGTCCTGCGGTGCGGGTCATCGACTGAGGAGTGAGCAACTTCGCCCTTCTCCAGTGGTGGAAAAGGGTAGAAGGTGAAGAGGTAAGAGCAGAGCGTACCACTTGGCCTCTGACGTACTTCTCCGTAGCCGGCTCACTGGCCATGGGCTGATAGGTCATGCTGACATCGTCGCGAGTGTAGCGAAAGGCGCTGGACCAGAGGTCGAGCACCTCGGAGACGGCGGGCGTGCCTGCGCCGATCAACTGCCCGCCCCGTACTGGGGCGTTGAGGAAGCAGAGCACCAGGAGGACAGTCGTCCACACCATGAGCACCACAGAAGTAGCCGTACGCATCTTCTTTGGTGCTGTGTGGTGGCTTGCGGAAGTGGTCGTGTGTGTGTGTGAAAGAACTGCTTCGCGTGGTGATGATGTTGCTGGTGTGCTTCGGTGAGCGCAGTGGTCGTTGCCAGTGCCACGTCTAGGCTATAGATAGTGGTGCCCTGTAAAACGGTGTTACGCGGGCCATTCTTGTCGCCCCGCCAGCCAATCGGCAAACTTGGGGCTGTGGTTGTGCTCACCGGAGTTGCTCGAACGAGACGTGATCCGACCGCGGTGAGCCGCAATGGCGATGTTGTTGTAAAGCTTGGCATCAAAAATACACCAAATGTCGACATAAAAAACTCATAATTAACCTATATTCGTGTAAGACGGCGGAGTGTAACGCACTTTTGCTCGCGCGCCTGTCCCCTGTGGTTCTGCGCGGGGACCCAGAACGAGCACAGTTCCACCTTCCCCACCGTCAAGAGAAGACCTAATCATTTTCTCTTGGTTTGTTTCGTTGTGGAAATAACAAACTAGGTGCTGGGCGAGGGTGTCACCTGACATTCAACTGTGGCCCGCCTTTCGCTTGTGCTGTTTGCGACCGGCGGCTTTGTTGTTGGGCTTTTTGGATGGCTGTTGCTGCTTCTTTTTCTTGTCGCTAGGGGGCTTGTTGGCGTGCGATCGAAGCCACTCGGGCACGTCCTGCTTGGCCTCCACCAACAGCTGCACCAAATCCGCTGCGCTGTCACCGTCCCTCTGCGTACGCAGGGCCAACACAAGCAACACGTCAGACGGTTGTGGTGATGGTCGTTGTTGTAGAGGACATGCATCGAACCTGGGGAAAGAAGAAGGCGACGGCGAGGCCGGCATGGCCTGCACGACCCGTCCGCCCGATACGATGGACGTAGTCCTCGATTGTCATCGGCATGTCAAAGTTGATGACCTGTTCATCCAAGGGGGTTTGTGCAGTGAGCCGATGTAGCAGGTGAGTTTGGGCATATATGAATGGAATGCGCTGGCTGGGCGTACTTTGGTGACGTTTTCAATGTCGAGTCCTCGCGCAGCCACCGACGTGCCGACCAACACTTGCGCCTTGCCCATACGGAAACTATGTATGCGTCGCGTGCAAATGGTCATGTCACATGCGTGTGTTTCTGTCTATTGCAGGGGTGAGGGCCGCTCAAACCTTTTGATGGCCAAATCGCGATCGCGCTGCTCCAAGTCGCCGTGAATCATGGTTGCAGTGATTCCTTGACTCTGCAACGATCATCACCACTGTCATTAATTGATGCTCTTGCGGGGAAGTGAGGGAGCAGCTAGCGTAGCAATACCGTCAAGTATTCATGCACCCTGCGCGTTCCTTTCTTCTTTTCCACAAACACTGCACGGACCGGTCACTGTGCATTAGCAAGCAAGTTGACGACTGGCTCATCGGCATATTCACACCGGTGGACAAAAGCATCATACCGAGCACTCGATCGGTTTCTTTGAGCCCCTGCAGCTCTCGCTTGAGCATGCCCCACTTGTAGTCCTCGTTCTTGACCAATAGAATCACCTGCCAATGATCATCCCCCCCCGTAAGGTCAGCGTTGATGAGGCAGACCGACACTGGCGAGTGGGCGCACCTGTTTGATGGCTTCGGTGGTGGACCCGGCACGACCAACGGTCACAGTGGCGTAGTCCTTCTTCAAGAAATCCGTGGCCAGTTGGCTATGGGCGGCACATACAACACGTACGGCGATGAGTTGTTGGAATTCTGAGAATTCCACGGTGGGGCGACTCGAAAGGGTGCGTATACGTACATGATGCCCTTTGGGAATGTCGCGGAGAACAGAAGCGTCTGCCTCTCCGTGGGCATGTCCCGCTTCTCCACCAGGTTGCGCATCTGTGGCTCGAAGCCCATGTCAAGCATCCTGTCCGCTTCGTCGAGCACCAGATAGCACACCAGGCGCAGCGAGATCTTGTCCCGCTCCACCATGTCCCTGAGTCGTCCTGGGCGCGGAGTAACATTATCATGATCGATAAGTAGGCAAAGACGCCAAAGATGTGTCAAATTCAGGAAGGCCTACCAGGAGTGGCAACCAGGATGTCGGATCCGTTTTTCTCGAGAAGGCGGGCTTGGGCGACGTAGGACGTTCCGCCGTAGACAACCGATGTCTTGAGTGGCGTTGATTCCGTGAACTGGGGTGTTATGAGGATTGAGTACTGGTTCAGCCACGCACGCACGCGGAGGACAATGACAAGGGGCATTACCTTGAGCGCCTCCTGATAGATCTGGACAGCAAGCTCGCGCGTGGGCGCAAGGATGATCACCAGCGGATAGGCTCGGAAGGTGTGCCGCCAGCCCACGCCGGCAGCTTCGCCCTTGCGCTTGTCCTCGCTCAACAGGGAAGCTATGATGGGCAACAGGAACGCTGCAGTCTTGCCACTTCCTGCATTAATGAAGGTGCAAGTCGTGCGCGCACATGTGTGTACGTGTCGTTGGTCGTTGGTCGTTGGTCGTTGGTCGTTGGTCGTTGGTCGTTGGTCGTTGGTCGTTGGTCGTTGGTCGTTGGTCGTTGGTCGTTGGTCGTTGGTCGTTGGTCGTTGGTCGTTGGTCGTTGGTCGTTGGTCGTTGGTCGTTGGTCGTTGGTCGTTGGTCGTTGGTCGTTGGTCGTGTCATGTCGTGTCATGTATGTGATCAGTTCCTGGTCTTCTTAGCCGGTCTTAGTGAGCCCAGGGGTGAAGGGGTGTACCGGTCCGGGCGCAGCCCATGAGGTCTCGGCCCTGCAACAGGATGGGGATGGCGTGCCTCTGCACGGCCGTGGGCTTGGTATATCCGCTCTTGGTGATGTTGTTCATCAGCACTCTGAAACGAAACACGTGTAAACAAAAAAATGTTAACGAACAGTTGAACGACACGACACACGACACGCGTAGCACACGGTGCGTAGGCAACCTGGCGGTCGCACACACACAAAGAGAGGAAGCAGCAACTTTTACCCGTCTTTGACCTGCAGTGGCTTGCAGCTGGCAAAGGCCTCGAGCGGCGGAAGGTTGGCGCCCACCACCTCCACCGGCACGTTCTCATCTTCCTTGTACTCTTCTTCTTCGACCGCTGCCGCAGGAGTGTCAACCACAATATCCTCGCCCGTGGCCGCTCCATCGTTGTCCTCGCCCTCTTGGCCCTGGCGTTTCAGAGTTCAGCATCGTTGGCATCTCAAAAAATCAACAATCGCAATTAAATTATGATTGAGATGAAAACGCTACCGTGGCTGCTGGTTGAGTCGCCTGTGGTGCAGTTGCAGCTGCGGTCGTGCGCTGCCGCTTGCCCCTCTGTGCTTGGTTGTGTGAATCGGAGGAGGATGAAGATGGCTTTTGTGGTACGGAGGAGCTTGTGCCTTCGTTTCGCTTGCGCTTGGCCCCGGCTGCCGGTGCGGCGTCGGCGGCCTTGGTGGGCAAGCCTTCTCCCGCGCCCTGGTTCGTGGCACCCTTGCTCACATCTACAGATTTTTCATCTTGCTGTTCCGGGGGTGCCGCCTGCGCACTGCTTGCTTTGCTGCCTCCGTGCTTCCTCTTCCTCTTCCTCTTTACCGTGACGGCTGCGGCATCGTGAGCCTCACCTCCATTCACAATCTTCTCCACCTTGCCGGTGTTCATCGTGTAGCGGCGCAGTGTTGTAAATAAATAGAAATAAATGACAAGAAAAAGAAAATGGTTTTATTTTATTTTTATTTTTTAATACAGTTGAAATAACCAATCAATCACTGGGCGAGGGCCTGCGCGATGGCGTACTCGCCCGAGTGCGAGATGGTGACCTTGATCGAGTTGACGCCCAGCACGGAGGCCACGGTGCTGGCGTGGCCGTGCAGGACCACTCTGGGCGCGCCCGACGGCCCGCGCAGGATCTCGATGTCGCGCAGCGCCGCGCCGCCGCCCTCCCACAGCTCGCGCGACCGCTCGTTGTCGTCGCACGACGAGATGGCCTTTACGACGGCCTCCTTGGCGGCCCAGCGGCCGGCGAAGCTCGCTGCCGGGTCGCCGGTCGACCGGCAATAGTTGACCTCCTCGGGCGTGAAGTTGCGGCTGAGGAAGGTGGTGCTGGTGGAGATCGACACCTCGATCTCCGAGATCAGCTGCGTGTCGACGCCGATGCCGCGGTCGTTGGGCGCGCGCAGGCCCTCGCCCATCTCGCGCAGCGTGACCTCGAGGTTGGTCCGCGCCGACGACTTGATGCCGTTGCCGCCGCGCGGCGTCGCGCCACGGCCGCTCTTGGTCGGCGACGACGGCGCGCCGCTGGTGGTAGTGGTCTTCTGCGCGTACAGCTTCCGGCGGTCGGTCTGCGGGAACGACCACGACACACCATCGAACGTCGCTCGAGCCTACAAAATACAAAAATATACTTATTAGCTTTCCATCGAAACATTTAAATGCTGACGTCAGCAAGCCAGTGGGGGAGTGGGGGCGCACCTTCGGGTTGAGGTAGACCTTCTGCTCCTCGCCGTAGGTGTAGGGGGCGTGGTCCTTGACCATGACGAAAGACTTGCGCTGGGTGAGGGAGTCGTGCCAGTGGCGGTAGGCCAGGTTGTACCGCTTCTGGCGGCGCTGGGCGTAGGCGTCGAGCTCGTCGGGCGCGAGCTGGGCCAGCACGTAGTCCGGGTGGATGACCAGGATCTCGCCGCCGACCTGGCCGAAGCCGAAGCTCTTGAGCAGGCCGGCCTTGAAGCCGTAGGTGTGAAGCGACCGGTTGAGGAAGACGATGTGGTCGCAGGCCTCGAGCTCCTTGTCGATGTTGTCGGCGTTGCGGTTGCCCGGCACGATGCCGGTCATCATCGACTGCAGCAGGCCGTTGAGCATCCACGCGGCGGCGGCGCCCTTGGGGTGCCCGGTCAGGTACTTCTGGAAAATGCTTAGAATGCAGTTGCCCGTGGTGCGCCCGAGGTGCTCGAGCTGCTTCTGCAGCAGCTGCGACTCGTTGATGTCGTTGGCCGCCGTGCCGGTGCCGTGGAACGAGGCCACCTCGACGTCGTCGATGGTCAGGCCCCACACGGCCAGGCCGCCGGTCAGCGGCGAGATGTAGGGATCGTTGCGGTAGAACTCGTTGCCCCAGACCGCGAGCGCCATGGCCCGCTTGTGTCGGTGCTTGAGCTCGAGCGACTCGCGCTGCTCGGCCGCCATGGTCTTCTCCTGCTCGTCGGTGAGCCCGCCGCGCGCGGCCTGCTCCTTCATCCACGCGTCGAGGAACTCGCGCTCGGCGCTGTACCACTGGTCGATGCTGGCCAGCTCGGCCTCCAGGTGCCGCCGGCGGTAGTCGACGTCGAGTATGGGCGACGCCACGAGCGCGTTCTGCTGCCGGGCGGTCACCAGCAGGCCCTTGCCGGGCGCCGGCACGCTCCTCCCGTTCTTGTCCGTCGCCGTCGCCACGTGGCTCACGATACCATAGATCGGCACGCCCATCTGTCATGATCGGAGTTAAAAATGAGTGTGTGCGATGATGTGTGTGCGGTTGTGTGCGGTGAGCAAACCTTGATGGCGAGGTCGGCAGCCATGAGGATCTGGACGCCGGCGCCCTGGGACTCCATGAAGCCGCTGCGGGTGGAGGTGGCCGGGCGCGACATCTCGGCGGGCAGGCGGCCGGCCTCCGTCTCGGCTTCGGAGTTGGAGGTGGCCTTCATTGATGCGAAGCCGTAGGAGCCCTCCTCGCTGAAGTCGTCGTAGCCGCCGACCACCACGATCCGGGCCTTGCCGCTCTGGATCGTCTCCACGCCGATCTCGATCGAGCCCACCGCCGTAGCGCACGCGCCCACGGGCGTCTTGATCGGACCACTACGTGGTGTGCGGTGTGTGTGTTTGTTAAGCAAAGGCACGATTGATAGTGATAAGAAAGGTGGGTTACCTGGAAGAGAGCAGCAGCATGTTAACGTAGGCCGCGACGGTGTTGATGAACTGCTCCTGGAGCGCGTCGCCCTGCACGGGCTCCTCGAGGAGCACGGCCCTGTGCATGGCGCGCACGCTCTTCATACCTCCGAAGCCGCCGCCGATCGTGTTGCCCACCTGGGACACATGCACGTACTGCAAAAAGAAAAGGAGAAAAGAAAAGAAATTCGTTGAGTGCGTGTGCGGTGGTGTGTGCGGTGACGTGTGTGCGTGTGCGGACCTCGTAGAATTCGTAGGGGTCGGTGACGCCGGCAGAGACGAGGGCCTCGGCGGTGGAGACGAGCGTGTAGAGGGTGACCGGGTCGACCTGCTTGACGATGTCTTCGGGCAGGCCGAAGATGGTCGGGTCCCACGACGTGGGGATCTGGCCGGCCACGAAGCGGTCGAACTTGAGCGCCTTCGGAATGTAAAGCACGCCACCGCGCTTGATCAGCACCGAGAAGACGCCGTCCTTCTCGATGATCTCGACCGCCTCGCCGTGCTGGCGCTTGAAGGCCTGGGCCTCGGCCTCGGACGACACCTCGAGCGGTCCCATGTCCTCGTTGATCGCCACCTGGTGCAGGAACATCTTCTTGCTCGGCTCGTAGCCGCCAAACAGCGACGGCTCAATGATACGAATGCCCTGCAATCACCCACCACGTATGAGCATACTGTGCCGTGTGTCGTGTGTGTGTCGTGTGTCGTGTGTGTCGTGCGGTGCGTACGGTGTTTTCGAGGATGATCTTCTCGTAGCGGGCCTTGATTTCGTCGTCCTTGATGGGCTCGCCGGTCTTGGCGTCGACCCAGCCGGTGCGGCTGTCGTCGTTGTGGTAGCGGATTAGGCCCATCATCCAGGCCAGCTCGATGCAGCCCTCCATCGAGAACTCGCCGTAGGCCTCCATCTCCCACCGGGTGCGGGCCGAGCCGTAGGGACCCACCTCGCCGAAGCCGGTCACCACCACCACGCGCTCCATGTCGACCATGCCCTTGATGCGCTTGAGCTGCTCGAGGCGCTCCTTGGAGGGCAGCGACGGGAACTGGACGTTGATGTTGGCCCGCGGGCGGATCGAGTGGTTGCTCGTGGCTGCTGACACGGCCACGTTGTGGTTCTCCAGCTCCTTGTCCTGTTCGAGCAACACACACACACACACACACACGTGAGCCCCATGGGCGGAGAATGCATCAATTACGGGCGCATACCTTCTGAGTGTCGGCGTAGACGGCCTTGCGCACGGAGGCGTCCTCGTTCATCGAGGCGCGGAGGTTGTTGAGCACGGAGTCGAGCTCCTTGATCTTGAGCAGGCCGCCGCTCAGGTCAGCCAGAATCGGCTCCTTCTGGGCCTCGGCCACCATCCTGTCATGACCCATCCATGTGAGCGCGTGTGCGGTGGTGCGTGTGCGTGTGCGGTGGAATGATCGGTATGCAGTAGCGTACTTGGGGTGGAGCAGGCCGACGCAGTTGAAGCAGATCTCCTGGGTGGTGAAGGTGCGGACGCCCAGCTGCTCGATGCCGACGGCCAGCAGGTTGTTGCCCTTCATGAGGCCCGTGCCACGGGTCCAGCCGATCACGGCGCCGGCCAGCGACAGGTAGTTGGACCAGCCCTCGGACTTCCACTTGTTGAGCAGGGCCTCGAGGCCGAGCTTGCTCTCGGCGTAGAGGCCGTCGAACCCGAACACGCCGTGGTTGGGCGACAGCGGGAGCAGGACGTGGGCCGGCCGGGTGACGATCGAGCGCGACTCCTTCTTGTTCTTCACCGCGCCGATCAGGCGGATCGTGTTGGTCAGCATCAACCGGTGCGCCAGCTCCGACTTGGCATCGATCGCGCCAATGTCCTACACACCCACACGACACATTCGAATCAGCACCACCCACAACTACACGCATGCCTGGAATTCCTAAGAAGCAAGGAATTGGAATTGTCGGTGGAGGGTTCGCGTACGCGTCCGCCCTCGGGGATGGCAGCGAAGGGGATGATGTAGTCGATGTCGGCGCCCTCCTTGTCGTACACGTAGTCCACCAACGCCTGCACGTCCTGCTGCGATGACTGTGGTCGACAAATAAGAAGAACAAGTGGTGGGGTGAGTGCCACGTCAGCATTGACATTAAGCAAGACCTTGGCCGGGTGCTGGTGTGGTACCTGGTTGAAGGGCAGGATGACGAGTTGGGCGGTCTTGGTGCCGTGCTGGTCGAACAGCTGGTGGTAGAACGAGCTGCCCGACGACGAGAAGCGCGAGGTGGTGGCGTAGATCTTGGCGCCGCCGCGCAGCATGGCCTTGACGATCTCCAGGCCGATCGAGTCGCGGCCGCAGCCGGTGATGAGGATGGTCTTGTCGTGGAAGGTGACGCCCTTGGACGCCATCTCCCGCAGCACCGCCATGTACTTTTTCGTCGACTTCGGCTCGTACGTGCGGTGCGACGGGTCCTCGTCAGCTCGGCCCCTGTGCAGACAATTTTGTCAGATCGGGTGCGGTGTGTGTGTCGTGTGTGTGTGTGTGTGTGTGTTGGGTGTACCGTAGGAAGACGTAGGGCTGGATGGTCTTCTGGAGACGCTCCTCCTCTTCCTGCTTCTTCTTGCGGTTGTTCTCCTCGATGATCTTTTCCATGGAGGCGAGGATGGCCGGGTCCACCTTCTGCGTGCGCAGCTGCTCCAGGAGCAGCCCCATCTGGTCGCCGCTCGCGTTGGGCGCAGCAGCGGCCGCAGGCGAGGAGGTGGTGGTGGTCTGGTCGCCCTTCTCCATCTCGGCCACGTAGTCGGTCATGTCCTTCACGCCCGGGCGCGGCACCTCCTTGTACTGGATGAAGCCCTTGCAGTCCACCTCCAGCTTGGGCGCCATCGGGATCGAGAGCTGCGTACACACCAACACACGATCAGCACACGACCGCACACGCAACGCCGCACACAAGACACACACACACGCAGTTGCGTGGCCGCACCTCACGATAGAGCGGGTAGTTGTCCATTTCGCGCTGCAGGATCTCGCCCAGGATGTTGATGAAGCTGACGATCTCCGGGTGGCCGTCGTTGACGGCCTTGGTCTTGGCCCACACAGTCATGTCGAACGCGTTCGAGGTCGCCCTGTTCTTGATCCTGTAGAGCCGCTCCCTGATGTCGTTGTTCCAGCGCCTGCGTCGACCAACACACGACACACGACACACGACACACGACACACGACACACGACACACGACACACGACACACGACACACGACACACGACACACGACACACGACACACACGAAAGCGTGTGAGTGAGAACGCGCGGTCTGCGGGTCGTCAGTAGCTGAGCGTACCTCGTGCGGCCGCAGGCGTAGTCATAGTAGAGGACCAGGCAGTCCTGGCGGGTCCAGTTCCAGGCTGAGTCGTAGCGACGCTCCTTCTTGGCGTCGAAGATGGGCTTGATCCCATTGCCATACTCCTCGCCGTGCTCGTTGATCCTGTGCAATGTAAAGAATGTCAGCCAGTCCGGCCCAGTCATTTTTTAAATTCTGCGAGTGTTGTACGTACCAGAGGCTGAGCTCTTCGGCCTTCTCCTTGAGGAGCTGTTCGAAGAGCTTGACCTTGGCCTCCTTGTCGAGCGGGTTCTCGCTGAGGTACTTGTAGAAAGCCTTCATCTGGTCGCGCACCATGGCCTTGCCGCGCTCCTCGAGCTTGTCCAGCAGCGCCGAGTCGATCACCCGCGCGCCGCCCGCACCGCCATCGCCGCCCGCGCCACCCGCGCCGGCCGCGTCGAACAGCGCGATGCCCTTGGCCCGCGCGTAGTCGGCCACGACGCCGTCGAGCCACTTCTTGGCCTCGTCTTCGGTGGCCAGGCGCGCCTTGGGCTCGCCCGCGAGGCCGCGCAGGAGCACGCCCTCGACGCGGCCCTCGCCCAGCGCGTAGCGGCCGGCCAGATAGGCCTTGAGCGCCGACAGCGGGAAGCCGCCGGGCATCTTGCCGCTGACGAGCTTCGCCACCTGACCGTTGAGGAACGAGCCCAGCCGGTGCGAGCCGTCGGGGCCGTCGGCGAGCTTGGCCGCGAGCGCGCCCAGCTCCATTTCGGCGGCGCCCTCGGGCTCGCGCTCGAACTCCTTCTGCACGTCGCCCACGATCTCGTTCTGCAGCGCCGACTTGCCGCCGGTGAGCGACTTGACCGTGGCCGTGGCCGGAATGGTATCGACGTCCTTCTGCAGCTTGATCGAGAGCAGCGTAAGCAGCGACTCGAGCGCCGTCGGCTTTTCATCGACGACCGGCGCCGACGAGGCCGGCGGCGTGGGGAGCGACGGCGTCGGCGTAGGCGCGGTCACCGGCGCGGGCGTGGCCACCGGCGGCGGCGCCACGACGGACTCGACCGGTGTCGGCGCAGCAGCGGCGGTGGTAGCAGCAGCGGCGTCGGCCGGCGGGTCGTCGCGGTTGTAGTAGATGACGTCGCGGTCGCGGTTGTACCACAGGTTCTCGTGCTTGATGAGCGGCGAGTAGTTGCCCAGGGCGAGGGTGGTCTTGGCCATCTGTGAGAGCGTGGGCGCCGGGCCGACTTCGATCAGGCGCTCGACGCCGAACTGGGCGAAGATGACCTTCTGGGTCTCGATCCAGCGCACGGGCGAGGCGAACTGGTAGGCCAGCAGCTCAACCAGGATGTGGAAGGCCAGCTGCTGCGGCCGGCGGCGGTAGTCGTCGAACTGGGTCAGCACGTCGTCGAGCACCGGCGACTGGGTCTCGTCGCGCAGGGCCTGCACGTAGGCCCGGTCGAGCGAGAAGGGCACGGCGGTCACGTTTGGAATGTAACGACCGACAAGAATGCTCGGGTTGAGCTGCTGCGGGGTCATGCGCTGCAGCAGGATCTGTCGGAATGCGGGCACGCCGTCCTTGAGGAATTTGGAGTGGAATGGCACGTCGATGCCCGGCAGCGGAATGGTGGCCACGCCGCGCTTGAGCACGATGCGGCGCGTCAGCGGGTCGCGCACATTCTCCTCGGTCTCCTTCATGGCGGCCTCGATCAGGAATTCGACCGACGCGCGGTCGATCTTGGCCGCCTTTCCGTGCTTCTTGAGCAGCTGGTGGACCTCGTCGATCACCATGCCCAGGATGTTGAGGTTGCCGTTCTCGCCGGCCACCACGTACTGGTAGTGCTCGACGTTGTAGTTCACCACCTGCAGCAGTTGGTCCTTGTTCTTCTCGCAGATGATCGAAATGATCTGGTCCAGGTGGGCGTCGCGGAAGAGGTACGGGTGCACGCGCTGCGGGTTGACCGCCACCATCGAGTACTGCCCACGACACACACACACAAATTAGTGTTAAGCAAAAAACAAAACGTGGTGCGCGTGTGCGCGTGTGTGTATGTTGAACGTGTGCGTTGCGAGTTGTACCTGGGAGTGGCCGTCCTTGTCGCGGATGACGGAGTTCTGCATGGTCATGCCGCGCAGGAAGACGATGTCGACGAGGCTCTCGATGGTGAGCACCTTGGCCACGGAGGCCAGCGCCGCGTACTCGCCCAGCGAGTGGCCCGCGAAGATGCAGTCGTCCGACGGGATGAGGCCGCGCTCGCGCATGTCCTCGAACGCCGCCAGCTCGACCAGCACCAGCGCCGGCTGCGAGAACTGCGTCGCGAAGAGCAGACCCTCCGGATGCTGCAGACGCGTGCGTGTGAGAAGAATGCATGGAATGCCACACGCCGCACACGCACACGCGCACGCAGAGATAACGAACCTTGAAGGTGTGCGACGACGAGGTGTCGGTGATGTCGCTGAAGAGCGGCTGCTCGCGGGTGCGGGTGACCCGCTGCGTCTTTGGGGTGGCCGGGGCTTCGCCCTCCTTGCCCGTCGCAGCGGGGATCTCCTCCTCGAACTCCTCCTGGACCTGGCAGGTGAGCTTCTGGTAGTTCTTCTTGATCTTACGGCCGCGGCTGCCGCCGAAGAAGATCGTGATCTCCTTGGGGTTCTCCTTGACCAGCTGCAGGATCGAGAAACCGTATTCCTCTTGGAAATATTTATCCTGTTTTTTTCAGTATTGCAAAATGAATTAGTAAATCAGTTTCAATTTCTAAAGAAGTAAAAAAACGAATAAATAAATACAGAACGAAAGAGAGAGAAAGAATGAAGACGAAGGAGGACGTACGGCGGCGTCCCAGATCTGCTTGGCGATGGGAGAGGAGGCGTAGAGGTCGAGGCCCATCCCGACCGACACGCTGCCCTGGCCCGTGAAGACGTAGCACGTCCGGGGTCCCTTCACGTCGGCCGTGCCCTTGAGCACCAGCTCGCCCTTCTCCGTATTGGTCTCAATCTCGACCAGCATCCTGCGCCCAACGGAAAACCAAAGAATTTAGAATATGCGTGTGTGTCGTGTGTCTTGCGGTGCGTGTCGTGCGCACACATACCTTCCGTTCTTCATGCCGATGTGGCGCACGGAGGTGAGGAGCTGGTCACGCGGCTTGACCATGCCGACGAACTCGGTGTGGAAGTCGACGACGCGCTCGGGCTTGTTCTTGGCCACGAACGATTCGATCACGCGGCGCGCGTTGGCCGATGTCCACATGCCGTGCGTGATCGTGTCGTGCGGCAGCTCGGCAAAGATCGAGAAGTACTTGTTGGTGTGGATCGGGTTCAAGTCGCCCGACGCCAGCGCGTAGGTGACGCTCTCCGGCGGCACCGGAATGCGGTCGGACACGTTGAGCAGCTGGTAGCCGCCGTTGTCGAAGAACACGGCGTGCTCGAGCGGCTTGCCGAAGCGCTGGACGAAGGCCCGCGGAACGTTGGCCTTCACGTCGGCCTTCTCGTAGGCGATGGTGGCCACCGTGTCCATCATCTCGCGCTCCAGCTCGTCGCCGCGCTCGAGCGAGGCCAGCGTGGGCACGAACGATGACGGCCCGCTCAGCTTGTAGACCACGCCGTCGACCTTGACCTGCAGCTGCTGCCGCACCTCCTTCGACTCTGCGTCGTCGGCTGCGAGCGGGTCGGAGTCCGGCGCGGCGGCGGGCTGGCTGCGCTCGAGCTCGAGCGACGTGAACTTGAACACCAGGCGCTCGCCCAGCCGCAGGTTTTGCTTGTCGGCCTCCGAGCGCCACTGGATCCAGGCCTTGGACTGGAGAATCGACAGCTCCTCCTTGGACTTGACCACCAGCGTGTAGGCGTCGCGGGTCTTCTCGAACGTCACTTCGTCCTGCGCGGCCTCAGTGGTCGCGGCCGGTGCGGGCTTGGCGTCGAGCACGTGGAGCTCGCTCCCGCGGAACAGGAACTCGCTGCGGACTTCGATCAGCGCTGCGCCGGCGCCGGTGTCGGGCTGCCGCTTCTTGAGCTGGCCGACGACGCCGATCTGGAGGCCGGAGACGGTCTTGCGCATCTTGGTGATCTCCATGCTGGTGACGACGGCGTCGCCCTCAGTGAAGGCCTGGGTGGAGTTTAGGTCCGAGAGCTTGCGGAAGCCGTTGTTGAGGTGGACGAGGTGCAGCAGGTTGCCGTCGATCTCCTTGAGGAAGAGGTACTTGATGAGCGACTCCCACGCGGCGACGATGGCAAAGTCGGTCGGCGCCTGGAGCAGCTTGCCGTCGTTGGCCAGCGTGCGGCCGATCGCGGCGCTGAAGAACTCGATCGCCTGCTTCTTGATCTCGAACACGTTGGCGAACGTCGCGGTGAGCGGCTCCTTGGCCGCGATCTCCTTCGACACCTCGTCGGCGTTGGAGAACCAGAGCTTGCCGTAGAATTCCTTCACCGAATCGTTGAAACCCTCCGTCACCTGCGAGATGGGCGCCGACGCTCGGTTGGCGTGGTACCTAGTAGATATGTACGCAATTAAGTATTCAATATATACGCGCAAATTCTATATGTTGCAGATGTAAAAGAAATATAACGAAATTCCATTGGAATGTGGGAGGTACCTATAGCGCAGGGTCAGGGGGATCATCTCCCAGCGCAGGGACGAGGCGGGCGACGAGGAGACGGGGATCGGGTGGTAGATGGTGACCGAGAAGCCGCGCTGGTCGTCGGCCCGCTTGATGCGGAGCACGGGCTTGTGCTTGAGGGGCGCGGCCACCAGGGCCGTCGAGCCGCCGTTGCCGCCCGCCTGGCCCTGGTCGAAGAGCGAGACCTCGACCACGTCCTCGTGCCACTGCTTCGACTGCGCGCGCACCTGGTAGCGCTGACCCACAGCCGGCTCGAGCAGGCGCAAGAACGGGTTGCTCACATATTTCTTGCCTGCATTGTTGTAATGTAACAATATCTATAAGTCTATAGACTTACGCATGAATAAATAGAGGAATATATGGTGCGTACCTTGGACGATGTGGGGCGAGGTGAGGAGAGCGCGCCACCAGGAGTTCTTGCCGGCCGACAGCCACTCGTACCAGATCGAGCTATCGGGCAGCAGGCTCTTCTCGCGCGGCAGCTGAATGTTGACCACCGTCGTCGTCGCGGCAGCGGCGGCCTCCTTGCCTTTACCATCGGCAGCAGCGGCGCCGCCGTTCTCCACCACCGACTCGACCTTGACGCTCACGCTGCGCTCGACGGCGGCAAAGCCGTTGAGCACACGCGCGGGCACGGGCGTCGACAGGTACTCGATGGTGGGAATTGACCGGGCGGCCTCGGGCTTGGCGGCCTTGAGCAGCGCGATCCACCCGTCGTGAATACCGTCGAGTATGTCGGCCACGGGCTCGTTGACCTTGGTGCAGAAACGGACGGCCATCGGCCCCTGGAGGATGACCACCCGCCCGACGTCGCGGTCCTGCACGGCGTCGAGGTCCTCCGACTGCCACAGCGAGTCCTTCTTGAACCAGAACTGGAGCTGGTCGTCGATCACCGGCACAAAGTTGACGGGCTTGCCCATGCGCCGCTTGCACAGCTGAACGAAGTAGTCGACGTCCTCGGTCGACAACAATTGGACCGCGGCGTCGGGGTAGGCCGCCTTGAACACCTTGTCGACCCACTCGAAGGGCTTCTGCTTGAGGAGCGCCGTCGGGGGCAGCACGCTGACGTACTTGGGCTTGAAGCCGTCGTTCTGCTGCTGCTCGGTGGTGGTGGGCTTGATGAACCGCTCCTCGGTGTGGCGCGAGAAGTCGAGCACGCGGTCGAAGAAGCCGCGGTCGATCCAGCGGCCCTCCCTGCCCTGCGCGGGCTGGATGTACATGAGCGACACCATCCTGTGCGCCACCTCGTAGTAGGTCATCTCCGCCAGATCCACCACCTTGCCGCTCTGTGTGTCCTTTGGATGTTAGCCAACGCAACGCGACACACACACACACCACACACACCACACACACCACACACACCACACACACCACACACACCACACACACGGAAGGGGGTGTGCGTACCAGGGTCTTGCCGAAGTAGACCTTCTGGAAGTCGGCGTTGAGGCGGTTGATGATGTACTGCTTCTTCTCGATGATCTTCTGGAGCATCTTCTCCTTGGGCAGCTGGAAGAACTGGTCGTCGAAGTCCTTCCACACCTCCAGACCTGCACCCCCGAACACCAATCGGGTGTGAGCCCCAAGAAGGCTCACTCGAAACCCAATCAGGAATCAAAGGCTAGGGCCGTACCCCTGGTGAGGACTTTGTGGATGGGCTCGCCCAGCTCGGACTTGACGGTGACGATGCCGCCGGCCGAGGTATGATAGGAATTCTCCCACTCCTCCTCGTTCTCGATGCCGGGTGTGTTGACCAGCAGCTGCTTGGCCTCGAGCGACGTGTTGGCCTCCTTGGCCACCATCACGCGGCTGGCGATGAGGATCGCGTCGTAGGGCATGGGCTGGTAGCCGAACTTGACCGACCACGAGCCTTTGTACAAAAAAACGAAAGCGAACAAGTTAGTAGGAGTTAAAACAAGGACAACCCGACGGGCGAGTTGCTTGTACCGTTGAGATAGGGCCACGAGTGTTCGGCGTCACCGAAGCCGCTGCCGCCGATGAGCACAATGTTCTTCTGGCTGCGGATGAGCGAATAGGTCTGGAGGATGGGCTCGTGGAAGTCCTCGAACGAGTGGTGGCCGCCGGCGCGGCCGCCGGTCCACTGCAGGAGGATGTTGGTGTCGGGGTGGGCCGCGGCGATCTGGCACACGAGCCGGATGGCCGCGATGGAGCCGGGCTTGAACGCGAGGTGCTTGATGTCGGCTCGGTGCATCGACTCAATAATCTCTGCGGACTTCTCGAGCGACGGCACGCCCGCCGCAACGCACACGCCCTCTATAGTAGCCATCGCACACACAATGAGACACAGTCCACAACACACACACACACCACGAGACATCGCACACGGCGTACCGATGGGATAGCCCTGCTTCCTGAGCTTGACGAGCAGAGGAAACTGGAGGTTCCACAGGCGCGGGTTGAGGTAGAGCAGGTTGAGGGTGATGCCGTGGCCCGCGTCCATGCTCTCCACCACCTGGTCGATCCGCTGGCGCACGATGTCCTCCGTGGGCAGACCGCCGCCGGCCAGCTCGCCGTGGTAGCCCGCGTTCAGGGTGGCGGCCACGATCTAATGATTAGAATATACGTTAGTCGGAGTTAAAAACACCGTGATTTTAGCTCCGGCGCTGGTGTGGAGCGTACCTGGTGGCTGGCCGTGGTGGGCGTCATGCCGGCCACCATGATCGGCGGCTTGCCCATGACGCGCGTGTATTTGGTGTCGACAAGAATCTTGCCGTCGGCCTTGCGCTGGACCAGCGACGGGCCGAACTCCGTCTCCCAGTCGAGCGCGAACGGGATCGCGTCGCTGCGCGAGTCGAACAGGACCGACTTGTCGGCCACCACCAGGTCCTCCTCGAACGGTTGGAACGCGCCGGCCATCACGAACTGCACGCCGGAGCCCTCCAGGTTCTTGGACGTGAACGACACCGCGCCCGACATCTTGCCCGGGCCAAAGTCGATTACGTGGGTGATGCCCTCGCGCCGACGCGAGATCTTCTCGGTGGCCCGGAGCCAGTTGACGTGCTCGGTGCACTGGAGGTCGATCAGCGCGTCGACCAAAGGATGGTCGTCGGCGCCCGCGCTGCTGCTACGGAGGTCGGCGCCGTCGAGCGTCGAGTAGAGGGGAATGGCCAGGTCCTTGCCCGTGATCGACCACAGGCGGCCGCCCTTCTCTCGCAGCCGCTTGACGTCGTCGCGCACCCACTGCACGGCGCCCTTGAGCAGCTGCGAGTGGAACGGGACCGAGACGGGCAGGTAGACCAGCCGGAACTCCTTCTTGCGCTTGGAGTGCGGCACGCGCGACTGGTCGACGTTGTCCTCCTTGCGGGTCTCCTTCTCGTTCAGCAGCACCGAGAGCGTGTGGAGCGACTCCGGGTGGCCCACGACCACCACCGCACGAGGGCCGTTCTGTAACACCACCCTTGTGAGCGACACACACACACCACACACACCACACACACACACACCACACACACCACACAGTACCTGCAGAGCGATCTCGAGCTGTCGGTTGGGCTCGTCGCTGAGCTTCTTGTTGATGATGTCGACATACTTCTGGACGACCTGGGGCAGGAGGTGGATCACCACCATCATGGGCGTGGGGTTGCGCGAGCCGTGGATCTTCTTGGACTCCTTGAGGATGTCGGTGCGCTGGGCCTCGATAAAGGAGGGGAAGGTGACGGCCTGCTGCAGGCGGACGCCGATCCAGAACAGGTACTGCACTGAGCTTACGATGTTCTCCACCAGCTCGTCCTCGGTCTTCGAGGCCGCGAACACCAGCGCCGTCAGAATGCCCTGCGAGTGGCCTGTAACACACCGAACCGTCAGCGCCAACCGCACGACACGCACGAAACAACACACGAGACAGAGAGAATGCGTACCGGTGACGCCCTTGAAATGAGAGACGACCTCAGCGGGGCTGAGATTCCAGGTCTTGATGCAGATGAGGTAGTTGATGAGGGCCGTGAGGCCGATCATCGGGTAGGAGATCGGGGCCGACGAGAGGTAGGTGGCCGGCGGCACCACCGCAGCGTCGCCGTCGTCGTCGGTGATCCACTCGAGCACGTTGAGGCCGTGGGCGAACAGCTCGTTGTAGCCCTTCACGCCACTGTCGCTGCCGGTGTCCTCCTCGCCCTCGAGAAGGTGTGTGGCCTGCTTCTGAAGCGCGGCGATGGCGCGCTCGATGGTCGGTCGCACGTCGACGTAGACGCGGTAGTTGGTCCGCAGCTCCTGGAGCCAGTTGACGCCCTGGCCGCCGAACAGCGCGAAGAGGCCGACGGCGCGCCGCTTGGCCATCTCAAAGAGGCCGCTCGTGACGCCGATGACCGGCTGGGCGACGTCACTTGCGTGGCCCATCTGCTTCAGCTCGGCCAGGACCGCAGTGTAGCACTGAATGATTTTGTGAATCTCCGCAGGCGTCTCGTCGTTCCTGTGTGTGGTGTGTGTGTGTGTGTGTGAAACGCGGCAAAAATGAGCATCACGACTGCATGAATGTGGACGTGGTCGTGATTGCGTACTTGTGCAGCTCGGCGAGGACGGCGTGAATGTTGTTGCCGTTGAAGGCGGACACGAACTCGGCGAACGCGATGCGGAGAAGGTAGGCGCGCGATGCCGGGGAAAGCGACTGCGAGTCCTGCGCGCCGGCAGTACTGTGTGTCGTGTCGTGTGCGTGTTGGGGTGAGCTCGAGTATGGCGCCACGCCGGGCGCTGCATACTTTTGGGGGCGGAGGCGTACTTGGGTTTGGTTTGGTGGATGGCGAGGAGGAAGAGCGACCAGATGCGGATTTCGTGGGCGTGGAAGGTCTCGCCTTCGCGCTCCACGTCGTCGGGCTGGGCGCGAGCCCAGAGGGACTGCACCACCGACATCAGCTCGATGGGCACCCACACCTGCAGCTTGGACGACAGCTTCACCGGAACCTAAGGGCCGATGGATCGCATCGTTGGAAAGAGCAACCATTAAAGTCAGGTGTCGAAAAAAGAACTACAATGACCAAATGAAAAAATAAAAATAAAAATTTATTATAAATATTATATTTTTCGGAGTGTTGTCGCGCGGAGAGTTTCTTTCACAAGGCAGAGTTGAAGAAACACTCCGGGGAGAAAGGCTCCGGACAAAGAGGAAGGGATGGATGGTGGGCGTACTTTTTCGGGGCTCTGTTGCTTCTGCTTGGCGGCAGAGCGTTCGGCGGTTCGCTGCTTCTTCCAGTCGTCGAAGGCCTCTTCGGAGACCATCTCCTTTCTGTCGAGGACCGTCCAGTTCTCATCTTCGGCTGCAAAAGAGGAAAAAGGAGGAAGAGAGAGACCCGGGTACAGTATGAGTCCCCCTTCCCTTTCTTCGTCCTCGCTTATCCCTTCCCCCCTCTCGGCCAAAAGAACGAACGCGAAGGCCCATAAAATGGCCGTGTGAGCGTGCAAGTGTTCGTACTTGTGAGAGACAACTTTCGGGGCCGAGAGGAGGCGGCGGTCAACTGCTGCGTGCGTTCCATCTCTTCCTGAAGTTCGTCTTCGGCGGTCTGGTGGTGGTGTGGCTCTTGTCCCTCTTGCTGCTTCGCGGTGGCGGCAGCGACGGCTGGGTGTTGTTGATGGAGTCTGCTCTCTGCGGAGGAGGAGTTGAAAATGGACTGCGGATTCGACATGACGTCGGGTTTGGTTTGATCGGCGGAGATCGACTTGTCAAGCAAGACTTGGCTTCGACGGGTGCGGTCAGGCGGGAACGAAGTGAAAAGCGAGCGAAGGCTCTACGGAAGGATGAAGAAGATGAAGAACGCGACTGTCGACTTTGCACGCTTGCGCCGGTGAGAGCGAGCGAGCGAGCGAGTGCAGAGGTGTGGTAGAGTGGTGTGTGGCTTGCACGCCGAGACGGAGAACAACAACGAAGACGGCGAAGAAGAAGAGAAGGAACACGGCCCGCCGGAGAAGCGAGGGGGGGGCTGAGCGGGAAGGCCCAGCGGGACGTGGCACACCACACGCACGCGCCCGCCCAAAGCGGGAGGCGCAGTCGATCGGCAGTGCCCGCGAGTGGGTGGGTCCAGAAATTTCCAAGGCCTCGGCCCAGTCCCATGAGCCCATGTGGGGAGCGGAGGGAAGCGAAGAGGGCGGGAGCGCAGTGGGAAAAATCCGGACACGAAAAAACAAAAAAAACAAAAAATGATGGTCGAGCGAGCCCAAGGAGATGGGAAAAAGTGGGAGGAGTAGAGGAGGTCAACAGCTTACGTACAGGCAAGGGCCAAAGGGCAAAGAAACCAGAAGAAGATCGATATCGCCTGAGTGAGGTCAAAAGAGCGTTTATAGTAGTGCGTCCACGATACAGTGGGAGAGGAACCCGGGAGGGTGCGTAGAGCCGAGGAAGAGAGGAGAGGAGAGGGAGAGTGCGCCACAAGCGCCAACACCATCCATAACGCATCGAGGCACACCGAGACAAAGAAGAAACGAGCCCGTTTTGAAGAGAACCGGCCGACAACGGGGAAGCGCCAGGTTCCCCTGAGCTCCCTGTGGGCCTTTATTCTCCAGCTCCGTACTTGCGGGAGAATACCACGCATTCTTGGACGTGAGTCCGTGAGCGCCTTCTTAAATTATCCACCGTGTGCGCCATCTTAAATTGAGGTCGGTAAGTCCGAGGGTAAGGTGGCTGGCCCAACAGCCGAAGGTCAAAAAGTTTGATGCGGTTTGTCGATTGGCTCGCGGACTTTATTATCGTCCAACAGCAACTAAGCCACGAAATTAAACAGTTTCATGGGGGGGGGGCAGAAGGGAAGCCTCTTCTTCTCGAGTTGAGAATCTAACTCAATTCATATAGTACCTCCGACTTCGTCCATCCAATCGATTCCAACGCGCCGCCGCTGCAGTTAATCGATTCCATCTTCGCCTTCACATCTTCATCTTTGTCGACAACGCGAAGAAAATCGAACAAGAAGCGGCCGAAGGAATTGACGCACTTGTCGGGAAGCGGAAGCGATTCAGGGCCGAGTCAGGAAAGGAGAAGAAGAAGAGGACGACATTCTTGAAGTAGCAGTTCGAGAGTCGGCGTAGAGAGAAGTAGAGAGAGAGATGGGCCACTACAAAAAACAGTCCGAGTGCGGTAGCTACAACTACCTGCTCTACCTGCCCGAGGGCTACGGCGCGGTTGCCGACCGCCCCCCGGCCGGCTGGCCCCTGCTCCTCTTCCTCCACGGCGCCGATCGCAAGGGCGTCGACCTCGACACCCTCCGCGCCTCAGGAATCCCGCGACTCTGCGAATCCCGACTCTATGCCTCCGAGAAAAAGTCTTCTTCTTCTTCTTCCTCACCTCTTTCATCTTCTTCATCATCATCGTGTATGGTCGATGTAGAGGAGACCGAAAGCATGAACGACGCCGACAGCCCGCGGACGGCGACGGCCGGCCTCCACCTGCGTCGCGCCACGGCCCTGGCCCAGCGCTCGCCCCACCGCCGCACGCCATCGGCCGACCGCGGCCTCGCGTCGCCGCTGGAGCAGATGCAGTCGTTCCCCTTCGTCGTCGTGTCGCCGCTGTGCCCGCCGTTCAAGTACTGGCGCGTCGAGTCGCTGGCGAGCCTGGTCGAGGAGGTGGCCGAGCAGTACCAGGTCGATGCGCGGAGGGTCTACGCCGTGGGCGAGGGCATGGGCGGCTGGGCCGCGTGCGCGCTCGCCGCGCGCGTGCCGCGGTGCCTGGCCGCCTGCGTGCCGATCGGCGCCGCGGCCGACCCCCACTTTGTCGACGTCGATCGACTCAAGGACACGCCCCTCTGGCTCTTCCACGGCTCCAGTCGCTGCGACGACGTCGACGGCCTCGACATGACCGCGAGCGCCACCGACGAAGAAGAAGCCGCTGACGCTGATGACAGCAACGGCGACGGCGACGATGACGAAGGCCTGCGGGCCAGCGTGTGCCTGGTGCAGGCGTTAAGGCGGCAGGGCGCGCGGAGCGTGCTTTTCACGGCCTACCCGACGGTGGCGACAAAGAAGGACAACGCCGATTCCATGCCAGGCGTGTTCTTCTCGGTCAACGGCGGCCGCGGCGGCAGCGACGAGCAGGCGGACCAGAACGAGCTGGTCAAGCGATCCTACACCTACGACAACCCGCTCCTCTACCAGTGGCTCCTCCAGCACTCCCTTCCTCTACTCGACGTGTAAATACCATCCGTCCGTCCGGCCCTGTCCTCTTTCCTCTCCTCTCCTCTCTTCTTCTTCTTCTGGTCTCCTCGACGACGCACCGAGCGCGAACGCATCACGTAAACCATCAACCGCCGGTCGTTCAGCCTTCCAGCTCCTCCTCCATCTATCACAAGCTGTTCATAAACAACCCAACAACCAACACATCAACCAAACAATTAAAACCATCATCAACTCAACTCTACTCGAGCTCGCGTCGTTAAACGTTTTCGTTTGTCTAATTGTCAATGACGATAATGACGATGATGGTCCTTCATCATGAGTGCCACTTGCCCTTGCGCGGCGAAGGGCGTTGGCCGCTGCAGGCGGTCGAGCCGCTGGCGGACGGCGCAGCGAGCGTCGTCGAAGCGGCACGGAACGGCGATGCCCAGGCCCTCGAGCACCGAGACGACGCCCAGGAGGCAGCACACGGGCGTGCACAGGCACAGCGACAGCACCACGAACAGCACCCAGCCGCGGCGGTCCAGCGCCGCTTGCTGCTCGTGGACGACGACCACGTTCGTGCTGTTGTCATCGTCCATCGCCACCGTGATCATTGGCGTCGAGTCATCTACGAACCCCACGCTCCTCTTCGTCGCATCTGCGTCGCAGTCGCAGCAAGGTGGGCGCGTTAGGCGCACACGCACGGCCGCACACAAGTAGCCGGTACCAAACCTGAAGAAATTATTCGTATTATAATTATTATAATTGCTGATACATTTAATTATTGTGCCAAATATTCCACATAAATAAGAAATCAATAAATATTAATCATCATTGTAATTATTTAAAATGTAAAAAAAATTCAAAACGTCAGAAAAAATGAGTGGCAAAGAAAGAACAAGACAACGAAGTCGCACCTGGAGTTGGAGAGCGTCGGTGTTGTGGTTGATCAGCTTTGCGCCTTGGACATGGCACATCGTGCGATGGGAGAAGCTGCCCGGAGGGGCGAACGTCGCAGACGATTCCGTTCTTGTTGTGGGGGAAGGGGATTCGGCTTGCAGCATCAGAAAAAGGCCCCACGTAAGCCCCACCGCCAGAACCAACAGGCCCAGTCCCTGCACCAGGCTGTCCACTCTGACCGCCGCTTGTGTGGCCCTCCTCATCTTGTGTTGTTGGCCATTTCCTTACCTATTTTTCTTTTATCTCCGGCTCTCGGCCCCTACCAATAGCCAAGTGACTTTAAAAATCGATAGAAAATGTGAGAGGAAAACAGACGCACCTGCGTGCCTGCAGGATATGTTGAATCCTTGCCTGTGAGGAAGTGGTGCGCAGATCGCGCTGATTGCATGTCACGTCCTCACAGAACACGATCGTCCGACCACCTCCGCTCTTGCTTCCCAGCAGGTCAAACCTTCTTCAGCAACAGCTCTGAAGTTGAGCAGATGCGCGAAAGAGAGAAGGGCATTACTTGGTCATAAGCAGAATCAAGCCGAGTGCAAGGGTCTGCGCGCGCCCTCCAGCGGCAACGGTTGGAGCTCAGCTGTTTGGTGGTGTTGCACGCTGGCCGTTCGCCACCGCCACCGCGAAATTGATGACTACGAGCTGGGCCGTCTTCGGGACTGTTGGTGAACGCATGAGCGTCAGGGCCTGTGTGGCGATGGAGCGGAGCCCTGCTCCTACTGGCGCCGTCGCTGCATTGAGGGCGATGTGTAGTAGCGGGTTGGGGATTCCCATATTGAGGCCCGCCATGGAATGGCCGCCCATTTGGGCCTGCCTTTGGGCCTTGGTCGCTCGCGAGTTGTTGGAAGAAAGGAACAACGACAGAATGGTGCGGATGTGCATTGATGGAGATTATTGCACTGAACATATACAGAACAGGACTGATGAAATGAGGCGCTGGTGTTTAAGAGCTCTTGGCCGCGCTGGTCACCGGCGGCGGAACGGGCCTGTTGACTGCCCACTCGTACCTGATAGACAAGACAAGACACGACACATGAATCTATGGCACACCACACAACCAGAGCTGTTTAATTTGACGAGAGACTGGAGGACGCACTGCACAGGCCAGTGGATGTCGTGTTTGAGCTCCTTGGCTGCGTGAAGCACCCAGAACGGATCTCGCAGCAGCTCGCGCCCAATGAACACCAGGTCTGCGAAACACAAGAAGTGTTTTGAAAATGTTAGCTCATGTGGTGTCGCTGTGGCAGCATGTGAGGCACTTCCACGTACCAGCGCGCTTGTGGAAAATGATCTCCTCGGCTTGGAGGGGTTCGACGATGAGCCCTACGGCGCCGGTGAGCAAGTCGGCCTCGCGCCTGACCTGCTCGGCAAACGGCAGCTGATACAGCGGCCCGATGCCGATCTTCTGCAGAGGGCTGCGTGCGCGTTTGGTCAGCACTTATCGAGTGTGTCGTGTGCGAGTCGTGTGCGTTTGTGGTACCTTTGACCGCCGGACGAGCAGTCGACGAGATCGACGCCTTCGGCCTTGACCAGCTTGGCCAGCCTTACCGTGTCCTCGATGGTGGTGCCACCCTCAACCCAGTCCGAGCTCGACAGTCGCAGGAACAGCGGCTTCGACGCGGGCCACACCTTGCGCACCGCCCGCACCACCTCCAGCGTGAATCGTGTTCGGTTCTGCACAACAAAGACGACGACGAAGAAGAAGATGATGCAATTAGTCCCACGCTCCTCATCAACTCAATCACTGAAGAAGTGGAAGAAGGCGGACAAACCTCAAAGCTGCCACCGTACTCGTCGGTGCGGTGGTTGGCGAGTGGCGAGTTGAACGAGGAGAGGAGGTAGCCGTGCGCGCCGTGGATCTCCACCACATCGAACCCGGCCTTGTCCGCCCGGACCGCCGCGTCGGCAAAGGCCTGCACCGTGTCCCGGATCTCGTCCTTCGTCAGCGCGTGAGGCACCGGCGACTTGTCGTCCCACGCAATCTGCAGAACAACATTATTGTTCCCACACATCACGTCAACATACTGCCATAAAAATATATGTTCTACATCGGGGGGATCACAACGTACGGCTGAGGGGCCAACAGGGACCCAGCCGCCCTGTTCCACGGGCACGGTAGCGCCCGGCTGAGGGAATGTCAGGTGTGGCGGATAGGTCGAGGCCTTGCGCCCGGCGTGGGCGAGCTGGAGCCCGGCGAGGGCCTGCTGCGAGTGTAGGAAGTCCACGATGCGCTTGAGGGGCGCGATGTGCTCGTCCTTCCACACGCCGGCGTCCCAGGGGGTGATGCGCCCCACGTCCTGCACGCCCGAGGCCTCGAACACGACCAGACCCGCGCCACCCCTGGCAAAGGTGCCCAGGTGGGTAAGGTGCCAATCGTTCATGAAGCCGTCCACCGCCGAGTAAGTGCACCTGTGTGTGGTTGTGTGTGTGTGTGTGGTGTGTGTGTGTGTGGTGTGTGTGGTGTGGTGTGGTGTGTGTGTTGTGTGGTGTGTGTGTTGTGTGTATATCAGGTGAGTACACAGCTCGTGCGGTGTGGGTGGTGGCTGGTACATTGGCGAGACGACAGCGCGGTTCTTGAAGGTGACGTCGCGAATCTTGAGAGGCGAGAAGAAGTGTGGCAGGTGGCGCGGTGTGCCGCGCTGGGCGGCCGGTCCTGGATCCTGCGCGGCGTGGCCTTCCCACTGCGCTCCGCCGAAGGGCGCCAGTTCGGGTGTCTTGTCGCTGGTCTGCTGTCTGTTTTGCATGTTGTGCTGTTGATGGAAGTAGAGTTGATGTATGAAGCGAAGATGCGCTGTGTTTTGTGATTGTTGTGTGAGTGTGGAAGTATTTATGTGGTTGGCGACGTCGGCGATTGGGCGGGGCCAGAGCGGGCCGAGTCCCCGCAAAGCTCGTAACTTCCCAGTTTGTCGTCGACAAATTGTCGCGTGCTGCGCCAAACAGCTTTCCGACAGGAGGACGTGGTGCCGAAACGCCGCGACCACGCTCTAGGCGCTTCGGTCTGGACCCGGCACACGGATGCGGTGAGACGGGAAGCCGACGGAAGCCGAGCCGCCCTATGACCACAAACCCGGGTGCGGGCCGGCTTTGAGGCCTTATGAACAGGGCCGCTGCGGCCCCTCATCGGGCTCTCTGGATTGGGGAGCACGGAACATGTTTACTGAAGTCGGTTGGCTGATGCGGCTGCCCTATGACCAAGTCTCATGGGTGATCACACTGAGACCAGGAGGCACCCCTGTATTTTACCGTCAGCACGGAGGGGGGTACCGTAAGACCGTGTGCGGTTCTGCTGGCCACTTCGTTTTTCTGCTTCTTTTCTCAAAATGTTTTCTCGGTGTAGACGCAGGTCGACACAAATTTGGGTGAGTTGCGCACCCCAATCCGTGCGTGATTCATCAGCAGACTAGCAACAATGCAGGCGTCGTTCGGTGAGGAGATCCCATTCCAGTCAAAGCTGGGTCTGGACAGGGAGGCCAGCGGCTTCTCGTCGACCATTACTCGTCGTTTCGTCATCGCCCCCTCCTTCTCCATTTACGGAGGTACAAATCGTGCCCCAGCCTATCGAAATTTGTGATGTTTCCTGCATCGCCACTGCTCTCAGTCGATCCATCAACAAAATGCAGAAGGATTATTCACTAATTTTGATGATTTTGTTCAGGCGTTGCTGGTCTGTACGACTATGGCCCCGTGGGTTGTGCCGTCAAGGCCAACCTGCTTAATCGCTGGAGGTCGCACTTCATCATTGAGGAGGACATGCTCGAGGTAGACTGCTCTTGCGTCACGCCCGAGGCGGTGCTCGAGGCGTCGGGCCACGTCGCCAAGTTCCAGGATCTCATGGTCAAGGAGGAGGGCACCGGTACCTGCTTCCGTGCCGACCATCTGCTCGAAGGTACACTGCACTCAATCTTGTTACTCCCATCTCTGGACGTCCATCCATCTCAAATTCTCTTTACAATTTTCTAATTAATTTTACTTCAATTAATTGCGTCTTACCCCCCTTTCCCCTGGTGTGCAGAGCACATGGAGAAGCTTATGGAGAAGGAAAAGAACGAGGACAAGAAGAAGGAGTATGCTGCTGTGGTGGCTCGCATCGATGACTTCTCGCCTCTCGAGCTCGAGGAGACCATGGCCAAGTACCGCGTGCTGTCCCCCGAGGGCAAGCCCGTCAGCGCTCCCTTCCCCTTCAACCTCATGTTCGCCATCTCGATCGGCCCCACTGGCATGTACAAGGGGTACGTACGCTACGTTCTCGCACACAAAGGCCTTGCACGAGTCGCACTGCCTGGCCAGGCCTTTTCCCTGACACGTGCCGTGGCTCGTTTGCTTGCGCGCTTGCCGCAGTTTCCTTCGTCCTGAGACCGCGCAGTCGATCTTCACCAACTTCAAGCGTCTGCTGGAGTTCCAGGGTGGCAAGCTCCCCTTCGCCGCGGCTCAGATCGGCCGCGCCTTCAGGAATGAGATCGCCCCGCGATCTGGTGTCCTCCGCGTCAGGTACACAGTCGCGCGGGTGAAGTTGATCAACTCGACATGTTACCATTCGGCGCTCTAATCGTTCGTTCTACCAGGGAGTTCGAGATGTGCGAGATCGAGCACTTCGTCAAGGAGAACGAGAAGAGCCACCCCAAGTTCGTCACGGTCAAGGACATCAAGCTCCCGCTCTTCCCCCAGGAGCAGCAGCTTGGCAGCGGCAAGGTATCCTCGCTCACTGTTATTCTCAGCCATCGGACCACTCACTGTCTCGCGTTTAGCTTCTCTCGTGCACTCTCGGTGAGGCTGTTGAGCACGGCATCATCGCCAACGAGACGCTCGGTTACTTCATCGGTCGCACGTATCTGTTCCTGACCGAGTCGGGCGTCAAGACCGACAAGATCAGGTTCAGGCAGCACATGAAGTACGTCCCCTGTCACACCACCCTCACCACCCTTAGCGCCGATTGTTTGTGGACTTGGAGTACGGGGCGCTGAGCTGACTCTCTTTCTGTCCCCACCAGGAACGAGATGGCGCACTATGCCTGCGACTGCTGGGACGCCGAGATGCTCACGTCGTACGGCTGGATCGAGTGCGTGGGTATCGCCGACAGGTCGTGCTTCGATCTCTCGCAGCACTCGATGAAGAGTAACGAGACGCTCGTTGCCTACGAGCAGTACAAGGACGGCCCGCGTGTCGTCGAGGTACGTCGACCATCGTGCCCGCGAGCGAGTTCTTCAAGCACCATTTAGCTTTGGTCATCTCGCGTTGTTTTTTTAACCGTAAACGTATAGGCCCTCGAAGTGGAGGTGAACAAGGGTCTGGTCGGCAAGGCCCTGCGCGGTGACGCCAAGCTGCTGGCTCCCTACATCGAATCGCTCGACGAGGCCGGCAAGATCGCCCTCAAACAGGAGCTCGAGTCCGGTCAGGCCAAGATCACCGCCGGCGGCAAGGAGCTCACTCTCACCCCCGAGATGCTCACCATCAAGAAGGTACACCGCTCTCCCTGTCTTCTCATTCACGGTGACGTCGAATGCCTCCGTTCTAATCATCGCGTCCCCCCCTCTCTACTCTCGCTACGTAGGTCGAGAAGAAGGTGTCTGGCGAGAACTTCTTCCCCCACGTGATCGAGCCGTCGTTCGGCGTTGGTCGCATCCTCTACGCCATCCTCGAGCAGAACTTCTACACCCGCGAGGACAGTGCCGCTGCGGCCGCCGATGAGAAGGACAAGTCCAAGAAGGGCGACGTGAAGAGGGCCGTCCTTTCGCTGCCGCCCCACCTCGCCCCCGTGCAGTGCTCGGTGCTGCCCCTGCTCGACAAGGACGAGTTCAACGCCATCATCCCCCGCATCGTCTCCTCGCTCAAGGCTGAGCGCCTTTCTACCAAGGTGGACTCCACCGGCCAGGCCATCGGCCGTCGGTATGCCCGTACCGATGAGATCGGTATCCCCTTTGGCATCACCATCGATCACCAGGTACGGACGTGTGTGTGGTGTGTTGTGTGTGTGTGTTGTGTGCGTGTGTGTGGTGTTGGTGACAACAACACTCGCCACGTGCGCTTGCTGACCCATACGCGACGCGCAGACCCTGGAGAACGACACGGTGACGCTGCGCGAGAGGGACACCACGGCGCAGCTGCGTGTGCCCATCGCAGAGCTGGCCTTGCTCATCCGCGATCTGTGCGAGGGCAGGCAGGCCTGGCAGGCGCTCCTCGACTCCAAGAAGTACCCCCACCACCAGTAAGCACGACCACCATCGTTCTTGGCTCAGCAGATAAAGCAAACAAAAGGCTGGCTTTTTGGTGAAGCTTCTTGCCTCATTCTACGACGACCGTGTCGCTCAAGATGATGATGATGGTGGTGATGAAGATGGTCCTAGAAAGCGTAACACCTGGGAGAACGGACGCAACCATCAGGAGCGAAAGAGAAACGCTCCTCCGCCTTGGGAGAGCGGACGTCACCAAAAAAGAAATGCTGCGAGAAAAGCAAACTTCCGTACATTTCCGGTTGGCGCGGAGACAGCTTCCCGCAGAGTACTTCGCGATCGACCGGCACTCCTCTTGCCTTCTTCACACCACAGACCATGGACGCCACAGCAGCACCCACCACCCCAGCGGAGCGTCCCACCAAGAAGCTCTCCGAGTCGTCCGCTTACCTCGCCGAGGTATTTATTTCTCTATTTTGATTTTTATTTTCATATTTTTTATTATATTTAATCATTAAATATAATATTGTTATTTGTTGTGGGCAGATAGTGGGCGAGGAGTCGCTATTTGGGACGCGCATGGCGGCCGGTGCGGTGCTCGACACGCTGGACATCTGCGCGGGCTACACGGCCGCCAAGTTCTCCGGCTCGCGCGTGGTCACGCTGGCCTTCGATCGCGTCGACCTCTCGCACCCCATTCTCCACCAGGTCTGGCGCCAGCCTCACCAGTGCACTCTCTGCAGCTCTTTGGTTGGGGCTCACTCTGTCTGGGTGTGTGCGGTGTGTGCGGTGTGTGCGGTGTGTGCGGCGACAGGATTTGGTGCGAGCTGAAGGGCGGGTGGTGAGCGTGGGGCGATCGTCGATGGTCGTGCACGTGCGGGCCTACAGGCAGGACCTGCTGTCGCGCCAGTTCGAGCTTGTGCAGGTTCGCCATAACGTTTCGCTCTGCGGACCAACACATGACTAGTCTTCTCAAACTTCCAAACCGCACACGCACCACGACACGCACCGCACACGCACCACGGCACGCACCGCACACGCGCGCCTGACAGGAGTCGTACGTGACGATGGTGGCGGTGGACGAGAAGCTTCGGCCGAATCCCAACATTCCGGCCGTCGTCTACGATGACGCCGAGGAGGAGAAGCGAATCAACAAGATCCTCCTGTCGAGGAAGGAGGCCAACGAAAACTGGCAGCAGTGTCAAAAAGTATGCGCCTCCTTCCGCACGTGCGTGTGCGGTGGCAATGTAGGTGTTCATTAGGCCGTGCATTGTGTGTTGTGTGTTGTGTGTTGCGTGTTGTGTGTTGTGTGTTGTGTGTGGTGTGTGGGTGTGTGTGTGTGTGTGTTGTAGTACATTGAGCAGAGTGGTCCGTTCTCGGCCAGCGAGATCGAGGACGCCATCAACCGGGAAGGCAAGCTGGAGTTCATGTCCATCCCCAAGACTCAGGTGCCCCACCCGCGCACAACAACAGGCCCTGTTGTTGTTGGTTGTTGGTTGTTGTTGTTGTTGACAGCTTCTATTTGGTTGTGTGTCAAAGGTCAACGTGAAGCGTATCTTCTTCCCCAAGAACCTCAACTATCATAACACCGTGTTCGGCGGCGACATTCTGCTGTGGATGGACCGCGTGGCCACCCAGTGCGCGCGTCAGTTCACCCGTAACCGGCACGTCTTCACGAAGCACATGCAGCGCGTGTTCTTCAAGCAGCCCATCCTCATCACCGACGTACTGCTCCCTCCGCCTGTCTCAATTCCTCTTACTGGTTTCAACCACTCACCTTCTTGTTGTTCGGCCACAGGTCGTGGAAATGAATGCGCGCGTCGTCTACGTAGGCAAGTGCACTCTCGAAGGTATGTCTTGCTGCTGATGATGTCGGAGAAGATGATGTTGATGGTGTAGAAGAAGATGATGGTTGATGGTGTGTGTGTGTGTGTGTGTGTGTTGTGCGCAGTGGAGATCAATGTGTCGCTGGAATGGGCGAGCGGGGAGGTGTTCGAGTCGCACTCGGGCTACTTCACGCTGCTCAACTGCAACGAGGCCGGGTGGAAGCGGCCCATCATCACCGGCCTCCAGCTGGCCGATGATGACCAGTTCTTCCTGCGGAGCTACGTGCAGGCCAAAGAGCGCCGGAAGCTGTGGAAGAAGTGGAAGGTCGACGAGCGGAACGACGCCACCAGCGCCAAGGGCGAGAACGAGGCCAAGTTCTCTCTCGACGAATAAACACATTTCACTTTCTTAGTTATTTATGACCTTCTTGAACTCCTCGGGGCAGTCGGCCGGCACCTGCGGGCGCTTGCCCTCGAGCACGTCGAGCGACACGCCCATGAAGTTGCGCCCGGCGAAGGGCTGCTTCCTGGCCATCACCTCCCACATGATGATGCCGAACGAGTACACGTCCGCCTTCTCCGAGTACCGCTCGCCTCGAATCACCTCCGGCGCTGCAACCACAAGAGATCGACTCAGAAAAAGAACGAAAGCGAACCGTCGGAGATAAAAAGAGAACGAAAGCGAACGGTCGTACCAGTCCAGCAGGGCGTGCCGCAGCGGGTCATCGTCGCGTTGTCCTCCTTGAGGCGCGCGAAGCCAAAGTCGGCCACCTTCACGTTCCAGTTCTCGTCCACAAGCAGGTTGGACGACTTCAGATCGCGATGAATAATGACCGGCTCCAGCGTGTGCAGGTAGTTCACGCCCAGGGCCGCCGAGAGCAGCATCCGCAGGCGCTGCTTCCACTCGAGCTTCACCACCACCTGCCCGCCGCCGCCGCCGCCGCGCGTACTCTCGCCCAGCTTGACCATCGTCGAGCCGTGCGGGCCGGCGTAGAGCAGGTCCTTGAGCGCGCCCTGCTTGACGAACTCGGTCACGATGCACAGGTTGGGCATCTTGACGCAGGCGCCGATAAACACGACCACATTGGGGTGGCGCAGCTCCGACAGGAGGGCCATCTACGCGCGGAACACGACCAGCCGACGTGGAACACGAGGCCGTACGACCCCATGCCCACCTGCCGCCCGACCTTGATGTCGCCGTAGTCGATGATCCACCGGCACAGGTTGGCCGACGCCAGGAACGACTCCTCCATCTGCACCACGTGATCGCCGCCGACCAGCACCCCACTGCCCGTGCTGCACACCTCCTGCTCGCCGTCGTCGTCGTCGCCGTTGTCGCCGGGGCCGCCGCCGGAGGAGTGGGTCACGGTGCGACGTCGGGGCTTGCAGTGGTGGTCGCTGCCGTCTCCGCCGCCCGGGTTGGAATCGCTGGTGTAGGCCGCCACCCCCGTGGTCGTGCCACGGAAGAACCGAGCCTCGAGCTTGCGTGTCCAGCAGCTCGAACAGACTCACACCTGCGCGTGTCGTGTCGTGATTGTGTGCAGTGTGCGGTGTGTGAGTGAGCGGGGCTGCACCTTGGGGGCTGTCGGGCATATCGAACTTGCCCAGGCTGGCCAGGCGCTTCTTCTCCTTGGCGAGCCCGCTGTCCCGGATCCGGTCGTAGACGGCCTGCGAGACCACGATCTGGCCGCCGTGCGACATGGTCGTGATCCACGCGGCCTTGTTCACAGCCGGACCCATGTACTCGGCCCGGAGCGACATCCCATTGAACACCTTGCGGGTCTGGCCCACATGCACGCCCATCCGCACCCGCAGGCCCTGAACCAACCACCCCTCCATGTCAGCACAATCGCACACGCACACGCACACGCACACACGCAACCGCACGCGCACGATCGCCCACGCATGACCGCACGCACACACGCACGAGTGCCCGGTAGATGAGGCGGTCGTCGGTGTCGCCCCACTCCTCGGCGGCGGCGGGGTGGGCAAAGAGCGCGGCGGGCCACTGGACCTCGAGCAGGGCAAGCTGCACCACCATGCACCACTCGAGCGCCCGCGGCGTCCTGTAACACCACGAACAGCGAGCCCTCGCCGCCGGCGCCCTCGCCGGTGATCGACCTCGTAGCCCTTGTGCTGGGCCAGCAGGCCGCGCACGACCTCGTTGTGCAGAATGGTGGCGTCCTTCATGGCCTCGGCGTTGAACTCCCACCGCGTACCGGTGGGAGTTAATCAGCACCGCACACGACACAACACGGCACGACAATCACAGCGACGTGACACGACACGACAAGCATGGCACACACGCTACCGCCGGAGGAGTGGGAGCCGCCGGTGCTGCTGGAGCCATGCGGGCTAACAAGTGAGGAGTGAGAAGGAAGAGTGGAACCACGACACTCCTCCGTTCCTACCTATCAGTGCACCGCAATCGAATCATTCTCACCACTCAGAGTCATATTATGAAGTGGTCCTGGTTGGACGTTGTTGTCGTTTCGGGAGCAAGTAACCTTGCTGCGACCAGCAGCCATGCTAATTTTCTGCAGACATGTCCCTGGCTGGGCGCCCCGTACACTACCTAAGGTCTCCTGTGGTGAGTTTGTATTGCCCTGGTTCAGTAAACAGTAACTGAGTCAGTTCAACCAAAAAAAATCAAAAGGTCCAAGCCCTAAACCAGCCCAGGCTTGGTCTCTGGTTCACTTCGCACCACCTTTTGCACCCGACCCCACCAAGGGGTGGGCAGAGCACAGAGCACGTGATCAGTTTTCTGACCAATCAATAGCGGCCATCGGCTCTGATAAACCAGAAAAACAAAAAATAAACTGAGGGAATGAGCTGCGGTGTTGTGTGCGCCAAGTTCAAGCATCTCAGAGCCCCAAGGCAGTTGAGTGTGGCGTAATGGCTCGCTAGTCCAGGCTCAGGTCGGCCAAGCGCATCTTCCGCAGGCGCTCGCTTTGCCGGGGGCCGCCCGCGCTTTTTTGGCTCTCCTTGGTCTCGTCCTGCAGCCCGAACCGGACCCAAGTCAACTACACATCCACACGTGTACGGCGACACGGCACGACATGCAACGCACAACGCAACACAAACCAGAGCTAAATGGGCACTCATACCTCGGCAGAGCTGGGCCGCGAGGTGGGGCTGTCGCCGCGCCTGTAGACGGCGATGGGCACGCGCTGGGTGAAGGCCTTCATGTTGGGCGCGTAGCACTTGTCCTCGGCCGGCACGAAGCCGCCTTGCCACCCGCCCGGCGCGATAGTAAGCAGATCGTCGTAGATCGTGTACCTGCAAGGAAGCGCATTAGCCACCAGATCATTGGTTTAGTGCGTGTGCGTGTGCGTGTGCGTGTGCGTGTACGTGTGCGTGTGCGTGTGCGTGTGCGTGTCGCATACCCTTTGCGCTGAGGCTCGAGTCCAATGCAGGTGAAGTGGTTGATCTCCGTCTCGCCGATCATGCCGATTTCCTCGAATGCGATCCACGCGTGCAGCACGCTGTCGCCGTGCTGGCGCAGGTCCTCGGGTATCGCGAAGCACATCGGATTGACGAACACCACGAACGCAGCCAGCTCCGTCTGCTCCATCGCCAGATACTCTCGAATCTAGCATCACAAGAACGCAACAGTGAAATTTCGTTCCAATACGATACGCACACAGCACGACACACGCATGGCACGCTGCTCGTGTACCTCGTCGGAGTTGGCGACGGGCACGATGGCCCACAGGGCCGAGGCGGGCATGACGAGCGACAGCCAGTGGTGGGTCTCCTGGAGGAGGTACAGGAAGGCATCCACCACGCTGTGGGCCAACCCGAACTCGAAGCCCCCCTTCTCCTCGAACTGGGTCCACACCTGTGGGTGGGGCCGCACAAAGGGGGTGAGCAGTTGTGGAATGTGAGGTATTCGAAAAAAACGAACAAATAACTAAGAATAATTACAAATGATGGAGTGGGTGTCTTGCCTGCTTGTAGGCGAGGGAGAGGTCCTTGCGGAAGGCGATGCTGGATTGGTCGCCCCACCTGGCGTAGAGACGAGAGAGAGCACGCAGCAGACTGTCCTCGTAGTCTTCTTTTACGCTGCACGATGACACACGACACGCATGGCACGACACGCACCACGTGTACAATACACATTGAGAACTCAAGGTACTCGTAGGGAGGCGCAAGGAAAGGGCAACGCACTCAGCGGCGAGTTGGGCCACATGGGACGGCCAAGCGGTCAGCGGCGTGAGGGCGAGACCCAGCCCCAGCACGGCATCGAGCCAGCAAGTGCCACCCTCCGCATGTTGAATCGGTCCTGCGTGATTTTGTTGAGCAAAGTATGAGTGTGCGTGCCATGAGTTGTATGCGGTGTTTGCGGTGATGCGCGTGCGTGTGCTGTGATACGCGTACCCTTGAGCACGTGTGTGAGCGAACGGTCGCGCAGAGCGCTGGGCGACTTCTCGGCAACGAGGCCGAACACGGTCACAAACGAGGAGTCCTTGGTCATCGCCCCCTTCTCGCGCTCGGCGGGCGTGGCATCGGTTTTCCTGGCGAAGTCCCGGTTGCGTCGCCGCCTCGTCGTCTGCGAGTCAACGCCGGTGCCTGCGCGGGCCGCGACCGGTACTGAGACGCTGGTTGGCTGCGCAAGGATGCTCTGCGGCTTCGGGGGCTCGGCCGCTTGCGCCGGCGCTACAGCCGATCCGCCGCCGAACGCGCCGAACCCTTGGGCGGAACCGAAACTGAACTGCGACTGCTGCATCGCGGTGGTAGTCGTGGCCGCAGCTGCGCCACCGAATGCGCCCCAGGGCGCAGGCGAGCCGAACGAGCTGCCTGTGGTGGAGGTTGCCACAGTTGCGCCACCGAATGCGCCCCAGGGCGCAGCTGAGCCGAAGGCGCTGCCACCGCCGCTGCCGCTGGGGGTGGAGGTCGTCGTTCCACTGCCGAAGCTGAAGCCTGTCGCAGTTGGCTTCGTGGTGGTGGCCGCAGCAGCCAGCGCGCCGAATGTCGAGAAGCCGAACGAAGAAGCGACCGCCGAGGGCGCGTGAGTCGGCGACGTGGGGGAGTAAGTCGGCGACGAGGGCGCGTAAGTCGGCGATGTCGGCGAATAGATCGGCGATGAGGGCGCGTAAGTCGGCGACGTAGGGGAGTAAGACGGTGACGAGGGCGCATAGGTTGGCGACGAGGGGGCGTAAGTCGGTGATGTCGGCGAGTAGCTGGGCGACGTGGGTGAGTAGCGCGGCGACGAAGGGGAGTAGGTCGGCGACGTGGGCGAGTAGGAATGGGACGAAGCCACGACCAGGGGCGCCAATGGCTGCTTGAAGGCCAGCGCCTTGATGGCAGGCGCCGCCAGGGCAGGAGCGATGGCGGCTTCGCCACTCGCCACCGGCGCGCCAGCTGGTGCTGCTGCTGTGCCCAACGCGAAGCTTGCGCCGCCGCGTGCGCCGGGCACGCCGCCTCGGCTGCGGGCGAAGCCAAACCCGCCTCGGCCGCCCCGGAACCCATCCTCGCCCAAGGCGAGGCTTGCGCCGCCGCGTGCGCCGGGCACGCCGCCTCTGCCGCGGGCGAAGCCAAACCCGCCTCGGCCACCCTGGACCGCACTCTCGCCGCCGAGATCGCCACCGCCTCGACCGCCTCGGGTCCCGAGCGCGCCCCGGAATCCGCCGCCGCGGCCGCCGAATCCGCCTCGGAATCCACCACCCATGGCCTCATCGCCAGGGCTGTCAGCAGCGTCAGGGGCTCCGAACTCGCCAGCCTGGAGCTCCTCACCTTCGGTGGTGCCGACGTCTCCAAATCCGAACCCGCCTTGGAATCCGCCGCCACGGCCTCCGAATCCGCCGCGTGTGCCGGGCACGCCGCCTCGGCCGCGGGCGAAGCCAAACCCGCCTCGGCCACCCTGGAGTGCACCCTCGCCGCCGAGGTCGCCACTGCCTCGACCGCCTCGGGCCCCGAGCGCGCCCCGGAATCCGCCGCTGCCTCCGCGGCCGCCGAATCCGCCTCGGAATCCACCACCCATGGCCTCATCGCCAGGGCTGCCAGCAGTGTCAAGGGCTCCGAATCCGCCAGCCTGGAGCTCCTCAGCTTCGGTGGCGCCAACACCTCCGAATCCGAACCCGCCCTGGAACCCGCCGCGGCCGCCGATGTCGCCACCGCCACGGCCTCCGAATCCGCCGCGGAACCCACCACCACGTGCTCCGGGCACGCCCCGGAATCCACCACCTCCGAAGGCGTCGCTGCGGCCTCCGAATCCACCGCCTCGGAATCCGCCACCACTGGCATCGCTACCGCCTCGGGCTCCGAGCGCTCCCCGGAATCCACCACCGCGGCCTCCGAATCCGCCTCGGCCACCCCTTCCGCTCGGGCCGAGCACAGAGCCCAAGGACATACTGGGGGCGTCGCGCTGCGGACTGGGAGAACGGCTGCGGCTGCGGCTGCGGCTTCTTCTCTTATCGTTATCGCTATCGCGGTCGCGGTCGCGTTCGATCGACTCGTTCCAGTCCAATCGGCGCCTTTCGCGCTCCTCCGCTTCGGAGGGGCTGATGGAGCGGTCGCGACGCCAGGAGAAGGGAGACAGGGCCAAGCCCGTAGTCACAGACGCCGCGCTGGAATCGATGTTGCTTTCAATACAATCGAAGAGAGACGATTGCTCCTGTGTTGTGTCGCGTCGAGTTGTGTGTCGCGTGTGTTGTGCCATGTGTGTCGTGTGAGCGCATGCTGGAGTGCGTGAATAGGATCGGCGGTACGCACCTGGACAAGGCTGCTGAGTTGGCGGAAGAGGTCGTTGACGTCGGCGAGTTCGGCGGTGATGCTCGCGGAATCAGGGCTGGGCGCCATGAGCGTCTGCTGGCGATGCAGTACCTCACTCGCCGCGGCCTTGTTGAACAGCGGCTGATACTTCTCCTTCTCGCCACGAAGCGGTTCACTCACCTTCTTCCCCTTCTTTTCCATCTTCTTTTCGAGGTACTTGCCGTAGTACTTCGCGCCGTACTTTGGACCAGCGGCGCCGTCCTTGCTCGCGCGCGCGGCATCGAGGAGGCACAGCGACGGCGATTGCTCCTCTTCTTCTTCGTCCCGCATCGAGCGCGACTTGGGATCGTAGATGGCCCCGTCGAGGTTCTTGAGATACTTGGCTGTGTCCTCTCGCAGGCGCAGCTGCCTGCATCGCCACACACGACACACACGACACACACGACACACACGACACACGCAGGTGATGAGTAACACCACCCCGAGGGCCTGATGACTGATGGCGGAGGGGAAAATGTACCTGGATGGTTCAGGCTCTGCAGGCGACGAAGGCAGCGAGCCGTCCGAGGCAAGCTCCATGTCATCGTTGTCGATGTTGATCTCTTCTGGAGCATTTGTAGGCTGGCTCAGGTCCCAGGCCTTGGCGCCGGCTCTTCTGTCCTGGGCGAGCGCCGTCTGGGTGAGCGCGGCGCGCTGGATCGAACCCTCGGGGTGGCGCACGATCTTGAGAGACTTCCGGCGTTTGCGGGGACACGCCAGGCCGCGCAGGAACGCAGGCTCTTCGTTGGTAAGCTCGATTTCGAGTTCGCTCTCGCTTACACCCCCGTCCTCTCCGTCCCCGTCTTCGTCTTCGTCTTCGTCTTCGCTCTCTTCCTCTTCCTCTTCCTCCTTCGCGTTGTCGTTTTCGCTTTCGTCTTCGTCGCGGTGCACCTGGCCCTCGATTCGGGGCAGGATTTCTCCGATCTGCGTCAGCACCCCTTGCTCGATCGCCGAACGTGGCGGCAGAAGTCCCACGATCTGTTTGCCCTCCGTCGTCTTGAGGACCAACGGTCCGGACCTGACAATTCATAACAATCGCGTAAGCGTGACACACCACACGACACACGACACACACGACACACATACCGGGTCCTGAAGCCGAGCATAAGTCTGTCGGCCTGGGGCGAATCACAATTCGTCTGGCTGACGGCGGTATACTCCTCCTACATAGCGACGTAAAGTCAGTTTGCAAGCAAGCAGCACTACAGCCAGGTGGTTCTTGGCGTACCAGGATTTCGTGCGTGACGGGGTCGACCAAGACCAGCTTGTCCTTCGCCAGGCCCACAGCCACGGGCTTTCCGCCCAGCTTGTTGTCGGCGGCGTCCACCGTGGCGTGGAAATAGACCATCCGCTCCCGCTCCTCGTCGTCTGTCACCAGGGGGCACACCCCGATGTCGGACGTGGTGGGCAGCTGGTCGGCATCGGCGATGACTGCGACTGGGCTGGCAGAGTCGGCGCCGGCTCCCGACTGCTCGTCCCAAGCCATGTAGGCTAGCTCGTCCACCTTCTCCCGAGCAACGAGCTCGTCGATCGACGGACCCACCTTCTGTTCCTCACCCGGCTTGCGCTTCTCAACCGCCACTGTTGCACGACGCAGATCACAGAATAATATTAACAAATTAATACTATTTCTGGGGTGGTTTATTTATTTTATATTATTTCGTGTAATTAAAAATGAAAAAATAAATAAAAAACAGACAGACAAATAAAAAAAGGGGAAGACGGTACCGAAGGAGGTGAACTCGGTGATGATCGAGTAGCGCTTGGAGAGGTCGATGATGTCCTGCTGGATGCGCCGCCGTTCGTGGTTGTGCTTGGTCTTGTTGGCGTCGTAGTTGCCGTCCTTGAACTGGTTGATCAGGGCCTTGGCCACCAGCGTGTGCAGCAGGTGGCCCTTGGTGAAGCACAGCTCGCTCGTGCTCACCCGCGTCTCGATCTCCTGCTCACCGTTGTGGGCATGCAGGAACGCCTGGGTGCAGTTGTCGATGAAGCTGTAGACCATCTTCCTCTCGCCGTTGAACAGCGAACTCGTTTCCTTGGGTGCCTGCTGAATCCGCTCGGCGTGCTCCGTGATCTGATTGGATACAATTGCATCATTAAGTGTGTGTAGTGGCATGAGTGTCGCGTGTGTGGATGTGTGCGTGTGCGTGTGCGTGTGCGTGTGTGTGTGTGTGTGTATGTGGTACCCATTTCACGGAGATGTTGGAAAGGGAGGGCTGGAGGGCGCGTTTGAACTGGCGCTCGATCTTGCTGCGGTTGGGCAGCGCGCCGGCCTCCATGAACTCGTGCGCTCCCGCGCCCACCCGAGCCAGCGTGCGGAGCGTGTGGCGACTGGCGTTCGCGCCGAAGCCGAATGTGAACAGCCGCAGGCGCTGGCGGTGCTGAGCGATGGCGTGCGCGACGTGCTCCTCGTCATTGATCTGACCATCGCTGAAGAGGAACACGTTGCGCGGGGGCTTGGTGTGGGCAGTAGCGCTCGCGCCGGCGCCGCTGAGCAGGTGGAGCGCGCGCAGCGGAGCGAACAGATCGGTTCCGCCCAAGTCCGCCTGCAGCGACCGAACGAACGCACGCGCCGTCCGCAGCGCTTGGGAGCGAAGAACAAAGCGAAAGCGAAGAAGATAAAACGAAAGCGACACAACGACAACGACAACGACAACGAAAAAAGTTAGTCGTGGGCGCCAACACCGCAGGCCAACTGCGCTGGTAAGCGGTAGTACCGGCTTGGTCCGTGGTGGACCGCGACACCGCGAAGAGGCTCTCGAAGCCGGACCCGAACACGTAGATGTTGAAGCGGTAATTGTGCGCCGTGCCTGCGCGAAAGTTGACCCATCAGATTCTGGGCAATGCACCTTGGAGAGGGGGAGCGTACCCTTGGGCAACAGATCCAGGCTGGCGATGACAGCGCGCTTCATATCCTCCAGCGTGTCACCCTTCATCGACGACGAGCAATCCACGACGAGGATGAACTCACGCTCCTCGTCGCGGCTGGCCTTGTACTCGAAGCGCGGGTAGAAGGCCACCTTGAGGTGCACCGCGCCCGGGAGGGGAGATTGATTGTTCAGCTGGGGCACCACCAGGTAAGAACGAAGCGTCGATGAGGAGACGTACCATGGCCGCCTGGGTATGGGTCTGCGGGTTCACCTCGATCCACATGCGGGGCTCGTTGGCCTTCTCGAGGGCCACCAGCAGAACGAACTGCTTTCCCTGGAGCGATGCATCTGCGAGTACAACGATCGAGGCTAAGTAGTCGCCTCTCTGCACCTTAAACGGTGGGTGTATGCGTGCGTGTGTGCGTGTGTGCGTGTGTGTTGTGAGGTGACGGACCGGGCTTGAGCTGGACCGTTGCCTTGGTGGCGGTTTGCTTGAGCCGCAGCAGATGCCCGTGGGAGGGACTGGCGATGCGCAGGATCTCGTAGGGCATGTCGATCCCGATCTGCGCGAAATGAGAGCGAGAGAGAAAGGTGGTGAGTCTTGCAACACAACGACAACTCGACTCGAGGACTCGAGAATCAATCAATTGGGTACCTGGAGCCCGAATCGGGCGTTGGTGGCCTCCACGCTTACGGTCTCCGTGGTCGTTTGGGTGGTCTGCGCAGCCGCACTCTTCTGTTGCTGGGCCGAGACGCTGGCCGGCAAGCGGAAGACGATGTTGTCTCCGTCGACCTGCGATGGAACCGTTGGTCGTCAGCAAGCACGTTCACTGCGGTGTTGCCTAGCCAGGGCGCGTACCTCCAATTCGGTGACGTAGGTGATTTTGATGAGGGCGTCGCACTTCGGCGGGAGATTGCCCACGCTCACGGTGAACACCTCCGGCTTTTCCTCATCCATGAGATAGGCACCATGGCCCTCGCTGACCGCCTGACCGACACGACACACATGCAGAACACGACACACAAGACACACAAGGCAACACGACACATACCGAGTGGATCGTGTGAGAACGCGATCATGGCTAATTGATCGGTTTGAAAGAGGGTGCAGCCAACCTGCTGGTATTCCTTATGGGCCTTCTCCTTTTCCTTGACCTCGCCGATGATGTGCTTGCCGTTGATGAAGGCCTCGAAGCCGCACACCGCACCCAACTCGTCCAACGGGGAGACCTGACAGAACACCATATTAATACGTGTATAGAAAATAATGTCGTATAAATTTGCCTGCAAGGCGTACATATTTGGCTTCGATGGCGTGCTCAGAGTCGTTCCTGTAGTGCTGCATGACCACCACCCGGCCGATCATATCTGCGCACGTAATATGAAAATTATTGAAAAGCCCGAGCGGGGAAGGAGGTGGTACATACCGAGCAGGGATGCCTTGATGTGGACGGCCTTCAGCGGGACCTCGACGTCGCTGCCGCCGTGCTTGGCGAGCAGGCCCGACTCGGTGGGCTTAGGAGCAGCAGCAGCAGCAATGGGAGAGTCCGCCTCCGTTTCGTCCAACAGCGACTGGACGTCCTTGAGGAGCGGCTCGAGCAGTTGCTGGCCGAATCCGACGGCATCGGCGCGCTGGGCATCGGGCGCCAGCGCGGGCCGGGCAGCGTGATAGATCCCGTGGTCTTGCTTGATGGTGAACTCGACGAGATGCGAGATGTACTGCTGCTTGGAGGCGAAGACCACGAACTCATCGTCCTCAAAGTCAGTCGCCTTGGTGGAGGTGCGCCTGGAATCCGCCGATGAGGTTCGTTGTAAGACCGGACACTTGGCTCGGGGAAGACTGAGTGGTTTCCACGGTCACAACGTACCTGACTCCGTGCACGCTGTCGTAGCCGGCAGGCGGGGCGGTCAGGCTGGTGTCGATCTTGGTCAGCGCGGCCGACTTGCCCAGAGCCACCTGTGATGCGGGTGTGCGCACAAGCAACATGCAGCTCCACGCAGTAAGCGCACAGTCCAGGCTTGAGCGAATGAAGGAAGGAAAGCCACTCGCGCAGTTTGTTTCGCGTACCTCGCAGAGCAGCATGAAGCGGGAGCCCTCAGACGAAGGCGAGGCGTACTGGGACGCCGTGGATGACGCGTCACCGAAATAGAGACCTTATGACAAAAGATGAATTGTTTGAAATGTGATGAGAGGCATGTGGGTCAAGGCCGGGTGTTACCTGCGCCGAGCATCCCCACGTCGCGTCTGCTCACGCCGTGCGCTGCAATCACCGCAGGAGGCAACAGCCCTGCATCGACGACCCAACACAACAACGTCAACACGGTCGCGCCAAAAATGAAAGGGAGCGAAGGGATCCTAAAGAAAAGTGATGAGTGCTGCTGACGGACCTCGAGAGAGCAGGCCGAGGAGGTTCGAAGCCGGAGAGCCATGAAAGAGGAGGCGGCGGTTGGGTAGGTCGGCCGCGAAGTTCTCTCGCTCGACGATCCTACACACCTCGAAGATGTTCTTCACCTCGATCTCGGGCCCCTTGATCCTTGTAGACTCGATCTGACCAAACAAAGAGGGAATTGGTGTGAGTCTGGCTGCGCACAATTCATGGGCGCATGCGCGCATCGTACGGTGTGCTTCAATTCCTGGAACTGAGACGAGAACGGACTCATAGGCGAGATGTTGGTGCGCAGCGCCCGGTACTTCATTCCCACTTCGGCAAATCGGAGGTCGCCTCCGCTCACCTCGTCCACCTGACCACAGCAAAGGAATGTAAGGCATTCATTGCAGGAATGAATGTGTCAAGGGAGGAGCGGTGAAGGGCTACAGTACCTTGATCATGTCCTTCATGAGCTGCACGAGCTCCAGCTTCTCGGCGACGGCTTCGATTGATGAGAGGACCGGCTGCTCCTTCTCCTTGATCGCATCGTAGAACTCGGCGGATAGTTTCTCCACCTGGTCTTCCTGATTGGCCTCGCCGGCGACCGCAGCCTTGGAGTCCTCCTTTTTGTTGTCTTCGTCGTCCCACGCCCACGTCGAGGCGGGCTTCGCGCCGTCGGTCTTGCTTTTGGCCTTGGCGTTGATGGTGTCGACCAGCTGCAGAAGGATGGCTTCGGCCTTCTCAAGCTGCGCCAGGCTGAGCTTGCCGATGTAGTAGTCGTTGATGGAGTTGAAGAGCCGGCTGTTGGCCTCCTTGTACATGAGCTCCACCAGCGCCTGGACCTTGGCCGGAAGCGCGTTGGCCGCGGTGTTCTCGCGGTCCTTGATGGCCCTGTCCGACCCGATGCGGCACTCGGCCGCCACCACGCGCGACTTGACGTAGCCCGCGTTGGTGCGCACCAGCTTCGTGTAGAGCGAGGCGTAGAGCGTCTCGGCCTCCTCCACGCGGTTCACATATCTGCACTCCCTCACACCGCCCGTCGTATCGCTCAGCACGCCCTGGTGGGTGAAGACCCTGTACGAGGTGGCGGCGCCGGCCGTCTGCAGCGATTCCTGGTCCTCCGCAGCAGCAGCTGGCTTCGCGTGCGTGGCCACGTGCAGCTCGAGCGCGAAGAACTGGTTCGCGCACTGAAGTACATCGCACTTGGCGATCTCGTAGGAGTCCTCCGGCCATTGGGGCGCGCCTGAAGGCAAAACGTGGTTAAGCTTAGACTGATGAGGTTGGGCCAACCAAACATCGCTGAGCTATCAGGCGAGGCCTCACCTTTTTGCTTGGTCTTGTAGCGCCACGCTTCTACCAGCGGCGGCACTTGCAAGACGCTGGGCTTGGCCTTGGAGCTGGGCACCCAGATGGTATTGATATCTGTACATTTCTCCTGCTTGATGTCTGACATAGAAATGGCAGAATGCAGCAGTAGGTTAGCAAGGCGTGAGTCATCACATTATGTGCCACGAGCGCTGACGAAACGCTGGTGATCATCGTCAGACGAGGATACGCCGGGGACATACTCTTGGCCTGCGCAGAGGCCAGAAGAAAGGGCAGGCAGGAGACTTGGGCATTGGCCTCCACGCAGGCATGCACGAACGCGACATCTACGATGGGCACGCCGTGCTTGAGCGCGCCGAGAACCTTGGACGAGTAGGACTGCCCGTCCGCCAGTGCTCGTGTTGTCACCAGAAAATTGGTCTGCAACAAAACGGGAATATATTCGTTTCACCGAAAAGTTACTATGTGGAAAACTTCTGCACACAGCGGGGGGGAGCACGGCACCTTTTTGTTGATTATGTAGGCGAGTTTGCCACCGTGCGCAACGATGGTGCTCTTTAGCGCGTTCTTGGTCTTGAGCGGCACGCTGCTGTCCAGCTCAACAGCAAAGCTGACATCCTTCAAGAAACCCATCACCGCACGCACTTGACTGGAGGTGGTACGGCCAAGCGGCTTCTTGGCGCGCCAAAGAACGAATAGGTCCTTCTGGAAGCTTTGTCTGCGACTTTTATGTCTAACTCGTTTTTCGAAACAGATTTCGAAACATTTTTTTAAAATTGGAATTTTCGTCAATCCGAACAATAACTGGCCGTGACCAAGCCACGGCATGCTGTGTTGGCGCGGTTCAAGTGGGACACTCGCTGGGGCGCTGACAGAGGAATCGCGCACACAATTTGGACAGATCAATCGAATCAATTGAGTAACGCGAAAAGAACAACATGGATCCATCGCTGCAGGGTGCCGACTGGAATGAGGAACACAAGACGGGAACGTCTATCATGGCGGTGGTGTACAAGGACGGGGTGGTGGTGGGTGCCGACTCGCGCACCACGACGGGCGCCTACATCGCGAATCGAACGAGCGACAAGCTGACGCCCGTGCACGACAAGATCTACTGCTGTCGTTCGGGATCGGCCGCTGACACTCAGGCCATCGCCGACTACGTCAAGTGGTTCCTCAATCAGCACAGCGTCGAGCTGGGCGAGGAGCCTGAGGTCGGTACGGCGGCCAATCTCTTCAAGCAGCTCTGCTACGCGAACAAGAACTTCATCATGGCGGCCATCATCGTGGGCGGCTACGACAAGCACAACGGCGGCAGCGTCTACTCGATCCCTCTGGGCGGCTCGCTCATCAAGGAGCCGTGGGCGATCGGCGGCTCAGGCTCGTCCTACATCTACGGTTACTGCGATGCCAACTACAAGCCAGGCATGACCAAGGATGAGGCTCTTGCCTTCGTCCAGAACGCTCTCTCGCTGGCCATGTCGCGCGACGGCTCGTCTGGCGGCGTCATCAGAACTGTGACGATTACTGCCGATGGCGTGGAGAGGAAGATGCTTCCTGGCAACAAGCTGCCCCAGTTCTACGAGGACTGAGAACTTCAGGTTCCATCTCTCCAATCTATCCCCAGCTTGTGAATGCTCTCTCATTCCTATAAATACTTCTCAACGATCGTGCAATTATTTATCAATTTTCTGATTTACAAAGAAGAAAGCAGATGAAAGTGGTGGGGGGGGGCGTGTTTGCAACTTATTTCAGCAGAACATGGCCTGGAACGACAGCATCTGCTGGTGCAGTTCAGTGGCCTTCATGTTGACAATGGTCGAAGGGATGCTTCCATTCGGCTCGATGTGCACGAGGCGCACCACGCGCGAAGATGAGCTGTCGCCCTCGACCGGCAGGAAGACGTAGCCGCCCAGCAAGACCGTGGCGCGAACGTAGCTGCTGGGTAGCTCGGGCACCTGCTCGTGGGTGACCGACTTGACTATGACCGCGTGAGATCCCTCAGCCTCATCTTGCGTTTTCCACATCAAGAGGCACACGTCGCGGTGCCACAGGGGCCAGGGGAGCGCGGCACGTTGGTAGACGATCTTCATGTCCGGGTTGCCCTCCAGGTCGGGCACCTTGACCTCGTACTCTTGCACATCAGCCGACATCTTCTGCCACTCCTCCTTGCCCCAGTTCCAGAACTGCTCGGCGGCCTCCTTGGGCGAGCGTGCCACCTTGCCCGAGACGCGGTAGCAGTTGATGTAGCTGCCCTCGCGCGGCCTGGCCTCGAGCAGGACGCCCTCGGCCTCCTTGAGCGTGGTCCATCCATCAGCCATCTCCCTCAGCTCCTTGGCCAAGTTCAACGTCTCCTTCGCGATAGCCGTGTAGTCAGTCATCTTCTTACTTGTTTGCTTGAGAGTTGTCTTTTGTTGTGTTGGGTTCTGCCCCTTCCCAAGCTCGTGGCTGTTGCGCCAAACGGCGTAGGTCTCGTTTGCGTTTCGCAAAGCCTTTAACGAAACTGTTTCGTTTTTGTTTCCGTTTTAGTTTCGTTTCTCGCACGACGACAAGATTGAAGATGAAACGAAAGCAATGCGCGGAAGGAGCGGAGGGTGATGAAGACTGCCGGAGCCTCTCCGTGACGTCAGAGGAGCACATCAAAAAATCGCAGAAGGTGGAGGATGGAGCGATCGATTGGAAGCTCTACGCAGAGGAAATTGAACAAAGATTGGAGACAAAATCATCGGAGGAGAAGAAGAGGGGCGAGGCCGAGGCCGAGAACACGGAATGCCAGCTTTGGGCAGAGCTCAGTCATGCACGGGCAAAGTTAGGCCAGTGGCACGAGGCCCTGAGTGCTGCTCGCAAGGCTGGGCGAAGCACCTTTGAGGTACTACTTCATCTATGCCTGCCGCACCTGCACCACGTACTCATTGGCCATTCACCAGGGGCGCAGAGCCGAGGTCAAGGCATTGCTCGGTCTGGGGAGATGCGGCGAGGCGCTGACAGTGGCCCGCGACGCTGTGGGTCTCGCCAACGACGCCCAGGAGTCCGAGGCCGACACTCTCCTCCGCAGTGCGATGACCGTACGCACCGCTGAAGTGTGCGGCGTGTTGGTGCCGCCGATCCCTGATTTGCTAATTCAATGTGATTCTGATGGCTGTGTGGACTATGGTAGGCGCACTATGAACCGATCGTGGGGGAGCGGCCTGTGCGGGTGGAGTACTACGGTAAGCGCAAAGGGAAAGGCCTTGTCGCCCTGCGCGACTTCAAGCAGGGCGACGAGATCTTTCACGAGGAGCCACTCGTCTGCGCGCCGCCTTTCTTCCCTGCGCAAGAAAAGGTTTTTCTTTCCCTCACCACCACTCTTCGCACGCGTGATCGCTCACTCGACGCATCCAAAGCCATTGTGCTGCAGCAACTGCATGCGGTACCTTGACACTCGCGAGGCGATGGTGGATCGGATGGTCGCCCACGTCAAGCAGTCGGACAAGGCCAAGGCCGCTGCTCTTCCTCGATTCGATGAGCTGTGCCCTCCCTTTAGGTACCTAACGCGATCGACTGACAACAAACACCTCATGCAAACTCTCGTGGGAGTGGGCCACCACCAAGTGCCATAACTCACCACTAGTTATTGGGGTTCATTGCAGTGAAACCGAGGGTCAGATGTGCCAAGGCTGTGGCGTGGAAGTGTATTGCACGACCCAGTGCAAGGATGACGCTTGGCGACGATACCACGAAGCGGCCTGCCCGGCGTACGCAGCCTTGCGTCCCTATTTTGAGAGTACGTGCGTTGTGTGTTCAATGCATCCGGCTAACCTCGGCTCTATGAGTCACGCGCATGCGCCGCGGGCCTTTCTTGACTGTGTGTGTGTGTGTGTCTCCCACAGGTGAGGACTTCTATGATATCGGCGTGATGGCCCTGCGCATCTATGCCATCATTTTGCAGAACCTCAAAGCGGCCCGGGGCGATAGCTTGGCCGCAAGGCTCGACGAGGCCTACATGCCCTTCATGCATTTTTGCAAGGTGGCCTCCCCCAAGGTCAAGTTTTGGTTTCCTTCACGTCTCTTACCTCCCAATTACGGTGACGCACGCAGGCGCCGTTCTCCGATGTGGTGTGCTACGTGGCTGGGATCAACAAGTATCAGGTAGATCACATAACAACGACTCGACATAGCAATTCTAAAGCGAGAGCTGTGGTGTGTGTTACAGGATGAACTCGTAGAACGGGACGAGCTAAAGAAATACAAAACGGTATTGGTGCAGCAGCTACACCTCAGTCTGGTCGATGCTCTTGTACCCGAAGAGCTCAGATCAGGTGAGTGGTTCCCGCAAGCGCCTTCTAGTGCCCTCTCTCTTGCCATGCTCGGTGGTACCCACTCACCGCAGCTCTTTTCACATACGACCGGCAGAAGAGATATTCTCCTGGGAGAACCTCGATCTCTTGATGGGCATGGTGGCCACCAACGTGCAGAAGATTTCATCGCCACTCCAACGCTATGCCAAGGCAAGCAAGCACCACGCAAGCCCCTTTCTTGCTCCTTGCTGACGTGGCATCTCGTGTCATGTGTGTCGTGTGTGGTGTGCGTCAAAAAGACGCTGCAGCAGCAAGACCCCAGGACTTTCGACCGAAGCATACCCGATGAACTGATACCCTTCATCAACGCGCACAGTGGGCAGGTACCAGTGCATGCACCCATTTGTTTCCTCTCTACACTCATCACGATCTGCCATGGTACTAACGTTCCGCGCGTGTCGTGGACCGCGGCCATTGCCAAAACAGGGTCTTTTCGTGGTGCACAACTGCATGAACCACTCGTGTGACAACAACGCCGAGACCACCTTTCGGCACGGGGACCGGTGCGCCGATGCTGATCCTGCCGCGCTGTCTTTTCCATGAACCGATGCGTGTTCCATGCAGCCGCGACTCACGCCCCAAATACAGGACGGCGACGGTGGTGGCGGTGAAGGATATCCGACAGGGCGAGGAGGTGTGCATCGACTACATCGGAGCCAAGCGCCTGCGGTGGTCCGCACCCATGCGTCGACGGCGGCTGCTGCGCGAGTACCTGTTCGAGTGCGCCTGTCCGCTTTGTAGCGGTGCGGCGCCGTGATAAAGAGATCTGACCCAAACAGTTACGATGCTTGCTGATTGGCTCCTTTTATTAGCTTGACGGGCCAATCGTTCCCGGCAGAAAGCGGGAGCGAAACCGCCGGTCAAGCAACAAGTCAGCATACCAACAAACCGCACCGATGAGGATGAGACGCAGCTCCGTCGTGCTGTCGCTCACGCTCCTCTTCTTGGTGCTTGGCGGGGTAAAGCTCGGCAAGTCCGCACCGAATGCCTACTGCTGGGGTGAAAGTACTTCCTCCTTTTCCTCCCCAGTCCTTCGTCTACGTTTTGATTAGGTGTATTACACGCTTTTGCTGCTGTCACTCTTTCACCTTCATCACTATTATGATTTTTAGGTGCGTTTTTATTCTTTCCTAAATTGAGCAACTCGAGTAACAGCGGCATGCCAATTGGTCCCACAGCCGTGTTACACGTTTATTGTTTATTGAACTTTCACGGCAAGCACTCACACGAGCCATGACATCTTCTTTTCAAACCTCCAAGATGCCAACATGGGACTGGCGACCAACGATACCAACAACAAGGATGTCCCCACGCAGGGCCTCGGTCTCGTCGGGTTGGGCAGCCTCTCGTCCATCTCAGCCGGTCGAATGCACGCGTGCGGCATTCAAACCGCCACAGGCACGTTCTTTCGCTCTTCGCTCTTCGTTCTTCGTTCTTCGTTCTTCGTTCTTTCGCTCTTCGATCTTATCACGCGTGTGACTTGCTCCTTTTAACGCTCATCGCACCTTCAAACTACATTCCCGCACAGGCTACGTCAGCTGCTGGGGCAAAGGTACTTACGCTCCGCTCTTGTTGGACAAGAGAGGGCTTGTGTTGCTGAGACTCGCGAGTGTGGTTCCCACATACTACAAATAGCTGCGTCCGGCGCGCTGGGTCCGGCGGTGACGCCTGGCGACACGTTGCACAACCCAGGGGCTGCGTCGTCGCGCCCGTTCACCACCGTGTCCTGCGGAGAATCCGTGACCTGTGCCATTGACACCATCAGTGCGTACAGCCGCCTCATCATTTCTTCCCTATTTCCACGCAATGTAAAGCTCACATCAACCCACCACCACCACAATAGACAACCTGTCCTGCTGGGGCGACAGTACGCCGTATTCCCGTGGCCTCACTGTGTGCAGCCAAACACTGACGTGTGTGCCTGGCGTGCACGACGGTCCAACAGATAGCTTTGGGCAACTGGGCGTGGGCACGGGGTTCACTCAGTCCGCGACCGAGAGGAACGTCACCACCCTGTCCGGGGTGACATTCGTGTCGGCCGGCTATCTCTATACGTGCGCCGTGGCCGGCGGGGTGGCCTACTGCTGGGGCTTGAGTGCGTTTGGCAGATCGTGTCTCGTGAGAGTGTGTTGTGATTACTGATGTTGTTGTTGTTGTGGTACAGACGCGCAGGGACAACTGGGCATAGGGAACTTGAACAACGCATCGCTGCCAGCTCCGGTGGCGCTTCCCACTAACGTCACCGTGAGCGTGATTGCCACGGGACTGGATCACGCCTGTGCCCTCACCACCGGTTCGTATTCACAGCCAGCAAATGGTGAGCTGATCGCGCACACGCTCACTCCACATTGGTCTGATTCTATTCCACGCTCCAATAGGATATGACCTTTACTGCTGGGGCAACAGTACGTTTTGCTATGACCAGTATGGCCATCCACGACTGGTGATGACCAAACCCTTCTTCATCTTTTTCCTGGCGTGACAGACATCCGCGGCGCCCTGGGTGTCGGTACGACGGCGACCGGCTCTGTCAGCTCGCCCCAAAAGGTGGACGGCTCTTATATCGCCGTAGCCGCTGGGCAGGAGGTCACCTGCGCCGTCTCCCTACGTGCGTGCCGCGTCCCGCATCCATCACAGCCTGCCTTGGTCACTAACTCACTGAGTATCGTGTGTTTCTCGTGTGCGTGTCGTGTGCGTTGTGTCATATTCAGCGGCGAGGGATGTGTACTGTTGGGGCTACGGTGCGTGCATTTCTTGGCAGCGCTGTCAGCGACAAGGCACCGAGAGTTGACTGTGTCATTCTCTTTTTGTGGTGCCTGTACGCTTGCCAGCCCAAAACGGCATCCTGGGCGACGGTTCCATCTCGGGCAACCAAAGCACGCCCGTCAAAGTGGCGGCCCTCGCCGGTCAGTACGTGGCCGTCGCTGCGGGCTACACGGCGGCATTCGCCGTCGGAACAGGTCCATGAACCCCCACCTCCCACCGTGTGTGTGTGTGTGTGTTGTTGTGTGTTGTGTGTGTGTGTGTGTGTGTGCGCGTGCGTACGTAATGTCGCTCCCTAATCCTCACCCCACTATACCAACAGATGGCCAGACCATGTCCTGGGGAAGAGGTTCGTGTTGCTTGCATTTCTTTATTTTGTCTCTAATCGCTTGCGTATAGTAACTCCGGTTCTTTCTTCTACGTCGGCCGCAACTCCACAGCCAATTCTGGACAGCTGGGCCGCGGAAGCCTGGCGGCTGGCTCCATCCACACGCCGGCACCAGGTTCGTTCCTCCCTGCAGCTCGTGCATCCTCTTCTCTCTTTCGGGTCTCACGCACGCACGCAGTGTCGGGCGGCACCACCTTCGGCGCGGGCCTGTCGATCGAGTCGTTCGGCAGCTTCGCGTGCGCTCTGGCCACGGCCGTGCCCTCGGCCACGCCGTCGCCCACGCCCTCTCGGTCGCCCACGCGATCGCCGTCGCCCTCGTCGTCGCCCACGCGCTCGCCGTCGCCCTCGTCATCGCTCACGCCCTCGCCGTCGCCGACCCAGTCGCCCTCGCCCAGCCCATCGGCGGTGCCCGTGCCCTCCGCCCTGGTGCAGGCCGATTTCGACCTCAACGTGCCTACTGTGGCCATCAGCCAATCGGGTGCGTTGCACTGCAGCGATGACCGACTTTTAGACCAATAACCGATTCTCACCTTTTTTTTATGCGACAGGCGGCGAATCACGACCCACAGCGCAGCGGATCAACCTCAACCTGGTGAGCCTGGAGGAGACCACGCCCGACGGCAGCACCGTGCTTCAGACAGTCGATCTGCAGACCGGTGCCGCTCTCCACCATCGAATTGTGTCGTGTGTTGTGTAACTAATCGTGTGTGTTGTGTTGTTGTGTTGTTGTGTTGTTGTGTTGTTGTGTGTTGCGTTGCGTGTGGTGGAACAGTGGGGTGGACGGTGGAGGAGAAGAACAGCTCCATGAGCGGTGAGGGGGTCACCCAATATGTCTTCACCAGCCAGCTGAGCACCGCGACCGGCGGCACCAACAACGCCACACTTCAGTACCTGTTCAACACCTACGACTCGGAGCAGCTCATCACCACCGGTCCGTGATCTGCGCCTCTCCTCTCTGCATGTCCCGCTGTGCACTGTCCTGACGCTACAATTGGCGCAGGGAGCAACTACTCATTCACAGTAACGCCATCGTTGCTCAAGTTCTCCCTCAACATCTCCTCATGGCGATGGAACTCGACGTGCGTGGCCCTGAACCAACCAACGCCACACACTGAACCCGCACTCGCATCACCGCACACGCATTACCGCACACGCGCAGTTCTGACAATGTTGTTCGATACCAGGCTGGGCAAGTTGCGGCTGACGTTGAAGATCGTCCCCTCGTTTGCACGCTTCACCCGCTGGGATGACGCGCCGCAGGCCGGCATGACCACGTTCCTCTTCGTCAGCGCCCAGGCAGAACAGGCCAGCACGCTGATGCGCCTCCTCAACTTTGGCGAGGCCTCGGGTGGCGCCGGAGGCGAAGTATCGCGCGTGGCCATGGCCGCTTCGGCCCAGGTCAACACCTCGTCACTGTCGCTCACCTTCGATCACTTTACCGACACCATGCTCTTCGACCCTGGTACGTGTGGCGTGTTGTGCCCTATGTGCGGTGTGTGTCGTGTGTGTCGTGTGTGTCGTGTGTGTCGTGTGTGTCGTGTGTGTCGTGTGCGGTGCTAATGGGTGGTGCAGATATTGGACTGTTGCTGGGCCGCAAGGAGGATGGCTCAGGAAGCGGAGGAGGTGACAACCTGGGGCTCATCATCGGCGTGTCGGTGGCGGTGCCGGTGGCTGTCGTGTTCGTTGTGGTCGCCATTGTAGTGGCCCTGGTCATCATCCGCATCAAGCTCAAGGCCGGCCTTCACACCAGCAGCGGGGTGGTGAGCTTCCACAATGACAACGCCGATGACCTCCTCTAACCGAACGCCCCTTTTTAAATGAATAATAACTGTAGTTGCTCAGCGATAAGGCACTAATGACCTTTTGTGGCTGCCCAAGCACTGCATGTTTCAGAGCTGAAGCAGAGAAAGGAAAAAAGTGAGGTGAGCTTTGAAGTGTGAAAGGATGAGTTCCATCATAAACTCCAACAGATGGCTGGGTACATTTGCATATGTCTTGCTTGACTGTTATGTGTGATGATATGATGGACCCTGCTGGTATAATAAAGATACTTGAAGCCAATCTGCTTTTAAGGCCAATGTGAGCAAGCAAGATGAAACCCAACACACAAAAGATGCATTGCACGTTCCATTCGCAGACAGAGTCACACATCATCCTGTGCCAACAATCATACAGCTCAGCATCCTTGCAAACAGAAGCTGTAATTGCATCACAAAAGGACAATGGAAAATTAAAACACTGCAGGGAAAACAGGGTGGGAAGGACGCAGAAGTCACAATAGCAACTCTGGATCGGAGATGCTGCCCAGAAGTTGCCTGGAGAGGGTGATGGTCCAACCTGCTACTACTACTGCAAGCGTAGCCATATCAAACCTGAATGCCCAACACTACAACTGATCTCCTTGATCCGCTACCAGACAAGGAACCTCCGCTCTGCCACTTGCCATCCCTCAGCTACATGATTGGCGGGCTGGTGGAGTCAGTTCTGAACCTGCAAGACAGAGGGTGACAGCAAGCATTACATGCTCAGTTCCGACTGCCAGAACTGGATTCATCCCGTTAGAGGTTACTGATCACCAAGATTCCCCATGGTCACGCCAAAGCCTAAGCACCCCAGCAAGCTCAAGCTCCTGAAAGCTGAAGCCAAGCCCAAGGAAGATTGCAAAGCGCAAGGGGCAGCTTATGCTGCTCTCTGCCTTATTATACCTTCTACGCTGACTCTCATCATCATCGTCACCGTGATCCTCACCACTCATCGGCCACCAGAATGGACCCGTCGACCCTGAGGCTCGCCGAAACCCTGAGGCTCGCCCTCCTCCAGTTCGACACCTCAACCTTCACTTCTTCGCTTCTTCGCATTTGTGATGAGGTTATGTTACATTTTTTACAAGGCCTCAGCGGACATGGAGCGTGAGTTGCTGTGGCTGGGAGATGAAGTGGACCTGGAAAATGAGTGGTTGCCAGGTCGCACCACTGTGTGCGGCTGGTGGCTCCTCACACCGTGCTTGATCACCGACATTGGTCGCCGCCAGTTCTCGAACAGCACGCGCCAGAAGGTGAACGTTTCCTGCAATGGCGCGGTGGGTGAACGACGTGGTGGGTGCTGATGTGTTTTTGGTGGAGTGTGAGGGGGACGAACCTTGGAGAGGCCCAGGCAGCAAAAGATGATGATGCCCTGACCGCCGACAGCAAACGCTTCCCAATACCTGTCAAGCAAGGGTTAACAAAAGATGAGCTAACGAAACACAAACACTGGGCACGCACCAGGCGCCCTTGTTAATTCCAACGGAGAGCGGACACTCGTCACCCGTCGCAGCGCTGCAGGCAATCTGATCCTCCACAGCGTCTTCGATCGAACTCTGAATTAATGATGATTTGATTTGAATTAGTATCTTTGATAATCATTGGCTGGAGGCACAAAGTGGTCAAAGGTGACGGTCGTACCCTGACAGCTTCGAGGTAGATGCGGTAGCCGATGACGTAGGCGTAGACGAGCCAGTAGCCCAATATGAGCAGCGACAACCGGATCACTTGCTCCATCGAGATATGCGTCTGCTCCTTCAGCTGCGATCGTATCTGTGCGTGTGTGTGTGTGTCGTCGTCGTCGTGTGTGTGTGTGTGTGTCATCGTGTGTGTGTGTGTGTGTTGTGTGTGTGTGTGTGTGTGTGGTCGTGTGTGTGTCACGCTCCGATTCACACGATCACAGGTCTAGGAGATGATGTACCCTCAAGACTTTGATGATAACGATCGTCATCAGGGTGGTGCCCACGCACAGATTCACAAACACTGTCCGTTGGTGCCAGCGTAGACTGCAGTAGTGAGCCCAGGCATGTGTGGTCACCACGGTTCGCAGATGGACGCGCGTACCGGGTGCGTAGAATATGCCCCAGTCCCAGGGACGGGACACGAAGCAATTGTGACTCCCCACCTGCCCGTCGAACTGCTGGGCGCCCAGGGCGATGGTCACGAAGAAGGCGGGCATGCCCCAGCCGACCACATGTGACGCTATGTGGAGCTTGGCCGGCGAATAAAGTATAACTATTAACATAATGATCATAAGTAATAAAACTGATAGGAATAATTATCAATCTTTAACAACGAGACGTACTGCCTTCTTGACGCCATCCGAGGAAAGCTGGATGACGATGAACTGGAAGACGGTGAACGTGAGCATGACCCACCAGAAGCTGCCCGCCAGCCCGCCGTACATGACCATCATTCCTGTTTGTCGTTCACACCACAACCGAACAGATCTGGGTCAGCCAGGCCTCAACCAAAGAACGCGCCAATGTACGCAGCACTCAGTACCTTGCAAAACGCACACTACTCCCTGGCCGTCGTTGTCTCGCGCGCCGTCGAAACTCTGCAACACTGGGGTGTCGTCCCACGTGCAATAGGTGCGCTCCGGTCCTGAATGTGTTTGAACGATCAATTTTGAGCCCAAATGAGGGCTCTTGGGTGAGCCGTTCAACTTTCCACCGAAGGAAGGTGATCGCACCACCCACCAATACGGCGAGGTCGATGCCGGTGGTGCAGATGATGGACGACACGCAGAGCCACAGCTGATACGAGGTCGGGAATCGTCGCTTGCGCGGATTGAGCGAGTAGGTCACGATCAAGAACAGAATCATGCTAAACGACAAGACTGGAGAGAAGTGCGGTGGTCAGTGCGCGTGCGTGTGCGCGTGCGTGTGCGCTGGTGCGTGTGCGTGTGCGTACTGCCCAGCGAAATGCTGATTCCTTCCGATGCGCGCCAGTCGCTCGCATCGAACATGGGGTCGGGACACGGGTACACGCATATCTGCTCGTCGGCGGTCAACGACACCGAGGGATCAGCCACGCTCCCGTGCGGGTTGAACTTGAGCGGATGCGGGCAGTCCGCTTGACTGTAGGGCACCACTGTGCACGACACACGACACACGGCACTCACGTGAGGTGTTCAGAATGTGTGGAGCGGAAGGAAGCGCAGAGGCTGGACCATACCGGTGTCGGGCGAGGCGTCGTTGCAGTTGACGGTCGGGAGCGTGCTGCAGTCGGGCACCAGGTCGGCTTGGTCCTGTGACTCGAGGAAGGCCGAGCAGGCCGTCGCCATCTCTTCGCACACGCTGCGACAGGGTGGAAAGTCTGCGCTTCAACTCTGTGAGCACAGGGCCGGCGTGTGCGTGTGCGTGTGCGTGTGCGTGTGCGTGTGCGGCCGTACATGCAAATGTGTTGCTCCCTGGGTCGAATTGGCAGCCGACAAAGCCTCCCAGGCACGAGAGCCGCAGTGCTGCCTTGCGGCACGCCGGCGGCACAAAGACGCCGAACAGCTTGGTCGATTCTGCCGTCGCCACGTCCACCTGAACGCACGGTCACAGCCCCGAAACCTGGTCACCAAGTGATCGATCCGCCACCATCGGTTGCGATTGCAAAAGGGAACCTTCCCAGCGAGGCCCTTTCTTCTTCTAAATGACGGCGGGACGATGGCCCTACCCACGCTGCCTCCTCTCTTTATTATTTTCGATTTAAAATAAAATAAAATAAAAGAATTGCTGTAAAATGGCAAGAGCAATTCTAGTTCTTGACCAATGCGCTCCAACTTTGGGTAAGGGTGGGGATGATGACTATGATGAAGGAGAAGAAGGGAAAGGGGAAAGTGGAAGACAGAGTACCTGGGCATAGGACTGGTTGGCCAGGAGCAGGACTGACGGGTAGGTCACGAGGCTGTCGCACTTGTGGCCCGTGCGCGGTGCCCCAGGACTGGGCCTGCGCCCCTGTCGCCAGCAGCGCCAGCACCGCTGCACTCACCACCAGCACCGCTGTCATCCTGTGGTGGGCACCAAGGCCGTCATGGGCTGCCGTGGGCCTCATCAATCAAGAGGTGGCTGCGCAACAGACAAAGTGCAGAAGAAAAGAAAAAGAGGTCACAAGGCGTTGTTGGTGTGATCCCAAGGGGTGATATTGCAATCAATCTCAAAGATGGTGGCGGATACGCAGTTATTTCTGTACACTCGCTTCATTTGCTTGTTCTGCAGGTGATTGGGTACACAGCTGTCCCTTGATCGCAGAGGAAGTAGTTTAAGGTGGCGGGCTCGGCTTGAGCGCAGAGGTGGAAGCACGCCCGACAGAAGAAGAAGAACGGTAAGAGCTTAGCTTACCAATGGCGGTAATAACGGCCGTCATCGGAGCTAGAGTCATCGTCAGAGCTGGAGTAGTCATTGTCTGCAGAAACTTCATCACTATCGGCCTGGCCTTGTTGGCCGAGCACGGCGCGGATGTGGTTGGCGGCGCTGGCGCTGCCATCGGCAACGTTCAGCAGGACGCGCATCAGTTCCTCCTTGGAGAGTGGTTTCAGGAGTTCGGCCAGGGTGGAGCGACTGGGAAAAGAGCCTGTGCAGTGATTCGCCGTGAGAAGTTGTTTCTCCTTCAAGTGGTCGTTGCGAGCACGTACCAGGTGAGTGTGCCCATAGCAGGAGAACGGCCCCGACGTGCTTGCATGGACTGCCCCAATCTGGGCACGTGCACCGCCAATTCATCAGCCGGCTCATGTCTTCGTCTCCTGTCACTGCGCAGCCATAGCCATTGCCAAGCGATCCAGCCACTGAATTAGTGATTACGCACACGCACATGATACAGGCACATACCACCGCACACGCACCGCCCCACCGCACACGCACATTCATGCACACACACACCCGCACGTACCAGGCACTGAGGGTGCGGGGTTGAACGTGATCGTGATGCGGTAGTGGGATCGCTCCCTCCCCTGCACTCGGGCTTCAAGCTTGAGGCCCTCGCGGGAGCGCTGGTCGATTTCCTGATGGTGATTGGCAAAGATGCCCCTGGCGCGCTCGTACCGCCTTGTCGTGAGCTAGAAGTCGCTTTGCTGCGCTGGGGCTGATGCAAGGCGGTCTGGCGGCATCAGAAGCGCTCGACTCGCCCGACTCGCTCGACTCGCTTGACTCCTCATCTTCAGAATTGAGAATAATTTACCTCGTGTTTTGGCCGTTTTGCCGCCCTTTCGCTTCCCACCTCATTGATTTCGCTTCCCTCTCCCTTGATTTCGGTTGTGATCGTCGTGTGCGTTGCTTCCTCGCTCATGCTCTAACGGTCTGCTCTTCTGTAGTGCTACTCAGTCTCATCTTTTTTAGGCTTTTATGATTGAAATTTCTGTGGCTCGTGTTGATTCTACTCGTCAAAGCAAAAAGTAAATTTGCAAATATCACGCAAGTGCAAATGGACTGCAGCAACGTGCAAAAGGGAGAGCACTCACTAGATCCAGAGGTTTGATTGAAAATGCCGTTAGTTAAAATCATCAGAATTTGATTGGTGATGGATGAATTGTTTGAAGGTGGTGTACCCGCAGGTGCCTGCGCTGGTCCACTACCCCCACCCGGTGCTGCGGTTGGTGGCTCAACCGGTAACCGTGTTCGACGATGACCTGCGGCGGTTCTGCCAGGGCATGTTCGCCTGCATGGCCTCATCGCGGGGCGTGGGTCTGGCGGCTCCGCAGGTGGGCGTGTCGAAGCGCATCTTCGTGACCGACCGCCTCACCCGCTCCAAGGACCAGGTGCCCGTCGACCGGCAGGTGTGGATCAACCCGCGCCTGGAGAACACCGGCGGCAGCTCGGTCTACAAGGAGGGCTGCCTCAGCTTTCCGGGCATCTTCGCCGACGTGACCCGCTACAACGGCCTCGACATCGTGGCGCAGGACGAGTGGGGCGTAGAGCGGCGGGTGGCAGGCCTGGACGTGGGCCTCGGCGACTTCCTCGGCGTCGTCGTGCAGCACGAGCTGGACCATCTCAACGGCCGGGTCTTTGTCGATCATCTCACGCCACAACAATTCGAGCTAGTGCGCGCAAGGCTGGGCGAGATGGAGGCTGACTACAAGCAGGCCACAGGCGAAGAGGGCACCGTGATCCGTCGCTGACGAGAACTGCATTTTCACGGTACCTGGCGCAGTTCGGAAGTTGGTTAGTTCCACCACCGATGCCTAACAAGACAGAGGCCGGAGCAAAGCAACTGCGGGGAAGGCTCGACCTTGGTGCGCGACCAATAGGTCTTTTGTGCTCGGCCGTTACACGTGCAGTCTGGCCCGCAGCAATTTATGATTGGCCCGAAAAAATCCCGGATCTTTCTTTTCGTCCGATAACTGTGCGAGAACTGACCTTTCGGACTGTGGTCTGTAACGTGAAAGACGAGTTAAAGTAGCGTGAAGCAAGGCAAAGTGAGAGCATAAGACCAACGCCCGCACGCTCTCCTTTTCTTCCTTTCTCTTCTGTGCCGCCCGTAGCTCACTCGCCTTCCCATCGCCAAGGTGCGCTCCTACAATCACTGTCGTCTTCTTCTTCGCGCTGCACCTCCGCGGAGTGAACCTCTGACACAAGATCTGTGCCTGCAGTTCTTTTTCTTTTGTTGGCTGCAGCTATGGCGTTCCCAGTGTTCGCCGTTGTGGGCATTCCGGTTATCTTCGTGCTGGGCTTCGCCGGCGCGCTCCTTCCCTCACTCGTCTCTTTCTTCTTTCCCTCTTACGGCATCACTCGACGCATCTACTTCTCCTTCTTCAACGGCCTTGCCGCGGGCCTCATTCTCGCCGTCGGTACGTCGACTACACTCCCTTGAGGCTCGTCCTGTCTTGTGCCTGACCTTACCTACGAACTGCGTGCACGGTGCAGGCTTTGTACATTCAATTCCCGATTCGTTCGAGTCGTTCGACGAGGTGATGGAGCAGTCTGATGCCTCGGAGATGACCCGAGACTACGCGTGGCCGGCGTGGATCGCGATGATGGGCGTCATCATCTGCTTCTCGGTCGAGGAGTTGGTCGATTTTCTCGCAGCTCACTTTCGTGTGGCGCACGCGCACTCGCACGCGCACTCACACAAGAAAGGCGAGCCAGCTCTCGTGGAAGACGACGAAGAAGACGATATCGAAGCAAAGAAAGAGCTCGCCGAGAAGGAGTCGACAGACGAAGGGGTGCAGAACTCCAAGTCTGAAAAGACCAAGAAAGAGAAGACCTCTAAGGACTACACCCCCGCAACACGACGAATGGTGAAGATGCTTGTCCTCTTCTTCGGCCTTCTGTTCCATGTACGTTTGGTCAGCATGCTTCTACAGGGCACATGCACGTGCACCACTTCACACATCTCACACTTCTTTTTGATTGATCCCGCACAGAACATTTTCGTGGGTCTGGCTCTGGGCACGGCCGACAACGACCACGCTCTGTTCATCGCCATCATCTTCCACCAGTTCTTCGAGGGCCTCGGACTCGGGTCTCGCGTGGCCGACGTCGACATGCGTAAGATCTTGTCGGTGCTGCTGATCGACTTCGTGTTCGCGGCGTCGGCGCCGGTGGGCATCGGCATCGGACTGGGCGTCAAGTCGGCCCTTGAGGACGGCTCGATGGCCTACAGCACCGTCGACGGCACCTTCCAGGCACTTACTCCCTCTGCTCACGTCACATTCCCCAATAGTCTCGCCACAATGTACTAATTTCTTCACCCACACCGTAGGCGCTCTCGGGTGGCATTCTGATCTATGTTGCTCTTGCGCACATGATCCGCGCCTACCACGATACTCACGCCGATAGCAAGTCTCTCCACTGGCACCGGTACGCCAAACTTGCAATGACCCAACATTAGGAATGATGACCCCACCAAGGCGCCTTTTGTCCTGACTGCTTCTCTCTCTGCAGGCTGGCGTCGTACGTCGGCCTTCTGTTCGGCGCTGCAGTCATGTCGGTCATCGGCATCTGGGCCTGACCAGTGGTTTTTTGTCGACGAGCAAAAGAAATGGCCGAGAAATTGCTTGTCTGGTTCCTGTCCTGGACAGCCGTAGCAAACTGCCAACACCAACTGCAGCTCAGACCATACAGCTTTTGAATCTTATTGCAGACCGCAACGGAGGAGGGCGCAGAAGCTACAAACAACAAGAGAGTAGTTGAATCTTACCGCAACCATCGAGAATAGAGACCATGTCGCAGACCGCAAAACGAGGGGGCAGGGGCGCAGAAGCTGCTCGAGGCGGTGGAGCAGGAGCAGGACCAGGACCAGGCAGAAGTGGCGAAGGGGGAAGAGGCGAAGGGGGAGGCCGTGGTGCCGCAAGAGGAGGGAGAGGCGAGGCGAGAGGCGGAAGAGGAGCTCCGCGCGGCGGCAGCGAACGAAGAGGGGGCCGGGGTCCAGAATCTGCTAGAGGTGGTGGAGCAGGACCAAGCAGAGGCGGCAGTGGAAGAGGTGGCGCTGCACCCACACCAGGCGGAAGAGGTGCTCCTCCCACCCCCGCGGTGCAGGCACCAGCCCCTGCCGCCGGCAGAGGACAGCGTGGCAGAGGGCGCGGTGCCGCTACACCCGCCACACCTGCGCCGGTGCCGTGGGCAGGAGAAGCGCCGGCCACGCTGCGCGTGACCCCGGAGCAGGCCAAGGAGCAGGAGGTGCTGGCCGCCGCGGAAGCCGAGCGCGAGCAGGAGCAGGTCCAAGAGGAGCGCAGGGAAGCCGCCATCGTGGCCGCGCAGGATATCGCCCCGCGCCAGCGTACCGAGCGTATGTCTACACACATGACACACATGACACACCACACAAACGTTGACAGCTGCACACTGACTCGTGCCATTTGGGAGAACAGGCCGGACGCCGGACAGCGAAGTCAAGAACGTAGTCTCCAGGCCAGCCACCCCGGGGCGCAGGATCGGTCGCCCGATCACGGTCACGTGCAACCACTTCCCCTTCAACATACGCGCCACGCCCATCTTCCAGTACACAGTCGAGTTCAAGGTTCGCCTTTTCTTGATTCTTAGCACCTTCACTTAGCGTGGATGCTTGAGCTGAAGCGGCAGCTCATCGTGTGCTTTCCTTTTTCTTTGTCTTTTCCTTACTTTCTTAACCAACAGCCCGAGGTTGAGAGCAAGGGAGCTCGGTTCCGTTTGCTGGACCAGCTCAAGGACGAGCTCGGTGTCTCCTACATATTCGATGGTATGATGCTGTTCCTGACCAAGCACGTGGGCGACATCGAGCTGCAAGCCAAGGCCCGAGACGATTCAGTCGTCCGCGTCATCCTCAACCTCACCAAAAAGCTTGACCGCCCCACGCTTCAAGTGTGTGTCCAATCTCATGTTCATCAAGGCACGTGCACTTCCTCCACATTCTATGGCGCGATCTAAGATGGGTCTGATCACACACACACACACACACAACGCACTTGCACGCAGATTTTGCGCATGCTGAAGCTCAAGCCGATCGGCCGCCAGCACTTTGATCCCACGAGACCCATCGAGGTCCCACAGCACAAGGTCCAACTGTGGCCGGGGTACTTCACGTCGATCAGTCCCAACCAAAAGGGCATCGTGCTGATTGCCGACGTCGCGCACAAGGTCCTTCGTACAGGTGACCACTTCAATGTCACTCCACTTAACAATTGTTTTACCCGCATCAATCGTTACTTATACTTTTGTGAGTCCAGATACCGTGTTGGATTTCCTGATCGAGGCACAAGCCACCAAGAGACAGGCGTTCCGTTCGTACGTGGTGGAGCAGCTCGTGGGCACCATTGTCATCACCAGGTACAAGCATGAGGAATTGATCTATTTGTCCTTCTTCTTCTTCTTCTTCTTCTTCTTCGTCAGCACGGGTTCTCACACAAGTGCTGCGCAGGTACAACAATCGCACGTACCGCATCGACGACATAGATTGGCACAAGAGCCCACGCAGCAAGTTTACCAAGAAGACCGGTGAGCAGATCTCGTACATCGACTACTACAGAAACACGTACAGTCGCAACATGATCACTGAGCTGGAGCAGGTGACCGTCACGATCTCCTCCTCCTCCTTCCTTTTTTGTCATGCTCTAACTCAACTTGGCGGCGGTTTGCCCGTTGTGCACTGCAGCCGCTTCTGCTGCACCGCTATAGACGCCGCGGCGCGGAGGACGAGCTAATCTACCTGATCCCCGAGCTCTGCAGCATGACCGGCATGTACGTTTTTCGCCTCGAGAAGTCTCTCTAAGCGCAGTTGTGGCGAGTTTCAAGCGTCGGCTTCCGGCAGCACACTGACGCTTTGGTTGCATACCCACCACAGTACGGACGCCATGCGCCAGGACTTCACCGTCATGAAAGACCTGGGCGAACATACCCGCGTGGGGCCAGGCATCAGGAAGAGGGAGGTGGACGACTTTGTCCTGAGCGTCAACAAGAACCCCGAGGTGCAGCAGGTACACGTGCAACCCCTTCTACGGTTCTCTTCTTTAGCGGTTGAAGTTCTGACTATAGCGCCATACCACGTTCTCTCGCCACGCGCACAGAAACTGCTCAAGAGCGACTGGGGCCTGCAGGTGGACACTAGGACTCCGGCGGTCCCGGCCCGCATTCTTGATCCGGAACGACTATACTTCGGCGGCAATGCAGCGATCTCAGTCGACGCCAGAAGCGGTACGACGCTGTTGGTCAACCTTGTTGGAGGTCGTTTCTGATCGCATGGTGGCGCAGCTGAGTGGATGCATGCCACGTCGAAGTCGCGGGTGCTCGGTGCTGTCCCGCTGTCCAAGTGGCTCTTCATCTACACTTCGCGCTCGGGGCGTCAGGCCGAAGAGTTCATTCGGCAGATCTCGGCCGTACGTACTCGACCCTTACACGCGTTCGTTGGTGCTCATTAATTGGGCCTCTTCTGGGGGGGGGTAGCAGGTTGGTCGCGAGGTTGGACTCGCCGTGGCACCACCGGTAGACGTCCGCGTGGAGGACGATCGACCGACGACGTATCTCAATGCAGCCAGGCGGAACATCACCAACGACACGGAGGTGGTCTTGTTCCTGATGGCCAGCCCCAAGAAGGACCTCTACGATCAGATGAAGCAGCTCCTCTGTCTCGAGCTCCCCATTCCTTCGCAGGGCATGCTCCAAAGGTACGTCCGAATCTAGTACTGCGTGTCCATCATCCACAACACACAACACACGATCTTATATTTTATTTCTACACATTTGTAAAAACAACTGTAGGTCGCTTAACAACCCAAAGAGGATCTTGAGCGTGGTCAAGAACATCCTGCTTCAGATCAACTGCAAACAGGGCGGTGAGCTCTGGCGCCTCGATGTACGCTCCGCTGCCATACAAATAGAGCTCGCCACACGTCGCTTCGTATTTATTCTGATTCTTCCCCTCGCCTGCGACAGATTCCGATACCGAAGACGATGGTGGTGGGCATTGATGTGTATCACGACACGGCCCCTGGCGGGCGTCGTTCGGTGGCGGGTATCATCGCCTCCACGAATGCCAACTTCACCAAGTACTACTCGCGCGTCACCATTCAGAGCCAGGTACTGTTCCTTGTTCAAATGAGCCCATGAGGGCCTCGCACTCCTGCCTGACGCAAGACATGCTCGCGTGCATGGTGCGTGGGGTGACACAACGCAGCAAGGAAAGGAAATCATCGATGGGCTCGGGCGGTGCATGGAGGATGCCCTCAAGCACTACTTCAAAGTGAACAACTTCCTGCCCGATCGTGTCATCATCTATCGCGACGGCGTCGGTGATGGCATGCTCCAGCTTGTGGTACCCATTTCTCTCTGTTTCTAGCACACTACAGGCACTGTCTGCTCGACCGTAATCATGCTCGCTTTGGGGGACAGGCCGACCATGAGATCTCGCAGCTGCACGATGCCTTCGCCAAAATGGGACCCACCTACAAGCCGCGCCTGGCCGTTGTCGTTGTCAAGAAGCGCATCCACACTCGCATCTTCGCTCAGGGCACACACCACCCAACACCACAAGTTATGCTCAGCTGTCTCTCTGACGACTCTTTGCTTCTTGTCCTTCATCTTCTTCAGGCCAAGGCGGTACCTTGGCCAACCCACAGCCGGGAACGGTGGTGGACAGCGACATCGTACATCCAACCTGGTACGACTTCTTCCTGGTTTCCCAGTCGGTCAAGCAGGGCACCGTGACGCCCTCGCACTACCACGTCATCGCCGACAACACCGGCTTGACGCCCGACCAGATGCAAGTCCTCACCTACAAGCTCTGCCACCTCTACTTCAACTGTACGTTGGCAATCCACGCGATCGCACGACTCGTCTGACATTCGGCACCACATCCGCATCCGCACACGCATCACCGCACACGCACACGCAGGGCCGGGAACGATCCGCGTGCCAGCGCCTTGTCAGTACGCCCACAAGATCGCGTTCCTCGTGGGTCAGTCCCTCCACAAGAACCCGCACATCAACCTCGCCGACCGCCTCTACTTCTTGTGAGCCATTTTGTGGACCCAAAAGGAACGTGCAAATAAAACCGGTTTGGAATATTAGCAGCTAATCAGCTGATGCATGGGAGAGGCCACAGATGCAAGATCCACGCGGCACATCACGTGAAGATGAGGCGAAGAAGGGGCTGCAGAATCGAGTGGGCGAGCAGAACTGCTTCCTGAACGTGGTGATTCAGGGGTTGTGGCACCTTCGATCATTCAGGGACAAATTCCAGAGCAGCACGGCCGAACACAAGCACGCTGCACAAGGTTCATGCATCCACTGTGCTCTCAAGGTGCGTTGCCGCTTGTGTAGGTCCTTTCTTCGTTTAATCTGCCACTCATGATCCTCATCCTTTCCAATCTCGCAGGTGTTGTTAAGTAATTACGAATGGAGTGAAGAAGCTGTGCTGCCACCGAAAGTGCTTCGTGAGGCGCTCAGCAACCTCTTTGCCAAGGAAGGTCGGTTTCAAATCAATCAAATGGTACACCCGCTACTTGTACAACATCTTCTTCGACGTACTCTGCCTTTTGTCTTACCTACCCCCGTTCAAGGACGATGCCATGGAGGCTCTCGACTCTATTCTCTCCTGCTTGCACGATAGCTTGGCCAAGAAACGAGAAGATGGCAGCTCAGACTACTGCGAGCCGGCTTGTCTTGTTCATCAGGTCGCGCTCTATCCTGCAGCATGCTTCTCCTTTTCTCTTTCTCATGAGCTCCCACTCTTGCAGGTCTTCGGTATCAACGTGATGGAGCAAAGCGAGTGTTCCAAGTGTGGCTGCTCCTCGGAACCTGTGCTCTCGCAGGGGTGGATACACTACGGCTACACCAACGATTTGATGTATCCTTCCGCCTCACCTGGCTTATGGCGTATACCGTATGCTCATGTCCCTGTCTTTGCGCAGAAACGTCCACGTTGCTTACCCACAGCTAGGCTTCGGGAAGTTACTCCATCTAGCCGGCGACCAGGGTCTGCGCTCGTGTGTCAATGAGGTGAGTAGCAAATTTGCTACTATCGTCATAGCCATGATCACTTACGATACTCTGCTTGATGACAGGCATGCACGGTAAAGAGCCCAGCTGCTCGATTCCTATTCCCTTCCTACCCTGACATCTTCACTGTCGGTTTAGTGTGGTACGCCTCTTTCCCTCTTGCGCTGATCAAGTGCAGAATGCTCACCACATGACTCATGGCCCAGGGACTCGCCGCGGGTGTCCGCAGATATCATGTCTGAAGTGTTCAACCTGCTCGATGAGCAGCTTGACCTGCGACACAGCTTCCCCAACGTCGACGAAGAGTGTCAGTACCGTCTACGAGGCATGGTACCTCTTCGAAGCCCTTTTTGGTGCCTATCACACGCCATGTCTAGCCCGAGTGCTCACGCGTTTCCTATTTGCCAGATCTGCTTCTACGCCTGCCACTACATGGCCTTCTTCTTCAATCCGAAGAAGCGGGTGTGGATGACATTCGACGACGCATCTGTCACGGTACACTAATGCTCTTTCTGCTCTTTACGACACCAAGCCGCGTTGCTAATCGCATACCGTTGTTGAAAAACGAATGCGTATGAAGGAGGTGGGTCCGTACCTACAGCAGCACGTGAGAGAGAAATGCAGACTCGGCCGACTCCAACCGCTGATTCTCTTCTACGAGAGGGAGGGCACCGAGACAGCTGTGGACCGTCACAACGTCGAGCAACCCAACTCTTCCGCTGAACACGACTGGAGCGAGATCACAGGCGGCCAGGGATCCTGGCCCACCACGACAGCCGGCGACGACCGCCGTATATACGGCCACGACGCTGAGCCTGGCCGCAGAGATCTCGCCAGCCGAGAGAAGGGCCGGAAGAGACTCGCATCACCGACAGGCACGATACGGTCGACAGAATCGCCCACGAACGCACCAGGAGGAAGCCTGCGGTCTCACCCGTCACTGCGCAGCGGCTACGCACCAGCAGCACCGCCATCACAGCAGCCAGCTGCACGATCGTCTCGTCGAGCGCACCTTTTTGGACTCTATGAGGATAGACGGCTCGACGAGGGCGAAGACGAGGAAGACGACTGCGAAGGAATGGAGGAGTCCTCGCCAGCTTCTTCGCCGGCCCCACGTCGACCGCGCCAGCAATCACTTGACTCCTCCATCTCTTCGTCTTCTTCATCACCGCATTCCCCGATGGAGCAGTACGGCATGGGCTTGGGCGGCGGGGCGCTCAGCTACAAGCGGTTCGAGGTCGGCCCGGGCTTCCTGGCGAGACGCAAGAAGTACAAGACGACGGAGACGACGAAGCGGATGTCACGCGGCACTTGAACGCCCAACAGGAAGGAGCGTACAAGCTTCACCGAACCAATAAGAACACGAAAGCAACGACTTAGCGGCATAAACAAATCATGCACTGCTGCACGAATGGCAAGAGAAGTTGGAGGGTTCTTGGATTTGGACGCTAATCTGAAGGCGTGCGTGTTGCTGCACCTGACTCCTGCTGATCTTGCAAGCGTATCAACCCCCCCCCAAGTAGCGCTTTACATTTCATTCATTTAGGAGAGATTTGGGATTTTCTACAGGTGACGCAAACATGCAGCGATCTGCGGCATGAGACCGAAAGCGAGGTGGTGTGGTGCACGCTGTTCCTTCGCCGCTTTGGATCAGATTTCTGGGGCGAAGCCACGATCGGTCCACATCCATACACCGTACGCCTGTTGCCACACATCGATCAAAATCTCGTACATCGTCGGCTGACCTGTCATCGGGCGGGAGGGCAGTCCGTGCCAGAGCGGGCCAACGCATGGCTGGAGCATCCCATCAGCGACCTGTTCGCCCGCTTCTCGCTCCGTTCCGAACGCGAGAGCGAGGGCGAAAACGGCGAGAGCGATGACGAGGACGAGGACGGCATCGGCCACGCGGCGGCCTTGCGGGAGTTTGTCAGGTCGCATGCCACCCGCGACGGCTACGGTGGCTGGAAGCAGGCCTACCGCCGGTACGCGTGCGTATGTGTCGTGTGTGCGTGTGCGTGTTTGGTTGCTCGCTCGTCTCACTGTGTGCGATGGTTTATGTGCGGTGGTGCGTGTGCGGTGTTGTGTTGTGGCTCTCAGCATGCACGAAATGGTGACCGAATGGCGCAAGCCCGTAGACTCAGCATTCATCCTGGCAGGCCTTCCCTCATTCTCCACTCTCTCCGCCATCGCCAATATCATCAAGGAAGAGGCGCTTAAGAGTTTCTCCTCGTTTGCCTCGTCATACGCACCGGTACCGTCCGACGCCGACATTCACCTTGAAGCCGATATCGTCAGCCCCGGGGGTACCTTGCCACCCAAATGCATTAGGCCTAACCAACAGCAAACGCCCAGCAGATCCCGCGATCTGTGCGCGGAGTAGAACCTCACTTGAATTTGCTGTCGTGTGTCGTGTGTCGTGTATGTCGTGTGTGGTGCGTGCGTGCGGTGGCAGGCAAGTGTAGGGTGATCCGTGTGGCCTTTTGTAGCGCCAACGAGTGGGGCTCGCCCGTGCAGCGCCTTGCCAACATCTGCGTCATTCGCAGGCCCAGGTTCGCACCGCCACGCTTAGATCCAATCGTGGTCCGTGGGGCGGACGCTCAAACTTTTGGGGTAACTCCAGGAACTGGTACCGGGCCAAGGGCAAGGCCATGTTCTGCGGCCTGACGATCGAGGAAGGTTGGGGGCACACTCTCAAGCTCATCTACGTGGTGAACGGCCAGCAAATGGAGCGCAGCGATACCTACCAGGAACGGGTACGGATGTGTGGTGTTGTGTTCTCGTGTGTGTGTCTGGAACGTGGCTGTGTTCTCACCACCCAACGACAAATGTACGGTGATGAACCGCACGCAGGTGTACAGAGAGCTGCACGGGGTGCTGGGTGAAGGCAAGGGGCAGTTTGAGAAAGGTCTGGCGGTGGCTCTCTTCCTGGTCAACGCCTCGAGCACCGAAACCGCCATCCAACGCCTCAAGGTACCCCGTTGCTGTCACCACCCATCCACCACCTTTGCGCCGTGGCTCGTTTCGTCTGACGAAGCATGCCTGCCAGCTGCCCCGGTTTGTCGCACCTGTCCACATGTGTCCGTACTACGCTGGACCGGTCTACTTCGTGGTGACCCGATTCAACCTGCTGGGCAGCGAGACCGCAGGTAACGCAACTCCTCCTTTTGGTGATGATGACGACGACGACGACGTTGGTGGTGATGATGACGAAGATGGTGAAGGCGGTGGTGGTGAGATGCGCTGGTATGTGGGCCGTGCGTGTCGTGCCACGTGGTATTGACCCTTCTCGTGCTTCGCTGGCGCGTTCCAGAGTACACACTGTGGAGGCAGGAGAAGGTGGCCCGTGCCTTCGTGTGGCTCGCCAAGCAGCCAAGTTCGCGCCCGCACTGGGACGCCGAACAGCTCGTCCTCTGCGCCCTCTCCGCCGATCCCTGACACATCGTCGCCGCCATCATCATCGTCGCCTCCGACCACTGGTGTGAGCTCCTTCTTCTTCTTCTTCAGCGAACAGCGTGTCTGGCTGCCACGTCTGCACCTTTGCTTGCGGTGAGTGTGCCAAAGTACAAGAAGTAGCGAATGAATGGATGAGATCGATTGGTTTGAGGTGCTGCGCGAGAATGAGCGACTGAGTGAGCGGGTGATCAAGCTCGAGGACGAGCTTGCGCACAAGCAGAGGACGCTCGACAAGCTGGCGCAAGACAACGAGCAGCTTCGGCGTGTCTACGAATCGAGATTACGCAAAATGAAGCGAAAATTGAAGATTTTGGAGGGTTCCCGATCACCACAGCACCGTGGAGAGAGGGTTCATGCAGCAGATCGGGATTCGATCGAGGAAACGTCTCAATCTTGTCAAATTCAGGGCCAGGGAGATGAGGAGCAGAGTTTAGCGAACGTTGAGATGGGAAACGACTTAATGGGCGACTTTGCGTCTTCTGGCTGGACACCTGATGACTTCTAAAACACCAAACTGCGGCTCGGACCAACAAACAACTCTCGGCGCAGCCGCCGACCCTGAGGAAGACGATGCCCACGCGGCACCCAACACGACGATGATGGGCGAAGGTGATGGGCGCACGCCGATCGAGGCGTGGCTCGAGTCGCACTTCACCGCGGCCCAGCGGCAGCTGCCCCTCCTCGGGCCGGAGCTCGAGCGCCGTCGCCTGGCTGGCCTGCAGCCACCACAACCACCAGCAGCAGGCACAAGCGAACAACAAGAAGACGACGTCGACGACGGCGGTGGTGATGGAGACGACGGTGATGGTGGAGTTGATGAAGATGGCGAGCTGCAGCAGCGACAGCGGACGACGATCGAGGATCTGCCGGTCGAGGTGCTCTGCGCGGTGTTTGCTGCGGTGGAGGCGCCCAGGGACGTCCTCGCCTGTTCCGCCACCTGCCGGGCCTGGGCCACCATCCTCGGCGCGCTCCGATCGCCCACCACCTCCCCCGACGGCACCGACCAGGTACCTCTGAGCCAGGCCGCCCACGGGCTACTCAGCAGACTGACGCACGACACGCACCACACGCACGACACGCACCACACACACGCAGGAGTCTGACGCGCTGTGGAAGATGCTGGTGCTGACTAGTAGGCGGTGGCTGCGGCATGGCCGAGCGTCGGCATTGGTGCCGCCGCCCCGCACCTCTTGGAAGCAGTACTACCGCATGCGCTGCCATTTGGGTGCGTGCATGCCCTGCATTCTTCTTCAGGTCTAATGAGCGTGAGAACTAAGACGACACACAAAACACGCACGACACTCACGACACGCACGACACGCACCCAGAACGCAACTGGAGGGTCGGCACGATGCTGGTGAAGACCATCCCGCTCAGCTCGACGGTCAGAAGCTTCGATTACCGGCCAGGCGGCACCCTCACCTCACTCAGCCACGTGCGTAACACCACTATTCACTGTTTCTTGCGCCGTGTGTGGTGCGCTGCGTGCGGCGTGCGGCGTGTGGCGTGCGTGGTGTCTTGTGTTCACATGCGTCAATGTTGTTGTATGCAGGCGGGCATTCACTTTTACGATGTGGTCTCGGGTGCCAGCCAGGGCAAGATCAGCGTGCCCTTCAGCCCCATGTGCCACCAGCAGTTCGACCCGTTCCTCCTCGTGGGCGGCACCGGGAGCAAGCTGCACCTGTACCACGGTACCTTTGACTTATGTGTTTTTTTAGCTCCGATTGCACGCGAAGAGGCGCGAAACTAACTCGGGTGTGGTGGTCACTGGGCACAGACGACGGTCGGTTGTTGGCGGTCTACCCGCACCCGGGACGCATCGAGGCAGAAGAACCCGAGACCGTCTCCAGTGTGGCCTGTAACGTAGCCCTGGGCAAGTTTGTCTCTGCCACCCTCTCCACCGCGGTTCGCTCCCCCCCATCAAAACAGCGCCATGCCTCACGGTTCGTTTTGGCTAAGATGCAACTGCGGGTGGAAACAGCAATTGTGGGATTTGACGAGCACACAACCGCTGTGGACACTGCCCGAGGCGACCAAAACTACAGTGCTGCACGTACGAGCGACCTCTCTTCTTCTTCTTCTTCTTCTTCTTCTTCTTCTTCTTCTTCTTCTTCTTCTTCTTCTTCTTCTTCTTCTTCCGTTTGTTAGTGGTGCTCACGCCGCCACGTCCTGCCAGTACGACGATCAGAAGATTCTCACCGGCTCTCAGGACGTAACCGTCTACGACGCCAAGAGCGGTAAGACCTTCTACACTCAATCTGCTCACCCGCACGTTGATCATCATCACCCTCATCATCCATCATCCATCACCCTCCACCCATCATCAGGAGTCAAAGTGTGCGCTCTTCCTCTGGCCGAGCCTACAATCTCCCTGGCGTGCCTGAACAGCTTCTACACACTCGTCTCCACCGCACACGGATCGCTCTTGTGGGACCTGCGCATGCCACAGTCCTATGTATGCACGCCTCCACACACTCTCGATCTCTTTTGTTCTGCTCCCGGTGTGCGCTGACGCCCAGCGCATGTGGCGCATTTGTCGTTCAGCTGCCACGCTACTTGTATGGGCATTGCTGCGCACAGCCCGAGCTGGAGCGAGTCGTCTACGCCAGCGATGACTGGCTCTGTCTAAGCTCCTACGACACCCTACTCTCCACCGGTACGCATGCTGTGTGACGAGTGCCACGTCGTGTGCGTTTTGCTGCCTCCTCTCACCAAGTTGCTACCGCGGCGCAGGTGTGTCGGCCCAAGAGCGCTTGACGTTGTGGCAAGTGCACGTACCGGGCGTAGGGGGGCTGGGCACCAAGCAAGTGCGGATGGACCAGGACCGCATCGTCGTGGGTCGTGGCCAGGCCATCCACATCAGCTCCTTCGTTCACGATCTTTCAACCAAACAGCTCTCCTGAAGAAGTCAATAGTTGTTGTTTAGTTTTGTTGTTCACTAGCCTTTGAGGTTGAACCTGGTGGCGGCCTTCTTCCTCCTCTTCTTCTCCTTGTAGGCCTTCCAAAACTCGGGCGTGGGCTTCTTGCCGCCCTTCTTCTTGCCGCCCTCCTCGCCAAGGTCATCGCCCCCTTCTTCCATCATGGTCATTGGCGTCGTCATCACCGCGCCCATGCTCGTGTAGTAGGCCGTCCACTACATCAACCCATGAAGTGAGCGTTAGCGCTAAAGTAACTGATGAGCATATGTGGTGCGTACCTGGGCGTACTGCGCCTGGTACTGCTCCCAGGCGGCTGGATCGGTTGTGTAGCCGCTGTAGCCGCTGTAGTACCCGTACGTACTCGAGTAGTCGTAGCTGTTGGCCTCATGCGCCATCACTGGTTGGGTACCGTACTCCCTGTCAGGGATAGCCACTCAGTAATTTGCACAACACACGCAGATCGGTCGGAGGTAGATACCCAGTTAGCTCCTCGTGGTGGCCTGGTTGTTTACTCTGTTTGTCCTGTTGGTGTTGCTTGAGGTAGAGTTCCAGGATCTCCTCCTCCTTGGACTTAATCACCGCTTCTCCTTCCTCTTCCACCTTTTCGCTGGTACTGGTAGGCTCGGTCTTGTGTTCTTCGTTCCCTTCCGTCTTACCGATTCCGCCCGCCGAGATGTCGATCGGCCCAAGGGGCTCTCCTCGGCCCTGGACAGCAGACGCCATGTCCTGCTGGGCCTGCGCTTCTAGCTTGGCCTGGGCACGTTGGCCGAGCGCAGATCAAAATAAGTTCATCGAACATGACGAGGGAGGAGAAGAAGAAGGGTACCCGCAGAGCGGCCTGGAAGTCCTCAAAGGGTTCGATCTCACCAGCACCTTTGGTTGTCGGCTTCGTTCTGTCCTTCAAAGTGCTGTGGCCGTCTTCAGACTTGCGCCTCTTCACCCGCTTCTCCTCTTCGGCATTCCTCCTCGAGCTTTTGTGTCGTCTCTCCGATCTTTTCCTCTCTCGGTCCCTGCTACGACTGCGGCTGCGACGACTGCGGCGGCTGCTTCGGCTTCTGCTTCGACTTTTGCTTCGCTTGCGCGGACTGTGGCTGCGCCGCTTCCTCGTGCTCTTGCGCGAGTCAAGCTTGAGCTTCTCCTCGTCCAGCTTTTCCTTCTTCGTCTTGGCTTCTTCCTCAATGATCCTGATGAAGAGACACGGGCGGGTAAGTACTAATTCCAGGCCCTCGCTTCGTAGCCCACATACCAACCCAGGCCTTTACGGTGAAGACGAAGACAATACTACTGGAGAGACCTGTGCGATGAAGTGAACGAGACAGTACCTCTTGAGCTCCAGGTTGTTCAGTTCCCACGGCGGTACCTCCTCGGTGGGCTGGCACATCTGCCAGACGCCACCGCACTCGCTGCCGACCTTCTTGAACTGATCGCCACTGTGTGCATGTGGGAGTTGATGCTGTCAGCAACTGTGTAGTGTGGTCCTATGCGTGTGTAGTGAGGGCGAGGAGGATGACCGACTTACCCTTGCAGAGTGAAGCTGATGGTGCGCTTCCAGTCATAGCCGACGGCGGCGACATCGGTAAAGCGGAGTTCGATGAAGTGTAGGATGGCCTTGAGGCTGGCCTGACCACCCGAGTTCACGATCGCGGCCTCGATCCGCTCTGCCCAGGAGACGCCCGTGCTCTTCTTCTTCTTCGTCTCCTTCGTGTGGCCAGCTGCCGACCCCGCTCCTTCAAACAAGCGCGGCGTACCCATCACGGGCTTGAACCCGTCATGAACCTGGCCCGCAGCCACGGCACGACTCGCCTCTGCCAGAGACAGTTGAAGTAGTTGATGTAGTGCAAAAGACGCAAATTTCTACAAAAGGAGACGAAGAGACGAGAAATGGGGAGAGAACAGGAGGTACCTGAAGGGGCAAACGACAACGCGGCTTGGTTCTCAAGAAAGCTGAACAGCGACTCAACCCCAGCTCCTGTCTGCGCGGGGTCCATCTGCTGCCACGCCTATCGCAGCAGTTACTTGCGCCTTCGTAAAGCTGCTAAGCAGCAGCCGTAATACTTGAACCACAACTCGCCGACTCCTGCCCCTCTACTCCTTCTGCTCTTGCTACACTTTTTCTCCTTCTACTTGCTGGCCGGCCTCGCTTTCCTTGTTGGGCCTGTGCTGACGTCAGCCCTCCACAATTCGTGCAGCATTGACTGGAACGAGTAGAATTCCATCAAAACGCGAATCTGGTGGAGATCGACACCTGATTTTGACGGAGAGGAGGCGAGGCGAGGCCCAACTGGCGAATCAAGGCCAGCTCGTGCATCCGATGAAGGGAAATCGCGCGACGTACAGCCTGGAAGACTTCGAGGCGGACGGGGGTCCGATTTCGTCAGATGAAGATGAGAGAGGAACTGAGGGTGGTGCCGTGGTCCAGGCGGGGCGTACCTCATGCTGCGGTCTGACGGCTTACCAAGGCTTCGTCCTCTTCGCTTCCTGGCTTGGTACGCGTACCTCCACCAGATCAGTTCATTCTTCATTTCCAATGTTGACTACATCCTGCCACTCTACTCTTCTTCTCATGTGCAGGATGGGGTTTCGATGTATTCGATGGTACGCTCCTCCTCTTCGTCTTTCTCGATTTCTCAGATTCTTTAAATCTAATGCTTCTTATTTACTTATTTATTTATTTATCTTAACTCAGGTCTGTTGTTCAATTTCGCTGCACCTGTTTGCATCCCCTATCTGCTGGGCGTTGATCCCAATGCCGAGGTACTCGCCGAGCCCGCACACAGCGATCATGCCGCCACCCTTAACTGACTGCTCGTGGGCGACCCCTATCTGTGCACGCAGTTGGATCAGAGCACGCGAGAGGCCATCACATTTTGGACGGCGTCCCTCACCTCCTTGCTGCTCGTGGGTTGGGCGATCGGGGGCATTCTCTTCGGCAAACTCACAGACACGTACGTGCGACCACCTGGCCGTAACCTCATTGCGCTCAAAGGCCCAGTCGCCTTCCACCTCCGCTCTGACTCGCGTGTTTTGTCCCCTTGCGAATCGCATGCAGATTCGGCCGAAGTCGAATCATGCTCATCACCATGGCGACATACGCGCTCAGCACGGGGTACTCCATTGCTAAAGGCCGGACTGCTCTCAGTCTCTGCTCCCCTCGCTCCACTCAACCAATTATGTCGGCATTGCCTCCTCCCACAGGGCGAGCGCGTTGTCCCCCAACATCTGGGTTCTGGGCCTCTGCCGTTTCTGCGCTTCACTCGGCATCGGCGGTGAGTGGGCTGCCGGCGCTGCACTTGTGGTTAGACCCCCTCCCCCAACATATAGTATTTTCTTTTTCATCAAAATGTAGTTCATATGCTGACAATTTATGTCTTCTCTCTACCCGTGCTGGCGATCATCAGGCAGAAACGATGCCACCACATAGGCGGCTCTGGGGAGGAGCCATCCTCTACACGTCCGCCCCCGTCGGTTCGCTCGCATTTCCACGCCCCTTCGTATGAGTTTAATGCAACTCACCCATGTGGGTTGTACCGACTCGCTGTGTTTGTTGGGATGGAAACGCAGGACTGTTTCTGGCGTCGTTCGTGAGCAGCCTGTTTCTCAACGAGGTGTCGTTCATCGCCGACGACCCTTCACTCTCCTGGCGTGTCGTCTTCCTCACCGGTCTCATCCCGGTCGTGTTCGCCATCATCATCCGAATCGTACGAACACCCGCCGTTGAACGCAAGGCATGCATCGCAATGCCTCATGTTTTGTTTCTTCTTCTTCTTCTTCTTCTTCAGTGGCTCAAGGAGCCAGATACGTGGAAGACCACTCGAGAGAACAAAGCCATGTCCTACGTACGCCATCACCACTGCATTTAATATTGAATTATTGAATTATTGTTATTTTTCATTTTAATTTATTCAACTCTATTAGGGAGTGGTGGAGAGGGACTACGACGAGCAACCACCTCCGGAGAAGCTGGGTCGGTGCGCCCGGCTGGGCTACATGATCAAGGACGAGCTAGGCGAGATCCCCGAGCTCTTTGGGAGCAGGTATCGACGACGAACCCTCGGCGGTCTGTTCGTCGTGATCATCGCCCTCTTGACCTGGTGGACCATCACCAGGTACGCGCCGACCTTCTTTTTTGCGTGTCACTGTTCGCCTCGCGTTCCTCCCTGTGTCCAGTTCTGATTGTGTGTGTGTGTGTGTGTGTGTGTGTGCAAATACAGTTTCATTCCTCTGATTGCCAACTTCCTGGCCGAAGATGTGGGCAAGGCGAGCGGACTTTCGCGAGTCGAAATACAGGGGCTGAAGGTGTCTATAGATGAGTCACGCTACTCCTCGTGCCGCACGCCCACACTCACGTTTACCCTGTGTCTGTGTCTTCGCGCTGGTCGCCACAACAGAGCGAGTACACCTTCATCGGCAGCAACTCCTTCAACGCCGGCGGCCTCGTAGGCACCCTCACCACCGTCCCTCTTGCCCAGTACCTGGTACCAACCAACCCACCTCCTCTCGTCGGGGCGCTACTGACGTGTGACCGTTCTTTGATTATCGCAGGGCCGCCGCCCCATGTTCGCGATCTATTTCGCCTGGAGCGCGGTGGCCATTCCCTGCGTGCTCTACCTCGCGATGAGCGCGCTGCTGCGGCTCTCGCTCCTCTTCATCGTGGGCTTCTCCGTCTTTGGCGTCTTCGCCTCCTTCACCTTCTATCTCCCCGAGCTCTTCCCCACGCGCCTGGTACGCACACACCTCACCTTACCGCGCAACGCAGCGCACAGCGCACAGCGCAACTCATCGTCTGCGCGTTCACTAGCGAGCGCTGGGTTCGGGATTTTGCTACAACTCGGGGCGAGTGGTCACGGCTGTGGGGCCATTTTTGGTGGGCATTGTGGGCCGCGACGGCTATGACCCGTTGTACATAATCACATGGGTCGCTGTGCTGCCTGCCATCGGTACGTCCGGCTCTTGGTGATGTACACGATGTCACAGTCCACTGAATGATGTGCGCGTGTGCGGTCGCGTGCGCGCGCGCGTGTTGCGTGCAGGGTTTGTGGGCACGCTGCTGCGCCTGCCGCTGGAGACGAAGGGCACGGTGCTGATCGAGGAGGAGGTCGAACGCGTGGACGAGAACCTCTACCTGCTACACAAGGAAGCCGCCTCCTACTCCACCGCCACCTCCCCTTCCGCCAGCCGATACCACAACGCCCACGACGAGGGGATGGACATCTTTCTCAAGTGACAACCCAGCTATGTCGACAATAACGACAACTAAAAAGGCGTAGAGCAATGGAAGAAGAGGAGGAAGCCACGCTGGACATGCTGCTTCAACAGCAGATAGTGGAGGCACTGGCCCGACGCACCTCGAGGTTTGCTGTGTGCGTCCCCTCCTGTATGTGCCTGTATTATTTATTAATAATAATTTTAATTGAATTTATTATACCTTTCAAAAAAGTGGCGACGAGGGGGAGAGGAAGACGCCACCCCGGCCCACCCCGACAACGCCCAGGCCGGCCATGCAGCCTGGGCCGTGGTGCCGTGTGTCGCCCTGGCAATTCTACATCCACCGGCGCGGCCCAGCCGACGACGCAGGAGAGGAACAGCTGCCGGGGACTACAAGCACGCCGAGCGTGAGCACGAGCACGAACGCCACTCCAGCGCCACAAACCACCCCCCGGCGGCCACCATCGACCACGACGCCACCAGCATCCACCTCTGCAGCGACCAAGCGTAAGAGGCTGGACCTCGAGAACGAAAACGAAAACAAAAACGAAGAAAACGAGAAGCGCGCCAAGGCTGTGGTCATCGAGAGCGGTGTCGATGATCAACCGGTCGAGCGCGAGCAGGTACCTTCAAATGATGTCGGGAGAAGCACCAACGCGGCACGCGAGCACCGCCAGGGCCACGTCTACTTCATCGCGGCTTCACCCTACCGGGACGAGTGCAAGATCGGACATTCGGCCAACATTATCAAGCGGCGCCAGCAGCTCCAGACGGGCAACGCGGCGCGACTGGAGGTGCTCTACACGATTGCGCAGCCGTCGGCCGGCGAGGCGCGCATGCTGGAGCAGGCCCTGCACGCCTACCTGGCCCACAGGCAGCTGCAGGGCGAGTGGTTCCGGCTGTCGCGCGATGAGGTCCGCGCAGCCCACGCGCTCGCGTCGCACCTGAGCAGCGAGGTCATCCACACCTTGGCCAAGCTCTCCACCACCATCACCCACACACCAACCTCCACAGCTACAGAATTGTGAATATTATTATTATTATTTCAATAATATGTGAGAGGTTCTAAACATCAAAAAAGCTGGTGACAGCGTCATGGGTAAGGGAGGATTGGAAACAATTATCGAAGTAACCCAAAGACTGGGAGCACCAAGCTCGAACAATGTGGCAATGGCTCAGCCTCTTTTCCAGCTGGCCCTCCCATTTCCACCCAACTTATGGGTCTGGCCAGGAAATTGGTGAGAAACAAACTCCAGCGCGTTGGCCGTTCCTCCCCGTTCTGTTTTTCATCTTTGTTTCTTCTTCGGGCGGCTGTCGGGCGCTGTGGCTGTCGGGCTGATCGGCCGGTACAAGGCGAGCTGCGCCACAACCTCAAACGCCGTCGCCTAGCGCACATCATTTTTCCGATGGCATCACCATTCCCTCATCCTGATTACACCCTGTGCTGGTACTGTGGGCAAAACGGCCACCGCGAGGATGTGTGCCCAGTGGGTGTCAACCCACACCTCGCTCTACAGCAGCCTCCCCTCCCTCCCCCACAGGATCACCCACCTGCCAATCCCAGGGTCAGGCAGCACCATCAAGGACCCAATAGCGATAACGTTCCACGTCAGCGTCTTCGCCGCTCCCGCTCCAGGTCTCGTTCACCCCAAAGAGAGAAATAAAGCAATGGTCCATCTTCATGACAGCTCAGGTTATCGTCAGCGTTGTTCACTCGACCACGAATCGGCCGACGCTACGGTTCCAAGAGAGGTTGATCTTGGTGGTGCCGGGGTCGAACCGAACCAGGGTGAGGGCCGAGCGGGCCACGCGCCTCAGGTCGCGGGTCATGGTGCCCGGCGCCGTCGTGCGCCCGCCGAGGAAGATGTAGAAGCTGGAGCTGGGGGTGAACACCTCGTACTCCATGCCCATCATCTCGCACGAGTAGAGCGGCGGCATGGCGATCTCCTCTGAGTTGACGTTGATGTCCTGAGCCAGGCCGAAGTAGTACACATCGGTCTCAAGGTTGTTGATGGCCAGCTGGTCCTCGTCGAGCCAGTCCTGGTACACCTGGCGCCTGAACGCGCCGTCCTTGAAGTCGTAGCCGTGCTGCGGCTGGACGTAGCGCTGGAAGGCCCCGATGTGAATCGGGTGGCCCTCGCCGAAGGCGGAGGTGCTGGCATAGACCGAGGTGCCGGTCTCGTTCCACACGAGGTAGTTGTGGGAGAAGGGCTGGGCGAAGGAGCCCCACACCGAGCTCCAGCAGCCCGGCGGGGCCTGCTGGGCTATCAAGACTGTCTGTTGCGTGTCGTGCCTGCCAGTGATCAAAGTTGATGGTCAACATGGAGTCGAGCATGGAGGTGTCGTTGAAGATAAAAAGTTGACCGTACAACTCCTGCAGGGTGGTGGGGTCGAGATTGACTTGCACCAGGTAGACCGACGGTGTTGCGGAGGTGGCCAGGGCCAGCGCGGCGACGAAAAGGACGAGGAGAGCGAGTGTCTTGCTCATGATGGTGGACAGTGAAGAAGAGAGACACGGTCAAGCTCAGGCAACCAAGCCACGGACTCCGCATATCGGGAGTCCTTCAATCCGCCTGTTGGACAAAAGTGCCCACTCCAACCCCGATACAGTCCGGGGAACCAATGGCTGTAGCGCACTTTCGCTGCACGTGCATAGGGGAAATGCTGATATATCAATATTTCCAACAGGGAACAGTTCAAGGAGAAATCTGAGAATTGTACGAATGCAAAACTGATTTCTTTTAGTTTCACCCTCATCGTTGGCAGGCAAGGATCAGAGAGCGTCGAGCTCTTCCGAGGTCTCGATGGAACGCTGCGTGCGGGCTGCTCCTTCAGCTGGGTCGGGCATGGAGAAAGAGCTGGAGCGCGGCCGGCCCGCGTGCCGCGACGAGATGCTGCCGCTCCTGCCGTTCTTGTTGGTGTCATGCAGGATGACCGACATCGGATCGCGCCAATTACGCAGCAGCCTCTGCCAAAACGTGAACGTATCCTGGTTGTGTGTCGTGTGTCGTTTTGATGTGCGTCGTGTGTGTCGTGTTGATGATGAGTGTACCGCGATGCTGAATGTCAGTCGAATTAATGAGGGGTGGGCCCAGCACCTTGGACATGCCGAGGCAACAGAAAATGATGACCCCCTGGCCGCTGAGGGTGAGCGCCTGGAGATACCACGCGCCCTTGTTGATCTCCTTCTCCGTGCTGCATTCCTGGCCCGTAACGGCACTGCACACGATCTGATCCCCGATCGCGGCCTTAACATCATCCTGCATGCTCATATTAGCGCGTGTGTCGTGTATCCCACCGCATGTGTCGTGTGTGTGTGTGTGTGTGTGTGTGGTGTGTGCGTGTGTGGTGTGTGTGTGTGTGTGTGTGTCGAGTATTGTGCGTGTCATGTCGTGAGCTGGCGGAGGTACGAGGACGACTTCGATGTAGACGCGGTAAAAGATGAGGTAGACGAAGATGAGCCAGTAGACCGCAATCAAGATGACCAGGCGAAGGACCTGCTCCTTAATGTGAAACCGCACCTGCACGCCCACCACGCCACACGATCAACCGGTTAGGCCGAGGAATGCAAGGCGTGGAATTTCACGCAGAGGAATGTGCGATGCGTTACCCGCAGGACTTTGATGATGGAGATCACCATCAAGGTGGTGCCGATGGCGAGATTGAGGCAGATGGGTGCGTAGAAGAGACCCCAGTCCCAGGGAGACACAACGAAGCAATTGTGCCCGGCCGCTCTCGCCTCGAATTGCTGTGCGCCCAGGGCTATAAAATAGCGCGACACCACACGAGACGACACGCACAATGTTGGGTGTAAGTGGGAACACGCGGTTAGAGCCGAGTAGCGATGGTACCGATGGTGACCAAGATGACCGGAATGCCCCAGCTCACGATGTGCGACACGATGTGCAGCTAACAGCGAAGAAAAACAGCTGTGAGGCAGTGGGTCATGGGTGGACTAGCGAGGTGGGGCGTGTACTGCTCTCCGCGCACGGTCGGAGGCGAGCTCGAAGACGAGAAACTGGAAGACGGTGTAGGCGAGCATGACCCACCAGAAGCTGCCCGCCAGCCCGCCGAACATTATCAACATTCCTAACGCATTCAACGACACACGCGAGCAACTCAGCGCCGCCTTCCGCATTCCCGCAGGAATGTAGAAAATGCAAATGGTGGGATGTTGGCCTTTGAGTACCTTGCAATATGCACACGACGCCCTGACCGTCGTTGTCCCGGGCACCGGCGAAGGTCTGCAGCACCGGCGTGTCGTCCCAGGTGCAGTTCGTTCGCTCCGGCCCTGTGAGTTGCGCTTTCCATCAGCCATTCATGTATGTGGGACCGTCAAATTGGGAGGACTACACACACACACACACACACACACAGAGGCCGTACCGCCCACCACGACCGCAATGTCGATGCCGATCGAGGAGATGAGCGACGACACGCAGACCCACAGCTGGAAGGAGGTCGGGAACCGCCGCTTTCTCGGGCTCAGGATGTAGGTGATGACGAGGAAGAGCATCATCGCGGTCGACAAGACTGCGAGCGACACTCGAGCGGGTGAGTGAATGAATGGAGGGATTCGAAGAATGAAAGTGGAGCGTACTGGCCAGGCTGATGGTGATGCCGGCGGAGGCGTGCCAGTCGCTCGGCGTGAACATGGGTGCGGGGCACGGGTAGACGCATATCTGCTCGTCGGCCGAGAGAGAAAGCGACCCGTCGGCAACCGTGCCGCGTTCATTGAATTGGAGCGGGTACGGACAGTCCGCTTGGCTGTACGGCACCACTGCTCTCCAAAGAACGAAGAACGAAGAACGAAGAACGGAGAAGAACGGAGAAGAACGGAGAGCGAAGAACGAGAGCGCGATGGTGAGTAACTGGTGAGTGAGCCGGTTGAGAATGGAGGAGAGAAAGGCGGTACCGACGTCCTGCGAGGCGTTGTTGCAGTTGGTGGTGGGGAAGAGGGGCATCATCGTCGCGGGATCGACCGCGCTGCAGTTGGGCATCTGGGCCAACCTGCCACGCATGGCAAATTGCGCTGAGCATTCGGTCAGCATCGCATCGCACACACTTCTGCATGGCGGAAAGTCTGTCGCCGCACACGACACAATGACACACGGCACACAACGCAGCCAAAGCAGACGTGAGTGCTAGACGAATGTGCGCAGCGTCGTGTGTCAAGGGCGTACAGGCAAAGCTGTGATCGAACCGGCAGCTGACAAAGCTGCCCAAGCAAGACAGGCGCAGGGCGGCCTGCCTGCACGCCGGTGGCAAGAAGGCGCCAAACAGGCTGGTACGGCTTGCCGCCGATTCATCGACCTGTGGGACCCCATCACCACGGTCATCAATCGGAGTCAAGTGGTCGGAGTGGTCGGAGTGGTCGGAGTGGTCGGAGTTAAAATTACAGGGAGCTCCACAGTCAAGCTGGGGTCCTCACAGCTGAAGGAGGGAGGAACCTGGGCGTAGGTCTGGTTTGGTCGGAGCAGGACCGAGGGGTAGGTCACGAGGCTGTCGCACCTGTTGCCCGTGTGGGGCGAGCCGCGATAGGGCACGCACGACTGGGCGGTCGCCCCCCGCGGTAATAGGCAGAATAAGAAGCAGAGGGCGGCGAAAATGAAGATGGAGGAGGAAGAATAATATGAGGAGGGGATCAATAACGATGGAGATGGAAGGAGACGACTTTCTTCTCGTTTGAATCGTTGATGGCTCGTGCGGCCCTCACGAGGCATATCTACAGTGGGGAGGGCGGCCGAGAAGAAGTGGAAAATGGGGGATATGGAGGCGGAAGAAGGGAAGAAGTGTAAGTGACGGGGGGCAGGGCGGGGGATGGATGTTGTTGTTGTTGCCGGGTTTGTTTTCGTTTGTTGTTTGCTGATGTTGTTTTTGAGTTCCTTTCCAACCAGTCACTGTCTCGCATTCGGGCTCCCCCAGCACACCGCTATTTGTACCCCAGCACACCCATCACCGTGACACTTGGCGTCGCCCGCTTTCTCGTCAGCGGCTGCTCGGCAGCTTCGAAAGCGTCTGTTGTGCTCCAACCCAGGAACCGACACACAAGACACGTACACGACACAGCACACGACACGCCAACGGTGATGTTGATGAGAGTTGTTGGTTGAGGTACATGAGCGAGGGGAGAGGGGAGGTGAGTGGACTCCGGCTCGGTTGATTGATTGACCACCATCATCACTTGAGGAGGATGGTGATGACGGAGATGTTGTCGTCGGAGCCGAGGAGGTAAGCGTAGTCCCTGATGCGGCACGAGATGACGAACGGATCGGCCGAGGCGACCTGGGCGGCCAGCTCGATGGCCGTGTCGTCGTCCACCTCGTCCCACACGCCGTCACAGGCGATGATCAGCACTGAGTCCTCCGGCGTGAGGTCGAGCGACGCCACGTGCGGCTCAAAGCTGGTTTTGCGCACGTGCGTTAGCACAGAACACAACACAACACACAGCACACGAGATCGCACACGACACGACACGCGCTGCGAGAGGGGGATGGTTACCTGACGTAGGGGTGGAGGTAAAAGTCGCCGATGGCACGCGAGACGGCGAGCTGACCGTTGACGCGGGCCGTCTCGCCCACCACGTAACCGCCCAGGTTGAAGATCCGCTCCTCCTCCTCGTGCAGGTTGGGCTTGTGGTCCTTGGAAATGCGAATGCCCTTGCCGGCGCGGCCGACGACGGCGCGGCTGTCGCCCACGTTGCTGACGATCAGGCGCTGTCCCTCGACCACCGCAGCCACCGCGGTCGCGCCCGCATGCCGTAGCGACGTATCTCCGCCATCGAGTTGGGCCTGAGTTCGACCGAATTCATGTCGACAGGAATGTGAGCGTGTGCGGTGGTGCGTGTGCGTGTCGTGCGCAAGTCTCGAGGAAGAGTACCTTCAAGCCAGAGTTGACGTTGACCCAGCAGTCCTTGAGCGCGGCCTGGGTGTCGGAGCCGCCCTTGAGCTTGTCGAGCACAACGGTGTGAACGTGGTCGGCGCAGTACTCGGCCACCCCGCGACCGGCGTGACCGTCGAACAGGCCGAAGAAGTCGACGTCCTCGCGGCCCTGGAAGTGGCCCTGAAGCGACAGCGCATCTTCCATCGTCGGTCGCCGCCCGATGATCTCCGCCGACGACACCTTTTTTATAAAAAAAGTCAATCCAATTCCGATACAGAGAATACGATAATCAAATCGAAAATAAATCAAATAGATAATAAATCAAATCAGATATGTACCTTGAAGCGCTTGGAGGGCGTCCAGGTGTGGGTGTGGTAGGATCGGAGGGTCTCCTCATCGAGAGGGTTGCCCTGCAGCAGGATGTGCGCCCTGTCCTTGAGGTAGTGAACCGATTCGGGCACGGTCTTGAGCTGGTTGTAGGAGAGATCGATTTCCTCGAGCTCGCGCAGGTCGTCGACGCCGTCGGGCACCCCCTCGGTCTCAAGCGCGTTGTGGCACGCGATCAGGCGCTGCAGGCCCGACAGCTCGGGCAGCTTGGCCGGAAGCGCCTTCAACTGTTTGTTGACGATGAAAGAAAGTACACACACACACAAGAGAAAGAAGAATCGAGAAAAAGAAATCCTGGTCAATAACAACCAACCAGCAACCTGGGTAACGAGCATGGCGCGTTACGTTGCTAGGAAAGATAAAGATAAAAGGAAAAAAATAATCTAAGCTCTTTTCGGAAAGAGGTCGGGTCCAGGATTCTGTTCGTAAATAGGAAAAGTGAAAAGTGGTTCATTACCTTATTGCCGGAGACGTCGAGGTACTGTAGTGAAGGGAGGCCGCACAGCTCCTCAGGCAGCTCCTCGAGTTCCGCCTTGGGTTGCAGCACGCACCGAATGAAGAGAGGGTCAGTACGCTCGCAACCCCTGGTACCAAATAGAGGCCGTGGCCTGGCGCGTTCTCGCCCGTGAAAAGGAGGGAAGAGGGGCGCACCAGGTGGAGGTGAAGCTGGGACAGGGCTGGTAGCGACCCGACCCATCCGGGCACGTGCTGGAGAGGATTGCCGGCGAGGAAGAGCTGCTCGAGCGCGGAGAGAGCTGATAGGTCGGGCAGGGCCTCACCCGATAGGCGGTTGTAGCCCAGGGAGAGCACGCGCAGGGCGGCAAGATAGCCTAGGTCGGCGGGCACGGCCTCCAAATCGTTGAAGCTGAGTTCGAGCGTATCGAGGGCAGCCAGCTGGCCCAGTTCGTTGGCGACAACGGTGATGCGGTTGGCATTGAGGTGCAGGTGGGTGAGGTTGTAGAGGTAGCTGATCTCTGCAGGCACCTCAGGCAGGCGGTTGGCGGTCAGATTGACCACCTGCAGCGCCTCGCTCGTCCACAGCGCAGACGACCAAGACTCCAACTGCAGATTTTGTTGTTGTATTATTAGGCTGCGATTACAGATTTCTAAAGAAAAGAAAAGAAAATGAGATCGGGGGAGCACCTGGTTGTGGGCGAGGTTGAGCTCGGTGAGAGAATAGAAGCCGCCGGTCTCGGTGACGGTGGCGCTTTCGGGAATGCACTCAATCTTATTGCGCTTGGCGTTCAGCTTCTGCAGGGCGGTGAGACCCGACACGTCGGCGGGCAGCGCCGTGATGGCGTTCTCCGAAATGTCCAGCTTTTGCAGATTCACAAGCTTGCCCAGTCCCTGGTGTGCGTGCGTGCGTGCCGCCTTAGGTTTGCCCCTCACACGGGCATGTGCAAGGCCAAGAAGCAGGCCGATCGTACCTCGGGAAGCGATGTGACTTGGTTGTCAGCGATGCACAGCTCCTGTAGGTACTCGAGATCGCACAGCTCCTCGGGCAGCGACTTGAGGCTGTTCGCCTTGATGCTGTATGTCGACACAAAAGAAAAGAAGCACCATCAACACTTCTGTGCAAGGAGCGAGGGCACTGTCGACAGACTTCGATGGAAAGGGAGTGGGACAAACCTGAGGCGGGTGAGGGAGGAGAGGTGACCAATGGCGGGGGAGAGGCCCTCGAGGTAGTTGCGGTCGAGAGCCAGGTCGGCCAGGGCGGGGAGGGAGCACAGGGCCTCGGGGAACTCGCGGAGCCCGTTTTGCGACAGGTCGAGCTTCTTCAACGCGGCAAGCTTGGCCATCTGCACACGCACCCCATCAATCAATAGATTAATTATTCAACGCACGCAATACGGGCGCCTCGGCAGAGGCGTGAGAGCCTGGTTGTGGAAATAAGTCTGAGTGGTCATGCGTACGTCGTCGGCGGGAGGGAAGCTTCGAACGCGGTTGCCAGCGAGAAGCAGCTCGGCAAGGGTGGTCACCGAGCAGAGGGCGGTGGGCCACTCCTTGATGCGGTTGTACTTGAGGTCCAGCGCCTGGACAGCCCCGTCGTCGAAACATTCATTCGTCAGGTCAGCAAGAAGGCGATGAAGGAAAGAAAAAGAGGAAAGAGGAGTCCGGCACGCACCTGCAGCTCGGTGAACTCAGCGATTTCGGCCGGGATGGTGGCGAGGTGGTTTTGGAAGAGGTACAACTTCTTGAGCCATTTCTTTCCAAGAATCTCCACCGGGTCCCACTCCTTGAGCTCCTTCTTCGATCGATCCAGCACTGGCACGCGCGTGCCTGATGGTATGATTGCGTGTGGTGTGGTTTGTGTTCAAGGGAGGTGCCCGATTAGTGATTTGCTCTCGCGTGTACGGCCAACAAACGTTTAGAAGGGGACCGGCCACGAACCAGAACCTGGGCGTGGCGGCGCCACTCGAGGAGGAGGACGCGCGGGCGCTTCGGTGAGTGGCACGGGAGTCGCGAAGACCTCCTCTGTTTTTGCGGAAAGCAGAGCAATCGAGATCGTAGGCGCCATGCGTTAGGGTGATCAGAGAACCATGGGCTGGAGCGTCAAGCAGCATGTGCACCGTGCAGGCCGAGCGTAGTTGAGGCGAAAAACGTACCCGACACTGACGACACACGCTCTCTTCCGACTATGGCTGGAGGCGCAACCCTGCCGCGGGGTCTGTCCGGCTGCGCGCTCTCGGCGGTCTTGGCGTTCTCCTCCTCTTCTTCGGCCTTGCCGGCTCCAGGCGCGGCAGGCGTAGGCGACACCTGCCCCACAGAAAAAGAGAAATAAAATTAAAATTAAAAAAGCTTAATAAAATAAAGAGAGGGCAAATAATCAAACAAATAATCAAATGAAAAACGATTGCTGGAGGCAATCACAAAAAGTGAAATTGAAACTGTGGATTGTGTTGGGCAGGCTGCTCCTTACCTCGTCGTTGAGTTTGCGCTCGAGGGCGAGGCGCTCCTCGTGAATCGTTTCGTAGCGACCCTTCCATTCGAGCAGCTGCTCCTTCAAAGCCGCCAGCTCTTGCTCCAACGCTTCAGTCGCGTCTCCCATGATCAGATCTCTCGTTACTGGACTCTCGTTGTTGCTTCTGTCCATCACGTAAATGCATTAAAACGTGCCACACGTTGGAAGTCACACCGCTTTGGATTGCGATAACAAAATGTCAAATGTTTCTTACCAAAGAAACTGATGAATGAGAAGCCACTCTACTCTTGCGACCTGGGCAAATTGAATGGAAGGCTAGGGCTGTTGCGTGCGCAAGGATCAAGGCCGTTGCTTCTTTGATTTGTTCTGCGCTGCCGCAATAATGCGCTCTGAAATGCTTGGTATGCGCGTAAAACGGGTCAATTTACAAAAAAAGAAAAGAGACAACAAAGAAGCAAGCAGTTGAAGACGAAGGATCACGCCAGGTAGTTGTAGATGGCGGTGTTCTTCGGGTCGCGCTCCAGGTACTCTCTGTCGATCAAGCTCTCGATTCGCTTCTTCACATCCGCAGGCTGTCAGGTGTCACAGTATGAGTTTAGACCACGTCTGTCGTCAACCAACAGAGAGAAGGAAATGCATGGGGAAGGGGTTGGAATGATACCTTGAGCGGGAACTTGAGCTGCTGATAGAGCTCGGCCATGAGCTGGTTGTGCGTGAGGGTCTTCCTGGTCTTCATGATGCGCACGATGGCAGCGTCGATCTGGAATTGTCGGTCCTGGAACACGCTCTCCTTTGTCTTTGTGTTCTCCTCCTCCTGTTATCAGGTTACGTTGTGGGCCAGCGCCATGAAAGAGTGACGGTGAGTAGCAGGTGTGAGCTGGTTGGAGATGAGGGCGGGCGTACGGTCTCCTTCATCTGAATAGAGTTGACCTTGATGCGGTAGAGCTTGTGGCGGAAGTCGTCGTTGAAGTTGAAGACGTCGTCATCGCCCACCTCCTTGCCCTTGGGCTCCTTCGTCAGTGGGCGCACCTTGCCGCATGCGAGAGAGAGCAGCGTCCGCTTCAGTTCCTTCTGCTCGATGCCCGTGGCCTCGGCAATGTCCTTGTACGAGATCGACTTGGTGTCGTTGAAGAGAAGCATCACCACCGTCTGTACCAACGACACAGCCAGCTCTTTGCGTCCCTGTGGGTATGCTATAATGTAAGCGGATGGCGGCGCAGGGGAACGCTGCTGGGTGCGGAGGGGAGTGCTACGACAGCCGTACCTTGGGGAAGAAGGCCTTGAGGACCGTGTGACCGAGGGTGTGCTGCCAGAACAGGCGGCGGCCCTGGTACTTGCCCAAGTAGAACGCTCGGAAGACATCCTGGCAGTGGGCCAGCTGCGGCGGCAGCTTGATGTCAAGCGGAGTGTAGGCAGGCCAGTAGCCAGTCGTCAGAACGCTCACGTTGACCTCCAGGTCCTTCAGCTAGATAGTCCGACACAATCACAAAACGGGTCAGTCTCCACCGGGGCAAATTAAACTTGCACAATGAAAGAAGAAGGCCAGAGCGGAGGTGTAACCAACCTCTTGAGCCTGGCGAGACTGGCGGAAGGAGATCATGATGTCCTTCGACAACTCCACATCCTTGAACATGCCCTCCAGCTTCGAGGTGAAGCCGCTGCCGCACTCGGTCTTGAGCTTGGAGATCATCGACTTCTCGGCGTCGATCGACGCACTCTTGCCCAGGAGGAGTCGCTTGGCGAGATCCTTCTTGTAGAAGGCCTCGAACACGTCTTTGCCGTTGATAAACCTGAACAGCACCATGACACGATCCATCAACGCTTCGAGCTCCTCTTCGGTAGCCGCTTTGTTGCCAGCCTGCAGCATAGAACGATTGTGAGTAACGGGAGGAGACTCACGAAGAGCCCACAAAAGTGGCATTACCTTGAGCTTGGCGTCGACAAACTTGGCGATGAGCTCAGCGGGTCTGTTTTCTCGGGTGTTGATGAAATGTTCGAAGGCCTCCTTCATGGCGTGCGCGAATATGTCTGTCGAGTGGAACGAGTCTCGCAAGATGGTATCCAGCTTGGTCTGCGCTCACACAGCATGTCCTCGGTGAGGTGGGCAGGTCTGAGACAAATTTGTCGCGAGGGTGGGTTGCGCGGCGCACCTTGAGTTCCAGCAGCGTAGGGACCATCGTCTTGTCCCTCTCCGCATCATTTACGATCTCAGCTCCGGCAGCCCTGATGTGTGTGTTGAAAGCGACTCGCACCAAGGGCAGGCTCTGTACTCGGGAGAAGAGTGTGTAGAGCCGGGCGAGATCCTGACCATAAACAATGCACGGCTTGATTAGTAAGCTTTTAGGAAGGCGACAACTTGGCGACGAGGCACGTACCGCAACTCGGCCTTGGTCGACGAGACGGTCGAATCCCTTCTGGAGAATGCCGTCGGCGTGGGCGGCAATGAGGGCATTCTCCACGGCGGTGAGCAGCGGACGTCGCGTGGAGGGTTCCAGGTAGTGTGTCACTCTCTGCTCCTCCTGCACCAGTCGCTCCTCCGCGTGGGCCAAGTAGTCCGCCATCTCCATATCCGCTAGCAGACGCGCCGACTGCCAAGCGCACGCGTGTGAGACCAGCTGAAGGTAAGGGGAAGCACCCACCTATCTGCAGAGGAGCGTACCTCTTGCGAATAGTATTTGCCAGTGGCTACGACGAAGCTCCTCTCGAATCGCTCGGCATAGACGCCAATGGAAGCCAGCATGCGAATGAGATTCTTGATCAAGTCCCGCTCCACCATCTCGCCGTCTCTCTCGCGCTCGACGAGGCTGAGCAGGCCGACGATGAGCTTCTTCTCCACCTCTGAGTCGGCGATGACGTTGTCGCGCCACAGCTGGAGGCCCAGATCCCACAGCGAACTGACGCCTGCTGTCTGGATCACGTATGTGCGGTCCAGATACAAGAATATGCTGCGGATGTAAAACTGCACGCAACGGAGAAAGCGAAGGTGGTCAGGATTTCAAGCAAATATGGCCACCTGAGCGAACACGGATCCACCACGGCCCGGCACGTACCATAGCCTGGCAGTAGTCGTTCCAAACGTTGTTCACGGAGATGAGGAAGCTAGACGGCTCTTGAGTGCGAACCAGCTGCTGCAGGGCGGCCTTCTGAGCGCGAATGTGGCGTTCGCACTCGCCCTGGATCTTGCTGTAGAGTCCTGCTCCCAGTTTCTGCGAGCACAGGTTCTCGGTGGCCTATTGTGCACGGGTACATATGGACGGGATGCGACACCATGAGCTCATGGGTACTCGTCGAAGAAAAGATCTACAGAACTGCCTGAGATGGATGAGCTGGGTGAGCTACCTTGTAGAGCTCTTCTTCACCATACTGGACGGCCTGTTTGTTCTGCACGGCAGCGATGGCGGCCTGCAGCTTCTCCCATGTCTTTTGCTCGTAATCGTCAGGCAGCCCCTTCGATGCTGCGCAGGCAAAGAGTACGGTGAGATTAGTGCACCCCCGCAAGCATCTGCAAGCAAATGTTGCAACAGCAGCTAGACGCACTCTTAAGGCCACGGATTACAAGCTTTTTGACAGGTTTGCTGCCAGCACTGTTCCTCAGACCTCCATTTGACGATCCGTTCAGCTTTGTGGCCATGTTCGTGTGCTTCGATTTTTTGGAAGGTGATGGGGTGGGCGAGGCGAAGGGGCTTGAGGACCCAGATGCTCCGCTCTCAAATTTCCTCTTGAGCGAAGGTGAAGATGGCCGATCGTCAAGGCGGGATCTCTTTGAAGAAGAAGAAGACGAAGAGGACGAGGTGCTGGGTTCGGGGCTCTTTCTCCTCCTTTGTTCCGATTGCAGTGAAGACATATATCAATGGGGTTAGCCTCAGGTCCTCTACCAACGCGGCGAGATGGAGAGCAGATTGCGTGTGGGTTGCGTAGGGCCGAAGAAGAGAAAAGAAAAAAGAGAGAAACCCGCCAAGGAATTTGCTTTGCTGCTGGCCAGAATTTTGGGCGACTGCGAGCCACTCCATGCCCTCCGCCGTAGCCGGTGGTTGCTTACGACGCCGGGCAGCAGACGCGCCGAACACTAGGAGAGTACAGACTCCTTGTACTCCTCCGACTGGAGCATGCTAGCGAGCCTCGACTCGATCGTGATCGGCGATCAATGTCGACAACGAAGCTGTCGGTGCCCTGGAAGTAGTGCCACAACGGGCGGATCCAGTCCTGGCCGGCCCACATGGGAAGTGGATGTTATTGTAAGAGAAGGTCTCGACGTTGAAACCAATGATAGGGATGCAAAGAACGTTCTCGCTGATTGCAAGCCAGCTTGAATCCTTGGGCGTGTCTTTCCGGCGCCGTCCAGACCCACCATCAGAATCTTGGCCTCCCGCGAGATCGTGCAGAAAGTTACCCATGATGGTGATGTCCAGTATGTCTTGAGGAACAAAAGCCCTGGCTCAGTCTTGTACTGGTTTCGGCAAGACGTCGCCGACCCGCTCGACCACCTCAAAAGTTCCATGCAAAAGGTGGCGCAGGCAAGAGCTCTTCTTTGGGTGCTGGCCTTCCCAACCCCACCTTCTTTCAGAGCGGCAACCCCGATGCCTCTTTCGAACATCCGAGCACAAACGTGCTGTCGTTCTCACAGATGTTCCCTCTTCGTTGGCATGGGAATGCCTAGAGCCCCCGGACCTGAATTCTGTCATCGAAGTTACCCGGTTGCCGTACCGATAAGGATGGTTCCAATCAGCTCTCACCCCATCTAGTATTAGGTCTGCTGTCAAGGGAGCCACCACTTTCAAAGGGGCAAGTCTGGTTTGACCGGGTGCAGACCAGTACACACGACTCCGGCCATCTCTCTCCGGTCATCTTACCGCGGCTTTTATGGGCTTTTGATACAAAGAGGGTATGTGAAGCGGCAAAGATACAAAGAGGGTATGTGAAGCGGCAAAAGCGAGTTAGAGCATTTTTAGTCATGCTCGAAATATCACGTTGAAACTACTCCAGCACACAACAACCTCACCTGCGCGGCTCCTTGGAGCACACCAAAAACGAATGCGAGTGCTAGACTCTTACTCATTCTCTTCAGCTCAACCACACCACACCACACCTCTGACCCCACCGCACACCTGACCAGCACCCACCAAGGAACACCACTTTGAAGCAATCATACGTCCTCTACATAAAGAGAGCATAGTACGTCGGCAGGATGCTGCGCCGCAACACCACAGGGTGCCTGCTGAAGATGAAGCTAGACAGGAACGACCTCGACACCCCGGCCGTCACCGTCAATATCAACAGCGGCGAGAGCTTCCCGGTGGACCCTACCAATCTCTCCTTCTCCCCCCGGGAGAAGCGGCCCAAGTCGCACGACTTCTCCACCGATCTATCGGCCGACACCAGCACAACCGCGATCTCGCCCGACCAACACAGCCCCTCGGCTCGAGCCAAAGCCGCCAGCGATGCCGGCGAATTCCTCTGCATTCCTGTCGTCGAGGAGCACCCCCAGGGGCGGCAAGGGTCGGTCAGGGACGACAGCGAAGACGACTACATTTCCGGTTCGACCGGGGAGTCGGGCTCGAGCCTAAGCTCCTCCGAGGAGAGCGAGGGCGAGAACACCACCCAGAACCGCGAGAAGAGGGCCTACCGCAAGCGAAGGTATATCATCCGCGAGATCCTCGCCACTGAGAACACCTACGTCAGGCACCTTCGCGACATGGTGGAGGTACCTGCCCCCCTCCATTCTCTTTCATCGTTCTACAAAAAGGGTCCCCTGGTCACATGACTCATATGTGATCATGTCACCAGGGATTCTTTGAGCCAATGGAACTGGCCGTAAAATCGCCCAGCCAGAGTCCCCTCTACCAGCGCCTCCGCCACCAGCAACACAACTGCCTGCCCACCTGGGAGGATCTGAAGGAGGTCTTCTCAAACATCGTAACCATCTACGAGCTCAACGACGCCTTTCTGAGCAGCCTCAAGGCCATGCAAGTCCACCTAGACTCGGGCAACGACGCCAAGCTCCAGCTGGGCGATGCGTTTCTGGTCGTGGTACGTGTCCCAGTAACTTCTCTGGTTGTCCAATCTCCCATGTAACGGGCTAACGTTCCCTCGCAACCCGGTTCATTCGAAGCAGACGGACTCGTTCAAGTTCTACTCGTCGTTCGTCAACACATACCAGGCGAGCATGGACGCCTACGATCGTATAAACCAGACCCTCATCTTCAAGGAGCTGGCCAAGGCTCTCGAGGAGCGCGGTGGCCGGTTGAGCTTCAGCTCGCTCCTCGTCACGCCCATCCAGCGCATCCCTCGATACCTCCTACTTCTTCGGGTACGAACCAGCACCAGCACCAGCACAATCGATTCCCCCCCTTCTGTATCGTCGTTCTTGGGCTTACATGTGGCGTTCTCTGCAGGACCTCCTGAACAACACGCCGCCCACCCACCCTGACCACTGCAAGCTGTCGGTGGTACTGCCCAAGATGGAGGAGGTGGCGACCTACATCAACACAGAGAAGAGCAAGTTCGACAACCTCACCGTCATCCTCAACCTGAGCTACCTCATCTCGGGGTACACGGACTCGTTCATCAAGCCCGGCCGCAAGTTCATCCGCGAGGGATTCCTGAAGATCTACGACGAGGAGGCGATGAAGTCCAAGCGCCGTTACTTCTTCCTGTTCAGCGACACCCTCCTCATGACCCGGCCCAAGCGCGGCAGCACCTTCTTCAACAAGGGCGCCGGCCGCTACCAGTTCATCGACTCGCTCCAGCTGCTGTCGGCCAGCGTCCAGTCCTACCAGACCGGCAGCGTGACCCACGCGCTCAAGGTGACCCAGGCCGACGGCACCCACTACATCCTCCACACCAAGGAGAAGGAGGAGCGCGTGGCCTGGCGCGAGGCCTTCGAGGAGGCCATCCAGAGCGTCTCGCTCTACACCAACAGCACCAAGGCCCGCTCACAGTACGCTGTCCCTCATTGAACTGTTTTTTTGTGAGTGAAGCCCTGGCTGTTGAACTAGACAACTAACAGCCTGGTTACCAACAATCCCAGCTCGTTGCCCACACTCTTGGAGAAGTTCCCTCCGTCGAGCGAGAGAACCGGAGTGGAGGCGGTCAAGCAGCGCCTCAAGGCCCGCAGCACGTCGGTGGAGCACCCCTCAATCCCACGTCTTCCCAAACGCAAGCGCGCTTCGAACGACTACCTTCTGACCAGCTCGTCGTCGACCTCGTCGTCGCTGTCGGCCTCGCCGCTCTCCTCGCAGTCGTTCTCCTCGTCGCCCACCTCTTCCCAGCCATCCTCCGCGACCGTGTCCGGCAGCTCCACACCGCTGTCTCCCCGGCCGCAGGGCCCCGCGTTCACCCACTCGCTCGTGCACACAGCCAGCAGCGCGCTCAACCGACTCACAGCCCGCGCCCGATCCAAGGACAAGCTCGAGCGCAAGACACGGCGGCGCAGCGCCACCCTCTCGTCCAGCGATGGCACAGTGCCTGTGCACCAAATGACCACTGCCCGCGAGGCGGCTCAAACTCTGCTGTCCTGCTCGGTGACGACGTCCAACGAGGAGGTCAGATGCCGGTCGGACAAGAAGTCCGACAGCGTTTGCCCTCAGAACAAACACAAGCTCTCCCGGTCGCTCACCTCCACGGACCTGCTCGAGGTCACTGCATTCGACCCGACCGCGCCTGCTCCGGCCTTGCCCACAGCCCCTTCCTCCACGCCAACTACCCCGCGTTCATGCCCAACGAATTCGTCGCCATCAACGCCAGTACCACATCTTTCGTCGTCGGCTCCCACGTCGCCCGCGCCGTCGTGCTCCGCTGCGAAGCTGAGCCGACCGTCGATCCACCCCGTCAGCTTCTTCCTCCCGAAAACACCGCAATTGTACTAACAGTCTCTGCACACTATGTAAGTTATTTATTTATTTTTGATGTAACACGCACCTGTAACATAAACGTTTTATCATTTCATCCTATCTTTGCCCAACACGTCGCATAAAAGAACGAGGAATGACTGGGAATAAAACGAAAGACTAAAGGCAGAGAAAGAAAGAAGAACTCTGTACATCCATCCGTGCTGTCCGTGTGTGTGTGTGTGTGTGGAGAGAACGATGGCAAGGGAGGCTTGGCCGATGGTTGCAGGCGCCCACGACCCTGCAGACCTTCAGTCGTCTTTGTGTACCGGGCACTCGCGATGGCTGACCTTTTTGAACCACGTCTCGATGCACTCCTCGTGAAACACGCAGAAGCAATCCATCCTGGGAGGCAAAGCGGAAAGCGCGTGAGAAGAACCAAGAGCGGCACCATCAACAGCGGCTTGTGTCGGTACCAGGTGACTCGATCGCCCTTGTTGAAGTCGAGGAGGCAAATCTGGCACTCCTGGTCCGGCACCTTGTCCCGCAGCGTTTGCACTAATGTGGTGGTGGTCAGCGCACGCCGCGTAAACCCGAGAGACAGGGCAACAGCTTCAAGCTTGTACCTTGTGAGCCCTTCCCGACCTCCTTGGGGAGCTCCACGGGCTTGGTGCACTGCTCCACGTACATGCTTCGCGACATCATCAACGCCTGATGAATTTCAGCTCTGCCCATCAGCACCACACGGGGTGAGTGTTGACAATATGGCAAAGCAATGTGAAAAGAACGCGCGCACGTACAGGTCGCCATGCGCGTTGCCCAGGTGCTGGAGAAGGTTCGTGTTTTCGTTGGGTGTGTAGGTGGTGCGCTGTGTGCCACCAGCCAGATGCAAGAGGTGAGTGGTTGGGGGGCCAGTGGCTTGAGTGCGGTGGTGCGGTGCAAATAGAAGTAGTGGGTGGCAGTACGGTTTCGTGCTCGCAGATGGGACAACTGAGGGTCTGTATGCAGGCCGAGTGCTTGGTGGCGGCGTGGGCAGGCAGTTCCTGGGCCTCGAGTTTGCTGGCACAGCCAGGATACGGACAGTTGAATGTGTTGTCTTTGTACATGCCAAAGCCCAGCATTCTGATGATAACATCGTCTCTGTATGTCAGTCGCGTGTCTTGTGGCAAAGTGTGGCTTGGTGTGGTGCGTACGTGTCATCCGTGGCCGCTCGTGCCAGTTCGAGGGCCATCTGTTCATCGAGGCTCACCTCGTCAAGAAACGCAGCGGGGTCCTCCTGAGGTCGTGGTCGCGCTGGTTGCTGCTGCTCCGCCAGGAACTGGTTCGTCAAGCATTCGTCCTGGTACAACCATAATCAAAGGATTTTACTGAGGATGAGAAGGATGCTGAATTTATTAATTATATAAACAATAAAAGAAAAATACTAAATACCGAGCTCACTAGGAACGCCCATCGATTTATTTGCTTTATTTTTCTTATTAACTGGTTGTGGAGAGCTGGCAGACTTACAATGTGTGCATTTATGACGTGCGGATCCACGCTAGGCAGGGTGATTAAACACACGGGGCATTGCATTGTGCTGCGAATTCGCAGCCCCGATCGAGGGGACCTGAAAACGCAAAACAAAGGTGAGATGCACACGCTCCTCGTGGCAGATCTGCTTGCACTGAAAAAACACGGGAAAAGTGTGAGAAATGCAAGGCTTCCACAGACCAACTCGCACCCCTTCGGCCGAAACCTTCTACGCCGGTCGCAAGCCGCCGCTCTCACACGTGCGCTCCAGTAGACCGGAGCCATGAACCATCCGATGGTGCATTGTGCATCTCGCGGTTGGCAAAGATGGCGCTTGGAGGAATGTTCTCTACCCTCTTTTGAAAAGGTTTACAGAGCACCGCAGCCCTCGGCAACGATGCACGGTGTATTTCGCGGGAGGTAAGGGTTTTAGACCGCTACTACATGGTCGCCATTGTCGTCGTCGTCACCGTCGTCCTTGGTGATGAGAAGGAGAGCATTGTAGGCGAGCTGCGGAAAGTAGCTCGGTAGATCCAGGTTGGGAGCGATGAGCGGCGCAAAGATCACTGAGAGATGACTAGCCGGCGTGCCCTCATCGGGTGCTCGATCGCTCGTTTCCTGCAGGAGCGCCACGACCAAGCTTGAAGCAACGACAAGCGTTATTCATCACATTGTCATGGCACAACTTTCCTATTAAGCATCAAAATGATAAACAGCAACGAGACGTACTTGAGGATTTGTTGTTGAGATGTGTGCAGGTCGTCGAAAAGGGCCTTTAGCTCTCGTCGCCGTGTGCGATCGCTCTTGTGGCCCTCAGCCACAGCCACGTACCGCAGGAACAGCGAATGCGGGATAAGCGGGCCAGATTCACGCAATGACCTACAGCGCGCACATGTTCACTCACGTGTCACACTCATACACGCGCACGACCAAGCATCAAGTGAACAATCTATGCACGTACATTTTGAGGGCCGCGGCTACTGAGTGCGGACACATATGCGAAATGTCGATCTCGCCTCCTGTGGAAACGGCGACGTGAGCTGGAAGAGAGAGAAGAGAAGCTGGCACGTCACATACCGGACGCCACTTGTTTCCGTATCGCAGCAACTTCGTGTGAGAGGCCGGCTTCGCAGAACAGCCCCTTGGCCCAGACGCCTGGCGAATAGCCATCAGCGAAAGCGCGGACAAAAGCGAAAGAGAAAGCGAAAGCGATGGTTCGGGTGGTGTTGCCTTTGGTGGAGATGAGCCACCGAGCCGCCTGGGTGACGAATGCGCGATCGCTGGTGCAGATGGCCTGGGGAGTAGACCCCTCCTGAGAATCTTCCCGGAGGCTGCCCCCACCAAACCTGTCCTTTCCCTCGCTGTCGGCTTCATAGGCACGCATCGGACGTGAGAAATGAAGCGTTGGTCACAGTAGAGAAGCGAAGAGAGGAAGTCATACACAAGGAAACACCAGTGGCTGCGTGCAAGGCGAGCATCCAGTTCTGCCGCTCCTTGTCCGAATCTACAACGTCGCGGCCAAGAGTGAGACCCAAATCTAAACGACTGCCAAGACCGCACGACTAATGGTGCCTCGTACCCGCCTGGAAGTAGTATGTTCGGTCTGCTGCTTGAATCCCGAAAGAGTTTAGCTGCATGATGAGGAGGCCATGAGCGTGAGCGTGCGAGCTGGGACCACAGCGAGATATCACGGAAGCGCCGGTACCTTGCCTGTAACCGTGCCCGCCGTGCGCACGGTCGCGTCGCGCAGGCTCACCCTGCCCGCTGGTATAGTGTCCTGCAGAGTTGGATTGATGTAAACGCACACACGTATTCATCTGATAAATTGTCCTTAATAGCGTAATCTGGTTCAAATAATCAAACATCATTTTCATCATTGATGGATGATGAAAGATTCGATACCTTGCGATTATCACGGAAGTAGTAGAGCGTGGATTCGTGCAGGATGAAGAATCGCTTCTTCCACGATTTAACGACGCCTCCCTCTTTGACGAGGTAGCCTGTGAGGGCGGGTCGCGTCTTACTCTGCATGAGGGCACCCACCGTCATGTTGCCGCCATCCGCAGCAGCAGAAAACGTATCTCGCAGCGAGCTGAACATCACCGCTGAAGATGGCAAACCCGTTCGCCCTCTCCTGCCTCACCCTTCCGCCAACCTTGCGAGCTCGGACAGTTCGGTCTTGCCACGTCAGCCTTAGTTTAGCGCACCAGTGGGAGGCGTTCCTCCAAGTTTCTCTCCGGGCTGATGAAGTGAAGGAGCAACAGACGAAGAAAAGCAACCCCGACCAACACCCAAACTTCAACAACACCAACTCGATGGGCCGGTACAGCAATGTCAACAACAAGCGTGGCCAGCAGCGCGTCGCCGCCGCCAAACGGCCGCCCAAGCCCCTGGGCGAGTGCCTGTTCGACCGGCTGCCGGCGGAGATGGTGGCCGTCGTGCTCGGGTTCCTGCCCGTCGGGAGCCTACGGTCGCTCCTTCATGTCTGCCGTTCGTGGACCTCCATCATCGAGTCCGACGAGCCGCTGTGGTGCCTACTAACCCCCCATTGTTTACATTAATGCCAAGCCTGACCCGTGTTGTGGCCGCACGCAGGAGAAGGTGGTGCATCCAAGAGTTGCCAGTTGCGCTCCGATCGCCTGATGACGACCAGACCCTGTGGCGAGCCCACTTCCGTCAATGCGTGGAGAGTACCTACTGCACCCAAACTTTCCGGTGTGACCCCCTGTGTTGGTGATGCTGACCACCGGCAAACCAACCGCTCCGCACAGAGCACAAGGTGTTGGTGTACAATCTGGCCTTTCAGCCCGAGGAGATGCAAGTGAGCGGCAGGCAGACGTTGGAGGACCTGATTCAGCAGCTGCGTGTCAAGCACCCGAAGCTGACAGGTGCCTCTCTCTCTCTCTCTCACTCTCTCTAAGATGTGCTTCACGCTGACCCACCTCGCACTGTGTACGCGCAACCACCCACAGCAGCGAGTCACGATTTCTACTTGCGTACTGACGGCGGCGAGTGGAAGCTGCTTGAGGCGGGTACTCCCCTCTACCTGAACGGACTTCGCCGGTACCTTCACCCTCATCGTCATCAGCTGTCGCGTTGATTGATTCAACCACCCCCCACCAACCGATGGTTACTTGAGCATCTTTAGGAGTGGCCTGCGGATTAGCATCAGCTCCCACTTTGATGACGTGGACTTCCACAACCTGGACCGACACTCGATCGAGGAGCTGCGCAATGTCTACTACAACTGGGGCTTTCCTGATCCCGCCTGGACCAAGGAAAAGCTCATCGCCAACCTCAGCCACGGCAAGCTATCGCAGTTTGAAGGCCCCTACGCCGACATCGATTTTTAGTGGGGTTCAAAGTACCCACTGTGTGTATGTGTACCGTGCGTGTCGTGCGTGTTTCGTGGTTGTTTAGTGGTGAAGAACAGTTTTACAGAGGCTCCAGCTCGGAGACGTCGAGCTCTGGCACGCGCCAGTACTGGAACTGGTTGAACTCCTCCTGCGGCGGAGGCTGGTTGATGGCGGGGAACATTTCGTGGACCACTTCGTTGAGCTTCATGTACGACCTCTTGTAGGTTCGATTGGACATCGTGATCTCGCCCCTGTCGTGTGTTTGGTTCACCGCATGGTCGTGAGACACTCTACACAACGCACGACACGCACGACACACAATACCGTTGGTTGATGGTGAAGATCTTGCCCTTGGGCACGCCCACGGTTAGATAGGAGAAAGCGTCGGAGGGTCGATTGCCAAAGCCGGCGTAGAAGGGATTGCCGTGAGGGAAGAGCGCGGCGATGTCCTTCAGACACGCGATCTTGAACTCCTCCGGGTTCCTCCTGATCACCTCCCGGTGGACCGATCGGATGAGGCCGTTGGGCGACGTGAACACCGGACCCTGCGCGCGCGTTGCATTCAACACACCCGTCAGATTGACACAGACGCGCGCGCAGCGTCCAGCGGAAACACGTACCTCGGGAAGGGAGACATCCTCCTGGCGTAGGGCGGAGATGTAGCCACGAGTAAGGTTGGCCTGGCCGATGGACCGCGACGAGACGTACAGGATGCGATAGCCGTTCTCATAAATATTCGAATACAGGTGCGCAATGCCTATGGCACGACACACACGACACACACGACACACACCGCGTGAGCCACGAACTGCGAAAAAGGAGTCGGGCGGGAGGGGCTCTGTTCTGTTGTACCCGAGTGGGACCAATCGCGACCGACGATGGGGAGGATGTGGCCGAGCAAGTCGGACTTGGTGATGGTGCCGTCAATATCCGAGATGACGATCTTGGTGAAGCGCGACCACAGATAGATCATCGCCGTCACCTCCTGCGTGGCCGCCTCCGATCGCACGATGAACGTGGCCTTGTTTGCGCCCTCCTTCAACCCCAGTGCCGCCTGTAGTCGCAGACGCTTGTTAACCACTTCTCTCTCTCTCTCTCTTCCACCCACCACGCTAAACGTGTGACGTACCAACTGCTCCGAAGTGGGACGCAGGGTCCGGCCTTCGGTTCGCGACTGCTTGGCCTCGTGGTGAGTGCTCTGCAATGGTCGATGCATCCGCGTCATGACACGACACACGACGATGCGACATGACGCGTGTGAGCGTTAGTCTTTGGCGAGCTGGGCGCGTGTTAAGCCTGGGCGGGGTACCGTGGGCACGGTGCTCGAGGACCACCACCAGCGCCACGAGGAAGACGATCGGGTGGGCGTGGCAGGCGCGCGGCCGCCCTTGGTCGGGGCCTGGACCTTACCCTTGGGGATCGGGTTAAGCGCCTTGGCCGCCTCGACGGTGACCGACCGCCCGAAGGCGAGGTGTGAAACAATCAACGCAACGCCCTCCTTGCCCGAATACACCCTGCAGCCAGCCAGCCAAGCAAACAAACAGCAAAGCCCGGTGAGTGAGCGTTTGTGCAGCAGCCCAAGAAGCACGCACGCACCACACACACACACACACACACGATGAGTGCGTACTTGTCGCGAATGCGCACGACGAGTCGCGAATCGGCCATGGCCCCGCTGGGGTCCTTCCAAAACTCCTCCGAGGATAGGCGGTGTTCCTCAAAGACGCGCTCAGCCAACTGGAGGTCAGACACATTACGCGTATAAGCAAGCCACACGCCAACGCGTCCACAGTGCGGCAAAGCTGTGCGTGCGTGCGTGCGTGCGTGCGTGCGTGCGTGCGGTGAGCACCTCCGAGGCGGTATTGGGGAGAATATCGCCGCAGAGCGAGAGAGCCACGGTCATCTCCCCGTTCTCATTCGGAGCCTCCGAAGCGTTGTTCAGTTCGTCGCTGAACAAACGCTTGCGCGCCTTCTCGTCGCCCTTCGACTCCATCGCGGGCGTCGGCAGGTCATCGTCGCTCGCTCGTTGCTCCTCATCATCCGTCGTGACGCTCTTCTCCTGCTGCGCCTCTTCCTCCTGCTGCTGCGTTTCCTCTTCCTTCTCCTTGACATGCTGCTCCGTGGCCCAGTGCTCTTCTCCTTCGAGCGAGCGCGCGACCACCGGTGGTGTAAGCTCCACCTTTTCCCCTGCCTCGTTATAGCTTTCGCGTTCGCTCTTTTTTTCTTGGTTCGTCTTGGCCGAGACGGGCTCGGGTCGCTCTCCCTCCGTCGTGGTCAAACCGTGAGCCTCTTCGCTTTCGCTCTTCTCTGCCTCTTTCTCTTTTTCGCTTTCGTTCATATCTTTCTCTTCGCCGCCATTTTCTCGGTCGGTCGCTGCGTCACTTCGGGCGGTCTTGTCTTCGAGGTCGTTGCTACCGCCCCCTTCCGCTTTGCCTTTTCCTTCGCTTTCCGGGGTCGTCGATGCCTCGGCGGCTTCTTGATCGTCTCCCTCTTCTTCGCGTTCGCTCTCCGCCCCTTGACGCGCATCGTGCTCGGCATCATTCGCCATTCGATCCTCTCGCTCGAGCTCCTGCTCGATTTCACTCGCCTGCATCTCGAGCATGTCTTCGTTCTGTGGTGTTGCGTGTGTGTGCCGTGTGCCGTGTGTCGTGTCATCGCCAGCCCAACCAAGCCGCCCGTGTCGGATTCATTGGCCAAAGCGGTCCAATGACCCCACAAGCTGCACCGTACCTCGAGCTGCCTCGCGACATCGTCCAGATAAAGGCGCTCTAGCGAGTGGTTGCGCGGGATGCTGGTGGGCGACGCGCACTCGCGCGGCGACACGGCCGAGTAGAAGTACTCATCCTCGCCGTCTTCGTCATCGTCGGGAAAGCCCGACAAAAAGTCCGAATCGGCCTGTCATCGCCCAATCACATGCGGCCAGTGAGCTCTCTGACCACCACGACGGTGGTAGAGCGTCCAGGGAGTGCGTACCGGCTTGATGAGGTAAACCGGTTCGGCTTCCTTGGGCTTGAGCATGTCGATGAGGGCGCCCATGCCCCACTTTCGCTTCCAGCCGACGTCCTGGCCGCTCTTATCCCCGTCCGACGCGTACCCGCCCGATTCGGACAACAAATCGTGCAGACTGTTGCGCCGAGGCTGCGCCGAACAACCAGGGCAAGAGAGTGTGTGTTAAAGAAGCACTTGGAGCCGTAGTTGCACACTGCGCAGCAATCGGCCCTAGCAATGGAGGGTGGGGGTACCCGCGGCACAATGGGAGATGACATCTTTACACTGTCGTGGAGGTGGCTCTCCCCCTCGCCGAAGCTCGCCACTGCAATAAAGAAAAGAGGGAGAAAGGGGGCGAAGTGAGATCATATGTCGGGGCGCCAGGAGGGGGAAGAGGAAGAAACGAACACTTGGGGAGGTCGCTGAAGGAACTGCTCGGCGAAGCGACTGGAGAGTTGACCTGTCGCCGGCTGGGAAGCAGGCCCCATCCCCACGTCCAGCGCGTGCCAGGCTGGAGGCCACAGAGGACCGGGTGAGCAACAGCATTGCCCGCCGTATTGTCAAGTGGCATAGAGCCGAGGCGGGTGACGTACCTGTTCCGCCGCATCCACCGCAGCAGACACGGATTGGTCGGGCTGGTCGGCTGCGGGAGGTTCTTGGGGCTCGTCGGTGGCGGCAGTGGTTGTCGGCTCCTGCACGAGGTCGGCAACCGCAGCTGCCACGGGCAGGGCCACGCCGGCTGACTCCTCGGCCATCTGACCCAGCCGCGACACACCACACAACACACACACACACACCACAACACGCGGCGGCGAAGGCCGGCATGTCAGTGGGACGTTGGCGGGTCCGAGTGTGCGTGGAGAATGCCACATGTGTACCTCGATCGTCTCCTCCACTTGCTCCACTTCTTCCTCTTCTGCCTGCGCATCGCCTTTGTTCTTGCGCTGGAAGCGGGGGGTATTGAGTGAGCAAGAACAGAGGATAAATAATAGTGACAGCTGCGTACCGGGTCAACTTCGAAATAGGCCTCACCCGCTTCGCCCAGGCGCATCTTGACCTCTACGTCTTCTCCATTCACGGCGATGTGAACCTGCACCACGGAGGAAAATGGTCACAGATGTGCATAACGCGCTAGAGATCCTCACCACCAGAATATGCACATAAAATCAATCACAATGATTTTGTTTTAAAACAAAATGCTGAGGGGGTACTATTTTCTCCTCTTCGCGAAGAAGCTGGCCACGACCGAAGCGGATGTGAAAAGGGGTGGATGCGTAGCTGCCATCCTCCTGCTGGACCACCAGAACGTCGATCGATCCTCGGCTGAAATCGAAGAAATCGCGCACGCCAGACCACATGTTCTTGTATGCTCCTCCCTCCTCCGCAGTAGGGCTCGAGTCGCTGTGGATGAAGTGGCACTACAGCTCGCCAGCAGTTCTGTTTATCTGGACGCCACGTTGCGACAGGAAAAGGCATTTTCCTGCTCAGAAAATGCAAAATATGCCGCGTATGCCAGCAACTTGTTTGATTGTCATCTTCAACGCCTGCGATTGCCGGCCGTGTTTGCTGTTGTAACAATTGGCGCTGCACAACTTTGATCAAAGGTACATCCATCTTGCTCCTCGTGTTCTGGCTTTGGTGCCACTTTGCATCGCGCAAACAAATTAAAAGATTAAAATTAATTGCGCAACTTGAAAAACGCAACGCTCCCGCCGCTCACACGTTTCATCTTCGGCTGCTCCCAGCCTACACCGCCATGTCCCGAAGCCTGCAAGACAAGCGACCACTTTGGAAGCGGGACTTGGATGAACGACGCATCGCAACGGAGCTGGAATCAGCACTATCGCCCCCTCGCTGGCACGCCAAGTGGCGTATCGCGACGTGGGCCATGATTGCCAGTGGCGCGTACATCCTCCTCTTCCGTACTTCGTGGGGCGAGGACGATCATGCCTTCTCCGCACTACAGCGATTTGGAATGGACTGGGCTACCCGTTTCTTCAAGGTTGATGAAGAAGTGCCCCCAATCCCAACGGATGAGGACAGCGCAGCTCCATCTTTGAAAGAACAGAATAAATGAAAAGTTGTTTCGTGAAGATATACCAACCCCAAGTGGTGGGAGCTGGCAAAAAGGACGAGAGACCAGAGACTTCACCAATCAGATGTATTGTTCCCAATCTCGAATGTTCATACCAAAAGTATTTACGAAGAGCTAGTCCTGGTGTAGATGGTCTGAGCGGAGTGAGCGGAAACCTGACGGATGAGACCCTTGGCCATGAGCTCGTTGATGGCACGGCGGGCGAGCGAGCCGTTGATCTTCAGACGCTCGGAAATGACCGAGGGGGTGATCAGCTTGTAGGTGGGGACTTCCTTGAGGAGCTTCTCATAGGTGGCCTGATCGAAGAGGACCAAGTTGTTCAACTTCTCCTTCGTCTTTCCCTTGGACCACTTCTGCTCGGAGGAAGTTGAATTCCAGTAAGAACGGGCGAATGTTACAATTGATTAGTGAGGCAGCACGAACCTTCTTCTTGCCCTTAGCCTTACCGGCCTTCTTGACGGCGCCCTTGGCCGACTGGACGCTCTTGCCCTTTCCGGCCTTGTCGCCCTTACCACCCTTACCACCAGCCTCTTTCTTCGGCTGCAGAAATCGCAATCATGAGGTCAGCATCACCAGTGATCATGAGTTTGTTTACCTCACCACGCTCGCATAAGCGAGAGAAGGACACAAACAAGAGAGAGAGAGGACAAAGAACGAGGGAGGCGGAGGGGTACCATGCTGGCTACGCCTATGAGATAGGAGAGAGAAAGAAAGGACAGAGGCTGCGAGAGGCGCAAGAAAAGGCAGCATGTTGTCGACAAGTAATGCCATTTTCTTGCCGACGTGGAGTGCTACCTTAAGAGCCAACTCCGCTAAATCGAGCTGCTTCCATCGCAAACAACCATTGATGCGGGGAGCACTGTCGTTCATCATCCTCAATGATGACAGTGCTGTGGCGTCATCTGCGCCGCCCAATTTCCACAAATTTTTCGATGTATCGAGCAGGATGATAGTGCCCCATCAACAGGGTTACAAAATCACGCGCACAAGAAAACACAACAAGGTTGGAGAGAATGCGGTTGGTTTATGGAGACAGAGGCCGCGAAATCACAGTTTCCTCTTAGTACTTCTCCTCGTTCATGCCATCCTTCCACATGAAGAAGTAGGGGGTCTGGCCATCCTCGGAGTACCTGCTGAGCACAATCATGCCGTTGTCGATATCCATCTTCTCACCCTGGTAGAAGGTGTACTCGTCGAAGTCAGCGATGACCTTCTTGACGAAGCCCTGAGCGCCCTTCTTGAAGGCAGGCACGCGCGAGGGGTTCTCAGCCTCGAGCTTCTTGAGGAGGCGGGCCATGTAGTCCTTGATGTGGGTCATGTAGGACTTCTTGGTGAAGTCAGTCGCGATGAGCTTGTGAGCATCGACGAGGTTGTTCACGGTCGTCGAGGTGGAGTCGTAGGTCTCCTCACCACCACCGTCACCCGCCATGTCGTAGTTGCCCTCAGTCCTGGTGATGAGCTGTCATCCATGACGTTGGGTGGAGCGTTTAGCTTCGCGATGAAGGAACGATTGGTGAAAATCTTCAACCAAAATTGTACCTTGGTGGTGAACTTCAGGATGACATCATCCTCAAGCTCCACGGGGTAGACGTCCGAGGCGAGCTCGTCGTCTACGCAAAGAACAGTATGAGAATCGTGTATTCACACAACAATCTCCGCTCAAAGAAGCGATATCATTATGACGCAAATCGCGAACGAGCACGAAGCAAGGAAGCGAGATCTTGGCGTACCAGTGAAAATGTCCTTGAAGATCTTCATGGTGCTTGGTGGAGGGGCGGGGAACGGTGTGTGCGGGTCGGAAAAGAGACAAAGAAACCGCAGCCCAGACGAACAAAGAAATAAGTCTGAAACAAACTCTGCAAACTCCGATTGGCCTGACTCGAAATTTGGCCGACTCAACGGAGTTGAGATTTGCTCCCAGCCTTTTCTTTTTGAGCGACGCGTTGGGAAAAAGCAATTTCTCAAAGTGGTAAATCCTTCACGCTTTTGCGATAGCTGCTAGCCAGCATGTCGAACAGGAGCTCTGGGCCAGTGCGGCGCAAGAAGGGCGATGGAGAAGAGCAGCTCAAAGTGGGCAGAAAAAAATCAGCACAGAAATCTGGTACGACGTAGCACCAATAATAAGATATAATCAGCTCAACGCTGTCTTCATTCTTTAGGCACAAAGGACGTGCAGAGCGAACGCGATGCTCCACTGCCTGATGATGGCTACGTTGTGTTCCGCCTCAAGACCGTGCTTCTCTCCTTCCTCTGTGTCCGGTATGGCCCTGCTGCTGTTTTTGGGGCGGCACCTTCTTGGTCGCTGAACAACCTCTTTGCGTATCCGTGGCGTCATCGCTGAAGACTGCTGGGCGCTGTTGTGAACAACGTGTCCGACTGCGATGAAACCTTCAACTACTGGGAGCCCTCCCACTACATGCTCTACGGCTGGGGCTTCCAAACCTGGGAGTACAGGTGCGTACCCGTGCGGGTGACTCCTTGCGCGCCATCATGCTCACCGTGATGGCTGTGCGGTTGATTCGATGCAGCCCCGAGTTTGCGCTGCGTCCCTACGCTTATGCAGGCATTCACGCTGTCCTCGGCAAGGTCTTCACATTGCTGGGCTTCGCTGATAAGGTTGGCACGCTAACTGCCCCCCATAGCGTGTTTTTTTGCATCTCTCTCTCTCTCTGTTCTAATCGTCATACGCGCCTTCAGATATCCGTGTTCATCATGATTCGCTGCGCACTTGGCGCCTTTTGTGCTTACTCTGAAGCCGTCTTCTACCGAGGCGTTGCTAAGAAGTTTGGCGGAAGGTTTCTCCCTCTCTCTAGTTGCGCACACGTACCACCACACAATCCATGACACACACGCATACACTGCGTACACAGCTGTGTTGACGCTTGAGAGTGGACATAGTACATCGTGCTCACCGTCGCGTTCTATTCTCTTTTCAGGGTTGCCCTCTTCACCTTTGTGTTCCTTCTGTTCTCCGCCGGCATGTTCCACGCTTCCATCTCCAACCTGCCGTCTTCGCTCTCCATGTATGGAGGTTCGACCGTCTCTACCCCTCCCTCCCTCTGCTTGCCTGTCGCCATCCGCCTGGTCGCAGTCGCCCGCAATTGATTGGTCCGCGCTCACCCTTTGCCTATCTCCTCTTCGTCGCCATTCTACAGTGCTGCTCTCGTTCGGCTTCTGGCTGTCCGGTAACTATTTCCTGGCCGTTTTCTCGGCCTGCTTCGCGGTGATCATGGGCTGGCCCTTCGTTGCCGTCGTCTTCATTCCGCTCGGCCTCGACCTCCTTCTCAAGGCCGGCTTCTTCAAGGTACTAATCATCACTGCTGCTGCCATACCTCCTCCTCCTCCTGCGCCCAGGCTCCCCTCGCGTGACCGTCTCGCACAGATGCGTTGTCTCGATTGCTCATGCCACGCCGCATTCTTGGTCAATACTGCGTGCTTGCAGGTGTTGCTCTGGGGAGTGACGGGCCTCGCGGTGTTCCTCTCCACCTCGGTCGCTGTCGATTACCACTACTACGGGTCGCCTCTCATCGCCGTGTGGAACCTCGTGCACTACAACGTCTTCGCACCCAAGGGCTCGGAGCTCTACGGCGTTGAAGAGTGGCCCTTCTACTTTATCAACCTCTTCCTCAACTTCAACGTGGTCTTCGTTCTCTCGCTCGTTGCCTTGCCGGTGCGCACTCGCCATTTCTTAGCCACCGATTGAGCCCGAATGTACACTCACTCGCTCACACGTTGCGTTTCCAGGCGGCTCTGTTGTTCCGCAAGTGGTCGAAGAGCGTGGCCCACGTTCATTTCGTTTCGCTCTTCTTCTATCTCCTCCCCTACTACCTTTGGCTCGCGGTACGCTCCCACCTCTTCATTCGCCTGCTCCGCCTTTCACTCGCCTTTGAAAGCACCGAAGCTCACGCCCCTTATCTCCTCCAATCAATCACAGGCTATGCTCAAGCTGCCGCACAAGGAAGAGAGATTCATGTTCGTCATGTACCCGCTCATTTGCCTCGGCGGTACCGGTCCTTCGTATTCCCTGTGGTCTCTCGCGAGTCGATTTGATGACTGATTCGCTTCACACACCACACACACACGCACACACACACACACACACACACCGTTTGTGCGATCAGGCGCGCTCACCTTCGTGGTGGCCCTGGACGTGATGCAATCGCTCCTCGCCTCTGTCTTCTCCGCCAAATCGCGCAAGAACGAAGCCAGCCGCTTTAAGGGGTGCGCTTGGCCGCCCTTCTCCCTCTCCCTAATCGCGTCAGCGGAACTGATACCTCTTTACCCCTGTTTGTGTCGTCTTCTTCTCTGTTTTGCAGGTTCTTAGCGGCACTGGCTTTCCTCTGCTGCGTCGGATTTGTTGCCCTCTCGGCCTCGCGTGTTGCCGCTCTCGTACCTCTCCCGATCCAACACTGTGCAACCGTGTTTGTTCGTTCGCTCATTCGTTCATTGTACCCCCTCGCAGCGCGTCAACTTCGAAGCGCCGCTGTACGTGTACGATCACCTGTACCACAATGAACTCAAGGACGGCGCCGACCCGAACCTCCCGCTCCCCGGAGACTGTATGTCAGTCCTTCTTCCCCTTCACATTCCCCCCCCCCCTACAATATGGCACCATGCTTGCTCACAAGCTAGGCCTCCCCGAATTTAGTGAATATCTGCGTGGGCAAGGAGTGGTATCGTTTCCCGTCCAACTTCTGGATCCCACACTCTCGATTCCACGTCTCTTTTGTCAGGTACCTCCACCGCCCTTGCGGTTAGTGTGTGCAGAGAATGAATGCAGGGCCTTGGCGCCATGCCGCCAGCAACATCGCCGTCGCTCACGCCCAGCCAACTTTCCCGCGTTGTGCGTGTTGTGCGTGTGCGCGGTGGTGCGTGTGCTGTTAGGTCGTCCTTCCGGGGTGAGCTGCCCCGGCCCTATGCTCCTCCGCCAGACGGGTCCAAGGTGATCCACAAGGACTTCAACGACCAAAACCAGGAGGAGATGTCGCGCTATGTACCAACCCCCGTCGATTGGCGAGGCGTGGCAACAATGCTGAACCACTTTATGCGCAGGTCAACGAGAGCGACTGCCACTACCTCGTGGACCTGGACTTTGCGGGCCAGAGCGAGCCGCACTACGCCGCGCAGACGGACCGATGGGAGGTCATTTTCGCCCACCCGTTCATCAACTCGGCCGCCGCCCACCCCTTCTTCCGCGCCTTCTACGTTCCCTCGCCACTCTCCGCCGGCAAGACGCACTGGGACCGATACGTGCTCCTTCGCTCCAAGACCCACTTTGGCGGCGCGTCGTGACAGCCAGTGTTGAAGCGCCCACTTTTGTGGTATGAAGGCTTTCTCTACGATATTGTGGGCACGTGCCAGTTCCCCATTGGCCCCACGTGCGTGATTTTATTATTGCGTTTCCTTCCTAGTGGATCAGACGGAACTGGTCCTTGGCACTCTGTTGCATGCGGGAGAGCTGCGCCTTGCAGCAAACGTACGCGCAAGGTAAAGTGGCCTCGATCGTGAGTCCACAAAGCAACGCATACAAACCGCCCGACCCCGTTTGGCCTCCGTTGTTATCTTCAGCCCGACCCCGCCAAGTGAAAGAGGTACCACCTCACGCCCCTTCGACTTGGGCCTTGTTCTTTCATAAATCTGACGACTCTCGTGTGCTGCAGCAAGGTGGTGCGGGTGATGGCGATGACTGTGGCGATCATCGTAGCACTGTTGGTGGGTTGCTGCGTAGACGTGGCGACTAGCGACGCTCTCACCCAGGAGGAGCGAGCGTACAGCGTGGCGTGCGTACCCTACACAGGTTCTCCCGCCACCGCAGGGAAGTGCGACCATGTCATACCACCTTCTTCCAACGTCTGTCTCGCGTACCTCAACCCCCCCCCACCATTATCGCTACACTCTATTTTGTTTTAGGTTCTTTCCCGTCGAATGATATCTCAGATTCTGGGACGAAAAAACCCCCATTTGCGGTTCCATCTGACCAACAGCAACCCTCCTTGTCCTTGCAGATATCCCAACACCTACGCTTCGGTCGACAAGCGCGCGGCCAACCAGGTGCGTCACTTCTTCTTCGGCTTTACACTGCGGCTCTTGCGGATCACGCCCTGTCCTCACCAGATGCTCGCCGCCACTAGACCGCGGTGATGGGGGCCTTCTTCCCGCCCGAGTGTCGCAGCCCGCTGGTGGCCCTGACCTGCATGGGCTCCTTCCTCCGCTGTCAGTTCAACAGCAACTTCCCCCTCTTCGATGGTACGACAATTCCCGCCAAGATAACTCATGATGTGATGATAGCGAAGCGAATGCCACTCAACACACGCATTCTGGTGGCAGTTTACCCTCCGTGCCGCAGCGTGTGTGAGGCGGTGGTGCTTGGCTGCACAGCCTTCTTCGAGTCGCAGGGCATGAAGAAGGTACAACCTTCACAATTTTCAATTGTGATCTCTAATGAACCACACACGGGCCGTGCTTCTTACTATCTTGTGCAGATGCTACCAGACTGTGACATGATCGACAACAGCACCGGCACGCCATTCCCGGCCTTTCCGCCGGACGGCACGCAATGCGTCGCGATGCCACCAGATATGTGTACGCCAGGCGGCTTCTGCGCACTGATGCAGTAGGTAAGAGCTCGACTGACTCAAACCTTTTGTTGGGTCGCCGTAGTTGTGCCGTACGGCGAGGCGGACTGTCCCTATCCGCTCAAGTTCAACTACGACGATCAGGACTCGTTTACCGCATCGAGCTACGACCCGACGCAGATGTGCGTGATGCCCTGTCCCAACCCTATGTGGTCCGACGCCGAATGGACCGCCGGAGTCACCCTCACGCTGGTCGTCAACGGCACCTCCGGCATCCTCTCCCTATTCATCGTACGCACTCGCCCCCCTCCCCCCACGAGCCCCTTGCCTCCGTGCATCGCTAATCGTTCAACCGGATTGTGACTGCACAGGCGATCAGTATGTGTCTGATGCCTGGCAAGCGACGGTTCCCCGGCACCCTCTTCATCTACATCGTGCGTTGACCCTCTTACTACACTCCCCTGTCGAGCTGTTGTCTTCTTGTTGGTCGCCTCACGACTCACTCCCCCCACCCACCCTGTGCGCCATGCGTGGAATTCCTGCAGGCGTCCTGTTTGGCGGTGCTGAGCTTCATTGTAACCTTTTTCCCTATCATTTCTGGCGGCGTTACGCGGATGGCTTGCACGCGGGTACGGCACTACGCTTACGTGAGATTGATGAGCATACACGGCCGACCTCCTGGATTCACGGCTCCTTCACGTTGGAATGTAATTTCAGGGCAACCCGCCTCTAGAGGTCACCTTTGACAATGCTCGCGAATACGATGGCGCCGGCGTGCCGTGCATTCTGCAAGGTATATACTACATTCACCTGCCAATCAATCACGATTGCACCAAGGTCTCACATGTGATCACTCACCCACTCGGTGAACTAGGCGTGGGCATCCTGTACTTCGCGCTCGTGTCCAGCCTCTGGTGGCTGGCGCTTTGCCTGAGCGTGTTTGACGTACGTCGCAATCCTAGTACGCACTTGCGCGTGGGTGTACATTAAACTCATCGGTCTGATGTGTCAGATGGTGTATCTCCGACGAAGCGTGCATCTCATTCGCAAGTGGCACATTCCCTACCACTTCATCGCCTGGGGTCTCCCCTTCTGTGCCGTCATCGCCGGGTTTGCTGGGACGGTGCGTCTCCAAAATACCCTACCTACTCGCTCACACCGGTGCGAGCTGGACTGAATCTTGGCCTCGGCCTCCGCCTCGTGATTACTGGGCGTTCAGGCATACGGCGCCGTGCCGGGCATCCCCTGGTGCTTCCTGCGGGACAGCGAGTGGTGGTCGTGGGGGCTCTTCTACTTTCCTGGTACGCGCTGTTTCCGTCTCTTGCCCCAACGCATCGTAAACTGCATCGACTGATGGCTCTCTGTCGGTCGTGCGTGTAGTGGCAATCTTCCTGATCATCGGGACCATCGCCATGACTTTCTCAGTGTATCGGTTCATCAAGGTCGCCATCTCTATGTCTGTGTGACCGAAGCCAGCGTTGACTGACAAGATTGCATGCGGCAGGTTCGGTTCCGTTTCCTTGGCCGGTCGGGCGAGTCCATAGAGCAGGTGCGTAGGGCACCCGCCAATCGAGATCACGTCAGCAAACTGTGTTAGGCCGTGCATCCGCTGATGATCTGGGCGCAGGTGGTGCGGCTGCTGTTGCTGCTGCTAGTCTACTGGATGGTGCTGATCTACCCCTGGGGCTTCCGAATCTACTCTCGCGTGATCGAAGGTATCGTATAAGCATTTTCATGCTCGATCGCCTTCACTATCTGTGATGAAGCCCTAACGATCTTGGTCTTCCGCCTCTTTGCCAGACGACATTGCGGACGCATTTGAAAAGCAGATAAGATGCAGTGCCGCCACAGGGACTCAATGGTAACGAGCAGCGCTCATACACGCCAGCAGTCTTACTGACAACATCACACGGAAAACGGTTGTGCAGTGAGCTGGAAGAGCGGCTTAACATTGGCGCGTGGTACCTGGTGCAAATTGCATTTGGTGCTGGAGGGTTTGCGATGTTCATGTGTTGCTGTTCTTCTGTACGTTAGGCTCCCTTGATTTCAGTCGCATGGCTACACAATATGTATGTTTACACTCTCAGAGTGCAGGAGGTGCTAAGGCTTTGGTGGAACATCAACAAGATTATATTCACCCATTCCTTTAGGGACAGTCTGGTGGAGATCAGGGTATGTGTACACGCCACCATGTAGCTCCCAGAACTAACACTATGTTGCAGCATCTTGTGGTAGGTGGGGAGAGTGGATGGGAATCCCAACCAACAGAGTCATCAACAAAGGAGAGCAAATCACTGTATGCCTGCCTTCAGTTGGTCATATTCTCACCAGGTTGGTTCCTAACACAGTCCTTGGCAGTGGCAGTAGCCCATCAACAGTGCAACACAGCTCAACAAATGAGGATGATCAACTTTAGGCAGTTACCAAGGAGATTGATGTAAGATGTGTGCGGCAGTAAAATAGAAACCAAAACAAAAGGGGAGATCGACATTGGCAGGATTCGAACCTGCGCGGGGAAACCCCACCTCGTTAGCAGCGAGGCACCTTAACCACTCGGCCACAATGTCTTACGCTTGCACATTCGGCCGTCCGCCGCCCGGCCCACCCAGGTCGCTCGGTGCACCGCAACAGGAGGCGGTCGGCCAAAAAGATATGCATCCGCCGGGAATTGAACCCGGGTCTCCCGCGTGGCAGGCGGAAATCTTGCCACTGGACCACGGATGCTTGTTCTGCCGGAGCTTCAACAGTTCCTTGTTGGCCATGGCTAGCATATTTCAAGATGGCAGGGTGAGTTGCATGTGACATGTACATGACAACAAAAATTGTAAAACCATACACTTACAATCCAGAAAATCTGAACCTACCTTGTTTTGCTCAAGATGCACCTTGCCTTTGCTTTCATTCCCTCCATCAAGAATGAAGTTCAGTCCATGTGTGCAACTGACTGAATATGGTGTGAGGTTGACCATGAACTGGATGTGAGAGTGGCATGATGGCCACTGATTAAGGAATTCACATTTGTGCTGAATTGGCACAGATTCCCACAGATAAAATTTCACCACAACAAAGCTCCATCTCACACTGATAAAATCACTTTTAACTCCACACATTCCAAGTTTTTAAGAAATCTTTTTCATCCCAAGACCCTCAATAACACTTATCAGCAGTGGTTTGGCATGTCAATTTCACACATGCAGATCCACATCTTCAAAACTGCCCCATAAATCAAAAATGTCAAATCTCACACAATTTTGTGATCTCTCATTTCAAAAGACCACAAGTTCTATGCCAACAACTTGTTGAGCAGCTTATGGGGGTCTGTAGCTCAATGTCCATTTGATGGATCTTGAGGTTCCCTCCATTTGCAATCATGAGTGTGAGTTTGAAGGTTTGTTCCAAGTGATTAACATGGTGTTCATGAAAAGGACAGTGTACCTTTTTCATGAAGGCAGAAAAAGAGAAAAAAATCTCTGTACAGAGGAATTTGTAACCAATTTGCTAATTTGACCACAAAACCCCCTTGACAAACATGGTGGGGCCATGGCACCCAGATGAAGAAAAAATTTACCAAAAGAATAGCACGCTGTCTTGAAAGAGAGAACGCAGTAAGGCATTGGGCAAGTGCGCTAAAATTGCCAAAGCTCAAAGGCGTGTGTAATCCAATGACGATTTTCATGATGCGGGCTCATCCTTCGCAAGAAGAACAAGCATCCGTGGTCCAGTGGCAAGATTTCCGCCTGCCACGCGGGAGACCCGGGTTCAATTCCCGGCGGATGCATATCTTTTTGGCCGACCGCCTCCTGTTGCGGTGCACCGAGCGACCTGGGTGGGCCGGGCGGCGGACGGCCGAATGTGCAAGCGTAAGACATTGTGGCCGAGTGGTTAAGGTGCCTCGCTGCTAACGAGGTGGGGTTTCCCCGCGCAGGTTCGAATCCTGCCAATGTCGATCTCCTCTTTTGTTTTGGTTTCTATTTTTGTGATTTGCTACGTCGCTTGGGGGTGCTGGTGGGGGTCATGTGCGTCTGGAACAAGTCCTCAGCCACTTCACCAGTGAGCGGTGAATATGAAAGGCGCTGAATCACAAATCAATAGCCTGTCACAAAAATAAATTAATCTAGAACTTGTAAAAACTTGAAGTAAAGATGAGAAACTAATTGCAACACTTGTTGAGACTGGCTCGTTTGGTGAGTACTCATGAGCGATTAGCGAAACGAATCCTCTACTCGCGTTCCACCATGGCATCGTTGTGTGCCATCTCGGAATACAGGTCCATTTCCCCTACCGTTTCCTTGTTTCCGTTCGGAAATGTGGCGTGGAATAGCCTTCTTAAAAGACAAATAACCCTAATTCCCGGTTAAAGCGTAGGGAGAGCGACGAGTGTGGTCCTTTTTTCTTTCTCCCTCTCTTGCATCGGCATCCCCCCTTCTCCGTCATGGCTGAGTGCACCATCCGTACCAGGAAGTTCATGAACAACCGCCTCCTCCAGAGGAAGCAGTTCGTACGTGCCCCCCGCCTTGATCTCCGCTGTTGATTGTTGCCCATTTGATGCCGCATCCCCAAATTCAAGTTGAGATGGAGCCAAGGCTAACGAGGTTCTGCTCAATTGTCGCTATAGATCATCGATGTGATCCACCAGGGTCGCCCCAACGTCTCCAAGGCTGAGCTCAAGGAGAAGATCGGTAAGATGTACAAGGTCAAGGATGCCCAGGCTGTGTTCCTCTTCGGCTTCAAGACCCAGTTCGGTGGCGGCAAGAGCTCCGGCTTCGGTCTCATCTACGACAACCTCACCGTTGCCAAGAAGTTCGAGCCCAAGTACCGCCTCGTCAGGGTAGGCTATCACCATTCTCTTTCCGCTTTCATCTCCCAGATCTCCATTCTCACCACGTTGTCGCCATGTGCAGAACGGTCTTGCCACCAGGGAGGCCTCCACGAGGAAGCAGAGGAAGGAAAGGAAGAACCGAGCCAAGAAGGTGCGCGGTACCAAGAAGGCCAAGCTCCCCGGCAAGGCCAAGTAAGCTGCCAATCGTCGATCACAGCGAAGCTTATAAAGCTCTTTGTTATCCCATCATCCCCATTCTCTGTCCAAACTCTCGTGCTCCTCTACCTTCCTTCCGGCGGAGAGAGCCAATTAAAACACAAATTACAAAAACTTGTTTTTTGATTTATTGTTCCCATCAAGCGAAAAGACCCCTCATCTCCAATTTGGCGCATCTTGGGCAATTCATTTACTGGCTCACGTGAATAAATATAACACCTTGGCAGAAGGAGAGGAAGAGGGAGGAGTCGAAGAAGCACACAAACAGAAGGGAACGAGAAGAGTGAAGGAGAACGCAAAGGAGAAGGGGCGGGTCTGAGCAGTCGGGCGGCTACACTTCGTAGCGGTACTTGGCGGAAGACGAAGACTGCGTCTTCATGGAATCGGAGTGCACCTGGTACCCCACAACCGAGCCGGCGGGCATCTCCAGCGTACGCTTGAGCTGCATTCTGTTTGGCACAGCACGACAGGAGAGGAAATGGGATGAGCAACCACCGCCTCAACACAGCCTCGCCAACCCAGAAGGCACAAGAACACGCACAAAAGAGAGGACGAGGAGAAGCCACAAAGCAACCACAGAGCATTGAGAATGCAAATGCGTGCGTACCCGATCGACCTCACAGCCGCCTCCTTGGAGGCAGTCCTCGTCCAGATGGCAATTCTGTCCTGAGCCTTTCTGATGCTCACAACACAACCGCACACCTCCTCTTCCTCCTCGAACGCCTCACCGATGCAGGCAAGGATCTGGGGGCAGGAGAGGGGTTGCGCAAGGATCATTAGTGTTGAAAATGCATGCTAACAACACAGCGGAAGAGAATGCGCACCGTGTAAAGCCAGAGCTTGTCCAGTTTCTCCTTCCTCTGCTTGTTGCTGAAGGTCACCACCCACTGGCCTCCCCTGGTGTTGGCGGCGTCCTCCCACTTGGGCTCGATGCCGGCCTTGAACAGATGGTAGTTGCTGCCATGCTCCAGGCGGCTCGCAGGCATCACGTTGTTGTAGAGTCTGCACGAAATAGAGGCGTTAACATAGCGGCAGCGAGGCCTTGCCTCTCATCTACAGCACAAAGGCCTCATAAAGGCGTAGCAATGACGTACCTCCAAAAATCTTCGACCTACACGAGAGGATGCAATGGGGGGGGGCAAAGTGTTAGTAAGAAGTTACAAGAAATGAGGAAATTCAGAGAAGTTTGCCCGAAGGAGATTGGAAAGTAGAGGCAGCGGATGGGCTGATTCGGCACTGGTAAGGGGTCCACGTACCGTATCGAATTCAACAACGTGCTTGAGGTGGTTGCCCCAGGTGTCGGCAGAGGTTCTCTTCCTCGGGTTATCGTACCAGAGGCTCCACCGATTCTGCAGGGGATGTTTGATTTCGAAATTGGTGGGGTCCGCAGCGTAGGCCGAGGGATCCTGCGCTGGGGCAGGCGAGGGCAGAAGCCCTCCAGCCTCATCTGTGGTTGCGGCCTCGGCCTCTGTCGATTGCTCAGCGCCAGCATCAGCCGCATCGGTGGTCTCACCGCTGGCTGGCTTGGTGCTTGGCCGTCCCTCATCTGAGGGTTGGGTCTTCTCCTCTCCTCCTTCAGTCGAAACCTTGAGCTCGCTCAGGTTGGTCGCTACGTTGTCGATCTGCTGCTCCACGGGCTTGTTTTCAGTCTATAAATACGGAGCATTAGCGATCAATTTAGCCGCCGCAGAGGAGATGCTGCTGCACATCAAGTGCGGCTTGATATAAAAAGAAGTCACCTTCTCCGCTGTATCCACCTCAGCGGAGAAGGAGAAAACACTGGTGCTTGGCAAGATGATGGAAAAGATGATGATTAAGTGGAATATATGGAAAATGCGCCACTGCCATCGCGGCGTACCTCCATGTTGATGTTCGAGAAAGATACTTGATGAAAGCTTGTGATGAGGAGGCGGTCGACGAGTTCGTTCGATCTAAGACCGCTGTGTGTTGTGGGATGTTCGTTTGTACGGGATTGTTTGAGAAAGAAATGGGCTGTATTTTTGAATCGACTTTTTCTTTTATCATTTTATGTCGACAACCCAACTCGCGATTGTTCTCTCTGAAGCCTTTCTCAGGAGGAGCGTGGACGCCACAGCACGATCTTTAGAGCTCCTTGTGCAGGCTTGAGGCGGGTGACAGACACTGCCTGCCTCTCAGCATTCACGTGGAGATGAAATAAACAACAAAGTCCATTTTCCTGGCAGCTTTCACTCTCGACGGGGAGAGGTAGATGGATCAACGCCCGAATGCCTTGGTTTTGAGGCAGATCGATTCGATAGCGTTGTAGCGTTACCACCCACCCGGGTTAGGGGAGTGTGGCATAATGACACATCAGCATTTCCTAAAATTTTCTCTGCGTCGCCTTGGCTGTTGTCAACTCCGGGCGAGCATAAAGGCGCGGAGCGCACAAACTTGTTCTTTCCCTCTGTCCAGAGCGGAGGAAGGCAGCCAGCTTCAGCAGCATCTCACAACCATCTCGATTGCTTGACGAGCTACACAGATTTACACCATGGTCAAGTATGTGCTGGTTACGGGCGGTGTTCTCTCCGGTCTGGGCAAGGGCGTAATCTCGAGCTCCACGGGCGTCATTCTCCGCTCGTTGGGCTTCCGGGTTACTGCGATCAAGATCGACCCCTACATCAACATCGATGCTGGCACCATGTCCCCGTTCGAGCACGGTGAGGTGCGTGACCGTTCCGCAACTTTTGAGATTGAGATGAAAAACAACATCATTTTTATTTTTATTTTCCGGTAAAGATTTGAATACGTCCCGCTTTATTTTTCAAAGTGAGCTGAACGTATGCCACGTCGTGGTGCTGTAGGTGTTTGTTCTTGATGACGGCGGTGAAGCTGATCTTGATCTGGGCAACTACGAGCGCTTCATGGATCTCACGCTCAACCGCGACAACAACATTACCACTGGCAAGATCTACCACCACGTTATTGAGAAGGTACACCACCATCGTTTTTTTGTATAAATAACGATGCTAATACATTCTATTCTATTGGGTGCAGGAGCGCAAGGGCGGTTTTCTGGGCAAGACAGTGCAGGTGGTGCCCCACATCACCGATGCCATCCAGGAGTGGGTAGAGCGTGTGGCCTCCATTGGCGTTGACGGGAACCCCGCTCCTCCCGATATCTGCATCATCGAGCTCGGCGGCACCAGTACGCCTCCCGTCCTCCCTCCCTCCTACACATCACAGCTGTGCCACCGGTGGCTTCAAACATTGGTTGACCGGAGCGGGTGGTTGCAGTCGGAGACATCGAGCACGGTCCGTTCATCGAGGCCATGCGGCAGTTCCAATGGCGCGTGGGCAAGGAGAACTTCTGCAACATTCACGTGTCCCTGGTGCCCGTCGTCGGCGCCGTAGGCGAGCAGAAGACCAAGCCCACCCAGGTGAGCACATGACAACCAGGTGGCGTTGTTGTTGTTGATGACTCACACAGCCGGTCACTGCTACCCTCCCCCATACAGGCGTCCGTGCGCGAATTGCGAGCGCTCGGTCTGTCGCCTGACATGATCGTGTGCCGCAGCTCGGTGCCCGTCGCGCCCGAAGTGTGCACCAAGGTGGCCTCCTTCTGCCACGTCGCTCCCAACTCCGTCATCTCCGTCCACGACGTTTCCAACCTCTACCGGTGCGCGCCTGTCTCGTTATGCCGTTTTCTTTATTATGCCAATCCAATAGATCTTACACTTATTCATTCTTTCTTCGCCGCTTTCGCAGAGTGCCGCTGTTGCTCATGTCGCAGGGTCTGCCCGGCATCATCCTGTCCAAGTTCGGTCTGAACTCGCCCAGGAAGGTGGCCAGGATGACCTCGTGGGAGCGGGTCGCGCAGGAGGTCGACGACCTCAACGGGGCAGACCCGGCCAAGGCCGTGCACATCGCCGTAGTGGGCAAGTACACGCACCTATCCGACGCCTACCTGTCCGTCATCCGCGCGCTCCAGCACTCCGCCCAGTTCGTCCACCGCAAGCTGGCGATCGATTGGATCGAATCTCTCTATCTCGAGGATGCCGCCAAGGTGCGTGCGGCCGGGAGCACTCAATTTATTCTTATTATTTGTATTGTTATTTGTTATTATTGTTATTATGCTATTTGTTATTATACTCGCCGTCAGTACAGCTCATCAATGATTCCTGGATCGCGGCGTGACCAGACCGAGCACCACCAAGAGTACGAGGACGCGTGGGCCAAGGTGAAGGCGGCCCACGGCCTGCTCGTGCCCGGCGGTTTTGGCGACCGTGGCGTGGAGGGCAAGATCCTCGCCGCCCAGTACGCCCGCACCAACAAGGTATGCGCTGCTGCCACTGCCGCTCTTCCGCTGCTGCTCGCGTCTCGGATGCACAGCCTCACATTCACGCACCTCTTCTCCCGTTCTGGTTGGTAGGTCCCGTACTTGGGCGTGTGCCTGGGCATGCAGGTGGCCGTCATTGAGTACGCGCGCAACGTTGTCGGCCTCCAGGATGCCAACAGCACTGAGTTTAACGAGCAGGCCACCCACCCGGTGGTCATCTTCATGCCCGAGGGCTCCAAGGTAATTACCATCACGCACTGAACATGCCACACCATATCGCACACGGTGTTCCTAACACGAAACAACTCTTCAGACTCACATGGGAGCGACCATGCGACTGGGCTCGCGCCGCACCGACTTTGTGGAGGACAAGAGCTCCGTCGTGCGACGCCTCTACGGCGGCGCAGATGGGGTGGACGAGAGGCATCGTCACCGCTACGAGGTCAACCCTGATTACATTTCGCGAATCGAGGAGAAGGGCCTCTCCTTCGTCGGCTTTGGCGACAGCAAGCTGCGAGCCGAGATCGTGGAGCTGCCCTACGCTCCCGCCGGCTCGGAGGGCGGCCACCCCTACTATGTGGGAGTGCAGTACCACCCCGAGTTCAAGACGCGCCACACGCGGCCCTCGCCGCCCTTCCTCGGTCTCATGCTCGCGGCCTCTGGTCAGCTCGAGGCCTGGCTCGACACCCACAGCGGCCAGCTGGGCAACAAGGATTCGTCCGACGAGGAGACCAGCTTTTCCTTGTAAATGAATGGGCAATCCCGTACAGCACCGGTTCTTATCTTTGCGTTACCTGCCCCAACGAATCAAAAGGATTAGGTGAAGGTCTTCCAGGAAAGACATGAAGAAGGGAAAAAACCCGGGGGGGGCAGCAAAGCGGAAGCGGCGAAGGATGGAAGTCACGCACGTACGTGGTGCGGTGGACGAGTACGAAGAGACGCTCAAGTGGCAAGCTCGAGCGCTTGCGGTGCGTACACCCCAGCTTTTGTGCTATACATGGTGGGCAGCAACATCCTTCTATTCCTGATACTTGGCCGACCTACAGAAGCAGAAGAGACAGAAGGGCAAGGTGCGCGTGCGAAACGGGGGCGACTGGGAGTGCGTGGTGTGCGGCGCCCCTCACGGGCACCGCGAACACTTGTGCGGCAACTGCGGCGCTACCCGGAGAACGGTGGAGGAGGCCAAGCTGCTCCAGGTCCTCCCGCGGCGCCCTCGCCGGTTTGACACAGCCGTCGTGCGTGGCCTGATAGCGCCGGCCGGCTGGGACGAGCTTCGGCTCCTGTGGGTTGGGGCCAGGGAACCACACAGCCCGCTGTCGAGGCTGCCCGCCGAGCTGCTTGATATGATCGCGCGCTACGCGGCCTGGCGCCCACCGAGCTGGGCAGACTCGCGGCTTCGCTGGTTCAAGGCCCGTGCGAGGTCCGATGGCGTGGTGCGGGTGCGGATGACCGATTCCTCCTCGTGCTGGGACTTCATGGACTTCTACGGGCTCGACATCGACTACACGCATGCCACCAAGCGATTTGCCGTCTTCGAGTGGCGGTTGCCCGACGGCAGCAAGCAGCGCAGGTTCACCTTCATCGGTTTTTGGTCAGACGCGGTTTTCCTGGCCAATGCTAGCCACCCGCACTGGCGGCACTGGTTCCAGACGCACATGACCCCCCAGCACCCCCAAGCGACGTAGCAAATCACAAAAATAGAAACCAAAACAAAAGGGGAGATCGACATTGGCAGGATTCGAACCTGCGCGGGGAAACCCCACCTCGTTAGCAGCGAGGCACCTTAACCACTCGGCCACAATGTCTTATGCTTGCACATTCAGCCCTCCGCTGCCCGGCCCACCCAGGTCGCTCGGTGGCAGGCCGCAGGCGAAAAAGTATGCTGCTATGCTGCTCCGGTACCGCAACAGGAGGCGGTCGGCCAAAACGATATGCATCCGCCGGGAATTGAACCCGGGTCTCCCGCGTGGCAGGCGGAAATCTTGCCACTGGACCACGGATGCTTGTTCTTCTTGCGAAGGATGAGCCCGCATCATGAAAATTGCCATGGGAGTACACACGCATTTAGCTCGGCTGATATCATGATCCACCATCAGCTCTAATGCATGCTCAGCTGAGCTCCAAGTTTCAGTGCTAGTGCAAGCGCTCTCCTCCTAGGGTCATGTTGTCCAATTTTATGAGCACCATGTGCAGGTTTGGCACACCACATTGAAGAGAGTTGGTTGTGCAGCACTATGTGGAAGGCCAAGAGTAGATCACAGTGTAGTCTGATTAGGTGAGTATGAAACATGACAAATGTACATTCTCTTTACCTGGCAGCAAAAAACTTGCAACCACCTGAAACTCACTATCATCACATGTGGCCAGGATTATGGGAGCGCGTATGAGCAGTGGAACGGAAGCCAATGTTCTCCGCCATCCGCCGGTTCTCCTCAAAGGCTCGTCGGCGTGTGGCCTGAGATGAAACCGCAGTCATCAGGAAGCCATTGGTTGCTGCTTCGACCTTGGCCGCCTGACATGGAAAAGGCAAGGGTGACTATTGCGTGTTGCGTGTGTGCGAGTTGCAGGACATGAATTGTGGATGCCCACCCCGGCCGACGTACCTCCTTGGCCATGTTGGTGCGCATGCGCTTTTCGGCCCTCTTTTGCACCTCCTTCTGCTCTTCGAGGTCCTCGAAGCGCTGAAGCATGTCATTTAGCCTGTTGCGAGCAGAGGCTTGGCCGCCTGCCGCAGGTGGAGCTTCCTCCCTCTTTCTCTTTCCGCCTGCAATGTTGGGTTGCTGCTGTGGCTGTTGAGCGCGAAATGAAGAGCGTACGTGTGAGATGCTGCTCATGTACAAACCACACATGAACACACTAACAGGTGCGCACGCACATGCACGCGCACCAGTCCTTTTACCTTCGGCATCACTATGTCAGGCGTGATGTCGACGTCCTCTTCATCCTCGGGTGCCCTCTTTCTCCTTCGTACGCGGGTAGCGATGGAGGCTTCACCGAGGAATAGCCTGTCCCAGTCCTCCGCGAGCACCTTGCCCTTGGTCTGCAGCCACCGCTCCTGCTTGGCCTTCCAGTCCTTCTCCCACTTCCTCAACTCGACGATCCACGAGGCCCTGCCGGCAGCGGCACACACCGCACAATCACAAGTATGTCGTGTGCGTGAGTCGAGACGCACCCTAATCCAGTGCAGAGTTTGTAGGCTCACACGCACCTGGTCTTGACGTATTTGTCCTTCCATTCAAAGTGGGGATCGTTGTAGTCCTTGCCGATCATCTTAATGGCCTTGTCGACGTCGAATCCGCGCGTGATCATCCACGCAAGGAACATGGTGGGCGAACTACAGAGCAGCAGAGCAGCAGAGAAGAAGAAGAACCAAAAAAACAAACGAACAACCAAGGTGAGTCGATGTTTGGAATCACAACGCCCCGCTCACCTCGTCGTGTGTCATCACGTACCGTCGCTGGCCTTCTTTGCAGTGGACGATCACGTTGCCGTTGTCAATGGCCTTGTCGATGAACGTTGTTGACTGAAGGGACGGGAGCGTGAGCCGAAAGGGTCAACATCCGAAAAATAGTGGCAACTGGCTGGGGTACCTCCTCAAGGACATTGAAGGCGCCATAGTCAGCCAGCAGAGCCGGGTTCTGAAGATCGGGTATGTTGAGGTGGTGATAGACCACGCCACTCGTCGCTGCGCTCTGCACTCGTGTTACATATGGTGAATGATTGCACTCACACACTACACCCACAGGTGAGAGGTCTTCCACGCAAGAAGCAAACCTTGTGCATGTGCTTGCCCTGGAGAAAGGCTTTCTGCGCGAGCTCGTACGTGCCGTCGACCTTGTCGAACTCGATGACCGACAGCACGGCCCTGATGTTGTGCTGTGTAAGGTGCGTCGAGCCGGGAATGGCAACTGGGAAGTTGCTCAAGAAGAGAGTGTTCCCGGTCTTCGGGTCCTTGAGGCTATACAACAGCTTGGCTGGGTGGGAGGCAAGCAACAAAGGATTATAATCTCGCAGGGCATTCGGAAGAGATTATGGGGGGGGGTACCGCGCAGCTTGGGCTTGATCTTGGCGAGGGGGTGAGGATGGGAGACCTCTTCGCCAAGCAGGCATTCTTCGCACGCATCGAAATCGCCGCAGGTGGCGCAGTGGTAGCGCACCTCACGCTCGGGATCAATCAAAATCTGGCAACCGTCGCAGCAAAACTCGACCACTGGTAGGTCCCATAAAGCACAAACGTGAGATTTCATTCACGTTACTTGACAAGATGGGGTGGGTACCTTCTTCATCGCCTAATCTCAGTAATTTTAATTAAGCGAAGACGATTACGTGGATCAGCAAGCTTGCAATCTCAAGGGAAGAAGAAGGCAGTACCTTGATCGTGATGCATTCTCGAAATGAAGAGTAATTGTCTCTTGAATCAAGTCCTCTTCCGCAGTTTCGATTCCGTTGGGCAGCGTTTTGAGCTTCGCGCCAAAAAAGAGCAACGGCAACAAGGACTTGCGTTCGCGTAATTCGTAACAAGAGGTGGCGCAGCCCACTCGCAGTAGCGGGGAACAGACTAGCGGCGACCAACTACGGAGGACGGCCCAAAGAAGACAGCGTACCTGGGTGAATGGCTGAGTGTCCTGTGGTCTGGGCGCGCTCGCATCTTCTGAAAAGCTCGGCGTAGTTGAGTTGTTGGCCGTCTTGACCAACGCAGGCGGAGAGATGTCGCTGCAGGTGGAGTTGGCGAGCCATTCCCACCAGGAATAGCAGCGACCGTTCACAAAGTGGTAATTGAACACGGGCGTACCATCAGCTGTCTCCCGTGTAGACGGAGACGTAGAAGGCCAAAGACACCTCTGAACACGACACAAAACTTGCACCGCCGAGCGGCCACAACGCGTGCGAAAAAGAGCAGTAACAAAACGCTCTAGTGTGCCACTGGAGAACAAAAAGAATACAAACCCCCCGCCCACGGGCGTGCCTCACTTGTCGCCCAGCTGCGCCCGGCCATACTCGACAAACTCGTCGATCAGCACCGGCCAGGCCTCTGCACAGACAGGAAATCGTCACATGGTGAACAAAGCAGCACGGAAGCGCACCACTGGAGCATGGAAGTGATCCTGTTACCTTCGGCATTGTAGTTGGACATGTCCTTGTCGATCATGTTGGCAAAATCGAGGAGGAGAGCCCACTCGTCCTTGGAGATGGAGTGTTTACGGTTCTTCTGTAACGCAGGTCGTTAGCGAGAGCACGCACCACCGCACACAGGCGCAACACACGAAATAGATTTGTAACACTGACCTGCAGGAACTCAATCCACATGTCCAGGAAGTGAAACTTGTCCTTAAGAATGAGCTTCCAAAGCTCAATCGCCATGTTCAAATCTGTCACGGACAAAGAAGATGCTGTCAGGGTCACAGTCTCAAGCATCTAGCTATGCAGTAAAGAATAAGATCAGCTGACGGGTGTCCGCACCAAGTCCCTTCGACCTTGTGTCCTTGCCGTAGGCGAAGACGAAGTTGTAGAACTCCTTGAAGTTGTGCGGCTCCTGGAGGAGGGCCTTGAAGGCAGGCACCTTCTCCTTGAGCTTGGGGATATCGTCGCACCTGTTGCCGATGGGGTACCGCCGTTAGGGTCAGTGCAAAGACAGCAAACCAAGCGAACATGCGTGCCTAAGGAGGGAAGGAGACATACTTCCAGTAGGTGAGGCCCTCCTTCCACTCATCTCGGGTAAACTCATTCAGAACGGAAGCCTTGAACTGCCAGGCGATGATGAGTGTGACGAGCTCCTCGGGATCAACGCCAAGATCAGCGAAGAACCGCTCCATGCCTCCCTCACTGCCGATCACATCGGAATCAGGGTCTACGAGGCCATATGGAGGTAAGAGCATGAAGTGACAGCACAGCACAGCAGCACATGAGCACCACCACGCGAGCTGCAAGACAAAGAAAGACGAGCAAGGCTGATCGAATGCATAAGCAGGATTAGGGTGACCTACCGCGATAGGTCTCGAAGAGGGAGTCGATCTTGGCCGGGTCGACAGGACCCGACGCCTTCTTGCCCGCGGCAGCCTTGGTCTTGACAGCAAACGCGTCAGGGTTGGCGAAGTAATTGTCACAAGCTACCTCCAGATTCCATTCAAACTGCTTCAGGGCATTGATGGCCACATCTTCACTGAAATTTGTGTGGGCACCACATTCAACGGGAGGGTTGCACAATTGAGATCGCTGTTGTTGGGGAGGGCAGGGCGACAGGACGTACCAGGAAGTGGTGAAGACCACGAAATTCCTGACCTTCTCCTTTTGTGCTGAGTTGAGGGTGTTCTGAGGCGGAGATGCATGCAATTAAATGGAAATTGAGCGCGAATCATCAGCTACGAATACCACTCACGCTCAAAGCAACCAAGCGAAGAGAGAGCACTGGATTGCCTGGTACCATTATGCCCAGAATTGATCCTCAATTCGATGCGCAGGCCGTGAGCAAGACAAAAATTTGGGTGTCTACAAATTGTCAATTTGGCGCGAACCAACATTTCGCCAAATATCTGAACAAAAGAGATAAATAGTTAGCTGGGAATAAATACGAACGAGGAAAACGACAACGAAGACGCCAGCAGTACAATGGAAGAGAGAGGCAATGGCGGACGCAAATCCTTCGCTGCCTCACTCGAAATTGATGTCCCGCACGGTGACCAGCTGCAGCGATCAGAAGTCTCTGTAGAGGACGAGAGCAATCAATCAGACGACCGTTCTGGTGAGCCACAACTGCCTCCTTTCTCTCCTCCTTCTCCTTTGCCCCCTCCTCCTTCGCCTTCCTCCGCCAGCCCCTTCCTTCCTCGGCCGACCACACCCACAGCGCCTTCATTCTCGACGAGAAAATCATCAATGTCACAAGTTCGAGCGTCGCTGGAGGTGACCATCGAAGGCGGCGACACCCACATACTTTCCAAACGCATCGCCACACCGCGCAAGCTCACCGCCCCACGAGGTGCGCCCACCCTACCCTATTTGTGCCTGGCTTACACGCAAATATTGATATTAATAATACGTGAACTGAACCTTAAATTGGGCTCTCTCTTCGTTTCCACGTCGTACTCCAGCGGCTGGTGACAGTGTAAACTACCGCGATGAGATCCTGCGAGAGGTACCGCCAGTTTGTGTGTTGGGTTCGATGTGCAGGGCAGCACTCACACGGCTTTTCGCGCATCAGATTGTGAGCACAGAGCGAGCTTACGTCGACGGGCTAGGGATCCTCATCAACGTACATTCTCTCCAGTCTCTCCTGAGCACCTTCATCGCTGACGGCCTCAACACTCACTTATCTCTCGTGCTTGTGTTCCCTGTGTGCGCGCACAGCATTTTTTGATCCCGCTGCGGGATGAAGGCTGCGTGACGAAAGAGGACATCATTCATCTGTTTGCCAACGTGGAGGTGCTGGTTAAGGTGAACCAGGAGCTTCTCGATGGTCTCGAGAGGCGAACCGAGGAGTGGGACCCCAACTCCTGCATCGGCGACTTCTTCCTTCGCCTCGCCTCCTTTTTCAAGTTATACACCGGTTTGCCTTTCCGCCTTCCGCAATGGTGTGTGTGTGTGTGTGTGTGTGCGCGCGCGCGTGCGTGTGTGTGTGCGTGCGTGCTTTTCGTGCTCACTACACCCCACTCCCGCGCTCGGCCAGTCTATTGCAAAAACTACGAGCTAGCGGTGCAGACGATGGTCAGGTGTAAAGAGAACCCTCACTTTGCCGAATTTTTGCAAGAGCGCGAGTTCACTCCCGAAGCGAAGGGTCTGGACCTCGGCGCATTTCTCATCATGCCCATCCAGGTACCGTTTCCTTGCCTATCCCCCTCTCTCAGCCACACTGACCTTCAGTTGCTGTTGCGATTCCCCATTGCAGCGAATACCGCGATACGTTCTGCTTTTGAAAGATTTCCTCAAGTACACGCCCAAACGACATCCAGGTGCGTCGGCGTCTTGCCGAGATGACGCCCTTCAAGTTTGGCTCACCATTGCAACTGTTGGTGTCGTGCAGATTATGCCGATATCAACAAAGCGCTGGCCGAGTTTCAAGAGGTGGCAGTACACGTGAATGATTCCATGCGCCGGGCCGACGAGATGTACGGTGCCTCAATTTACCACCCCTGTATATTTTGCTTATACATTTGTTTATTTCTATATAGTACTATATAATGGCTTAGTTTGCTCAAGTTTTAATTGCTATTGTTGTATTATTTGTTTCTTTATTTTTCCTTCCTCAGCCCAAGAGAGAGACCAAGCGCTCAAGGACCTTTATATCTGATGTCGCAACGTGTTTATTATGTTAATATTATTGCCACATATATTGCCTTATCTTGCCGCCTACAGCAAAACGATTGTGGAAATTCAGTACAAGTTTGGTTCGCAGCACACCGTACGTCCCATCCCTGTGCGCGCTGAGTTGGGTGTTTGCCTGTTGCCGCTCAACAGAGATCGTTCTCCACACACCGCAGATTGTGACGCCCACCAGGCGTTTCGTGAAGCAAGGCAAGCTGGTCAAAATCACCTCGCGCTTCGTCAAGGAAACGCTGTTCTACCTGTTTAACGACGTCCTGATCTACGGCTACGAGGTGATGGGCTCGTACATCTTCAAGGGCGAGATCCCCATGGGCACAACCTGGGTTCGAGACCTACCCAACACAGAGCGTACGTTCATCATCTTAGTCATTCGGAGGTGCTGTCGCTATTGCAACACAATGCCAGCGAGAGCTCTTGCTGACCTCACGAGGCTTCGCCCGTACCGGCCGCAGTTGTCCGGAATTCGTGGCAGATCGTGGCAACGAAGAAGACCTACACGGTGTTTGCTGCTGACCCAGACGAAAAAGAGGGTTGGATGACAGCCATGAATCAGGTCATAGACGCACTCGTGGCCAAGAATCCAAGCCTGCTCGGTACGCCCCATCAGCATCAGATGCCATTGAGTGTAAGGTGCCAATTATTTTTATTTTGACGTGCAGAGCAAAGAGCGGTCATCAGCATGAAGACACGGGGCGTTATGTCTTGGATCTCCGAGTCGGTTGGCCTCACCTATGCGCCAAAGGAGGTACGCGTTGGCCAACTTTATTATTCATTTGTTTTATCTTTTAATTTATTGCGTTTGCTTTTGGTTGGCACAGTTCGACCCCACGTACGGCACTCCCCATCCGTCTGCCCGTACCACTCCCTACAATTCTGGGTTACCGACGCCCGCCACACAGCATGGCCAGGTACTTGCTTGCTTGCCCTTGGCATTCCTTCTTCGTTCTTCTACGAGACCTGACCGGTCACGTCGTGTTCATCATTAGCAGCCGGCCGAGAGTGACGAGAGTGACCCACTCCTCCTGATGCCGAGCGCCGGTGTCGGCCGAGGCCACCCGCTCTTCCACTCCTCAGCATCACCGCCCGGCGAATGCTGCACCGCCTGCGTCCTGATGTAGAGCTCTGTCCCCCCCCCCAAAGCCTCGTCTTCTTCTCTCTTTTCTCTCGCATTCGTTGTATCTTAGCGTGCAGGTACCACTGACTATTTATTACTTCCACTGTTGGCGACCACGGCACGCGCACGCGCACACACATGAGTGACTGCGGTGAGGGTAGAGGGAACCGCGTAGGGATCAGGTGGTCGGTCCTCTTGTGATCCGGGTCAATCGCCGGTGTCTGTTATCACCTTCCGTTTCGCGGTCTGGTTTTGTTTTCGATTTGGCAAGAGGACGGCGGAACATGATGGATGGAAAAGGAGATTCCAACTACGCGCGCCGCGCCAGGGCAGAGGTGGAGGCGGAGACGACAGAGCAAACAGTTGAATTGGAGACCTATGAGGATTTCAATACTTTAGCTGAGGGATCTTGCGAAGATGAACGACCGGGCAAGGACGGTGGCGGAGGAAAGCAAACAAAGGGGAAAGTGCGTGTTGTGGAAGGAGAAGATGAGGACGAGTGGTTTCTTGAGGGGGGCGAGATCTGCGACGACGATGCCATGCAAGATTACTCGGCAGTAGAGGCCGACAACAACCTGTGCTGCTTTGATGGCGGCCGACGCAGACGAACGAGCGTTCCCATGTGCTTCTACTTCGTGCCATTCTGCCTGCCGGTCTACATCTCTCCCGTCTTTCTAAACTATGTCTCGTGGGGCCTTCGATCTGCCATCGCCGCCACGGGTGCAGCTGCCATCAGCATTTACCCTTCCATGCCTTCGCGTACGTCCCGTCGCCGTCAGCCCCCCCCCTCTCTTTCTGTCTGACGGCCTCAAGCCTGCTCCTTCTTCTTTCGTTTGGATTGATGCAGTGTTGTCGGCGGCGTTGTTCATTGCTCCCATCACGGCTGTCTTTGCGTCAGCACCCACACTGGGACGAACGCTCAACTTATCCTGGGCTATCATGGCGTACCCTCACCCAGAATTGTCGTGTGTGTGGTGTGTGGTGTGGTGCGTGTGCGTCATTCAATTGACGCCGCATTGCTGATGCACTACCCTTGCCAGTGGATCTACAGTGGGTGCCCTCCTCAGTTTGGCGTTGCTGGCGGTGCTGGGCCAGACCGAGACCTGGTGGTTGGCCATTGGTCTCTTCTGCATGTGCTGGCTGTGCAGCTACCCTATCTACCATCCCATTGGTACAAACACCCGCATTGAAGTTGATGGCGACTTCACATTCATCTTGCGCTGACCCTGGTGGTGACCCGCATACCACCCCAACAGCATTCAAGATGAACACGGTGGTTGTAGCGGTGGTGGTGCTCTTCTACATCCAAATACCGGGCCTGGATTGGGTTCTCTTTCCGTTCTACGCCGTGGCGGCTATGGGCATCGGCTGTGGCTGTGGGGTTGTCATGCAGATCCTGCCCTGGCCAACGCGTGGCAGCAAGGAGCTTCTGGAGGCTCTCGGTGCCGCACCCCAATCCCACCTAGTGCTCATTCACATCGTGCTATCACTCACGCGCAAACTTTTCTGTGGACCGCGCACCACACACACAGGGCTCAGCTTGAACGCCGCTTCCAGAGGAGTACAATGCGCCATTGGTCACTTCACCGCCAACGAAAAGCACGATGTTGAGCGTCTGTATCTCAGTGAGAAGGCGCAGCTGATGACCCAGAAGATTGTGGAGAACATTGCCATCGCCAAAGCAGTATGTTACGCCGCATTGCTACTGTTCGAGTCCGAAGCTGACTAAGGCCTTTTACCCGCGGCATGCTCATGGACAGCGATATGAAGATGCGCAGTGGGAGCATGGCCTCATGTCCAACCCCGGGTTCGTCAAGTACATTCAGACGCTCGAGGCCATGACTGAAGCCATGGAAGGTACACTCACGACAACGTCGTCATGCTTCATTTCCTCTACTCAAATTAATTGATTCACTGTTGGCCTAACTATATTCGAGGCCTCTGACCTGACTTGCCTTCGTGCTTACAGGCATGTACCGATGCTCAATGGCGGCAGAGCCAGGGTACTACCACGACAACTTCGTGGCGCATCTGCGAGCCTCGTTCGGTCGTCTCAGCGAAGCCATGGCACTCACCCTCGACACGTTCTCCCACAAGATCATGAACAAACAGAGTGCGCGCTTCTCCTCCTCCTTCACCCTCGCACCTGTGGTTCTGGCCCAGCTCCCCCCCATACAAGGCTGGCTGACGCCTGGTTTACTGTGTGCGCAGTTGGCTTGAGCTCAATCCGCCGCCAGTATCGCCACAAGAAAATGATGAGGAAGGAGAAGGAAAGGAAAAAGGCCACGAATAGTAGAGACAGACCCAAGCAGGAGGAGGTCAACAACGACGACGGCGACGGCGACGGTGATAAGGAGTCGATAGACGACAAGGACCTCGACATCGTTGCCCGGATGGACGACATTCTCAAGACCTACGAGCGTACTCGGCGGCAGTGGTTCTGGCACAACTCCTCTGAGAGCACCAAGAACTTGACCAACTTCAACATGAAGGGTATGCGGCCTTCTTGCAGCCATTCTATTCTGCTCGTTCACACAATGCCTCGGCCTCTCTCTCTCTCCTCCCCCCCTCTCCACACAGAGGTGTTACCACTGGCAGCGTTCATTTTCTACCTCAAGACGTTCATTGGGCTGATGAAGAGCCTTGAAGAGGTCAAGCCACACTGGGTTGTTGACTTCAATTTCGTCCTCACAGTCTTCCCGCTCGACATCTTACGCGGTACGCACCACCTTCTCACGTTCTCCTGGAGCAATGCAGGCCTCTGCTGCGCGCCACACTCGATCATTCCGTTCACACACACTTCTGGAAAATAACCACAGATATCGTGCTGTGGCTTGCCGGCCTGCCGAAGCGGCTTAGCAAGTACGCTCAGGATTCGCGCCAAGGCGGACGCTTTGCTTTCCTCTCCATTCCGGCCAAATGCTCCATCGCTTGGCTTCGCTCAGACAAAGTCATTTGTATGCCTCTTTTCTATTGCCTTCGAACATTTAAACATTTATACGCAAACTGACATATTGATATCGCCAGGGGCCACGCAGATGTCAGTTGCAATCAGCGTGGCATCCATCCTGGTCTTCTCGTCAGCCATACGCGAGTGGTTTCCGTACGTTGGGTCCATGTTGTGCTGATTGTGACAACACTATTGCTCGACGCATCAACAATGACAGACTTCTGACATTTTTGCCGGTTGATCAGGTACGGCTACTGGGCGGTGCTCACCGTGTGCCTGGTGATGGACCGTAAGCAGGGGTTTTCGTTCCGTCAGACCGGCCTGAGGATATTGGGTCCGTCCGCCGACCTTCTTCTTCTTCTTCTTCTTCTTCACTGTCGTGCCCACGTCCTGCTGCTCACATTTATTCAATTCCACCCGGGGGGGGGCAGGCACGGTGCTGGGAGCGACAGCAGGCTATCTTGGAGTGCACATCTCAGCGGAGAACGGGTTGGGCATTCTGGCCTTCTTCTTCGTGTGGATCAACATCTGCAGCTACGCGCGGGGATCGGTCAAATCGCTCGACTACCCGGGTGCAGTGGCTGCCTACACCATGGGCCTGGTCATGATCGTCGCCAAGCAGCCGCAGACGACCTCGGCCGAGCTACTTGCCCTGGGCCGCATTGAGTCCAATTTCCTGGGCTGCCTCGGTATCGGCTCTCTGCTCTTCTCCTCTTCTCTTTTCGCAGTTGTGCGTGGATTTGTTGCTAGCGAGTGTCTCACAAGCGTCATTTACGATTTGTGTGTGTGTGTGTGTGTGTGTAGTTATTGTCGGGATATGCCTGGTGTGGCCTGTGCGGAGCAGCAACCACCTGCGCTACTCGCTGCTACCGGGGTCCTTGACTAAGATTCGCGAGCTCAGCAGCCTCATCTTCGACTCGTTCATAACTCCGCCGGCGTCATCGCTCTGCAACTCAAGCAGTCTGTCGTCCTCTTCATCAGGGCCGCACCGGCGCAGCGGTGCGGGAGCCTCCACTTGCGCACAACCGTCAGACGAGCTATCCGACCTCGCGGGCGTGACCGGTACCACACTCGACGAAGAGGAGCAAGGCGACGAGGCCGGCGTGCTCAGCGAGCACCACCACGTACCGCCGCACCCCATGGAGACTACCACCGACGCAGCAGCCAAGGCCAAGCCTGGGGCGACCAGTCCTGCCGTGGCCATCATCAAAGGTATGCGACCGCCTTTCCCGCTTTTTAGTGCCATCATCAGCTGACACCGAGTTCCAGCCATAGGGGGTATCCTTGTGGCACAGGCCCTCCACATAGAGTCGGGCGCCCACGAGCCGCAGCTGTGGAGGTACCCTTTTCCCCTGCGTCAGACCTGCGCGCTGTCGTTGTCGTTAGATTCTCAAATGGCGGTGGCATGTTGCTTGTCTGTGGTCAGGGCTCCTTTTCCTGCGGACTCCTACAGTGTGTGCCTTGCATCGCAGAAGAAGCTGCTCAAGCAGCTCATCATTTTAGACAAGGTCATCACAAGGTACGAGGGATTCAGCTTGCAAAATAATGATTGCCGCGCCTCTTGAGGCCTCACGATTTCGCTTTGTCTTGTTCTCAGTGCCAAGCTTGAGGGGCGCGGAATCTACAACCTTCTGTTTCCGGCCCTCCTTTCGTCATTGTGCTCGATCAAGGTGGAGGTGCTGGGCTGCATGGAAGAGCTCCTGAAGCAACTCATCCCTCCCAAGAAACCTCAAAGGTTTCACTCTCATATCCCCATCATGGTGGCACATTGTTGATGTTGATGTTGTTTGTTTGTTTGTTGTTTGTTGTGTCAAGCGCAATGGACCAGCTGGAGGCGATGGAGGGTGGACAGGTGCGGACCCGCAGGCAGGTGCATTCATTTGCACCACTGCGGGCATCCATGTGCCTCCAGTCATGTGAGCGGCAGCTGCTGGCAATACTGCGACAAACCATCAAGCAGTTCTTGAAGTCACCGCCACTGCACGCTGACCACCTTCCAATCAGCAACATGGACGCGCTCAGCCTTTTCACATTCCTCTTCACTGTCCGGTGCGCCTCTCCCTCTCTTTCATGTTTGTGGCCTATTGTCAGAGTTATGAACTCAGGAGAGTTCAATGTGGCAGGGACTTCGTGGCGGAGGTGAGTGTGCTGTGGCGGGGTCTGCAACGGCTCTTACAAGTAGAGGCGCTCTACTCCAAGCAAATTGAAACCTTTACCTGGTGCCCCACTCTGGGGCACCACCTTGCTCGCATCTGACTATAGGCCTTGAGAAGCAAAACAAAGTTTCTGGAGCAATGCGCTCGTGTTCACCAGGCGGGGTTGAGGCTGGTGGTCATGTCTCGTGTTCGATCTTTGGCGGCGCCCTTGTGCTTGCCTCGGGCCTTTGATACCCGGTTGCGCGCCGACATGGTGATGCGCCCCGGGCACTGGAACAGCTTGCCCTTCTTCTCGGCGTTGTCCTGCTTCACCATCAACACTCCTGCTTCGAACAAACAAACATACCGCACGACCACCCAAGTCAGCGCAATGTGGCTCGAGTCATGGCTCGAGACATGGCTCCTGCTGAGCCAGGTCCAGCTGGACGTGCCGTAGGCTCGCTTGTCCTCCTCGCTCAGTGCGCCGATGTAGTTCCAGGCGGCTCCTTCGCTGTGTGATTCCGCGCTGTGCCCGTTCCGCATGAAGAAGCACAACCACCGCTCGGCCACGGCGCCGCGCGCGTCAGGTATGTCCAATCACTCTCGGGCAGCACCTCCATCACCTCGTCCCGACTCAGCACCACCATGCTCGGTTCTGTTGGTGCTTATACAAGCGGGACGTGAGCCAAGTGTTGCAGTTTTGTGGATGTAACCGCACACGCGTGTGTCGTGTCGTGTGTGCCGTGCGTGTACGTACTGATCTTATGAAGAAAGGCGGGTCGGGTATCGCGAGGCCTTGGGCGGGGAAACCCGGCGGTACCGCCGCACAGGTAGGTGCCCTCGGGGGTATCGTGGTACTGGGGCACCTTGTCCCGTGGACCCGCCTCCTTCTCGCGCTTTGCACTCTTGAGGTTCTTCAGCAAGCCCCATCGGCCCCGCTTGTTCAGCGACACGGTGATGGCACAGGCTCCCTCCAGTGGCGCAGACCAATAGTTCACCGCCGCTGTAGTCAAGCAGACAAGCACGATGCCAACAAGTTAGGGCCTACGATCAGTACGCCAAAACAAAACAATTCAAGAAAAAAAAGAAAAGATACTAAAAATAACGAAAACCATATTTATATTATTTAAGATACAAATAAAATAATATAAATAATATAAATAATGGTAGGTACCGGCAAGGGGAAAGATGTCTATCTCGCCTCCGGCCACGAGGTCATTGGCGCAGCGGGGGCAGTAGTGCACTCGCCCGGCCGTCCTCTTGCCCCTCTTTGCCGTCTTCACTCTCATCTTGTGCGTCTTGTTTCTTCGCTACTGTGCATTGGTGGCATTCACCGCATTGGCGCATTTAACTTCAAAGACCAATAAAAATTAAGTGAAAAAAATTTGTTGATGGTTGCACAGTAACCTGGATAAGGGCAGGCTATGCTGTGGGCGTTGGGTTGGCCGCTCGCCATTTGGCGATGGCCTGGTGGAGGGCATCGGCTGTCCACTGGTGCTCGCGGAGGGCCATGTCGAGGGTGAAGGGGCCGTGTTGCGTGCGCTCGAGCGCCGTGGTGTAGGCGCACGAGTCCAGCTTGTGGCCAATGTCCTTAAACATCATCACGGCACCCGCCACATGTGGTGTGTGTGTGTGTGTGTGTGTTGTGTGGTGTGTGGTGTGTGTGTGTGTGTGTGATGAGCGAGAGTGTGTGAGCTGAACGGGAGCGAGGACCCAACCTTGACCAAGGTGCGCACGTAGAGCCCGCCATCGGTCTTGACACGTATGGTGAAGAAGGGCGGACTAAAATCGACCAATGTCAAGGAGTGCACGAACACTTGCCGCGGTGGTATGTCCACCTCTTGCCCGCTCCTGCATTGTTCATTGTGGCGTTGTTGATGTCAGTGACCACATCACCAGCATAAGATGACATTTATTATACCTTGCGAGCTTGTAGGCCCTCACGCCGTTGACCCTCAGCGCAGAATAGGCCGGTGGCGCCTGCCATATGTTGCCCACGAACTGTTCTATTGTCTGTGTGTGGCGTCGCATCAGCATTTGATCGGTCCCTCCAAGCTATATCATGGGCTCGAGACAAATAATACCTTCTCCATCATCTCTTTCGTGATGTGGTCGCATGGTCGGTGCAGGACCTCCTTGCCCTCGGTGTCCAGTGTGTCGGTTTCAACGCCGAGCTGCCCGGTCGCCACATACTCCTACTCGCCCGTACGTCACATTGTGAGCTTCAGGTGAAGGCACGGACCACCGTTAGGTGTTACGGTGCTAACCTTGGGGCCGACGAGGTACTGCTGCAGAAGGCGGCAGCCGTCACCCACACCCAGCACTGGCGTGTGAAGAGCAGGGCGCTCAGGTTATGAGTCATAGTACGTGTGGCCAACCGGCCGGTTTGGTGGCAAGAGCAGCTACGTACCCAACACTCCAGTGGCGAAGGGGTCGAGGGTGCCTGCACGGTCCACCAACAAGTGAGCAATGCTACACATCTTTTACTGCCGCGATTTCGAAGATTAATCACCAAAAATTAAGAATCTTGGACGAGATGAGCGAGGCTGCCGGGAGAGGTACCGCCGTGGCCCACCTTGGGTTGGGGGACGCGGGTCCTTGGACGAACGTCCGCGGGATCGCGTGGTCGAAGCCCCTCAGCGCGTTTCAAGATGTCGCGCACGCGGGCCACTATGGCAAACGACGACGAACCCGCCGGCTTGTACACTGCGCACAGACCGCCTGTGAACGAGGCCTCCGACGCGGCCCTCCTCATCCCTCTCGCCATCACCGCCCTCCTCCTCATCATCTGTTCATTCGCTTTTCTTTTGCCAGCCGCGTTTGAGTTTCGTTCGTGTTTTCTTTTGTACTTTCTTCACGCTCGATCGTTGTTGGTGATAGTTGTTGGTGCCCACTGATCTTCTTCATCTCCTCGATCAGCGTGGGGTGAAGAAGCGCTGGCCGTTCTGCTCGCTCATGCGGGCATACTTCATCAGCAGCTTCTCTGCGGTCATTCCGGGCTCCACGAGGTCCCTGTGCCCAAGCCGGGTGTGAGCGTTGGACGATATGTGCGAGTAGCTCGCGTTGAGAGGGACTCGTGTGACACGTGACGTACTCGATGTAGGGCGTGACTTCGTCGAGGGTCCACTTCCTCTGCTTATTGAAGAGGAACGCGAAACGCGCTGGCGCTGTGGGCGGCAGAGATGTGTTGGGCAGATAGGTCAATCGTCGCTCGGTGCCAAGAGTCGACACCAAGGCGATCCCCTGCAACATAAGGGAGGAGCAAGTGGGTGAGATCAGTGCAAGGTGGTTGGAAAGAGGCGTGGACGCAATCACGCACCTTGAGCATCTCTGATGAGGGGGAGAGGGTGATGTCGTCGTTCTGCATGCGGTCCTTCCACTTCCCCATGAAGTCACTGAGGACCCAGGGCTTGTCAGGCCCTTCGAGGAGAATGTCCTGCGATAGCATTGTCACAGCGTGTTCATGGTGGTAACGATGCGGAAGACCAAAGCACATTGGGGCCTTACCTCTGCTCGCATCGCGCACAGGAGCGTGGGATCAAGAGCGACGACGTCAGGCGTTGGTGACTCCGTAGAGCGACTGTAGATCCGAAGGCAGTGCTCTACAACTTGCCCAGGGTACACTGAAGCGATTACACGAAGTGGGTCAGTCTCCTGCCCGGGCGTACATGCACATGTGTCAACGTACTCCTGAGGTTTTGCTGACAGGCCTCGACGGGTATGGCGGACAGGGGCCACTCGTTGGCATGCGCGGCCGTGATGATCCTATCCATCAACTATGGTAGCACATGCAATCTAATTGTCAGAGGGTTGTCGTGTGAAAGACTGCATGCAGCGTGGCGCGCACCTCAGTTATGAACGATCTGCCCAGCAATCGCCAGTGACCTAATTGGCGGAAGGAACAAAGATTAGCACTCACTGCGCTGTACATGTAAACGCCTCACAGAACGAGGTGAGAGAACCGTTCCACTCGAACGCGTTGATCCTCTTCAGCGCGTTGAGTAGCTGCTGGTCGCTGGCTTGCACTTGATTGCGCTATGAGTCCGTAGAGGTCAGCAAGCCAGCCAGCCAGAGGTGAACGCGGTCGAAGACTTACCAAGGCTTCCCATGTGTACTTCCTTCCCTTCGTAGTTTCCGCTGTCTCGAGGGCCATCTCCTTCTCCTCCTCGGCCTCTTCTCCCTCGTAGGGGCACTCTCCGAGTAGAGCGGGCAGCACACCAGTTCGGGGCAGCACTTCGTGCAACTCTGTTGAGAGAGGAGGCTGTTGACAATATGAAGGTTTTGATTAAACGTAGAGTGAGGCGTACCGAGGTAGCCAGTAAACATGCTCTGCACCTCCCTTGATTTCGGAGGCAGGAGAAGGTGGCAGTTGCTGTTTGCAACCACCTCGGTAAGAATCAAAGCAGAGTGTACATGGTTCAGCTCTCGGACGGAGTACCTTGTATCAAGCTGTCGCAACGAATAAGTGGTGTCCTTGGTGCATAGCACCGCCTCCTCTGCCGGCGCTCCTTTGATGCATACCCTGTGCGCACAGTAAGTCAATTACGAAGAATGAAAATGAATTGATGGAAAATCGCACTCTCCCTGGCCTTGCTCAATCTCCTGCAGCAATTCCTCGCTCAATTCAAGGACCTTGTACTGGTTCAGCAGCGAGCCAAAGTCGGCCGCGAAGGTAATCGACTGCATTTTCAATTTTGTCGTGAAAGTTGTACTTGCGTTGGGCTTCGTGTCGTTTCCCGCCAATTTTGATTTTTGCGGACAGCAAAAACAAAAAAGAAAAAGAAAAAGAAATCTGCAAAGATGGAAGCACCTGCAGGAGATGCTGGTGTGCAGTCTCTTGCGTTCAACAGTTTGAAGGGGCACCGCGACACGGTGCTCTGCTTGGACAGGTCGCAAAACTGCCTTCTACTATCCGGCAGTGAGGTACTATTTTACATTTCAATTTTACAATTTTAATTAATCTCCTAATTTAATCAATTGCCAATTCCGCTTCAATCCTTGTAGGATGGGACGGCACGGCTGTGGGACGAAAAAACAAGCAAGTCAGTGCGCTGTTTTGCTGCCTTCGAAGGCGAAGCGGTATCCCGGCCCTTCCCCTTCTTCTCCTGCGCGCGCCAGACCACGCTCACCGCGACGCACCACAGGTAGCATCAGTTGCATTCGGGTCTCAGCCATCGGAGATGGTGTTTGCTGCTGCAGGCAACAAGGTGCACCACGACCTGCTCGTTTCTCTTCCTCGTCCATATGGTTATGTGCCTCACACCTACGATCACATGGCCAGGTCTTCTCGTTTGACCTGCGCAAGCCTGACATCATCTACAAAACGTTCGAGACAGAGTATGCACACAACCAGGACGAAGTCAACTCGGTATGCGTCACCACTGCGATCTCTTCACCTTTGTTCTGTTGATTCACACTTCAGAAAACAACCCTCGATCAATGACTAACCCAAGCCGCCACCTGCTCATCAGCTCGCGATCTCGCCGAATGGACGATTCCTTGCGACTTGCGACGACTCGGGCGATGTGAAAATCATAGATCTGCAGTCCAACACTCTCTTCAAGAGCCTGCGAAAACACTCCAACGTACTTCGTTTGATCTTGCCGCCGATTTGTGATGTTTGCTGCCTGACAACCCACCTTGTCATGGCGCACAGATTTGCTCGACTGTGTGTTTCAGAGGCGAGCGACGACCGTGGGAAGGTGCCCTTGCCGTCTGACTTTAATACCTCTTTATAGGCATAGGCGCGCCATCCTCTCATAGTTGACGGTGATCGACTGTGCAGTTCTGTCTGGCGGCCTCGACTCACTGCTCGTGCACTGGGACTTCTCGCGCGGCCGACCCATCCACCACCACGACCTCGTCGGTCTCGCCATGAACTCGCCGCAAGTGGTCAACCCACCCTTCGTGCATTCGATCGATGTGTCGGCCGACGCCAACGTGGCCCTCGCTGCGCTCGGAGACAACTCCGTACTCATCTACGATCTCGATCGCGATCTGCCCGTCGTGCAGCTCGAGGACGGGCACTCCACCTCCGTTTCACAAGCGTGCGTTTGGGCGTCTCCTTCGTTCTTCTTCCGTGCCCATGGTTCTTCATTCTTTGGCTCACTTTCAAGATCTTTGTCTCCCAACTACAGGCGATTTGCGCAGTTTTCTCCATCGTCTCATGTCGTGTCGGGCGGCAACGATTACTCTATTCTCTTGTGGTGCGTGACACGCACACGCACACGCATACAACCTCTCAGCCGGACGCACTCAACGCAACACACCACACCACACGACACACACACGACAGGAATGTCGGCCAAGTGTTGACCGAGCTGCGGGAGGCGCGAAGCAAGAAGGGCAAAGCCGCCAGGCAACAGAACAACAGGAACAAGAAGAAGACGACGAAGGGCTCGACCGAGGAAGAGGAGGCGAGCAAGCCGAAGCCCTACCGATTGGAGCAGCGCATCAATCACGGCAGCAAGATCAACTGGCTGTGCACCGCTCCGCTGGACGCCTCCGCACTGGGCAACCTCTTCGTGGCCGACCAGACCAGCGCCATCACCGCCTACCACATCCTCCCGTGACAGCATAAGTGGCCACGCCTGGTGTGTGGTGTCGACACAAAAACTAAAATTCCCGCCAAAAACCCGGCACCTCTTCGTTGGTTGTGCGCTGGTGGGTGTCGACATTGCATTGGGCGGACACCCTCGTCAACCGCCACGGCGTGCGGACATGCAACAACAGCACCACCCTTCTGCAACACTGTTAGTTACTACTACTACTCCACACTACGCTGCACACAACACAACACGACAACACACGACACCATACTACTATGAAGAAGCTGCGTGCTTGTCTGACAGGGCTGGTGCTACTGCTGGTCCTGTCCATCGCCGCCTTGCCGGGACCGACGTCTGCGGTTTCGGTTGAGGCCACCACGACCGTGGCCGATTCGGCCCTGAACGCGACCACGTCGGGCATCAAGTCGCTCTGGCACAGCTGGTACGGGAAGGCCACCAGCCTGCTCGACGCGGTTCAGGCCCACCCCTCCACGGGCGCCACGCCGCCCGAAGTCAAGGAGGCCAAGGTGGTGGGCGAGATCAAGCTGCTGGCCGAGGCCCTGAGACGGGAGGAGGCCAAGCTGGAGGACCTTCTCGAGGCTCGTCTGATCATCAAACGGCAGAGCTGGACCTGGTTCCTCGACCCTCAAATCCGCGCTCAAGTCGACACAGCCACCCTGGCGGTACTTGCTTGCTGTTACATCTTATTTTTATTTACGTGTATTAATATCTCCATATATGGAAAAATGTTATTTATTTCTATTTGTTCGTGGTTGAACGGTGCAGGTGAACAATCAGCGTCGCAAGGTGGAATCGCTGTTCGACGACATCTCGCTGCACTGGCGCCAGTTGAAGCCTCTCCACGGCGTGCGCTCGCGCATGTTCGCCTCGGAGCTGCTGGCTTTCCTGCTCGCGCCGGTCCTCTCCATCCTCGACTTCCTGGCCTCGACCTTCTCCTTCGGCCTGCTCTTCTTCTTCCTGCTCCTGGGTCCCGTGGCCCTCTTCTTCGGCATGTTCGCCTTCTCCCTGGGCATGGCCATGCTGCCCATGATCGGCTCCTGCCTCGTCATCCTCTACACCCTCGAGTTCCCCTGGCTCATCATCCAGGTACTGGCCGTGTGCGGTCTTGCGTGTGCGGTCTTGCGTGTGTGTGTGTGTGCGGTTCTCACTACATGTGGGCGCCAACAGTACAATCCGTCGGCGCTGGAGTTCGTGGTGGCCTACGCGCCCTTCGTGCTGGCGACCTATTGGCTGGCCAAGAGCATGAGCCGCACCCTCCGCCCCGTGCGCCAGTTCCGCTACTACGCAGCCGACACCGCCGAACAACCTGGCCGCCGAACAACCCACCAGGCAGCAGCCCCAACCGCTGCTCCCTCGTCCGCCACCGCCACCGCGCCCCGACGTACGGACAACGTCAAGACCGACTGATGCTCTGCCAGACTGTGCCGGCGATGAACCTGGCAAGCGAAAGAGAGAAAAGAAAAGAGTCTGTTTTTTGGTGTACAACGTTGCTCTATTACTGGGTGGTGGTTCTGATGACGAACTTCCATTTTCTTTGCACCTCTCTGTCTCTCGCTTGTGGTTGTGGGATCAGCCCTCCCGCTTGATCTCGTCCGCGCGAGAGCCCAGCGACGCCCCCAATCGCCTGCACACGAGGTCACAGGTCAGCAGAACGCCGGCGAGCAACGCGCGCACATACACACACGAAAGCGAGGCTGGCTAGTGTACCGCACGGACTGGGGTCGGTTTCGCTTCGCAAAAACGGACTCAGTGCGCTCTCGAAGTGGCGCCTCTTCCGACGAAGAAGACGACGTTGCCAATACCGGTGCCGCTGCTGATGTCGCCGATGCCGATGGCTGAGCCGGCCCTGGCGCCGAGACGGATTCTCGCTCACTGCACCAAGCCCCCCACCCACCCACAGTGAGCGCTGCACGTTTAGAGAGGCGACAAGGGCGACGTACGTGGAGTCCTGGGTGGCGGGGGCTAGCGCGGGAGCGGGAGCGGGAGCAGGGGTGGCGGCCGCGGCGGCAGGAGGTGAGGGGCTGGGCTTGCTGGTGCTGTCCTTGAATTCGGCCGAGGCCGAGGGCGAAGGGGACGGTCCATCCGAGAGGCTGCCCACGGGCGTCATCTCCTTGCTCTCGCGTTCCTTGCCCTTGACGCTCTCGCCGCTGTCCCCCCGGACAATGGCGAACGAGGCGGACTCCCTGGGCAGCGCAAAGTGGGCAAATTAGAACGCGTGCGGGCGGGCGGGCGGGTGTGCGTGCGTGCGGGCGTGCGTGCGTGCGTGCATGGCGTACCGCATGGCCACAGCGGCAGAAGAGGTGTTGAGCAGCGCGGCGAGCTTCTCCTGCTCCATCTTCTCCTGCTCGGAAAAGTAGTCTCCCCACACGTCCAGCACCGTCCTGCCGAGGCGACGCGACAGACCGGATTAGTTGTCGATCATGAAGTGAAATGAGAGCTGCACCCAGCAAAGGAAGAGTGTGAAGGGGGGAGAGGAGTGGGGGGGGGGACAATAGCGAAAACGAAAGCGAACCTCAGTTCGTTCTCGAGTCGATAGAATCGACCGACGATCAGCCCCGTGACGGGGACGATGTCCAAAATTTTCTCTTTCCTGTTTTGCGGCTTCTCCAAGCGCTTCATCTGTCGCAGGTAGAGGATGTCCTTGAGCATGTCTTCTATCCAGTCCTGCTCGCAGCCATGGCGCACGACCCCCACAACCGTTAGTAAGCCCTCCTTTTGATGTGTGTATGTGTGTTGGTGTGTGTGTTGGCGCGCGCGTGTGGTGTGTGTGTGTGTTGAACGTACCCTGACTTCAGCGCCCAAGGTTTCGCGCTCCGCTGCAAACTTGAGCTCTGCTTCCTCGAGGGCAAACGTTTCGTAGGGAATGTTGAACTGCTCGGCCAAGACGATCTCGGCGTTGCTGATGAATCGGTCGATCTGCGGATAAATCTCGGACTTGAGTCGCTTGATGAGGCGCTGGACCTGGTGCTTATCCTCGTTGGGGTTCAAAATCTGCACATGTAGAACCATACGTAACGCAGGCGTTAGCGACCATTCATCATTTTCGCGTTTGAACGACGCACGAGGGCGCTGCGAAGATGAAGAACGAAAGAAGGAAAGAACGAAAGAGGGGGGGGGCAAGTACTTCTCTAATGAGTTGAAGATTGTCGCGCACGGCTTGAATAGAATTTGGTGGCTCCTCGAGATAGTTAGCGGGGACTACGTCCGGATTATAGCCTGTCGAGAGCGCATGACGACGACAGTGTTGGGTTTCATTAGATCGGACGGGTGGGACTACTCGTCGTGTGGGAGTAAGCCGGGCAACGCACCTCTTCGCTCCAAAAATTTGTCACACTCGTCCTTGATGAGGGACAGCCACCACTCCGTCGTTTTGTCCTTCGTCGTCCCGTTCATCAGTTCGCGCTTCTCAAGCTGTCCACAAGAAAGAGAGAGGAGAGGCACCATGACGTCAGCCAACCAAAACTGCAGCATTTAATGATATAAATATATATAAATGCGTTGAAAATGCGCGCGTGCAGAACTGTACCTGCAAGTGTTGCAGTGCTTCCTCGCACGAGGAAATATGTCGCTGAATCCTCACCCGGGGCAGCTCCGACCACGATATGCTCTGCAATCGCTGCAGAGCTGCACACAAACAGAGAAGAAGAAGAATGATAAATAGCAAGCCAACGGTTTGAACTGAAAGGCGAACGAACCTCTGTCCCTGGTCGGCAGGAAGATATCTCGCAGACCCAGTTGGGACGTGAAGCTCTTGGTCTCGGCGCGCGCGAACTCCTCGACCTCGGCGAGGAATGGGTCGTCGGGACCCTTGAACAGGCTCTGGAGGCTGACCTTTGTTCGCTGGATCTGCGGGAGATCGGCAATGGTGACGTCCAGCTTCTGCGCCCGCTCGATGATCTCGATGTCGACACCCTGCTGCGCCAGGAAGCTCAGTGTTCGCTTCTTGATCCTGTAGATCGCGCATGTAACTGTCAGTTCGTGCATAACAAGCACTCCACACACGCACACACCCACACACACACACACACACCACACACAGACACACACACACACACGAGGGGGCGCGAGGGAGGAAGGTACTTTTCGTTGAGGTCCTTTGAAAGAGACTTGGTGGGATCCTCCACTAGTCGCTCCATCTTGTTTACATCGAGAAGCAGAACCTTCATGTCGTCGGTGAAGGGAAACACGGAGACGGCGTTGACCATCTCCTCGGCTCGCTCCTCCGGCGCCAGGAACACTCCGATCCTGTCGCCTGCATGTACGCAATCGATCGATCGTACCAGCAGCACGTGTAGCGTGAGCTTCCTTCCTCTTCCTTCTTCTTCGTGTGAATGCTGTAGTGGGTGAGCGGTGTGCCGAACCTTCTCGCTTGCCGGTGAAGCGGGCGTAGTAGATGCCCTTCTTCGCATCCCTCTCCTTGTCATCGCCGAGGAAGGCAGCCACCACCAAGTCCCTTTGCGCGACCAAAGAAAAAAACAATCCAGGTGAGATAGATGGATAGATTGATAGGCGTGCATTCCACGTGCTCATCGATGAGCGCAAGAAGGAACACACCCAGGGCGCAGAAGCTCGATGTTGACGCTGCGGACACTGTTCAAGATGGAAGCCATGCGACGGACCTAAAACACAACAAGCACAGCGCAGATGAGAAGGAGACAGAAGACCAGCAGAGAGAGAGAGAGAGAGGCAGAACGTCGTGGTTCAGTCCCGGCGACTAGCGGGAGAACAATATTGTGGTGATAACAATAAATGTAATAATAAATGAGCATTTTTTTCAAAAAATAAAAAAGAGTAGCGAAAGAGTTGTGTGCGTACCTCGCGGGCCAAGTGGTCAAGGTCGTCGATCTTGCTCCAGGCCACAATGTTCTTGGCGAGGTTCTCTTGGCAGGCCTCGGCCTCGTAGTCGATCTGTTGGTTCTGGTTCTCGAGGTAGAACGAGAATTTGGAGAGGATGGAGGAGTCGGGGGTCATGCCGACGAGGCAGCCGTCGGGGTCCATGGTGTGGGTGACGAGGAATCGCTCGAAGGAGGCCACGGTGTCGGCGAGAGGATTCTTGGCGGGATCGGACCACTGCTTGTCGTACCAGCGCATCAGGGCCTCGAATGCCTGGACCTGATCGGCCTTGATGCTGTCCTTGTTGTGTTGCATGCGCAGGTAGAAGATGTCGCACCATCTGAGCTTCGAAAGCTGCATGAATTCGCGCACTTGCTTGATCCAGGCCTCGATCTCATCGAAGAATGCCTTTTCCTGCGTCTTGTACACCTTCTTCTTCACCTTCTTCTTGTCCACCACACGCTCGGGCCTCTTGAGAGCAATTAATTCTCTAAATAATTCATCCACCTGCTGAAACAGCTTTTGCTTCGTGAGGGAGGCCATCTCCTCCTCTTACTCCTCTTCCACCACTTCAATCTCTATTTCCTTTCGCGCAGCAGCTGAAGATGGACCCTGGCGAGTGTCCCGATTATTGAGCCAGTTTCGCCTGGCAGCCGAAAATCGATGAATTAGCGCAGAGGAAGGAGATGTGTCGAAATGCGGAGGGGGCTCTTCCCCCGCTCTCTTCCAGATCTGCTGAGTAAATCGATTACGACCCACCTGGGGATGCTTGGAAAAGAGGCTTCAATAAATTCGTAAATTATTGCTTGGCTCTCATGCGACCAGAATGTGAAGAATGCACGAATAAAGTCGGGTACAAATGTCTTACATTCCACTAAAAAATACGAACGCTGTTCAGTTGGCTGGGGAGCTTGGTGGCGGAGGAGACCGTCTCCTCTGTTTGTGGTGTTGCTTTGTGCTTGGGTCTCTTCAAAGCGAGGCCGTTGGCCGACGGTACGGACCTGGAGACGAGCTCGTTGGTGTTGTGCGGTGGTGTGGTGGGCGACAAACAGGAACGCGAACGTCAACCAGGAACACGGAGTGCGTACCCGGGTACTGCATCTTGGTGGTGGTCACGCGGGCGGCAAACTCAAGCGCGACGTTGCGCTTCCAGGGTCCTCCGCTCAACCCGGCGGCGGCAAGGAAGCTCGCGGTGACAGTATCTCCTTCAAGGAGTGAATGTGGTGAGTGAAGTGGCTGGTGCTACAACGAATGGTACAAGAGTTGGTGCTTACCCCTGCCAGTTCTTCCCTCTACCTTCCAAGGACCGAAGCTTGCCTGGTAGAAGATGTTGCCATCAAACAACAGCACGCCCGCGTTGTACGTCCCGAGCACCTGAACAGAGAAGAAGAGATCAGTATACTGTACTGCCGAGCGATCAGAGAGCGCGCACTCCGGCGTACCATCTTGGCGCCCTTCTCGTGCAGAATCTGCATGGCGCGCTTCATGTCCTTCTCTCCGGTCAAGACAGTGGCCTCCTTGTCGTCCACCTTGAACAAATCAAAGTATTTGAGGTACTGCTCCTTGGCAGCCCAGTCCTTGTGCGAGATCTTGCCGCCGTTCTGCATGTCGATGTGCCTGCGAGTTTGCGACGCTCAAGATCAGATCGGATTGATGTAGTGAATTCGAATGAGCAAAGGAACATACCTGATGAATCCCTGCGCGTCGGCGACCAGGTACTGAACAGAGGGGTTGAGCTCCTTGATCTTGGGGATCAGCTCGTCAGGGAACTCGCCATATGAAAGAGGGTTGATGTGGACGATTGTGGATTCAATGTGCTTCAGATCGTCCACCGTGAAGGGAGCGCCAACAGCGTGGAAGCGTTGGACTCTGCAGTGTGCAGTGGAACGAAGCGCGGAGAATATAAGCACAGAAGGAGGAACCACAAAGCCGACTTACGCATACCTTTCATCCGAGTTGGGCTTGGGGTAGTTGTTTTCACAGCAAGTCGTCTCTTGCGACGGCAGGAACTGTACCTTGGTTCCACTACGTGCGAAAGGCCGAGCTGGTTAGTGCCTGGGGTTCAACACCCATGGCCGAGCGCGCCAACGCACCTGGGGGCAAAGATCTTCTGGAACACGGGCTTGTCCTCGGCCGAGCACTTGGTAACAACCTCAACGTTCATGCCCAAGTTGGAGGCAGCCACACCGCTGAACAGCACTCCACCACCTGTCGCGTAGTGCGTCACGATCAGTTGTGCCGCCACCCATCGAAGGCGTTGTGACTGGGTCACCCGTACCCTGCGCGCGCGTCTCCTTGCCGACGAAGATGTTGATGTCGTTGGTGACGTGGCCCAGAATGGTCAGACGCAGCTGCTCAGGGGGCGCCCTCCTGTCTGTGCTGGATCCCAGGGAGAGGGACGCGAATGGGCACTTGGGGGCACCGTCCGAAGAAGAGGCGGGAGCGCCCGAAGAAGCAGAGATGGAGAAGTAGCCCATGGGGCATCTCGCCTGGCCATTCGTTTGAGAGATGGGCGGGTGCTGGAACTGACCGTTCGTGTGGTACAGGCTTGAGGTGTCCCAAGTGTTACGGACTGGGCACTGCAGCAAAAACGTTTTAATTAAATCGATTTAACCATAATGAACAAAGTAGCAGAAGATGGAACTCACCTCGCTGCCAGTACTCGCCTGTTGTTGAACCTGCCCTTGTTGAGGCTCCCAAATGTGCCGTACGGGGCATTGCTGCTGATTCTCTTCCATCTCGTTTTGGTTTTTGTTTTGTTTCACTTTCCTTTTCCTTCCCTTTTTCCTCATGGCATCAATCCACCAATGGATGAATTTTCGTTTCGACTGAGTGCGTGGAACCGGGCAAATTTCTTTTGCTTCCGTTCGTGTGAGTGGACAGTATTTCGGGATCAACAAATGTTGTTGCGAAGAGCGTTCAACGAAGGCGAGGCAACAGAGGGCGAAGCTGCTTCAACTTCCACACGAAACGACGACAAACCCCAGATCCCAGTCTCCCTCAACCCGTCGTAACCATTCGGCCAACCCTACGCACCAACACCTCACCTTCTCGCCTTTCGATCACTTACGCGTTTATAAGCTTCGGCCACTCACGCCCCAACAGCACAACACGAACCACAGCAGCCACACCACACCACATCACAAACATGGACTCAGAGGTTGAGCGCAAGCTGTACGCGATGCTGATCACCAGCTACTGCGTCGATTCCAGCGTCCCCATCTCGCCGGCTTGTCCTTCGCCGACGCCCGCCGTGGCACACTACCACGGCCCGCTCATCGCACCCGTGGCCGACCGCAGCGTCGTCTTCCCGCCGCTCTACTCCCGGTTCTGCGCCGACCTCCGACACACGGACTCCATTCTTCAACGCTCTCCCGCCGGCAACGACACCAGTGCGGGCATTCACACGTCGCCACTGCTCTCCGATGGCAACTAGAGAGCTGATCGCCGATCCCACAACTACACACGTACATATCGTGCCTGTAAATAAAAGCACTTTAGAAATCAAGGTAAAAAGCGGATTCAGCTGTGCCTTTATTTTAATTGATTATAAAATAAATAGAATGTTATTCCAGATATGAGGTTCTGTGGCCTCACGAGTTGGCGCCTGAGACAACGCAGTCATTCCAACGTTGTGAGCCAACACATCAGTGGGACGGCTTTGACGATTGATACTCAATCCACCAACTGCACTTCTCATCGCGGTGCGTAGCCCTGCCTTTGATCCAGTGCTCAACTCTCGGTTTCATAAAATCTTTGTAAAATGACAAATTTACCAAGCACAAAAGGATTGACAAGGGGGCTGGCAGACATCATCTAGTCGCGACCTTTCCTTCTAGTACTCACCTTTTGCTTCGTTGGCCCCGATTGAATAGAATCTAGAATCGCACATGGAACCGACCACACCGCGCACGAGCTACAGACTGGCGTCCGAGGCCGGCATTGAGCTGTCCAACGTGCTGGGCGAGCTGGGCGACTCCCTCTCCTCCATCATCCTCTCCACCCTCACCGACAAGTACGCCGAGGTCCAGTCGTCCTGCCTCGCCCTCGCCGGCCAGACCAACACCGTACCTCTTCTTCTTTCTCTCTTCACTGGAGCGCCGCTACTCGTGTCGCTCAACTCACCGCCAAAATTCTCCACGCGTGTGCGTGTGCGTGTGTGCGGTGACGCGTGTGCGTGCGGCGGTGTATGTGCGTGCGTGTCGTCTGGAATGGAACGCAGTTGGTGGCTATTGTACAGCAACTTGCGCTGGCCTCCGGTGATGAGGAGTATCAGAAGGCCGCCACCGAAGTCATCCGCGAGATGTCGGCCGCCGTCACCGCTCTCGTGGTACTGCACGCCGCCGCCCTCCCTCAACTTGCAAGCCGCGCCTGCGTGACAACGGACTTCACCCACACCCACACCCACACCCACACCCACACCCACACCCACACCCACACCCACACCCACGCACACGCACACGCACACGCACACGCACACGCACACGCACACGCACACGCACACGCACACGCACACCTTCTTGTCAATTGACATTGACATTGCCAACGCACCACACCTTCTCCCCAGACCGCATTCACCGCATTCCTTAAGAACCCCGCCGCGGCCGCGTCCAAGCGTGCCTTCACCGACGCCGCCCAGACGGTGAGCTCCCTTCCTTTTGACCACCCACTGCCCCCCGGGGGACTTGGGGCTCACCAAGTCCAGGCCCAGGCTTAACCCGCTTTCCCCTTTTGGTGTTGATCCGGTGCGGCGGCGCAGGTGGGCATGGGTGTCGACAAGCTGCTGCTCACCGTGGACCAGAGCTCATCGAGGAGGATCGTCAACCTGGTCAAGGTAGTGTATGGTGAAGGCGTGTGTGCCGTGTGCCGTGTGCCGTGTGTGTCGTGTGTGTCGTGTGTGTCGTGTGTGTCGTGCGCTGAAGCGCTGTTTGCCACGTGCCGTATAATAGGAGGCGCTTGTGGCCAGCAAGGCCATCGGCGAGAGCGCCCTGACCTCCAGCGGAGCGTCCATGGCCGCTGCCAAGGTGGCCGCCGAGAAGAACGAACTCCTGAGCGAGATGGTGTGGAAGGTCGGCACCGGCACGCCCGATGGCCAGAAGCGCGTCATCCTCCTGCAGGGCCTCGCCGCGCTCAAGTACCCTGCCCCCATCAGCTGCCTCCTTAAAGCCGACCAGCGCCGCTCACCGCACACACGCACGCACGCACACACGCACGCGCACACGACAACAAAAACAGGGAAGCCTGCCCCGAGTTGGACCGCGCCGCCTACATCGCGAGCAAGAATCCCGAGAATGACGATGACCTCGTGAACGCCACCACCAAGCTCGCCGGCGCCTACAGAATTCTCCTCCAGGTGCGCGCCTGCCTCCCCGCACTTTTGCCCCAAAACGTTTTGCGGCGAAGCGAACTTACCAACGCCGTCGTTCGGCCGGTGGTGGTGGTGGTGATGGTGGTGGGTGTGCAACAGGGAGCCAACATCCAGCGCTCGTCGTACCTGACGTCGACGTGGGATCGCGTGGAGCAGGGCGCCAACCAGATCTACGAGTCCCTGCGCCTCGGGGAGGACCTCCTCAGCCGCAGCCGCCAGCTCGCCGCCTCGGCCCTCAACTCCGACGGCGACGACTTCACCGACCTCGCCAAGAAGGTACCATCTTTGAATTCCTTTTTTTCAATCCTTATTAGTATAAAAATGTATTTATATTATATAATCAATAATATAAAATGAGATTTTCATTAATGCTTACATTTTTCTGTGGCGTTAAGGTGGCTGGGCTGGCCCTGGAGCTGGTGAAGCAGGGCCAGGCCATCATCGAGAAGGCGCAGGACCCCGTGGCGCGCCAGGCCATCGAGGAGGCCCTCTACCGCATCCGCAGCCTCTGGTACGACGACGACGACGACTACCCACCACTCACGGTTGGCCGGTGGTCGGTGGTAGCTGGTGGCTGACGGCTGATCGCGGTGTTGGGTGGCAGCACGGAGGTGATCGGCAAGGCGCAGGCGCTCCAGAAGAACCCGACCGACGAGCGCCTGAAGCGCGAGGTGATGGCCAAGGTGCAGGAGATGGAGGACGCCATGGAGCAACTCAAGAACGCGATGAGCTTCACCACCTCCCACTGGCCGCTCGACAACAAGCTCCAACTCACCACCCACTACATCGCCGATCAGGCACGCCGCGCTCGCTCGTCTGCTTGCTTCCCCCCCCCCCGCAACGCAATAATTAACCATTTCTTGTTGTGTGTCGTGTGTGTGTGTGTTGTGTGTGTCGTGTGTGTGTCGTGTGTGTGTGTTGTGTTCTCGGTTAGGCTCACCGCTTGGCCAACGCCGGAGGAAACGCGCAGGCGCGGGACCAGGCCGCGTCGAAGCTGCAGGAGCTCACCGGCCAGCTGGTCGTCGATGCCGACGCCATCTCCAAGCAGCCCGGCAACGCCGCCCCGCCGAACCAGATCAAGGCCATCGCGGCCGAGATCAAGGGCTCGGGCGACGCCATGGTGGCGGCGGCCAAGGCCGGCCAGTCGACCAGCGCCCCGCACGGGCAGCTCATCGGCAAGATCCAGCAGCTCCACACCGCCTGCAACCTGCCGGCCTTCAAGGGACCCTCTGCCGTCTCCAACGCCCCTGCTGCTCCCGCACACGTTGCCACTGGTGCGTGCGGTGTGTGTGGTGTGCGTGTGCGGTGTGTGGTGTGATGTGCGTGTGTGCGGTGTTGCTAAGAAAATGAGTGCAGGCGAGGAGAGCGAGCTGATCGCTGCGGCGAGGGAGCAGGCCGGAGTGGCCCTGGCGCTGGCCGACCAGGTCGAGTCCACCGCCGGTGGCAACCCCCAGACCCAGCGCACCATCGCTCAACTCCGCGAGGCTGCCCAGCGGGTACCCTTCGCCTCCACCGCGAGTGTCGTGCGTGAGTGTGCCGTGGGTGTGAGTGTGCGTCAGCTCCGATTGACGTTTGTTTAACCGGCCGGGTGCAGGTCATCCAAGCCGCGCACGAGGCGGCCGCCAGGCTCGGCGACAGCGAAGCGCACCGAGTGTTGGCCGACGCCCAGCGCGATCTGGCTGTCGCCATTCGCGCGGTCGTCGACTCGCATGGCGCCACCCGTGGCAATAGAGCGGTGACCGACGCCATGTCGGCCATGGACAACGCCACCGGCGTCACTCCCACCGCGTCCGGTGCGGCCAAGAATGTTCTCAACACCGCCAACGACACCATCACCGTACGGCCACCCGGAACCACACACACACACACGACACACACACGACACACACACACGGCACACTCGACATACACGGCAACAATCGCTCACTTTCTTTTGCGGCAGGCGATCGACAAGGCGGTGGCCAACACGCGTCCCACGCCCGAGCAGGCGCTCACCTCGAGCAAGGAGGTTTCCGAGCACGCCCGCCTGGTACCCTCTTCTCTGCCTCCACGTCTGCGTCCGTGAACACGTGGACTGACTCCTCTCTCTCTCTCTCTGTGCGTGTGTGTGTTGCTGTGCGCACACGCATAGCTTTCGAAGCTGCTGCGCGAGATGGCGGCGAATGCGGATCCGGCGATCAAGGCGCAGCTGATCGAGTTCGCCAAGATCGTCAACGATCGCGCGGTGCAGGTCAAGATCCTGACGGCTGTGACCGCGGCGGCGGGCGATGTCAAGACCGACCAGGTGCGACACGCGCTCGAGGGCCTGCGTCGCACAGTCAAGGACGTCGTCAACCTCCTCTGCGCCGCCTCCCTCAAGCAGCAGCTCAAGAACACCCAGGTCCAGACCGAGGCCATCAAGAAGGTGCTCGCCGCGCTCCAGCATTCCGGCTGAATCAAATGAATCCACCACACGCACGTCGTGTGCTGTACATCATCTTCACCACCACCACCACCAAGAAAGTAAACCACCAAACAAAAAAACAAAAAAAAAAACAAAACGTGTAGTTGAGCCGCGAGATCATCAAGCACTGGAGTGGTGGGCAAATGGACAACCGCCTCCGCCTCCGCCGTCGGTGCCGGTGCGTCGGGTGTGGGCGGGCGAGCGGGTGCGATTTCGTCGGCCCTCCTGCATCTGCCTCTGCAGCAAAAAGAAGGAGGCCGTGATGGCGTTGAATTCGTGCGCGTTGATGCTCTTCAACACCACGTCCTGCACGTGCGTGGCCATTATGTGTGTGTCAGCAGAAGAAGGCCAAACGCAACAACAACCGACCGACCGCGTACCTGTTCAAAGCCGAACTCCTTGAGCTTGTTGAGGAGTTCCTCCTGCTCGGCAACGTCTACACTCTCCGAGCTCTGCAGTTCGGCCTCCGTGATGGGCGGCAGCCCCTGGATGCCACACACACAAAGCGAGCGTACGTGTGAGCCAGTGGTGCGTGTGTGTGTGGTGTGTGTGTGGTGCGCGGGCGCGTGTGTTGAGCGCTGGTGGAACCTTGGTGGTCCAGGGGTGGTTGATGATGCCGTCGATGGTAATGCGCTTGGCCGGGTCCTTCTGGAAGATCCTCGTAATCAAGTCCGCAAACTCTGTTGGCGGGCACATGATCGGTCGTCACGAAAAGAAACGCGCGCGTGCGGCGGGGGTGTCGTGAGTGTGGTGTGTGCTGCGTACCATCCGAGACGAAGATGCCGTCCTCTTCGGCTTCGGAAAAGGGGACGAAGTCGGCCTGCACGATTCGCTGCGGGTCCTCGAAGGGCAGGAAGCCCAGCACCAGACAGAAAAGCATCACCCCCATGCTCCAGATATCCACATGCGACCCCACGTAGTCCTGCTCCGGCACGGCACGACACGACACGACACACGCCGCACACACGCCGCACACATGTCGCACACGACAAAATGAAATGAGAGTGCTGAGCGGGGGGGGGGGCAGGAGGGCCAAGGGCGCGCGTGCCTGGCAGAGGAACATCTCGGGGGCGGCGTAGGCGGTGGAGCCGCAGAAGGTGGAGAGCAGCTCGTCGGCCTTCATGAAGTTGCCCAGCCCGAGATCGATGACCACGATCTCCTTGCGCGAGTTGAGCATCACATTCTCCAGCTGCACGGGCCGCGTTCAATCAACAAATTTGGAATATGAGACTGTGTGTCGTGCCGTGCCGTGTGTGTGTGTGTGGCGAGGGGTGGTCATCGCACCTTGAGATCGCGGTGGGCGATGTTGTGGGTGTGCATGTACTTGACCGCCATGACTATTTGGCGCCAAAACTGTCGTGCCTCGTCCTCTGTACAATTGAAAACAACATTCGCATACAAACATATTAGAATATACGCCAGAAATATAATTATAATTATATGATCAGTCCACAGCTCGCCAATTGGCAGTCAAGAAAGACGGCACGAAGGAGGTACCGGTGAGGTATTGCTTGCTCATCATGTAGTCGTAGAGCTCGCCTCCATCCACGAACTCGTACACGATGAACAGTCGGTCCACGGACTCGATCACCTGCGGCCACAGGCGTGCCAGGCATTCGAGTCAAAACACGCACACGCACACGCAACGTGCGGAGGTGGTTGGGGAGCTGAGCTGAGCTGAGCTGAGTTGTGCGTACCTCGAGCATGCGAACGACGTGTTTGTGCCGCAGCTGCTTCATGAGCGCGATCTCCCTGAAGCGTTCCCTGTCGATCTTGCTCCGCTCAATCACCTTCAGCACCACCTGACACGACACAGCACACGACACACGGCACACGACACGTAAGCAATATGCTGTGTCGGGGGACAAGAGTGAAAAAGGAAAAAGGAACCTTTTGGCCGGTCAGTCGGTGGATGGCGATCTTGACCTTGCCGTAGAGCCCCTCGGCGATGGTGTTCTCCACCTTGTAGTTGCCGATGTAGACGGGCTCGTCGAGGTCGCTGCCGCCGCCGCTGCTGTGATCGTCGACATGCCCCGTACCATCGCCATTGCCCCTGACGTTGCCCACGCTGCTGCTGCTGCGGTGCCGCAGCACGCGACTGATCTTGCCGCCGTAGAGCGTCTGGCCGGCCTGGTCGAACTCGTTCACCTCGAGGTACACATAGAAGGTCGACCCGTCCTGCCCACGCCACACGCGCACACACAGCAGCAGCCACCTTAAGAAACATACGCTTGGAATGCAAGGCACGTGGTGGCTGTGGAATGCAAGGCCGGCAGGCAAGGCACCTTGTGTCTGGTCTTGACCATGCGGGGCGGCATGCCGATGATCCGCTTCTTCCCGGTTTGATGATAGCCTGCGGCGCCCCGAGGGTGAGCTACCACACAAGAGCGAAGAGCAAAGAGCGAAGAGCCAAGAGCCAAGAGCGAGGCCATTGACGTACGTCGGAGGTAGGTGTCGTGCATCTGGGAGTGAGGGCTGCACATGAGCATGTTGATCTTCTTTCCCAGGAGCTCCTCGCGCGAGTACCCGTACAGGACCCACAGATTCTGGTTCACGTCCTGGATGATACTGGAGGTCGTTGTGTAGTGTCAAAACAGCGAGCCGAGCGCTGTGCGTGTCGTGTGTGTGCGTGTGCGTGTGTGCGTGTGTGCGTGTGTGCGTGTGTGCGTGTGTGCGTGTGTGTGTGTGTGTGGTCTGTATACCCTTTCTTGTCGATGGTGATTATGGCTTCCATTTCCTCTGTGATTTGATTGATCTTGCCCACGAAGATGATGTGATCGCCCTCCCGCCGCTCGTGTACCTCCAAACTGACCGTCCTCGTCGTTAGATGAGTGTTGTGTGTGCGTCGCGTGCGTGTCGTTCGTGCGTACCTGATCGTGATCGGGTGTCCGTCCTTGTGCATGGCTATCAGATTCCTCACTCGGTTCAACACTCGCGGCACTGGTCAAGAATTGAGAGTTGAATTGCATGTAGAGAGCACCGGGGAGGGGGAAGGGGTTGACTTAATTATTACCGCCTCCGTGGATATAGCGCTGGATGAAGGAATCGTGCTTATCGGCGTAGGCTTCGTCGACGAGGACGGATATATTCTGGCCCAGCATCTCGGCCTGGGCAGACAGGGCAAGAAAGTGAGTCACACTACGACAGTCGACAGTCGACGGTCAACACACACGACCGCGGGCGCGGCGCCGAACCTTCTTGTAGCCAAACAGTTGCGCCGCCTTCCCGTTGACGGAGAGGATGATCCCCTTGGCGTCGATCGTGATGAGGCACGATTGGTCCTGCACACCACCGTGGTGTCGACACAAATTTGGTCCACGATTAGCATTGGGGGTTGAATGATGAGGGCCTGGAGGCTAGAGCTATGCGGAGGTACCTCGAGTTCTTCGACGAGGCCGCAATAGAAGATCTCCTCGCCCACGACGAGCTCGGAGATGGCCAGACGAATCGGGAAGATGGTGCCGTCCTTCTTCTGGCCCTCCACCACCCTGCTCTTACCTGTGTGATGCGCGCACCACCCGAAACAGAAACAACACAACCACGAACATTTGTCACTTCCTCGTTCAGCACTGTCGGTTGCAGTGATCGGCTCAGTTGTTCGGTACGTACCGATGACCTGATTGAATCGACATTGGGGGAAAAAAACGAGAAAGAGAAGTGGTTTAGATGCAAGTGTTAGAGAAGATGTCACGGCAGTAGGAGAAGAAGGAGAAGAAAGAGTTGACCTTGGGCACGCCGGTCTCGTGGTAGTGTTGGAGGTAGGAGTCGTGCTGCTCCTTGTAGGGATGCGGACACAGCACGCTCACGTTCTGGCCGATGAGTTCGTTCGGGCGCGTGTAGCCGAACATGATCACGGCGCACTGGTTGGCCGAACGGATGATGCCGTTGGCGCCGATCGTCACTACTGCCTTCTCCATCGCGTGCGGTGCCTTCTTGCTTGTGGTAGTACTCTAAAATTGTAAGAAGGGACTGTGCCTGTGGTTTCTGTGGCACTGTTGTTAGCGAGCACAACAGCAAAGTGTGTCGAGGTGGATGGGCAGCACAACAATCGATCCCAGAACGGGCATCGATCGCGGAGCGATTTTTGAAGGATTTGTTAAAAATCTCGACTCCTGATAAATTTGTCACAAACTCGACCACAGGTGCCCTGGAGGAGCCTGCGCCTAAGTAGCCTGAAATCATGCTTTGGAAAATGAAGAAATAATCGGGTTCGTACAAAATCTCGAGATGTGCGTACCTGAGCAGAGAATGACGGGTGTGGTGTGACAACGGGCGTGCAACAGCGAACGCGACAGGATCAAGGAAACACTGAGCCGTTGAAGCACGCCAGCGAGCTAAACAGCTTGGCACTACTGAGGCCCTTTTCTGTCTGCTGAGGGACGCAACGATGAGCTTTCCGAAATTCCTTCATCCATCTGCGGAATGTTGTCCACGCCAAGCATGTCGGTACCTAAAGCTCGTTGTGTTTGGTGGCAACAGCATGTTCTTATGGTTGGTGATTGATGGTTGTGTGCACAAGAAGCTCTGTCTCAGACTGAGCTCTCCTTGTTGTAAGGGATGACTATTATCTACATGATGGAAGGATCGCAACAAATTGGAACTGGGACGGTCTGATCGTCTGGCCATTCCCTCAGTTGGTGACCATGGTGGCCACGCACGCCGTGCCGCAGGCGAGGACCGTCACGCCCCACTGATGGAACGCAGTGCTGAATCTGTGTACGTGTGCGGAAAGGAGTCAATTTGCGCGATCGTCGCTCTATGTTGCTCTTGTGTGTCGTGTGACGTACGAAGTTTGGAAGACTGCGTTGGCCCCTCGCGAGGCAGCCCTCAGGGAGAGCTCCTGCCTGGCGGCCTGAAGCGCGGCTTCGACCTGCGCGCCGCACTGGGTCGGGTTCGTGGGCGCGGCCGCGCTGCCGGTGGCGCTCAGGAGTCCGAGATCTTGCACGATGCGCATCTGCACAGACGAAAGAGAGCGAATCGGTGTGAGCTCTGATCTTCAGGCGTCCATTGTGGCGCGAATGACAACGTACATGAGCAGGCGGCGACATGGTGGTGATGTAGACAGCGGACGCGCTCTTGGGAGCGTCGGCAGCCTTGTGCTGCGCGGCAGCGCTGGAGGACGGCGGCGACATGTGGTTCAGCGAGGAGGGAGGCGATGCGAGCGACTGAGCGACCGGCGAGTACGGGAAGCTGTGCGACGCCTGCTGCTGCTGCTGGAGGTGCTGCTGCTGTTGCTGTATGTGGAAGGCCTGCTGGTGGTTCATGGGCTGCATGGGCGGAAGCTGCTGAAGCTGCGGCTGCGAGTGTTGCTGCTGGAGCTGAGGCTGCGAATGTTGCTGTTGAAGCTGCGGCTGCGACTGTTGCTGGGCCTGGACCTGGTGGGCCGCGTAGGGGCTGATGGGCTGAGCGGGCTGCTGGCCCGAGGCCGGAGCGAAGGGGTTGAAGGTGACCGTGGCGGGCGCAGCATAGTTAACATTCCTCATCGGCGTGCCCGGTGGCGTGATGCTCGCGCCGCTGGGCTGGAAGTGCGCCCAGTTGTCCTTCTGCTGAGCGTCGGCCGCAAACGCGACCGAATGGAGCCCCTTCCGCTGAGCCGGCTCCATATCCTTCTCCTTGTGCTGCGCCGCACCGTGGTGGTGGTGGTACATCGGCCTGCTGTCGTCTTCGTCGTCGTCCGACTGCTCGTCGGCGTAGGGATCGTTCTCTTCGTCCTCGTCCTCGTCCGTCTCGGCCGTCTTGGCGTTCAGCGACTGGCCGCGCATGAGCGGTGGCGCCATGGCGGGCGGAGCCGACGTCGAGCGGCTGCGCTTTAGCGTGCCGCTGTCGCTGGGGTTCAGCTGGCTGCCGGCCGACGACTTGTTCTGCTCGTTGAGCACGGCCGACGTGGCGGCCGTGAGCACCTCGATCCAGCGCCAGCACTCGATCTCGCTCTTGACCTCGAAGCTGTACCGCTGGTTCTTGATCTTCTTCTTCTTTCGCTCCTGCATCATACACGGCGGGTCAGAAGAAGTTTCGTTCTACGCCGCGACGAGCTGCGGAAGAAGAAGAAGAAGAGGAAGAGAGCCGGTACCAGGCAGGTGACGGTGAAGCAGTTATGGTTGATGGCATGACGCTTGACCTTGACAATGTCCTCCAGCGGCCACTGCCGGTTGAACTTACCGGTCTTGTAGCCCTACACACCACAAAGTAAAATCACACCTGTTAATTTTGCGAATAATAAGTTGGAAATAAAATAAAGAATAAATAAATAAAAGTTGTTGGGGGTAGGGCAAGTACGAGGATCGTGAGGCAGTAGGGCTTGAGCACCAAGCGCTTGACCTTGGGGTTGAGCCCGTGCGGGCTGATGATGACCAGGCTCTCTTCGACGGCGTCACTCCTGTGTGCGCGAGCCCCGGAGCATCAGAAAACGGCCCGCACGTAAGAGAACAAACAAAGATGAAACAGAAACAGAAGGCCCAGGGGGAGGAGGGAGGGAGGAGCAGGCGCACCCGGAACGGACGAGCCGTTCTTCGGCTTCCTTGACCTTCTCAAAGAGAAGCGCCTTGCTGGAGCTCGGTTCCTTCTTGGCTTTGTTGTGGTGATGGTGGTGGTTGCCAGACTCCCCTTCCCTGATGGATAGCAGCGACATGGTCGTGTGTGGTGGTCTGTGTCTTCGAGGCCTCGGCGGTGGTGAAAGAAATGTTGGGTTTGTTGTTGTCCTCTGCCCAACGTGTCTTGTGTCGAGAGGTGACGAACGCTGCGCTCGAAGCTCCCCTAGCCGAACAGGGCAAAACCTTCGAATTTTTGTCCTTTTTTGTTCAAAACATTTCTGGTATGTGAGGTTAAAAAGAATTCACATACTTCTAATTCCTCAATATGTCGATGCGGTGCTTCTGCTTGTGTTTCGTGTGTCTTTCATCTGCGTCCACCGCCAGGCGCAAGCGTCGCGTGCACGTTCCTTCACCTGCCACCAACTTGACGCTTGCCGTTTGCGGCATCGGTGTCAAGCGATACTCGCCCGTCTTCCCCGTGAGCGAGAGCTTCGTGACAAGGAAATGTGGGCAGCAAAGGAAAAGTTTAGAAGAAATTGTCGACATGTCCGTTGTTTGGTTCAGTCGACACCCAGCGGCACATCTGCAGTCGGCCAGCGATCTGTGTGTAGCGATTCTATAAATCCATTGTTTCTCCTGCCGATTTCATGCAGCCACCGATGGAAGAGGTAAGATCGCATGTGTTACTATACAAAGACGATTCACCCTCCCCCCCCCTGCGTACCTGACATTCTCAGCGTTAACGCCACACCCCTCCTCAAATTACGAATCGCTCTGATGGTCAAAGGGTGGCAGTCAATTCGGTGGTAACCCTTGTCCCGTTATCGAATAGCAGGGAAAGCTTGACTCGCTGCTGGGCAATCTGCCGCCCAAGAAGAAGCGAAGGACGCACCCTTACGTCTGCGACGAGAAGGGCTACCGCCTCAAGTCAGGCACCTTCCCCGTACGCTTCCACAACGACGGTACACCGCCCCTCCCCTCCTCCCCCTCTCCGTACGCCCATTCCTTACCACCCTCCCGCGATAGGCACCTACGCCGAAGTGCTTCTGGCGTCGAGCAAAACCACGCAGGACCGCTGGACGGTGATCAGGGGCAACATCGACCCGGGAGAGATCGCAGCAGAGGCCGCCATGCGGGAGACCAGAGAGAAGTCCGGTGTCGTGGGCCGACTGCGCGAGCCCGAGCGCCCGCTCGGTGTGTGGACCAACCAGGACAAGCGCACAAAGACCTCCATCTTTATGCTCGACGTATGCCATTCACTCCTCTGGTTCTCTTCATGGCGCCATGGCCTCACACACTCTGTCTTCCGTTGCTGCGTGTGCAGATCACACAAGAGCTCGACAAATGGGAGGAAGAAGACAGGCTCAGGAAGTGGTTCTCGCTCGAGGAAGCCGAGGAAGCGCTGAGGGGCAAGGCCGTGCACGCCAAGATGTTCGAGAATCTCAAGGATCGGCTAGCGGTGCTCATGCAGGAGCAGAAGGAGGCCGCCGAAAGGAGAAAGGCCGCGGCGCCCCCTGAGGAGGAGCCCCGAGCCGAGCCCGAGGAGACCACCTACTCGGTGATGCACACGAACGGCATCGACAGCAGAGCGGCGCCTCTGCCTCCTCTCCCCACCCATCACCACATCACCCCCTCACCACTGCCCGCGCACGCACCACTCTCCACTCACCCCCACCAACAGCACCTCCCGCATCCTCAGCACCAGCCTCAGCTCGCCCACCACCAACACGCCCAGCACCAGCAACACCAGCAGCATCCGCAGCTCCAGTCAATCCAGCAGCACCAGCAGCATCAGCACCAGCCCCTCCAGCACCTTCACCAGCATCAGCACCAGCACCCCATGCACCAGCACACCCAGCACTCCATGCACCACCTGCCCCCGGGCTCGCTGGTCAATCTCCCCGACATGGGCCACGTCTCCGAGCTGGAGGCTGAGCCCCTGCAGCTCGCGCACGTGGCCACGGGCGGTCATGTCCCCTCGCAGCACCAGCCACACGCGCCGCAGCACCAGGCCCAGCATCCGTCCCAGCAGCACCAGCCGCACCCTTCGCCATACGGCGCCGTTGCGCCGCACCTCAACCTCAACGTGGGCACCAAGAGGAAGCTCGACGACCTCTCCAAGGACACGTCCATCGAGGGCATCCCTCCGCCCCCGCCCCTCCAGCATGCCCCCAGCCAGCAGTGAAGAGGAAGAGAATACCACCACAAGTGGTTCCAGCGCCCGGAGCTCCCCACCTCTATGGCCTGCATGTGGTGCAGACCTCACACTCCACGCCGCCTTTGCCTCGTCTTGTTACTCCCAAGAATAATCAATAAGGTCCTCCTTGAATGTACTACAAGCTTGTTGAGTGCACTGGAATGGCAGCAAGGGGTATGGCAGTAGGTGTACCAAGGGGTATGGCAGTAGATGTACCTGTGGGTGTGTTTGTTTACAGCAGCCACCCAACATCTTTTTGAACACTGAAATGATCAATTTTAGAGCTCCATTATCCACGCTGCCCTGCTTGTGTACCCTCAGCTCAAGCTCCATGGTGTAGTTGGCAGCATGCGTGATTTTGGTTCACGTGACCCGAGTTCGATTCTCGGTGGGGCTAAACATTACATTGCAACACCCCAGTTTTTCGTGCAGCGCAACTGGCGCAAGCACCAACGTTCGCTGCTTGTTAATTGGAGTGAGTTTGCTTTCTTTTTATTGGTTGGCGGTGGCCAAGGCCAGCTCCTGGTCGTGGTGCTCGGAGAAGCGCCACGGCCTCTGCTGTCCGCTGGAGAGGTGTGAGCAGTCTCCACTCAGTTCTGTCCGCCAGCGGCTCGTGGGGCTCCTTCGCTGTTGCGGTGACAACAATGATGAAGCTGGTGATGGCGATGTGTCATCGTCGGCGGTCGAGTCCTCATCGTTCTTACTTTCGCCCTCATGGTTGTCGCCACCGAGGAGCACGAGCTTGCTCAGCGAGCACGTCGCCGGAAAGAAGTCGGCCGTGCGGTCCTGCACCCACGCGCGGTAGAAGGCGATCGTCGACGCCGCGTGGCCCACGAACAGGATGCGCTTGCCCTCGGCCCCAAACACCTCGTGCCCGTTCACGAAATCGACGAACCGCTCGCATCGTCGATGCAGCTCGTGCACCGTCTCGCCCAGGCGAGCACCACCACCGCCGGCGCTATCATCGTAACCGGCCGGGTGCGGTGGAACGACGCTCGTGTAGGCCTCGTCATCGATGCGAGGGAATATAGCCTTCAGCTCGGCCGTCGTTCGTGGGCTGATCCGTTTGCCGTCTTCCCACTCGCCCAGGGCATGCTCGATGTAGATAGGCACCGCTGTCTCGCCATCATCATCATAGTCGCTGGCACCACCACCACGTCCGCGTTGTTGTTGTTGAGTTCCACGTAGGCGCCGCTGCTGCTGGGCCGCCGCAACGGCGTCCGCCGTCTGCACGCATCGGAGGAAGGGTGACGAGAAGATGAAGTCCAGGTCGACGTCGGCCAGGCGCTGGCCCAGCTCCCGGGCCTGCTGCAGTCCGTCTTCCGACAGCGGCGAGTCACACGGCTTCTCCCCTGTTCATGATTCACGGTATGGCGCCATCAAGCAATGCAAACTGATAAAATCTGTTGCTTTAGAAAAAAAGAAAGATGCGTGTACGTGCCAACCTTTCTCAAGATGCCAATCAGGCTTCACCCAATCGAGGCGCATGCCATGTCGTGTGATGTAAACGACTCGCGATTCCTTGCTCGTTGCTCCTCCGGGATGGACCTCCATCATCACTGATTCAAATAAATAGTCCGTTCAAGAAAATACGGACAAAAATCAAAATCAAAAATTGGGCTAAATAAGCAACGCTTGCGCGCAGAAGCTCATTCTCAACAAGGGCCTTGCACTCTTCCTGCATTTCAGGAACCAATCTTCATTCAAGGCTTGGCTGTGGAGGGAGTGAGATATGAACTCGAATTCGCATTCCCAGCCCAGCTTAGAGCGTAGGGACAGCCTCCTTCCGCTTGCTACCGGCCCACCGCCCCTCCTCTCCTCATCTTCATTCACCGATGGCGGCTTCTCCAATTCGAGCCAGAATCTGATGGGCGGCACCCCCGTGCGGCCCGAGGATTTCATCGAGCGCGGCTGCTTCTTCTTCTACGACGCGCACCACGAAGATGAGACAGCCGAGGCCGACGACATCTTGCTCTACTTCTACCCCGAGGAGGTGCCCCGCGACAGCAAGCTCTTCCTGCAGGGCGCCTGCTCCGCCATGATCGCCTTCGCCAGCAAGTTCACCAACAAGCCCGTCGACGTCGTGACCCTCAAGCGCACCAAGATCGCCTTCAAGTCCCTCCCCGGCAAGATCACCCTGGTGCTGCTCCTCTTCATCCTCCTCCTCCTCCTCCTCTTCATGATGGTGATGATGCGGATGCTGATGATGACGTGTCGCAGGTGCTCACGAGCAGCGCGATGGGCGAGGAGGACGCCACGCTGGCGTATCAGCTGGAAGCGCTCTACCGCGCCTTCCGCTTCTACAACGGCTCCTTCGCCGATGTGTTCGAGGTGCGGGCTTTGCCGCCACAGCCCTCCCTCAAAGATCGTGATTGTGGTTGTGCTCACTCTTCTCGTGTGTGTGTGTGTTGTGTGTGTTGTGTGGTGGGTGTGTTACTCTGCAAACATTTATTTGTGTCGCAGCAATACAAGAACAGCTCACGTCGCGAGCTGCAGCAGAAGTTTAGGGAGATGGGATCGCTGCTGATCCCGCTCCTGCAGTCTCTTCAGAAGAACATCATGCGCGCCTTCGATCCTCTGCCCTACACCGAGCTGCCTGGCGTGCGCACCGCCGACACACGACACACACGACACACACGACACACGCGACACACAGCTGACGCTTATGCGTTTACTTACTGCGGCTGCAGCGAGGAAACACGTATCGCTACTTCCTGACGGCCTCGCAGCTGCTGAACGACATCAAGGCCAACCCGCTCAACCTTGGCGGGGTCCTGTTCTGGGACAAGAGGTTCCACACCCACCCACCCATCCACCAGCTTACCCCACACACCACATGTTCGCGGCCGACGATCTACTCTGTCATGCGACGCTCTAAATTCGGTGCCTGGGTGTGCGCGCTGATCCCTCTCTCTCTCTCTTCTTTACTGCAGTGTCCTCTGCACACACCTGGATGTCGACACAACTCGTTGGATTCTCAATCTGGTGGTGATCATGGTAACCACCCCTGCTTCTTGCTTTTTTTTAACATTTCTCAACGTTCTAATTTTCAATACATACCTTACATGCATATATTCCAATATTATATATATCCATATACTGACTTCCAGAAGGCGAGTTCGAGGCGAAGGGACACAGGGAAGCGAGTCCAGCACATCGACGATGCCGAGCGTTCCTCGCACCACCCCTTCATGTCCAAGGAGGCCCTCCACGGCCTGCGCAAGAACCGCGACACGGAGCCGGCCCGCAGCTCAGCTCCGCCCTCGTCGAGCAGCGCCCCGCCCGGCGGCGGCAGCGGAAACGCCTCACCGGGTCCCGGCGACAAGGGCGGCCAGCGCGCCTCGTCTTCCTCCAGCATTCCGACCCAGCGCGCCGTTCGGCTCCCTGAGGTACTTCTTCCTCTTCTTCTGCGGTCGCGGCGGCCGCTACTCTGGTGACACGCTTCGTCTGACAACTCTTTATCGTCGTCGTCATTGTTGGTGGTTGGTTGGTTGGTTGTTGATGTGTTAGGTGATGACGAAGGAGCACGAGGACGGCGAATATGTGGGTCTCTACATCATTTGCCTGCAGCACATATCGCTCGCTGTCGTGATGAACCAGTCCGCCCTGTACGATACGCGCCACACGAACTCCATCGTACGCCTTATATTCTTGTGTGTTTGTTTGTGGTTGCGGTTGTGGTTGTGTGTGTGTATGCGTGTGTGCGTGTGTGTGTGTGTGTGTGCGCGCGCGCGCGCGCGTACGTTGTTGCGTCCTCCCTCATTGCGACTGCAACGGCCAGAAACTGTGCTTTTCGGAGCTCCTCTCGATGGAGCAGAACTTTGCCCGCGCCTGCAAGTCCAGCCCTCCGACCCGCCGGTTAGCCCACGCCGTTTGCGTCAAAAAGCCCGCCAGCGTACGACGCTCGCCCTTCTTATTGATTTATTTATTCATTTATTGATTTATTGGGTTCAAGTGGTCTCACTCTTCTTCACCACACGTTCAACGCCAGCCCGTGGACAACGGGCCCAAGCAGTACAACTTCCTCACATACGAGAAGCTCACATGCATGGCCAAGGTGCTCCTTCTCTCCACTCTGCCCTTCCACACCCATGGCCTGTGCTGAGTGCTCGGCCTCATTTGAAATGAATAGGGCACGGCGCCGACGGCCCAGAAGGAGGTGGACCGAAGCTTCCTGCAGATGACGGCCAAGGCCCACAACATGTTCATGAAGGACCCCTCCGTGTCCCAGGTACACAACCCACCCAGCTACTCGAACCGCTCCAGATGGTTGCTTAGCCTCCACCACCCACCCGCCCACCCACCACAGGTGTTGATGCGGGACAACAACGGGGCGGTCTACTGCCGTCGCACGCTGGGCAAGGAGGTGTACTACCAGCAGTTCCAGCAGCAGAAGACCCACTACGAGTTCATCCACCGCATCGAGAAGACCGTGCGCACCAACCTGCAGGAGGAACACAACATCACCGTACTCTGAGAGGCCGATCAATCAAGCAATCGACTCACGTCGGTGCCAGGTTTTGAGCAAAGAGACCGCCACCACACAACATCACGCGGCCCAAAGATGCATCTTGAACCACAGCTACCCTGCATTGCCAGCAACTTGTGCAAGTTTGAGTACACCACCGCAGCGCATAACTAGAAAGTCTTTCGGGTGATACTATTTTCACCCGAACCGCGCGAGGAGGGGTGCGCGGCGCTGCGGGATGCCCTCGAGCGAGCGAAGGCCGAGTTGGATGCAACAAAAGCCGAACTTGATGAAGTCAAGGAGCAGCGCGACCGGGCGCGCGAGGCTGTGCCACAAAGCAGACAGCCAAGCTGCGCCAGGTCGAGGCCGCCATGAAGCAATTCACCCTCACCATGAACCGCGCCTTCTTCCCAGACGACCAGACCGGGGACAAGGAGAGTCAACAATAAAATGCTCCAGCCGCGTGAAGAGCGGCAAGTAGCAGTCGTGCGACACACGGTGTGGACAGGGAGAGCCCAGGGCGCAGGAAAGGGGTTTGAAAGAGCTCGGCAGAAGGTGCATCCCAGCTTGGGGTTCATTGAAATACCATCCTTGTGTTCACGCGCTAGCTGGGCTTTACACGTTCCTCTCGTGCCTGCGGTCACTGTCTACTCGAGAAGGCGAGCAACAATGGGCGAGGAAAAAAGAATGGCCAGTATGGGGATCGAACCCACGACCTTGGCGTTATTAGCACCACGCTCTACCAACTAAGCTAACCGGCCCCGTATGCATCGTAAGAGGATAATTGTAATTTGGACGAACGTTTACACTCCCAAAGCTCGCAACACCAGAGGCTTCTCCTCATGAGGAGCAGAACGGGAGGTAAAATAACGCCAGAACCTGGGTGCGGCAACAGGAGAGCCAGAACGCAACTAGCACAGGTGGTGATACAAGTCCGCCTCATGGTGTAGTTGGCAGCATATAGGTTTCTGGTACCTGGGACCCCAGTTCAAATCTGGGCGGGGCGACATCTACCTTTTCTTTTTGGCCCAAGTGCGCCAGAAATTGAAATTGACAACGTTCCTGCGGCCACCGCACACAATGTTACATCTCACTTAGTGCGGGTTGGAGGTAAATGTACATTGTGTATTAATCACTACCAATAAAACGCAAGAGAAAAGAACGGTGCGTGCTTGTGGTGCCGCTCACTCAGACGGGGTGAGTGCCATGGCGTCATCTCGGCAGGCCACCTAAAAGAGGGAGCATTTCTTCTTCTTGGCGGGCTCCACCTTGGCGGCCTTGTCCGGGTGGGCATCTCGCCAGCTGTTGATCTCCTTGACAACGGCGATGAAGCACTCGTTGACGTTGTGGTTGGTCTTGGCCGACACCTCGAAGAACGGGCAGTGGCGGTCCTTGGCCCACTGCTCGCCCTTCTCCTTGGGCACCTCCCGCTGGTCCTCCAGATCGCACTTGTTCGCGATCAGCACCATCGGCATCTCCATCCCATGTACCCTGTGCACAGTCAACCACCAAACCAACCATTCCACGCTCGGTAAGCCCAGCGTCGTCATCGTCGTCGCGGTGGTGGTGGTGGTGGGTAAGTACCGCTGAATCCGTGTGTGGAGGTCGTTGATGAGCTTGAAGGTGGTCGGGGAGGTGATGGAGTAGACCAACACGAAACCGTGGCCGTTCTTCATGAACTGGTCGACCAGCGCTGTGTACTCCTCCTGACCGGCCGTGTCCATAATGTCCAGCGTGCACGCCACGCCGTCCACCTCGAGCTGTTTCCTGTTGTTGTTGTTGTTGTTGTGTTCGCGTTAGCAGCAGGCAACCTCCACAACAAAAGAACAAGCCCGCCGATGGTTTGCAACACGACGCATAAGAGTCAAACGTTTTCATTTGCTCAAAACAAAACAATTATAGCGCACGAATGGGCGGTGGTCTGGTTTCGTCTCACGTGTGTCCACAGAAAAAAAGAACGAACGCGAAGAGAAAGAGAACGAAGGGAGATTTGAGGGGGGGGCAAGATGGTAAAGGGTGAGGGAGGGTGAAGGTACCGGTAGGAGTCCTCGATGGTGGGGTCGTAGCGCGTGAGGAACTTTCCATGTGCGAACTGGAAATGAATGGAGCAAAATTGAATGTCAGATCACCGCCCAAAGATTGACCAACGTTGCGATGAGAAGAAGCTGATGAGCGATGAGAGATGACCACAGGGTCTCGGGAGATGAAGAAGATGAGAAAGAAGACGAAGAAGATTTTTGGCTGGATACCGGCCGAAGACGAACGAAACGTACCTGTACAGTAACGGCGCTCTTGCCGACGCCACCCGCGCCCATCACCACCAGTGTGTATTCTCTGTGGGCCATCCTTCCTTCCTTCGTTGTCTGTCTTTATCAATCGGGTCCGCAGCTGCTGTTGTCGTGGTCGTTGGTTTGAGTCCGGGATAAATATTTATAATATTTATAATAACTAATAATTATTCCTTCGTTCTTCTCTCCTTCGTTCTCCTCCTCCTTGATTGTTTGTTCTTCGATGGGTCGGTGATAGCGATGGTGATGGGTTCTGCTTCCTCTCTTCTACGAATGGCAACCGAAAGGCGAGGTGGTGAACGTTATTGGGGGGGGGGGGCAAAGGAGCCCGCACCAAACAACGGTATCCACCTGCGCGCGTAGTCTCGCGGCCTCGAATGCACACACAAGGGAAACACACGGAAAATGAAACGCCCAACGAACGCCCGTTGTTTGCGCCCCTCGCACAGCCACGGTAACGAGGGGACTTCTGCCCCGTTGCCACACAGTAAATGAAATACTTCAAATTCTTGGAAAAAGCGCTGTACGAGCACCGCTTGAGTCAGGAATGTGAGTAAGCTCGGGCGAGCGGGTAACGAGACAGACGGTTGCGAGAGAACGCGCGGTTGCCTGAGCACACACGCGACGCGAGAGGAAGACGGTGAGCTCGAGAACAGTCAAGCTCACGTCTTCTTGGGAAGATCGATCCACCAGTAGTCGTGCGCGGCGAAGACGTTCTCCGCCGCGGCTATGTCGGGGCACTGGGCGCGGGTCTCCTCCAGCAGCTCCTCGATGGACGGCACCTTCTCCTCGTTCCACGGCTGTTCGTATCTGCACCATGATGGTCCATGTGAGCGGTCTATCACCTGCGGGCCGGGGAAGAACAAGCAAGGACTCCACGGGGAGAAGGTGACCTGGAGCTGAAGTGTGTGATGACCAACCGTTTGGCCTGTACACGTGCGGCAAACTGTCCCGCCATCACGCTGTACCGCGCAGCGGGTCAGGAACATCGTGTGTGTGTGTGTGTGTGTGTGTGTAACGGAATGAGACCGAGGGTGGCGTACGTGGTGGAGTGTCCAGTGTCCCTCGCCCGCTCCTCCATGGTGGCGTCGAATGTCGCCTCGTGTACCAGCAGATCGCAGCCTGCACCGTGGAGCCGGAACTGTGTAAGCTCTCTCTCCACCACATATGCAAGCAAGTGCGATCCAAATATCGGTAACGAACCCTTGGCCGCCTCGTCTATGCTGTCGGAGTTGTGCGTATCCCCAAGCAAGACCAGGCAGCGGCCCTCTTTGCCTGGTCGCTGTATTCACACATGGCTCACGCATGGCTGAGCTGACAGCGGGGAGCAGAATCAGGGCAATGAGAAGGGCGGAAAAGGGAGGGAAGAGTACGAGGCAGTCCGCGTGCGAAATGACGCGGCCATCGGCCAGTGTGACGCTCCCGCCCTTGGCCAGCTGCCCGATCTGTGGTCCCTTCGCTCCCATCGAGGTGGCAGTCGGGGCGTCGAACGTACCCTTTTCCGCTGGTTCCTGCGATCGTTCGCGCTTCAGAAATCAACACCTTCAACGGCAAACACTCGCCATACGCCTTGAACCAGAGCTTGACCAGGGGTAACGTAGTACCTTGAATACGTAGCCGAAGCATGGAACTCGATGGGTCAGCGGGTAGGCCCACACATGCCATCCGTCTGGCGTTGTGTCAGTTTGCGGCCGATCACGGAGGAGGGAGGGCAAACCGCAAGAATTGGGCGTCCAGTACCATCTTTCACGCCCAAGTCGTGCGGTTGGCCCTCGTCCAGCTCCGTATAGACGATGGGGAAGTTAAGAAACGACTGCGAGTGGGCGAACACGCCCTCGATCATCGCCCTGATGCCTGCGCAAAGTGGCAATTTGCACCGCAATTGCGCCAAACACGTCAGCAAACAAACTCTTGCGTCTTGGGGAGTCGGGAGCCAGAGCTTACCCTTCGGGCCGACGACCTCGAACGGGACCTTGCCGCCATCGACGTCCGATTGTCGCTTGCCGCCCTTCATCGCCAGCATCATCAGAAGTCCGAAAATACCGTAGCAATGGTCCTGTGGCGTAACAAAGACCCGTACGTAAGTGATTGTGCGCCGGCCGCACGAGGGAGATGGAGAGAGAGGGCGAGACGCAGCGCGCACCCCGTGCAGATGGGTGATGAATATCTTGTCGATCTTCTCAAAGGTGAGGCCGTGATGGATGAAGCGCAGCTGTGTGCCCTCACCTGGTATATCGTGCCAAAACCGGTCATCGCTCGGTGTAAAGCAAGGAGCGCAGCGGTGGAGAGCGGACAGGCGGTACATTACCGCAGTCAAGCAGCCACAGGCGATCGCTGGGGAAGCGAATGCACTGTGACGTTACGTTGCGGGTCGCGGTGGGCACTCCTGACGACGTGCCCAGGAAGTGAACCTGCACCGCTGCACACACCACCAACGTCAAGGTGAGAAATGGGGGGGGGGGTCGCACAAAGTAGCATGTTGGCGTGCTCGTGTATTCATTGTTACGCGGCAGGATGTACGAAGAGGCAGAAAAGCACCTCCAGCAGGCCGCTGCCGCCATTTTTGGTCCTTCTTAGAGGGGAAAAATCCACTAGGTGCTGTCTTACCTTCCTCCATCACGGCGCTTGTGGAGAAGAAAAGGCCAAAACTGAAAGTGTGCTGTCTGGCGAGGTAAAAAGAATGGCCAGTATGGGGATCGAACCCACGACCTTGGCGTTATTAGCACCACGCTCTACCAACTAAGCTAACCGGCCCTTGCTTGTGCGAAATCACTCCTCTGGAAGTGTGTCTCCAAATATTTTGTGGGACAAATTCCGTGAATTGCGGGCTTGCATTCTTCGAACAGCCGCTTCTGGTACGAGTTTGGGGGGGGGTTCCTTGAACATGGCGTGCCTAAATGCTTGCGATGGCCGGGGGTACCAAACACATCAACAATCCACTCAGCCGCAAACAAACAACCGAGCTCAGCTCACCACCACAACTACAACAATCATGACCTCGATCGTGTCCGGATCCGGAGCTGCGCGCGTCACCGACGACGTGCGCCAGGCCGTCCTGGCCATCAGCCGCCGCCAAGACCTCAACGCCAACTCGGCCAGCGGCGACGACGTGGTGCCCTTCTGCGTGCTCAAGTTCGTCGAGGGCTCGGAATCGACGCTCGCCATCGACATCCTCTCCACGCTCGGCGACGATAAGGCCGATGACCATCATCAGCGGGTGCCGTCTACCTGGGACCAGCTGGTGGCGAGCCTGCCCCGCGACCAGTGCCGCATGGCCCTCGCCCAGGTGCCGTGGACGGCCCACTCCGACAACGTCACCCGGTCGCGCCTGGTCTTCATCCTGTGGGCGCCCTCGCACGGACCCTCGATCAAGCAGCGCATGACGGCCTCCATGTTCTCCAAGGGCGTCGAGCGGATGGTCGAGCAGTGGGTGGGCATGCCTGTGAGGGTGGAGGCCGCCGGCGTCGACGATCTCGAACTGGCCGACGTGCGCGACAAGATCCGCTCCAAGGCCACCGTCAAATAGAAGCAGCCGAACTCCAGCCTGCGTGTGAATAACAAAGCTGAAGAGTAAACTATTCCTTCCGCCTTGCTTGGGGCCATCTGGGTGTTGGGCAGAAGAGAGTTATCTATTCCTTGGCTGGCCGCACGTGCGTCTACAAAAGGTCAAGGGTGGCACCAAAAAATTGGAAGAGGCGCTTGTAGGTCTCCTTGAGCAGGCGCTTGCCCTCCTTCACGCGGCCAACCATATAAAAAATGAAAGAGGAAGATGAGCGATGAACCAGAGTACAAAAGAGAGAGAGAGAGAGGTGCGGGTGATGAATGATATGTGGGTTGGTTGATTGGTATGCAGGGCACGTACCTTCTCGTCGTTCAAGCAGTCGGGCTTGGCCGGGTTCATGTTGGGCGGCCGACAATGTACTACCGCACGCACTCCCTTGATAGAGGGGAAAACAACCAACCCATCAGCGCGCAGCACAAAAGGCGGCATACAGTTAACAGGGGGAAGTGGCGCGTACTTGCTGCGAATATAGAGGCGAATCGGCGGGCAGGGGCACGGGATAGACCTGACCGCACTCCGAGGCGGTACTATACAGCTTCTTGGTCTCTGTGCGATGAAGTGAATGAAAGAGTGACGCGTCAGTCAATGCCGATCGACCGAAAATCACCTCATGGCGGTGAGCACCTTGCATGAGGCTTGGACCCGCGACTTCATGCACCATGCTAAGGGCGCGGTTGTAGTGTGAATGAGCGAGCGAGCGAGCGAGTGAGTGAGTGAGTGGTGAGTGATTGTAGTGAGCGAGTGAGTGACACAGCCTGGAGAGACAGAACAGCCGAAGCTCAGGTGCAAAGTTGCTTACCGGTTGGACACCGTTCCACCGCCTCGCAGCCGCCAATCCGTCTCCGTGGCCAGAAATCTAGTGACGATCAGAAAAGTGCGCGCAAGAATGAGCATTTTGCCTTCTCGCTAGCCTGTTCGACGAAGGGTGAGAGCGACGCACGCAGAGGAAAGAGAAACGTTATCCAGCTTAGTTATTGGCGTCGTAGCCACCGTAAACCGGGGATCAGGGATGCCCTTCTGCGCAATCACCCCCGATCAGTTTGCAGAATAAGCGTACGTTTTCTGAGAATTCGAATGAAGGGTACGTACCTCCTCAAAGAACACCAGGACGGGGTCCTGCTTGCCCTCCAGCACAAGCACGAGTCGAATGTCCTTGTCCGGCCTGGCACGCAGGAACTTCTTGGCCGTCTTCCTGATCACTGCAGCGGCCCGCTTGGGCTGCATGTCCAACATCGAGGTGCCGAACGACGGGAAAGCCAGGCTTTTCGCTCCTGTGGCCGGGGGGAGAGAGGTCAGCCCGCATGCGCGCCAGTGGATGGGGGGAGGAACGCGAAATTGAGGGTGGAGAGAAGGGCCTGCCTTTCGCGGTCGCGAGGGAGCCGGCCAGGGCCTTGCTGACCGTCTGCGTGGTGTCGGTCGCCGGTTGTTTCGCGGTGTTGCCGCTCTTTGGTTTGCCAGTCACGCTGGTGCTGGTGCTGGTGCTGCCTCTTTCGTCCTGGGAGAGCAGGGCGGCCAAACTCTGTGATCACGCGATGGTGGACCAAAGTACCTCCATCAGGCTTGGGGTCCGCGCCAAGGTGTCCAGTTGAGCACTGCTGGGTGGTACCTGGAGGGAGGGTGTCTTCTTGACTGGAACGTTGGCCGGCCGTGGTGGCTTGAGTTGCGGACTCGAGCTGGTGCCCGTTTGCTTGGGCGCTATCTCCTCCTCCTCCTAAGCACGGGCGAGGTGGTTCAAATAAAATAAAATAAAATAAAGTAAATACGATTACAGAAATAATGCACACCACACAATAGCCAGGCGCAGATCGGGCACGTACGTCTTCGTCGCTGTTGTAGTCAAGCACAAGGCGAGCGCCGGGAGCCACCTTGGTCGGACTGGCTGGGGGACTACGTGCAATAAGTGGATGAGACTCGCTGACTCGCACCACCCGCGTGCAGGTGGCAACGTACATGAGCTTCAGGGTCTTCTTGCCGCTCGGCGAAACGGTGGTCTGCGATTGAGCGGGCGCGCTGAACGAGGGCTTGCTGCCGCTGCTGCTGCTCTGGCTCGGCGCAGGCGTGGAGGGCTGTGCGGGCTTCGGCTTCTCGATCTTCTTCGGCGCCGGTGGTGGTACCTCGTCCATCCAATCACCTCCTTTGGGGATTTTGGGGCTTGGCTTCTTGGACTCGTACTCTAACGGCTTCGGCGCCTCCTCTTTCTTCTTCTTCTTGATGTCTTCTTTGGGAGGCCCAGCGCTGTCGCTCGTGTAGGCCTTCGGCGGTTTCTCCGTCTTGGTGGCTGGCTTCGCGGGCGCCGGTCCGTCTCTGTAGTCGGCTACGGCGGTGGGCTTCTTCGCCGTGGTCATCGACTTCGTCTTCTTCTCCAGCCACGGATGAGAGTTCTCCTTGAAGTGGGCCGGGTTCTTCCTGTAGCACGCCTTGCCGTAGGGACACACCGGTCGCTCATCTGCGCGCATCAAGCAATTGTTCAGCAGAAGCTCACAACCAACAAACAACAGACGATCCACTACGTGTAGGTCCCAAACTGGGACACGCGCATACCTTCTGGTTCCGAATCAATTTTTGGTCTTTTGCGTTCGGGCGACGCGGAGCGGCGGGGCGCATCCTCCGCTTCCTCATCATCATCTTGCGCCTTTCGCTTTGTGCCTGGAGAGCCGACATTACAACGAATCGAATAGTAACCAGGAGGAACCGGTCACGTGGTAGAGAGTGGGTGGTACCAAGCGATGATGGAGGCGTCGGTTTGGGTGCCGCAGCTGCGGGTGCGGCGGTAGGTGGAGACTCCTTCTTGCTGGCCTCGCACATATCACAGAACGTCGTGTAGGCCTCGTTCAGGAACGTGCATTCGACACACTTCCACTTCTTTTGGTTGGCCTGCTCGCTCGCTGGCTGGCCTTTCTTGTTGCCGTTGCCAATGCTCGGCTTCGCACCCTCCTTCACCGGTTCGACCCTCTTCGGTGCTGCCACGAGCGAAGTTATCATCGGCGCCTCCTTCGTGGGTCTCTCCTGGCTGCAGCGCAACACCGTGAACGGGTAGCAGTTGGCGACCTGACGAAAGCGCCTTGGATGAGCACAAAGCTTGGTCGCGTCGGCCTCGCGGCCATGGCCTCGCGGATGGCGTTGTGTGTGTGTGCGTGTGTTGTGTGTGTTGTGTGTGTGTGTGCGTGCGTGGTGCGTGGTGCGTGGTGCGGGTGACTTACAAGGGTGAAAACGTCGCCGTCTTCCAGGGAGTACTTCTCGTTCCTCTGCAGCATCACGGCCTCACCACCTGGCAAGACGACAATCTGAGCACCCAGCTAGGTGGGAGGTCTGTGAATGAACCGGTCCCTAAGTACCTTTGTCGGCGGCCCTCTTCAAATAGGCTGGGTTGACTCCTCTCTGCATGAGCGGAGACTCTCATTGAGTGGGAATGGGGCAGAGCCTATGGCGAGCCGATGGAGAAGTGTGGAGCGTACAGGGACAAGGCTCAGACTTCCGTTGCGCCCCAGCATCAGCTCGGCCTGCTTCCTGCTGCAGCGCTTGTCCCTGCCGCAGCGCAGTCAGACACAGAAAGAACAATATTATAAGTGGTTCGGGGGGGGGGGCGTACGAAGAGGGGACGCCACACAAACCGCGACCCAGCACCATGTCAGCACATGCATCGGACAGCTCGCCCACCGTTTTGCCTAAAGAGATTTGAATTTAAAATGTGGCTCATAGATGAAACTGCTGGAGCAATCGGGTTTCGGGAAAGCAACCTGTCGCATCTTTTACCCTAAATGCCGCAGGCTTATCCATCTTCGACGGGGCAGGAAGAATGCAGGCGTGGATTGTTTTCCACGCATAATTTGGAGAGGAGTTATATTTCAGGTGTGATGGCCAACGGAGTAGCATATTAATACTAAGCCGTCCTAGCTCAGTCGGTAGAGCGCAAGACTCTTAATCTTGTGGTCGTGGGTTCGAGCCCCACGGTCGGCTATCTCCTTTTTGCTTGCGCCTGTGGTACAAATTGCAGAGGTCTGCCATTCTTTATCTTTTTCACAAGTACGGGACTCTTTTTGCCGAAGATCACAGGTACGAGAACCTATTCGTCGCTCTATCTCCTTTATCGTGGGTGTCCTTGTGTCGCAAGTTGCACAGCCGGAGACCTGCCACGGCGATCCGAGCTCTGGGTCAGCTTGCCGCGGGGATGCTCTTGAGAGGCCTATGGACCAAGGGACAAGAAGAAGAATGGGTGGCGCTCCTATTGGGTGCAGGCGCATTCTGGTTGGTTGCAAGGTTTTCGCCAGAATACCTGCTATGCTATCTGACCACCAGTCTTCACTGCCTTTTCTTCATTGAATCCATACCGCCACACCACTTCGCTCCAGCTGCGTAAGACGCCTCACCATCAACAACATGAACCCCCACCACGGACATTCACACGCAGCAACTGTACGCCTCCTCCAACTGTTTGGCTCAACATCGTTCACTCATCCTATCTTGCTGTAAGATTTGGCAGGTCATTGTGGTGTGCCTCGCTCTAAGTGCTTTCACCCAAGCTTGGGCTTCAGCGCCAAGCTTTCACGGCTCAACCTATCAACACCAGAGCGCATCAGGTAACGATGCCTCCCTAAGAGCCTCTCTGCCGACTTGCTGATGGCAATCACATCGGGGGGGGGGAACAGACAAACAGAAGCAACTGTGGTCTACTTTAGCTGCCAACCACGATTCGAACCCTTGGCCCAACACATTGGAGGTAGTGGAGCTCTTCTTTGAGTCCATGAACCTCACCTTCGCCGCAGGTACCCGATGCACCCTCCCTCCTTATCAGTTATCTTGGTCTTATCTTGCCTCAGGGCGTGGTTACATGTATCACTTGAGCGCGCACAATAGCCGCCAAAATAGTCATTGCATCTGCGTTGCAACAAACTTCTGCGACCCAGATTTCCTGGTGTTGCGTGGGACTGTGTCCAATTTAACTCGCGACCAATCCCTTGTTTTTATTCCAGACTGGGACCAAATGCCGCCCAATGAGCTCAAGTTTTGGCCGTATAAGACTGGATACACGCGCACCAAGCTGGCGCACGCCCAGGGAGCCGTGGCGATGGTCGAGTGGGTCAGCAACGGGAGCCACAACTACACCGGCCTATTCCAAGGGGTACGGGCCTACCCAGAAATCACAACAACAGCACAAGTTAAGCTCCAACTCGACTCCCTCAGGCCCCTAGCGGTCTGATTCGTTTGTCCCTGGGCGGTCCGCCCAGCCTTGACCCCGCCAGTCCCTCCATGGTGCCTGGCATTGGCCTCAAATTCCTCAGGAGTGGCATGGAGGCCACCAACCTCTTCGGTCTCTACGCCCTGGATGGTATGTCGAATGATGTCTGCAGCGGGGTGTTGTCTGCCCCTATCACTCACTCCTCACTATTCGCCATGCTTCGTCTCCACAGGACAGAGCAGCTTCAACTTCTTCGAACACGATCTCACCAGCCACCCTCCCGAGCTGGGAGTCAACGCCTCCTACTTTGTTCGCAAAGTGCGAGATGTGTTCGCCACCGCTTCGGCCTTCCCCTCCATGCGTACGTCTGCCTTCCCCGCCGCCATCCGCGTATCTCTACTTGAACTCATCTTCGTTGTTCCCCCCCCCCAAAGTTGGTTCGTCCGACTTCGCCAGCTTCACTACCAACGGACAAGCTGTGCAGTCGCCCAATTTCCCCTTTCGTCTGGTATGACGCACCACCCATCCCCTCCTGACAGCTTCTCACCGACCTGACCGTATGCATCGCATCAGGTGTTCCACCCGACGGCAGGGTACCGCCTCAAGCTGAAAGGCACTGCCCCGACCGCCCAAGTGCTCTCGGTGGTCGCCCAGGCGCTGGTGCCGGACACTGTCCTTTATGAGGTCCACGCCCAAGCCACGCCCTACAGCGACGCCCTCAGCCCGATCGGCTCACTCGTTCTTCGCAGCCCCTGCTACACGTACGAGCCCACCTCGATTCCCTCTTCTTGGTCTTCTGGACGACGGTCTTGACCTCCCACATGCGCGTGCTGCAGGTCGGCATTCGGCGACAAGTCGCTGTTCATGCAGCACGTGCGCATGGAGAAGGACCTCGCCCTGCGGCCCGAGTGGCTGGCGGCAACACAGGCCATCGTCCGTTTCCAGCAGAGCCAGGGCCAGTACTACTACCCCGACCTCCCCTGGAATTAGTAGTGTCAAGAGACCATCCACCGGGTGTTACATTCGCAGGTCAGACGTGACGAATACCTTTTCATTCACTCAGACACCACTGTACATACGTTCCTCAATCATCGACGCACATACTCTCAAACCACTGTCGCCAGCGCTTGTCGAAGCTGGCGTTCACCAGGAATTCGGCCTCGGACCAGAAGCCCACCAACGTGGTGTCCTTCCACGCGCCCGCGGTGTCTTGTTTGCGCCATTCGGAGAGCTTGAAGCGCCGGGTGACGTGGTTGTAGTCGAACGCAAGCCCGGTGTCCGCGAAGCTCGCTACCCAGAACTGCGCCTGCAAGCGCACGCGCACGATGCCGTCGGGGGAGGTCTTGGCCTTGGCCCGGCACCACCGAAGTCGTGAGTCGGCCCAGCACGGCGGGCGCCAGGCCGCGAGGCGCGCGATCATCACCACCAGCTCCGGCGGCAGGTTAGACAGCGGAGAGCCCGCGTCACTGGCGCCGACCCACAGCAGGCGCAGCTGGCCCCAGCTCGCCGCCGTGTAGCGGGCCACGCGGTCGTCTGGGGCGGTTCGTGGCTGGGGCTTGGTGGGCCTAAGGTGCCTCGTCATCGACGTGCCAATGCTGTGCGACCCGCACCGAGAGCACCTCGACCGCTGCGTGCCAAGGGGGAGGTCGCACTGTTGGCACAGAAAGCCACCCCCCTGTTCATGCCGGTTGCACGTGAGCTTCTGGAGCTGCCCCATCTAACACCGGGGGGGGGAGCGTACCACACCCCTGCTATATAGGTCCATGCCTCGTCAGCTGCTTGTAACGTACGGCGCTTGTTGTGTTCTCGTGGCCCTTCCAGCTTTGTGCCTTTTAACCGAAAAGAAGATGGAGAAGGGTGCGGGGTCATGTGCTGGCGTTGTGGGGCTGACATTGGAGTGCGGCACGGGGCATGCCCGCACCATGCGATGTGTCGAGTGCTGCTCCAACGGTGTCGTTGACGTTTCTGCTGGTTGCGCCCCCCCTTCCCTTTTCCTGTGATCAATCTTTTCCTTGCAGCGTTCATCCTGTTTGGCCCTCACAGGCGCCCACTCTGCGTGGTCGGCACTATGGAGCACCTCCACAACGCCTCTGGTGCGCACAACCATGGCCGTGTACACTTCCAGTTGCTGACGCACTCGGGCGCAGGTGAGCAACAAGGCTTTCAACTCCGGTTCCAAGTCGCTCACCTTTGGTCAGTGCGACCTCTCCCTCTTCGCCCACGTCATGCACGCGTACGCCACCCGCGCCTGCATCGATGCAAGCTTGGGCATGACCTGTTGCGTGCGCAGGATCAAGACTGACGCGGAAGCCGAAGGGGAGGACCTGACGCAGTGGGAGTTCGTTGACCTGGGCTCAGGCATGGGCCGGGTCGTGTTTGCGGCTCACCTGCTATGCTCCTTCCACAGGAGGTGCGTCCGCCTCCCCCTATGAGCCTCCTGGACGTGATCGCGCGTGTGTCTCATTCGTGTGTGGGTAGTGTGGGGATCGAGCTGGTGCAGGACCTGCACGCGATCGCGCAGGCCAAACTGGAAGTGTTCCTCCTCGAGCCGAAGGGAGAGGAGCAGCAGCAGCAGCGAATACGCTTCGTCCACGGCGACATACTCGAGCAGGACTGGGCGGAAGGAGGCGAAGAAGAGGGAGAGCGGAGGAGGAAGAAGGTGATCTTCGTCACGAGCACCTGCTTCACGGACGAGCTATTCGAGCGGGTGGCGCGCAAGGCCGGTGGCGGGCTGGAGAAGGGCGGGTGGCTGGTAACCTTCACCAAGGAGGTGCCGCCCGCGTGGGGCCTCCCGTTCGTTCTACGGCGGCGCTTCTCTCGCGTCAAGGTCAACTGGGGCTCGGTCAGCGTGTTCCTCTACAAGAAGGAAGAGTGCTGACGAGCACAGGAGAAGGAAGAGTGTCGATAAAAGGTCGTTCTTCTTCTTCTTCTTCTGTGTAGAGGTGTTGACTTTGCTGCGTGCGCTCATTAGTCGGCTTCGGGCTGGGCGGAACCGCCGGAGCCGCCCCTGCACTTGGCCTTGATCTTGGCCACCTCCTTCCTCGCCGGCTTGACGTAGAACAACTCGAGTCCCTTGAGCGGCCTCTGCTTGTACTCGTCCCTGATCTGCACCGACGTGCGTGCGACAAGGCAGCGGATCAGCCAAAAGCGTGAAGGTTGCGAACGCGTCAGTTAGTTGTACCTTCTTCTGCGCCTTCTCCACGGCTGGGATCTCCTTCATCTTGGTCTCGATCATCTTTTGCCTGCGCAATGGAATGAACGTGGTGAGAATCGCCTTGTTGCTCCATCGACCGGCACTGCCACAGCTGCGTAGCAGAGCATCGTGGAAGTGTGGAGGTGTACCTCTTGGCAATGGTCTCGGGGCGCAGGCGCTTGTGCCCCTTGTACAGCGGCTTGTCGGGGTTGCGCACCTTAGTGACCGAGTAGTTGGCCGCCGGCTCTTCCCAGGGCCGGCCATTCTCGAGGTGCTCGTTTCGCAGCTTGGCAAGGTGCCGCCGAGAGATGAGCGGCTTCCGCCAGCTGCCGTTAATCAGCTGTGGACGCGCCGCCAAGGCGATAGGGATGTTCCTGTATCAACGTGAAGTACACAACTGTCAATTAAAGAACCATCTCTGGAATGCGTGGGGGGGGGACAATTTGATTGTTGTAATCATCGGAGGTTAATTTGGCACAAGCGCGTCGCGTCGCGTACCATCGCTGCCAGTTGGGTCCGGTGGCACGGGCAGCCACGCTACCAAGCCCCTCCGATGCAATCACTCTGTTCATCGTTTTGGATTTGGATTGGCTCACAAAAGAAATCAGAAGAAAAAGGATTTCAGATTCCATTTAAAAAAATGATTAGATGTTGTATATCAAAAGTGATTCTGTACATGGCCCATGGGCTGCTAGCTAAGGCCCTATTCTCTGCACGGTCTCGGTGCCGGGCAGATTCAGCATTTTGAGCTGCTTGCGCGCCATGCCGAGTCGGCGTTCGATGGCATCGACCTCGAATCGGGACATCTTGGCTCCCTCTTTGAATTCATCGCGCACCCGCCCCAACAGCGAATCGCGGCCTGGCCCCTCGGGTCGCTTGTACGCGCTCATCATGAATTGGCGGTACAGACTCAACACTTGCTTCTGCAATCCTGAGTGTTTCCTCACTCTCTGCGACATCACTGGTTGCCAGCTAGCTTCTTGCTCTCTCCGCACGTTTCTTTTCTTGCCGTCTTGTCCTGTGACGCTTGCTTGGGTATGATCACCTCCAATCAATCGATCTTGAAATGACGAACAGCGTGCGATTGATTCGACGAAACAGATGCGGACACAAAAGAAAAGTGTTTTCTCTCTTATTTTCCTGCGTGATGACGCGGCACCGCCCTACAGGCACAGCAAGACAACCCTTCGCACACTTGTGCTACACTCAGCGGCGCCAGTAAGCACCAACTTGTTGTGGTTTAATACCCCCCCCCCACCACTACTACGGCATAGATGGAGCGTCTCTTTGTCCTCTTGTTGGTGCTGTGTGCCGCGGTTGGCCTGGCCAGCGCCGGAAGGCTAGTGCGACTGAACGACGACAACCTCGAGCGCCACTTTGGGGAGTCCATCGGCAAGGATTGGGTCATCCTCTTGTACGTAGCACCTGCACACCTCATGTAGATTTAGATGCCGCAGCTAACACGCTGACCCCACTCAGCGGTAACAAGAAGACCACCGACCCTGAGCTTGTCCAAACCTTCCAAGCCTTTGCCGAAGCCGAAGGCTACTTTGTGGTGGGCGCCGTGGACTGCCATTACGAGCCTGGTACGCTTCACTTACTTAAGTTCAAGCTCGCTGTGCGCCACCGGCACTGAACGGCAGAAATGTGGGGCACACAGACCTCTGCCTTGACTACGAGATCAGCAAGCGCTCTGGCCCAGTCATTATGTTGTACGGTTACCAAACCTTCAAAGCGCAACACAGCGCACATCTCACCCGAGTTCTTCAGAGTGACCGCTGCAGGCGACCGCATCAAGTACTCTGGCGAGGAGCAAACGCCAGAGGCGTGGAAGGAGTGGGCCTACAAGGTTCGCCACGGCAGCGTAGCTCACCCACAACACCTGGAACGAATCCGTCTCGAGCGGCGAGTGGTTTGTGAAATAGTACGTGAATTCTCCAGCTGCTGATTGACATTGGACACAAGACCTTATGACTTACCAACACCTCCTCTCGGCACATAGTTACGCTCCGTGGTGCGCGCACTGCAACCAAATGGCGCCCATGTGGAGCCAGTTCTCCGAAGAACACAAGAACGATTTCAACGTGGCCAAGTTCGACTGCACCGTGCCTGAGCATGCGAGTACTGCCCCACCTCCACTTCTCGAAACAACTTTCTCCGCTCACATGCTCTTTCCCCCTTGCTCAGGCATCTGCGAGGCGCAGCTGATCACGGGCTACCCCACTTTCGTCTTGTACTTGAGCCTCACTTCCGCTTTCAAACGAGAAGCGAGGACTGATCTGTTTTCCTCTTTCGTGTTTGTGACTCTCTGTCTCTTGTTTTGAAACAGCTACATCGATGGTGAGCGGTTCCCTCACACAGGCGAGCGGAACATGGAGATGTTCCTGCGTACCGCGACGAGAGCTCGCCTGGGCATGCTGGACTACGACGAAGGTGAGGAAGACAGAGACGAGCTGGCGCCCAGTTTCGGAATCCCCGAGGATAAGAAGAGCGACCCCTACGACGAACTTTAAAGTATACTGATCGATAGACACTGTCCCCATGACTGTGACCAGCTCTCCGGGCGCGTCGGCCAACACTCACAAGGTTGCCAATTACTGTAGACAAACTGAAAATTCATTTTCAGGCCAATTATCAAATCATTTCTTTTTCGGTTGGGTCGTACAAGAGCCTTGGACCAGGATGCAGGCCTACGTCGTTGAGGACGAGGGGGCAAAGGAGCAGAGTTCCTTTAGCATCCCACCTTTGCAAGGTCTCCAGAACAGAACTGCTTCCTTGCCTTCGCAGTCAACAAACAGTATGACCATCCAATTTTTCAAGATTTTATCCAAAAGCTGAATTTACAAATCGATATGATCAGTTTCTCGGCTGCGCCTACAATCGAGCCATGTTGCAGATAAATCATCACATAAATCAAGGCCAATAATCTTCAAGTCATTTGCTCTTTACTGGACTAATGCTGTTTTTATGTGCCTACAGCACGGGTGAGCAACCACGCCGTAAAGGAGCCCGAGAAGCGAGACTGGAATGAAGAGTTCCAGAAGCTGCTGGAGTTCCCAACCAACACGCCTCAGGAGGTATGCTGGCCTTCAACAAAGAACACTCTTGCTCGGAAATGGCTGACCGTGCTCTCTCTCGTATCATTGGTGTCGGCTGATTGCAGGCGGCAGAGCGGGCCATGGCGATCAAGAGTTTCGCTGATGGCTTTGTCAAGACAGCGCGCCCAATCGCGCAGACCATCATCAGGGAGAGATCTCAGCCGGTGCACACACAAACTTACAAGCCTGTGCCCGATGGTGCGCTCATCCAATCTCCACCTTCCCCTCTAATCGCTATGTTAACGTTCGGTTTGGGATTGATTTGCCGCCACCACCACCAGGCAAGGCAGCAACCTACAATGTCGATGGCATGACGTTTCAGTTCCCCACGGGCAGCGACGGCTACCCGTCCACGGCGGAAGAGGACCTGAAGAAAGAAGGACACTACATGAAGTCACTCATCGCCTTGCTGTCAAGCGGAGTGGATCGAGTCGCCCTGCCCATGACTTGCCTCGTCCAGCACTTGGTACGCTTGCAGCTGCTTCTTACTGTGCGTACCACTGCCCGCGACCAACAGCTCGGCCTGCTAACGCTTCTCTCTTGGACTTGCGCAGGGTTTTGCTCTGCGGGTGAGCTCAAGTGCGCCCTTCGGCCAAGCGGACCTGGTTTACGGTACTCCTGGGCCTTTCACCAACGCTTGACCATCCGTGACCTGCGGGTTCATCTCGCCGTGAGCCCTTCGCTCACCCTGGCATCGGGGCATTTTCCCCAGGGGCGGAAGAAGGCGAGGACTTCAAGGACACCAGTCCGACTGGGCGAGCCATAGTGACGAACATCTGCTCCGTATTCAACATCAAGGTAACCACCACCGAACTCTCTCAACTCCACTTTTTAAAATTCACTATACACGCGTACGCCACATTAGCCCCAGATCATCGAAGCAGGTGGCGCGACTCGGGAGGTGTACATACCAGGTACGCCTCTGAGTTCCACCTGTTGGCCGTTTTCCGGTCACATGGCAGTTCCACCTCTGATGACAATCGTCTCTAGGGGTGCGGGTCTACTTGGGCAAGGACGGCAGGTACTACTTCGCCTCGCTGGAGAACCTCCTGCCCCAGATGCTGGAGCACGGTGCCGTGCTTCATCGACAATACATACAGCGGCTGCCGAGCCCTCTGTCTGTCGGGTACACACTCGCTTTTCAGTCGCCGGAGCGGTTGCATGGCGGCGTCTGACGATGACCATGAGGACTGAGGCTTACGTCAATTTTATTGGTCTCCCAGTGACAAAGAAGCAATCAGAGCGGCCGGCAAACAGCTCGAGGAAGTCAACCTGGAGGCCTTCGCCGCTAAGTTGAGTGACCGTGAGTTCACGCTTACGCTCGCCCAGCTTTTTGACGAGCTCCACAAAGAAGGTACTGTCTTTTATGGACGTTGTTGTTGCGGCGCCAGCCACACAACCAAAAGGGTGTGCTTACATGACACACACACACACACAACCAAAAGGGATCAACATGTGCTTTCTCGGCCGACTGAGGAGCAAGGTCACGTCCAAGCGTATTTCGCGTCTCCTGCTCGAGAAGGCTGTCACCCGAACCGTCAACAAACACCTTCACGAAAAGCTGAGAGCAACGGGTGACACCACTCCTCAGGTACCCGAGCCAGCAGGCTTGCTTCTCCCCCGCAGCTCTCTGCTGATGCTTCAGGCCGCTCACACCACCTTGGCTCCCACACCACCCGGGCAGACTGTGCTCGTGGAGTACTTTGATCTGGTTTTCAGGCCGAGCGAGGAGTCGACGGCGCTGTGGGAAGGCGAGATTCGGCAGCGCCTGGAGACCAAGTTTCCCGGTGTGCTTTCGTCCGGTGAGAGGGCCTCGGAGTCTGGCTGGAAGCTGCGGGCGAATGTAAATATGCGCGACCTGTTCGTGTCCCTCTCGCAGCGGAACGGAATCCAATGGAAGGAGGGCACCGCCGAGCGGGTCCTGGAGAACGGCGCGACCGAGAGCCTCGCCGACGCCTTTGTCGCCGCTGAATCCACTGGTACTGTTACTACTGTCAGCTTCCGCCTGCTTTTTGATCCCTCTGAGAACCTCACATCGCGTGCTCACGTCGTGCAGTGAAACGATTCGAAGTCGCATTCGGCGAGACCCTGCACGCCCTGGGGCGTTACGACGACTCAGAGCTGGTATGCACCTCGGCCCGTAGCTTCGGCGAGCAGAGATGCCGTCATCGTCGTCATCATTGCCGGCCGGTTCTAATGATCCTATCATGATCGCTGCAGGTGCACAAGGAGAGAATAGCTCAGAGGGAGGCCACGGGCGACCCCATTCTCACCGCAGCCGCGGTGTTCCACCTGGCCTGCTTCTACAAGGCCAACGAACGGTACGGCGATGCCGAGGAGCAGTTCAAGAAGATGGTGTCGTTGGCCGAGAAGGTGCGGCCGCCGACCACCTCCGCCGCGGGCGGGCTATCTTCGCCCCGTGGCGGCACTGCGGCCTCGTCGCGAGGCCAGGTCCACGTGGCTACGGCCCTCCTGCATCTCGTGGACTTCTACTTCTTCTGCGGAAGGTACCTTGCGCCTTGCTCCTTCGCTGCAACGATCATCTTCTTTTGCTTTTCGCTCTCGCGAGGCCTGACCACCATTCATTCGCCTGTTCACGTACCATCCAGGTTCAACGACGCGGAGCCGGTGCTGCAGCGAGCCATGGACATTAGACAAAAGAACCTGGGCAGCGCTCCGCTGGACTACGCCCTCTGCTTGGAAAAGGTGTGGACCCATTTTTAATCTGTGGCGGTTCGGGTGATGCTGACCTGGGTGCGCTTTGTTCTAGGTGGCGCGCATGTACCGGGTGATGGGCAAGTACACCGAGTCGGAGCGCATGGCCAAGCGGTCGCTCCAGATCTACATGGAGTCTCTGGGTGTCGACTACCCCGCGATCGAGCAGCGCAACACGTACCCTAGCCCCCCCCCCATTGGCCCCTCCATTTCGCGAGGTCTCTGCGCTGACTGTGCTGTGCTTTGCGATTTCACTTTTTTTTTAAAAAAACAAATGACCGACATCTCCAGCGCGGCCTTCGTACACTTTCTGGAGGGCAACTGCGCAGCCGCGGAGGAGGGGTTCAAGAATTCGCTCGCCGCGTCGGAGCGAAGCTACGGGTCTTCGCACCTGTGCGTCGCCCAGTCCCTCGCCGACCTGGCCATCTTCTATTGCAAGGTCAAGAAGTACAACGAGGTACATGTCGACAACCGCTCCTCTCTCTCTCTCTCTGTGTGTGTGTGTGTGTGGTGTGTGTTGTGCTCTCTCGAGCCCGCTAAGTGCCGGTGACAGGCGGAAGCACTGTTCAAGCGCGCCATCACTATAAGGGAGGAGGTGCTGGGAGAGAACAACACACGCATGGCGGCCTCCCTCCAGCAGCTCGCCTATCTGTACACCGCGCTGGGTCGCTACTCGGAGGCAACCGACCTGTACAATCGATCGCTGGCCATCTTGCAGAGCTGCCTCGACTCCTCGCACCCGGACATCACCGATGCCCTCAACAAGCTCGCTTGGCTGCAGCTCAAATGCGGTACTCGTCGGCTCAACAAACGCATTATTACGGACATTGTTCGCAAGCCGTCACAACTCATTCAACACTGTGGACACTGTGCAGGAAATATCAAAAAGGCTGATGAGATCTATGGCAAGCTGTCCGAGGACAACGAAAACAGCCTGGGCAAGGAGGTAACATTTGCGCCCCTGAATCGTCATCGTGCCTTTGCTTTGCTGGCTGGCTCACGTGATCTGTGATCTGCAGCCACCGACTATCGTACGCACGCTCTGGGAGCTGTCAGAGTTGTACCAGGCGCTGGGTACGACTGCTCCGTCCCTGGATCCAGTGCCCGACCAAACGCAAACAAACAATTAATTCTCTCTTCTTGTGACACAGGTAAATACGACCAGGCAGAGGAGGTGATCAAGCGCGCACTCATCATCAAGCAAAACACGCCCGGTCAAAGCGTCACTGACATTGCCGAGGTATGCAATTCACCCTAAGCCCTCTTTTTTGAACCGTTTTCTCGCCTGCCTGGGCTAAGCGCCGCGGTCTGACGTATTTTATTTTATTGCAGTGGCTCAACAATCTTGCGGAGCTGCACTACCGCAAGGGCAACTATGGCGAATCACTTTTGCTCCAACAGCGCTCTCTGGACATCAACATCAAGACCTTTGGCCACAACCACGTTCAAGGTACCGTCCATCAAAATGATGAGGCAAGCCTTGCTGATCGGCCTCAACTCATACGCGCCCTCTCTCTCTCTCTCTCTGTGTGTGTGTGTGTGTTGCGTGTGTAAAGTGGCGGAGGGACTGCACAACATGGGCAACCTCTCCTACCGTCAGGGGGACTACGAGACAGCGGAGGAGCTCTACAAGCGGTCTGTGGCGATCAAGGAGCACATCCTGGGCCGGCAACACCCCGGTACGGGCTTTCTAGCAGTCTGCGATCTCATACGCTGCTCTTCTCGGCCGGGGGCTTACGTGATTAACGTGCGCGTGCGTGTCTAGACATTGCGGAGTACATGCACACCTTGGCGTATCTGTACACCACGCAGGGCAAGTACGAAGAGGCCAAGGGCCTGTACGAAAAGGCCTTTACCATCCTCCTGCAGACCTTTGGCATGGTATGTACCACTCTCTTTCTTTCTCTTTTCCCCCCTTCAACTACACACAACATTTATTAACCGTAGGATCTTTGTGACGCTAGGATCATCCGCTGATGGCTCTGAATCTCAACAACCGTACGTACAGCTCACTTTACGTCAGTTATCAAGGAGGAGTGCGGACTCCTTGGTTCTTACGATTTGGTCCATCATGGACGCGGCGGCAGTGGCTTGGATTCATTTCAAGCAGGCACAGTACGGCAAAGCCGAGGAGCTCTACAGCCAATCCCTTGCCATTCGTGAGAAAACATTCGGCAAGGTATGACGTCACGTTCCCCACCAACCGTCCAATGAACGAGCTCCTGACAATCTTCTTCTTCTTCTTCTTCTTCTGCAAAGCGGCATCCCGATGTTGCCCGGAGCATGCACGACTTGGCCGAGCTGTACCACGAGCAGGGCAAGTACAAGCAGGCCGAAAAGCTGGTCCACAAAGCCCTGGTCATCCGCGAACAGTTGCTCGGACCCGATCACTCCGACGTGGCGCGCAGCTTGACCACCCTCGCCAAACTACACTTTTCCCTGGGCAGGTGCGTAGCCCCATCCCCCTCCTCTAGTGTTGATCGTGTGTGTGTGTGTGTGTGTGTGTGTTCTAACACTTCTCTCTCTCTCTCTCTCTCTTGTAACATGTTAGCTACACCGAGGCCAAGAGGGAGCACAAGCGGGCGCTGAAGATCACTACGCAGTTGCTGGGTCCCAACCACATCAAGGTGGGGCAGAGCCTCCACGATCTGGCCAAGGTGTACTACCGCCGGGGCACCTATCAGCGGGCCGAGGAGCTGTTCCAGCGGGCGCTGCAGATCCGGGAGGCCGCTCTGGGCACCAACCACCCGGACGTGGCGCAGACCAGGGCGTCGTTGGCCTACCTATTCACCACCCTCGGCAAGTTCAACGAAGCTGAGGAGTACTACAAGGTAAAGCGTCGAACCCCATTTGCACACAGGCAACTGGCCAGTTCTCATTTGCGGTGTGCGGTCGTGTGCGGTGGCGTGTGCGGTCGTGTGCGTCGTGTGTTGTGTGTATCGCAACTGGGTACAGAACGCGCTGTCCATCATGGAGTCCTGCTTCGGAAGCGACCACCCCGAGGTGGCCCAGAGCTACAACGCCCTCGCCTGGATCTGTACGCGAAGCACTTCCTTCCTTCGTGTCTGGTTATTTTTTACGAACGTATGGTGTGTGGTGTCTGTGTCGCAGACTACCGGCAAGCGCGCTATCAGGAGTCAGAGGAGCTCTACAGGCGCAGCCTGGACATCCGCAGTCGGTACCTGGGCGAACACCACCCGGACACCGCTCGTTCCTTCCACGGTTCGATGCCCTCCATCTCCACCCTCTTGCGGGGCTGCCTCCTCCTCCTCCTGCGTCTTACACTTGCTACACCCCAGATCTGGCCATGATCTGCCTGGCGCAGAGCAAGTACACCGAAGCGGAGGACCTCAACGAACGCGCTCTCGCCATCCGCGAGAAGGTCTTTGGCAAGACGCACGTACGTCGTTAGCTCTCTCGATCGACCGCGGCTCCACTTTACTTAGTTATTCACGTGTCGCTGTGTGTCGTGTGTCGTGTGTCGTGTGTGTGATGTTGTGTGTCTCAGGTGGAAATTGCCTACAGCATGCATAACATCGCCGAGCTGTACTTTGCAAGGAGCAGGTACGCCAAGGCCAAGGGGCTCTACAAGCAGTCCATGCGCATGCTCGAGATCGTTCTGGGCGAGGACCACATCAAGGTGGCCGTGCCCATGGCCGGCCTGGCCAAGGTGCACTACAAGCTGGGCGAATACCAGCAGGGTACGTCACGTGCTATTGCGAGATGTGACATGCAATAATAATAATGATGATGATGATAATAATAATTTTTGCTACTATTTTTCTCCACCGTGCAGCAAAACCGCTCTACCAGAAGGGGTTGGCCATTCAGGAGAAGACCATCGGCAAGAACCACCCCAACTGCGCCGCCTCGCTCAACGATCTGGCGTACCTCTACGCCACCCGAGGCCACTACCGCAAGGCGAAAAAGTACTCTTTCTTCATCTCCCGTCGCAACCTACAGCCACCGGATCGTTTATTGTTGTTGATATTGTTATTAATTTATTTATTTTAATCAGATACTACCAGCGGTCCCTCGCCATTCTCCAGTCGTCCTACGGCGGCACCAATCATCCTGAAATCGCGCTGGGCCTGTCATCGCTCGCCTGGGTTTACTACAAGGTGCGCTGTGTTCTACGTCTTAGCCATCACCACACACACACACACGACACACACACACCACACACACGACACACACACAGCATGCCGAGGATTTACGATCGTCGTGTCTGCGTATCTGTGGAACAGAGGGGAAAGTACAACCGCGCCCATCTGCTGTACAAACAGTCCTATAAGATGCGAATCGCCGCTATGGGGCCGGAGCATCCCTTGGTCGCCCGCTCGCTGCACGAAATCGCCGAGCTCTACCAGAAGGTACGAGAAACCCCCTGTTGTCGGCCCTCCAATTCATTCAAGCTACCACACACCGTACGGACCGGCCCTCATGCCCTCCGCTCCTTGTGACGCCTCACAGATCGGTAAGTACGAAGAGGCCGAGACGTTGAACAAGCGGGCGCTCTCCATCCGCATGAAGGCTCACGGCACCTCGCACCCCGACGTCGGTATGCCGCCTCTCCAACTAACGACACACACACACACACACTCACACACACAATCGGCACTTCGCTGACATGAGCGTGTTTTCTGTCTGCACGGCTGGTGACGCATCGCCACAGCTCGCAGTCTGTTCAACACGGGCGTGCTGTGCTACTACCAGGGCAAGTACAAGCAGTCGGAGGAGCTGCACCTGGGGGCGCTGCGAAACCTGGAGAAGGCCTACGGTCAGAACAACCCCAAGGTGGCCCAGTGCCTGGACGAGCTGGCCAAGACCTGGGCCAAGATGGGCAAGCACGACGACTCCAAGGTCTATCTCCAGCGTGCGCTGGTATGTACACACCCAGTCGTTGTGCGTGAACGTTCGGCGCCCATTGCTGACCGCACCCGGTTTGGTCGCGCAGACCATTCGTGAATCGTGCCTGGGAGGACGACATCCCGATTGTGCCGAGTCGCTGCACCACCTGGCCTACCTGGCAGCCACACAAGGGTGCGTCACACGTGTTCCCTTCTCGTGCGTGCGTGCGTGCGTGCGTGCGTTGTTTGTTGTATACACTGACACTTGCGAACGCAGGAAATACGCTGAGTCGGAGCAGTACTACACCAAAGCGCTGGAGATACTTAAGGTGCGGCCTCGGTCGTCACTTGGTTGGTTGGTTGGTTGGTTTGGTGGGCTCACAGCAGCGGAGCTCATCGTTTGACGCATCGTACAGGGCACCTTTGCCACGGAGGACCACCCGGAGATTGCGACCACGCAAGCCGGTACGCAGCTGGATACCCTCTGAGACCCGGAAAGGCAAAGTTGAGGCCTATGTCGTACTGACCGTGCATGGGTGCTCGGTGGGGGCAGATTTGGCGTGGGTGTATTTCCGCCAGGGCAAGTACAAGGAGGCGGAGGAGCTCTACGTTCAGTCTCTCAAGGTCCGGCAGACAGCCCTGGGTGATTCTCACCCCGACGTGGCCAGGTACTCCGGGCTTCTTGCCAGTTTCCTTTCTATTTCTTTCTTTCCTTCAAGTTCGCCACCACTCACCCATCTTTTCTTTTCTCTTTCTCTTTTTCCTTTTGAAATCAAACAGAGGCCTGCACGACCTGGCCGAGCTGTATCAAAAGCTGGGCAGATACGAAGAAGCCGAGCCGCTGCACCAAAAGTACGGTTTTGGACAATTGTGCACGTCCCTTGATGGGACGTCGACTAATTTCTCTTTTCCTCTCTTTGCTCTTTCGCGTTCCTTCTCTTTTTGCGTGCAGAGCACTCAACATTCGCGAATCCATTTTCGGCCGACTTCATGCCGACACAGCGCGCAGGTACTGCCTTGAGTTCCAAGTTGAGCTTCACGTCGCTTGTGGAGCGGGAGCGTCTCACTTTTCTTCTTCCCCCCGGCGCCTCGCACTGTGCGTAGTTTGAACACGCTCGCCGTACTGTATCAGCTCCGCGGCATGGACGAAGAGTCGGAAAAGCTTCAGCTCCGGTCCATCGGTAATTTCTCATTCCCCCCCCCGTTGTGCGCTCCTCACCACAGCAGAACTGCGCCCTGACCAGCCTCTTCCATGTGCGCGCGCATGCGTGATTGGTGCGTGACGTACGCTCTACCCGCCCAGAGGTGCTCAAGGAGGTGTTTGGCGAGAGCCACTCCAAGGTGGGTTCGAATGCGCTCTCACCTGTGTAACAATGCGCATTCGCGGGGCTGATGTGCTGACCCGAGCTCACGATGATGTTTTTTTTTCTTCGCCTGAACAACAGTTGGCCAAGGGCTACGCTGATCTGGCTGCGCTGTATGCGCGCAAGGCCGACTACGAGCGCGCCGAAACGCTCTACCAGCAGGCCCTCGACATGCGCGCCCAGACCCTCGGCCCGACCCACCCCGACTACGCACAGGTAATACACACCACGCACACACACACACCACCATCACACATCGTCACACTCACCCGTCACTACGCGCGCAGAATCTTCTGGAGCTGGCGGAACTGTACACCAAGCAGGGTCAGTACGAGCGCGCGATTCCGCTCTACGAGAAGGTGATCGAGATCTGGGAGGACAAGCTGGGCAAGGACCACCCCGACCTCGTCACCGCCCTCGAGTCCTACCACGCCTGTCGACGCGGCCAATCGCGAGGACCCACTCCCGGTACGCATTGTTGTGTGTGGTGTGTGTTGTGTGTGTGTGTGTGGCGCTGGGCTGACACGACAAACACACTAGAAAAAGGCTCACGAGACTGGTCGTCGCTGTTCCTGATGGCAAGCCAGCGCACACACCAGCCGACCGCTTCACTGGCCATCAGCCTTTGCCGACTCCTGTTCGGCGGTACCACCGCCCAGAAGCCCTGAACCACGCACTACACACTGTCTTCACACTGCACATACACGTGTGGTTGTTGCTGATTGGGCAAAAAGTTTGTTGTAGACACCATTAAATCCAATCCGTAGAAAAGTGATCACCTGTTGGCAGATGACGGTATCTGATTGGTCCTAACGCGTTCCAGTGACGTGAGCGTTTGAAAAGTATCTGATCAGGTAGACAGCGAATTGTCAGGAGCGAACCCGAGGAACGTGGTCCACTCCTGCCACTGTCTTCTTCTGCAGATCTCTGGCACTAGTTATAAATTCAAGCACAAGCAGTACAGTGTTTTATTATTCAATAACCAACCACCAACTACGTCCAACCAAACAAACATCAGCACAACAAGACCATCGAAAGACAATGGCCAGCGAGATCGGAACCGGAAGCCAGAGGCAGGAGGAGTTCCACGACAAGAGTGTGATGAAGGTGAGCGCGTTCACGGCGCCGAAGGGGGCGATGGGCCAGAAGTACCTGGCCTCGGGGGTCCACCTCAGCATGCGCATGTGGGAAGACGAACAGCCCGGTACTCTACTCTATTCGACTCTCTACCGCACCTCAAACTCTCATCTTTCATCTTCTTTCTTTCTTGTTCTGTTCAAGCAGGCGAGCAGAAGGAGACCCGAAGGGAATACGAGACCCTGGGCTACGTGCTCAAGGGCAGGGCCGAGCTGCTCCTCGAAGGACAGAAGCTCATCCTCGAGCCCGGTACGCGCTCCATTCAAGGACTGCCAAGATGCTAGCTATGAACAGTGTAGTTGACCTGGGTTGTGGTGTGTGTGTGTGTGTGTGTGTGTCGTGTGTGTGGTCGACGTGTGCGGAACAGGCGACTCGTGGCTGGTGCCCAAGAACGCGAGCCACTCGTACAAGATTCTGGAGACATTCTCCGCGGTCGAGACCACCTGCCCCCCGGCCTTCGCCAAGGGCAGGGACACCAAGTGCTAAGGCAACAACACTGCCGTATTAAAGAGATATCTCCATTCTCTTTGTAGGAGGCGGAGCAGGTGGTCTTCTTGTCGACAAGATCGTCTTCTGTACACAGTGAGTGCGGAAGAAGCGGGGGGGGGGCTAAAAGAGCAAAAAATAGCATAAAAGGCTCAAATTGGTCTAATTACCATTTAGCATAATGTTAAAAAAGAGAGATATCCAGAGAGATACACGATGCAGCAGGCAGGCTCCGCGGTTGTGATAGATAACGGCTCCAGCACCGTCAAGGCGGGCTTCTCTGGCGAGGACGCACCACGAGCCGAATTTCGCAACGTTGTCGGTCGGGGGCGCCACGCCGGGGTGTTCAAGAGTGCGACCCAGGCCCCCGTGTGGCTGGGCGAGGAGGCCTGGCAAAAGCGCGGTATGCTCCTCCTCAAGCCGCCCGTCGAAGACGGTATAGTCACCAACTGGGACGATATGGAGAAGATCTGGATGGACACCTTCTACGCCCAACTCGACGTGAGCCCCGAAGACCAGCCCGTCCTGCTCACCGAGGCCCCGCACAACCCGCCCGCCAACCGCGAGAAGACGGCCGAGCTCATGTTCGAGACCTTCAGCACGCCCGCCCTGTCCATCGAGCTCGCGGCCGTTCTATCGCTGGCCAGCACCGCCCGCAAGACCGGAGTGGTGGTGGACGCCGGCGAGGGCTTGACCCACACGGTGCCGGTCTACGAGGGCCGCGCCGTGCGCCAGGCTGCGGCGCAACTCAACATCGGCGGCCGACACCTGACCGACCACTTGATCAAGCTGCTCAGCCGCTACCAGTTCAACACGCCCAGTGAGCGCCTGATCCTGCGCGAGATCAAGGAGCGGGTGTGTAGCGTGGCGCCCAGCGCGGCGCATGCCGCGGACTATCACCGGGAGAAGACCTACGAGCTGCCCGACGGCCTCGTGATCTCGGTGGAGAGCGAACTCGTGATGTGCCCTGAGGCCCTCTTTCAGCCCCTTCTCCTCCAGGTTCCTGAAGGCGCAAAACCAACAGCATCGACCGATCCGGTGGTGGGTATTCATGAATGCGTCTACAACTCCATCATGAAGGTACCGTATGTCTGGTGATTCTTTTTAATTATAAATATATATATATCTATTTAGCTGATGAATTTCTATCTTCTAATTGTTGCAGTGCGATGCTGGCATAAGGAAGGACCTCTTCGGAAGGGTCATGCTCTCGGGCGGCTCGGCCATGTTCCCGGGCATGGCCGATCGTTTGCAGCATGAGCTGAAGGCCCTTGCACCCGACGACACGATGGATCTCTTCATCGCTCCGCCCCAGAAGAACTCGGCTTGGCTGGGCGGCTCCATCATGGGGTCGCTCTCGACCTTCTGGCAGCGGTGCGTCCCCAGGCGCGACTACGATGAGCACGGCCACGCAGTCGTTCACAGGATGTGCAACTGAGCTCAGTTGCACAGTTCATGTCTGTACAATGTCGGTTTATTTTGGTCACAAGATGATTCTACCCTCGTCATCGTATCCACCGACGGCGAAGGCTTGGTGGTTGCTGCACGTGCATTCGTGGTAGTCGACGATGAGGATGGTGACCCGTGTGGTCGGTTGTAGCCGACGCTTTCCTGTGGCGTGTACCCGCTCGATCCGTAAGGCGGCCAGTGTGGAGGCAGACTCAGTGAGCGGCCTTATGACTGTCTCCCGGCGGCAGAGTGAAGACGTCGAATGCAAAAGGTCGTCGTTGACGTGTGTGCTCATAGTTGGTGTTGTCTTGTGTTGTGTGTTTGTGCATGCTGCTGCGGTGCTGTGCCGCTTTATCATCCCCTCCGTGTCGTCCACTCCTCTTTCCTTTTTAAGGGTCCTACATTGTTTAAATATTATTATTTTATAGTCAGAGCCATGACTACAACGAGCTGGTGGGGAGTGTGGCCTTGTGGGCCACGATGGCCACGTTTCGGGGTGAGTGGACGACGTCGAACAGTGGGAGAAGCTCAGCACGAACCTGCGCGGAGGACGCACTGTAGGAGACAAAAAAATAGAATGAATGAGAGTTGACGATGGGATGGCCAGTGCGTTGCGGTGTGACGTACGTGGTCTTGAACTCTTCGATGTAGAGCAAGCGGTCTAGCAGGAGGAGGCTCTCCAAGAGCGGATTGAGCAGCATTTGCAAGGCCGCCCACACCGCCACCTGTTCACATCAGGTTCAAGACCGCAGTTTAATAAATAATAAAAATAATAAAAAAATAAAAAGGTGTACCTCACGCTCTCGGTCCTTGTACTGGTCGAAGACTGCCAGCATGTCTTGCATCAAACGCTCCTTCTCCTCTTCCCTCTGTGCTGCGCTGGCTGCATCTTCTTGCTGTTGGCCGTTGCGCGGACAACATTGAGAAAGCACAAGGGCGTGGAGTGAGTGAGTGAATGAGTGGAATGGGGGCGAGGCGGGTGGCACATCGGGTGGAGTGGTAACCTTGTTCTGCGAGTCGTGGAAGAGCGCAAACGCGCCAAAATCCACAGGCCTCCAGTTGGGCTTGTCGTCAGTCTTGATTATGAACCTGGCATTGAAGAATCAGCATGTAAAACATGAATACGCTGACCAGGCGCGCGCACGCACGCACGCACTCACGCACACACACACACACACACCACACAACAACACACAACAACACACAACAACACAACACACCTTTTGATGGACTGAAGAAGGTAGAGCTTCTCGGTGGCATAGTCCTTCTGCCGCAGCTTCTTGAACCGAAACCGGACCTTGAGGTCGTGCGAGAACTCGAGCACGTTCTTGTTCTTCGCCTTCGCCTCCTGTGCGAGCGGCGGAGGAGCGGCGCAGTCGTCGGCGTCCGTGCAGGCAATGTCCCGACCGCTGCCCTTCCAGTTACCCGGACCGTACTCCGGGTGCATCGCAACGCTCTGCCAAAGCTCCTTTGGATGCCTGCGAGCGCCGCACACGACGAAACAGAAATTGTCTGGTAAGCGAAGCGAAGCCGGGGCAAAGGGGGAAAAAAGAAAGCAAGAACCACTCTGATGCCTACTTACTTTTCCTCTCGATGGCCTTCGGGGTAGTACTTGCGCACCAGGACCTCGAGAATGGCCCGAAAGCTGAGCGAGTGGTGCACGTGTGTGAAATCGGCACCTGCGCTCAGCACAGCGGCACACACACATTTCGGTCATTAGGCGCCTACATTGGTCGGTGGTGAGGGGGAATGGAGCCAGCCAATGGACCTCTATAGAGGGAAGTACTGTACCCTGCTTCTGCGAGTATTGATAACACGATTCGGTGGCGATCTTGAGGCCTCCCCATCCCAGCCGGAATCTCCGTTCCCTGTGATGTTAGAAGCCAGTGTATGTGCGGTGGGGCGTGTGCGGTGGGGCGTGTGTGTGTCAGCAACGAAGAATGGAACATGAAAAATAAAGCAGTGAAAGTTGGAGGTAATTCATTACCGAAGGAGTGATGAGCGTGGGTAGATGGAGAGCGGCGTCCCATAATCAATCGTGGCATCTGCAGTTGTTGAGGATAGAATATAAGTCTGACGTTGAGAGCAAAAATGTCAGAGGCGCAAACGCATACGTTCGCCTATGAGTGAGGTGGTGAGCTGATAGCAACAGCCAACGCCCACAAGGCCGACCGCATGCGTCGATTGCAAGAACAGGTCCACCACCTGTGTGAGGGGGGGGGAACGAAGAAGCCCAGTGCTCTTGGTTGGTGGCCCACAATGCCCATTGAGAACCTTTGGGGGGGAGGAAAAAGCGCACCTTGTGGGCCAGATCGCCGCAGGTGTGAAGGCCGATCAGGATGTACTTGTGGGGGGCGCTGTCGTCCTCCGCTGGCTCGTCCGCCGCCGCTGCTTCTCCTCCCACCCGAGCGCGCTCCTTGCGAATCGCTTGCTTGATCGCAGTTTGTACTGCAGCCTGCGATTGATGCCATGTGTGAGTCATAATCATCGATTGCGTTGTTATAGGCCCATAACCACGAAGTCGATGTGTAGACGGACCTCGAACGACCCGATGGAGTCATCCGTCAGGTTGTACACCATGAAATGAGGCTCAGCCAAGGCACCACCTAATGATGGTCCCGTCGCACGGCAGTTAGTATTGGCCAAGTACTACTGCCACCCTTGACTGGAGCTGAAAAGAGGGCGCGCAAGTACCGGCTTCGACCACTCGCTTGCGAATCCGAGTGGAGATGGACTGGACGCGCGCGACGCCCTTGTCCGAGTAGTCTTCGTTGCCCTCCACCGCCATCACCCGGTACCCGTAGTGCTGCGAGAGTACGTGGGACACGTAGCCCTGGAGAAGGCAGAGGCGGCAAGCGTGAGCACAACCGAGTTGCGAGGCCACGAACGTGAAAGCGCGTAGCTGCTTCATGAGGCGAGACGTGCCTCGCCAGCGCCAATGTCGACCACCGTGTCCACGTTGAGCGCTTTACACAGCTCGACCACGAGTTTGCTCATTCGCGTGACCTGCAGATCGTGGGCTGATATAATTTAGTATCTCTGCGGAGGGGCTGAGCGAGGAGGGGTATGACCTCGTGTATCTTCTTGGGGGACATGCCCTGCGCCAGGATGTACGAAAACGACAGCGGGGCCTTGGTGACAGCAGTGCCCTGGAACAGGTTCAGTTCGACGCCCTCGTTCAGCTCGGCAACCCCTGCACACGCGGGAGAGCAGGTGTTAAGCAGGCCAACCCAACAGTCACAGAGTTGATGAAGGTGCGCGGACCGTCCGTCCCAGGCTTCAACCGGTCCATGATTTGGGAGAAGCTCCTGGGCATGTGCAGGGAATACGCCTGTTGTTGAACGTGTCAGTGGAGTGCATGACGACCACTATCCGAGAGCTTCTTGCACGCGCTCCACCGCACACGCACCGTTTCAAGAGTGCTGACCAAGGATGGCGGAAACTTGGCGCGCATCTCAGGCGTCAAGCGCTCGGGCAGGGACTTGACGACGATGGTGATGGTGGAGGGCAGGTTGTCAGAAGCGGGCGTACTGCCGGCTGGGTTGGACATTACGTAGACGGGCGGCACGTACCTTGAGTTCGTCGTCGGTGAGGGTGAGCAGTGAGGGACGCCACTCCTCCGGCACCATCTCCCAATGGTTGTTCATGTAGAACGCTACGTTGGTGGGCGCTGCACGACGAGACCCAGCACATGACCAGGTCGCGGACGTCAGCATTCCATACCAGAATCAAATGAAGGGTGAAAAGAGAAGGATGAGGCCACGATTTGTGAAGGGAGATGTGCCATAGAGCCATTTCCACTGCTCGACGAAGTCTGCGATTTTGGCGGCATACTCCTCGGCACTCCGGGGTGCTGTCGTGGACGAGAGAGGAGGCCCGAACCGGTACTCATCCTGCAGGAAGAATGAGGATGGAGTCTCCGTCCCTTCGCCCGCCGAATGCTCCTTTGCTTCCATCTCTGGCAAAAGATTTATGTTTATTGTTTTTCGAATTTAAAATCTAGATTTTCTTGCATGAAGCCCAGGAAGCCCGCTCAGGGCCGTGCAAGCGGGTGCACAAACAAGGTGGCTGTCATAGACACTTCACCTCCATGGGTCTCCTGCCCGTGGCCGTTAGGGTACTTCTGCGTTGGACCTAACTCAACGGCTCGGTCGACAAGAACTATTTGGCGCGAAGAGTGCTCAGGCGTTGGGCGTTGTGTTGTGGTGCGCGGGCGAGATCAGCGACTTCGAAACGTGAGGGCATGCAGCATCGGGTACGTTGAAGGCCAATCGATTCGACAAGAACTAAGCGGAACGACATCTGAAGAGATAGTTGAAATCGAAGTAGAGAGATTGAAGTGCGAGTGTCCCAATTCGATCAATACATTCAAAAAAAATGGCAGACAAGGAGAATGTGCACGTGAATATGTGGCACACGCAGGACAACCATTCGACCAACGTCACCCCAAGCAATCAAACCTCGGAGCTCCTTCAGGAGAAGATGAGGGATCTGCGAGAGAAACTCGAGAAATTGAAGAGCAAGGGCAAGTCGGGGACCGATGGCGTCGATAGCGGCGCAGCCCCGTCTTCTCCCGCAACAGCTGAAGAGAAGCAGGACAAAGCCCCTCAACTAGGTAGGATCTCAACTGCTTGCACTATGATGGAAACATCCATCACCCACAGGTACTCAAATCGCGTTCGCGCCCAGATTCGAAACCCTCCAGACACACGGCCTCGCCTGGTGTTTCGTCGAGCACGCACACACCAAAGGCATTGTCGCCGCTTACACCCGTGACGCCTTCCGCTCCGCTCTTAAACAACACACCGCCCGGGGTATCGACACTCAGTAGCGCCACAACCACCGCGTACGTAGCTCCCACCGCTACACGGTTTCTGGAGCTGCCTCTGACTGTTGGAGGTCTACGCAGTGCACCTCCCATCACCACCTCTGCACCGGCAGCGGCAACAAAGAGCAGCAAGCCTCGGCTCAAGCTTCCCACACCGTTGTCGAACGGTAGCGTCGCTGCACGGAAGAAGCCTCGCTTGCCTGGTACCATTCCCTCTTCACCTCCTTTCATGAAAGTCAAAACAACGAGGCTTAGGGTTCTCATCTCCGCTCGGCTCTGCAGGACCTGGTTCGTTGCTCTCGAAGCCCGCCCAGAGAGTGACTATCGAGGAGGCTCAGGCCCAGCTTGAAGAGCCGCCCGTAGTAGAAGCGCCGCCGGCCGACGTATTCCGTACTCCGGCCAGCGTGCCCAAGCCCGACACGCCGACCGCAAGAAGCGAGGTCGTCGAGGTGGAGATTAGCGACTCGAGGAGAGAAGCCCGTAGTGAGGTATCATCGGACGCAATAGCACAGAGAAGAGAAGCGAGGAGGTCACGAGAAGTGAAGGCGCGGCAGACAGAAGAGAAGAAGCAAGTGGACACCGACAGCGGAAAGCGAAAAGAGCAATCGGAGGCATATCCGCCCATCGAGATCGTCAACATCACCGCCGATAAGGCCAACTTTCGGCCCCTTACAACCGGAAACACCTCCACCTCCGACGCTTCTACCACAGGGAACACCGAGGAGTCGAGCTATCGATCCTCTACCTCGAGGCGAACGTCCGATCGGGACAACACGGCCCCCGAGACCCAGAAGCACACTGAACGAGAGGCCGCCGGAGAGCGAACGAGGGAGCAGGATCGGGCCAACACCAGCGTGGACCAGGGACATGACTTGCAAGCGCAGGAGAAGGCGGCGTTGGCGCTCGCCTGCCAGCGAGGTGCCCTGGAGTTCCTGCACGGCTTTGCCTCTGGCGGCACATCCTTCCTCACGGTAACGCTCTTCTCCTGCCTCGCCTCCAAGGATTCACACAAACTAATCACTTACCCTGGACATCATACCAGGTTAACGGACGAAGATACATGAAGCTCGATCAGATTGGAAGGGGAGGCAGTTCTAAGGTCTATCGAGTCGTGTCGCCCAACTGGACCACATACGCGCTTAAGTACGTACCGCTAAAAAACACGGACACCGTCACGGAGGAGAGCTACCTCAACGAGATCGATCTGCTTAAGAAGCTCAGCCACCACGACAACATCATTCGCCTTGTCGATTCCGAAGTCAGAACTGGTACGCACCTGTAGTTAGCGTAGCGTTTTATTGGCGTACTCGGCATTTCACTCACTCATTGGCGATTCATCAGGCGGCATCTTTCTTCTCCTCGAGTTTGCCGAGCTGGACCTCGACAGGATGTTGCGAGCCCAACAGCAGAGGAACAGAACCATTCTCGCAGAGGGTACGCCTTCCGTCTGCAAGTCTTTTCATTCCGAGCGTGTTCTTATCTCTTTTCTTTTGGTCTTCACGCTTTTCAGCGGCGAAGGAGAATGGACCGATGATGCCCAGTAACCTTCTCCCATCATGTGTCTGCCTGAACTCAGTGCGCTTGTTCTGGCAGCAGGTATGCCCTATCTATCTAACGACCGAACCTATCTTGACGGTCTAACGTTTCTTTCCTCTTCTGCTATTGCCTCGAAACAGATGTTGGAGGCTGTGCACACCATCCACGAGGAGCGAGTGGTACACGGCGATCTCAAGCCGGCCAATTTTGTCTGCATCCAAGGCCGCTTGAAGCTGATCGACTTTGGCATCGCGAAGGCCATTTCCAACGACACCACCAACATCGTTCGAGACAATCAGGTGCGTTCTGGCTTCGTCTCCTTTGTCTTCTTCTCCTTTTCTTACCACACGCGACTTCTTGCGTCTTGCAGATCGGAACTCTCAACTACATCTCGCCCGAGGCGCTCATCGACACATCGCCAGGCCAAAACACAAAGTTCAAGGTGCGCCAACAAGACCGCTGGTCTTCTTTTGGAACGCCACGCGAGCAGTATTGCTGACACACTGTCGTGATTGTCACAGCTCGGCCGTCCGTCGGACATCTGGTCGCTCGGTTGTATTCTGTATCAAATGGTCTACGGCCGGTCTCCCTTCGCCATACTCGACAACATGATTCGCAAGCTGCAGGTACCACCACCATCTCTTCGCGTTGTCGCTTTCTTTGGTTTCGTTGAGCTTGAGAGTGACCACTTTTCTTCTTCATCGCCGCTGGGCAGGCCATCTCGAACCCCAAGTACAAGATCGACTATCCGCCAATCAACAACCCGCCACTATTGGAGACGATGAAGCTCTGCCTCCAGTTTGATCCTCGGCAGCGACCATCCATTCCCGATCTCCTCAAGCACCCGTTCCTTCAGTAGCAGTAGGCCGCTGTCCTAGAACCGAAAAAGACGACCTTCCACCAGCGAGCGGGCGACGATCTCGGCCTGTCGATCACCACCAGATGATGATGTCGTGTTGTGGGGCCTTGTAGGCCTGACAACTCTCTCCTCTTCTTCGTCTTTGGCCCACTGGGGCGTCAGGCAGGCTTCACTCCTCCTTGTCTCCCTTGTGTCACATATAGACGCGTATATATAAAACTTCTCGAACCTTCCTGTTTGGTGTCCGGTGGACATGAAGCAGGCATGAGCAGACTCTGGTTCTTGTTCATCACCACCACCGTCGTCCGCAGTTCATTGCGGTGGGGATCACGAGGCTGATGAGTTTCGGGTAATGGTGCGGAGCCGCAATCTCCGAACACCAACCCAACGCGATCGCCTCGCGCTTTTCCTTCGCCTTCGCGATTTGAAGATCGACAGCACGATAGGACACATTGATTGATGGTATAGAAGTGACGCCCGCAGCTGCTCCCAACTTGAACGAGACACGAGAAGAGTAACAAGCAACCTGAGGCGGGGTGGCGCCATTGGCAATCACCTAATCGATACATCTCGAATCTACTCAGATTTCGAATGTCTAATTCGACCACAGACAACGACGACGATTCCCTCACCCACGATGACTCGGTGTCGAAGTTCTACGCCTCCTTCTACATCAACGCCGCAATAGGGGGCGTTATGCTCGTCGTGTTCTGCGTCATTCATCGACGCCGCCTGCTGGGCCTCTCCTACTTCTTCTCGCCCAGAAAGGGAGGAAATGACAATGCACGATCGGTCCAATTCTGGACCGGCCTAATTATGTGGATCTGGGAAAGCTTGAGGTGCCACCCACTCCCATCCATCACTTGATTTATTGTGATTCATTCAATGTGCACAATTAATCAAATTATTATTTTTAATTAATTAAATGACGCACCATTATCCACGCTCCAGCTACCCGGACAAGAAGCTCTGGCAGACGCATGGGGCCGACGCACTCACCTACGTGCGGTTTCTGCGCATGTGCTTTCTGTGCTGTCTGGTGACCACCACCATCTCGTGCTCCATCCTCTTGCCGCTCAACTTGTCAGGTTGGCCTCTCCACATTGTTACGCACACGCACCACGCACACGCACACGCGCGGGTGCTAATGTGTGGCAACAGGCGATCAGGAATCGGATTCCCTGGGCGATATGGGCCACCTGACGATGTCACACCTCGACGAGAGGGACTCCAAGCTGGTGGCCCACGTCGTGGTGGTGTGGGTCTACTCGGTCTTCTTCTACGCCATCCTCTTCTACTACTACCGGATGTACGCCGAAGTGCGCATGCACTGGCTCAACCGCAACTCCCCGCGCACCTACACGATCGTCCTGCTCAACATCCCGCACCACATGCGCTTCAAGCGCGCCATCAAGGACTGGTTCGAGGACCACTTCCGCACCAAGGTCGCCAGCGTTGTGCTGCTGTGGGACGACCGGAAAGTCATCAAGCTCAAAGGTACCTGGTGTTGTGCGGGATCAGTAACCGGTTACTGATCCACACACGTTTGTAATGGTGACACAGAGAGGCGGGCCAAATACATCAACAAGTTGGAGCTGGCCAAGCTCGACTGCGCAGAGATGAAGAAGCGCAGGAGCGATCCATTTTACTGCTGCGGGTCCTGCGGGAAGAAGGTCAAGAAGAAGGGCAAAGTGTGCGCGTGCTGCTGCAACGCGTTCACCAACATCGCTCTCTGCTTCAGCGCCTGCTTCGGCTTTTTCAAACGCGTGGCCCGGTATGTCTTTCCTGTTCCTTCAAACACGCACACGCACCGCCGCACATGCACCATCGCACACGCACACGCATCACACGCACACACCGCACACGCGCACATGCTCTGGTCTCACGCTCTGCGCTCATCCACAGGAAATATTGTTGCTGTTGCTGTTGTTTCACCTACTACGAGAGGGAGGGCGAACGGCGACTCACGCACGCCGGCTTCCTCGAGATTCTCGGCGAAGAGGCACGTGCCGTCACTCAGCTGTGTGTTGTGTGTTGTGTGTGTGTGTGTGTGTGTCACACTTGTGTACTCATGCCTCATAATGGCACCAACAGGTGGACGCTGTGACGTATTACCGCGAGAAGGTTGCTGCCACGACCGAACAGATTCGCAACATGCAGCACAACAAAAAGGACAAGCTGAAGAAGAGCGGTACCGTCCTTCTTCTCATCTGCCCTCCCATGACTGAGGTCCATACTGACGCACTCCCCTCCCCCCGTTGCCAGGTGTGGCATTCGTGACCTTCACCAAGGTCTATCCTGCTCGAGTCAAGATCAATCCCTACATCAATCCCGCCAAAATGCTGGTGCGTGCTCAGCGAACACACGCACACGCACACGCACACACAACACACACATACGCACACGCACACGCACACACAAGCACGCGCGCACGCAACTCGCCGCTAATCCGTGTATAAGTGTAGGTGTCGCCGGCTCCGGATCCGTCGGACGTGTTCTGGGTGAGCTTCAACGTGAGCTACGCGGGCCAGATTTTCCGCATGTTCGTCATCACGGCCATCATGGTGGTCATCTGCCTGAGCTGGAGCTCCGTCTCGATCGTCGTCAGCTCCATCTCCAACCTCAAGAACCTGGCCGAGGTGGAGGGCTTCGAGTGGATCGGCGACTTCCTCGACGTGTTCCCCGACCAGATCCAGTCCATCATCGAGGGCTACCTGCCGCCCGTCATTCTCTACCTCGTCACCCTGCTCATGAAGCCCATCATCAAGTTCTTCTACAAAAAGTACCTGACAACCACGCACCACCGCACGCGCACGCACACACGCACCACCGCACGCGCACACACTCACGCTCTAACGCACATGACACAGGAGTGGATGGTTGTACGCGCATTCGGACGTGGAGTGGTGGACGATGTCGACCTACACGGTGTTCCTGTTCTTCAACGTGTTCCTGGTGTCGACGATCGGTTCGACGCTGTTCACGGTGCTGGCCGACTTCATCGACAACCCGACCACCGTCGTCACCCTGTTGGCCACCGCCCTGCCCCAGCAGTCCCTCTTCTTCATCACCTACCTCATGGTGGCCGGCGCCGGCAGAATTCCCTTCAAACTCTTCCGGTAAGTGGCCGCACACACGCCACATCGCACACACGGGGCACACATGGAGCACACACTAAACGACCACGTGGTGCAGACCGGCCGACTTGCTTCGCGTGCTCGTACGATTCGTGTTCACCTGTCCGCGTACCCCGCGCCAGGTGCGTTCTTCCTCTCTCGCGTTTCGAGGCTGACGTCATCCACCGTCGTCACTACTGACGCGTATTGGCTGCAACAGAGGCGCACGTTCCACAATCTGGAGCTGTGGTTCGACTACGCCGGCGAGGTGGGCCAGGGTACGACCGACAGCCCATCAGAGCGTTCTCTACCCACCCAGAGATTGATCACGTGTGTGTGTGTGTTTCAGGTCTGCTCATCCTCACGCTGGTGCTGGTCTATTCGGTGATGGCGCCGCTCATCACGCCATTCGGCATATTCTACTTCTTCATGGACTACATCATCACCCGTTACAACCTCATCTACGCCAATCTGGTACGCACTCACGCACGACAGCACACACACCACCGCACGCGCGCACACGTCCGCGCACTGAAACGTGATACGTGCAGACGCCGTGGGACAGCGGTGGTCGGCTGTGGCCCAAGATATTCCACCACACCATGTCGTCGGTGCTCGTGTTCCAGCTCGTGATGCTGGGCATTTTCGGTCTCAACTCCAACTACCAGAGCGCCATGTGGGCGCTTATCCCTCTTCCCCTCATCTCTAGTGCGTACACACACACACACACACACACGACAAACACACACGACAAACACACACAACACACTTCTGCACACGCCGAGCTGATCGAGTTGTGGGCGTCGATGCTCTCTCCTGTCACAGTTTTCTACTGGGTGTTCATCCACTTTATGTGGTCCCCCGTGTCCGCCTTTGGCCCCATCAATGGCACCTTCACCCTCAAGCAGACCTTCCTCGAGTACCCCTCTCCTCTCTTTTCTCCGCCACTCGCCCGACTCATGTCTCGTGTCGCGCGCGTGTCGTGTGTCGGTGTGTCGTGCGTGTCGTGTCGTGTCGTGTCGTGTGTGTCGACGCCATATCCACTGCAGCAAAACGCTGCTGCGCAAGGCCTACGAGCAGCCATCGTTCAAGGACCCGGAGGAGGAGATCTGGGAGGAGGATATCGAGGGGTACGCGAGCGACGGCGACGGCGACGGCGACGAGGAGGAGAAGGGACCCCACAAGGTGTTCGACTTTGGCGACGGCCACGGCGACGAGGACGACGTGGAGGCGGCGGCCAAGAAGTGGGAGGAGATGATGGCCGCGAAGAAGAAGAGCGGCTCGTCGTCAGCGCCGTCAAGCGAGAGTGACGAGAGCGAGAGCGAGAGCGAAAGCGAAAGCGACGGCCAGGGGGGAATCAAGATGCAGGAGACGAAGCAAAGCAGGGACGAGCGCAAGCGAGAGACGGCGAAGAGGGTCGAAAGAGAAATGGAGCGACGTCGCCGACGCAGGCGAGGCGAAGATGAAAGTGAAGGAGAGGAGGAAGAAGAGGTGAAGAAGGAGGTGAAGAAGCAGAAGAGCAAGGGGTCGAAGGAAAGCAACAAGGCCGGAGGCGAGGGTGAGACCGCGACCAAGAAGAAGCCGCTCCCTACGCCGGCCGACGTCGAAGCGCTGATGCGTAAGATCAACGAGGCCTACGAGAAGCGATTCGAACGCGACATGCGGGAGCTTAAGTGGGAGCGAAAGAAGGAGCGACGGCGCGAAGGCATGGAGTGAGAGGAACTGTCGCGACTCAGGACAGCTGCCCGCGGGTGAGTTGCTAGCGCAGAACTGACGCTCGGGCGTGTTGTGTGTACATTCAAAGCCGGTGATCTCTAACTTCGATATATTTATATTTCATATCGAGTGCACATGGACCGCACACGCACCACCGCACACGCACGACACACGAACATGAGAGAAGCACACTCAGCTCAGGCGGCGTTTTTCCATTCGTTCCACTGGTCCTTGGGGAGCATGAAGGACGACGCGTTCTTGTGGCCGCCGCCCCCGAAGCGCTTGGAGACGACGGTGGTGTCCTCGTCCTCGATGGAGCGCAGGGAGACCTTGTAGTTCTTGTCCGCGTCGGCCATCCCCGCCTCCTCGTAGCAGATCGCGCCAAAGCCCCTGAGGCCCGCCGCGGCGCTCTTGAGGGCCAGCTGGTGGCCCATCTCGGAACGCAGCTCGGGCGACGTGGTCAGCACCGCGAGGCAGCTCCCGAAGTCGTTGTCCTTGCCGCCCAGCTTGATCTGCATCACATGTATGCCCAAGCCAGGTGAGCGATGAAAGATGATTTTTTATATATTTATATAAATGGATATGTTCATATTTATCCACTTAAATTTCTATAAAAATGTTTGGACGTATGCGTACCGGGTAGCTTTGGGTGAGGTTGTCGGCGATGATCTTGTTGACCCGCTCTACCTCGACCTTGCCCTCCTCAATGAGCTTGTCCGCGTCTGTACATGGTGATCGTGCAGCCCCCGGTGAGTTGTGGGTGTCGGCCAACTACGGCACGCGCGGGTTTACGTGCTTACCCAAGAGCTGGAGCTGGAGGAAGAGCGACTTGTTCTTGGTGTAGTCGAACTCCACGCTCTTCGCGCCCAGGCCACTACATTTTTAATAAAGAAACATATAAAAAGAGTTTCATGAGTGCCACGTCAGCCTGCAACCTCTCGCGGTCTGTGTGGAGCACGTACGTGGAGAACTCCTTGGAGAAGGGCAGGGCCTTGCGCCACAGGTCGCCATCCTCGATGTAGGCGTAGGCCCGCTCGATCCTGCGGGACAGTCACGCGACTGATCAGACCAAGCCATTTGTTTGCTGAACGTGGTGGCTGGTGGTGGCTGGTGAAGATGGAGAAGGGGAGGGGCTACCTGGCGCGTTCGGCCTCGTCGGCGATGAGGATGGCGTCCTTGGAGAAGTAGTCGTAGGCGATGGTGGCCCCCGACTTCTCGTTGATCAGCTGGAAATCGACTGTGTGCGGGTACGGCGTCACATATGATGAGTCATCGCCACCTTCCTCTCCTCTTCTTTTCCGTCGTGCCAACCCAATCCACACCCACTGCCATGTCTTTTGGCTCAGTCACACCGCACACACGGACACACCACACGCACACACCGCACACACACCGCACACACCACATATGTGGAGAGGGCGAGAGTGAGCGGGAGGGGGTACAGTTCTCGGGGAGGCTGTTCTCGGACTTCCACTGCTCCATGAGCTCGAAGGCTGTCTTGTGGTGGTCCAGCAGCGTCACATGGCGCACCTTCTTCGCAACGCGGTGCACAAAGTCGGCCGGACCCACGTAGTCCAACCTGTGCCACACAAGGTCGCGAGTGTTGGTCACAAGAATAAAACAAAAACAAAAAATAAAACCAAAAAAACAAAAAAATAAAACAAATAAAATAAATAAATAGGAACGGGCGGAGTACAGAAAGACTTCGGCGTCGGGGGTGAAGGCGGGGTTGTCCTCGACCGGCAGAGCGCGGTAGGTGCTGTGCGGGATGAAGTCCAGATCCACCTCCGGCTGCTTGTGGAACTTGAGGTAGGCCGCCAGGGCGGCGTACGCACCTGCAGATTGACGCGCCAGATGATGAATAATATATCTCGAATCGCTGCACCAAATCAAGGACCACAAAATTCATTCGGCAAGGGGGTACCGTCGGGACACGGGCAGTGGTACACGATGCGCACGGCTCTCTTCATCCTCGCTGGGCTCTCGATCTGGGCGTAAAAGAAAATAAGCCGGAAAAAGAAAGAAGAAATGTGAAGGAAAAATGTCAAGGCAAGTTGTCACTTGAATGGGTGTCGCGCGCTCGACTGACCCTGACCTCATGCTCTCCCCTCATATATACCAGACAATGCTCTTGCAAAGTCATCAACAACAACCACTACTGCAACAACTCAGCACTCAGGACTCACATACGACACACGACCAACATGAACACCATCCAGCGTGCCGCCGTTCTGGGCCAACGTCACTTTCGCTTCCCCGCTAAAGCTCACATTGGGTCGGCCTCCCTGGTGGTCTCCGTACCGCTTGGCTTCTTCATCGCATCCCAATGCACGGCCAGCAGACTCCACTTGAAGCGCCGCGATGCCCATGAGGAGCCGGCCACTCGTACATCGCCCCAGGGCACTGTTCATCTCCACGAGTCCTTCAATGGTACCGTCGCCGTCGACTACAAGCTCAGCAACAAGGAGACGGCCATCATCATGTGACACCACCCTAAAGCCACTATAATTGTCAAAATGTAAATGTATATATATATATCAAACTAATAGAACTAGAAGATCAACTTGTCTAGAGCCACGACGAGCTCGGAGGCCTCTGGCCGCTGCCCCACGTTGTAGTCCAGGCAGGCATCGCGCAGCCGGCAGAGTGCGGCAAGCGTCGACGCTTCTTGTGATGCCTCAGCGGCCGCGCACCGCTCGATGAGCTCCTCGAGGAGACAGCCCAGCGCGCGAGACTCGACGCGCTTCAGCAGGTGAGCGGCTGCGTTGTCGGGCGAGTCGGCGTTGGATTCAGAGTGGAAGAAGAAGGCGGCGCCGAGGTCGGCCAGCTTGACGCGCCAGCATGGCGGCGCCGTGCTCTGCGTGGTGGAGGGCAGCTCGGCGGCGTCGACGAGAATGTTGTGCGCGTAGACGTCGCCGTGGATGAGCCCACGGGCGTGCATGTGCGCCACTGCCGCCGCCACGCCGCGCGCGACCGCCACCACGTAGCGCAGCGGGAAGGCCCGCTCGCGCGCCGGGTACACGTCGCGCGTGACGCTGGCGAACGAGGGCGTGCGGCCCAGCAGCTCCATCGCCGGGTCCAGCAGCTCCATCACCAGCGCCGGCGCAGCGTCATCGCGCTGAATGAACCCGTGGGTCTGGATCAGGTTGGGGTGTTGGTCGGTGTCTTCATGGGCCAGCGCGATCGCCGCCGCCACCTCGTCCACCACTCTGCCGTCCGACGACGCCGGTTTGTACACTTTCACAGCCACCGCGCGCTGCGCCTGCCCGTGCATTGCTTCGTAGACGGTGCCCGATGCGCCGTCGCCGAGCTGACGGCCGAGCGTCACGTCGGGCCAGGCGGCAGTGTCGGCCAGGCGCGGGGGCAGATCCAGCGGCGCGTCGCGGTGGCGCGGCTGCAGGTGGTTGCCCGCGAGCGCGACCCAGGCCAGCCGCGGGAGGGCGAGCAGGCCGGGCGGGACCGCGTCGAGTCGGTTGTCAGACAGCCGCACGAGCTCGAGCGCCACACAACCGGACATGTCGGGCAGCGTAGTGAGTTGATTGGAGGCCAGCATGAGCTTACGGAGGTGCGACAGCCGGCCCAGCGAGGCGGGGAGGGCGGTCAGTTGGTTGTCGGTGAGGATGAGCCACCCTAGCGACGGGGCGAGCGAGGCCTCGGGCACGTCGTGCAGCTGGCAGGACTTGAAGCTGAGCATGAACAGGGCCGGGAGCCGGCCGAGCACCTCGGGTACGGTGGTGAACCCATTGCCCAGGAAGAAGGCCGTGCGGAGGCTGGTCAGTCGCTCGAACTCGGGGGGCAGGGTGGTGAGGGCGTTGCCGGCCATGTTGAGCTTGGTGAGCCCCGGAAGGCCTGTGCACAGCGCGGCGGGCAGCGAGGCAAGGCCGCGGTTGGCCAGGTCCAACTCGGTCACCCCCGCAAAGGCACCCGCTGCGAGCTCCCGCCCGAGCCGTGCTTCGGGGGTGGACTCGTGCTCTGCATCGTGCGGTTGTTGCTGTGCCTCTTGAACTGCGGTCATCATCGCTTGGTGCACCTTGCTCTTGTGGTTCCGGTTCAAGCCAAAGGGGAAAAAGAAGCCAAAAGAAAAACAGGGAAATGGTTTTTCATACACACCGGTCAGCCACGGGCGCCAGGGCGTCTGCTGCGTCGGATCTGCTCAATCTGGCGTTGGATGCGGGCCACGTCCTGGTTCACTTCCCTGGCGGATGGCGGGGTGCGTGTGAGGTGATTGCTGGCTTGCTTCTCCCTCTCCCGTTGGGCCTCTGCAAGCGCTCGCAGCTTGGAGCGAGCTTGCTGCTTGCACAGCTCGTCGGCGAGCGGGTCCGACACCACTCGCTTTGTGGTCGGGTCGGCCATGTAGACCTTCTTGTCCCCACCTGCACGTTGTGGTGCATCAGAGAAGCTGGTAGAAAGCAAGGCTTGTGGCATGGTGTCAAGTAGAAGAGAATACCTGTGACGATGACCTGCGAGTTGGTCCAACACACTCCTTTACTCCCCGTACAGCGCAACGGCAGCTCGCCTGAGTAGTAGCCGAGCTCCTGGATGCTGGCCTGGCTGATCCCGGTCGCCTCCAGCGGTATGCTCATGAGCTGCCCATCTGAAAAGAACGACTGTGAGCGGTGTAACAACAACCAATGAGCGCAATGAAGAGAGAAGGGGTGGGGTACTGGCGAGAAGGTGGTCTTGTCCGTCGCTCAAACGGTAAGGCAGTATCGCCAGGTGCTCTGCTGTTGCCACGTTTTGGTGTTGGCGAGCAAACAAACGCGAATGGTAACGGTCCAATGATGGTCCTGCGGCTGCTCTGGCATCGATCCAGCAGCTCTTTCTGAAACGTAACGCGACAAAGCGCCGGGTCAACAAATGCACTCATGGCTGCGCTTAGGGAGAAGGCCACCCACCTTTGTAGCAGATCGAAGGGAGCGTAGAAGATACGGTTGCCGTCCGGACTAAGGGCGATGGCGCGCATAGGGGCGCCGGTGATGTGGACACCGACTGAGTCGGAGCCTGCTCGTGGGTCCCAGACGCGGATCGTCTTGTCCGGCGAAGCGCTCAGAAGTACCTGGCCCTCCTGGGCAAACAGTACACCTGACATCACACAATCAGCATCGCGAGAGGAGAGGTTGCTGAAGGGAGAAGAAGAAGGAAGAAGGAAGAGTGTTGTGTGGAGTACTTTCGACGAAGTGAGTATGCCCAGCAAATGAAAGCACACGCTTGCCGGTCGCCATGTCCCACAAAGCCAACGTCTTGTCCTCGGCGCCGCTGGCCTAGTAATTGTGGAGGTCAACCACAGGCATGAGCTGTCACGCATCACAGCACCACTATTATCAGAGTGTGCATACCAGTTTAGATCCGTGACGCGCAATGCATTTCACCTCGAACTCATGGCCGGAGAGGGTGGCCACGCACGTTGCTTGCTTGGTTTCGTGATTCACGTCGTCCCAGATCTTGATCGTTCTGCAACACACATACCAAGCAAGCGGTTCAGTCTGCTGCCGTCACAAGCTACCTGGACTGTGGTTGTAGTCGTGGTGGTACGTACCGGTCCCACGAGCCAGTGATGAGCCGGTTGTTGCCATCCATAAACTTCATACAGCTCACCGTGCTCGTGTGGCCCTTGATACCGCGGCCGAGGGTCCAGTTGTTGGTCTCCGCATCTGTTGTGTTATTGCACCAGAAGCAGTTTTCTCAGAAGAACAACGAAGAGCCTCATGAGGCGGGAGAGAAGAGTTGGTCGTACCTTTGTGCCACAGCTGAACGCAATCCAGCGAACGACCGCAGCCGAATCTGCCGAGAGCCACGAGATCTGGCCATCAGACGGACCAACGTTGACCTCTCAACTGAGTCATGAACTAAACCGCTGGTGCCCGCGGGGTGTACTAACCTGGTGCGTGCGCGAAGGATTCCTCGTCGACAGCCAAGCACTCGAAGGGCTTGGGCACTTCGAACATGGAGTGCTTCGCATAGATGCTGGCCACCGCACAAGATCAATACTTCAAGCTCAGTGTTTTTGACCAGGGATGAGGTTGTACTTGAACTTGGCCACGTTGAGCTCGGCCCAGTGAAGGCGCATGTAGGACTTGCACACGTTCTTCCACCCCATTTGAGACCCATCGGGCAGGTACTGTCCCCACTTGGCCATCTCCTGCCAGCACACCCCATGCACTCTCTCTCGCCACACCATGCCCCTGTGTTGGGTGGGTGATTGTGAGGTCAGTGCATATGGGGTGGCGATGGTGGAGGGAGGGGTTACATGTCGGCAATGGCGTTGAAGAGGCGGCAGGTCATGCTAAACCGCGTCAGGTCGGCAAAGGGCACGAATCCAAGCACGACCACCCACACCTCCCACGGCAGATAGTTCTCCGCCCCTTCCTCAAGGTAGTCGTCATATCCATCACCTTCTTGCTTTTCTTCCTCCTTCGCTGCCGCTACCGGGAGAGGCACCACCTTTGCCTCTGGCTGAGCAGGCTCCCTCGTCGTGCCGCTGCCTCTCCGCTTTGTGTGCCTTTTCCGTGGCATGACCGCGCCTGTTTCTCTCTCTGGTGACAATACAACGCGCGCCATCTCTCTTTTGGTGTTTTGTTGCCCCTTCGCTGAATCTTTTGCCAGAAAGAAAGAAAAAGAAGAAATGGAATGGATACACCCACGTAACTTTATAAACGTTTGCGCCTGGGTCACTCCACGCAACTGGGCTCCTCGCTGGCGGGGGCAGGATTCGCAAAGTCGAGGACGACGAGCGTGTTCTCCGATGAACGGGAGTGTAGGCCTGCGAACAGCCAGCGCTCGTCGTACTGATGGTGCGACGACGGGGGGTGGTACGCCACAAACAGACGGTGTGAGGCAAGAAACGAAGGGAAAGAGGCTAATGAGGGACGCTACCTGGAATGTGAGAACGCCGGTCATGCCGCCGGAGTGGCCGCCGGCCACGTGTATGCTGTTGATGTGCTCTCCCTCCAGGTTCCAGACTTCCACGATGTTGCCCTGGCATCCACTGTACATAGAAGGTCGATCGGCCATCAAACTCACCACGTGTGGTGTGTGTGTGTGTGTGTGAGAGAGAGAGAGTGTGGTACGCGACAAGCTTGGTGTCGTCGTAGCGGAGAAACCGAATGGAATCGGCCGCCTTGAAGGTTTGACGCATCTCGAGCGTGCGGAAGTCCCACAACCGCACTTCGTTCGCTCCGTTAGACACTATCTTCTCCTGCGCATGAGAACAAAAGGAAGTGAGCGCTGTGCAGGTTGAGTTGGGCAAGCGCACTTATGTTGTAGGCGACGAACCTCGTCGAACTGGCAAGCCCAGCCATTAGCCGAGTCGGTCTGCAGATGTGCCACTTCTTGGCGTTGGCGCAGGTCCCATACCCCTGTTCATCACAGCACACAACGGCGCGCAGGTTGGTCGGCTTGGCCAAGGAAAGCCAAAATGGCGGCAAAGGGCACATACGCACGCTCGAGTCATCCCCAGTGGACACTAGGGTGGTTAATGTGGCGGAAAGGAATGTGAGCTCTTTACCGCTGAACGTCATTAGTATGAAGGGCGGGGAAGAAGAGGCGAGAGATACCAACTGTGTTTCCCCGGAATCGGAGATAGCGTACATCACGCGTGTGGCCATTGAGTGTGTCCGTCTTGGTACTCGTCTCCATATCCTGCGTCCGTCGCAAAGCGATTAGTTGAGTGGTTGCAATAAAGAGTTGAACATGGATGTATACCCAGATCTTTATCGTATGATCCCGCGAGCCACTGATCAGCGTGTTTCCTTCATACTGGAGTGTCCTGTGTACATCCAGTCAACCGTCAGCACTTCGTCTTTCGACACACACAACACACAACGACACACAACGACAACACAACAGCACACTAACATCCATACCAGATGATGTTGTCGTGCGCTTCAAAATCCGATAAGACACGGTCTGGGCTGGAGAGCCGCCGGAACTGCAGGGATCGGTCGGCTGAATGTACCAGCAGGTCGCTCGTCCGCTCGAACTGAAGCGCCAGCACCTCCCGTATAGAGACGGTCCCCCGGTGATAGGGAAAGACGTGCGGGTCGTCCTCAGTGCCGTTGGAGACAAAGTCGTCCGCGAGCAGCTTCTTCGTGTCCCAGAAGCTGATGGCCATCTGCTGTCTGCACCACAACACAACACCGCAGGTGTCAAGTTGGTGCAGGCTGGGCAGAGGGGCGCACGAGAAGAAGGAGACATACCCGAAATCAGAGCATGTCACGCAAAGGTCGTCGTCGTACTGCACTTGCGTGGTGGTGGTGGGTGGTTACGGCATGACTTGTGCAGGTCATTAAAGGCAGGTGCGTACCTGGAGAGCTCGTAGAAGAGTCTGGTGGGCGTTGACGGACCGTAGGTGAGGCTGTTTGCCCCACTTCTTCTCCAGCGTGTGCCGTCGCTCGAACACCTCACGCCACGACGCTGCCATGTCACCCTTCCATTTCCCCCTGCAGGATGTGGAGAACATAATTTGAATAATCTCTCACCATTTACGAATCACTTCGATAGGGCAAACCATCTGGAGTTATCAGTGGAGGGGTAGCGTTGGCGTAGATGGTGGAGCCACAGGCTGTCGGTGTGTGCGACTTGACGCCAGCTTTGGCTCACCCTGGCCACCCGGGCCAGCTCCTGCACCTCCAGTTGGGCGAACACCCCGCACTGCACCTCGGCCGGCAGGTCGTCGAACCCCAGCCCCTCTCCCTCCCCCTGCTGGTGGCCCTCTCCCATGGCACCCGCCCTCTTGTTCTCATCTTCCATCTTTGTAAAATACAATAAAAATAGTGCTGGGCGGAGCAGAACAAGGCCCACAAGGACACACGCTTTGTTTGGTCGGGTTTGAAGAGTGGAGTACTGGCAACAACCCACTCTAAGGGCGGGTTTCTTGAGTCTAGACATGCAGTTTGAAGCAGCCTAGCGGGAGATCGAAGATGGTGATGCCGGCGACCTCGGCAGCGATGTCGGCGCAGCCGGAAAGGTCTTCGGTGGCGCTGTTCCAGACGACATTGCTCCAGTTCAGGCAGATGCTCACTCCGAACTGTTGGTGGTGTTGGCCAAGGAGAAGAAGTGGTCAGAATGGGTATGGCCTTTTTTCGATCCATAAAGGCACGCAGGAACAGCACTCATTCGTGTTCACCAAGTGACTATTATGTGAGGTACGCACCTGAATGGGGACGCAAACGTCGGCCAGATCGTAGACGGAGAAGGTGTCCTTGTACAGCACGGCGCCGTCGATGATGAGCGTCACGGTGGCGTTCAGACTCTTGGGGTCCACCACGAGCGAGGCGCACACCGAGTCGTTGATGTGGACCTTGCCTGTACCAGCACCAAAAAAGGACAAACAAAATTAATAAAATACAACACGAAAATGATTTATAATTATAATTATTATAAATATAATAAAATGTAAATAATACGAAAACAGAATAATTTTTTTTAATTGAAATTCAACACCAACACTAATAAAAATATTTTTTATTTTATTATATTTTCAGTATTATTAATTTCTCACAGAGAAAAAGGGGAGGGGACCTTCAAAGGGAATCGTGACAGTGAAGTCGAGCTGGTCGCAGCAGTTAAAGGAGTAGCCCGTAGTATTGCACTGGGGCGGGTTCCACTTGTTGGCCGGTCGCTGGTCGTCGGCGATAAACTTGGCCGGGAACGCCGCAGCGGCCACCGCCACGAACACCAGCACCAATGCGACCTGCAATGATTGTATTGAAACCACAAAAAGATGAGTCGAAAGATGAGGCTAAAGATAGAAGGGAAGACGCACGACGCAGATCTTCATCGTCAAACGGAAAGTTGTTGTAATATTGTAAGGTGCTCCTGCGAAGTGCTGGGACAAACGGCTTTTCTTTTGCCAGTTATTCAAAGCAGCTTTTTCATAAATCAGATCTCTGCCAATCACAAAAATGTCGACATTGTCGGGCGAACAGGCGCCTGTTTGAGAGGGCGGTGGTCAGTCCACGTTTCGCTTCGGGGCTGGGCACTCGTGCCGGATGGTGGTCAACAGCTGCACAACCGCAGCCAACAGCTGCCCGCACTTTTGTCGCAGAAGCGCCTGGGCTGCCTCGGTCATGGTGTCGTCGCGGCAGCGGAACGCTTCGCTGGCCTTGACCACCACCGCGCACTCGAGCACCAACAGCCTCTGCCGTCGCTGTTGAACGGCCTCGAGGTCGGCCGACCCGCCGTTGTCCGCGCAGGCCACGGCGCGCGCGGCCTGGATCAGGACGAGAAGGTGGCGGTCGGCCAGGGCGGCCCACTGCGCGCTCTGGACGGCATCGCCGTCCGCGGCGCGCTTGAGGGTGCCCACGAGCTCGGTGAACACGGGGAGGCCCAGGGCGAGGATGTCCCTGGCCGCGGCCGATGAGGCCGGCGTGGATTCACCTAGCGGCTTGCGGACCTCGGCCAGGAGGTGCTGGGTCTCGGGGCCGCACTGACGCTCCAGGTTCGCGAAGAGGGTCTGTGTCTGTTGCTCATCTACATCGGCAGCAGGCGGCGCGTCGTCGCTTCCGCTTTCGCTTTTCGTTCTTTGGGAGGCTCGCCCGGGTTTGCTGTCGCCCAGGCCGTGAAGCCACTCCGCGAGCTGTTTCACGGCCGCCAGCATGATTCTCGCCGCCGTCAGGAACGCCTTCCGGTCGCTTCCCTCATCCTCGCGCGAGTCCACGTCATCCGCATCCTCCTCGAGGCCGACCAGACCCACCGCGAGCGCCTCCTTCGCCAGCGCCTTGCGCTTGATGTGCTGAAGCAGGGTCATCCCGTTGCGCGTGAACTCCTTCACCGACAGCCGAAGATCGTTTCGCACTCGCTTCGCCTCGTCGTCATCTTCATCGACCGCACTTGCTTCGGGCTCCTGCTCCCGCTTCGTCGTCGGCCGACGGTCGGCGTCGCACAGGCGCATGCAAAGCGATATGACCTTGAACAGCACCGTGCCAAACTCGATGTAGGAGATGTCGGCGAACGGCTGCATTACGACCAGCGCGATGTTCTCGATGCCCTCTTCCACCGCTGGGACCGACGGACCCTCGCGCGCGCTGTCGCCTGGCTCCTGGCGCGAGTCCCTGTACTGCTCGGCCTCTGCCGCGAGACTCTTCTGCTCGTCGGCCTGCGGCTGATTCATGCGCTCGTCGGAGTTGGACTTGGCCCTCTCCTCCCTTCGCTCTTCGCTTTCGTCTTGAATCGCGATCTGCTCCTCCATCCACCCGAGAATGTCGAACTCCCTCGAGTGCTCCTTCTTCTCGGCCGTCGCCGTCATCTCGGCCGAGCCGGCTCCGCCGCCGCTGCTGCCGGCATCAACATTCCTGACATTCCGCGCCTCGAGCTGCCCGGCGGGCTTGATGATTAGAGACTGGTTGGACGAGTACTTGTCTTCGGGGAGCCACTGGATGCGATCCTTGTGCGTCGCGGGCACCGCGGGCATGTCGCCTTCGCTGATCGACCGCTTCACCTCCAGCTGTTGCTGCTGGGCCTCCTTCTTCTCTCTCCGTTTGCGGTCGAACGAAAACGTGGCTCCGAGCCGGAAGAGCTGGTCCTTCACCTTCATCCCTCCCGTCGCCGCCTTGCCCGGCTCCTCGTTGTTGCTCTTCTTTTCCTTCTCCTTTTCCTTCTTCTTTCGCTTGTCCTCCAGCGGGTCCACCAGCACCACCCGCTCTGCGCCATCACCTTTCGTGCGCGTTTTCTGCGCGTTTTCCATGATCGCGTCGGCCGTGTGCAGCTTTCGCATTCCGTCGTCGTCGCGATGGTGCTTGACCTCGTCGCGGGTCCTGTTGCTGCCGGGCTTCGTCCGCCAGCTGTCGCCTCGGGCCAGCTTCAAGAGACCCGACTTGAGCAGCGTGCCCTTGGCAGCGTTGGCGCTGCTGCTCTTCGCGGCCTTGGCCTGGCCGTCATGTACGGCGGCATGGGCCAGGCGCGGAGAGAGGGGCGGAAGCCCCGCGGGTGAAGGTGGTACTACTGACGACGTAGTTGGAGCTTCATTCTCCTCTTTCACGACAGCACCCTGGTCGTCGTCGCCTTGCTGGATGAGCCGCAGGACTTCATCCGTCACTTTGATCAACTTCATGCCGCGACCACGTAGCACAAAGAGAGTCAGTCCGCGGCTCATGCATACGATAGGGCCTGGAGTGGGTGGGCGATTACCTTGTCGTCGGCAACGAGGGCACCAGCGTTTCGCTGAATGATGTTGTCGATGCGGCGCTTGTACTGCATGAGCTCGCCATCCGTCTCCGAGAGCTGCTTGTTGGCCCTGTCGCCCGCCTCGGACAAATCCCACACGCAGACCACTCCTGCGCGCGCCCATGAGATGAATGAAACACAGCATCAGCCGCCAGCTACCAATTGATAGGTCGTGGTGGTCGTGTGTACCATCTTGACCAGCGCTGTAGAGCAGCCGCCGCTGCTCGTCGATGGTGATGGAGGTGACGCCTTCTGTATGGCATTTGTAGACGGCCAACTCGAGCCCCTTCTTGAAGTTCCACCGGCGGATGGTGCCGTCGCCCGACGCGGTGAACAGTTCGCGCTGGCTCTTGAAGAGGACCATGCAGCGGATGGGCCGCGTGTGGCCCTCCAACACCCTGATCACCTTGCCCGTCTGCCCACAGGAGACATTAGGGACCACTTGGAGAATGAATGAAAAGCGAAGAGCGACGAGCGAAGAGCGAAGAGAAGGAGAGACGTGTACGCGCGTGTTGTATAGTCGCAGTGCAAAGTCGTCGCAGGTGACGAACAGCACTCCGCCGGCAACGAAGAACTTCTTGGTGTTGAGGTTGTTGGTCGCAGTCTCGAACACCTGCGTGCACTCGAACGTCTGAACGCGAATGAAGAAGCAGCAGCCAGTCAGTCAGACATCTAGCTCAGCTCGCGTGTTTAGAGGGCGCCGACCTCGATGTTCCAGGATCGAATCGTTTGATCGCGCGAGCACGAGTAAAGTTCTCCGCCGTGCACGATCACTCCATAGACCCAGTCGGTGTGGCCAACGTATTCGCCAACCCGCTCGCCGCTCTGCGACCGATCGGTCAGCCATACGGGCCTTTGACTCCAGTTGGGAGGCAGAGGCACGACGCACCAGGAGAGACCAGGCGCGGACGGCCTGAGTCGGCGACGCTGTGAAGAGCAGCTTCCGCTCGGTACAGATTGCCACGGATGTCACTGCGTCATCGTCTCGATAAACGCGCAGCTCCTGACGTTCAACGCGGTAAGTCAGCCAAGCCAGAGGCGGCGGTGACAACAGCGCAGTGGTCGGCTCGCACCGTGGGCATGACGATGCCAGACGAGGACTTGGCCTTGACTGGCTCAGCGGTCTCTGAGCTTTGGAATAGCTCGCCCCACAGCTTCAGCGCTTCCTCGACCTGTGGATTGTAAGCCCCTTTTTTTAGGTCCGAAGATCAAAGCCGGCAAGGCCAGCTGAGCGCTCGGAGTCAAATTCTGGGCTCGGCTCGGCTTACCGTTTCTTCCATGTTGGCAGGTCCTTGCCTGCCCGGTCTCTGGGTTCGTGCGGTGGTAAAGCCCTGCGTCGTCCATCGGACCACGTTCCAGCATCTGTTTTCCGGCCACTCCGCGTGAGATTAGCAGAATCACACAAAATTGGATTGAGGGGGAAGGCCCTGCCTGCAGGTGTGGTCGGTGGCGGCGCTATAGAGCATCTTGTCGTGGACAAAGAGCGAAGTGATCCATTTCTGATGGCCCTTGAAGATGTGCGTCACCTTTCGCAACTGATTTGTAACATGTTTAGATGAGTCAGCGATCGGGCTGAAAGAGATGCGATTCGAGACTTCACTGCGCACCTTGGTGCTCCAAGCCACGATGACATCGCGTTCGTTGGAAGAGACGGTCGTTCGATTGGCGTAGTAAAGCATGTGGTCGAAGACGGCGATGCGTCGGGCCACTGCATCGATCGAGTACATGTGCTCCCGACTCTGCGCCATGTCACACATGCGTGTTGGGACACCACAGAGTTTACCTCTCTACACACCATGACGCGCATACCTCAGTGTCGTAGAGGTGGATTCTGTCCTGCGACAGCACATACAGCACTCCGCCGTCCAGCTCCAAGTGCAGCAATTGCTTGTCACTGCGAACACATTGTTAATGTCAGGTTCCAACTGACATGTGTGAACATGCACGTGTTGTGTTGTACAGTGACCTGACATTGATGTGTTTACCTGACGTGAAACGAGTGGATGGGGTCAGCGAAGACCGGCGCCACGGCCATCGATGATGACACGGTGGCGGTCTCCCCGCTGCCCTCGCTGCCCAGCGGCTTGGGTGGTCGGAGTTTGTGACGAAACGACTGTCGCAGCGCTTGTTGTGTCCTGGAGAAACTGCCTCGACGAACCCGCACCTTGCGCTCCTCGCCGTCTTGATCGTTTCCCGCTGCTGCAGTCTCCTCGGCTCCGCTGGCGCTGGCGCTGGCGCCCGGCTCGCTGATGCCCTCGACGATTCTCACCTCCTTCGCTTTCGCTCTTTGGCTCCTACCCTCGCTGTCGCTTTCGTTCTTTGTGGTGTCGTTCCTGTCGTCGCTGGCGCGGCGCACGCGCGGCGAGGGCAGCGGAGAGAGGCCGCCCAGCAGCCGTAGGCTCAACGCCGGCGCGCGCACGGCCTGGCCCGACCCGGGCGTCGGCGGCGAAGACGTCGCGGTCGACGACGCGAACAACACGGAGGGCGCCGAGGTGGTCGAGGCCGAGCTCAACAGCGTGTATTGACGCCGTCGCCCTTCTACGGTGGATTCATCTTTCTTTCTGAGGGGCGACGAAGGCAACGAGAACGAAGTCGAAGATGGAGGCGGGGAAGGCGACGGAGAAGATGATGAAGATGATGAAGATGGGAGGGCCGGGAGGCGGAGGGAGTGAGAACCAGAACAGGACAGGAGGTCCTGCTTGTAGGTGGCGCCCTCGCCGCCGTGGACCAGCGTCGAGCGCAGGAGCGGCAGCAGCGGGTTGAGGTGAAGCCTGGTATCGTCCTTTTTATGTTCGGTCATCACCGACACCTCACCCTCTCTTTTCTTCGTGTGTTCTGTCGTTACGCAAAATATTGGTGGTTGAGTTGTGCGTTCGCGTTGATCCCACACCTCATCACGGAAATGATGTTGCATTAATTTTTGCTAATTGAACTAGAATGCAAAGAATGCCTGCTTTGTAGCCAATAGGGTGCGACTGGCTCTGGTCCCTGGTCGGGCAGGAGCAAGACTAGGGCCGAATTGCGGAGAACTCGTGGTGGACGGCGGTGAGGAGTTGGCCGACGGCGGAGAGCAGGTCGCCCAGCCGCAGACGCAGACCGTGGCGCACTTCGTGCACGGCGGCGCGGTAGCCCTCGACCAGGTCCTCGTGGCGCTGCTGGGCCGCGGCCGCTGCGATCTGCATCAGCCCCGCCATCCCACGAGCGTGGCGCACCGCCTCACCCATGAGGCGCACCACCGCGCACTCGAGCGCCAGCAGCCGACGCCGCGTTGTCGTCCCCTGCGAGAGTGCGGTGGCCACGCCGCGCGATGAGCGGACAAGGACCAGCACCAGCCCGGCCAAGTCCTGCCACGACGGCACGGCGCCGGTCTGGCAGGCCTCGCGCAGCACGTCTACCAGCCGGCAGAGGTCCTGGCCCTGGTGGAGCAACATGTCGGCTGCCGGGGCGTCGGCCAGCGGTCGCCTCACCTCCTCGGCCAGATGCGGCACCTCCTGATTCGCCACCTCGCCCAGTAGCCCGGTGATGATGTGGTCGTCCAGGAGTTCGGTCACCGCTTGCTGTTCGTCGAACTTTCTTTTTGGCTCGGCAGCCGCAGTGGCCACATGGTCGCTGGCGGCGTCTTCGCCAAGGGTTCGAATCACGGCTTCTAGCTGACCCACGCCGTCGAGCTCGACCTCCGCCGCTGCGTGTCCACTACCCTCGATCGGTGACCCAAGGAGGTGGACGTCGCTCTCTACCGGTCGCTCTTCGACCACTTGATCACGGCCGACGACTGGGGCGGCAGCTGGAAGAAGGCCCTGCCGCCAGGCCGTGAACCGCTTGAGCGCGTTGATGACACTGCGCAGGATGAAGAGGAAGGTGCGTCGCCGTTCCTCGTCGACTCCGTCCTGTTGCTTGGCCGCGTACGCGTTCTGCCTGCGCTCTTCTACTTCCGTCCACGCCCTCCGCTGCTTGAAGATCTGCAGCAGCGACATGCCCACGCTCAGCATCTGCTTGGCCGATTGCATGAGCTCGAACAGCAACGCGGCACCCTCCTCCTTCCCCTGCCTCGGGTCGTGGCCGGCTTCACGTTCGGTCGGGTCGGCTGGGTCGTCGACGTCGCAGCTGTGGGCGGCCAGGTGGCAGAAGCTGACGATGAGCCGCAGGGACTTGTGGATCATGGCGCCGAAGTGGACGCAGGAGATGTCCCTGAAGTCCAGTACCGAGATGGCGGTCAGGGCGCTCACTTCGTCGATGAGCTCCGCCTGGATATCCTCCACTGCCTCCCCCTGCGAGGAGGACGTGGATGAACCCTCGGCCTCGGGCGTCTTCTGTAGTTCTTCTTCGTTTTCGCTCTTTTTCTTCTTCTCGCGTGTGTCGGCGTCGCATTCGTTCTTATACTCGCTCTCGTCAAACACCTCCAGGAGGCTGGTCGTGCGCATCTTCTTGTGCTCCTCCTCAGTTGCTCCCCACCTCACCAACACACCTTCCCTCACCACCTGATCTGTGGCGTCAGAGAAGAAGAGCCTTGGGGATGGCACCACACTATCTGGAACTGGCAAATGTCCCGGCGGGCTCGAACCGTCGACCGCGGTCGTGCTTGGATCTGCCGTGCCCAGCTCGGCCATCCCCCGGATGTTCTTGGTCGAATAGACCTGGTACATGTGCTCCTTCATCCTCGATCCCGTGGTAATACTGGCCTCCTCCTCTCTGTTGCGCTTCCTCCTCCTGTTCTCTTCCGGGAACTTCGCCCTTGGCGCACATTTTCTTCGCGCCGCCACCTCTCTGCGCACCGCCGGTGTCGGGTCGATAAAAATCGCCGCTGATCTCGGTGGTGATGGTGGTGCGATGCCGCGCGCAGTCGACACCGAGGTCGCCCGCCTGGAGCCCGAGCCTCTTCGATTGAGGACTCACTGGTGGCCCGCCCCCGGCTCGACAGATTGACGACTGTGTTCTGGCCCATTTCGGTCCGCCGCCCGCTGGGACCTCCGCCGGCGAATCGAGAGAAGCAGCTCTTCTCGGACCAATGGCTGTCGCTAACGGCGAGGTCGATCATGAACGAACCACTGGCGAGGGCTGTTGAACGGTGCGCACAAAAATAAACAAAATCAAACAAGCACGCAAACTTTTTGGAATATTTCGGTAAAATCAGCCCCACCAATTGTTCATCGATTGCAAGTGCCGGTTAAGTGTGGTACGCATCTGCTCCTTCTGCCGTCTTCGCGTGATCAACTATCTGCTTCCAAGATTTTATTTTCTTCGTGCGGTGATTTTTCCGATTTCGATCTCCTTCGCCTCACAATGCGTTGGGGGGGGGCACGGAGGTAGGGAGGAGAATGGCTGACACAGGCGACGCTACGCTCTCGGACCGGCTCAACCCGACCCACCCGGCCTACGACGCCGACCTCAAGCGGCGGTGGGCCACCATGCCCAAGGCCGAGCGCAAGGCCATCGTCGAGGCCGACCGCCAGACCATCGCCGCGCGCCACGCCTCCGTGGAGGACATTCGCCACCCGTTCGCCACCGACGAGGAGGACCACTGCGAGACCGGCGCCGAGTGCTTCGCCGACATTGCCCCGCTCCTCGCCCAGTACGCCGCCTGTCTCCGACGACCCCAATCCACCACCAAGACCAGCGCTGCTGATGAAGAAGAAGACGAAGACGGTGATGATGAAGATGAAGAAGAAGAGAGTGAAGAAGAAGTGGATGATAAAGAAGCGCGAGCGTCGCTGAAGATCTACGATCCGTACTACTGCACGGGCGCGGTGGTGCGACACCTGGGCAAGCTGGGCTTCGCCGACGTTTACAACCGGTGCGAGGACTTCTACGCCGCGGCCGAGGCCGGCCGCACGCCGGCCTTCGACGTGCTGCTCACCAACCCGGCCTACTCGGGCGACCACATCCCGCGGCTGCTCGACTTTGTGGCGCGCGAGGCGCTGGCCAAGGACCGCGCCTTTGCGCTGCTCATGCCGGCCTACGTGTGCGGCAAGGACTACTACGCGCGCGCGGTCGAGCGCCACCCGCGGCTGGGCGAGATGGCCTTCCTGTGCCCGCGCAAGCGCTACGTCTACTGGACTCCGGCCGGCCTGCGCTCCAAGCGTCAGGCCCACTCGTCGGCCCTGGGCAACCGCACGTCGCCCTTCGTCACCTTCTGGTACTTCCACTTCGGCCGGCACCACCAGCGCGTCGTGCAGTGGTGGCAAGCCCAGGTCCAGCGACAGCGCAAGGCCAGCAAGAACACGAAAACGAAAACGAAGAAGAAGAAGAACGAAAGCGAAAGCGAAGACGAAGACGAAGAAGATGAGGAGGAAGAGGAAAAGAAGAAGGCGGGCGGTCTGCTGCCGGACTGCGTGCTGGCGCGCGACGTCAATTCGCTTCCGAAGGGCGTACGACCGGAGGCGGGAAGGTCTGGTGGACCGCCGCTAGGGGGCCAGAAGCGACGCTTCGAGGAGGCGATCGGCGGCGGGCGAGGCGGGCGCGGAGGCCGCGGCGGTGGTCGCGGCGGTCGCGGTGGCGATGGAAGGGGCGGCAGCTGGCGCGGTGGTGGTCGCGGCGGCGGCGATCGTGGAGGGCGTGGCGGGCGTGGTCGTGGCGCCCCTTCGGGCGATGGCGGAAAGCGATTCAAGTCCCACCACCCGCAGCCTCCGAGTGGCGGCGGCGCCACGATGCGAGGCGCCTCACAAGGGCGACACACTCGATTCGACTGACCTGACCCCACCCCAGACCAACCACATCGCTCTTCTCACCTTGTGTCGCTCGAGAAAATATTTGCGCGAGCAGACCTTCACGGAAATGATAATAAACCCATAAAAGGGAAATGCGCACAAAAAAACAAACAAGAGAGAAGACGCCAAGAGAACAAAAAAGAATGCGAGTGAAGACGGTAATAAGGGGTAAGAGGACGGCAGGAACCGTGCACTACTGCCCAAAATGCGCCCATGAGCAGGTGCCCGGGAGCGAGATCGATATCTTCCCCCCTCACCGCCAACACCGTACCGCCAAGCCCGCATAGCGCGACAACCTGCTGTTTATTTTATTGTGATTTATTTTCAGTATTTGTATAAGTGTTTATTTTTATTGTAATTTATTTCTTGTATTTTGTACAAGGTACAGCCGGAGGGATCACGGTGTCGCTGAACAAGCGCGGACGATGGGACTTGCTGAAGAGCCTGAAGAGCCTGAAGCAGAACAAGGGCGAAAAGAAGAAGGACCCGCGCGACAAGGCACCGCAGTACTTCGACACCCCCAAGGGCACCTCCGCCTGTGCGGGAGGACCCGACCCCGAGCCGCGCGACAAGCGACCGGCCTTCCTTCACAAGATCCGTACCATTCCCGCCTCCGTGTGGCTTCGACGTTCACCACATGTGGTGTAGCTACGTCAGCATCACCATTGACGCGTTCTCGATCATGACCTAGGGCCGAGTATGGTGGAGCTGAGCCGTGACGAGGTGATGGAGGTGCTGCCCGAGAGCGACTGGGCGTACCTGGCCGACGAGCGGGGCAACGTGGCAGAGCAGTGGCTGTGCTTCTTCACCAAGCAGGGACACAGCGCCGAAGTCTACAGCGACGTCGCGGCCTGGGACTACATCGAGGCCATGAGCGAGGAGGACAAGCAGAGCTATGGCACGTCCGCCACCACCCACTGCTCTCGCCTGCGAGATAGATCGAGCAATGTCTGACCAATGCACTCCCGTCCGTGCGATCGCCAGGTGTGCTGGTGGTGAGGCAGGACAACGCCGAGAAGAAGGGCACGCTGTTCCAGTGCCCGGACCACGGCTCCAACATAGAGCGCAATCTGCGACCGGCGGCCAAGGCGCGGGGCAAGAGCAAGGGCGCCACCAAAGAGCGAACGCGAGACAGGGCCGCCTCGCTCAACCCCTCCTCTTCATTTTGAAAAGAAAGAAGAAAGAAGAAAGGGCAACCACGGTTTGTACACGAACAAGAGAACGAAGGCCGAGCGAGGGCTGCTAATAGCGAAGGATCTGGACGATGGACCGCTTCATGACGGTCGTGATGGGTCCGAAGGAGGAGACGAAGGCGAAGATGAGCGAACAGGTGAAGACGATGATCAGGATCTGCCACGGGAAGCGGAACGGCAGCGCCAGCTGCGTGAACAGAATCCTTTGCAGCAGCAACGTGTACCCCACAGCACTTCCTGCACGTCCACAAAAAACGTGCGTAAGCACGACACACATACACACGCACGCACGCACGACACACACACACACACACACGCACACAGACACACACACGATGGGGCGTACCGATGATAATGCCGAGCAGGGACGACGACAGAACGAGGATGAAGGCCTCGTACATGTAGATTCGCTTGAGCCAGTTCTGACGCATGCCGATAGCACGTACCACACCTGCGTGTGTGCGCAAACACATCCATGTGAGCAACTCGCACACATGCACAACCGCACACGCACACGACACGCAGAGAGGGGGGGGGTCGAACCGATCTCCTTGGTCTGTTCGTAGATGTTGGTGTACATGGAGGACACGAGAGAGAAGGAGGCGATGAGCATGGCCACGGCCGTGGTGAAGCCGAAGAACGCCGTGAGGAGATTGTCGGCCTTCTGAATGGGGTTGCTGCTCCCGCTCAGGTCGTAGATGTAGACACCCTCTTGGCCCTGCCGTGCGATCGGGGATGGGTAAGCGTCGCCATAGAAGAAGAAGAAGGGAAACAATAAGAGAACCTTGATGAGCTTGTTGACGTCGCTCTTGATCTGTTCTCGCTTCGCTTTGTCTTCTGCGTCGTCCTGGTCGATTTTGAACAGCAGCTCGCTCCACGGGAGATCGTCAACCGAGAAGATCGATTGTGTGGTCCCTGCCAACCCACCCAAAATTAATAAAATAAAATGATATAAATATAAAATATAAATCAATATATCAAAAATATAAATGTGGAAACATAAATATAAACAACGGGAGAGAGGGAAGTGTAAGTGTACACTCAGACTGGCGCAGCCAGGTGGTGAAGGAGACGGCGGTGTGCTGGTATCTGGAGTTAAACTTGGAGAAGCGGAAGAAGGGCGCCGCGTCGAAGAAGGCCAAAGGGCGCATCACCACCCGATCCTCGTACGGGCGACGAGGGCTCGCCGTACTAAGCCAGGTTGAGTTGAGGAATGCGTGAGGAATGCGGGCGGTACAAGCAAGAGAGCGAGAAGTAGTGGGAACGTACACGAAGCCCGGGTTAGCGTTGCCGCCACCACCCGCATTGCCTCCGGTGGCGCCGCCGTCGGTTCCGCCGCTTCCTGCGCTGTCGTCCGCCGGCCCGCCAGTCTGGCCGGAGAAGCGCCACATGAACCGCCCCTCGGTGTTGCGCAGGCCTGTGAACATGGACACCAGAACCGATGGCAGTGATGAGAGTGTGTGTGTGTGGTGTGTGTGTGTGTGTGCCTGTGGTGTGTGTGTGTTGTATGTGTGGTACCGATGAAGTCCTTGTAGCGGGTGCCGACCCAGGCGCGGCTTGATCCGTCCGGCGTGTAGAGCTGCTCGCTAAGGCTCATGTCCAGACCGTTGTACTCCGAGCCTACGGTCGTCCAGAATTAAACGAGTGCGCGTTGAGGAATAGAAGAAGAAGAAGAAGAAGAAGAAGAAGAAGGGTTAAAGCACTGCGCTCATACCTTCGTTGAGGATCAAGAACCCGTTGAACAGCACATCCATGAAGTTGGGCGCAACGCCTTGCATCTGATTCGTATCGGAGACCGACCTGTTCACCACAAAAAAACAACATTCCATTTGTGGTTGAGCGTGAGGTGTGCGTGCGTGCGTCTGGTGTGGTGTGGTGTGTGTGCGTGCGTGCGTGATCGTGTGTGGTGTGTGCGCACGAACCTGCCCAGATTTTCCAGGACCGGACCGCCGTGGTCTTGCCAGGCGTCGTTGTAGTGGTGCGTGACCCACGAATGGTCCTTGATTATGTGGGTGTGGTTGCGCAGGTAGTCCTCCAGGCCCTGGACGTTGCGGATGTGGTGGCGCCAGTCGAGCGGCGTCTTGGGCTTGTCGACAGTGCCGCGCGCCATGACCTTGAGGTAGACGCCGCTGCTCTGCTCGCGCTGGTAGGCGAAGCCGTCGAGCAGGTTGTTGTACGAAACCATGATGAAGATGATGAACCCCAGCGACAGGGCGTACATGATGGTCGTCTTGGTGTTGCGCTTGCGGTGGGCCACCAGGTTCTTGATGACCATCGCGCGGATGGTGGCCTTTTCCCAGAAGAGGAGGCCGTTCACCAGCAGTCGCTCCAGCAGCGGCTCAAGGTTAAGCGACAGCAGCACCAGGCCCATCAACATTCCTGTTTTGCACCTTTAGGTTAAATGCCACCGCACACACCGCACACACCGCACACACCGCACACACCGCACACACGCAACACGAAGAGGGGGTACCGATGAGGATGAAGAAGAAGATGTTGAGTAGAAGGGTGAGGTCCATGGTGAGCAGGGAGAGCGGCACGACGTAGTAGACGGCGAAGCCAAAGCCGGACAGCGACAGGCCGATGATCATCAGCGACCACGAGAAGCTCTTGTCCTCGGAACGCTCCAAGTCAACCGACACCGCTTGCACTGTTGCGTTGCGTTGCGTTGCGAGACCAGTGTTAGTGAACGCTGCAACGGCAGGCACACAGCCTGGTCACGCACCCTTTTGGCGCTTGGTGTCGAGAGAGTCGTGCAGGTTTTGCCCCAGTGCATGGCGAATGGGGAAGATGGCGGACACAACGGGCACGAAGATGCCTGAATGAAGGCAGGGTGAGCGTTTCATAGCGAGAAAAAAAGGGGAAAGAGGAGGCGCGAGTGGCGTGGCGTACCGAGGAGCGTGGCTATAAAGACCGCCAACGGCGTGAGGACTGGCTCCATGGGCACGCCCGTTTGCTCCTTGAACCACACCGACACGCCCATCATGAGGGCTATAGAGTACAAAAACGGAAAAACACGCGACAATCAGTAATACAGTAACAACAACCGACTACAAGCTTGGCCACAACGAGAAAGGAGCTCGTTTGAAGAGGGGAAGGGGAGAGAGAGCTACCCTCGGAGAACAGCAGGCCGCAGACCCACGAGGGAACGGCGTAGGAGAAGGCCTGCATCAGCAACAGCTGCACAATCCCGCCACTGCAGAAAGAGCGAAGGAATGACAAGAATGAGTGCGTGCGCGTGCGTGTGGCGTGTGTGCGTGTGTGTGCGTACCGGGTGGCACCGACCAGGCGGTAGACGCCCATCTCGAAAGTGCGGGTCTCGACGTTCACCATGAGCAGCGAGTAGATGAGCATGGTCGAGAGCAGCAGCAGGATGAGGATCACCACGTTGAGAATGAGGCCCAGGAACAGCGAAAAGTACTGGGTGACGTTGAGCGAGTCCGTGACCGGCATGTCCGTCAGGAGCTCGCTAAAGCCCAGCTTGTACACAATGCGCGCCGAGAACTCCACCACTACACAGAGCTCGATTAGGTATATGTGTGGGCGTGGGCGGTGGTGCGTGTGCGTGTGCGATGCACCTACCAGCCCTCTGGATCTTGTCGTAGTCGCTCTGGAGGTAGAATTGAATGCGTGGCGGTGGGAGGTTGATGACCACCTGCTGCGCGAAGTCGTAGAGGTTGATTTGCTTGAACTCCTGGCTCACAGGCTCGGGCAGCTTCGGGTGCAGGTATCGCGTGATATAGGGTAGGAAATGGGCGTATTCCATGATGATCACGTTCTCCTCGTCCAACGGGTGCTTCCCCACCGGGTCTCGGTAGATGGCTGACAAAGAAGAACAAAATAAGAATTCAATTCGTGTGAGCCCAGAGCTGATGGTCTAGATGGGTGAGAGGCTGCTATTGGCGTACTTTGAACACGAAGAGGAATGAAGCCGTTCCAGAAGCCCCAGCGAACCTCGGCGCTGCTGTTCTTCACGCTTTTGAAGGGCCAAAACGTAGAGAACCAAGCGGGTGAGACGAAGCTGAAGAGTGTGACGGTGGTTTCAAAACGGACGTACGTGGCGTTGGCGGGCAGGTGCGGAAGCACGACGTGCTCGTAGACGCCGGGCATGTAGTTGCTCATGTTGATGTGCATGTAGAACACGCTGCCCTCTTTGAGTCCCATCTAGTACAGGGCAAGGGATGGAAAGACGAGGACCTCAGGTAAGCGCCCGCGCGGGACTGTGCTGTACAAAGATGATGAATGAATGGCGAGCGGACGTACGGCGGCGGCGATGTCACTGATCATGAAGACCTTGCCCTCCTGAATGGAACCCAGGGTCCACTCTCGGCCGATGCCGATCCGCTTCTCTTTGGCCGAATCCACGACGTAGAGCTTCGCCTGGAACGCTGACGTGCCGCATAGATCCTGCCAACAGCAATTAACATTAGTTCATTAATCATCCATCAACCGCACACGCACACGCACACATCACCGCACACGCCCCAATGGCGATTGGCTGGAGCAAGTACCTGGAAGCACTTGCCGGGCGCCTGCTCGTAGCACCAGATCTTGTCGGCGTCGCTGCACGTGTCGGCGTCATCAGGACATTCGTAGGTGGTGTTGGTGCCCAGGTACTTCCAGGTCGAGTCGTTGGGATCTAACCCGGCCGCGCAGCGCTTTTGTGTGTACACTGAGCAGCACGCGCATGTGTGGTGTGTGTGTGTGTGTGTGAGCCGTCAGGTTTTATGGAGATGCGATTGAATGGGCACGTACGAAACGTTTCGCCCTGATACCGAGGAGAGTTGTACGAGGTGGTTGTGTCCTCCTTGAGCATACCACTGTGTGATGCACAAACGTTTTACATGAGTCCTGGTCGTTGATTAATCAGCACATTTAACATGTGGTACCTGATGAGGGTGTAATTGAGTGCGCCATAACCGCTCCAGTCCCCAGCACTCAGAATCACGTCCGTCTCTCCCTGGGTGAGCTCGGCCAGCCGCAGGAAGATCACCTACGCGCATGGCACACGGAGCGACACCACGCCGAGGCCTGGTGGTCAGCAGCCGCTCGCGAGACGGCAGCACCACAAGTCTCGTGTGCTGAAGAAGAACAGAGGAAAGAAGAAGCATAGGTACAGGAGCGTTGGCCAGAATGGTGACCATGAAGGCAACAACCATCACCACGAGGAAGCAAGCCAGGAAGCCCAGACAAAAGTTAACCTGCACCCCACGCCACCATGAGGACGATCAGCCCACAAACCCACCGCGTGCGTACGCAGCCTGCTTTGCCACACGCGAGTGTAGAAGGAGAAGAGGAGATGGGCACCTTGCGCGCTTTGATCTCTTTGATGGTCTGGACGAGGAACTGGAGAAGCAGATGTCGCGACGAAAGGGAGCCCCTGATGGAGAGCAGGAATTTACGCCATTTCCTCTGCATCTTGCCCTGCCACGTTGGACTGGCCACCGGGCGAGACGGCGCGCTGCCCACTCGAGCATGCCCCGCTTCTTGCCTTCGCCTCATCCCTTCTCTACAATGCCTGCAGAACAACACGACATCTTCAGCTCTTGGCTCCAATTTATCCATCTTCCACTTCCACATTCGAGATGTATCGATTTTCGAGTGGGCGGTAGGCCGTACCTCTTTTGGGTCAGTAGATGGGGCCTAGAGTCAAAGAGAAGCACTGCGATCCAGCAGAGGATGCGGCCACCGCAACAAGATTAGTCACGATCTTACGTGGTCCTCGCCGCCAAGAGTTTCGCGTTGCCAATTCGCCAATTTGACGGCCGGCGCAAATGCCCCACTGGTGACAGCTAATCACCCGAGACTGCAACTCCGGACCAGGAATGCGCCGATCGGGTACGCACGTGCCGCCCCTTGAGCCAACAACAACATGAAGAAGAAGGAGAAGAGCCCAAGTGTGCCCACCATGGTAGAAGTGTTGCCCCTATGTGTTATGCCAATTGCTCACACCAGCACACAGGTAGGTGATGGCCACACAGCCATGATAATAACAATAAGTTGGGAGAATAAATAGGAACGAACCAAAAAATGAAGAGAAGAGGGAAGGGTGAGGGTAAGGAGGAGAGTGGAGGGGGGGGTGTAGATGATCACACCATCTTACTGTACAGCCTCTGATCCATCTCCCGTCGATAGAAGTCCTTGCCCGAGGCTGGACTAGACGCGCCCGCGCCACCGCTGCTGAATTGCGGCGCGTTGCCATTGGACCACGGGTAGGAAGCCGCTGCGAGTGAAGACACGGAGATGATGGCCGAAGCATGCCGCCTGCAGGTCAGTCGGTTAGACGCTGGTGATGATGGTAACGATGATGATGACAAAGGCGGTGAGACCGCGTACCGGTGGAAGGCGAGGTATGTGACGACCATGAGGGAGATGATGACGATGGTGAGGAACATCAGCATCATGCGCTCGCCCTCGAGACCCGACGAGAGGAAGCGCTGCTCTTCGGCCATCAAGTCCGCTTGCGAGCGAGAGGCTGCTGGGAAAGAGGCCTGTGGCACAGCAATAAACAGGAAGTCAGTGATGAGTGATGTGCGTGCGTGCGTGCGTGCGTGGTAAGTTGGTTACCTCTGCTCTCCTGTCCGTTTCGGCCTTTCGGTTATTCTCGGTCTTCTCCTGCTCCTGCTCCTTCTCAAGCTGCGCCTTGCGCCTTTGTTCATCTTGGCGCTGTTTTTCCAGGCGTAGCTCCTCCATCTGACGCTGTTGTCGCTCCTCTTCCTCGCGCTGCATCTTCTGCTTCGCCTTCAGCTTGGCTTGTTCTTTCTCCCTCGCTTCCTCTTCCTCCTCCTCCTCCTCCTCTTTCTGTAGCTTCCTCCTTTCTGCCTCAGCTTCGGCCTGTTCCTTTAGCTTCTGTGCTTCCTCCTCCGAATTCTTTTCTTCTTCTTGCCCTGGCCCCTCGTCGACTTCAGGTTCGATGATGGCCTAAAGAGCCGGCAGGGAGAAAATTAAACGCGCATATGCGGTGCGCGCGCGCACACACACACACACACACTCACGACACACACACACACACACACACAGAGAGAGAGAGAGAGAGGAGTTGAGTAGAGCTGTACCTTGGTGCCCTTCTTCTCAAGCAGGAGGAGAAGCGACTTCATCTGGAGCGGTCGAAGCAGCATGGTGAGCGGGTCAACGTTCGCGCCGACGGCCAACAGCTTGCGCTGGCTGGCCTCGGTGGACACAGAGGCCGGATCGAAGACGCGACGCTTGGCTCCGCGCTGCTTCACATCGCGCTCGTAGACAATTTGGTGATCATCGAGCACATGCTCGGCGTCGCCTTCTTCTGCGTCGTAGTCATCGTCGGCAATGGACAGCGTTCGCCGGCTGGCAGCCTTCGCCTGCTCGATCTTGTCCAGTGCCGCTTGCGACAGGAAGACACCCTCTTCATCTGCACGACGTGATGACGTGTCAAAACAGAAGAAGCACCAACGCAAGGACCAGAGGGCGGCTGAGGAGGAGTACCGGTGTTTTGGTTGCCGCCCCGGCCCAGTCGGTTGAAGTCGATTTTCATACTGAGCATGCCCAGCGACGCATCGTAGCGAACCCGCTGGTCCACCTCATCCGCTTCTGCATACGCGGTCGAGAGTTAGAGAAGGCAGGCGACGTGGGAGTGCGCGGAGGAGGTTGCGTGCCGTAATTGAGAGTGAGGGAACGCGGCCGGGGGTGTTCGATCGCCCAGCCGTCCTCGGTCGAGCTGAACAGTTTGCCCAGCTGTACCGTCACCTCGGACTGGAAGTTACGCGGCAAGACTTCCGTCGGCGCCGCGATCGCCTCAGTTCCCTGTGGTGCGGGGGGGGGGGAAGTAATCAGCACCATAACACGTCTTGGCGGGAGGGAGGGGGCAAAGAGGGAGTAGACAGTACCTCGGCAATATGGATGAGTCGAAGGACAACCTCAGAGGACACGGCGTCCCTGGCCTTCAGCGAAAGCAGGTGCACATTGGCCGGCAGACTCGCTGCGTACGACCAAGAAGAGATGAGCACACGGGCGGCGGTGACTCAACCGAGACTGAACTTGCGGGGGGGAGGGGCACCTGAGAGGGGAGTGTAGGAGTTGACAAAATGGTCGGACCACACAAAGGTCTCGGGCGCCTTGGTGATGGTGACGGGCGTGAGCGGGTGGTCCTGCTGCAGCGAAAGCCGGCGGCGGTGGAGTTCGGCGTCCTCGGTGTGGCCCAGCATCAGCCACTGCTGTATCGTCACCACGTTGTGGTCGCGCACACTAGTGTGTCATGGCACGGAATGGTGAGAGTGAGGCGCAGAGGGCATGCCCTGGGACGAGCCAGAGAAAGCCAAGCGCTTTGGCGTGTACCCTTCGCCCAGGCCTCGGCCGTCGTCCTGCGAAAGATGCCGGTGGAGCATGAGCTCCAATCCACCGTCAACGTAGGAGGTGGTGCCCATCGACTGGCTCGATATCACCTACAGAACGATCACGACCACCACATGAGCCAGCGGCCAGCGAGCAAGATATGGGCTTGGCTTTCGAAGAGGAGGGAGCCGTACGGTGAACTGAAGGTCCTGGGAGATGTGGCGCAACATGGCGATGGAAATGGAAGGGTAGTACTGAGTCTCCTGCGCACCGGCGCGCGAAGACTCGATGTGAGCGCGAGATCGGGCCTCGTTGGTGTTTCGCGACCTGATGCACAGTACAGCCCATTGTTTCACGATCAGTGTGAAACTTTGCTTTTGGGGCGCGAGTTGGTGATGCAGTCGTTGCGCGTACCTCTTCTGCAGCTCGATACCGTTATCGGTGTAGAAGGTATCATCCGTGGGGATGTCCGTCTTGTAGCTGCCGGGGTTGATTAGGGGTAAGAAGGTGGGGAGGAGTGAACTGAGGGTGGCGCGCGTGTGCGTACCGGACGACCACCTCCCTATTTCCTGGCGCGTCGATCAGGTGCGAGGTGAACAGTACGCCGCCCACTTCCGGGTGCGAAAGCGGGTCTTGCGGGGCGGTGTAGAGACGAAGCGTCTACGAACAGGTCGTCCGATTGTACGCGTGAGCGAGAGCACGAACGCAACACAAAAACGAACGATTGATGGGGGATATGCGGTACCAGTTTGCGTGAGGCACTGAGGGTGATCGCAATCTCCGACATCAGCTCTCCAGTGGCGATGCTCACCTTCACGTCCAACGAGAGTTCGGTCAAACCAGCGGGACGGAAGATGTAGGCTCCGCTTCTCGAGGTTTGATACTCGGCGTACTGCATGGGCGGAGGACTGTAAGCAGCAATACACCACCTCGACAGAACCGCACACAGACCACACACCGCACACACGTATGAAGCTGACAGCATACTTTTTGGTGGAGCGCGATTTCCTGGCCCGTGACCTTGTTGAAGAGCTTGTCCGGAAGTCCAGTCTGGGGGCTCAGCGTCACCTTCAAGAATTCATTCTCGATTTTCAGGTTTGAAACGTCGCCTGCGAGCTCCTCTGTGGTGGTTGTTAAATGTGAGAGAACGAATGATCGTGAGCGAGGGAACCTGCGTGGTGGACCAAAGAAGTGAGAAAGTGACCATACCGCGACCATAGAAGTGCGCCTGATGCTGGCGCGGGGCCTCGGGCACAGTCGTGCTGTCGACAACGCGCACGAAGTAGGTCGACACACCGAGCGGAGGCACCTCGGCCATGAAGTTGAGGAAAAACACCGAGCCGGACCTAGATTCGCGACAACACATTGTCGTACAAAAGCTTGGCTTAGCACAACGTACGGCCCTGATCACACGTCGTAGGAGTGCAGCATACTTTTCGGCTTTGGTGTTAAGCGGCGAGGTCTGCACAGGCACGGCGCTCCCATCGGCGTCGAAAACGCGGAGCGTCAGCGGCTTCGCGGTGGAGACCTTCACTTGAACGTACTGGTATCGCGTCCAGCCCAGACCGTTGTGGTACACAAGAGGATATTCGTCCCCGGCCTGTACGAGACACCATGAATGCGTCGATATCAACCATCTGAGCTGAGACGGGCCAGCTCGCACTGGGAAGGGTGAAGAAGGGTACCTTGAGGGTAAACAGACGGTCCTGAGCGTCAAACACGCCAAACTCGATGTCTTTGAGCACGGCCAGACTGTTTGCATCCTGTTGCTCGTTGTACAGCAGGTGCTTGGTCATCTCCGCAATGGTCTGGTTGGCGATTGATGGTTAGAGCGCACTAGCGGACAGGGCGCGGGCGAGGTGCACACAAATAACGGAACGAGTCGTGTGTCGTGGGTGCCAAAGTAGAACGCGCACCTCATGCGAGATGTCGACTGCCCTGTTCAACCGATTCGTGTAGTCGTCGGCGACAAACGGCTTCGCCGTTCCCGTGATGCCGTCGTGGTGTTGGACCAGCGCCGTATCCTGGCAAAAAGAGAAGGACATCAGCAGCGCCGTACAGTACATGTTGGCCGGGTCAATCTGGTAGGGCAGGCGGCTGACGTACTCGTCTCCCCTGGAGGATGTTCGTGTAGTGTCTATCCCATGCCGTGGGGATGTGCTTGGAAAAGTCTTGCGCGCGACCGAGAGCGTACGCGGTCTGGTCGCAGTCAAGAGAGCGGTGCGTGAGTCGGTGCGAGGCGCTCGGCTAGGGCGAGGCTGGAGCCATGAGCGTCCACGTACCTCGGCAGAGTGGAGAATGGAGGTCGCCTGTCGAGTCAGGCCCTTCAGCTTCGGGCGAGTGGTGTAGTAACCCTATCAAAATCCACATGCGACATAACGTCATGCACAGCATGTGTCACTCTACGGGTGCCGAGGCGGAGAGCCCTTAGCTCGGGGGGTGCGGGCTGCGTACCGTCCAATAGGAATCCGAGTTATCGGCGTAGGGGAAGAAATCGCCCTTGTAGAGCGGGAAGTCCTTCTTGGCCGCAAAGACCGCATCGAAGTACTGTCGCACCGTGCGTGATGAGCTTGTGCATTGACAACAATTGTTTTGAATGGCCATGAGCTTACCTCGGAGAGCGTGGCATACTGGATCTTGACACCATAGTTGCCCTTGTTGATCTCACCTGCAAAGAAGGCGGAGACATGAAGGGCGTTTAGCGCGTTGAGGACAGGGAGCAGGAGGTGATGCAAAGGGGGGGTTGCACCAATCAGGAGGTCCATGTTGGAGAACTGGTGCTCGGCCCTCTGGAACTTGAAGTCGTCGCCAAAGGTGACCAGGAGATTCGGTGTGCGGTATGCCTCCGCCCGATTCTGCACAAGGTAACTCATCAGCGATGATTCAAGGTGGTGTGGGTGAAGAAGAAGAAGAAGAAGAAGAAGAAGAGACCTTGAGCTCCTTGGCCAACTGAGCTGCTCTTTGCTGGGCATTGCTTCCCACTGGCGAAACGTTGCCCTCTTCAAAGTCGAAACCTTGCGGTGCGCTGTAGTGCGTGTGAAGCACGTGCGTGAATATCTCACTCTCCTCACCCAGCGAAGGCGATCCCTGCCACACAAACTCCATGTGTCGTGTCTGCTTGAAGTAGGACTGCGGAGAAGAGGCGTAAAGTTATCGCTCAGCGGCTGCTCGAGCCCATCGTAAAAGCCTGTATGCAAGTGGTCAGGGCGTACCTTGAGATTGTGATGGATTCGGTTGATCACGAGGGCGTCAAACCCGACTGCCGCAGCGAGGGTGGGCGTCAGCGAGGAATGACCGAATGGATCGATCTGCGACGAATTGAATTGAAACCAGCCCCGCCATCGTATGAGTTTGAGTTCCCGGCACAAAGCGAAAAAACTGCGAGAACTGGCCAAGCACAGTGGATGGAGGCAACCGTACTTGCCAGGCGAATCGTGGGCGGACACCAAAGTTCTTCAAAAGGTAGTCGTGGCCCTCGGTCAACTGATTGACCAGAATGTCGAAGTTCGTGTTGGCTTCGTCGGGTTGGACCCATCCGCCTGTCGATGAGGAGGGCATCACGGAGAGGTAAGAGCTGCAGCCAGATGCTACGTGTGCACATAGAATGGAGAACCTTCAACAAACTCGAGCTGTCCATTTTCCACGAACTTCTTCACTTGCTGCTTCACGGTGACACTCTTGGTGTCGAACCAGCGGCTGAAGAACGAACTGCATACGGGCACGACCATCAACTCGTGAGGCGCGAGTGCGGAGCGCGGGAGAGTGCACGTGCGGCAGCCAGACTCAGGGGGCGGTAAGTAAAGCGCGGGAAGTGCGACGTACATCTCTGCCCACACAAATCGACGGTCCGGGCTCCGCGACAGAGAGTTCATCACTTCCGTCAAGATGCGCTCCACGAAGTGAGAGTGGTAACCCTGCCCAATTTAAACCAATTTTTTAAATATAAATTGGCAAACGTTGCTGAAGAAATCGCGGATGAAGGAGGGCACCTCATAAGTCTCCAGCCATCCGGGATCGCAGTGGCTGTGCGGGATGAGGAAGGCTTTGACTGTTTCCTCTCGGGCGAGCGCTCCACTTGCGCATAGGCTCAGGGCGAACAGAAATGTGAAGAGGATGTGGGGAGAGAAGGAAAGAAAACGATTCGATGTCTTGCCTGCGCGCCCCATCTTACATTTCAGCGCGAGTTCCATCCTTCCTTCTGTTGGCGTGGAAGGAGCTGTCGAGGAGCCCAGAACGATTAGAGCTGGGGGGGAGGGGCACGCAGTAGTGCCACGTTGCTTTCCTCCTCGACGCCAAACAACAGTCCTGCCTGACCCCAGACCTGTTTGGTTTCGTCGCTGGCCTGCGAATTCCCGCCCCACTCGCATTCCCCACCAACTCCGGCTGGTGAGGCAGGGGAAGCCCACCACACGCGTGTGCATTGATTGATTTATTCGACATCGCTGCCTGTCGAACTGCCTGTTGAAGTTGAAGTGGCGCACCACACTTGATGACGCACGAAGGGCAGGGGTTGATAAAAAAAAGTGTGTTATGTGTTTTGGACAGAATAAATTAATACAGAAGGAGCGATAGAGGGAGGAATGATGATCGAGGAATGATCGAAGACGCAGAGAAAGAGAAGACATACATAGACCGATGAAGTGTATTATGTCGGCCGGTACCACTCAGGGCGGGGACCGGCGAAGGGGGCACGTAGTGGTTGCACGCGCGCCTAGTTGTCGGTGTGACCGGTGGTCTCGGCGCCAGTGTCGTTGCGCGGGCTGGCGCTGGCGAGCTCGTACGAGTCAGGAAGGAGGCCGTCCTCACACGCGGGGAGCTGGGGAACGGAGATGAAGCCTTTCTCTAGCTCCTCCATACAGGACGGGTCCACCACGTCCATCGCGTCCTCCTCGAGCTTGATCTTCTTGTAGGGAGAGAGGCCGGTTCCGACCTTCTTGTTCCTCTGGATGACGGAGTCCAGGGATCCCATGTCCACAGGAGGCAGACGCCTCTTGGGAAAGATCTGTGGAGGAGGAAAAGTGGTGAACATCGGTTCTGAGCACAAAATGCAGCTAAGAAGGAGGGTCCTCAGCTCACCTGCGTAAGGTCGCCACCAACCTCCTCGGTCTCGCTGGCCAGGGAGGGCACAGCGTCCTTGAACGACTTCAACATGCGACCATACCTGGAGTGGTGGGTGATAAGCGACCGACAGCCAAAGCATGGAGGGTAATTGGGGGAAAACACAAAACAAAACAAAACAGCCAAAGCAAGTTAGCGGGTGATGGCACGTACCGTCTCTCACCGCCGAACGGAAGGACTTCGGGAACAGGCTCTCTCGCGCCACCCTCGAAGGGGAGCGCGGGGCCGTTGTCGCCGAACTGCTGAACGTTGTTGAAAAAGAGGCCGAACGAGAAGAGGACGATGAGGAGGCACACGCCGGCAGCCTTGACGTTTCGGATAGGAGCGGTGCCCTTAGGGCGGCTCTGGGCAATCTCCTCGGCGAGACCGGGCGTCTTGTTGATGAACTTGGTGAGGTAGTTGATCTCCTCCTTGAGCGTGTTGTTCTCCTGCAGGAGCATGTCGTTGTGCGTGGCAAGAGACTTGACCTTCGTCTCCAGATCTTCAATATACATCTTCTTTCGCAACCGGGACTTCTGAGCGCTTTCGCGATTTTTTATCAGCCTGTTGAGCGAGCTGAGAATGAGACATACATGTAATGGCCAGAACATCAATCGTTTGGAAATTAGTCGGAATGGGATTGCAACGATCAACTGGTTGCAAGCGTACCTGCGCTGCCTCTTCACATGTCGTTCCTCCTCGGGTGCACCGCCGCTTGACGGCAACGGTGTGGGAGCAACGTCCTCGTCCTCGCTGCCGAACCTGGCCCGCTTAGCGCCCTGCTTCTTGATCTCGACGAGCGGATCTTGGATCGGGTAGGCAGAGGCCATGGTGAGCGAGATGGGGTTGATGGTGCTCTCCGGCGATGACATCATCGACGCGTGATGCTGGAAGAGGGTCTCGGGCGACGAGGGGCCAGAACTCTCGCCGGGCGAGCTGGGTGTGGTGCTCTCGGTCGCGAACGATTCAGGCGACGAGGGCTCGTTCTTGACGAACGGCAGATCGATGGGCTCCGCAGAGATATGCGATTCGGATCCGGCAGGAAGCGACAGATCGCTCAGGTAATCGAGCTCGTTGAGATTGCCGTTGAAGAAGGACTCGAACAGCTGGAGCTCGTTTCCATAGAGGTTCTCGTAGGTGGTGAAGTCACCTCCCTTCACCTCACTTTCTCCATCCATCGCTGATGATTCAGCCCACGAGAATTGCATGGCCTAGAGGTGGTGCTGTTCTACTTCTATTTACCTCAACCGATGATGGGATGGTTGATGTGCAGATTCGAAGGGGGGGCAGAGCTCTTCGATTTGGCTGGAAGTGGAATGAGGATGCAGCAGGGTTTGGGGGGATCGAGCTGTTGGCCTGTTGCTGGAAAAGGGGAACGCCACACGCAAGGCGGTGGAAATATCTTTCTGGCCTCAAAATAGAATATATGTCGACAATGCGGTGACGTCACAGCGTGCGTGGGGAGTGGGCGAATAAAGGGGAATTTCGTGGCTTAAGAATTTGTGGGGAATGTGTCACAAGCTCTGTGGAACGGTGGGCTTGGTGACGTGGTGACCCACCACAGCCGAGCTTGGGTGGGGTACCAGACCTTCAGGTCATGGCCTGCTTCATGTGCAGCCAGCATGCTCATTTTGTGCTGGGAAAATGGCATTAAGTGATAACGACACGCGGCGAAGTGACCAATGCGGGGCTGGCGTCTTGCCTGCCAATCATTTTTTACCGATTTTAATTCCCTCAAAATTTACCGGGTGGAAATGCAAAAAGAGAAAAGAAAAAGATGAAGAAATAAATAGCCACCAACATGGCCTGCGTGCACGGAGCAGGCTGGGCGCAGCCGCTTGTTGTGGAGGTGGACGGCGGGGGTGAGGAGCTTCTGCATCGCCTTCACCCAGCGTGCGTGCTCGCTCCGGAGGACGTACTTCAACCTTCTCAACGTCCAAATTTTCGTGACGATGTGGGTAAGATTGTGTTCCCTCATCTTTGCGCAAGAAACTATTTTTTTAATTGTACTATATTAGTATTTTTTTCATTGTGACATCTTTATGTTACACTACCTTTTCCTCATTTTTGTGTCTTTTCTTTACGTTGTGCAGGGTCGCCGGTCGTGGTGGCGATTGCTCGGCTGCCGCAGGCAAGCCCCAGCGCTGGCACCGACCCGAGCGGGAGACGTCCCTCACTGACGCCCACAAGGGCGCCGTTTGGCACTCATGCTGCAAGCAGTGCGGTCGGCCGCGGAGAGCTGGTAGTGCTTGCCGCAGCGCTGCCCGATTGTGAGGCTGCTGGCGTGGTGTGCCACCGGCGGCACAGCAATGGCAACCGCGACGGCCCACAGCTTCCCAACGGCAGGAGCGATGAGTCGGAAGGCGATCAAGACAACGTCGCCCAGCTAGAAGGCGCAGTTGCCAACGGCACGGCGGAAGGGAGCAGTGCAGGCGAATCGGACGCCGGCGTGCTGCGTGTGTCGCGCTTCTTTGCCGAGGAGCACCACCTCGCATCGGGCGATCGCGTTCAGCTCAAGCCGCTCGCGAAGCAAGCGCTCACTCTCAACCGGGCAGTCCTGGTTGCGCGTACACAGCGCGCCTACCGCTTTGCCACCAAGAGAGGTGCGTGCTATTGTTTCCGCACACGCACACACACGCACACGCTCACGCCAAACAAAACAAAACAACAGAGAAGCTCTGGCGCAACCGGCTGTGGGAAGCTGGTGCCGGGCTGCCCGTGGCCGTGCGAGGTTCCGTGTTGCGGGTGCGGAGCGAGATCTCGCTGGCGGACAAGAGCGCTCGCAAGGGGAAAGGAAAGAAGGGAAAGGGCAAGGCTAAATTGGAAACCGACGAAGGAGAAGACGAGGAAAGAGACCAAAGCGAATCTGACGACGACGACGAAGACGACGGAGTTGATGGATCAGCCGGCCCCACGTGGGAGGAATACACCATTGCCGACACTCGGCCGCTGCTGCAGGGCGTCTTGGACGCGACGCGCACACTCATCGTCATTCTACCTCCGACTGCGAAGAAGACCACCCCATCCGTGGCCGCCTCCGCTCCTCTTCCTTCTTTTCGGCCAGACGCGCAACATGTCGACAACTCATCGGCCGCCCAGCAGCGACCAAAGCGGTCGCCGGAATCGCCGCTCTTGCTCTCGTCCTTCATTTTGCCATCGTGCCGATCGCTGCTCAGCTCCAACGTCTCGTCGGCCGAGCTCGACCGCAGCAGCAGCGACGACCTCAAGCCGGCCGTGCTGGAGACCTCTTTCTTGTCCCGACCATTGACCACGCTTGAACCAGGTACACAAGCGCGTCTCTCTCCACTGCAGGGGCCGCGTGTCTTGGGTCTAACCTGTTGCTGCTGTCAGCGCCTTCGTGGAGGGACGAGATGACCGAAGTCGGCCTCAGTCTATTCACGTTGCGCCAGCTTCACCTCTTTTCCGGCAGCACGGTACGTTGGTCCGCCACCCCATGAATGTAGTCATGGTATTGCCGCCCAATTGTCTGGTGATTGAGTACTTTGATTGGCCGGGCCGTACAAACAGGTGGTTCTGAGCTCGGCCGAGTCGAATCGCGAACGGCTGGCCCGCGCCTACGCGTTGCCGTCGGGCCAGGAATGGGCCAACGAACGGCTCTACCTATCGCCAATTTTGGCCTACAACCTGGGCATCACACACGGCGAGTCGGTCACTGTCCGGGAACATTGCGCGGGATGGACCGAGGTACGCACACGCACATGCACCACCGCGCACACGTTGCGGTACGGCACGACGGCGACTCACGCAATCACTGATTTGTACTGGCAGGCCCGAGCGGTGCACATATCTTTGGTTCGGTCGCCGGCAGCGTCGTTGGCGGCCGACTACGCGGGCCCGCTTCGACGTTTCTTCCGGTCGCCGCGTCTGCTGGCGCTGGGCGACCTCATTCCGGTGGTCCTGCCTCCGCCCCGCTACCCCTTCTTGACACACAAGGGCGGCGACGCCAACGACGATGAAGACCACGACGCCGACGAAGACGACGACGATGAAGAAGAAGACGAAACCAGCGGCGACCATGATAACCGCGAGGGCGGCGTCGTCTACTTCAAGGTCACCCGAGTACTCCCCGAGGGCACCGCGTCGTTCTTCCGCGTGAGCCAGGAGGAGACCACGCTGGTGCAGGAGGGAGTCGTCAACTCCGCCTTCCCGCCGCTCGCTTCGTCGTACCTTCTGCCCGACGACAAGGACCCCGAGGCCCAACAGGGCGAAGGGTGGGAAGAGGTGCGGTGTGTGTGTGTGTGTGTGTGGTGGTGTGTGGTATGTGAAGTTCACCTTGGCCTTGTTGCGCATGCTGGACCAATAACAGGTCGAGGATGTGATGCAAGCGTGCTTGGAAGGGCCGGCGGTGAACATGGACCTCGGCTGCTCGATCGTGGTCTACGGACCTCCGGCCAACGGCAAGTTCACGCTCGCGCGCTACTTGTCAACCAAGCTCGGCATCCACCTCGTCACGGTACGCTCTATACCCGGAAAAGCACCACTGCCGGCCCTATCTGTGAGCAGTAATGATGCCAACACGTATGTCACACCTGGCAGGTGGACCTCTACGATCTGGCGCGGGATGGCCCGCTGTCCGAGGTGGTGTCGGGCCTTACCAAGGCCTTCCGGGAGGCCTGGGCCTGCCACCCGTCGCTTCTCCTCATCCGCTCGCTCCACGCCCTCCGCTCCTCGGGTCCGTCCCACACCGATGTAGCCGGTACGCCGCCGCCGCTTTGCAGATTCCTCGTCATGCGCCCTCTTAAGAGCTCACACTCTAACTCGTCGCACACCCGCAGGCAGTGTCGCGAAGGAGTTGGCGGCCCTGGCCAATGAGTACTGCGACGGCAAGGGCGGCAAGGTGGCCCTCCTGGGCACGGCCGAGCAGATAGACGACATTCCCGCGCCCATCCGCGCCATCTTCCGCCACGAGATCAACCTACCAACTCCCGGTACCACCCCAGCGCCCCGAACCAGCGCCGGTGCTCACCCTCACTCACCCCCCCCCCATCAAGGCGTGGAAGTGCGTTTGCGCCAGTTGACGCGGCTGTTCGCCCGCACGCCGCTCGCGCCTGACGTCGAGCTGCCCGATGTGGCGCGCAAGACGGCGTCCTTCGTGGGGCGCGAGTTGCGGTCGTTGCATGCCCACGCCGCTGCGACGGCCCTCGCTCGGGCCGTACGCGGGACTGACCAGGTATCCGCGTCAAAGCAAACAAGGTGCACACCTGATCAGGTCACTCACCAGTGTGGCGTCATCGCCCAGGATTCGCGGTGGGAGGCGCAGCGACGGGAGGCGGTTTGTGCGGCGGGCGTGGTGGTCACGGCCGAGGACATCGAGGCGGGCATCGACAAGGTCTCCTCGCACAGGGCGTCCAACATCTCCGCACCCAACATCCCCAACATTCAGGTAATGGCCCAGTCCAGTACAAACCGCCACGCCCTCCGCGTAGGGTTGAATCACCGAGCTGACACGCTTCATGTATAGTGGGAAGACGTCGGCGGCTTGGCGCATGTGAAGCGCGAGATTCTCGACACCATCCAGCTCCCGCTCAACCGACCCGACCTCTTTTCTGGCGACCTACGCAAGAGGTGCGTCACGCGCCTCAGCATCACCCACCACCATCGTAGGAGGAGAGAGACACTCACTGCGTGCCCCTGCGATATCGTCAACGTTCGGCTTCCCGTGCCACACCCACACAGGTCCGGTCTGCTGCTGTACGGCCCTCCGGGCACGGGCAAGACGCTGGTCGCCAAGGCGGTCGCCACCGAGTGCAGCCTCAACTTCATGAGCGTCAAGGGTCCCGAACTGATCAACATGTACGCCGATGAAGGCACCCCTCGTTATGAATTATTTTTATTATGCGAGTTCTCACCCACGCGTGTGTCGCTGCCGCGGCAGGTACATCGGTGAGAGCGAGAAGAACGTGCGGGACACCTTCCAGCGCGCGAGGGACGCGCGGCCGTGCGTTATCTTCTTCGACGAGCTCGACTCTCTCGCTCCGGCTCGAGGCGCGGGCGCAGATTCTGGAGGTCCACCCGCCGCTCTTTGATGGTTGATACGCTGCGTGCTGACTTCCGGGCGCGGCCTGTGTGTGGGTTATGTGCGTTGATTGGGGGGGGGGTTCAGGCGTGATGGACAGGATCGTGTCCCAGCTGCTCACCGAGCTGGACGGCATCCACAAGTCGGCCGACGTGTTCGTGATTGGCGCCACCAACAGACCCGACCTGCTCGAGCCCGCCCTGCTTCGGCCAGGTAAAGCTTTCGACGCACACCACCCCGCACGCGCACTGTGCGGCTTTCGTGTACGCACCCACTGACCACCCTGGTGGCGTGGTGGTTGCAGGTCGCTTTGATCGACTGCTGTATCTGGGCGTGCCCGAGGACCACGCGCAGCAGCTCCACATTGTGAAGGCCCTCACGCGCAAGTTCCGGCTGGCGCCGTCGGTCCGTCTCGAGGAGGTCGTCCAGGCCTGCCCGCTGAACCTCACCGGTACCGTCCGGTCCACCGAAGTGTCAGTGCATCCAGCTTTTCATGTGCACACCATTCACTCACACACCTCCATCTTCATCGCCTTCGTGTGCACCACCACAGGTGCCGACTTCTACGCTGTGTGCTCCGAGGCTCTACAATCGGCCATTCGAGAACGCATCCTCCTGTCCTCTTCGGCTTCCACGGAGGCTTCGTCTTCTACCGGCACGTCCACGTCCACGTCAGCTTCGTCCTCTTTGCCATCGCCTGGCGACGAGGTGACCACCACGGGGCCGGTGTCGGTCGAGCAGCGCCACTTCATGGAGGCCCTTCGCTCGGTCACGCCATCCGTGAGCCCCACGGAGCTGCTGCGATACCGTGAGCTCCAGCAGACCTACGCGCAAGGCCGTCCTGCTCACTGATGAGCACACTTCTAACGCATCACAACAACATGGTGGCTTCCCTACACGCGAGCGCATGAGATTGACTGCAGAGCATCGTCAGAGCTAATGGATTTATGTACGAGAAGAGATTGGGGGGTGTTGGTTGTTTACAGGATGTAGGGCAGATGGCCGACGCTCATCGGATCGTCTTCCTTGACGTGAATTCTATCGCACAGGAAACTGAGCTCAGAGTCGAACTCGGTCTGGAAGGCACTGTCTTGGTCCTCCCATGGAGCTCTGTCGTGATTACTCAAGCATTAATCTCTGCACCCCACAATCACCGAACAATCTGCAGTGCTGAAATTTCGAGATTTGAATTTGAAAGGGAGGTACCGCCACACGGGCCTGGCTTCGCTGCTGTCCCTGAGAGTGGTTGAGGTCTCAAACTGGGCCATGAGATCGAGCATAGATGGCGCATTCTCCATAGGGCTCCGTGTTGGTGATGAATTGAGAGTGAAACCATTTGAGGAAAGCTGTACGAGAGGTGAAGAGGAGGCAGAGGTCGTGGTTGTGGTTGTGGACGCTTGAGATGCTTGTACAGAAGATGTCAACAGTCCATTCTCAATGGTGGGCGCTACGTAAGCGCATCGCGGAGGCGTCTTCGAAGATGAAGATGATTGAGTAGTGTTGTATGATTGCGACATGGGGCGCGGTGGAGCTTGCGGTGGTGACGTGCGCTTCGAGATCAATCAATCAATCGCGAGGTCCTGACCTCTTGATCATTAATTTGGCATCAATGCCGTCGCGCGCTTTGCTGGCGCTGCTGTTGGCTGCTCCAGAATACCCGAAAATTTTGGGCTGATCCATAGAAACTGCCGAATTATTTCTTGGTGGGCCTCTGCGCCTCTGGTCGAACGTTTTAGTGCAGAACGAAGAGGGCATGCCCAGACGTCGTGGTAGGAGAAGCGTGACGGACGTACAAGCGCAAACCAAGCAGCTCATCAAGCTGGTCGCCTCCAAGGATGAATTGGCGGTGCGCGCCTTCACCGCGGCCGTTCCCGCCGAGTGTACGGCTCCTCGCCCCCCCATAATGCGTTCTTCGTTTTTGGCCTCCGAGCTGACGGTGAGTGGTGGTGTGTGCAGTGAGGACGAAGGTGGCGAGCGGACAGCCGGGCGACTACTGCACGCCGCTCGTAGCGGCCTGCATTGTGGGCAGCCTCCCCATCCTCCGCTACCTTCTGGAAGTGGGAGCTGACTGCAACGTCCCAAGGTCAGACGGTACGTATCAGTAGTGGGCCAGCGCAGGTGACCCTGGGTGGTGGTTGGTGGTGACGCCGGTGCCGTTGGCCTTCTTAGGCTGTCTACCGCTGCACATTGCCATCGTGAGCCCGCACGCTGACGAGTCGCTTCTGGCCGAGCTGCTTCGTGCCGGCGCCGAGGTGAACGGGCGAGAGGAAGATGGAGGTAACTGAAGCTTCATGTGCCTCTGCACCGTGAGGGAGCCCTTCTGACCGTGAAGTGGTGCTTTCTCAGGGACTCCACTCCACTGCGCGGTACGAGGAAAGTCTCTAGCACACGTGAAGATGCTTGTCGAGCATGGCGCGGTAGTGGACGCCACCGAGTACAAGGTGACGACTACACCACTGCTCATCGCCGCATTCAGTAACCAAACCGACGTGGCCTCCTACCTGCTCGCCAAAGGCGCCGATGTACGTCGTCAGTCTGCCTCGCCCAAGGCTCAAACCATCAACCTAACATCCACCCATCTTCAACAGCCCAACAAAGCGCAGAATGACAGCGCAGGCACGACGCCCCTTTTTGCCGCGGCGTTGCAGGGAGATCTCGCCACGGTCGACATACTCCTGGAGGCAGGGGCCGACCCCAACTTTGTGTGCGTCTTTCAAAAGCCAACGCATGTTGAACAGCAGTGTTTTCAATCAACACTGACCTTCAATGGTGGCAATTGGCACAGTGATACGTCTGGCTATACAACCGTGATGAGCGCGTGTGACTCGCCTGCGCTGGGATTCGAGGGGCGCCAACCGCTGGCCATTGTGCGGAAGCTGCTCGACCTTGGCGTTCCAATCAATCACGCTGCGTACTCTCGGCCTCTTCTTGACAGTCAGCGCGCCAACCATCCATCCGCCTATCTTTTCTAATCCGCCCACCCATTCGCACCTCTAGGCGTGATGGTTCCACGGCGCTCTACATGGCAGCCATGCACAGGCTGGGCGACGTAGTCGAGGAGCTCATCAGTCGTGGAGCTGATGTCCACGCGTCGGTACACTTCCCTTTTGCAGGTGGCATGGGTTGGCTGTGCTGTTGTTGCTGTTGTACTCATGTAGTCTCACTTGTCGCGGCCAGCTGAACGGCAGCAACCGGAAGACCCCCAAGGGCGTCACGCCGCTCCAGATAGCTTCGCAAAAGGGCTGTCTCGTTTCTGTGAGGTCTGCCTTCCCTTTGCTCCCAGCCGTTGCTGTCATCTGTCACCTTTGGGGGTAATGTTCCAGCTCACTGATGAGATGGACCAGGGCTCTCATCAAGGCGGGAGCCGATGTGAACGCGATGGACGCCGTGGGCACCATACCGCTCATCTCTGCTTGTCGCAACGGTTCTCAGCACGATCAAGCCTTCAAAAGCATCATTGCGGTATGTGTCCAAGACTGTCAACCCTCGAGTCTGATTGCATTGCGGCACTCAATGCGTCTTGGGGGGGGGGCGCTGCTCCAGGAGCTGATTGATGCCGGCTCATTGACCGACCACAAGAACCTTCTTGGTGAGCGCCCCCCCACCCACCCACAAACATTCGCTCGCGCATGCACATCACAGTTTCACTCACATGCTCGCCCTTTGCTTCACTTGGCAGGCGATACTCCCCAGAACCTGGCGGCTGCGTGGTTGGAGCCCAGAGACCCGCTGTGGGAGAAGCTGAAGGCCAAAACCCAACCCATGGACACCAACTGATCAGTGGCCACACGGCCGTGCCGAGAGACCAAGCCATCTCACATGGTCAGCTGCAAGGCAGAAAGGCCTTCCGTTTGCTCGCAGGCGCACGTCTGAGTTCCGGATAGCGGGCCGGCCCGCACGAACATGAAGAAAAGACAACACCTTTTCGTTCTGCTGCAGCGAAGCCGCCCGGCGTGATTTGAACAGACAGATCAATCACTCGAGTAGAGTCGATTTTCCAACACAGCAACAGCAACATGTCGCACCATCACCACCACTACAAGAAGAAGCACTACAGTCACTGCGACCCGTGTGACTCGCCGCCTCACTGTGGGTCGCCTCCACCCGTTCGTGCGCCGCTCTCTGATTCTGCTTATCCCCCCCCCCATTGTCTAATTTGTTGCCCCATTCGGCAGTGCGATGTATCGTACGTGTCGTATTGCCCACCGCCATCTTCGTGCGGCACCTCGGTCCAGTACATCCACACGACCCCGACGCATCACTATGGCGCCTACCCGCCCGCACCTGTGGGCTACTACCCGCCTCCACCGCACGGTGCCTACCCGCCTCCCCCACACGGCGCCTACCCACCACCGCCCGGTGCGCCGGTCGTGCGGCCTGCCTACCCCGGCCCGCCGCCCGCGGGCTATCCGGGCTACCCCTACCCTCCTCCGCCGGGCGGCGTCGCGCCTCCGCCGATGCCGATGAGCGGCTATCCACCGCAGGCCGCTCCCGCGATGGGCGCGATGCCGCCGCCCTTCGCCAGTGGCGGTGGTGGCATGCCGCCTCCGCAGCCCGCGGCCTTTGGGCAGCACAACCTTGCGGCGCAGATCAGCAGCATCTCGCAACAGCGCGTTGCGGGCCAGCAGCAGTTCGGCGGTCCCCAAGGCGTACGTCCACTCCTCGATTGCCTTTCCCTGTGGCGGCGGGAATGTTTCTTGGACTGCACACTCACCTCTCATCTACGTACACACGAAACACACACACACACCACGCGTAGTATCCTGCGGGTCCTGGCCAGCCACCCGCACAGCAGCAGGGCTACCCGCCGCAGCAACCGCCGCAGGGTTACTCATCGCAGCAGAGCTTCCAGCAGACCACACAGGCCTACTCTCAGCAGTCCCAGCAGTTGCAGCAGCAGCAGCAGCCAGGTCAACCGCCCGCATCCCAGCAGCAGCAGCAGGGCTATCCGCCGCAGCAGCAAGGCTACCCCCCGCACCAGGGCTACCCGCCCTCGCCGCAGCAGCAGCAGCAGCAGCCAGGCCAGCCGCCCGCACAGCCGCAGCAGCAGGGCTACCCGTCTCATCAGCCACCGCAGGGCTATCCCCCGCAGCTCCAGCAGCCCAGCGCGCCGCCGCCGCAGCAGCAGCAACAGCCGCCTTCGTCCGGGACCCAGTCGCCCGCATCAGCCGGCTCGCCGTATGCGAGCGCCTCGGCCCCCGCCTACCCGGGACAACCCGCGCCGGACGGCTCGGCGTCGGCGGGGTCGCCTTCGCCCTTCGCGGCCAGTTCGTACCCGAACCAATCGGCGGGCATGGGCCAGCGCATCAGCAACCCCAACTCGTCGCCGGCCCTCCAGAACCTGGCCTACCAGCAATAAAACGTCGTCGCCACCAGGCCGACACGACACGACACGACATGCAAACGGAGGCTCTATTCCTTGAAGTGGATGACCCTGGGCCGGGGGTGGTGGTTCTTGTTGTTGCTGATGATGATGGTCGGCCTCTCCTCGAGTGTCGTCACCTCGTGCGGATCTCGGTCGAGCGGTGAAACGAGGAAGTTGAGGATGACCACGCAGGTGGTAGCCAACACCATGACGTTGACCAGGATGATGCACTATAGAGTGGGTGGGTGGTGGTCGTCAGCTTCATGGTGCCGCACAAGACATGCGCAGGGTGGGGTAACTGCTTTACCTTGATGTGGTACTGGTCGACCAGGAAGGAGCCCCAGACGAAGTTCATCACGAAGCCCAGAGCCATCCAGAACCGAAAGTTGGAGAAGGCCGGCTCTGCATGAATTCGCTGGGTCAGCGCCGTCGCCATCAGCAGTGACACGACGTATGACGTGGGCATGCACACCTGTCTTGTCGGTGAAGAAGCTCGACATCATGACGGACACAAAGGTGTTCCAGCAGGCGTCCCCCAGGCCCAGAATGCCTGCGTGGCACAGTTCATCATCGTCGCCATCGTCACCATCGTCGGCATCGTCATCCCAAAAAGGACTGCAAGGAGCGTACCTGACATGATGAAGAGCACATAGGAGTGCTGGTGGAGCCACTCGATGGAAGAGAAGAGCTGGAGGAAGAGGAAGAAGGCGAAGAAGGTGCCGTGCGCCAGAGAGCCCACGATCACAAAGATCATCTTGCCCAGCCGGTCGGACAGCTTGCCCACCACGAACGAAGCCACCGCGCCCACGCCCCCGAAGGCGCAGAGCACGATGCCGATGTACTCCATGCCCATCGTCTTCTTGATCACATCTGACCCACCAAAGCCACAGACCACGGTTGGGTTGGCGGCAGTGCTTGGGAGAGCGCGCGTGCGCGTACATGTACCTGACGTGAAATCAGCGGCCGTGAATGCTTGCTCGAGCCCCACCTGGTCGCGTATGAGTAAGCCGTGTGTGTGTGCGTGCGTGCGTGTGCGTGTGCGTGCGTGTGCGTGTGCGTGCGTGTGCGTGTGCGTGCGTGCGGTGAGACGCGTGCGTGCGGTAATGGGAGAAGGTATACATAGATCATGGACAGAACGAGCAGATACATCCTCGGGTCGCGCAACAGGACAAACACCTGCGTGTGCCAAACACCACACAGAGAGAGAGTCTGTGTCAATTGAACTCGCGGGGTGAGGCGTGCAGGTGTAAGGGCGTGAAGCCAACCTGAACGATCTTGATGCCGATCTTGTAGAAGGACAGGCCGCCGTACGGCTCGCTGGTGGCGTCCTGCCCACCTTCTTCGTCGTTGATGAGAAGGAGGCGACCCTCTCGCTCCAACTCCCTTTCGCTCGGCTCTTTGCCCAGGCCCAGAAACATCACCACGCTGAGTCGTGCATCCGACCAGTTCGCGGTTCAGTCGCGGTATAACCGGTGCGAGGTCGTAGGGGTGGTACCTGGCCAGGGTGATGGCAAGCAGGGTGTAGAACAGGATTCGCGTGGCTGCGTCTCCTCCGCCGAACAGGAGGATGAGACTCCCCAGCAGGTTTCCCACGAGTTGGCTCATCTGATGCGGAGAGGCCTCCCTTTGTCAGTACACCAGCGCCACTCGGCCCAGGCGCCTGATGCGCCGCAGTGTGGGTGTGGGTGTGTGGATGACGGTGTTGGGCACCTGGACATTGCAGATGAAAATGCCGTTGAAGAGCCCCATTACAGAGAGGACGGGCTGGCCGATGGCCTTGGCATAGTTCACGGCCGTGTTGGTCAGGTAGGCGCCTAAAGCGGGAGACCCACCACAACGATGAGAAGTGGGATGATGAAGGTGGAATGGAATGGAGTGGAAGAGTGATGTCATGTGGGCGGGCACCTTGTGCTGTCCAGATGAGCCCGGCGCCGATCCCGTTGATGGCGGCGGCGGGGAGGAGCGTGTAGGCTCGCGGGTAGATGTTGGCCGCCAGGAGCGCAGTGTAGGCCGCCGAGCCCAACACCAGCGTGTACTTGGGCTTGAGGATCTCGGTCGCTTCGCATCACGCGACATAGAAGATAGTTGTGGTGTTAGTGCTCGCGCCAGATATGGCGCTGCTAAGCTCAACTGCAGCGCCGAGTAGTAGTGGTAGTACCGGTGGAAGAGACGAGTAGCGAGCAGAAGCAGAAGCCGGCATAGGCGGCGGCCAGGCTCCAGTACCCGAGCTTGCCCGGCACCACGCTGCTCTGCAGGTTCTGGATGGAGCTGCGGTGGGAATGGCATTATATAAGCAACCACGACTCAGCGCGACGTGGTGCGAGGAGTGGTCGGGAGTACCTGTAGGCACTCATGAGGGTGAAGAAGGCGAGGCACAGGACCGCCAAGTCCTTCTGCTGCACTCGCTTGTTGGGCGAGCCGGGCGGAGTCATGCTGGCCACTGTGACGAAGTCGAGATGGAGGGGCGGCGGGCAGAAGAGTAACAGGGAGACCAAACGCGGTCGAGGGAGAGAGCAACCCTCGGTCGGTAGTTCCCGGTGCGTAACTGTCTGGTGGTTGGTGCGTTCAGCCGGAGTTGGCCGACCGCACCTTCCTCCCCATGTTCAGTCTGGCCGGCCTCACCTCTTCATAGCTCACATCTCCCTATCCTCTGGAGGCACTTCCATCTTCTGAAGCAGTGCCCGAGGGGGCTTGCACAATCGCGTTTGCAGAGATATATCTGTTTCGATTAAATTGTAGATTAAAAACGCAATTTGCGCGAAACATTCCGAGAATGCGAGCATTCCGGGGATGACAGCGAAAGTGCATGGAGGGATAATACCGAGGATGTGAGTTCTTTTTCTTCTTTCTTCCTCTCTCTGCATCGGCTTCCTCCCTCTCCCGGCCGCCCCCCTCAGAGATCTTTCTTTCTCGCCATCTCTAGACATCATGCCGAAGGTCAAGGCCCACGAACTCAGGACTAAGAAGAAGAACGAGCTGGTCAAGCAGCTTGAGGAGCTCAAGACCGAGCTCGCCTCCCTGCGCGTCCAGCAGGTGACCGGTGGCGCCCCCTCCAAGCTCGCCAAGATCAAGGAGATCAGGAAGTCCGTCGCCCGCGTGAACACCGTGATCAGCCAGACCCAGAGGCAGCAGCTGCGCATGTTCTACAAGGAGAAGAAGTACAAGCCCCTCGATCTCCGCGTGAAGAAGACCCGCGCCATCCGTCGCCGCCTGACCAAGAAGGAGAAGAACGCCAAGACCGTCAGGGAGACCAAGAAGCTCGCCCACTTCCCCCTGCGCAAGTTCGCCGTTAAGAGCGCCTAAGCGAACGTTCTCTGAGGTAAATAGCATCACAAATGTCTAGCGGCAAATAAATAATTCTAAATCCAATACTGCAAGTCCATTGCATTTTGTTCATTTCATTCACAAACATTTTCGTGGATTCGCCTGCATGCACGTCAGTCCTATGGCACCCGAACGTTTGATAAAATGGATCCATTCAGTACACGCAGAAGGGGCTCCGCCACCCAACCCGTCCTTTGGAAGCTCTTAAAACAATGTGACTCTCAATCTGTTTGTTAGTACAAGTCCGCCTCATGGTGTAGTTGGCAGCATATAGGTTTCTGGTACCTGGGACCCCAGTTCAAATCTGGGTGGGGCGATATCATTTTTTTCCCCGACCTGGCGCACAGAGCAGGGGCAAGCGGACATACAGGGGTGCAAGCAACACATACAGGGGTGTTCGAACTGTCGTGCCTGTGCGGTGCAAACTATTAGCTATCAAAGAGGTCACATGTGGGTGGTCGTTCGTTCAGGGTATCGTCGCTGATGCCCTTGAGGGCCTCCTCCACAACATCCCACGCGCTGGTCTCCCAGTTCTCACGCTCGCCCTTGTTGGCTCGGCTCCTCTTGTCCTCGTCCAGCGCACGGTTCAGCTCCTGTCTGAATCGCCGGCCATCCTTCTTGCCGTGAAACAGAGGTACGATCGGCACCAACAGCCCTCTCTTCACCAACCTGCTCAGCCCCGGGCCATGCCACTACTCGTGAGCGGCGCAAGCCAACACAGATCAGAAGCAACGATCGCGTTTGGGTTCTACGTACTTTCGTTCTTGCGTGTGTTTGTCCACGTAGTCGCAGTACTTCTCCAACACCTCTCGTCGAGAGAGACACGGGTTCGCCTTGCCAAAGAATCGGGCGTCCACCTGCGTCAGCAGCCATGGATCTGGTACCACCGGCCACGGCTGTGAGTGTACTGGTAGGGCGGGAAGGTGATGGGGGAGCCACGGCTGAGAAACCTTTCGTAGCGATTCGCCCGAGCATCACGCCGTCGACGCCGTTCGCCAAGTGGTGTGCGATCTGTTCATAGGTCTCGACACCTCCGTTGATCGTGAAGCGCAAGTCCGAGAACCGCTCCTCCCGCTTCAACTTGTAGACCGTGTCATACTTGAGCTCAGGAATCCTACAAAGCACATTCATGACAATGAGAAAGAGAGAAAGAGAAGCTAAAGCGAGGGATGATGGTATGGTACCGTCGGTTGTCGAGGGTGGAGAACCTCCCGAGCAGCAACGCCTTACGGGCATGAACTACGAAATGATCGACCACCCTTTGGCCCTCGGCTTGTCGCCTGGCCTTTCTCTCGCGCCGCTCGACCCACTCCTGCTCCTTCATCACGTTTGCCTCGGCCTCGTTCGTGAGCCACTGCTCCACCTTCGCGTCGTCGTCGCGGTCGCCTTCTTCGTTCTCTCCGCGGTCTCTGCTCTCATCTTTCTCGCCCCCGCCGCCTTCAGCGGGCCGTGGGCGGTGACCACCCTCGACGTGCGCGGCGTCGGGCATCACGCCCGTGGCCACCGTGTCGATGAAGTCGTAGAGGTACTCATACGAGTCTAGCTCATCGACCCCGATCCTGCACTTGGCCGTGACCGGGATGTCCACCTTATGGACGCAGGACAGGCGATGAGACTCTCCGTCCACTGTTGTGTGTGTGTGTGCGTGTGTGTGCGTGTGCGTGCGTGCGTGCGTGCGTTACCTCTCTGTACATGGCAGACATGATTTCGGACACGAGCGGAGGGTCGAGCATCAGCTTGGCGCCGAAGCAACGCGTGCTTACGCGCTGGCTCGGACAGCCCACCTGCGCCCCCACCAAAGGTGTGTGCGATCGGCAAACACCCACGCGACGCACACAGCGTTCGTGCGGTGGTGGATTGAGTGCGTACGTTGAGGTTGATCTCATCGTAGCCGTACTCTTGACAGACGCGAGCAGCGCGAGCGAGCCCCGCGGGATTGGAGCCGCCAAGCTGCACCGTGATCGGGTGCTCCTCCACGTTGTAGGCCAGCACCTCTTGGGGGTTGTTGAGCACGGCGCCGAGGCTCACCATCTCCGTGTACCTGCGCGACCCGCAGAGCTCATAAGTCTTTGCTTTGTAGGCACCGGGCGCACACAACACTCGAATGGCGAGCAAGCAAAAGAGAGAGAGAAGTACAATTGAGTGTGGCGAGTGAGGAGGCGCACGAAATAGCGGTAGTGCAAGTCCGTGTGCTTCATCATGGGTGCTGGGGGACAACATAAAAGACGACGCAATCTCCGATTATGATTCACATTTGCCGTTGGCCAACGTTGGGAAGGAGCGCGAACCTATTGACACCGCCGGCACCTTCGTTGGGGCCTCCATCGTTCACGAAGTCAGGGTTGAGTACCGAGCTTCTTCTCGCTTTGTTTTTTGCCTTTCCTTTTTCATGGATGGCTTTCTCTGCATTTCTCCAAAATGCCTCTCCTCAAGACCGTGGGTGCCAACGTGCTTCTTGTACGTGGATCACATCTCTTTGTTCATCTCTGCCGTTCTATGTACAAATACAGGAAAGAAAGAGTTGGTCTGCACAACGCCGGGTAGCAAGTTCACCTTCGGCTGAGTAGCGCTTGAAAGACCGTCGTCCTTAGGAGGAGGAGTGCAGGCTGCAGGAGCTGCGTCTAGAAGTTGATCTTTTGCGAGGTGCACTTCTCGCTGAGGAGCTTGTTCTTGTTTTTATCGAACGCGGCCTGCCTGCAGCTCTCCATGTTCTGGCAAGCATGGCTCTCTGTGGGAGTGGAACGATAAGTGTGAGCAAAACCGAGGAGGAAAGGGAGCTGAAGTGTGTGCAGGTACCGGGCAGGCGGTGGTTGCCACAGAACTGGAGCTGGCAATGGCGGCAGTCGCCTGTGATGAGCACTGCTCTCTTGGAGCACTCGCCGAAGCAGCACTTGGTCTTCTTCCCACCTCCACGGAGCCGGAGGACCAGGTGCAGGGTGGACTCCTTCTGGATGTTGTAGTCGGCCAGAGTACGACCGTCTTCGAGCTGCTTGCCAGCAAAGATCAAACGCTGCTGGTCAGGAGGGATACCTGAGACAACGAGCACGTCAGCTAGAGGCCAGAAGAAACAAGAGGGGATGTGCTTGAGGAAGAGTAGGGCACACCCTCTTTGTCCTGGATCTTCTGCTTCACGTTCTCGATGGTGTCGGAGGATTCGACCTCGAGGGTAATGGTCTTGCCGGTCAGGGTCTTCACGAAGATTTGCATGTTGGGAGGGGGCTAAAGGGTAGCTGTGGAAGGTGGATGCGACGCTGGCCGGAGCAGAGCAGGAGCTGGATGATGAATATACAGTTTCTACAAAGAGTGGGGGCGAGGCAGAGAGGAGCAAGTTGCTCGTGTGTAGAGAAGAAGTGCTAAGATGGGTCGATGTGGTCTGGCTGATGTAAGAAGTAGCGTTTGGTGACGAAGGTGGTAAGGCGTTGGGCTTTTGTAGGCCAGTAGCCTGGCCAACCGACAAAAAAAGTCGACCGGAAAGCCAGCCGAAGTTTCCGCACACGCGCCCGCACAGTCGGCTGCATGTGCCCCGACCACCAGGGTCTGGCCCAGGTTCCGTTCTGCGTCGTCCCTTTGACATTGGCCGTGGTCCCTTACGCGAGTGGCCGCTCTCTGGCGCGAGAGACCTCTCTCGCCTCTGTTCTCGTGGATCGAGGCCGCTAGAGGAATGCATACAGCACCCCTTCATCTCGCGAGCTTGGTTGAAGTTGCACTCGGCGCGTGATGTATTTGCTGTGTGGTGTGCCGTGTGTCTCTTCCAAAACTACAGCACGGAGGCACGATCACGGGAGCATGATGGCGGCTTGCATGCTGGGCAAGTTGCGACGCCCGTCCTTCTCGGCTGTTCCGCCCAGCGAAGGCTCTGTCCATGGGGAGAGGGATGCACTAAGAGGCACCAGCTCGCTTCTACTGCGCGATCGACTGACCCTGACCTCCGCCGGCAAGGTGAGCACATCTGCATAATCACAGAGATCGCTTGTCAGGAGGTCCGTTCACTGCATGACGAAGAAGAACACAATCATGGTCGTAGTAGGACGCACTTTGATCGCCCGGTCCCTTGCGTGGCCGCAAAGTGGCCTCAGGGGACCACTTGTTGGGAGGGGCAACTGGGCGACTCTCCACTTCTGTACGGGGGGGGGAGAGAGAGAGAGAGAGAGAAGGTTGAGACCGGAGCGCTGCCACCAGCACATGCGAAGAGGAGCGAAGAGTACCAAGAGAGATGTTGGGTCGCTTGTTCGAGAACGAATATGGCCATGTCATCTCCCGCTGAGCAATCATGTCCTCTTCCTCCTCTTGCTCTGCCTGGTCGCTCAGCTGAACAGAGATGGGAAGAGAGAAAGAGAAAGAAAGAATGAGGTCAAGGGTAAAAATGCGCTGCGGTGTGCGCAATGTGATGAGCAGGGCATGTACATCGACGGTCTGCTGCATGAAGTTCCTTCGCGCCAACAATAGATGTCGAAGGTCATTGAACGAGCTGTGCCTGGTTTCCTCCTTAGCCGATTCCTCCTCTTCCCGCAGGCTGTGCACCATTCAACAAACACCACACATTAATAAGAACGAAGCAACACACATGGAGAATACAATACTGGAGAGACGGCAAGCGAACCTTTGATGCATGATCCATGCAGATGCCGCCTGGTTGCGAAGCTCCGATTGTACATTGCCGTCTTTCCACAATATCACCTGGGGGTGGCCGAGAGTGAAGGGGTGAATAAGAATGTGGAAGGAGAAGCTGTGGCTGCGGAGGTGGTTTACCAGGTTGTCGGCGCCACAGGAAGCCACACTGTTTTCTGTGAGCGCGACCAGGTCGTGCACTGCACACGAGTGACCCAGCATATCGCCCTGTCGCCCAGTGATATCAGTGGGGGAGGCGGCAAAAGGGAAGGGCGTGCATGCACGACCCAAAACCACACGGAAGGACGTACCACTGGCCGAGGGTGAGCGGGTTGCCTCTGTCGCCGTCTTGAGGGGTTGCCGCCTTGACTCTTGGATCGCGCGCCGGTTGGGATCTCCCAGATCTTGATGGACGAGTCCGCCGAGCACGACACCAATCGCGACCTGTGGTCCACACCGCACAACGTCGGTACAAGAACCGGATAAAAAACAAGTGTTGGAGTCGAGTGGTGGTACCCTTTGTACAGGGGCACGAGTCGCAGCACGGGGGCTTCGTGGCCTTCGTTGCACTCAATGACGCAGTCTCCCTTGGCTACGTCGTAGACTCGAAACCCTCGGCCGATAGCAGCGCATAGGTAGCGCTGTGTGGTGGGGCGAGAAGCGGGAGAGAGGTAAGCTGAAACGCCAGTGGCTGCAAGCAGATGGTTATGAGGGGTTGTGGCAGCAGCGTAGCGTGGTGTGGAGAGAGTGCGAACCGAAGAGAGCAGGGCAAAATGGTTGACCGGAGAGATGTAGGAGTGGTCTTCAAAATATTTCTCGGGGAACTCGAGGACGCGCAGAGGTGTGAGCGTTTCCGACTGCCAGAGCACGATACTCCCGTCCAGCGAGCCCGACACGAACAACTTGTCTGTGGCGCGCGCGCACACGTAATAGGTTGGTGGGTGAATGATGCTGCTGATCCCCACCCCCAAATGACGATGGTGAACGCTACATACCGGAGATGTTGAAAAGACACTGAACCGATTCTCGGTGGTAGGCCAGCAGCTTGTCGAATTTGAGTGTGTCGGTGTTATAAACAACTGATGCACAAGGACAGCAAGTTAGTCCTTGTTGCTGCGAGGGTCAGGTAGGTGGAGGGGTAGTAAGTAGTACAGAGATAGGAAGAATGTGAAGCTGTGACCAGTCTTTGGCCGCTGATTGGAAGCAAACAATAGAGGTCTGCACAACCATGAGCGAGTAAGTGAGTAAGTGAATGAGCCTGCGTGGAGAGCCATGAGGGAAAGCAGTACTTTCGTCCTCTTGTCGCTCTATGCATCCAAGAAGTTGCGTCTGCTGGGTTCCGCTCTTCCAAATACACAGCTTGTTGTCGTTGCCCCCGGAGCAAAACATCGGCGGACCCTCCTCAGAGTCAAGCTTCGCCAGGCACTGTAAGAGGAGAGGCCAATCAAGCCGTGGCGTGGTCAGCATATGCTAGCGTACAAGAACAGCCGCACAAGAAGCGAGAAGGTGGTACCTTTATGCTCGCCGAATGAGCGTTGCTGATGACGTGATCGCATGTGCCTGTGTCGAGACTCCAGACCTGAATCAAAGAAGGGCGGAGTGAGCATGCGCACCAAAGGGAAAACGAGCCAGGCGCGTGAGGGCCTGTACTCGAATGGTCTTGTCCGCCGAGCCAGAGACCAGCGTGTGTCGGTCCAATGTGAGCAGGCAGGTGACCTGCCGCGTGTGGCCCCTAGACCAGCGCAGCGTCAGACAGACTGAATGCAAGCATTTGATGACTTGGCGAGGCAGGCAGCTCGTACGTAAGCTGATACAACTGCTTGCCGGCAGCAACGTTCCACACAATGATTGCACCGTCGTCACCTGCAGAGGCCATCCTGAAACGCCGAACGAGTAATGTTAATTTTATAATTATAATTAAAATAGTTCAAAAAAGGAAAAATGATAGGAGCGTAGTGTACTTACTTGAAGTCGTCGATTTTGTGCATTAATCGCACAATGTCGCTGTGGCCCATCAGAATTTGAAGTTCATTCAGAGGGTTTTGAAGCAGTGCATCGTCAGCTTTTGAAGAAATCTCCTCGCCCTCTTTCACTCCATCCTTTTCCTTCCGTTCTCCTCGAGACCAAAACGCTTTTCGCTTCAGATTTGGGTTCCTCTTTGCGGGGTGGCCACCGACCGAGAGGGATCGCTTTTTCTCCTGTTCATCTTCGTCGTGCCCGGTGGTGTTGCTATCTTTCGATCCTATCAGATCTGAGATGTAGTCGAATACATTCATTTTGCCCGCACCTCGCCGCAACGCCGTGTGCCTCTCTGGCCAGAGCCGATGCAGCAGCCAGCTTCCCTCGGCCACGCGATTGATTGCCAAGAAAGAAAGTAGAAAAAATGATGCTCGTCGTTATGGTCCCTCTCGCGCGGTGCACTGTCGCCGTTGTTGTTTCCCCTCAGCCCAGGCAGTTGAAGGTGAGAATCAAAATGGGCCAGTGCTCACAGCTGGCCACCTGTGTGATGGACCCTGTGTGATCGCTTCAGGCGTGCGAAGAGGGATCATGACAGGCGGCGGAAATTCAGGCTGACCGTGGTGCAGACCAACCACTTCGAGCTGGTGGAGGGCTGAGGTCCATTGACCCTCGACCACACAAGCCGGTACAGTGCCCAGGGCAGCCCACAGGATCATCCCGCAATGCCCGTCGTGCTTCACGTGCCTTGACCACGGCTCATCACACATTCATAACACACCGCTCATGAAGGTGGATGACCAAGCTGAAGGGCTGGCGTGATGGTGATTCCCCAAAGGGGCTCAGTGAATATACACAACCCTGCCCTCGAGGACGGGCGCGATCTCCTTCTTGTCGATGATGTACCGGGTGAGGATCTCGCTTATCTTGAGGTCGCTGGTCTTGAGCACCGTGCCGCGCTTGAGTGACTCGAAGCCATCGCCTCCGCCTCGCATATACTCAGTGATCTGTGATCGCGAAGCCGGCACGCCGCCTATGCGTAAGTGGCATGGCGGACCAAAAGACTCCGTCAACAAGACACACGCACGTACCACGACTCTGTAACTTCGGTCCAGTGCCAAATCTTCGCCGTTGTGCTGTACACTGATGATGCGCTGGCCTGGCGGCTTCCGCGGGTCAAAACTGTAGGTCCAGCCTGTGCACAGATAGGGAAGCAGTCAGGCTCAACTGCCTAGTGCACACTCACTAAAAGGAGGGGCTAGTGGCGCACCCTTCGAAAGGTGCAGGAAGAACCCAGCCCGTTCTTCCACTGCGCGAACGCCCGTCTCGAGAGCCTCCCAGATTTCCTTGCCTGATGCACGACAGAGATAGAAAGATGAACAATCATCACCACCACGAGCACCAAGGGCTAGCCGCTGGCATACCGAGTGTTTCGATGAAGAAGGGTTTCTTGGGGAAGGGGAACTCGCGCTCCACATCGCCCAGAGTGAACGAGTAGCCCTGCTCGTAGACCCTGTTTCCTCGAATGAACCCTCCGTTGATTATGGCCAACTGGGAGAGATTCACCGTCAGGCAGGCTCTCAAAACACAACGCAGCAAAAACGGTCGGGCGTACATCAGCATTGAATGTCTCGCACAGCGCATCGGTGAGGAAGTTGGCCATTGTTGACTCCTTTGACCTTTGATTGAGAAGGAGAGGCTCGTCAATCAAATGTTGGTGCTGGTGGCAACTCCAATGCTCGACGTACCGTGTTTGTGTGCTATCGAGCGCGGTGACGACAGTGGCGATGGGCTGGCGAAGCGCTTCGTCGTGCGTCTCCGTATACGACCTGAAAGCAGTTCACTGGGTTAGCTGGATTGCGCGCCAACAGATTGGTAGCCGGCGCGCAAACATAAGCCAGTACCTGATGACAGCGTCAATTCTCTCATCAGAGGGGATTCTTCTGTTGGCCTTCACCTTCCAGTCGAGTGAAATGAACCCTGGTACGCAAGGACACACAGCACACGATAACGAAAACAACTCTCAGAAACCGCGCGGTAGAGTTGTTGACAGAAGCAACAGAACGATGTACCTTTCTCACGGCCCTGGGCGTTGGGCTTGGCAAGATCATTTCGGGTGTAGTTGATGTCGATTCTGCCCAGGTACTCTGCGTTTTGGCCGACCTTCATGATGAACACCTTGTGTTCGAAGAGACAGTAGGGCACATGGTCGTGGCCTCCAATAATTATCTGCGCCAGCAACGCACGAGAGAGCGACACATTAACTCGAGTCGTGCGGTGGATAGCGGAAGTGCGTACGTCGATCTCCGGGACCTTGGTGGCTAGTTCCTTGTCCTGCGGCAAGGAAATGTGGGTGACAGCGATGATGACGTCCACCTTGTGCTCCTCCAACAGAGCTTTGACCGCGTCCTTGGCGGCTGCAAGGGGGAGGGGCGGACCAACAAAAGTGCGTGTGAGCATTGCACGAACGTGGCCGGTGATTGAAGAGCGTACATGCAATGATGGGTGCGAAGGTGACATCCGCGTCGGGGAACGAAAGGTTCGGGGTGGCCAAGGTGCAGACGCCAAACAGCCCCACTCGCAGCACTGCAACAAAGCACCCGGGGTGAGTAAGCGCCGGCGACAATGACCCGGGCGCGCGTTGGTGAGTACCGTCATCGCCATTGTTGCCCCTCAGCGGGTATTCGCGAACGTCTATCCAGCTGGAACCTCCGAACGGCTTGCCCTCGGGCGTCAGCACATTGGTACCGAGCCACTTGAACTTGGACTCTGCGCCGGCAATGACGCGCGTCGCATGCGGGTTGGTCACGTGGTGGATTCACTGTGTGCACAATACACTCCTTTACCTTTAATCCGTGTGCGAAGCACTTCGTTGCCAAAATCGAACTCGTGGTTGCCAAACACGACTAATAGCACGCAACAAGGCGGAGAGACATCGGTGTCAGAGGTCGAGAACCACGGTGTGCGTCACGCGAGGGCGATCGTACCATAGTCGACGCCCATCTCGTTGAAGAGATGGACCATGTGCGCACCCTTGTGGACGTTGCCCAGACGAGATGCCGACATGAAGTCGCCGCACACGAAGAACAGCGAGTGTCCACCCTGTCGTGACGAGGCGGAGACGCCAACACGTCAACACGGGTGTCGTGTGGCGCAAAAGGCTGGACTGAACCTTGCGTGTGGCCCTTGACCGCTCCCTGTGCAGCCATGTCGTAGTGGGACCGAAGCCGCCAATGCCGTCAATTGTTTCAAACTCGTACACATCTGTGCATTCGAGATGAAGGATTAAACTAGGCCGGACCGGAGGATTAACGTCGAATTTATAAATAAAATGAATTGCCCATGCATACCATTAATAGTGAGGAGGGACAGAAGAGCCTGCTTGGGCGAGGCATCAGAAGTTGAAGATGGAAGAACTCCTGCCGCTTCCATCTCGAGCCAAAAGTGGTTATGAGCAAAATGCCTGTGGCGGCTGCTGACGTCATCAGAAGCCCAAAACTTGGAGTTGGGACAAGAAGAGGAGGAGCAGTTCGTCCAGTTTACCATAAGAGGGGAGGGAGCGGTCAAGACTTCCCGAAGAGAGTCTCGTCTGCTCAGAAGAGGTAGTACACAAAATTTCATTCTAGGACACGACACTAGACAGTCACGTGGCGCATCAGTGCGTGGTCCGCTCAATCCAGATCTCGTCCCACACCTTGCCGGTATCCCACTTCCTGTACTGGAAGCGCATCCTGTTGTTGTCCAGCTTGTGGAGGTAACCTGCATCGTCGCCACCATTCATCATCATGAACGATGTTAGTTGATTCAACGGTCAGGTGCCTGAAAGGGAATGAGTGCTTGGTAGAGCGAACCGTAGCCGTAGGCAACGTCCTCGAAGGTTCCGATGTGCTTGGCCGACCACACGGGCGACGGCTCGACCCAGGCCTCGTCGCTGAACGCTCTGTTTTTGTTTAGAGTTTGCCAACACACAACGCGTGAGTCAGTCGATCGATGGAGAAGATCGATTGCGGCCTTGGAGGTGGAGAGGAGGTACCCGGCAGTGCCGATGGTGAGGTGAATGGTGCCGTTGACGTTCCTGAACACGTTACCGGTCGTCACCGACGGCGTGTTGTTGAAGACTGGCGAAGAGCAGCGAGGTGAGCCATGGTACCCGCAAGCATAGAATTGGAAAAGCGTAGAGTGGTGTGTCTCGTACCGGGCCAGGTGCGTTCATAGGAGTGCATGTGGCCCCAGATGGCGAGGTCGACACCGTACTTGTTGAGAAGGGGCTCCAGCTCGCGCTTGAGCGGACCGCTGTCGGAAGACTTGTCCGACGAGTACATCGGACCTATAAAAAAACACGCGGTTTGAGGGCAGAATTAACCAAAAGCTGTGGTGCAGGGCTGGCGGGGATTTCGTACGGTGGCCGACGACGATGATGAAGGGCGAGTTCTTCCTGTTGGCGTTGGCAGCGGCCAGATCCTGATTCGCGGGCCGACGTGAGCGAATCGGGTGAGGGTGAGAGAATCACAGTCGGAGGACGGGTGCAGGGGTACCCTCTCGAGCCAGGCGTACTGGGCAGAGCCCCGCTCGTAGGGGTAGGCGTAGACTTCAGTGCAGATGCTCACAAAGTGGATGCCACCGTAGTCGAAGCTGCGACGTCGGGTGACGAGAGAGAATGAGCTCTATGCTCGGGCCGAGCCGAGGCGCGACCGGGGTGGGGGGGGGTACCTGTGGTAGAAGTTATCGATGCCTCCGCTCTGGTGGCCAGGCATGTTGAAGCGCGCCTTGTAGGACGTGAAGTTGTAGTACTTCTCGTGGTTGCCTGCATAGTATACAGATGATACTGGCGGTCAGAGGATGCGCGAGCGCGTGCGTGGTGTGTGCGTGCTGCGTACCGACAGCGACCATGTAGGGAATGTGATCTCCCAGAGGAGACACTTGCTCGCCCCACAGATCCCAAATGTACTGCACGAGATAACGGTGTGTCAGTGGCTGGAGTCTATTGTTTGCTTGGGGGCGGGACGCACCTCGAACTCCCACTCGTGGGAGACGCCACCATAGGCAATGTCGCCAGCGTGAACGATCAGCTGGAAGTTGATATCGGCGTCGTCCTTGATCATCTGCTTGGTGACCTCGAATCCCATCGGCATCACAGTTCCCCTTCGAAGTGAAATGAAAACGAGAGATCGCCACGGTGAGCGGGAAACCGGGATGTGTGGTGACCGCATGGTTGGGAGGAATGGAGGCGAACGTACATGTCACCGAAGGTGGCAATCCTGACTTCGGTCTGGTGGGGGTCCATGGTGGAGAACCTGTGAATGGGGCTCCAGGCGTTGTGGGTGGGGTCGCCCACGCGGTAGCTGATGCCACGGAAACACACGGCGAACTCCGATTAGCTCCCAGGAGTGGGGAAGGCGAGGCAACAGCACGACACAGCACGCATTTCCATCGGACACTTACTTATAGGTCTGGGCGGGCTGAAGGTTGCGGAGGGTGACAGTGTGAATGTGGCCCGACCATCCTGCGAACAAGCCCACGCTGATTAGCTGGGCTGTGTGCTGTGTGCCGTGGTGTGATTGATTGTTGGAAGATGCGTGTACCGAGGACGCCTGCGTTGTAGGTGGTCCAGGTGCCCGACACTTGCTGACGGAGCGTCGAGTTGGCCAGACCGAATTCGGCGACGGGGTTCGTCGAAAGGGCTGTCGACAGCACACAGCAGGAAATGGGTCAGTGCTTCATCGCTCCGTGGGTGAGAGAATGGTGCGGCGCGTACTGCTGGTGATCCACATGATGACCATCTCCGTGGCGGGCTTGGTCGTCGTGGCCAAGCGCACTTGTTGGGGTTGCTGGTGTATAGTGTGTAGGTGGTGGCAGTGTGGTGTACGTCAGTTGACGGGTATGAAAATTCTTTCCTTGTCGTGTTCTTCGGAGGAATGGTCGGTATGCGCGGCCTCGTGGCCCACGTTCGCATGGCCACAATATTCAATATTCAAAAATGTGGAGAGAAAGTTCCGCGCGTGCGACACGTACCACGGAGGTGATCGAGTCGCGCTTGTGGAGGCCGGACAGGCCCTCGGCCTTGTCGAGGCGGCCGTAGGCCTGCTGCCACTCCTCCCACTCCATGGCGCCGCTGTCGTCCGCGTCGTGCTTCGATACGACCAGCTTGTGGAGTCCGCTCGAGAGTCGGGCCTGCGCGTGCGGGAGCAGCTCGTCGCCCTCGACCCTCATCCAGTGGGCGGCTGGACGGTACTTACTGGTCAGCTAGGAAAAAAAAAGAACGAAGAGCGAAGCTTGAGAGGTACCTATTTCAGCGGCGGTGACCATCCCGTTTCCATCTTCGTCGATGAGTTCAAAAAACGAACGCAAGGCGGACTTACTGAATGAACGTGTTAGTTTGGGGGGGGGGTGCTACTAGAACAGGGAAACGAACTTGGGCGCTGCGAAGACACCGGCCACGGCAAGAAGGCACAGGAGAAGCGTGGCAGAGGCACGCATCTTCATCGTGTGTGGTGACGACTGGCGGTACACTAAAACTTTAAACGAACACAAGGCGGATCGTGTGTGGTGACGACTGGCGGTACACTAAAACTTTAAACGAACACAAGGCGGATCGGCTTTTCCTTGTTCGCCGTCCTGTAATCTCCCATTGGCCGCTTTGGCTCCTTGAATTAAACGCAGAAAAGGCAATGGCTCGTGACCGCCGGCAGGCCAGCCCTCCTTCCCCCCCCCCCGTTGGGGGTAAAGAGTGGTTCTTGTTTTTTGAAGGCCAAGTGGCTTAGCCTTATGGTTGTGCTGCGGAAAGATGATGTCCGGGAGCTTGCTTGGCTCTTTGTGATTGAAGAAGGTTCCGGTGGTTGCCTTCAAACAGGCTATCCCTTGCTTGTTAGGTTTGAGTGTGCACAAGGGGTGCAGAGAGTTGGCTGGTCGTGTGCCCAAGTTGCACAAAGCAAGGCGCCCTCTGAGGAAAGGGCCTTGTCTGGGCTTCTTGTCTCTGCACCACTTTATTCTTCTCACGCCACCAATGGTACACGCCACGAAAGGAGTGTTGGTGACTTGGTGCGTTGCTCCTCCTCCTGCTGCGCAAGGAACCAACAGCTGACAGGGGTGGTGTGGTGCAGCGATGCTACGATGAAGCAATTCCTGCTCTTCTTGGACAAGGAGCATCATTTCATCATCAAGGATTTGGATGAAACCCATCTTCTGGTGGACGCAGCCAAGGCGACCCTCATACAGGAAAAGATGAACGAGATGTACGAGGAAAACACCTACGTGCCAATAAAGACTGACAACTAAGATGCAAGAAAGGCATTGAAGCAAAAATTGATAGAGATACCCAGCGCACTACATTTATTTTCAAGGTCGAATAATTTAGGCGGTCTTCATCTCACGGAGACGACGGACAGTCGACCTCACGGTAGCGGCGGCGGTGGTGCTGAAAGAGAAGCAAAAGTAAGAAAATGACGGATGAGGAGAAATGGGACAAAGAGGGAGGCGTACTTCATCACCCAGGCGCCACCAGCGAGAGTCTTGCCGCAGCCCTTGCAGTGCCAGATGCCCACAGCGGTCCTCTTGACGGAGTCCTTGCCGCAGAAGGTGCACGTGTAGCGAGCGTGCTGCGTGATTTCCATCTTCTTGATCTGCTTCCTCAGGGAAGCACCATAACGGGTACCGTACTTACCGGTCACGCCGACCTTCTTCGTGCGCTTGGCCTACATTAACACATCATCGATCAGTATTTCGTTTGCCATTAAGAGGTCTTAAGCGATCGATTCGTTGCAGAAAGGCCAAGCACAGAACAGCATAGTAGGGAGGGGAGCTTGGCGAGGAGGGAGCATGAAGGAATTCGCAAATCACTTACCATTGCTTTGGATTTTGAGAAGCCGAAGCTAGTGACTCTGGGGGATGAGAGAGGGAGAAGAAAGAAGAAAGCCGATGCCTACCGTCGACAGTTTATTTCTTCTCTGTCGCGTCCGGATAAAACTGGGATTTCCCTGTTCTCTTTTTTCGAAGCATTTCCTCTTTGCACTTTGCGCCACCGCACTTCTTGTCTTTGATCTGTCGCCGACATCGAAGCCCTCAAGAGCCCGCGGAGAAGCAACGGTTTCCATTTCACACAAGAAAGATGAGAAGAGGATTGATTCAGGCCTCCAGGAGCGCGGTGCCCACATCCGCCAGCGGTGTCTTTGCCTCCCGGGCATTCCCGAGGACCTTCATCGCTTCGCGTGGTTTCGCCACTGGTACGCCCATTTCGACACTGTGGCCATTCTCCCTAGCATACCGCGTAGTGGGTGGTTTGATTGGGGCTTATTTAATTGACGCCGGCACTCAACTGTTGAGCAGCTGCCGAGCAGGATGATGTGATTGTCATCGGAGGTGGTCCCGGCGGTTACGTCGCTGCCATCAAGGCTGGGCAGCTCGGCCTCAAGGTACCACAACCGGACAAATTAACAATCGATTTCCAAACGGTTAGATCTAACAATTTTTTACGCGTAAGGTCACATGCGTTGAGAAGCGCGGCAAGCTCGGCGGTACCTGCCTCAACGTTGGTTGCATCCCCTCCAAGGCCCTGCTTCATGCTTCGCACATCTACGAAGATACCAAGAAGTACTTTCCCGACCACGGCATCGTTTGTACGACCCCCCCCCCGTAAAACAACACTCGTTGTTTGCATCAAAACTGATGCTGTCACTCCTCCTCAGTCGACAATGTCAAGCTCGACCTCGGCGCCATGATGAAGTCCAAGGAGAAGGCTGTCAACGGCCTCACCTCCGGCATTGAGTTCCTCTTCAAGAAGAACAACGTACGCTCCACACCACACCGCGCACACGCACGCGCACGCGCACACGAATGGAAAAGCCTGACCGCTTCCGCACGTTCAGGTCAAGTACGTCAAGGGTTTCGGTAAGGTCTCCGGCGCCAACGAAGTGACCGTTGATCTTGCCGAGGGCGGTGAGAAGAAGCTCAGCGCCAAGAACATCATCGTCGCCACCGGCTCGGATGTCATCGGCCTTCCGTTCCTTCCCGTACGCCCCCAGTTCTCCCGCCTTTCAAACGCTCAGCTCGTTTGATCAACGCATGATCGCCAACGTCGCTTTTCTTGGACTCTTGCAGATTGACGAGCAGCGCGTGGTCTCGTCCACCGGTGCTCTTGCGCTGAAGGAGGTCCCCAAGAAGATGGTTGTCATCGGTGGTGGCATCATCGGTCTTGAGATGGTGCGCACCCTCTCTCACTCGACTTCCCTTCGTCTCTCTGGCCACGCACCACTTTTGCCGCCTTGGTTCCGCTCAGTTGGGCCAAGGCATATTTTCATGGTGCCATAACAAGCAAACGGGCCTCTTTTTCGATGATGGCCCAAGCCCCTCCAAAGGGGGCCATGGGTCTCTTTCATCAGTCCATGATGCCCACATCTCTTCAACTTTCTTTCTTTCTTTTTTTCTTCTTCTCTTTCTTTTCCTTCTCCTATTCTCTTGCTCACGTTTTTCGTTTTTGTTGACAGGGTTCGGTCTGGCGCCGTCTCGGTACTGAGGTCACCGTGGTCGAGTTCACCGACAACCTCTGCGGCGGCGCCGCCGACGGCGAAGTCGCGTACGTAGAGCCTCTACCTATTTACTGTTGGCGCTCCGCACGCACGAAGCTCACCACTCACGCGCTCGCTCATCGTCTTTGCCCACACAGTAAGGAGTTCAAGAGGATCCTGGCCAAGCAGGGCATGAAGTTCAAGATGGGCACCAAGGTCACCGGCGCCAAGGTCGAGCCTAGCTCGATCACCCTCATCACCGAGCCCCGCGATGGCGGCAAGACCGAGGAGGTGGCCTGCGACGTCGTGCTCTGCTCCGTCGGCCGTCGTCCCTACCTCGACGGCCTCGGCCTCGAGGTGCGTGCTGCCCCCTTTCCAGACGTGTTTGCTGGCGTTGGTTGACCGACCACTCAACTACCCCCCCCCGCCGCACGTGCAGAATGTCGGCGTGAAGCTCGACAACCGCGGCCGCGTCGCGGTCGACGACCACTTCCGCTCGAATGTGCCCAGCATCTACGCCATCGGCGATTGCATTCCCGGCCCCATGCTTGCGCACAAGGCCGAGGAGGACGGTATCGCCGCCGTCGAGATCATCGCTGGTGCGCTGCCCCGTCCACTCTTTCCAAACCTAAGGCCACGCGCCCTTTCCTACGCCGTTGCTCACCGTACACGCGATCTCTCTCTCTCTCTCTGACAGGCGGCCATGGCCACGTTGACTACAACGTCGTTCCGTCGGTGGTCTACACTCACCCTGAGGTGGCGTGGGTCGGTCAGACCGAGGAGCAGCTCAAGGCTCAGGGCATCCAGTACAAGGTCGGCAAGTTCCCCTTCAAGGCCAACTCCCGCGCCCGCACCAACGGTACGCACCGACCTTACTTCCCTCCTCCGCCATCTGCTCCACGTCTCTTTCCTTCCTCTCTCTCTCTCTCTCTCTGGCCACGCACCACTTTTGCCGCCTTGGCTTCTCTCAGTTGGGCCAAGGCATATTTTCATGGTGCCACAGCAAGCAAACGGGTTTCTTTTTCGATGATGGCCCAAGCCCCCCGCAAAAGGGGGCCATGGGTCTCTTTCATCAGTCCATGATGCCCACATCTCTTCAACTTCACACTTTTCTTCATCGTCTCACACTCTTGAGACTTTGTCAGTACTGACTAGCCGACCGTTTACGTGGTTGCAGACGATGATGAGGGCTTCGTGAAGTACCTCGCCGACGCCAAGACCGACAAGGTCCTCGGCGTGCACATGATCGGCGCGGTACGACCCCTCCCTCCTATCATTTCTCCCGTCCCACTCCTGCTCATACCTGCGTTCTTTGCCCGGATGGTGCAGATGGTGGGTGAGATGATTGCCGAGCCCACGCTTCTCATGGCCTACGGCGGTTCTTCTGAGGACGTTGCCCGTACCTGCCACGCTCACCCCGTACGCCCCTCCACCCAACACCAACTCGTCATCATCCTCCTTTCATCGCGAGGCCCGTGTCTCACTCATAGTTCGAACCATTCTGTGCATGCAGACGCTGAGCGAGGCTGTCAAGGAGGCTGCCATGGCCACCTACGACAAGGCCATCCACTTCTAGACCACACACACACCACACAATTCACATCCCCTCCTGTCACATTTTGTCCCCTGCCTTCCACAACCAAACACGAACACCAACCTTCTTCTTGTCTCATCGTGATGCCAAGTTGCGCGGCTTCATCGACGTCTGGTGAGATTGCCCCTGCGGATCTCCGCGATCTGTCGCTGGATGCGGGCCACGTCTCTGGCCACCTCTTCGCTGGTGGGCGTCGAGGCGGATAGGTGCGTGGCGGCCGCCTTGCCCGCACCGTTCTCGGGCTGCAATCGTCGGCGAGCCTGCACGTTCTCGTCGGCGTCAGGGTCAGTCGCGAAGCCTCTCCCGCCGCCCATGTCGGCCATCCAGATTCGCGTCGTATCAGCTGCCACCGAAGTCGATCAGCACTAAACGAGATCGCTGTCGTGTGCGTGTGCGTGTGCGTGTGCGGTGCGCGTCGTACCTGTAACGATGACCTGGGAGTTGGTCCAGCACACCCCCTTCCGGCCGCCGAAAGCAAAGACGTCGCTGCGTTTTGGGTCGTAGCACATGAGCGATGCAGTGCCAACACTCTCCCCCGCGGGCGGCAACGATACAAGCGAGCCACCTGCCCCCCCCCCCACCCACCACGAGTGAGCGAGCAATCGATTGACGTGAAAAGGCTGCGGGTTGAGCTCACACGTACCAAACACCGCGAAGTCGGTGTTGGCCTCCAGGCGGAAGGGCGACAGGGCCACCTTGGACGCGTAGCGCACGGGCGGGCTCCAGAACGATGCCCTCGCCCTGGCGACCTTCCGATCGGCAGCTCTCAGTTCGATCCAGTCGTGGTCGTGCGGGTTGGGGCAGAAGTAAAGGCAGTCGCCCTCGTGGTTCAGCGCCAGGGAGCGCACGGGCGCGCTCATGACGTAGCGCGCGATCTCGGCCGGTCCGGCGCGAGGGTCCCACACGCGGACGGATGTGTCCATCGACGCGCTCATCAGCCGCACGCCCTCTTTATCAAACAACACATCTTTACATGTTGTAAACATATATATATATACCATATATATGTTAGGCATGCTGTCGCACAGTGTGTGGGTACCAACGTACCCTCGACGAAGTGCGTGTGGCCGACGAATGACTGCACCTGCTTGCCGGCCTCGAGGTCCCACAGGGCCACCGTTTTGTCCTGCGATCCACTCACCTGCAGCACCCACCACCGCGCGATAGAACGAAGAAAGAGAGAAGGGTCAGCCAGACAGCCGAAAGAGCGAAGACGACGCTCAAGTGGACGGTTGAACAGCAGCGCACCAGGAGCGATTTGTGCCGCCGGAGGCAGGTGACCTCGAACTTGTGCCCGCTGAGCGTGGTCGAGCAAGACGCCTGTTTGCCTTCGTCGCACACGTTCTGCCACACCTTGATCGTTCTGGGTGCGCACACAGCAGCGGCGTGAGTGGTGATCGTGTTTGTGTGTGTGTGTGTGTTTGTGTGTGTGTGTGTGGTGTGCGTGTGCATGTGCACGTGCGTGTGCGTCGGGTGAGGCGTGCTCTACTTGTCCCACGACCCGGTGATGAGGCGATCGGTGCCGTCGACGAATTGTGCGCAGCTCACGGTGCTGGCGTGGCCCTTGACGCCGCGCCACAGGTGCCATCCCTCCCGGCCGTCGTTCAAATCCCACCGGGTCACCCATTTCGGCGCCGACGGCGTGGGCGGGCCTGACACCCTCAAGTCAGCTCCAATTCAAGGCCTGCAGTAGATTGCATTCCCTGACAAGGGCCGCGCGCGCACCTTTGCGCCAGATGGCCACGCAATCGTTGGTCGCGTTCCTGCCGAAGACTCCAACTGCCACCACATCTGTACGTCAAAGGTGGTTAGTACAGGCGAGGACGCGTGCGACGCACACGCACGCACGCACGCACGCACGCCAGAGAGAGAGAGAGATTGGTCATTGCGTGCCTGGGGCGGCGAAGCTCTGCTCGTCCACGGCGAAACACGACAGGTCTGCTTCCACACTGAAGCTCGATCTGTGCTTGGACCGGGCCAGCTTGTCCGCTTTCCCAGCGCTCCTGTTTTGGTTTGTTTTGGCGAGTAAGGGAGAGACCAGGACACTCGTACGTGTGCACCACACGGAGGTGTTGTTGGGCGGTACAGGCTCTTGGACTGGGCCGCGAGGAGGCGAGCCCAGTGGAGGCGGTCGTAGGCCTGGTAGGCGGTCCGCCACCCGACCTGCGCCGGGTCCACCACACCCTCGCCCCAGCGCTCCATCGCGCGCCAGCAGTCCCGCCGGGCCTGTGTGCGCCACACCATGCCACTGCGGCGCCGTAGTCAGTACGCGCACTTGACCACCAACCACGGGCTGAGGCGCTACGTACATGTCGGCGATGGCGCTGAAGAGGCGGCAGGCGAGCCCGAACCGGGCGACGTCACCGCACGACACGAACTGGAGCACGTTGACCCAAACCTCCCACGGTAGCTCTCCCGCTCCGCCTTCGTCGCACCAGCCCCACTCTTCGTCTTCCTCCTCCTGTGCAGCTTGCTCCTCCCTTGGCTCAGCTTCCGCCGCCAGCACCACCTGCTGCTGTGCCTCCGCTGGCCGGGCTCGCTTCGTAGCACCCCCTCTGCGTCTCCTTGGCATCTCTTTTATTTTCTTCACTACTTTTATTAATATGTTTTATTCATTATTAATATATTATCCATTTTTATCTTTTTCTGGAACTGTGTTTGGTGAAAGGGCCACAAAGAAAGAGAAAGGAAGGGATGATGATGTCTCATTGAAGACATAAAGTTGCGGCTGCAGGTGTCCTCCAGAGAAAGAGAACTCAGTACCAGGGGATGAGAACATGGGTGACGAGGAGGTAGACGTTGGAGATGAGAAGCGTGAGGAGGCAGCACGGAAAACCGATGCGGAAGAAGTGCATGAACGTCAGCTTGTAGCCCTGCTGCTCTGCCAGACCTGCCGCAACGATGTTGGCCGGCGCTCCGATCAGCGTAGCATTGCCTGCGTGTCGTTGGTCGTGTGTCGCGTGCCAGGAGCGCGCCCAGGAAGTGCGTGAGAACAGGAGCGAGCGAGGGGGGGGGAAGCAATAGAAAACCCCAATGTGAGGCTGCTGGGGACGTACCTCCGAGGCAGCAGCCAAAGACGAGGGCCCACACGAGCGGGGTGAGGGGCAGGCCCATGTCGTCGCTGGCGAGCCGCGCCACGACGGGGATCATCGTCTGTGTGAAGGGAATGTTGTCTATGACGCCGCCGATCGTGCCGCCGACCCACACCAGCAGCGTGATCGCCACCGCTAGACGAATTTTGCCTGCACGCAGCACGCACCAGGTTAGCTCAACTTGTTGTTGGAGTCAAGGCGAGTTGGTGTACGCACCCTCAGGGAACTGGCCAATCAGCGATGCGGTGTGGTCGGCGATGAACTGCACGACGCCCAGCTCCTCGAGCGCCTTCAAAAGTACAAAGAGGCCCGCGAAGTAGATCAACGTTCCCAACTCCACCTGAGCGCAAACACAAGAAGCACAGGTCAGCAGACTTTACGTCAATGTGTATGCGTGCACGTGGGGAAACCTTTTCGAAGACGGTGTTGATGTCGCGAACGTCGGCGAGGATGAGGAGGACGACGGCTCCGATGAGGGCGGTCCACGCGAGGCTCAGGTGCAGCTCGACGAAGGCCTCCAGGAAGAATACAAACACCACGATCAAGAGCACGATGCCGCTCTTGATGAGCAGCGGCTTGTTCGTGATGACGTACTTGCCCTCGATCTCCGCCACATACTCGGCCTCGGCCAGGTTGCCCTTACCCACTGCTTTTCCCTCACGCACCACGTTTTTCTGGTGTGTGTGGGTGTGTGGGTGTGTGTGGTGAGGACCCTTCTGGTCGGGGGTTAAATGAGAGACAGAGCTTGGGCGTATAGATACCAGGTTCTTGATGTGCTCCTCGAGCTTCTTCCTGACAATCTTGGCCTCCTCGCCGTCGTAGGCGTTGATCTTGCTGACGGTCATCTGCCAGATGGCGATTTCGCGCATCTTGCGTGTGACAGGCTGGCGCTTCAACTGCTCCCGGTAGAGTCGCTTGAGGAGAATGAACACGCCAATAATGCACAGGAGCACGCCTGGCGCAACGTGCGCCGAAAAGCTACCGAAGTTGATCAAGCCCGTGTGCTACGCGGAACTCACGATTAGTCTCTCTCTCTGTGTGTGTGCGCTATGCGTGTCGTGACGGGTGTGGCATGCGTCGTACCTTAAAGCCGTTGACGATCAGGATATTCGGCGGGTCACCGATGGCGGTCGAGGTACCCGATATGTTGGCAAACAGGACTTCGGCGATGATGATGGGCAGCGGGTCGAGATCCATCACCGAACACAAGCGAATGGTCATCGGTCCAAACAGCAGCATGGTCGTGACGCTGTCCACGAAGGGCGAGAGAATGGACATCAAGATGCACAACAACACCAGCAACCTGCACGATATCGAGAGAAGAGTCAGTGAGTGCGTACCCACGGCACGCCGATCCAACGGCGGCGTACGCACCGCCAGTAGTCGCCGTTGGCCATTTTGTAGGCTCGGACGGCGGCCCACTCGAAAAAGCCCGTGTCGGTGAGCACACCCACAATGACCATCATGCCGAACAAAAGGCTCACGGTCTCGTAGTCGATCCATGACACCACAGTTTCGAAGCTTGGCCGTTCGTGGATGATAGACAGCGCGGCTGCATAACGGGAACGTGCATCATGTTAATGGAGGTAAGGCAGGAGAGAGAGGTGGTGTGAAATGGAATGAAGCACTTACCGAGAGCCACGAACGAGCCCATCAAAGCGGCAATCGTGTGGTGGATAAGGTTGAAAATGATCATGGTGTAGACCATGGCCAAGATCGCCATGCCAATCACCACCTGCGCGGAACAAGGACACGAGAGTAGCAACGTCGTGAGTCTTTGATGACGCGCACCCTTGGCAATTAGGAGTGGAGATACCTGGTGCTTGGCCAGGCCGCCCGCAGCCAAAACGTGCAACTCCAACGCAATGGGCAGCTGCAGGGATGGACAAACGGTAAGAGGTTTCAGAGAGGTGCAGTGAAAGCGCCTCATCACCACAGTGCGAGCTAGCAACTTACCGTGCTGTTGGTGGTGACCACGACGCGGACGGTCTTGTAGTGGACATCGTGGAGCTCAAACTCCAGCTTTTCCTCGAGCTCGTGCTCGGGATCGAGCTGCGCGCTCCAGTCCTCGACTTTGGTCCAGTTACCCGCGGCAGAGGAGGGGAGATCGCTCGAAGAGCCTTGTAGCTCCAGCGCGATCTGTGCGGTCTCGGAGGCAAGCTTCTGGGCGGCCAGCGTGACGTCCAGTTGCGATACTTCACTCGCGTCATAGGCTAGCATGTAGCTGACAACAGAGTTAAGGAGCCGAGACACTATTGAAGAGGACAGAGTAGTAGAACGAAAAGTGAAGATGGAGGGGAGGGTGAAGGGTGGGAAAGGATATGATTGGCACGGCAGCGGAGAGGCCAATGAGGTGCTTCTCCTCTTCCACCTCAGCTTGCGACATGAGACAGCCGATTGCAAAGGCCAACGTGCATAGGATGAGGGTGATTTTGAAGTTCTTGGCCGACAGCACGCCTCGAAGAAGGACTCGCAGATTGGCCATGGGCGCCGCGCGAAATGAGGCAGGCGGCTCATCATCGGTCTCAACTTCGTTGATCCTACTCTCTGAAGTCATAATCGAAGGGGGCGTTGTGGTGCCGTAGGTGCCGGATTGTCGCATGTAGGCCGAGTGGCGCAGAACCACATCTTCATCGGCGGAGGTGAGCAAATCGTAGTCTTGGGGAGTCTCTCCCAAATCATCCGCATCCAGGAAGGGATCGTTCATCGTCGAATGCATGAGGCCGCTTCGCGAGGCCCTAAGCGAAGCCATGTGGAAGACGGGAGGTGGGTCCTCCAGATCAGCTGCTGAACTGCCCGTTGCCTGCGAAGTTTCAGTTGATGTGAAAATGAAATCATAAAAACAAAACAAAAACAAAAAATAAAATTGGCGCCATTTTCCCGAGAGCAGGCGCAGCTCACCTGGTGCTGGGCTGTGGGTATCAGGGGAGTGCGGGACATGTCCAGCCAACAATGCTCAGGGTGGTGTGGATCTAGAGAGAGCTGGTCGAGCAAGTGAGTGATGTTGTAGAAGCCAGCTCGTCGTGGGTTTTATTAATGAAATTTGCCAGAGGGAAGTGGCTGCCGCGTCATCTTGGCGCCAACGCACGTGCACCAAGAAGCTCTCTGCGTCGGTGCACACGCCTTGCGGCCTACCGCGCGTGGCCGAGGCTCCTTACAGCTTGGGAGTCTTGGCGTTCTGGAGGGCAGGCCTGACGGTTGATGTCGCGTTAGCAGAGTTGGATACATTACAGAGGCGAGAGGCGTACCTGGTGATCCTGAAGGCATCAATAGGGTAGGTGGTCTGGCCGTTGACGGCGATCTGGGCCAAAATGAGACCAATGAGGGACGCCCACTTGTAGGCGTGGCCGGCACCGACGAACACCGACACCTGGGGGTAGGCAGGCATCTGAAGAAGGGTGTAAGGCAATGTGCAGAGGGGGAGATCAGGAGATCAGGATTGAACGCGGCGAAGGGGCACCTTGTCGATGATGAAGTGCCTGTCCGGTGTCAGGCAGTAGAGGCAAGTCTTGGTGAAGTCGACCTCGTCGCACGACTCGGGAATGTACTTCTTGAGGAAGTTGGTCACGGTGGTCTCCGCCTTCTTCTCGGGCACGTACGTGCGGGTGTTCGCCGTCACAACTTCGCCTCCGCAATCCAGACCGGCCTTGGTGGCCACCTCGCCTGCAGCAGCGTGCAAGACATTCATTCCACAAGTCAGCTTCTGGCCAGGAGAGGATTGGGGGGGAATGCGAACCATAGACGGGGAAGCCGTAGAAGCACTTCTTGTCGTAGTACGAAATCCAGACAGGGAAGCGATCAGGGGCGAAGGCGCGCAGGTTCTTGGTGTGATAGTAGGTCACCTGACAGACAGCAACAACGGCCCCATTAGTATCACTATAGAGGCTGGGGAGAGCGAACAGCACGTGATGGCTACCTGTTCCTGGGTGACCCACAGAGGAAGGTCGAGGCCAAAGCTGGACTTGACGATGTCCTTGGTCCAGGCGCCGCTGGCCATAATGAGCTTCTTGCAGCTGAACGCGCCCTTGTTGGTGATGATCTTAGCACCCTCGGTGCCGAGCGGCTGGATGAGCTCCACAACAGTGTTGGCACTGATGCGAACACCCCTGGCCTTACAACATGAAAAAGAGATGGTGAGTGGTGCTGCTTAGGCAGAGTGTTGTGTGGCTCAAGTGACATACCCTCGCCAAGGAAATATGAACCGCATTGCCCTTGCGAGCATCAACGAGACCACCATCGGCCTGGTACACCGCGTGGTCTGCATCGGTCAGGTTGAACTGGGGGAACCTCTTCCGGACCTCCTCGCCGGACAACACGGTGTGGGGCATGCCCTGGGTCTTCATCGTGGTGATGTACTGCGTTGTCGTGATGGTTACAGATCAGTATGGACATGGAGCCTAGGTCCTTAATTGGTATTGGCCTGTGTACCAAAGAATGAGGGAGGAGCGTACCTTGTCCACCTCGGTGCCGGACTTGGGGCCGAACACCAAAGCTCCGGTCTTGTGGACCAGCTCCACGCCCGACTCATCTTCAACCGCCTTCCACGCGGTGTACATGTGGGGCGCCAGCGTCGTGTAGCACTGCTCGTCATAGCTAGCCGGAAAACACCAGTTAGTCATCACTTGTGGAAAAAAAGAGGGTGGGCAAGAGTGTGTGTTGGGGGTGCGGGTAGAGAGTGCGGTGTACCTGAGGCGGATGATACGGGAGTGGTCCTGCGAGCCGCCGTTGTGGTGGCCCAGCTCGAAGCGCTCGATGCCGAGCACCTCCTCGCCGGGGACCTGAGTGGAGAGCCAGTACAGCGCTGCGCTACCGATACCGCCGCACCCGATGACGATGTAGGTGAAGTCCCTCTTCTCAGGGGCCATGCTGCTCGTGGGTTGTGACTCCATCTTTCTTTCTGCTAAAAGTTGCGATGAGTGAATGCACAAAATCCTGCTCCTTAATTGAAGATTGCAAGCGATTACGATGAGCAAGACAAACCTGACCAACTCCTGCGTTGAGACACAAGTCACCAAACGAAAGGTCGTGCCCGTGGTCCTCGTTACCATTTACAGAAAAAGAAAAAAGAACACAAATGCACAGAAACAAAATAAAAACAAATAGAAAAAGAAGAAAGGTCTGGAAGGAGATGGTGTATTGAGGGACGTAGTTCCTCAACCTAGTACGAGGGTTTAGGCAGAGCAGAGGGGAGAGTTGCAGCCGCTGAGGCACTCCACTTCACCGGTCTCGATGGCGGGCCTGGGCTGGTTGATGGTGGCTCCCGCGCAAGCGATATCGTTAGGCGAGTTGCCGGTCATGTTGGACTCGATGAGGTCGAGCTGGCTGCCGGTGACGTAGATGCCCCCGCCAGTGGTGGTGGCCGTGTTGGAGGTGAAGTAGCTGCGGGCGATCGTGCCGCTGCCGTTTTCCAGGTAGAAGGCCGCGCCCTTGTCAGCCCCACTGTTGGTCACCTTGACGCCCTGCAGGGCGATGTTGGCGTAGCGAGTATAGAAGGCGCCGCCGTTGCCACCGGGCCTCTGGCAGTTGTTGACGATCACGCCGGCGATGATGGCGTTGCCATTCTCGACCGTGAAGCCGGGCCTGCCGCCGCAATCGATGGTGGCGAGCTGCACGCCTTGACCAGAGCTGGACTTGGCGACACACATGTCAACGGTTAGGTGCCGGAACTGTAATCAACGACAGGTCGCCAAAGTACTCGTGGTGGGTATCGAGAACGTACTTGATGGTGTACTGGGCGCCCTTGAGGGTGATGTTGGAGTTGCCCTCGCCAGAGTAGGTGCCGGGGAAAAGGAGCACAGTGCCGCCGTAGGGCAGCTCATCGAGGGCATCCTGAATGGTGTCGAGCGGGCACTCGAACGTTCCGTTGCACGACGAACCGCAGGTGGAGGTGTCGCAGCCACCGGGGCGCACCCATAGAGAGGACTGGGCTCTCGCGGTGAAGACGAAGGCCAGGAGGAAGGCCGAGACCAGCAAGGTGAAGGTAGTGCGCGTCATCGGTGGTTGAAAGCCTTGGGTGGTGTGGTTGGGTTGGGTTGGGTTGGTCGAGATGTGTGTTGTTGAGCTGATTAGCAAGCAGGCTCAAGCAGGGCTTTTAAGGGATTTTAGACTGGTGCCATTGGTCAGTTGTAACACTGCCAGCCCACACGGAAAGCTTGGAAAATTCGCACATTCTGCTGGACTAAGCCAGCATATGGGTATTACCTCCCGGCAATGGAGAGCCTATTGCGATCACTCCAGCTCTCCTGCCCCATACTGGAGAACTCAAGTTGTGCCTTGTTGCGGGAGTACTATGGTGGACGCATTCAACGACCATTGCTCGCAACTCTGCACACGATGAGACATTTCCGTGGGTTGTGGCTCGTGGGTTGTGGCTCTGTGGTCAGCTAGGATGTTGGCACGAGCCGCAATGTACAGTGCGCCGTTGGCTCTCCTCGAGCTCTCAGCGTTTGCCTAACGACCATCAAAAGGGGAGGCGAAATGGCTTGCTACATCACCGTGGTGTCGAACTTGTAGCATCGCCTGGTGCAGCGTTCCTTCTCTGTGTGGGTGGGAAGCGGTGCTGTCTAAGCAGTGTGGCCGTGTCCAATGTTCACTCCCGTCACTACCGTATCCACTGCGGCACGAGGAAAATGATAATGAAATTCATTAAATGGAACTGTGTTCGTCTTTCCCTTGGGCAGTCAAGAGCACGTGCACGACGAAGAAGGCACCACAATGGCGCACCATGTGGCTTCCTTGGCCTTCCTGTTCGCCGTTCTCATTACGGGTAACTTGAATCGTCAATCTTTTTCGCACCATCTTATCGCTTTCGTTTTCCATCGATGAATTGATTACTCCATCTCTCTGGATGCATCCACTGGTGGTGGCCAAAACCCATCCTCCTCTCGCTCTTCTTCACCTTCGTCTTCTCTCATGTGATTTTTCTTGTCTAGGGTTCGGGGCGGGGGTTGAGGGCTCCACGTTCACCCACGAGTTCGACGCCGACGGCATCGTGTCGTTCCTGCACGGCCTGCCCCACTTCGACCTTACGCTCCACAAAGCGGACAACCGCTTCGACCCCAAGTCCTGGTCCTACGACCAGGTACGCACGCCATCATCGCTCTTCCTCCTCCTCCTCCTCTCCTTCTCCGCCGTTTGGCCCTAACCGAACGGGGTGGTGTTTATTGTGCGTGTTGGCAGACCATGATCTGGTTTGTGGTGCCTGGTGCGGTCGTGGTCGCGTTGACGCTGCTGCTGGCCATTCTGCTGGCCGTCCGCAAATGCGTGCGCTCTTGCTGCGCTTCGCGGAGGTACCTAACGCTTCCTTCAACGCACCGCACCGCACCGACACACCACATCACACGCCGCACGCATCTTGACATGACGACACGCAACACAACCGCAAACAGGGAGCATGAAGACAGCGACGACTTTGACTCCTTCCCGACGCCCGAGTATCGCGGCGGCCCTGTGAGGCGCCACCGGCGAACCCCGACGTGGGTGCGATGCGTGCACGCGCTCACCTTCCTCCTCATGCTGGCCGCAATGTACGACCCACCGGACCTTTGTTTGTTCCCTCTCCTCGCACCACTCGTTCTCTTCGTAGCGCCTCTCACACTTTTGTCGTTGTTTGTACTTCGAAGTGGCGTGGTGGTTGTGACGTGGCTGGCCTCCTACGACTTCTTCACCTACGTGGACGAGTCATTCGAACCGGTCGACGACACCAACAGTACGGCGACGGACTGTCGTTGCTCACTGTTTGCTCAACTGTGAGAACGTCGCCTCACTCTCGCTCTCGCCCAACGCAGAATACGTCGAGAGCGCCTTTGATAACGTGGAAACGCTTTTGAACATGAGCCGCGCGGGGCTGCACGGGGTCGGCCAGCTTAACGAGACATTCACCGCGATCAGGTACGCAATCGGCGAACTTAAACCTGGAATCGACAATGCGCTATTTGTCGTGGTCCTCGCATGCTCGGCCCTCGTTCAGCCGACCCTGACCGTGTCGTATCGTCGCATGCACCCCAGAAACGATGTTCTGACGCTCAGCGTCTCGGCAGACCAGCTCGCAGGCTCCCTGAACCAACTGCCCAACCTACCGAGTGCGTGCCCTCGCCCAATCTCACGCCCCCAAAGGCAACTGTCGCCCGCTTTTGCTGATCGCATCGCACGCGGCCAGGCTTCCGATCAGCGTTGGAGTCGTGGGCTCAGCGACAGGTTCTGGACCTGCCCGCCGCGCTGCCGCCCATCTACTCGGACCTGGCGGCAATGAACGCCTCGCTCACCAGCTTGCCCGACACCACCTCGGTAATTTTTAACTCCTATTCTGTGGTTGTGTGCGAGTCGTGTATTGTTGTGAATCGCGCCTTATGTGTCGTGTCAATGGACTATGGGTAACACGATGATGGTCGCCGGTGCAGGTTGCAGCGGCGTTGGTCAATATCAACGCCAGCGTTGCGCTCGGCCAGTTCGTGGACATCTCACAATTTTCCCTGCTCGTCTCGCTGACCTCGACCATCAACCAACTCCACGCTCCGCGTACGTGCTGCGCGAGAGCCACTTGAGCCTCCTCCCCTCACATCTTCGTCTCACTAACTCTTTGTCGCTTGCGTGACTGCGTGTCGACACACAGTTCTGAACACGACCGAGGCCCTTTACGGCGACCTCAAGACGGTGGAAGAGCAGATGAGGCAGTCGCTGCTACCTACCGAGACGTCGCTCGTGCAGGCTGTGATGGCCGGCGGCGCCAATCCCCCCTACCCTGACGACGTCACATCACTCGCACAACAGATCCAAGTACTGTAACCCAGGCTCTCGCTATGCGTGCGTGTGCGTGTGCGTGTGCGTGTGTGCGTGTGCGTGTGCGTGTCGCTAAAAGAAAATCACTCGCTGTCTGCAGCAAGCCTACATTTCAAAGGGCGACGCCATCAACGCGCTGCCGTCTGTGCAGCAGCTGGTGCAGAAACTGATTCAATACAACACCACCGCGAGCCTACCTGCCGCCGTCAACCGCGACACCTTGCTGGTACCCCCTGCCCTTTAGCCTGTAGCCGCGTGTGCCCTTTAAACTGTAGCTGCGTGTGCGCGTCTCATTTTTGAGTTTATGTTGCGTGGTGATGATGTTGTAGATGAAGGCCAGCTACGAGCTGCATCTGCCGATCTCGTTCGAGATGGGCACCATCGTCCAGTTCCTGGCGATGCTCGACTCCTTCGACCCCTCGGCCGCCGCCGGCTTCCTCCGCAGCGACGTCGCGCCGGCGCTCGCCAGAGTGCTGGACTACCTGGTGGTCCCGCCCGGCTATCAGGAGGTCTACGAGAACTGGGCCAGGCAGACCAACGACCTGTCGGGCCAGATGGACTCCTACCACACCATCCAGAACGAGATCAACGACTACCTGCCCACCATCGAAAGCGTGGTGGACAAGGTCGAGCTGGGCCGGTTCATCTACTTCAACGTCACCTGCGCCTGGATGCTCCTGGCCTGTCTGCTCTCCCTGCTCGCCATCTGCAAGCCGCGGCTGCAAACCTGGTATGTGCAAGTGTTATTTACACTACTGTTGCGAATGTAATATGTTATAACTATTTATGTGATGAGTATGTATTGATTAACATGAGTATGTTGTTTTTAGGCTGATGGTGATGTTGTACGTCGCGCTGTTCTTCGCTGGTCTGGAGATGGTGGTCTACCTCCCGCCGTCGGTCTTTACCTCCGATCTCTGCGCCGCTCCTGACAACTTCACGATGTCCCTGGTGCCCTCCGACAACGCCGATCTGGCCGAATACGTGACCTACTACGTCTACTGCACCAACCAATCCGCCGCCGCCAACCCCTTGCTTCCCTACACTCACGAGGTACCCCTCGGCCCACGCACACGCACACGCACACGCACACGCACACACACTTGTCTTACGCGTGTCACAAGGTGCGCGCAGCATTGGCTGAAGTAGATCCGCTGCTGGCGACCCTGCAAAACTACAGCTCAGTCGTTATCGCTGCGCAAGTACGCCACCCACACCGGCAGCTGAGCAATTGGCTATCGGTGCCGTTGTTTGAATAGAAAAGCTCATCTTCGATCACTCTTGTTTCTTTCGGAAGCCGTGCGTGAACAACCTCACGGAACAGCTCAACTACAGTCGACACGAGATCGGCCACCTCGAGCAGCTCTCCAACTGCAGCACACTCCACCCGCTCTACCAACAAATGAAGGTCAACGTCTGCCAACACCTCACGTACGCCACACCCGTGGTTCCGCCCCACCCACTCCCCTCGCTCAGAGTTTGGCGCCGCTGATCTATCTTATCGGACCTAAAATTACATCAGACCGGCCGCCTTCTTGGTGTTCGCCGGACGAGGGGTGCTGGTGGTGGTCATGCTGGTCGTGTTCCTCCTGTCGCTCTGCACGCTGGGCCACCAGAAGCGGCTGCCCAACGACGACGCCACCTTCCCGATGACCCGCACCACCCGGCGCCCCGTCTTCCTCACCGACAGCGACAGAAGCGCGTCGCGGCCACTCCTGCGGGCCATGACCGAGGACTACCTGGCGCTGCCCTCTGAGGACCGACAACTTCGACGAAGTCGCGACATGATCGAAGCCGCACCCTCGGCGCCACCCGTCAGCGAGCTGAAGATGTCCGTCAACTACTAGCGGGCCGGTTTGCGACATTTGTTATTTTATTTTATTTTTATTGCCCTTTCTTTTCTTGTTGGCCAAGAACACAAAAGTCTACAGAAAACCAATACATCGCACGGAAGACCACTTTCATCTTCATCCTCCCTGTCCGCAAGAGTCGGTACTCCCTCGCCATTCCTCACCTTCTCGCTGTGTTCTTTGATGCTTACTATTCTTTTATAAATACTGCGTTGTTTTTGTGTTTAGTTGCCCCAAACAGGCGCAATGCAGGCACCACCCCTACCACGCAGGCCGGGGCCTCTGCCGGCGACCCAGCCTCCGCCCCGCATCCCTGCACGTCCGGCCCTGGCTCCGGGCTATCCGCCTCCCGCCGGCCAGCCCTATCCTCCCTCCTACGGCCCCGCACCACCGGTCGTCCACAGTGGCCAGCAGCCCTACCACCACCCTGGGCAGCTGCCGAGGGCAGGCTCTGCCCCGCCGGCGCGTCCACCACCACCGACCGCGGCCCCGACGCCGGCGTTGCCGCCGCGACCAGTCACCCAAGCCCCGGCCGCGCCTGCAGTGCCCAATCGACCCAACACCTACGCAGGCCAACCATCAGCGACCACTCCCTACCACCTTCATACACCGCCGCCCATGCCCTCGTCTTCTTCGTCGTCTTCGTCTACGCGGCCGTACATCATGTCGACTGTGGCGACCACCAACACGACGGCGGACGACGATTCGATCACGGACCTGCTGAAGGAGACGTCGAGGGACTACCTGAAGGGCATCGGCCAGGGCGTGAGCGCGCTGCTGAAGACCGACGGCGACGGCGACGGCGACGACCCGGCAGCGCTTACGGAGGAGCAGCGGCGGCTGGAGCGCGAGCGCGAGAAGGAGCACCAGCGCAGGGAGGACGAGTACATCGCCCAGCAGAAGAGGCGCGTCCTGGAGGAAGAGGAACAGCGACGACGAAGGACGGCCACACCCGGCGGCGCTGCGCCCCATCAAACCGCATCGCCCGCCTCGCACCAGATGACCTTCACCTTGACCAGCAGCCTGAAGAAGGAGTACGTGGGGAAGGCCTACACGGTACGATGTGAAGAATGATGTAGTGTGCTGTGGTCACACATGTTGTATTTACACTGATGTTGTTGTGTAACGCTCCATTCGAAGGTGTATGCAATCGAGGTGGTGTGGAACGGTGTGAGTTGGACGGTGTACCGGCGGTACAAGCAGTTCAACGACTTCAGCTCCCAGGCGAAGAAGGCGTCGTTCACCTTTGCCTACGCGCTGCCGGGGAAGAAGATCCAGGGCAACCTCAAGGACCACTTCGTCGAACAGCGCCAGGTACGGAACGACCATGCAGTATAGTACAACGTCACGAGATGTGATGCTGTTCTGGTGCTGACCCAAGGGTGCAGAGAGAGCTGCAGAAGTACGTGCAGGCGGTGAACGAGAAGGCGCCAGCGATGATGTCCAACAAGAAGGCTCGCGTGGCCCTCCTCCGCTTCTTTGCCCCGACACAGGTGGGCGACAAGGCCAGCGGCGGCGGCCTCCCCTTCGACCTCTCCGACCTTGTGTGACATCGGCCCAAGCTCTGACGTCAGCAACGTCATGTAGCGGGGTGACCGTTGGGACAGGAAGAAGAGGACAGAAAGATGACCGCGTGGGGGGACTACGGGAAGAAGGAGAGAGGGAGCACTTCCCTTCTCTCCTTGGCTTTCATTTGAAACGATGCGCCAGCTCCAGATGTAAACAGCAGACCGCAATCAAAGGCTGCCAGGCGAGTGGTCGCTCAGTCGAACATGAGGACAAGCTGGAGGGGCGAGTGGAGCTTGTTCTGGGTGGGGTGGGTCTCGTCCAGGTCGTGCTGGTGGGCCAGGCGAGTGCCCAGGCACATGCGGTGGGTGTCGCACAAGGGAGTCTTGAGCAGGGGCGCCTTGACGGGTTCGGCGCTGTTGTGCTTGAGCGTAGCGGGGCTCGACATCTTGTTGTAGCGGGGCGGGTGCAGAGGAGTAGAAGTGTTCGGCGAAGTGAAGGAGTAAGGCAAAGAGGGAGCGGCTCCTTTTTGTAATACGGCGGTGAGTGCTGGCGAGAGGGGTAGAGTCAAGATGAAGGTGAAGTTGACACGGGTTTTTGTGTGAACATGAGAACGGGGTTTGCACCTGGCCGAGGCTCCGTCTTGCTCCGGCGGAGAACGAACGCCACAGAGAGCTCAACACGCCATCTCGCGTCAGCAGGTTTGGCCTTGTCGTTTTACCACCACTGCCACAATGCCACAGCTCTGATTTTCCACTGGCGCTTTGACTGGACGGTTACGCACCATTCGGCAAGTTCGTTGAAAATGGCAGTGCCACCGACTGCCAAAATCCAACGGAAATATGTAAAGATGAAATATATTTCCGAAAAGATTTCCGAAATTTACCAAAACCGATTTGAAACAACAGGGCAAAGTGATGGAGGATCCGATGGAGCAAGAGTGTGGAGTTGCGAGGCCAAACATTGATTTGACGCTTGCGGAGGCGGAGGTGAATGACGATCTCGCGAACATCAGCTACGTCACTCGCGTTCTCGCCGCCGATTCGGCAAATCTCAACGACGTGCAGAAAGTGCGTGTGATGCTGCACAACTCGGCCACCAAGGTACTTAAAACATTCTTATTATCTTATTATTGTTATTGTTATTCTTTCTCGTAGTGCAATCATTTATTTGTGATTAATAATCAAATAATGAGTGATTAATCTCTTGCCGCCCTCGGCAGGCAGTTGAGGAGCGAGTGGTGTCGAGGAGCACGTTCGTCAAGCTGATCGAGAGCACGAAAGCCTGGCGAGCCTTCACCGGCAAGGCCAGCAAGAAGGCTCCACCCACAGGTGCGCGCGAGTGAGTCTTTGCAGTTCTGCTTTAACTGTTAACTGGAACCGCTGACGAGGTGGTGGTGCATGTCTATCAATCCAGTTGGGCCGCTGCTCGTTCCCTCGAGCGAGGCACCGCCTCACGGCGTGGAAGCACCCCGCAGGCTCCGCCGAGCCGAGCACAGTACGCACTGCCGTCTCCCTTCCGTCATCAGACTCACACCACGAGCCGGAGCTCACCTGTTGCTTGTTGGTGGGGCCAGTTCTCTCACAGCGCACGGGCAGGATCCTGCTGGTCCTCGAGCGGTGCATCGACAACCTCAACCAACACGCCATCCTCCGCACGGCCGAGTGTCTCGGGTAACATACATACATGTCACTGCTCACCGCTCTGGAACTCACTCTGGCCTGAGTGACCGCCTGACCTCCTCTTTCACTGCAGTGTTCAGAACGTGTGGCTGGTCAACCCGCCCGACCAGCGCAAGAAGAACGAGGGGCTCAATCGGAACGTCACGATGGTATGGTACCTCGCAGTCCCCTCCCCGTCACGTTGCGCGTCCACCTTCTAAAAGTTCGGCTAATTCAACCCGGCCCGTGCCATCAGAAAGCAGACGACTGGCTGACGATCCGCACGTTCCACACCACTCGAGAGTGTATAGATGCCCTACGAGAAGACCGCAGGTAAGACTACTTGCTGACTTGGCTCTATTGTGCGGACCACTGTTCACACACACACACACACACACACATACACACACGCACACGCACACAATCGCCCCAGGGAGATTTGGGCCACCGACTTGTGCGCCGAGGCAGTGTGCCTTGACGAGAGCGCTGGCGGCCTTGAACTTCCGCAGCGGGTGGCCATTATCGCCGGTCGGGAAGGTAAGCGCCGCCGCTCGCCACTCCCCTTGTCACGGCGACTTGTCCCTTATGCTCACTGCGAGTTTCCCGTCAGGCGACGGGGTGAGCGAGGAGATGCTCAAGGAGGCAGATCGGCGGGTCTATCTCCCCATGTATGGCTTCACCGATTCGTTCAACCTGAGCGTCGCGATGGCGCTGCTCGTCCAACGATTGTTCTACATGTGCCCCGAGGTACTACGTCTGTCGCCATCATCGTCTTTTGTTACCTTCACACTTTTTCTCTACTCACTCTCCCTCCCCTGGTGGCCAGGCGCGCCGCAATCTCACGCCAGAGGAGAAGCACCAACTGCGCATCCAGTGGTACACCAAGCTGGCCAAGGGGGTGGAGAAGAACCGCGAGGAGTACGCGCGTTACATCAACCACCCGCCGCCACCGCTGGACGACCTGCGCGATCCCACCAAGAGGCCCGGAGCCAACAAGGGCATCATGAAGAGCCGCAAGCGGATCAATCAACGCACCACAGCCACAGCCGCCTCCGCCGCCACCGCGAGCAATCTCGACCGGGCAGCTCACGGGGCCGAGCAGACCCGGCAGGACTGAGACGGTCTCCTTTCGTTGATGATCGGAGCCCGAAGCAATTAATTAAATGGTGCCTCTCTCCACCTGCACCCCCCCCCGTCGTCGTCCATTGACCTTCAACCCCTGAATAGGTTCTTGTTTTTGTCGACGTCGCTGGCCAGCACCAGGCTGAGCTGACTCAGTCAATTAGAGAAGAAGCGAGAAGAGAGAAGAGAGAAGAAGAGCAACAAGGAGGACGAGATGGGATGTGGGGCGAGTACGTTGACAGAGGAGGAGCTGCAGGCGAGACAGACGTCGAGGGAGATAGATGTACAGTTGCTGACAGAGAGGAAGGAACTGCGCGATGAGGTGAAGCTCCTGCTGCTTGGGGCGGGCGAATCCGGCAAGAGCACGTTCGCCAAGCAGATGCAGATCATCCACAAGAACGGTTTCACGGAAGAGGAGCGCCTCACCCAACGACCAGTCATCTGCTGCAACGTGCTCGACGCCATGAAGAAGCTGGTCCAGGCCGTGGAGCGGTTCAAGAGCGACCAGCGCGCGCCCGGCCCCGAGCTGCTCGAGGACAACGAGGAGGCGGCCGAGGCGATCGACGAGATCGACCTCACCAACGACCTCCAGCTCACCGGCCAGACGGTCCAGTACCTCAAGGCCCTCTGGGCCGACACCGCCGTGCAGGCCGCCTACGAACGCCGAAGTGAGTTCCAGGTATGTGTGGGCTTCGAGGGTGTGTGGGTGGGTGGGTGTGCGGTGGATGAGCCAAGGCTGAGTGTGTGCACAGCTGAACGACTCGGCGGCGTATTTCTTCGATGAGCTGAGTCGGTTGGCGCGGACGGACTACGTGCCATCGGAGGCCGACATTCTGCGACTGCGGAAGAAGACCACGGGCATCATCGAGACCAGGTTCGTCGCCGGTACGCTGGGCTTCCGCATGGTGGACGTCGGCGGTCAGCGCAACGAGCGCAAGAAGTGGATTCACTGCTTCGAGGACGTGAAGTTGGTCATCTTCATCACGTCGCTGTCCGAGTACGACTGCGTGCTGGAGGAAGACGAAACGACCAACCGCATGCGCGAGTCGCTCTGCCTGTTCAGCGATGTGATCAACAACCGATGGTTCATCAAGACGCCGGTCATCCTCTTCATGAACAAGAAGGACCTGTTCGCGGAGAAGATCAAGCGGGTGAACCTCAACGTGTGCTTCAAGGGCTACCGGGGCAAGCAGCGAGACTACGACGAGGCCATCGGCTACATCGCCAAGCGATTCATTGACTGCAACAAGTCGCCGTCGCCCGATCGACAGACCATCTACACTCACCAGACCTGCGCTACCGACACCGGCAACGCGCGCGTCGTCTTCAACGCCGTCGACGAGATCCTCGTCTCAGGGCTCATACGTTACAACGGCTTTGGCTGACAGTGTACGGGCGTGCATTTAAAAAAGAGAAACAAAGACCTATTTATTTGCGACGCGCCATCCACGGCTGAAAGAAACTGAATATCCTACATTTATAAATTTATTTTAACTTGATTAATTTGAGCACAAGATGGAAGGGATGAAGACAGAAGAGGAGCAGGCGTTGTCACCTGTGGTGCAAGAGGTAGAGCAGGAGGGACCGACGCCGCGAGAACGATTCCACGAAAAGATGAGGGCGAGGGAAGCGAGGAAGAAGACCCCACACGAACACCAAAATCGACTAAAGAAGAAGACGAACGAGGGGAAGCACGTCAGGCGAAGGCGCACCGAGTTCGACCACTGCGCCTGGGCCGAGCTCGTTGCAGAGCGTTTCGATTCCAAGCAGCGCTTCGAGTGCTGGCGCTGCGACGAACCCAAGGAAAGCCGCATCCTCTACAAATGGCACATCGCCACAGACGAAGACCAGCCAGCGCAGCCCGCCGGCGTGGCTGAAGTGCCAGACGATGGCGCGGCCGAGCAACGGGCAGCAGCACAAATCGCGGAAGATGAAGCACAACTTGGCGAAGATGCCGCACCACCAGAAGATGCCACTACTTCGGTCAAGACCATCTGCCTGGGGTGCTATGGCCACCTGCTGTCCTTGCGCAAGGGCCGCGACGCACCACCAGCCGGCCGCGAGGTGCAGCAGCAGCATCAACGCGGGGAGGTGGACGGAGGTGGTGGCCAGCAGCACACACCCCAACGAGGAGGCCACGGCGCAGGCGTCGCGGTGGACCCCACCGATACGGCACCCACAAGGCTGGCTCCACACCCGCACAAGCGACGCGAGAAGAAGCACGCTCGCGTGAGCTACGTCGTCCCCAAGGGCATGCGTGGCGGCCGCGGAGGTGCAGCATCATCAGCGCGGGGAGGTGGCGGCGGTGGCCAGCAGCAACCCTCCGCGGCTTCGACCTAAGCTCCGAGCTCAAGCCACCACCCTCTCACCCAGGCGGCATCGAATCTGAAGGCTTCCGCGAACACATGTGAGCGCAGCGCTTCTGCTCGAGTCTGGCCGTTCGACAATCTTTCAACGCGATACTGAAGGCGGACACCACTATCACTGGATGTTATTTCTTTGTACAGCCGCCGTCTCTGCTCTCGTTCGTCTCTCGCCCTCTCTGTCTCGCCCGTAACTCTTTGCCTTCGAAGAGGCGTGACCGTTGGTATCGATGCGCGCCAATTTTGCTGCAGAAATGAAATCCCGCCAGCAACAGGACAAGCAGTTGTCTACACAAAAGCAAGGATGGAGCGGACGGAGGTGAAGGTGCGTCGGGCGGTGAAGGAGGACGCGCCGCTGTTGGCATGGGCGGTGCTGGAGTCGACGAGGGGCCACCAGGCGCGGGGCTTCATGGACGTGCGGTTCTCCTTCCTTCTGCCGGAGCGCGAGGACGAAGTGCTGCGCGTGCTGCGGCAGATGGTCGAAGACGACGCCCCTACCTGCGTGCGCTGGGACGGCTTCCTCGTGGCCGAGCTCGACAGCCAGGCCGCCGCAGGTACCCCCGTCAAGTGTTGATGATGATGCTTGCAGTGGCCTACTCACTTTTTAACTCCGGCGTGTGTGCACTCAGTGCTGTGCTGCTGCGGACCGCGAGAGAAGCCCTTCGACGAGTACTACGCCCTGGTGGAGCGCGTTGTGGCAAGCCAGGGCTGGCCTGCGGAGTGGGTCGATTCCCTCCACCAGAAGTACGGTCGCCTCACTCAGGTCTGAGCTGCCTTCTGATGGTTGTGTGGTGTGCATCGTGGCGCTGGTGGCAGAATGAAGGACCTCGGGTCGGTGCTGCCCAGCATGGCGGGTACGTTGCCATAATCTGCGAGAGGGACGACGGTTTGCTGACGTGTCGCCAGATGAGAACGACCACTGGATGATCGAGTGGGTGGCCACGAAGCCCGAGTTCCGTCGCCGAGGCCTCGTCAACCGCCTCCTGCTCGAAGCTCTCGAGATCGGTAACGCGCTCTTTCCCCTCCTGCCGCCTCGTCTCAGCTTCGGCACTCACGCTCTTCTGTTTCTTTCTTCACCTGCACCCACGCAGGCAAGCAGAGTGGGTACACTCGGGCACAGATATCGGCGGTGGTTGAGAACGTCGGGGCCGTGAGCGCCTACAAGAAGGTACCCCCATCCAACGGTCTCGAGACTCTTTCAATGAGTGAGCGCGACTGCACACAAAAACCACAAACGCGGCAGGTGGGCTTTGAGGAGTACAACACGGTCACGTCGCCGCTCCTGCGCAAGCACCTGCCCATCAGCGGGGTGACGACACTGCGCATGCAGCTGCTCCCATGAGGCCGACCTCTGCCACACCCGATTCATGCCCACGCCCCCAAAGAGTGCGACCAAGCGCAGTGTATGCAAAACAATGTTGTTGTTGTTATTGTTGTAATGGTCTTGCTCATTCATCATACACTTGAAGCCGCAGGCCCACGTTGGGTGCCTCTCCAAAAAAACGAAAATCAATCCTCCTCCATCTCCCTCCATCTCCCTCATCTCCCTCTTCGCTGTCTCGTTGCCGCTTCCCTTGTGCGTCTCTTCATCGTCGTCGGTCCGGCTCGGCTGTTTGCCGTTGCACTGCTGATGTCAGCAGCTGCCGCGGGGTGGTTGTCGTAGGACGGCGAACGACGAGGGAGAAGAAGAAACAGGCGGTGCGGGTCGGCGGCGAGGACCGAGGTCACACGCGGCGGTCTGCAGCGTTAGATGCCGACGACGAAGTCGACGACGTCCTTGAGGTCATCGGGTATCTGGAGCTCGCCGGCGCGGCGGACCATGAAGGTGTTGTCGCCGTCGTTGGGGATGCCGAACTTGTCGAGCCTGGCGTTGAACAGGCGCTGGGCCTCGCCCACGGTCACCGAGAACTGGACGTCGTTCGAGCGCGTGTTGATGTGCTCCACGCCGTGTGACTCGAGCCACGCCACCACCTTCTCCATGTGCTCGGCCGGCGCCTCCGTCAGGCGGTTGATCTCCTCCATCGTCGCGTACTTGCCAAAGTTGGGGCTGTCCGGGTCGCTCGCCTCCTTCAACTGTGCGTGAACCGACAAGGCAAAGGTGTGAGTTTTTTGTAGACACACGATAGAGCAGGATGATGGGTATGAGGTTTGGGGGGGGGGTGAAGCATGGTCGGTCGGTCGGTGTACCTTCTTCTCGAGCCACTCGGCGTTCTGAATTTTAAGTACGACGTTGATGGTGAGGTGGTGGTTGGCCGGAGCGGGTCCCCTGTTCTCCGAGAAGGAGTGCTTGCGGACGAGACGAGACGGAATGGCGACGCTCATGTTGGTCTAGTTTGGTGGTGGTGGCGGTGTTGGTGGTGGTGGTGGTTCTGGTGGTGGAAGAAGAGGCCGGTGCGTTGCGAGACCGCGGTTGTAGTGTGGGTGGTGGCGATGGAGGTAAAGAGAGAAAGGAACTCGGGTCGTGTCCGGCCTTTATCGGCGTCGGCCCCGGTCGTCCCACCTTTCCCGGGCATCCCATAGTGCCCAAACTGAGGCCGCTTGGGACCGCTTCTAGAGTGGCGAGATGGTGGAAACGGCGGTGAAATGTTGTTCGAAATGTGGGAAGACCATGTTGAAGTCGACGGTAATTGTCTTCGGAACGTTGCGCGCGACTCACCGGTGGACCTGTGAACACTGTTTTGAACCATCATTGGCCCGATTCGTGTGGATCACGTCGAAAATGGTCCGGTTGGTGCTGACACCACGAGACACAGACCTGGCGTGGGATCGCTGCCGTTGTCTCTCATTGTGCTCATTTTGTGCTGATTCTCTTGTGCACATATTCTGCACAAGTTATTTCTCTCTATTTTCTCTCGGTGTTGCAATTTCTCGCGAACTTTTTTGGTGCTTGCTCCGCGGAAGGAAGGAGTGGAGGAGATTCTGTGCGTTGCGGCTCGTCTGCGCCGCCTGGTGGGTCGTCGTGCTTGCTCAGATTGACGCTGTGCACCTCTGCCTCTAACAATCGAGGGTTCGAACACCGTGGAACTCCTCCTGTAGACGGCCACAACTTCAAGCACCCAGTGCACCGCCAACCAGAGTGCATTTTCTCTCCTCCCAGATCCCAGCCTCCCACATCTTCACATCTCCCTCCCATCTTCGTGGCCGCCACTGGCCAATATTTTCTTCAAGAGCCACGAATCTTCATCTGCACAGCATTCCATTTTGTAGAGAATGGTGGACATTCCACTGTTCGATGGCCCCTCGTTTCGCGAGATCGTGCTCATCGTGGGCTTCGTCGTGGGGATCGCAATCACCCTGGCCCTCACCCTCACCACCCTCATCGGCTGCTGCGTGTGGCGCTGCTGCGTGTGCTGCCAGCGACGCCGCCGCAAGAAGGAGGTCCTCCAGCAGCGAGTCCTCGACGCGTCGGGCGGCCCACCCAGCGGCGGCGCCAGCGAGCAGCGCGTCTACCACCCGGTCGGGGCCGACATGCGAGCCCGCGCCCTGCTCGACATCGAGGAGGAGGAGCGCGGGCAGAAGGTGAGCCGCGTCACGTGGGTACTCGTCTACGTCGTGGTGTGGACCTGGCTCTTCTTCCTCGGCGCCGGCCCGCTGTTCTGGCTCGTCGTGATGGACTACCTGCCCTGGTGGGCCGGCTGGCTCTGCGCCACGGCCCTGCTCTGGCTCGGCTGGTTCTTCTTCTTCCCGCTCTACGGCACTACGGCCGCCGGGCACCACGACGTGGTCAGGCTTGACCGGCGCAGCAGCCTGCGCGACAGCGGCTACGTGCTGGTCGAAGACGACGACGGCTACGGCGACACCCGCATGCTCTCGATCAACCCGGCCACGGCCCAGCGCGCTGACTTTCACGGTACCAACGGCACCGGCGGCGGCGGCGGCGATGGCGACCACCGGACGACGCGGCGCGGCAGTCGCAATCCGATCAAGCTCACGGGTCGTCTGCTCCGCGAGCGCGTGCGACGCGTGCGCCGACGACCGTTCGTGTTCGTCGGCGGGCTGCTCTTCTGGCTCGTGCTGATCTTCTCGCTCACGTTCGTCTTCGAGGGCATGTGCATCGGCGAATACCCGATCTCCAGTACCTCTCCCTCGACTCCACAACGCCCCACGGCAGCTGCTGACGTGTCATTTGTGTCGTGTGTCGTGTGTGTGTCGTGTGTGTTGACGCAGTCGACTTCCGGCTGGTGCGACAGCTGCAGTCGTCGACGTGTTCGGGCGACGCGCCGTGTCATGTCTACCTCACATTCCCGCCCGGCAACATGTCATCGTCGATCATCGTCCACTTCCACGCCTCTGATCTCGCGCCCTCCTGCGCGTCCACAGTCTACTACGACACCCAATCGCGCAAGAATGGTACGTGCGCGTGCGCCGTGTGCGGTGGCGCGTGTTGCTTATACTTTTGCATGCAGGAACGCTGGCCGACTATCGGTTCAATACGACGGGGACCCACTTCAAGTACGAGACGAAGGACTTCACGCGGTACATCCACTGGGTGCGGATCGACACGCTGGAGCCCGACACGGTGTACTTCTTCCGCGCGGGCTGCGGCGCCCACCCGCAGCTCTTCAGCCCCGAGAAGCGCTTCTTGTCGGCGCCCGGCCCCGACGCGAACAACTTCACGTTCATCACGGGCGGCGACATGGGCACGTCGGACGAGACCCGCACGATCGTATGCGCCTCTCCCACACGACACACACACACACACACACACACACACACACACACACACACGACACACACACCACACCACGCGCAGGCACGACCAACGGTCACTACTGTCTCCCGCTGACAACATAATGTGTGGTGGTGGCTGATGGTCGGTGGTGGCGAGCAGGAGATCACGGCGGCGCAGCTCGACCCCCGATTCGCCATTCTGGGCGGGGACCTCGCCTACGCCAACGCGCTGCCCACGTGCTACCGCGTGTGGGACAAGTGGTTCGATATGTGGGAGGAAAACATGATCACCCGCGATGTACGCACAACACACACATCACACACAACACACACAACACACAACACACACAACACACACCTTTTCGTTTAGCTCATTATTTGTCGCGCGCGTGGGTGTGTAGGGTAATGTAATCCCTCTGGTGGCGATCGTGGGCAATCACGAGACCGGCGGCGGCTCCTCGCTGCACCAGTCCGTGTCCGACATCCCCTTCTTCTTCCGGTACTGCTCTCTTACCCCCCCTTCTCTTCTATTCTACATTCCATGCATTCCACCACCACCGACGCTGACACGTCATCTGGCGCCCGGTAGGTACTTCCACATGTACCCGGGCGACGAGGCCGTCAAGCAGGAGCAGCGCCAGCGCAAGGAAGAGGCCCAGATCCGGGTGTCGGCAGCGGAGCAGGCGTCGATCGAGGCCTCCTCCACTTCGGGTGATCTGTTGCCCGTCATCGAGGCGGACCAGCAGCAGCGCCTGCAGCAGCGGCCGGCGTTGAGCGACGCGGACCTGCAGCGACTGCCCAACGTCTACCTTACCGACGCGTGGGACACCACCTACCACCACCACTTCCTCGGCGACCACCTCTTCCTCACGCTCGACAGCGGCATGTTCCTCGACGTCCAGGTGCGTACCATCACGTGTGCGTGTGCGTGCGGTGCGTGTGGCGTGCGACTGACGCGTTTGTGGTGTGGGGGGGCTTGGCGTGTGTGACCAAACAAAGGGAGACCAAACGGCGTGGTTGAGGGAGCGGCTCGATTCGTGGAACGCGACGCGCAACCAATCTGTCGATGTGCGGCAAGGTCACATCATGGCCATCTACCACGTACCCATGTGGCCCAGTGACAAGGTCAGCACACACGACACGACACGACACGACACGACACGACACGACACGACACGACACGACACGACACGACACGACACGACACGGCACGACACGGCACGGCACGACACGGCACGGCACGGCACGACACACCATCATCACCGCCGCTGACTTCGTCTCGCCGGACCGACCAATGATCGGTGCGCTGGCAGGGGGTCGACGTGTGGCAGAATGACATGCGCAAGTTCTGGGAGCCGCTGTTCGACGCCTACCATGTGGCTGTGGGGTTCGAGAACCACTCGCACCGCTACGGGCGCGCGCACACGCTCAAGGCCGGCAAGGTGGACCCGACGGGCACGCTCTACCTGGGCGGCGGCAGCTTCGGCGTGCCGCCGTCGGCCAACAACGGCAACCCCTGGTACATGGTCAACGTCTATCAGAAGCGACACTTCCTCCACGTCAACGTACGTTGTTCCTCCCCGCGCGCACTACACACAAACGTTGACCTCACACGCACATGCATGGCTTGGCTTCGTTTTACCAGGTGACGCCCTATGAAATCTTCATCGATGTGATCGACGAGCACGGAGACATCTTCGACCGCGTCTCCGCGCGCTGATGGGACATCCCAACTTCTCTGCTTCTTCTCTTTCCGAACTGCCACCCCCCCCCTACACCTGTAGTGTACTATTTGCGCACCCGTACCGAGCGGCGCGAGCCGGCGTGCACCTGCCTCGACCCGCAAGTCATTTTTGTCACACTTTGTCCATAAAAAATTGAGCTTCGCGCGTGTACGTTGGCTGGTTGGGGCGAGACGCCACGTGGGAGGTCACTTGATGAGGGCCAGCTGGCTCTTGCGTAGGGGCGAATCCGAGAAGAGGGCGCGGATGATGGCCTTGAGCTCCTCGGCCTCGAACTCGGGCATCAGACCTGGAGGCACCCACGCCAGGAGAGGAGGGAAGTGGAGGGGTGAATGGTGGTGAGAAGAACTCTTGTCTTGGCCACAGTGGCTCGCTAGAGTCAACGGGCGACCAGCGAACCTTTAACGTAGGCGTCGACGATGATGACCAACTTGCTCTCCAGCATGTTCACGATCTTCACGAACTTGCTCCACCGCCGGGCGTGGCGCTTGGTCTCCTCCTCCCTCCCACTCTCGGCCAGAACGGCTTGGCCGCCCTCGCTGTCACCGCCTTCGTCTTCGGCGGCGGTGGCCGTGAAGAAGGAGGAGCAGTCGAGGAGGAGGGAGAGGAGCTCGTGCAGGTGGTGGGTCTCCTCCTCGGAGATGTCCTCCAGCTTCTCGAAGCTCGCGATCAGGTCCTCCAGCGCAACGTCCAGCAGCTGGCCCACCGTGCGCAGGTACACGTGGCGCGGCAGCACGTCCTGTCGTTCGTTCGTGTGCGTGTGCGTGTGCGTGTGCGTGTGCGTGTGCGTGTGCGTGTGCGTGTGCGTGTGCGTGTGCGTGTGCGTGTGCGTGTGCGTGTGCGTGTGCGTGTGCGTGTGCGTGTGCGTGTGTTGGTGGTACACGTCAGCACAGGTTGGTCATTGGGGAGGGGCTCAGCGGTGTGTACCTTCCATACGCGGGAGAGGTGGGTGAGGTGGTGGACCACTCGCTTCATGGCCCGCTCCACCGTCATAAACCGCACACGGAGCTATATAGACACCACGCCACACGTCGGTGCCAAGCCTGTGTGAGTTTGCTGCCAGCAACCGATTGGCAGTGGGGGGGGGGGCTCACGTGAGTGTCGGCAAGTCCCTGCGCACTCTGAACCGTCTCCTTGAGGACCGCCTGTTGTTTTTCCTGTCGCGTGCGTGCGTTGCGTGCGTTGCGTGCGTGCGGTGTTAACAGACGCAAGCGATTGACTTTTGAGTTCGAGTTTGAGTGGAGGGCTCCCGTACGACTTGCTGCTGGTACTGCTTCTCGCCGAGCTGTCGGAACACCGGCACCAGGTCCACCAGCGTGAATGCGCCCTTGTCCTTCGGTAACCTGGGTTGCACACATATATATGGCCTGGTCAGGAGGTACTGCGTGTGTGCGCGGCGTGTGCGGCGTGTGCGGTGATTGCGTGCATACCGGTCCTGGTACTGCATGCCGAGCGTGAGGAGTTGGAGAGCAAGATAGAAGCAGTCGTTGTGGAACGCCATCGCCAGACTCGGCACGGACTTGATGGTCTCCTTCTGCTCGCACGCGACAGCGCACTGTGAGCAGCGCACCAACCAACCAACCAACCGATCGCGCCGTACCTGGTACTGCAGGGGCATGATCGCACGGTAGAGGTCAAACAGGTCGCGCGCCGTTTGCTGGAGCGTGTGGGCGCTGTGTGAATGCGGGGAGTGGGCTTTAGGTCTTTGTGATCCTATGAGGGGCGGGGGAGCCTTGCTGTGTGCGTACCACTGGGGAGCGGAGTCGCGCAGTCGACAGGCCTCCTCGAGCGTGTGTTGCGCCAGGACCACCAGCCCGATCGTACTCGCACTCACCTGAAATAGGAACACACGACACAATACACACGACACACACCGCACACACGACACACGCGTGAGATGCAAGCCGAGGACGTGGAGCGTTGTGTGGCGCACGCACTTGGCACGTGGGCATCTGGAAGATGAAGACTCGGTCGTCGGTCGGCGGCGTGGCCCCGGTCGCGACGTCGCGGCACTCGCCCTTCTTGCTCTGCGTCGCAATCCGCCGCAGGCCCTCCTCCTCGCGCTCATCGACGTAGACGTCGACGTCGTCCGCTCCTCCACCGCTGCCGGCGCCAGCGCTCGCTTGCATGGCCGACTGTCGCCTCCGCCGCCGCTTGTCGGCGTTGGCGTTGGCGTTGACGTCGGCGGTGGCGTTGATGGTGAGGAACGACGACACGTCGGGCAGCATGTTGGCGGTGCACACCTCCTTGAGGCACACGTTGGCCTCCTGGTTGAGCAGCAGGTTGCGCGCCCGGTTGAGGATCTTCTTCTGCTTCTTGGTCGCAAAGTGGTTGTCGACGTTGTTGATGAACCGGCTGAGCCGCCGGGCCTCGGCCGGGGGTGGCTGGCGGGGGTCGTTGTCACTGTGGTGGTCGTCCGGTCCGCTGGCGGCGCTCGCCGGCACCAGCCCGAGCGCGACCATCTCCTCCTCGAACTTTTCTGTGGCGTGTATGGTCTCCCGCTGGTACTGGGCCAGCTTGGCAGTGTCGGAGGGAATGGCCGGGGAGAGCACTGGTTCGTAGCGCCACACGACACGACACGACACGACACGACATACCGCACACGGCACGATATGGAGTCAGCTGATGGAGGTGCGGAGAAGGAGGCGGTGAGAAGGCGAGGGGGTGCACCTTTGGCGATGATGTCGCGGCACAGCGGTTCCCACAGGAGATGGCCAAGCAGGGCCAGTCGCTGTTTGTCGTGCGCAAAGACGTGCGATGATAGGATCCCGAAGAAAGCGCCCAGCACCCCAAAGAGGTTGTCTGTGTGGGCGACACACAACACGACACACGCGCAACCCGCCACACGCAACACGCAACACGTAACATGTTCGACAGTGAGCACTGGGTAGCTGAGATGTTAATAAGTTTGGAAGCGGAGCACGAACCTACGCTCACGGCTCGCTCGGACTTGGCGTCGTGGGCTCGCTCGCTGACGGCCTCGTCCAGGCGCTGCTTCTCCGCGAGGTAGATTCGCTTGTGTTCGGCTTCGTCGGCGCGCACCTCCCACGCCTGGCCGGAGAAGGCGTGGGCCAGGATGAAGTGCAGCACGCCCGTCCGCAGCGCATGGCACACAAACTCCTCCATTTCCCTCTCAAGGAAGCGATGATGCTGATCGGGCGCCCCCTCTTCGTCCACGCTGTCCATCGCCTCGAAGATGTCCGCCAGCGGGACCGTGACCACTTGCTTGCCCTCCTGGCTACTCAAATGCACTGTGGGCCGTTGGGTGGTGCGGGTCAGCACTGTTCGAGGGGAAGAGTGTAGTGGTGGCGGCGGCGGCGATGGTGGCTGGTACCGGTCAGCAAAGGAGAGTAGGAGAGGGAGGTGGCCTCGAAGGTGAGGGCCTGGCGCAACAGAGCACCGAGCCTCGCTTTCAGCCGATCGCATCGTCGCCTGTGCCGTTTCTGTTTAGATCGATCCCATAATAAGAGCAGTCGGTCAGTCTGAACCAGGTGCCTCCCGTGGGCCTGGAGTGGGAATCGGCGCACCTTGACCGCGATGAACACTGCGGGAACGTTCCGCGTGTCCTGGTCTTCGGTGGGCAGCTGTCGGAGGAGCTCCCCCTGGCGAACACATAAAGCGACACACGCCACGCGCTGTGTGTGAGAGAGACGCGCGGGAGGGAGCTCACGCGCTGTGCGAAAACAGGGGTCGCACTATTTCGCGTGTGAGTCTGGCGGCTGCCGGCAGCGTGAAGGCGTCCATCGCTTGTGTGAATGCGTGCAACTTGTCGTTGAGCTAAACGGGCCAACGCGAGTCAGCTACCCACTCTCCACAGTGCGTGCGTGCGTGCGTGCGATGGTGGTAATGGCGCACGTGCGCCCCACAAGAGAGGCACCTGGTTCAGCACAGTTACTGTCTGAATGAGCTCGCCGGTGAGAGCTGCTTGCTGTGTGATGTGCTCCAATTCCAAGGCCGGCTTCACCAGCGCGGCGTGGATGCCGGTCTGTCACAGCAAGAGAGAGAGAGAGAGAGAGAGCAGTGTCAGGACGCCGAGGAGACCGGGAGAGATGGGCGCTGCGAGGTGAGATGCGGGTGGCGAGGTACGTGTGGGTCCTCGATCTGCTGCGTGACTGCCGCCAGCCCATCGGTGAGCTCGGCGATGGCCTTCTCCACGTACACCGCGTTGTCAAACGCTTGTATGAACTCCTCGTAGCTCTGTCCGATGGCATCGTACACTTGGCCCTGTTGGCGTGGCCCTGCTGACGTCAACAGCTGCTGGAGGTGAAGCACAGCGCCACGAACAAAGGAGGGGGACCTTCAAGGAGTGGATCTGGTCGTTGAGCTTGCTGAGGCACAGCACAAGATCACCTTGCGACAGCTTGCTGCCCGCCTTAGTGGTGTCTCGATCGGCTGCTAGATCTCCTCGCAGCGAATCCAATGCCTGTTCCACCTCTCCTGTGGTAGTTTTGTCCACCTGCTCAGCTTGCCAGCTCGTTTCTTCACCTTCTCTCACTTTCAGTAATGTGTTTTCCATCAGAACTCGCAGCCGATTATGATTTGATTTTTTATCGCCCTTGTTCTTGAAAAGAAACGAGTTTTTCTTTCTTTCCTTTGTAAAATGCACTGGTGGGCCTGCAGGGCCGCTTGGCAAGCAGCAACCAAATGGCCCAAACTGCGCACAAAGGCGCACAAGCCTCTGGGTTTGCAGAGCCAGACCAACGCCACAACACCAGAGTTCATTGAACCCCCAGAGGTACAGGCAAGGGTAGTTGAGGGCAACTGTCGCAACCTTCTGGTGGTCCTGCTCGCCGAGGGTCTCTGTCCCCTCCAACCACCGACCTGGTGGTTTCCAGATGGAAGCTGAAATTTCCAGTTGTGGCAGCACCAGTAGTAAAAAATCTTTTCGCCCCTCCCCGGCCGCCAATCGGTATGCACTGCTTTCACAGAAGCAGGAGAAAAACACAAAAAAGAGAAGGATTTGTCATACCAAAGAGAAAACAGTTGTCTTCACTGAAGTACCACAGCGGCCCGTTGCGCGCCGAGGACAAAACCAAAAAACAAACTGAAGCGCCACGAGCGTAGCATCTTCCTTGCCACCATCCCCTCCAGCCTCCATCTGCTTCGATCGCCATCTTCTTCCTGGTGTAGAGGCATCGTCATCCCTTTTACCTCTTCACCGCACCCCCGCTTTATGCCCCCTTTCCCCCACACCACGCATCAAACCCACAACCCGGCGCTTGCTGCTGAAGTATCATCATCATCATCGAAGGCTCGTTCATCTCGGCTCTCTTCGTCATCGCCCCTCTCCTCCAGCAATCTCGTCATCACGAAGGCCTCAAGCATCACCACCAGCGCCGCCCCGGGTACGAGCAAGCACGAAGAGGCGAAGATGGACCTTGAAATCAACCGCAGCACCGCTGGCGAGCCTGGGCAAGGCTTCGATGACGATACGATCAAGCGCATACACGACGAATTCGAGCACCTCAACTTCCAGTACCAGACCGAGCTGAATCAGCAACTCCAGAAGGGCGTCATGCTGTTCGCATCGGCCACGACTCGCAACAACTACCACAAGAACCGATACTCCAACATTCTCGCCACCGAGTCGACAAGGGTCAAGCTGATAGCGCATCGCGACCTCTTCCTCGACAGCGACTACATCAACGCGAACTACATCGATGGCGAGATCCCCGGTTCCAAGAAGACCTATATCGCCTGCCAGGCGCCTCTCCCCTCGACTCTCAGCCACTTTTGGCTCATGCTCTGGGTAAGGCTTTCGCAAGCTCAGTTGAATGGCGCCTTAGGATCCATGATTAGCTCCAATTAGCCCCGCCCGATTAGCCATCGATGTCTAATTAGCTGCCATTAACTATAATCGGTATCAATTCTAGGAAAACGAAAGCGCAGTCATCGTCATGCTCACCCGCCTGTGCGAGCGCGAGCGCGTCAAGGCTACGGCCTACTGGCCCGAGGACGTCGGCGAGAAGAAGCACTTCGGGCCATTCTGCGTCACCTACGTCAAGGGCAAGATCATCAACACCTATCTCGAGCAGCGGGTCTTCGAGGTGGAGCACGCCGGCCAGACTCGGCAGATCATTCAGCTGCACTACACCGAATGGCCCGATTTCGGAACCCCCGAATCCACGCAGACGATCCGCGAGCTCGTCGGTCTGATGGACGTCTACCGCATGAAGGGCAAGCTCTCTGGTCTTGGCGGGCCGATCGTCGCGCACTGCTCGGCCGGCGTAGGACGAGCGGGCACCTTCGTCGCCATCCACATCTGCCTCGAGAAGATGAAGTATTTCAACTCGCTCGACCAGGTCATCGACATCCCTCGCACGGTCATGCTGCTTCGACAGAGCCGCACCGGCATGGTGCAAACGCCCGAGCAGTATCGCTTCATCTACGACGTCGTCCGCGATGCCAGGCAGGAGTTCAAGGAGCGCGCACAGAGGGTGTTTGCTGCTCCCGGTCCTTCCCAGGTCGACGGCGACTTCAAGAGGCCTCACACCACCAAGCGGTCCAAGATGCTCGACGGCGAATGGGTGGACCCTCCGCGGTCCTTGCGAAGCAGCTGTGCCGCCTGCTACACCGCCTCTTCGTCGCTGTCCCTCGCCTCCTCTTCGCCGTATGCCGTCGTCGCTGGAGACTCAAGCTCCTCGGAAGCAAGCGAGCTCTACGTCAGCGGGCCTACGACGGCCGAGGAGCGACGGAAGGCGTTCGCCACGACCGAGAAGAAGCGAAGACTCTCTTTTTCGCGTTCCTAGCCCGCGGCCTTCGGCGGCTGGCGGAGAGCGGCCACGCCACTGGGGAACGAGTGCGACGAATGCGCGGCGGCGTCGAGGGGCGCGAAGCCAAGGGCGGCAAGACCAACGTTACGGCGGTGTACAATACGAGAGCGCGCAGCGGAGGGAGGGGGAAAACGAACTGGACTGGCTTATCTTGCGACAGACCGGGTCATCAACGCGACTTTGCTTGCAGCTTGCTGGCTTCGGTCCCTCACCAAACCAAACAAAACATCATCATCATCATCCAAACCAATACACATGCTCACACTTCACTTCACCTTCGCGTTTGGAGATTGTGCAGTCACCGCAGTGAACGAACGCTGTCTTCTCTGAAATGGATCAAGTGCCAGCCACTTCAGGCATCAGGTTCAACGTGCTCGGCCTCGTCGTCCGCGTCGGGTGGCGGGAGGACGAAGCCAGGGTCCGTCTTCTTGAAGCGCTGTACGTCGTGGTGGGACCATTTGTTGACCTGCCATGGCACTGAGCCGTTGATCTTGTTGGCCAGTTGCGCGAGCGCCAGGCCTGCCTTCTTGCCGTTGGCCATTGTAATCTCGCGTCGCGCCAGCTGCTTCACGAAGTTGGCATAGCCCTGCGGCGTGAAATCGCACGTTCGCAGCACCAGCCGGCTAAACAGCCCTGCAACGCAGCTGTAAGCGGCGCGGCACACACCACCGCACGCAAGCACGCCACGAAGCTACCCATACAATACCTGGAGCGTCGGCTGCGGAGCCCCGGTTGACCACCTCGACGATGGTGTGCGCCAGGTGGCTGCCGCACAGGAGGCCGTTGTTGAGGGCGCGGAAGAAGGGCACGCCGAACGCAGCGTCGCCCACCAGGAAATACGATACCCCGTCCTTCTTCTGCACTCATCAGCCGAACATGTCTGTCAGGCTTTGTTCCTCGTGTTGTGCCGTTGTGTGTCGTGTGTCGTGAGCGCAGGACGAACGCAGTTGACTTCGGCGGAGCAGTAGGTGGAGAGTTTGAGGGCCGAGATCTTCTCGCTGCCGGGCACCCGCTGCTCGCCGACGAGGATGGCCTTGGCGTTGAGCCAGATCGTGATGCTCTCGACCAGCTTCTCGCCCAGCAGGTCGCGATGCGTGGGTATGTAGTAGGGGTTCTTGAACGAGGCGCCCTTCACCCGCGCGTGGGTCTCCTCTGTGACCAGCAGCCGCAGCGTGACCGGCGTTCGGCCTTGGCCGTTGGGCCGGCCCACATGCTCCTCCACCACGTGGTCCATGATCTTCATCGTCGGGTACGCTGCATTGGGCGCCAATTCAATTCAGCTCCAGCTTCAGCTCATCGCCAGCTTCGCTTGGCCGTGTCATCAGGACGGAGGCGCACCTTGGGTTACAAAGTTGAGCTTCTGGGCTTGGCCTTCGACCTCGTACTTGACGTCGACGATGTGCTGAAGCGCCGCGTGCGAGTTCAGCTTGCCGTCGCACACGACCTGACGCACGACGCTGTGCGAGCCGTCGCTGCCTACGATCACCTGCGATTCGATTCGGTTCGACACTCAATCTATGTCTGCCCGAGGGCCGATCGAGCGATCGAAGGAGAGCCGACGCGTGGAGCGTACCCGTGCCGAGGGATAGCGCTGACGGACGTCGCGTTCGATGTCAATGACGTGGTGCGGAACGTCGATCACGATGCCCAGGGACACGGCGAGCTCGGTCAGCCGGTCCTCCAGGTCGTTGGTGCGCACCACCGGCAGCGGAAGGCTCTCGATCAGTTTCTGCAATCGCGAGGCACGCACACGCACCACCGCACACACCCGCACACGCACACGTTGAGTCACGTGGGCAATCCAAGCGAGTGCAGCGCAGGTACCGCAAGCCGAGGGTGGTCGACAGCGCCCTTGAACGAAGCTGAGTCGACGCGCAGGACGTGGCTGCGCTGATAGGCCGCGTACTTCTCCACCGCCACGACCTCGAGCCTCGGGTCGAGCAGCTTCACCTGCACCGCTGTCCACAAACCCACCGGCCCTGCGCCCACGAACACCACGTCCGGCTCCGACAAGCTGGTGGGCACCCACAAAATATGTTAATTTTAGTTATTTATTTTGAATTTTAATTATCTATATATTAACGGGCTCGGCAGGGGAAGGTGGTAGCCACGTGTACCTGGGAACAGGCTCGTAGTCTGCAAGGTGGTCAGAGCTGGAGAGTGAAGTTGAGGTCGACGAACGAAGACTGGCCCGGACGCCTTCTACCGGTCGTGGTGGGGGCTGGTCAGCCAGCAGCAGCGCCACCCATTCCTCCTCATCCAACGCCGTCGCCCCTTGCATCTCTATGCCCGTGTTGCTGACCACGTCACGACAAGCGGCTTGTATGATAGGAGAAGGAAAATCAGAATAATAATAAAAAAAGACAGAGAAGCACAGTGGAAAACCGACAGAGAAATCATTTTGGGCCAATAGCTTTCTTGTGTTTTTTTTTTCATTTTCTCCGGCAGAGAACAACGGAACCGAAGATGGAAGCGCAGGAGAAGGGCAAGGAGGGCGGTGGTGGTGAGATGCTGCGGAGTACGGAGAAGGACCCGCACGGCGACACGAGCATGCTGCAGTCCTTCGGGTACGATCAGGAGCTGTCGCGCTCGCTTGGGCCGCTCACCTCGTTCGGCCTGGCCTTCTCCTACACGTCGCCCACCGTGGGCGCCTACACCCTCTTCGCCTTTGGCCTTGCCACCGGTACGCTGGGGCATCGTGCGGTGGGGCCTTCTTGAACATGCTCAACTCAACAGAATGGTTGTTGTTGGGGGTGGTGCAGGCGGAGGGCTCTTCATCTGGGGTCTGCCGATCGTGGTGGCAGGCCAGGTCCTTGTGGCGCTCATTTTTGCAGAGTTGGCGGTGATCTACCCGATGGCCGGTGCGCTCTACCAGTGGGCACGGCGGCTCATCGGACCACGATACGGTTGGCTCGTGGGTACGACTAGTGCATGCAGTATGCCGCCGTCGGCCTGGCAAATGCTCACCCGCTCCTTCATCCATTCTCCGCTGGGTTTGCGCAGGATGGGCTTACTGCTGGGCGTTGCTGATCACCATCGCTGCGGTGGACCTGGGCGCTGCGCCGTTCGTGTTGGAGACGCTCGGCCTTCGCCCGTTTGGCTCGGCAGGAGGAGAGTACGGTTACCACCCTAAACTAACTAACAGTTGGCCTCTGTTGTTGCTGTTTCTGTTGTTAACGCACCCCCGACGCTTCGCACCACCACAGGGGTGTAGAGGAGTCGTCGGTTGGTGAGGTGGGTATCGCTCTGCTCGTGTGCGCGCTACAGACGACCATCAACATCGGCGGTGTGCGAATCACCACCCTGCTCACCAACGTTGGCATGATCCTCGAGTTCATCATGACGCTTGGGATAGCCCTCTTTCTGTTGGTGAGTTCTGGGCCTCACCAACCCTACTCCTCGGTGTTCGAACCATCGCCGTCATACACCGGCAACTTGCCCTTCCTGTCGGCCATTCTGTCTCAAGCCTTCATCTTCTACGGGTGCGGACCGACTTCGCCCAGCGCCCATGCAGTACTGTTAGTACTAATACGCTGGGGACTGCGCGTTGCAGGTTCGAGAGTGCGGCGGCGGTGAGTGAGGAGGTGCGGGACAGCCGCAAGTCCGTTCCACGTACCATGGTCCTCAGCTTGATCAGCGCTGCCTTCGCCGTTCTGCTCCTCCAATGTACGCTCCTTCCACTCGCACCATGCGATCACCAGTCCGCGCCGCTCACACCTCAACTTCAGTCGCGCTGATCACAGCCCGACCTGACCTCAGCACCACCTCGATCTCGGCGATCTTTCAGGTAGGTAGTATCACCGCATAGATGGGCTCTTTACCAGCAGATCGAACCGTTGTCAGTTCTGATCTTAGCGTCACGCAGGCACACATGGGAACGTCTCTCACGCGAGTCGTATCAGTTATGCTTCTGGTATGTGCGACATCATCGACATTACAAACGTACAAAACGCTGGGTGGCGCTAAGCCGCTCGCCCCCTCCCCAGATCTGCTATGTTTCGTGCGCCGGCGCGGAGCAAGCCGCCATCGCCCGCATGATCTGGGCGTATGCTCGTGATGACGTGCTTCCCTTCTCATCGTGGCTGAAGAAGGTTTCGCCCAGGACTCAGGTATGCTGGCGCTTGGACATCGCTCTCGAAGTTGTGCATTCATTCCTCATCGTGGCGGCCTGCCAGGTTCCTGTCAACGCCACACTGGTGGCTGCCGCAATCCCGATGTGCGTGATGCTCACTACCCTCATCCGCGTGGGCAAGCTCAATGTGCACGAAATCGTTGTGGATTACTGTATCGCCGGAGGTACAGTCCAACCCCCCCCCCAAATACCGCCGGACGCAGCGCTAACGTTAGCTCTCCAGTGTACATTTCCTTCCAGGCGGTCGTGGTGGCCCACCTTTGGGCGTCGTGGACAGGCCGTCTCGACAAGCACACCCTCCTCACCGAACAAACTACCCACCACAGCGACTACTTTGGGTTGGGCAAGGTGCGTCTGCGCCCCACCACCCACCAATCATCGTTCTTGGTCTCAGCTCACACTGCTGGCTTACTGGCGAGCTGCGCAGTTGCGATTGCCTGTGGGCATTGGAGCGTTGGTGTACGGCGTGGCGATGATCGTAAACCTCCTGTGGCCTCGCCCCGTCGACGAGCTCCGAGGTGCGCTTAGCTAACGGTATGACCGGACTCGATAGCTGACGATACTGGTGTCCCATGTCTAGGGTGGGTGACGCTGCTGGTCACGGTCGCGGTGTTGGCGGTGGGCGTTGTCGTCGTGCGCGGACGCAACAAGCAGGTGACGTCCCTGTCGGCCTCCTTTCACTTCGATGAACGAACCTATCTGCTGGAGGAGGCGAAGCGCTCGCCGGAGGCCCTCAACATGCGCGCCACGCTGCATCGACCCCTGTCATTCTCCAGCGGAGCGCCCAGGCAAGAAAAAGTCTCTTGAAATCCTGACCTTCTCGTTTGTTGTTGCCTCACTACTGTCTTCATGAGTGGCCAGCACGCTGCCCACCTGGAGCCAGCTTGCTTCATGATGTCAGAGGTCCTGCAAAGTGAATGGGTGGTTGTGGATGGGGGTGGGCAGTTTTTTCCGGGATTTGGACACAGAACTCGTGCTCGGCAAAAAAGCACGGCACAACGAGAAGAGGAAGGCCGGAGGGATCGAAGAAGAGACACAAGAGAGGCGGCAAAAAAGGAGGGAAGCGGTGTGGAAGCCCCCCCAATCTATTAAAGATAGTGACTCGAAGGAGCGAGAGGGAAGGCGTGCCCGGCTCGACTCCCCACAAGGGGAGGCTCCATCTCTTAGAATAGAAAATTAGAAATGGGAAACAACAATGGTAAACATGGAACACGGCGCGATGACGACCCCTATCGAAATCCGCCCCTGTCTCCCGCATCAGGTTCGTCTGCTCGAGTCGCGAGCGGAGGGGATCGTGGAGGAGCCCAATCGAAGAATGCTGGCGGCGAGGACGTAGAGAAGGAGATGGAGGCCAAGATCGCCACGGCGCGGCAGACCTTCGCTCTCGACCTTCAGGGGTTCAAGCTGAGGGCCTTGCCCAAGGGCCTGTTCGACTTGAAGGAGCTCTCGGCGCTCAACGTGAGCAGCAACGACCTGACCGCGCTCGAGGACGAGGTGGTCCGATTACTGCCGGCTCTCACCAGCCTGCGCATTAACGGCAATAAGCTCACGGGGCTGCCATCGCTCGGCAGCGGCGCGTTGAAGGAGCTCGAGGTGCTCGACGTGGGCAAGAATCGGCTGCGATCGCTGCCCGGAAGCGTGGGCGATCTCTCGGCGCTGGTGCGGCTCATCGCACACTGCAATCTGCTCGAGGATCTGCCGCCGGGGGTGGGCGAGCTGGCCAATCTCACGGTACTCGATCTAAGCACGAACAACCTCAAGCAGCTGCCGCCCGAGGTGGGCAAGCTGCACGCCCTCAAGAGCCTCGACATCGACAACAACCGACTCAAGACGCTGCCCCCTGAATTCGGGGACCTCGGCAGCCTCACGCAGCTCACCTGCGCCAACAATCTCTTTTCCCACTTCCCCGAGTCCATCTGTCGGCTGGGCTTCCTCAAGACTCTCAACATTTCGTGCAATCGCATCACACAACTCCCGGACGCGATCGCGCAGCTCGGGGACTCCATCACCGAGCTCGACCTCAGCGGCAATCGATTCGTGACCTTTCCCGAATCTCTCGCCGGCTGCCGATCTCTCATCACTCTCGACTTTCGCGACAACAACCTGTGCGACCTTGCCGACAACATCAGCCAGCTCTGCGAACTCGCCACCCTCAACCTCTCCCACAACAAGCTCACGACCCTCCCTCGTCAGATCGGCGAGATGACCGTCCTCATGGAGCTCAACCTCAGCAAGAACAAGATCGCCCACCTGCCTCCTGAGCTCGGCCACCTCTCCTTCCTGGGCAAGCTCTACTTGAGCCGCAACGCCCTCGCCACCCTGCCCATCGAGCTCTCCAACATCGCCTTCATTCAGGAGCTCGACCTGTCCAACAACGGCCTGGACGACCTCCCCATCGAGATCTTCAAGCTCGACAAGCTGCAGACTCTGAAGCTGGACTGTAACAACCTCACCCACCTTCCACCCGAGCTGGGCCATCTCTTCCGCCTCCAGCATCTCTACGTCTCCAATAACCAGCTCACCACCCTCCCCGCGGAGATCTCGCAGCTCTCTCGTCTCCAGGTATACCTGTCCTGTCGCTTCATTGTCGATGCGCATGCAAGTTGGTGTGCACGCTCGCGCACATTCCTTGCGTCTTTTCACTTACACGTGAACTCGATCGCAACAGGTTCTTTCGATCTACCAGAACGCAATCAAGCAACTCCCAGACGGCATGGGTGCGCTGAAGCACATCGAATCGATCTGTTTGGGCGACAACCTCCTCGACGAGTCCGGCCTTGCTGCTCTCGAGGTGCGTACTAGTACCATTTTCTTCGTGTGGCCAGATCATGCGCCTCACGCCATACGTTCTCCTATTTCTGTAGAAGGCCACGATGCCTGCGCTGGAGCAGTTGGTCCTGAGCGGCAACAGGTTGACGTCGATTCCAGAGGGATTGTGCAACCTCGCTTCGCTCAAGGAGCTCTACCTGAGCCGAAACGAGATCGCCGAGCTGCCCGAGGCCATCACTCGCCTCAACAAGATCCGGATCTTCGACCTCTCCGACAACGCCATCGCTGCGCTTCCGTCGTTCATCTCCTCGCTGCACTCTCTGCGCGAGATCAACCTGTCCTACAATCGACTGAGCAGTCTGCCGCCGGAGTTCGTCAAGCTGACCAACCTGTGCGTGCTGTACCTCATGCACAACAACCTCACCGACCTCCCCGAGGACCTCCAGGCCATGCGATACCGCAACTGCTACCACATGGATCTCGAGGACAACCTCATACCGGACCTCGCCCTGCTTCTCGGCCAGACGAAGAGGAAGAAGCGCAAGCGCGCCACGTCGAAGCTCAAGGACGCCGATCGACTCACCAAGTCCAAGGACGAGAAGTCGCGCGTGGCCGGCATTTCCGAGATGATGGGCAAGAGGCCGTCTATGGAGGACACCGTCTCCACTCATCTCGCTTTCTCGGGCATCGATGGTACCTGCCCGCCATCGCACTCGTTGACGCATCGCACTTAACGACTTACACGACGTTGCCTTATTCCTTTGGAACAGGAGAGGATTTCTTCGCAGTGTTTGATGGTCATGCCGGACGGGCCTCTGCCGTCTTCGCAGCGGACCACTTCCACGGCGTGCTGGCCAAAAAGGTGATGGAGGAGAACGGACAGGGTCTATCCGCGAAGAGGCGAGGCTCCAGGGACAAGGGAAAGGAGAAAGACGGCGCGAGCGACGAGGGGAAGCAGAAGAAGGGCTCATTTTGGAACAAGCGAGCGGCGAAGAGGTCGAGGGAGCTCTCCCGAGTTAAGGCGAGCAGCGGCGAACTGACGGACGTGGCCGCGGCGGAGCGCACAGAGGGCAAGGACAAGGAAGAGGAGGGCGACATGAGCGACTTGAGCAGTCGGATGAGCGCAGAGGGGGAGCAGCAGGAAGCGGAGCAGGAGCAGGAGGACAGCGATGAGGAGCCCATCAATTTTCCCAAGGGCGTGGGCGAAGACTCGTCTAAGGAGGCGCAGGCTACGTTCAGCGCTCTGATCAAGAGCTTCCTGGAGATGGACGAGCTCATGAAGGACAATCGGGACGGCGCAACGGCTGTGGTCACTCTGGCCTCGATGAGGTACGAAGCCGCTTTCCAACGCTTCCCAACAGTGTCCCCCGAGCAGATTACTGACCTGTCTTGCCGTCATCGTGATGTTAGGCTGAACAAACTTTTTGTGGCGAACGTTGGCGATGCCCGAGCTGTGCTATGCAGACGAGTGCGTTCGAGCTGCCTCTTTGATCGATCCTCGGTTAACAATGCGTTGCTAATGTTTGACACGTTAACAGGGCAAAGCATTTCCGCTGACGGTGGATCACACTCCCAAGCTGGTCGCCGAATCCGAGAGGATACGAGCACTCCACGGCTTCGTCACCTCGAACCGGGTGAATGGCGTGATCGCCATCTCTCGATCCCTCGGCGATGCCAGCATGAAGCCGTACGTGTCCGCCGAGCCAGGTACTTGCCGCCATATATTTTGTGTGTTTTCTTGTGGTCTACGCACTGTACTCCGCCGTGAGTCACCGCGTTCGCTAATCATGCGGCTCCACTGTGACAGGCACGTGTGTCGTCAACCTGTGCCGGGAGGACCAGTTCTTGATACTGGCCTGCGATGGCTGTTGGGACACAGTGGACAATCAGACCGCAGTCGACATTGTCAGCCACGAGTTGGCCGCATCGGGCAATCCAGCCAAAGGTACATGAACACTTTTGGCGTGTGTAACTCCCTTGCACTCGTGCACGTCGCTGACGCCCGTATTCCATTTGCCTGTGGCCACTTGCCAGCTGCCATCAAGCTCAGGGACCACGCATTTTGGAAAGGGTCGACGGACAACATATCGGTCATCGTGGTCCTCCTCGATCGGTATCTGCCGTCCGACTCCCCGGTGGCATCCTCGTCCTCCTCCTGCTCCGTGGGTCAGGATGCCAAGACCACGACGCCGCGGTCACGCACCAAGAGAGCCAAGAAGCGCAGCCGAACCAAGGAAAAAGTCATCCTGCCCAAGTCATCCGAGAGCGAACCCAATCTGGCACCGAAATCATTGGGGTACGTCGCCCTACCACGTTGGCCACGCATTGCACGAGGAAGTGTTTGCTCACAACGCGCAACGGCACCCGACACACGCTGCTTGCTGTACGACAGTGCCACCTTGGTGCGAAACAGGCGTTCGATGTCGGACGTGATGGGTTCGCCTCCGGAGGAGGTCTCGGGTGGTATGCTCCACACCTCGCTCAACTTCACGCCCACGACAACCGGCAACGCGAGTGGCGGCAAGGCCAAGAAACCGAAGAAGGGAAGCGCGGTGCTGGCGGCGGCAGCAGAGGAAGAGAGTGTACATAAGGACAAGAAGAAGAACGGGCGGAAGGACAAGAAGAAGGAGAAGAAGGTGAAGGAGCCGAGCGACACGCCGCGGAAGATGAAGATGAAGAAGAGGAAGAAGCCGAAGGAGCGACGAGAACGGTCGAGATCGCGATCGGTAGCCGATGCCGAGGATTGCCCTCAGGTACCGCATCAACCTTTCTGTTTTTCGCTCAGTCGCTGTGCTAACCATTCATCTTGCGGCGCTGTGCTAACTATTCATCATCTTCTTTCCGCCTATCACAGTTTGGCCGGAACAGGGCTTTGTCGGCGGACAGGGATGCCGCGATCTCACGTCAGACGCGCTCGTCATCTCTGTCCGAGGAGGCGAGCCTCTGCAATTCGCGCAAAGTGAGCAAAGAATCGGTGCGACACCTTCTTGCTCCGCCCTTCGCTATGGTGCCGTGTGCTGCGTTTGTGCATGTTTTCCCCGTTCTTCCAGACCACACTCACCGTGTCCCAAATGTGATGATTATCATCAGCTGGTCGACGCGGGCACGGACGACAGCGTCCCGCCGCAGAGCAGCGAGCACATGCTGCTGGACTCGAAGCAGCGCAACGCCACTCGAGCCGGGAGGAGCGGCAGTGTCGGCAAGTGATGCTGTTGTTTTGTGTACAAGGTGTATGTTTATTAGCTTATAAAATATTAATATACTATAATACAACAGACACGTGCAACACTCTTTATTTATTTTAACATAAATGAACAAGCCACAAGCCATATTTCAATTTCTTCTTGTAAGTCCCACAAGCAGTGACGTGAAGGCGCCATTCGCGACGGCGGGAGCAGACGAGGCGGCGAGGCACTACGTGCGCCTGCCGACTCCGCCGCAGTCCTCCTCCGCCTGGCCCGCGCCACTGAGTCAGTGTCACTGGAAGCTGGACATGCTCAGATGTCTCTGGAACTGCTGGAGGCCTATGCGACGGCCTAGCAGAGACCTCCTGTATAACCTGTTCATCATGCCGCGCAGTCGCTGATCGAAATCATGCAAGGCCTCCAAATGGTGGTGATCTTGATCCCTTCGTGGTGAAAAACTACCCGTTGCCGCATTTGTGAAAAGTTGGCCGGATAAATCCGGGGGCGTAAAATGGAATATTAATTTGGGGTCTGGCCTGTGGTGTTCGACTTCGTCAACCCTCCGCTTCTTCTGTAACGGTGGCGCATCCAACCCGAAGCTCGCAAGTGCTTGCAAGGCGAACGAGAGGAGTCAGCCAGCGGCCAGTCCACTTCGCACAACAAGGAAACGAAACGAAACAAGGAAGAAGGCGAAGGTGGAGGAGAACGCCGTATTATTTTCAGATTATTTATTTGTAGCAAGTAAGTGAGCGAAGAAGGGGAGGACGGCCAAAGGGGGGGCTGTGATAGCGATTCGAGATGTACAGCAATAGCAATCCGATCGATGGCCTGCCTTCGAAGGATAATCGTAAGCTGACGAAGGAGGAGAAGAAGGCGCTCAAGCAGAAGCAGAAGGAAGATGAGAAGAGGAAGAAGGAAGAGGAGAAGCGGAAGAAAGAGGAGCTGAAGAAGAAGGCCAAGGAGGAGAAGGAGGCCAAGAAGCGACGAGAGAAGGAGGAGAAGGAGGCCAAGAAGTCAGGCGACCACAGCGCCGTCGAAAAGCGCAAATCGGTGAAGGACAGCCTCGATGCGCACACAATCTCGAGGCAGGGCTCGAACCTCTCCATGAGCGATGGAGGCGTCGAATCGCCACGAGGCGGCCTCGGGTCGTCGCAATCGAGCGTGGACAAACGTAGCGCGGTCAATGGGCAGGGGGGCGGCACCCCCAAGCTGACGCGCACCAAGTCGGGCACGAGCGGGGCGCTGGGCAAGGTGCAGGCGAAGAAGGGCCGCAGGCCAGCCAAGTTCAAGGAGAAGGAATTCCAGATCATCTTGGACAACTTGCGGCAGAACAACAAGCAAGACACCGAATTGGACCTCCAGAATCACTACCTCGACAAATGGGCCGCCGAGGACCTGGCCGAGGTGCTCATGGAGAACCGAACCGTAAAGATGCTCAATTTGAGCCACAATCTCATCGGCGACGACGGTACGCCAGCCACAGCCATTTATTGCATTTTATTATTACTATTATCCTTTTTTATTTTATTTCTATATCTTTGTTATTTAATCCCTCATCATGGGCGTCCTTGTCACAGGCGTCGTGCACCTCGCCCGTATGTTGGAGAAGAACAAGACCATCCACTCGTTCGACATCTCCTTCAACGGCCTGACGCGCAAGGGCACACGGCACATGATCAACTGCCTCAACAACAACGTCTTCATCACCGAGCTCTTCATGGAGGAAGAGGTACCAAACCCTCCTCGCCTCCACCTCCTCCGAGCAGAGAAAGCAGCACCGTGTCGTGCACAAGAAAGCGCTCACCTTTCTCATCGCGTTGTGCGCGACATGACTTCAGACCATCGAGCTCGGGGCGCTGGGCCTGGGCGATGCACAGCTCGATGCCATTACTCCCGGCATGCGAGAGGAGATCGATCAAATTCTCGAGTCCAACGAGGGCTTCCAGCTGGTACCCGCCCTTTGCGTGGCACACGCACACAGTTCCTATGCATTCGAAACACACATACACGACCACTCACAACCCCTGGGCGGTGGGCGTCACACTGTGGCTGTGGCTCTCTAGTTGCTGGCGGGCAAGTCGGACCGACTGGAGCTGCCGATGCGCGAGCAGTGCTACATCAACACGCACATCATCGATCGGTTCCCGGGGCTGCGGAAGATCGATCTCTCCAAGAACCGACTGCGCGAGATCCCCAAGGAGATCGGCACGCTCAAGCGGCTCGAAGAGCTGAACCTCCAGGAGAACAACATCACCAGGATACCCGTGGAGATCGGCGAGCTGCCCAGCCTGGAGGTGCTGGACCTGTGCCGCAACTCGCTCGTCGAGATCCCGCTGGCCATCGCCAACTTGCCTCGGCTTCGAAGGTTGCTCCTGGCCGCGAACAGGCTCGACAACATTCCTCGGTAAAGGCCCTCTTACTACACGTGCGCCAGCGCTGCCGCAAGAGCCCGAAGTTGACGACGCGTGGTGTGCGTGAGCGTCTGTCAGGTTCTCGCTCGGTGGTATGCAGGCTCTCGAGTTCCTGGATATCCGCGACAACCCGCTCTCGCTGATGAGCTGCATGGGCTCGCACTTCAAGAGCATCATCAACCAAGGCGGCTACGAAACGCTCAAGTTCATCAAACTCCAGAACGAGGGCTCCGAGGAGGTCTTCCGCATGAAGCTCATGTTCGTCGGCAATGGTAACGCGCCCCTCACTCTCCTTCTCTCTCTCGCTCTGTGCGTCGGGTTCTGGCAGGCTTTGCTCACCCATTGGCCGCACTACGACAGGCAACGTGGGCAAGACCACCCTTATGGGCAATTTGGCGAAGACGACCAAGGAGGAGAAGGCCCTGGGCACCACGTCGGGCACCGTCGCGGCCGTCCAGCCGCGCGCCAGGAAGACGAACCTCGCCACCGACGGTACCCGCCACCACACATCAAACACGTTACCCCGCAACACAAAGCCCACCGGGATCTCATTAATTGGATACCATTCTCCCACACATCACAAAAATCACAAAAAACCCAGGTATCGACATCCGCATGTGGAACGTCAAGCACCCGAACCAGGACAAGTACAAGGACAAGTCGATCAACTTTTCGTGCTGGGACTTTGCTGGTCAGGTACGTTGTCCGTCGGCGCTTTCCGTTCAAGGCGGCCTAGACCGTCATTCTGCGTATCGCCACTCACCACTTTTCTCCTCTCTTTCGCGACGAGCAGGAAGTGTACTACGCCACCCATGGGTTCTTCCTTTCCACGCGTGCCATCTACCTCCTCATCTTCAACCTCCTGGAGTCGGAAGAGGAATCCCAGATCGAGTACTGGTTGCAGTCGATCGGCTCCCGGACAGGTTCGACAGGCTCCTCATCCACCCACCCATTCTCCAACCACTCTCTCTTCCTTGGCTCACTTGTCCTCCGTGTTTCTTTTGCAGAGAATGCACCTGTGATCCTGGTGGGAACGCACGCCGAGGACAAGGCCTGCACGAAGGAGTACGTGGACCACTACTTCGACTCGATCAAGCGCAAGTATGGCAACCTCTTCAAGCTCCAGATCCAGGCCCACTTCGCCATCTCCAACGAAACCCAAAAGGTGAGACTCGGCCATACAAGTTATAATCAAACATTTTCGCGGAATCTCACCTCACGACTCACCCGATGACGCAGGGATTGATGGAGCTCAAGAACAAGATCATGGACCTTGCGCTGGGGCAGCCTTACATGCCCGACACGATCCCGCTCGTCTTCCTCAGTCTGGAAGAGAAGATCGGCGGTACCGCGGCTGCCCCTCTCAGCCTCTCGCCGCGAAGTATACGTTAGTTGACCTGTCGATCCATTCTTTTACACACTCTATAGGCGCCCAACAAACGCTCAACCCGCCCCTGCTCCCGTGGTACGACTACAAGCGGATGGCGCTTGAGGCCAAGATCCCCGAGGACTCCATCACAACGGCCACCAAGTTCCTCAACGACTTGGTGCGCCAACAACCGCTTCCCATTCACGCCGCGACGCTGCGCCGTCTCCGGCAAATCGAATTCGGTGCTCAACCACACGTGTGTGCATGTTTTTTCCTCGATGGTGCAGGGTTCGCTGCTGTGGTTCAACGACAAGGAGCTGCAGGACGTCGTCATCGTCGACCCGCAGTGGATCACCAAGACCTTCGCAACCGTGGTTTCGCTCAAGTTTGGCTTCATCAAGGTGCGACACCACCGTGTCGCTGCATCCACAGTCATTGTTCTATTCACAGCAGTCACTGAACCTTGATGGGCGTCGTGTTTTTCCCCCCGTCACTCCAGGATGGAGTTCTGAACTACTCCGACCTGCCCCAGCTGTGGAAGCCGCCCACTCACCCTACCCACCTCCATTCCAAGGTATACTTTGTTTGGCCCTACTTGCGCGCCCCTATCTGCTTGATACCAACCGAGTGGGTCCTTCCTCTTCTCTGCGCACTGTGTAGCTGGTGGCCATGCTGGAGAAGTTCCAGGTCATGTGCAGACTCAACATGGATGGCAGCGACAAGATCCTCATCCCGTGTCTCCTGCCCGACCGAACGCCCGAGGAGACGCTTTTCAGTCGGCACTGGCCCGAATTCGAGAACATCCCCCAGGTATGCTGCAATTCTATTATTATTATGCTATTGTTGTTTAGTGTTATTTATTATTACGCATATTGTTATTGTTTTAGTTTGTTATTTATAATTTTAGTTCACTGATCATGTTCGATCTTCAGGCGGGGCGAGTGTACAACTTCGAGTTCGTGCCTCTGGGCTTTTTCTCTCGCCTCATCGTTCGATTCCTGGTCTCGCAATCGTTCATGCCTTTGCTCTACTGGAAGCAGGGTACCACACCCTCCCGCATCTCATACCCTCCCGCTCTCATAAGCGCCCTACTCATGATTGAATTCATTGGCTGTGCCAGGCATCGTGCTGGCGAAGGAGACGGAGCGCGTCAAGCTCAGCATCCGCAAGAATTCTCGGCACAAGACCATGCCCTGGTGCCTCGAGCTGTGGGTGCGCGGTCCCAAGCCGGCCAGGCACCTCACCCGCCTCGTGCAGAACATCGACACCCTGGTGCTCGATTGGCTGCGCGTCAAGTTCGAGGCCACCGTGCCTTGCGTCCACTGCGTCAAAGGTGCGATCAGCCCGGCGCGCTTGCACCGCAATCTCGGTACACTCGCTGACGATCGTTTCCTCTTTCGTTCCCCTCCCCGCCGTGTACAGAGCAAAGCCCCGACCCCTACCAGTTCCCGCTGCCGCTGGTCGAGCAGGCGGTCTCGGCCAACCAGAGCCACGTCAAGTGCCGCGGCATCAAGGACGTGCTGGTCTCTGCCCTGGCGCCCGACGTGGCGCTCTCGGAGTTCAACGGCGCGCGGGTCGAGTACAAGGACATCCAGGTCATCAAGCAGATCGGCGAGGGAGGCTTCGCCAAGGTCTACAAGGCCGTGTGGAACGGCGAGATCATCGCGCTCAAGCAGCTCACGCTCGACACGAGCAGCACGGTGGAGTCGCTGGGCTTCGAGTTTGAAGACGCCGTCAACCCTCTCGACGTGTTCAAGGAGTTCAGGGCCGAAGTCCTTCTCATGAGGTACACCCCCCTCTCAATGGTGCCAGCCAAGTCCCGCTGGTTTGAGCGCACGCACTCACGCACGCACGCACGCCACACGACCAACTGATCGCCTCGCTCGCTCGTTCGATTTGTGGTCTATCTCGCAGTGACATGGTGCACCCCAACATTATGGGCGTTCGCGGTCTGTGCCTGAGCCCGTTCTGCATGCTCCTCGAGTTCTGTGCGCTCGGGTCGCTCTATGACTTCATCCACGACAAGGTGCCCCTCCTCCTCTTGCAACCGTCCCAAGTGCTGCTGCAGCGTGTGTGAGGTGGTGGCCATGTCGCTCACCTCGCGCCGGTCCGTCAATCACGCCTGGGTCTCCAGGAGAAAGAGATGAACTGGGCCGTGGTGCTCAAGCTCGCCATGGACATGGCCCAGGGCATGCGCTTCATGCACAACTTCCAGCCGGCCCTCATCCACAGAGATTTGAAGAGCCCCAACGTCCTGGTACGCTTGCGGCACCCTCCCTCTCCCCCGCCCGCCTTTGCCTGGTGTTCACAACTGACCTCGGTTTCCCTGTTTTGTGTGTGGCTGTGCGCACATTAGCTGACCATCCAACAAACGGATGCCGGGTACCCCTCGCTGGTGGCCAAGGTGGCCGATTTCGGTCTCTCGCGATCACTCATGTTGGCGCCCCAACTGAGTACGTAGCAACGCCTTTTGGACTCTAAGAACAAAACGCGCTCTTTCGAAACAATGACAACGCTGACATGGTGGTGGCGGTGGTGGATGCAATTGCAGGTTCCAAGGCCGTCGACAACCCGGTGTGGCTGGCGCCGGAGTTGATGCGGAAAGAGGGCTACGACGAAAAGGTGGACGTCTACTCCTACGGTGTCATGCTGTGGGAGCTCGTGGCGCGAGAGGACTTCCTCGGCCACATCACCTTCCTCTCGGCCATCGAAGACGCCGTCCTCAACGGCGAGCGACCCAAGATCCCTGGTAAACCCCTCCTCCCCCTCCCTCCCATGTTGTTGTGTCTCACCTCTGACCGCGCGGTTCTCATCACCACCGCAGACGACGTCTTCAAGACGTGCCCGGAGTTCGCTTCGCTGATCGAGCGCTGCTGGGCGGGCACTGCGGCCGAGCGTCCGTCGTTCACCGAGGTGTGCGTGGAGCTGGACAACATGATCCACAACCGCCTCCCCGCGACCAAGGCCACGCTGCCCGTCATGGAGATCCCCACCATCACCGGTGAGCCCCACTCCGCTCCCTCCCTTTGTTTAAATGCCCACTAACCTCCGCTGATTATTCTGATGATTATTCTTATTTCCGTCTTTAGAAGCGGAAACGACGGCGGCGCCGATCGCCGAGCCGGCGCGAGTGACGCACTCGATGCCCTCGATGAAGTACCGACAGGCCGCGCGGCCGCTGGCCTCGGTGGTCACGCCACCGGCCAAGAACTCGCTGGCCGCGCTCGACAAGGGCAAGGAGCGCGAGCCGCCCCGATCCATCCAGACCATCATGCCCAACAAGGCCGGCAAAGGTGCGCTGCGCTGCCGCGGCCCAATTCCGCACTCCTCCGCCATGGCTATCGATTATCGTTGTATTGACACCGCGTCTCTCTCTCTCTCTCTCTTGCCTCAGTCGTCGACCCGCTTCGACCAGCGCTCGTGGCTGGGCAGCATGGCCTCCCGCGCGGGCCGCAGCCGACCCTGCCCTCGTCCGCGTTTGCGTCGGCGTCGACCTACAGCTCGGACATCACCTCTCGCCCGTCAGCCGTCGCCGACGCCGGCACGCCCTCGGCGGCCGCCCCCGAGTCCGAGGCCGAGGCGTACGCTCACTGCTCCTCCCTCCCCCATCCCACTGCCCCTGCCACTCCGTACTTAAAATATCACTCGCGCACAACCAGACCCGTGCGGGAGTACGAGGTGCAGGGCAGCACCTACTTCAAGTCGTTGCCGCCGGTGTCGGCCGCGATCACGACCATGGTCTTCCTGGCCGGTCGCGTGTGGACCGCCACCGCAGATGGCAAGGCCCAGATATGGGACGCTCGCGTACGGCCTCCCTCTTCCCGGCTTCGTCTCTATTCAGTGTGTCGCTGACCTCAATCGTACGCTGGCGACCGCATATTGCAAACCACACAGTCGGGCTCGCTGGTCAAGGAAATCCAAATGCACGACAAGTCCGTTACGAAGCTGCTGGTGGTGTCCAACAAGGAGGTCTGGTCGTGCGCCCTGGGCAACTACGTCAAGGTGTGGAGCAGCGAGGGCGAGTACCTGGCCGACGCGCGCACGCAGGACCAGGTCTACTGCCTCATCGAGATCCCCGGACCCAGAGGCGACACCAAGGTATGGTCCACCACCACTCGATCGCCCTTCGCGGCCGACGTTTCAAAGCTGATTTCTTTGTGTGTCTGGTCGCGTGTGTCGTGTGTGCCGTGCGTGTCGTGTGTGCGTGTGCGTTTGTGGTACAGGCTCATTCGCACGTGTGGGGTGGCACGAGGGAGATCAACAAAAAGTCGACCTCGCGACTGTTCGAGACCGGCTGCATCCATGTGTGGGACTCGGTGAACAAGAAGCTGAAGAAGACGTTCAAGCTCAGCCCGCCGCCGCAGCTGCCCGGCCTGCTGACGATGCCCGTGCCCCTCGCCATGGTCTACCACTCCAACCACGTCTGGGTGGCCTCCGACCCCATCATCCTCTGCTTCGATCCCTATGTACGCCCCCACTTCGGCCTCAAGAGCAGTCACAGGCCTCGTTGCTCGTCGAACGTTGATGACTGACGGTCGGCTGCTTGTTGTTGGTGCGGTGGCGGCGGCGGCACCACCACAGACCCAAGTGTGCAAGGGCTATCTGGACTTCAAGGGCGAGGTGAAGACCATGATCACCGTCGGCAAGGAGATCTGGTCGGGCTCGACGAACACACTCATCAAAGTCTGGAACCCGCAAGAGGTGTGTGCTCCCCCGTTTCCCTTTGCGTGAAGCGTTTCGTCGCGTGTCTGGACGCGCAGGTGCTGACCGCTGCTGCGTTGCGTTGTGTGTTGCAACACTCAGAGGGGCGGCGATTGCGTGGCTACGCTCGAGGGCCACAACGGCGAGGTGGTCAACTTTTGTACAAACGGCACGAGCGTGTGGAGCTGCGGATGGGACAAACAAATCTTCTTGTGGGACGTGCAGGTATGTGCATTCCCCTCCTCCCCTCTCAGTCTGGTCGTTAGTTGCGGGTGAATTGACTCTTCTTCTCTTCTGCTCTTTCTACGTAATGCAGGCGCACCAGTTCATGAAGAACCTGTCGCGGGAGCACCAGGACAGCATCCTGGGCCTGGTCCAGGTGCCCGTGCAGGACGTCGACATCGTCACCGGCGAGATACAGCCGCACACGTACGTGTGGAGCGGCGGAAAGGACTGTACTGTGTGCATCTGGAAGTGAGCAGAACTCCTTCCTCCTCTTCTCTCACCTTTCTCATGCATAAACCTTTTTTTGGTGTCACTCTCCACTCTCCACCTCCCTTGGCCTGTACACAAACTTTGTGAAGCAAGTCACAAAGTTGAACTGTCTTCTTTTTCAAATCTGTTCAGTTTTGCCAGGCACTCTATGGGACCGGTCTATTTTTCTTTTCTTTTCTTTTCTTTTTTTTCTTTTATCTGTTCCCACAACCTCTTGGCCAACACCGGGGACGTATTTGAGGGTGTGCTGTATGGTGCAGTGGTGGCACTCTAAGTATCGGCCCCGTTCCAGGCCTTGAGGTCCGCCAGTGCACAATTGGGGGTGTGCTGTGTTGTGGGCGCTCTAGGCGCGGCTTTTGTGCATATAACCGGTCCGCCAGCAGGACAGGCTCTGCTGCCCCAAAAAAACACGAGGGACTGTCGCGAGGGAGAGCTGGCCATGGCTATGCCTCGCTCTGGCTCGTGACTTGATGTCTGATTGGCGAGGGACAGGATCAAAAAGCCGGCGCCCGCCTCTCCATCTTATCATCACCAGCTACTCGAGCCAGGAACACCAACCACCAGCTCAGCAACAGGCTCTCTGGCCATCATCGTCATCGTCATGAAGCCAGCCCGGATCCTGGCAATCCTCTCCGTCGGCATGCTCTTCTGCGCCATGTGTGCGGTACACGCCCGCCACCAGTTCACACTCCACATGTTGTCGCTGATGCTATATGATGGCAACACCTCACGACATACTGCTCTCTTTTTTGTGCGAGCGCAGATGGCTCAGCTTCCTACGTCGCTGAATCTGACCCGCTGGGCTCAGCCGCTGCCCAAGCCGCACGTCTTCGAGCCCGTGAAGCAGACCTGCGACGGCGACCACTACGACATCACCATGGGCGTGGTCAAGCACCAGTTCCACCCGAGCCTGCCCGTCGTCGACGTACGCTCCGCCCCTGCTGCTCTCTCACCTGTCGTGTTCTGTGTCGGCGCCGTAGTAACCTGAGCGCTCACAGATCTATGGCTACGGTGGGACCTACCCGGGTGGCACGTTCGAGGCCGTCGTGAATCGTCCCGTCCACGTCACCTGGCGCAACTCGCTCCCCGAGAAGCACATCCTGCCCACCGAGCCTCTCGAGATGGAAGGAAGTACGTCGCCCACGCACACGCACATCACACGCACACCACGACATACATGACACACGCGAGCGCACCGCACGCGCACACGATATCTGATGACGGCGTGCAACGGCAGTGCATATGGAGAACCCGCCCGATTCGGCGGGAGTGGTGCATCTGCACGGCGCTCTGATCGACCCCAAGGACGACGGCTTTTCGATGGACTGGATCACCCGCGGCCAGAAGATCCAGTACCACTACACCAACGAGCAGCTGCCGCTCACCATGTGGTACCACGACCACGTCATGACTCGGACGCGCGTCAACGTCTACGCCGGCCTTGCTGGTACGCAGCTTCGATTCCCTCAGTCTTCATCGCATGTCGATCACTGCAGTGGTGTTGGGTTCAAGCGTTCGCAATCGTTCATCTCCTCCACACTCATGGCCACACACACAGGCTTCTATCTGCTGAGGGACGAAGACGAACATGAGCTGGGGCTGCCCAAGGGCCGCTACGAGATGCCGCTCATCATCCAGGATAAGATCCTGCCGTCGACCGACGGCATGGTTCGTCTGTCGACCACCGCACACGCACCACCTCACACGCACACGCGCTTACGATGACCGACACTGTGCCCTTGTACAGCCGTTCTACCCGTTCGAGTGGGGCGCGTTCGACGGCGACGTGCCGGTGGTGAACGGCAAGGCCTACCCCTACTTCGAGGTCAAGGCGCGCGCCTATCGGTTCCGTTTCCTCAACGGCTGCAACTCGCGCTTCCTCCGCCTCACCCTCCCCGACGGCCCCACCTTCTGGCAGGTCTGGACCCAGCCCCCCCTCCAACCGCCCCCCACTCCACGTTGCGCCCTCCCCCCTTCACATGCCTCACATTCCTTTCCTTTCTTTGGCAGATCGGTAGCGATGGCGGTTTCTTCAACGAGCCCGTGCGGGTGAAGCAGCTCACGATGGGACCGGCCGAGCGGGCCGATGTGATCATCGACTTCTACGGCTACGAGGGCGAGACCATCACCCTTCGCAATTCGGCCCCCGTGCCCTTCAACGGCTTGCCCGGTATGTCCTTGCCCTCCCTTCCCACCCAACACCTTCCTATGACTCATCCGCGTGTTCTGCGCCTCCTCAGGCGGCGACGCTGTCGAGGGCTTCCGTGAGGTCATGCAGTTCAGAGTGCGCCAGGACAAGGGTACTGCCCCTTCTCATCTCGCCTTGTGGCCGTTGATGGTTGTTATCGTCAATGGAGGGTGGCTGGTGGTTGATGATGGTGATGGTGGTCATGTGCTTGGTGTTGGCCTCACACGATTAAAGGGGCGAAGAGGCCCTACTGCATCCCGTCGCTGCGCGGCGTGGCCCACCTGCCGCCGCTGCCCAAGCTCGACGACCTGCCCGACGGGCTGGTGGAGAAGGTCAGGGATCTGCCCATGGAGCTGGTCCGCACCCCCAACAGCACCAGTACGCTTCCCCCCCCCATTCAGCCGAGTTTCGGATTGGCTGGGGGTTTAAAACTCACCCAATGGGTGCGTTGGTTGGTTGCTATGCAGCGGCGGCGGTTATGTTCCTCCTGAACGGGCTGCAGTTCCACGACGAGCCGACGGAGACGCCTCTGGTGGACTCGACCGAGGTGTGGAACCTGATCAACCTCACACCGCTCACGCATCCCATCCACCTCCACCTGGTCCAGTTCCGCGTGCTTCAGCGCCGCGCCTTCAACATCACCTCCTTCGTCAAGGGCGAGGAGCCTCAGTACCTCGGCGAGCCCAGGTACCGCCGCGCCCCTCCCCAGAGCGCCTCTGGCCCTCCGCTTACCACACACGCCACACACACACACACCACACCACACACAAAGACTGCCGGATCTCAACGAGCAAGGGTGGAAGGATACGGTGAGATCTAACCCTGGCGACGTAACCACCATCCTCGTCAACTTCCCTGTACGCGCCTTCTTCCTCCTCCTCTTTGCTTCGTCACTCTTGCTCTTCTCCTTTTTCTTCTCACCGTCGGCGGCCACCGCAGAAATATGTGGGGTGGTTCGTGTGGCACTGCCACATGCTGGAACACGAGGACCACGACATGATGCGCCCGCTCGTGGTGCTGCCCAGGGACGGCTCCCCGCCTCCTCCGCCCCCCGGCGGACACAACGGCCACTACACTGACGGCCACACCCATGAGGACGAGGAAGAGGACGACCATGGAGAAGACGACGGCCATGATGACGATGATGGTGATCATGAAGAAGAGGAAGAAGAGGGTCATGCCCACTAGGCCTTCTAGTGCAGGCAAAGAGTCTCAGAGACTCCCTTACGATCAATGTCGTTTTACATTACCTCTGTTGAGTATCAAAATACATTACCATTTTACTCCTTACATACTACTTCCCGCATTTCCTACAGCCAAGCCAAGCAAACCAGCACCTCCTTCATCTTGGTCACACGCCTCTCTTCCGAGTGGCCATGGCGTAGCGGACCGCATTGCGAAGTACCCGAGGCACGTCGTTGCCCTCTTCCGCTCTCCATCCACCGTCCCTGCGTGTGCGGTGCGCGCGTGAGCAAAGCCGCGCGCGCCTGCAGTTGTGTGCCTTGCGAACAACAACGACAATAACGCAGTACCTGCCACCTTGGGTCCCCTCCGGGCACGACGGAGGGAACAAATTGACCGCCAGCACCAGACCCGCACCAACCTGGCCTCCGCCAAGTTTAACTGATTAGTTGTCGTTGTGCGTGCTGCGCGACAGCTAAGCGTACATTCAACTCGGCCGCGAACAGGTTGCCGTCCTCGTAGTAGGCGAGCGCCTTCGCCGAGGGGGCCGGGAGTCCCGTGCCTGTGTGGCGAGAGTCGGCGTTGACCTTGAGCCAAAGGATTGACGCCGATGGGCGCAGAGTGGGGGCGTACCGCGGTAGCTGGCGGTGACGTTGCCCACATTCTTGAACAGCGGATGGTCTGGGCAGAGCGGCGGCCGACGAAGCGAGCTGGGCATCGACGTCTGCGCTTCGGAGAGCATGGGGTTGCAGCCCTGCAGAGGGTGGTTGAAGGAGTAGAGAGAGAGTGAGAGAGAGGGTGAGATATCAATCTTCCCCTTCGCCATGTCGCGTGTGGCATACGAACCAGTTCGTCCCATCGGCCCAGCAGCCGCTCCGTGGCCGTGGCGAAGGGGAAGATGAGCACTGCGCCGCCCCGTTCGACAAAGTCCGCCAACGCGTCGCCTGTTCGATCATCGACACCACCACCATCATCAGCGCCGCCACTGCCGCCGCCGCGATCGGTGAATGCTGTATGTACCGATGGTGGCCTGGAATTGGCTGCTCACGCCGCCGTTGGAAATGTACAGCACGGTGCTGTGGTGCGGGAGCGCACTGGCGAGCTGCTCCTTGAGCCTCGCGCTCTCTGCCGCCTTGTCGACCACGCCGCCGTTGGTACGCACCAGTGACGTCGCTAGGTAGGAAGAAGGCCCGATCGTGAGACACACCGCACACACCGCACACGCGAGTGGTACTTGCCTTCGATGCCTTCGAGTCGAAGAACGCGCTCCACGTCCTGCTCGGCTTGATCGTTGGAGTAGACGTGGTAGACGATCAGCACCCTGGACGCCCACGTGCGGTAGAGCTCCTTGTAGGACTTCTCCTCGTCTACATGAAGATGATGATGATGAGGTTGCTGCTGGTCGTCGTCGTCTGCCTGGTCCTTTTTCCCTCTCTGCGCGAGGCCGCGACCGAGCCTGAGGGCCAGGCCCGTGACCAGCACCTTACGGAAGAGGGACGAAGACCCCGCTTCCACGTCCTCTTCATCTTCCAGTGCTGCTCCTTTATTCTGGTCCTTCTCCTTCTGCTCTTTCTTGCCACCGTCTTCTTCATCCATCGGCTCAGCTCCGCTGGACGAGGTGGCCGCGCTGCTGCGTAGCGCCTGCCGGTGTGCCTCCAGCAGGGTACCAAAGTCTCGGCGACAAAGCTCCTTCCACACCTGCACCGCCAAGAGGGCCACGAACGTAAGGCCTCGGCACTATGCTGGCTGCACTGCCCCCCACCTCGTAAAATCGAATCAATGAATCAATGGAGGTGACGTACCTCATCGCTGACTTGGTGCTGGAATCGCTTGGAGGTCAGGGTCACGGACACCAGGTCCCGAGGCGACAGGTACGAGAATATGTGCGGGTACAGATCATTCAGGAGATGACCACACACTGCCAGCGTGTTGCCCATCTTGTTCTCAATCTCTTTTCAACAGCCCAATCTTGCCCTTTCTTTTCGCTTCTTTCCTCGAACAGTAATCAGCAAAGTCAACAGGTTTGTGGTCGACAGAAGAAGATGGAGGTGGAGCGCCAGTCCGCTGGTGGTCGCGAAGCATTCGTGACGCTGCTGAGCAGTCGGTCGTACTACCCGGGCGTGGTGGCGCTCGCCCGCTCGCTTCGCCAGTTCTCCGCGAGGGAGCTGCTCGTGCTCACCACCCCCGGCGACATCCCCGAGCACCAGCGCCTCGGTAAGCCTCTTCCCTCCCCCCTCCCATCTTTACCACCGCCGGCATCATATATTGCCTGACCACCACTCGTGGGTGGTGGCTGCGTCTCAGAGCTGGAGGCGGTGGGCAGCGACATTCGAGTGGTGCCCGTTGAGCGGGTGCCGCCACCAGAGGGCGCCACCCCATTCGACCCCAGTCACTTGGACTGCTTCACCAAGTTCAGGTGCGCGCCCAGCCTTGTGCTCGTGCGCGTGTTGTTGTGTCGCTGCGGGAGTGTTTGACGTGCGCCTCGGAGTGTTGCTGATGATGTTGGCCTCTGTTTGTATGTATGCAGGATGTTCGAGTTGAAGAACTACACAAAGTTTGTCTACTTGGATGCCGACATGCTCGTCGTGGGGGTACGCGCGTGTGATGGTGCCTGGTGGCACGATTCGGCCTGATCTGACGCCGGTGCATTATCATCATTCATCGTCACAGGACGTCGATGAACTCTTCTCTTATCCGTCCTTCGCAGCGGCGCCCAACTTCCAGCTGAAGAAGAGCCGCCGAGGCGAGAACCTGAGCAAGTTCTCCGACTCCAGCTTCAATGCGGGTGGGTGCGACACCACCACCACCACCACCACCACCACCACCACCACCACCACCATTCATTGCTCATCGAGAGTGAATGCAGGTCTGTTCGTGGTTGATCGCGACGAGGGGCTGCATCGACAGTTCCTCGATCACTACGCGCACTACGACAAGGCCTGGAGCTGGGTACGCCTGGGAACCCCAACGGACGGTGAGGTGAGGTGAGGTGCGGTTTGATTGAGTGCTCACACCGTACTCGATGTGTGTAGGCCGACCAAAGCCTGCTGAACGACTTCTTCAAGGGCGGCAAGTGGAACCAGGTGCCGCACTACTTCAACATGATGAAGCGGTGCTTCCTCTACCGACCAGACCTGTGGGAGGTCGACAAGATCAAGATCATCCACTACACCGGTAACCCCACCAGCCTCATCGGTGGTCACTAGTTTGGCTTCAGCTGATGAACCCGAACTCGTCGACACACGACACACACGGCACACACGCACACACGCCCACACGACACACGACACACGTCCAACTGCTTTAGGAGGCAAGCCGTGGCAGACGCCTGCCGAGTGGAAGGAGAAGGACTTTGAAGACAACACGCCCTACGAGCCGCTGTTCGCGCTCTGGCGGGACGCGCACGCCGGGCGATTCCCCTTGACCGTGCCCCAGGCGCCCACATCGAGCAGCAGTACCTCTTTCTAAGAACACCCCGCTAAGATCCCTAGGCGTAGGTGGTGGTTCTTTTCAACACAGGTGTCGCCAGAGAGTGAGCCGCTCGATGGGAGCGGTGCGCTGATCGGGGAGGGTGAGCTCGGCCATGTAGTCCATGTCGAAGCGCACCAGCCGCTTCTCCGGCGGGTTGCCCGCGTGCAGGTTCCACTCGCGGCAGATGTAACGCCCGAACCTGCGCAATGACATCTCTCGAGGTCAGCAAATGCCGACCACACGACAACACACAGAGAGAGAGAGAGAGGCGCGTACCCGAGTCGCAGCAGATCGGCCGAGTCGGGGCGCAGGTTGTCGAAGAGCTTGGACCACCGCTGGGAGGGGTAGAAGTCGGACGCGATATCCGGCTTGGCGAGCGAGATCAGGTCGCCCGTCTCGTCGCCGGTCAGGCGGAAGCCCGTGAAGAGATACCTGGTCAGGTCCACACGCGTACCGTCCTTCAGCGTTCCCGGAAACACCCACCTTTGGGGCCGACCACTCAAAGGGTTAGCAAGCGACCGCACACGCACACGCACACACACACGGTGTAGTCTGGTACCATCCGTCTTCGATGAGGGGGAAGGGCGCGAACATGCCCCAGAACTGGTCCAACCGAAGGACGCTGCCGACGATCTGCACGAGCGGCCCGTCGAAGTAGGCTCTGCCGGGTTCGAGCGCCGCGTTCCAGTTGAGAGTGAAGAGCACGAACAGGACCGCCAGGCAGTGCTGGCGCCACCCGGTGTAGTTCCTGCGCCACTTGTTCCTGCGCCACGGCACCCGCAGCGCCGGCCTCAACGCTCCACCGCTCCGTCGCTGGTGGCTGGTGGTCGGACAACAGCCCAACTGCGCCAGCAGGCGACGTAGCAGCCGCACGATCGGGGGCAGGGCAAAGAGGAGAGGTGAGCGCGCGAGGATGCAGAGCACGGCCTCGCGGCCCCGGGTGACCTCGCCCCGGTGGTTCACCGCGACCAGCCACTGCTGGCCGCGGTCCCACGACGCGCCCCGGGCGTTGGTCTGGTCCTCTACATCCCTAGGGCCGAGCTCTTCCTCGTTGACTTCACTCCCATCGGCTCGGGCTGCGGCCAGTGCCGTGTGGCCGAGGGAACACACCTTCGTCCCGGGCAGCAGGAAGAATGTGCACATGATCCGCACAAACAGCAGAGCCTGGGTTCCGGCAGGATTGATCTCCTGTTAGTGCGTGTGCGGTGGTGCGTGTGCGTGCGGTGATGCGTGTGCACGAGGGCGGTTACCTCATCTGCGTAGTAGATGCGAAGTCCGCGCCGGGCGGGGGTTTGCAGGCGGTGCATGACGTGGTCCCAGAACAGCGGAGGTAGCAGGGCGCACATGGCCGCCTGTGATGACGGGTGAGTGATCAATGAGGGATGGAGAGAAGGCTGGGTGGTCGCACCTGAGGGATCCACATGAACAGGCCCAGGGTGAGGCAGCTCCCAAAGCCCAGGTGGAGCAAGCAGAAGCCCACCACAGCCAGCAGTCTCACCAGCTCGGAGTGAACCGGAAAGACCAGAAGCATCGGACCAATCCACTACCGAGCCACGGCGTGCAAGGTGATGAGACCACCACCACCACCACCACCACCAACACCACCATCACCACCACGGGCTCGATGATCTGAGTACCTCGAAGGAGATGGTGCCCCAGGTCAAGAGTGCGGTGAGGAACGGGAACTGGCGGATGAAGAGGCCCAGGCGCGTGGCGTACACGTCCAGCGAGAGGGCGTAGTAGACGGCCTGGCCGTTCCACCAGGCCTCGCCGGTCTTGAGGAGCGCCGTGCACACGTAGAGGATCAGCACCTGGAACATGAATGCGAAGGTCCAGCCCGAGAGGAAGCGGTATCTGGGCGATGCCGCGCTAGGCGCATTTGTCTTCTTGTGGGCCTTGTCGTCGTAGGGTGGCGCTCGCGTTGGCGACTCGGGTGCGAGGTCGAGCGCCGAGTCCACCGAGAAACAAGAGCCGAGCGGAAGGAAGACTGAACACAGCAGCAACAGTCTGAAGTACTCGTCGCCCGCGTTTTGTGTCTGTTCACATGCGACCACAAAAAAGAACGAAGCGACGAGTGAAAAAAAAAAAAAGAACGAAGACTGGGTCACGGGCGAGGGAGGGGGGAGGCTGAGATAGATACCATTTGGTTGCGGTTGTGGAGGGAGGTGAGGAGAGCCCATGAGAAGAAGGAGGCCAGGCGGGTACGATAGCCGACCAGCAGGCACAGGGAGCAGGCTGCAGAGAGACACAGCATGAGGGCCTGGAAGGCGGGCGTGCCGCTGGCAAAGTGCAGGCTCACGATGTAGGCGTTCCACTGGGTCGCGTGGGCGGCCGGCCACACGCCCCAGTCCGTGAGCAGGGCGTAGACGTCGCCGTCCCGCGCACGCCAGGCCACGTCGGCGAGCAGTAGCACAGCCGATGTGACCCGCCACAGCGCCAACGAACGAACATCGAGGGCGAACGTGCACCGTACCCACTTGACCACTCCTCTTGCACTCATGAGTTTGGCTGCCCTGTGTCGCCTTCCTCTGTTTTGTTTGGTATTTTCCTTGTTAATTTCTTGTTGCGATTTCCTCCTGGCCACCAAACAAAGGGCTGGGCCACGGTAATACCAAGACTTAAACGAACATCTCTCCACCGCACGCACTTCAGTAATTAATGAGCAAGAAGCCAAGTGGTGGTTCACAATACGCCAGTGCGGAAAGCATATCAACGGTACTCGACCCCGAGAAACGCATAAAGAAAGATAAATCTCGCGCATTAGAACCCAGATTGCAGCAATCGAGTAGCAGTCACAAAGATGAGGAACATTCGCATCACGCATCCATAGACTCTGGGGAGAAGAGCGACAAGCGTCGCCTCGATCGCGAGCGCATGAATGAATTGGGCCTCGCATCGCCCAAGGCGCACAAGAAGAGAGGCACGGCGACCATCCTCCAGGCCAGCGCCCCACCGACGTCCCAGCCCTCGACACCCACCAAGAGGGACGGTGAGAAGAAGCGTAGCAGCGAAGGCAGCAAGAAGCTCTCACCCGAGTCACTCAACATGTCGCTGGGCACGGAGAGAAAGAAAAGCGATCGCAAATCACCTCGAAATCCTGAGAATCTGGAGAAGTACACCGGTGATCCCGTTCGTCCCCAAGGCGAGTTGGCGTATGTCTTCCCCCCCCCTCTATTACAAGTTAATGCACCGAGCCTTGGCCATCTAGTCTCACTTGCTTTCCCCATTCACTTCCAGGCTGTTGCTGCTGCCGCACTCCACACTCCTGCACATCTTGTCGTTCCTCACGTGTAAAGACCTCGCTGCGGCTGGTCTCGTGTCGCGTCGCTTCAACGTGCTGGCCTCTGAGAATGAGGTAACTTGCCTTCTGTTTGCTTGCATTGTGGGAGAAGAGTGCTTGCGTGCGTGCCTCCGCCGCCACCGGCTTGCCTTCTAACTGTTGTCATCACGCGGACTATAGTTGTGGAAGTGCGCCATCGCGAGAGAGTGGTCTCACAAGCGCATGCTCAAGGGCTGGGGCAAGAAACACGTCCTCTACCAGAAGAACACCAAGTCCAAGAAGATCAGCCAGCAGCTCATGGTGATCGACTACAAGCAGGAGCTCAGAAACCACATCCTCTTCAAGCGCAGCGTGGGGAAGCAGGCCAAGACCAACCGCAAGAAGGCCTCCGTGTGGAACTTCACCAAGCGCGACTGCTACCTGCTGCTCCTCGGGCTCGACCAAAGCGGCAAGACCACCATCCTCTACGACATCAAGGCCGGGCGTCACGAGCTGGTCTATAGCATCCCTACGATCGGCTACAATTCCGAGGAGGTCGAGATCCTCGATCAACCCTTCGCCATCTGGGACATCGGCGGCCTTGCCCAGGTGAGCTATCTTTCTCGTGCCCTTACCTTTTCCTCCCGCACCCTCACCGTGCTCTTCTTCTCCTCCTTCTTCGTCACTATTTGCTCGCTGACACTGTTTTGTTGGTTTGTTTGTGCGCGCCCAGATCCGGCATACGTGGTCGCACTACATGCCCAATGCCCAGGGCCTCATCTGGGTGCTCGACTCGTCCGACGGGGAGCGCATGCAGGAGGTGCGAGGCGAGCTGCACCGCGTGCTCCGCGACGAGGCCCTCCGCACGCGGAAGCTGCTCGTGCTGGCCAACAAGCAGGACGTGCCGGGCGCGTGGGACGCCAGAACGGTGGCCAAGTACCTCCAGCTCGACTTGCCCGAGTTCATGAGCGAGTGGGAGTGGTACGTGCAGCCGTGCTCGGTCATGACGGCCAGCGGCCGCGAGGCCCTGTGCGCTGGCCTCGAGTGGCTCGTGCACGACAATTCGGCCAGCGGCGGAGCGCAGGAGTCGGTCTGGCTGAAGCTCAAAACAAGCTTCGTCTAGATGAGCACAGGCGTGCTACGCATCTACGCTCTTGCCACTCCCCACCAATGTTATTTATTATATTACTCTTCCATCAAAAAAACACGAATTAGAGCGGGTGGCGATTGCATTGGTTAAAAAATGATTGTACAAAAGATGCAAGATGGCGGAGAGCGAAGCAAAAATTAGTTGAGCGCAACAGGGGTGGCGTGGAGGAAATCGAAGATGGGCTGGAGCGGCGACGAGGGAATTTCCTCGGTCTCGCCCATGGGGTGGCCGCCGCTGCAGGTAGAGGGGGGCTGGAAATCGCTAGCGGAGGTGCCGGCAGAGAAGGAGCTGTAATCGATGAGAACACCGGCGCCCGACTGCAGGAAGAAAAGCCGCACGGGGAAGTGGTTGGCGTCGTTGGTGGTGTAGATGTTGATGTTGACGAAGTTGCCCTGCGTGTAGCTCCACAGCTGCACGGATTTGCCGTTGATGGAAGCGACACCCGCGTACGAGGTGTACTTGATGAGATCGAGCGGGTCTGAGTAGGCCTGCGTGAGGCGCTCCTTCTGGCAGTAGCGGTTGTCGATGACGTAGCGAGTCGCTTGGCTGAACAGATCGAGATTTGTGAGTGCCATGCCTCCGGTGGTGCCAGACAGCTTGGCCGCCTGCAGCTGGCGATTGAAGAGAGCCTGGCCGTTCCTCCAGGTCACGTTGTGGCCCGGCAGCATTTCCACCAGCTGCGCCAATCCCGTCTTGTAGGCGTGGGGGAACTGGGGCGGGCTGGCACCCGCGACCGCGCACACCACCGCGCACAGGGCGAACACCACCAACACGCTCTTGCTGCTGATCGCCATCTTGAACAATTCGAACAACAAAGGGACACACTTGTCGGGGCCTTCTTTTTCGTCGGCGAGCTCAGACTGCTGACGTGGTGCGACGTCAGCCGAGAAGAAAGAAACAAGATCAGATGGAAACAGCAAAACGATGGACGAGGAAGCAAGTGTAGTGCCACAACACAAAGAAACTGCTGAGCCACGCCTCAACATCAAGGAGTGCTCTCTCAACAAGGAGGGTACGGACATGTGCCACATGTGCAGATTTGATTTGCCAACGCCAATCTGAGATCATGGACCCCAGCCTCATCGTTTGGCAATCAACATGCACACGTCGCTTGTTACTGCAGATGGACTGCGCCAGTACTCGCTGACGCCGCATCCCAACGCGCTGCCGCAGGATTTCCTTGATCAGCAGCGTGCCGAGTCTGCCGCCCTGCTCAACCGGGGGCTCAAGTCAAAGATCATTCGTTTCGTGTGCATCGACATACGCCTGCCCGATGGCACTCCCTACTCGCTTACACCCAAGTAAGCAAGCTTCCCCCTTCTTTCTTCGTCATGATTGCCTCCTACGTTTGGTGATGCAAACGCCACGGTGGCGTTTTGTTGTGCAGCAAGCCCATCATCAAACCGCCCTTCATGGACACAAGCATGATGGACATGAGCAAGCGTGCGATGTGGCAGGTCAGCTTGTCGCCAAACGACCCCATCCGGGTACTGTCTATCGCGTGTAGCTGCTGCTGAGCGCGAAACTCGTTGAGCTGAGCGGCGCTGACCATCAGCTGTCCGTGTGCAGGAAAAGAGCTTCCCCGCTGAAGGGATCGTGCTGCTCAAGCTCAAGAGCGACGTCTACGGTGGACAGTACGACCTTGAAGACCTGGTGCAGCAACGAGGTACCTCGTCGACAACCTCGCTCAGCTCAGCGCAGCTCAGCTCAGTTCACACCGCTGCTCTTCTTCTCGTCAATTGACATCACCCGCGTTGTTTCTCGTCAGGTGGTTCAACGTCGGGCTACTTCCTGGTGCCCATGTACTCGGACGCCGGCAGCGGGCAGGAGATGCACCCCATCTTCAATCATGTACAGATATCCGTGGACAGGCAGCCGGACGACGACCGGGGCGAAGCTTCCTTCCACGTCACCAAGGTCTCTCTCGTGTATATACCGATAGCAGAGCTGGAGGATCAGCAAGAAGGATTCGACCACCAGCCATCATCGCCGCCCATCGTCTTCCCCATCACCATCGCCTCCTTCATGGACACCGCCTCCGCCCCGCACAAGCGAAAGCTGCCCCCGTCAGCCGACGACGCCATGACCGAAGCCGACCCATCGCCACCACAAGCCCACGCGGCCGCCTTGGAAGAAGCTGGGGAATCCCCGCGAGGCTCCAACAAGCGAAGACGGGCCGACGACAACACCCTCGACACGCAGCGCCAACAACAAGACGAACGAAACTCCTCGTGATCCACCCCTTCATCAGCACGAGGCTCGCCTCTTTCTCACACAAGAAAAAAAGAAGCGAACCTCCATTCTAGCCACACGCAAGTTTTTCTTCGAGAAGGTCGTGGCCCCGGCACAAAAGAGAACAGAGCGCCCAATTCTCAGCCTTTCCACGGTAATCGCCCGTGTGGCCCAAAGGTCGGCCACTGTGGCGGTCACCTTCAGCGAACCACCAGGGGCGCTCCACGGAAAATGTGCCTATTTAGTCGGCTGAAGTGGACTCCGGACGAAGAAGTCGACGAGGCAACGTGACCGGGGCGGTGCCGCAACCACAACACACAAAAAGCCACAACAGCATCATCACCTGACGTAACAGAGGCAACCCAAGAAGCACGAAGAAAACTTGAGAACCAGACACCCAGCGACCGACGACCAGGGTCCAAACTGTTCAAGTTCAATCAACAGCACAACGCCCGACCACACACATCAAACCACCGGCACCATGTCAGAGGAGAGTTCGCCGCGACAAGACAGGAGGGCCACCTTCCAGAGGAAGCTCACTCGCATGATGTCCAGCCTCAGCGGCAACGTTGACGTCGAACTCGTGCCAAAACCGTACCCCCCCCCCAAATCCGCATCTTGCTCGCCCCCTGCCAATGCCTGACGCCGTTGTTGCTCCAAAGGGATTTGCAGATGAAACTTTACATCAAGGTGGGCCACTACGACCGAAATCTTTTGCGCAACGCCTTCAGTGTCGCTCTGAACGGTGGCAGAAGGTGCGCCTTGTGCCCTACCCTACTCCCGTCATTTCTGGGAGACCTATGATATGATATCTTATGATATATATGTGTTGTTTTTGCTTATGTTCTCGGAGTTGAGGTGAACTTGATAGTAATATTAATATTTGGCTTTATATCTCAATTATCTGCCTTTTCCTGTGTGTTCCTTCCCTCCGAGCAACCAACTCACGGCACCTTCATCATCGCCATCGTCACCTTCATTATCATCACCAGGTGGGTCACAGACCGTGTCGAGGTGTGGGAGGAGATCGACCAGCGCGTCTACGTGCGGTCCCTCGCGCGAGCCCTCCAGCAGCTGGTACAGCAAACATTTTTCTTTTTTTTTACTCATAATTTCTTTTTATTTATGTGAATTTGCGTGCCCTGGTTGCACTGCGCGCACCGGTGGCGTGTCGCGGTGTGGCGTGAGTCAACTTCGCAGTACGATCGCTGACCTCGTTTCTTCTTTGTTCTTCTTTTTCTTCGGCTTCGCAGGTCGGGGAGGAGGGCGTGCTCCGCAGGGACGACAGCGGCGACCGCCTGGACCCCGACGTTTCGCTGCAGAAGAACGGCGTTTCGGCCTCGGCCACGCTCAGGTTCGACACCACCCGACGACGGGGCCGCACGGACAGCTCGCCCAAGCCGTCCCGCTGCAGCCCCGTGACCGCCGACAAGGTCGATAGGCCTCGAGTGTCTGTCTGAGCTCAGCTTCTGCACACGTGCACAGGGCCTATGCGACCGACGAGAGAACCACCACCTGTAAATCTTCATGCTCCCTTTTCTTTCTCTCTTGTTTTATACATACACCCTATTTATTCATTATTTGTTGTAATGTTTGTTAATAAACGTTACAACGCATACGACGCCGTATGCCGCTAACACAGTCTGCACCACTCTTCTTCAAACAAAGAGTGAACGTGGAGGGTTGGTTTTTTTGAATGGTGTTGTGTGCATTTGATGTTCTGTACAGTGCAGGTCCAAAGGTGGTTGAGATACACGCTAAAGGGGAAGGTGGTGGTTACATACAATGGGAAGACTAGATAACAACAGGGAGGGTAAGAGTTGTAGCTCTCGGTGGTGGAGACGGACGATCATCGATCATCGTTGACTGTGGAGGTGGCTGGCTTCACGCATCGCGCATGTCCTGGGCCAGAGCCGCTTCGAGGAACTCGAGACTGGCGAAGGTTCCGTCCCTGTCGTCGATCGGCTCCATTCCAAACGACGACGTGGGCGTCGATGAGGCGAGCAGGCCTCCGAAGTCGGCCGGGTAGAAGTTCGACGGCGGCGGCGGTTGCTGCGGGTGGTGGTGCATCTGCACCTGCGCTCGCATGGGATCGGAGGCGACGTGCTGGCCCAGGAAGGGGGACTGGTTGGAGGCCCCACAGGGGATGCTGGTGGCGAAGCCCATGAAGTTCTCCTCGGTGATGGGGGACAGGGCGTCGGACGAGAAGGAGGAGGAGAAGGTGAAGGACGGGTTGGAGCAGCTCTGGTGCTCGGTCATGAACTGGATGAACTCGGCCGCGGGGTCGAACACATGTTGCGGCTGCTGGTGCGGGTGCAGCTGCATGTAGGGCTGGTGGCCCACCACGTTGCCGTAGAGCGCGGCGGGGGAGGATCGGTGTAGGAACTGCTGGGGGTAGTTGGGGTTGGACACGACGTGCGGCGGAGAGGCGTTCATGTAGCCGCTCATGGCCTCCTGCTGTTGCTGCTGCTGGGTGTGGTCGATGATGAACTGAGACCAGCTGCTGCTACGCGAAGGGGGCGCGAACGAGGAGGTCACGTGGTGATCGAACGCCAGCTCGGCCATGGGGCTGCTCACAGCTCGTCGACCCATCGCCCCGTTGGGGTGGCCGCTCTGGGAGGGCAGGGTGGGCGCCAGGGTGAGGCCGTTCTCGTCCGTCGAGGGGGTGACCAGGTGCTCGGACTTGATGTGTTGCTGGTGCTCGGCGGGGAGGTCGGGTTCAATCTCCTTCTCCTTGCCCTCACCACGCTCTGACTTCCTCGCCTTACGCCTCTGTTCCTTGCTGCTGCTGTTGCCCTTCTTCTTTTCCCGCCGCTCCCGTCGCTTCTTCCTGCGCAGCTTCTCCTTCTTGTTGGCCGTCTGCGCCAGCAGCTGCAGGTAGCAGTTGATGTTCGAGATGTCCAGCTGGTTGCCGTCCACCAGTACCTGGCCCAGCGAGTTCTGCATGGACAACTCTCATGTCAACAACGCACGCACGCACCACTTCTCGTCCACTCGACCAGCAATGATTGTGTGGAGGCGGAGGTGTACCTTGTTCTTGAACGGCGACTCGGCTGTTTCCAGGGGAAGAGAAGACGTCATGGCGATGTGGTGTTGGCTTCACAGTTGAATCGGCTGAGGCGGCGGCCACGAGGAGAGGTCGGAGAGGCTGGGTTGTTGTCGGTTGGACGGCGGTTTGAACGGAATGGGTCTTAGGGGAGGCAGGCACGATGGGTGATCAGGAGCGATGGGCCATCCCACACCCAAGTTTCCCCCCAGGCTGCAAGCAGAGACCAATGGGGCACCTCGAACCCTGCGGCTGATGGTGTATCTCCACCTCACGTACCAGGGTATGGGCTCTGGCCATTTCGGTGCTGGGCCTCTCTGCGGAAAAGACACAGAAATTAGTCTCTGCCCATTGGCCAGGCGTGCGGAGTGACACAAACAAGGGAAATTCCCGAGTTCTGCACGTCGGCTGGCCAACGTGCGCGGCTTCGAACCTCGTCGCGGCCGAACTGGCCGCGTGCGTTGCTTGGAAAGTCAAGCAAACCACCACGCAAGACGCTGATCGCGCGGCGAGCTGAGGTGCCCGTTTGAACGATTTCGAGCAGTTGTTTGATGGCCTTTGGACAAGCCCATTCAGGATCTCATTGTCGCTGTTGCATGACCACGGGTCAAAGTCTTCCGTTATGTGCAGCGCTTGGCGCTCACCCCAAGTTGAGAAGTGATAAATAACAAAATATTTATTTATAAGTCGTGTGGCTTTCAGGAGAGAGCAGAGAATGAAGGAGAGTACATGAAAGGGTGCGCCCCCTTCCTGTTGTTGTGCGAAAAGGGCGATTCACCACACCCAGATAATACAGGGCCAAAGCGTTCGTTCGTCATCAAGGCCTTCACCTTTTCGAGGGCTATGGTCATGCGTGTCCATTCTTCGTTCATTGTCTTCTTCTCCTTCTTCCTTGTCCACTTCCCCCGCGAGCTGGGACAGGCCTTATACCTTCTCCTTCTTCTCCTTCTTGGGCTTGGCGTCGTCTCCCTTCTTGCTGCTCTTCTTTTTCTTCTTCTCCTCCTTGTCGCCGGACTTCTCCTTCTTCTTCTTCTTCTCCTTGGAGCCCGCCTTCTCGCCGGTCTTCTCCTTCTTCTTCTTTTTCTTCGGGGCGTCCTTGGCCGCCTTGTCGCCGCTGTCCTCCTTCTCCTTCGTCTGGACGGGGATCGCCGAGAGCGAGGTCGTGGCCATGCTGTCGAGCAGCGACGTGTCCAGGTACTCCGAGTTGTCGGGCGCCGTTGGTCTGAAGAAGGGCGCGAACACTCTGTCCTGGTTCACCGGGTAGTGAAGGTTGAGGTCCTGCTTCACGCCATCCACGAGCTCCTTCAAGCCTGCGCGCCCCATCACCCCATGGTTGTTGTGGGTTAGCGACTGGCTCGCCCCGAGAGGTTTCAAGGGGAACAAGCGGGGACTTAAGGGGGCTCGCGGTACCGAGGAAAGACTTGATCTCCTGCGTTTCGTTGTTGATGACGACAAAGAGACCGCCCTTCCTGAGGATACGCTGGTGGATGATGGGATTCTTCTTGTCGTCGACCACACGACTGTTGAGCCAGAAAAAGCCGGGGCGGTGCGGGAGTGGTAAGGACGAGATGAATGAGGAAAAGGAGAAAAGAGCCGAACCTGATGGTGAAGCTCTGCGGAGCGGAACCCAGTCGGACAATGAAAGAACCCGGGGCCTTGCCCTGAATTCGTGACTTGGCGGCATTGACTTCGATGTCACCCTACGACATGCGAAAGCAGAGCGTTTAGTAAGTGTGTACAGTCAACGGAATTGAGGGACTGGAGAGGGGTCGGTACGTGGAACCAGTCACACTCGCAGATTGTCCGAAGCTGCAGAGAGGGGGAGGGGAGCAAGACAAGATGGTCGGGTGAGAAAAGAGACGTCGGGCGGAGAGGACGAGATGGAGAAGAAGGAAACCCGAGAGATGAGGTCCGGCAACGGAGCATCGGCAACAAGGGGGCCAAAGCGGCCGAGGAAATCACCGAACGTCTCGCATCTCACGATGTCGGGGTACTTGCTGCTGGTCATGTCCTTGTACTCCTCGGCTGGAAGAATGGGAAGGGAGACAGGAAGCCAGTCAATTTAACGGTTGCGAGCAAGGGGATGCAGTTTGGGTGGCAGTGCGCACTCAAGAGGGCTTTCATAGATTTGAAGCCAGGGTCTTCCAGCTTCACCGGCACATTGAGGGTCTTGCACAGACTGACGATGAACTCGGACCACGGCACAAAGAAGGGGTAGTGATGACCCATCTGTTTGTTGGTTTGGGGAGACGTCGGGCCGTCAGTGCACGCAAACAAAGTAGTGTGCATTATTGGGGGGGGGCGTACCTTGTCCTTGAGTGACTGCCACAGCTTCTGGGCGACCTCCTCCTGCAAGACCATCTCGACAAAAATGTCGTCGAGCTTCGCCAAGATCTCGGCAAAAGTGGGCCTGCCGGCAAAGAGCTGGTGAGCAAGCACGCCTCGCGGGGACCGTGCATAGCAGTATGTCAGTTTGGGGGTACCTCTGATCGGGGTAACGGCTCCAGCCCGACCTGATGAGCTCCTTGATGCCATTGGCGAGCTCGTCGGGAATGGGAGGTCGCCTGTTGTTATTCTGGAGAGGAAAGTCACAGTGAGCAACGATGTGCATCACGGAGGCAGGCGAGCAGAAAGAGGCGAAGGAAGACGCGGTCATCGTACCACGACATCGAACATGTAGCCACGCAGGTCGACGACCCCCTCGCTTGGGGAGTGACCGGTGAAGATCTCCCACAGCAGGACGGCAAAGGAGAAAACATCCGACTTCTCGGTGTTGGGGTGACCCGCAAGCACTTCCGGCGCCATCCAGAAGGGGCTGCCAACAACGCGGGACTTCTTGGGACCCGGAGGCTCCTTCACGCAGCTGTGGTTATAGAAAAGAGTGTGTGTGTGTGTATGTGTGTGAGCAGAGGCCAACACGACGTGTCCCCCCAACCAATCGCGCGGCACCACGGGGGCCAAAGGGCGAGCTTAAGGCGAGGAGCTTGTGGGTCACCTGAGGCCAAAGTCGCAGATTTGGACCCTGAAGTTGGTGTCAACCAGCACGTTGGCGGGCTTGATGTCGCGGTGAATGATCGGCGGGTCCAGGCAATGCAGCCAATAGCAACCTACAGTACCCCATACGAGCGCATTCTTCAAGTGTGAGACGTCCGAGGCGCTGATGAGGGCGAGGCGAAAGGCGGGACGAAGACGGTGTACCCTTGGCAATGTCCTTGGCGAGCTGGAACTTTTGGTGGAGCGTGAGAGGGACCTTTTCCTCGTGCAACATGCGGTCAAGGCTCTTGCCGTCCACGTATTCCATGACGAGCGCCACTTTGTCGGGCTCTGTGCAGACGCCCATGAGCAGCAAGATGCACGGATGCCTCAATTGACTGAATTACGAGAAGAGGGGGGGTCAGTCAATTCAGCCTCTAACTTTCTGTCGTTTGTGCTCAAAGGGGACAACCTTTGAATTTGTACTTCCTTCTTGAGTTCCTCAAGCTTGTCACCAGAGAGATGCTGATTGTGCAACTTCTTGATCGCCACAGTTTGGCCCCTGGTTGGATCATGTCGCATTAGTTTCACCACAAGGCAGACAAGCCCCATGTTATTGGTGCAAGTGCGACATCAGTGACTGAGATGGGGAGGGGCTCAGGCACCTGCATTTGCCCTTAAACACAGTGCCGTAGCCACCTCGAGCGATTTCGGAACCGAGTTCAATCTCAGTCGATTTGATAACAGTCTCGGAATTGGTTTCCTTAGGTAGAGGAGAGGAAGGATTTAGTGAGCGGCGCTCGGGCAAATGAATGAACATCAAGCTTGATGCTGCGATGATAGCAAAAGTACCCAAACCGCCTTGGGATCAGCAGCGCGCCCGCTTGACTTCATTCAGTAAATGCGTTTGTAGAGAGAAGATGGAGAGGGCAAGAGAATAGACGGAAGACCGATGATGATGTCGATGATGTTCAACCGCCCTATGCGCAGTTTGAAACGTCGGGGAGAAGAGAGAGGTCCTCGATGCTATGAGATGCGAAGAGGGAACGGAAGGAAACGAGGAACGGTTCGGTTGAGGCGATCGATGTGCGACCAAGCTGGCGCTTGTCAGGGTTGCTCCGCCGCAGCAAATTGGGGGGGTGGTTTGTCCCTAATAATCCGGACAATATCCTGCTTTTTACACCCAGTGGGCCAAGCTCCTCCGTTCGGGCTGTACCCTTCTTCTTTTGCTTTCTTCAGCAGCCCAGCGTTGACGTTGTGGGTGGAGACTTGGGAGGGCGACGGTGTGGTTGGCAGCTGGTCTTGTTATTTACGGCTGCGTAGAACACAAAGAATGAAACGGACACTGCGAACGGTGCCGGTGGGTGACCCACTGACTCACGCCACGGCCGCGCACTTGCTCGTGTGAAGAGGAGGGTGATAAATAAGTGTTCGAGCCGTGTTTGTCGGAGAGGGTGTGGCGTGAAAGAGTGTGTGCAGTGGTGGTGGTGTAGTGAGGGCTGTGCATGAGGAGGAGGTTTAGTTGCTGACGGCGCGCTTGGGCTTCTCCCACCTCGTCGGGGTCTGCAGCTCGAACATGCAGCCGATGGCGATGGCGAGCAGGAGGAGAAGAGTGACGGAGATGACGATGCCAGACCACACGTCAGCGGGCCAGTACTCGCCGCCGTAGGTGTGCTCAACCACCAAGTCGGCATCAATGGCACCAAGGGCCATCATCCTGGTCTGTTGGTCATCGAGAGGGCGTCAACTACCGTGCATTTGGGTGGCAGTGGTAATGATAGGCCAGAAGCGTACCGACTTCTCAGCAGCACGGAAGCTGGCATCAGCAGTGTAGCCAAGAACGAAGCTGCTGCCAGAGAGGAGCTGCTCAACCTCAGCGATCAAGGAGGCTGCACACAATCACGAAGAACGCGTTAGCTCAATGTACCCGGTGGCCTCAGATAGTGGACTGCTGTACGTACCATCACCGCTGGCGACCTGGACGACAACGACGTCGGTCTTACCGTCGGAGAGAATGGCACGGTGGTTCTTGAAATAGTTCTGCAAACATCAAGATCTCTTTTAGCCCCAGTAGGTCTGATTTTGTGAGATTAGAATCGTGATGGCGTACCAGAACGGCTTCATCGGAAGAGAGGGCCGAAAGAATGGCAGGCTGGGCCACCTTGTTGAGGATGGCATCGCTAACAGACGCGCTGGGGTAGGCATAAGGGACAACCAGCGACGATGAGGCAGAGTCGAGGAAGGTCTAGTTGAGGGAATGATGTTGAAGATGAGTGAGATTGATTCGTATCGCGGTTTTCTGATAGATCATGAGGGCACCTGAAGGAAAGAGTAAGCCTCGCGGGCGGGCTGAGCCTCCTGCTCAACGAAGATGACGACCACCTCGGGGTGCTGAGCGTTGGGGTTGACGAAACCCGACAGCACGCTCTGCGATGGATGAATAAATACGAGGGGGAGAAAATGAGGTCCTAATTCAAGATTGCACTCATTGTGCGAGTCCGGGGGCGTACCTTGGCGGCAGATCCGGAAAGAGAGGAAACAAAGTCGCCAATCTCGACCTCGGATACAGTAGTGAGGCACTGCTCTTGCTTTGAGGAGAAGTATCTGAAAAAAAAATGACGATCATTCAAAATCAATCAAATGCCGGCTTCCTCGATACTGCAGCCATGGACATTATATCCGGCGTTACCTTTCTCCCGACCAGAAGACGGCGGGGGCGGGGAAGGGGGGCAGAAGAGCAGCGTGAATATAGGCCAGGAAGAAGGCAGCAAGAACTACAAGCGTGATGGCCCTCTTCATCTTGCCTCTAAATCAAAAATCGATTTGATGATCTTCCGCAAAGCCGCGCTTCTCTTCGTTTGGTGCCAGAAGTGGACGACAACTTTTCGAGACGCTCACGGATTTATCCCAGTTCCAAAAGAACACGAAAAAGAACCGGAGGAATCAAAAAAGAAATGGTTATTTTTATTTGGATTTCCTTGTGATCGCTATCCGCCACTATCACGAAGTCAAAACGATGCAGCAGTCGCGCCGCTTCTCCTCCCTGGCCGCTCTCTCCGCAGTTCGCGGCACTACCGCCACGACATCGGGCCGCATCTCGTTCGCCCTGCGGTGCTACTCGACCGGCGACAAGAAGGTAAAACACATTTTCATTAATTACTAATGCAGCCAAATCGAATTCTGGGTGTGACTAAATGAGATCTTCATGCAGCCCGTCGGTTTTATTGGATTGGGCAACATGGGTGGCTTCATGGCACAAAACATCTTGAAGGCCGGCTACCCGCTCGTGGTGTTCGACGTCAACAAGGGTGCCGTGGAGCGCCTCACCAGCCAGGGCGCCAAGGCTGCCGCGACTCCTCGTGAAGTGGCGAGCCAGGTCCACCAGCTGGTGACCATGCTTCCTTCCTCTCCCCACGTGCAGGAGGTGTACACCTCCGAGAACGGCATCTTCAACGGCATCAAGGAGGGTTCCCTTCTCATCGACGCTTCCACTATCGAGCCCGCTGTTGCGCGCGGCGTCATTGCCAAGGCCGCTGAGCACAAGGTGACCATGGTGGACGCTCCCGTGTCCGGCGGTACGCTTACAAAGCTGCACCATTGGCGCTCTCACAGTCTCACCGAGCCTTTTTTTCCCCTTCTTAAGGCGTGGGTGGCGCCGAGAAGGGCACGCTTACCTTTATGGTTGGCGGTTCCCAGGAGGAGTTCGACCGCGCCAAGCCTCTGCTCTCGGTCATGGTATGCCGTTCCCCGTTCACATGCGACTCGTTTGATGCGTGCTCATGGTACTCGTGTTGAATCAACGCAGGGCAAGAACATTGTGCTCTGCGGTGGTGCTGGTAGCGGCCAGGCCGTAAAGATCTGCAACAATCTCGTGCTCGCCATCTCTATGATCGGTACGACCCTGTGCGGCAGAGCCAAGCAAGTGGACGTCGCTTAAGCTCATGGTTGATATCGCAGGCGTTTCTGAGGGAATGAACCTCGGCGTGAAGCTGGGTCTTGAACCGAAGATCCTTGCCGGTACTTCCCCCTTTGCGAGCCCGGTGCAACGCTTGCTGTTTGCCACCCCACTCACGCGGCCTGGCTCAACTAGGCATCTTCAACACTTCATCTGCCCGTTGCTGGTCGTCGGACACCTACAACCCTGTCCCCGGCGTGATGGAGGGCGTCCCCGCGTCGAGAGGCTACACTGGCGGCTTTGGCGTACGATGATGATGATGATGCCCTTTCGTGTACCCCTCCTCGTGGGAGCTAACATTGTGTGTTGTTAACTCCCAGGTGGACCTTATGGCCAAGGACGTGTCGCTGGCCATCAACGCTGCCCACGGCGTGAAGGCGCCCATCCCGCTCGGCGCCGTGGCCCTGCAGGTGTACAACATGATCAGCACCCAGGGCGGCGGAGGCAAGGACTTCTCGTCGGTCTTCGAGTTCTTCAACAAGGGCTCCGCTCCCAAGCAGTAGTTATGCACCTTCACTGTTGGTGGTGGTACCCTCAGGAAATGGCCCGCAACAACACATTCCCCGCTCCCCTCCTCGTGGTCCTGCCATCACGGTCTGCTCCTCCTTCCTTTTATCTGATCGCCGCCTCTACCGCGTCTGCCCTTGCTCTTGGCGGCTTCTTGGCCCTTTCTCGCCCGCGAGCGCGCGGCACTTTAGCTCGCGGAAATACGGCGTTACAGCCGCGTCGACAACAAACTCAACCATGGTAGCTCAAGGGGACTCGCTGGGCAACCAAAAAGCTGAGAATTCTGCGCGCGGAGGAGACCAAGGAGCACAACTCGAGGTAGCACAAGGACACGGCAGCTGGGGAGCGCAGCGCAAGGCAGAGAGCACGCACTGGTGTGCAGACCAGCACTGGCACACACAAAGGAAAGTACGGGCAGCCTTGATGGCATCGACGCGTTGTTCGCTGCGGCTGGGCTGGTGGTGGCGCTGGGTGGCACTGGCCTGGGCGCTCGTGGCCGTGGTGGGGGCGGTCATGGCGGCGTCGGTGTGGGTCTTTGAGAGCGAGACCCCGCCCGACCGCTGCTGGCACCTGCCCGAGTCAAGGCTGGCCGGTGCGGCCACGGGCGACTTTCTCGGGCTCAGCATCGACACGCCGCCTGGCGCCGAGGAGCGGATGGCCGAGTACGACAAGGGCACCTACCGACTCATCTACCAGTACCCGGACCGGCTGGAGACCTTCATCCGCGAGGTGATGGAGGGGGAGGCCGAGACGGAGGACGACTTAGTCGGGTGGGCGTGGACGCGGCTGGTGGACAGCCTCCAACAGACCACCAAGGTGCCCAAGGCCGTTGTCTTCTTCGTGCACGGACACGCGGGCAGCGGGCGGCAGATCAAGGAGCTCTCTGTCGTCCTCCAGACCCTGCGCCCAACGCTCACCGACGACCCCGTCCACCATAGCCAGGTCCGCAGTACCCTTTATTTATTTATTTATTTATTATTTATTTTCATACCCAATACTTATTTGTATATTTATCATAATAAAGCATAAAAAGGAGAGATAAAATCCTAAAATAAATACAAATTATACATATTATTTGAGGATTTTTTTGCACTACCCAGTGGTGCCCAAAGCTCACGGCGGCGAGGTGTTCGTGGTGGCAGCTGGCCGTGTTCGGCGTGCACTTCCGAGGGGAGCTCTCGGCACTGCAGGGCGACGTGTTGCGGCGGCAGGCGATGTACGTGAACGACTGCATCTACTACCTCCTCCACTCGCTGTATCCGGTTGCGCATGTACGTGTCCCTGCATGACCTCTTCGCTTCGTGCTTCACCTTCAGCACAAGGTGGTGATTCTCACACTCGCCTTTGGCCATGTTCAGCCGCCCAAGATCGTGGTGATCGGACATTCCATGGGCGGTGTGGTGGCCAGAGCGGCGCTGATGATGCCCAACCGCCTGCCCCACGCGATCACTGCTCTCATCACCCTGGGCGCTCCGCTCCAGATGAGGTGCACTCTCCGCTCCGCTACTCCTCTCTTCTTTCTCCCCATACCCGCGCCACGCACCTTCTTTAGGCCTAAACAACTCTTGCCACATCGCGCTGCAGTCTGTGGCCGTTTGACCCGTCTCTGAGCACTTTCTACCACGAGCTGAACACGTATCGACCAGCGCCGAATGGTACGCACCGAGCTTGCAGTCGGCCCCCTCCCCCTATTTACGACGAAGGCTTACGCCGAGCGTGGTCCAGAGTCGGTCCCCACCTTCTCCATCGCTGGCGGGCTGCGCGACCACTTGATCCGGGTACGCACCGAGCCCCGCCCGACTGGAGTGCAATGGTCACTAACTCCTCTGCGCGCACTCCAGACGGAGCTCTCAGCCTTCTACGGCATCGAACCGTCCCAAGAGGGAGAGCAGAGCGCCTTTGCGTTCACCACGGCCATTCCGGGCGTGTCGACGTCGATCGATCACGACAGCCTGCTCACCTGCGGCCAGTTCATCACGGTGCTGGGTCGTTGCATACTGCACATCGTGAACCCCAAGCCCGTCCACAACTACTCCTCCCCTCGCGAACAGACCCTCGCCGCCTTCCGACACCACTTCCTCAGGCACCTCTCTCTTTCTCCCTCTCTCCCCCCTCTCTCCTTCCTTTTCATCCTCATGCAGTGCAGTGCGCTGACAGACAGCGAACACTTTCTGTGTGTGTGGTGTGTGGTGTGTGTGTGGTGTGTGTGGTGTGTGTGCGGTGTGTGTGCGGTGTGTGGTGTGTGTGTGTGTGTGTGTGTGTGTGTGTGTGTGTGTGTGTGTGTACCAGTCCGGTGCCTCGTTTGCTGGGCTTGAAGCCGGGTGTGCTGGATTCGATAGTGGATGTGCCCCACCGAGCTGGCAACTCGACGCACAACGTCACAATGCAGGCGGATCAGCAGACGGAGACGATCGACGACCCTCGGTATTACCTCTACGAGCCCACGCTGAAGAACACAACGCAGACGCAGATACATCACCTCTCCTTGTCCACATGGTACATGCATGTGACCGCGCGCGATTTCAACCTCCAGTTTTCTCACTCGTGACCGTCGTATTGTGTAGGAGGAAACGCTACGGTCAGATGCAACTCGTGGTGGCCACCGACCTTCCTTCGCATGCGCTCACCGTCTCCTTGACCTCGGTACACGTGTGCCCACTTCATCACTTCATCGTCGTGTCAGGAGCCTACTCTAGAGTCAGTCTAGGCTGACGTCATCCTATGGATTGGGCGGACTCATTTTTCCAGAAGAATGGGACCAACAGCTCAATACCCGGCAACTGGTGGATAGAAGCGCCCATGGGGTACGCACCACGGGCCTTCGTCGGTGTCAACTCAACGCAGGAGGCTGAAGCGCCGCGATTGCTGATCGTGCCCGCAGAAACGCTCAACCGTACGTACCCCATCCTACAATCCACACTCGCCCTCGACTCTGTGTCGGACCTAATACTAAACATTGGTGCTCACGCCCATGTAAATCAGAACACGACGTTCTCGTGCTGAAAGTCTCTCCTCGCACACCCGATCCGTTGGACGTCAGCAACAACGTCACCGCAAAGCCTACCGCCGGCTCTTCATTCCTGTTCGCGCAGCTGTACAATGAATATGGTACGTACGCCCACGGACCTGCTGCGTTCTCTGGGTTCTTCTGTGATTGACGTCACTCTACCATAGCCACCCAGATACCCATCTTCGACGATGATGGCGGGCAGTTCACCGTAGAGCCGACCGGGCCGCTGCTGGTCGGCGGCAGCGTGGGCGGCTTCGCGGAGGACCAGATCCGGCCGGCCGTCACCCACTTCACACTCCCCGGCAACACGCAGCCCGTGTCTGTTTGGGTGAACCCATCGTCGTCTTCTTCGACAACCAAGGTGGGCCGACCGATGTGGGAGCCTATCATCTACCAGTATTCGACGTGCTCCTCGCTCCTCTTCGAGGAGGAGAATGTCTACGTTGACACGTCGCCGGCGGTGATTCGCAGCCACTATCGGACCATTCCACAACGTACGCGCTCAGCCTCGTCATCACCACCTTCTACGCTCTGTGTCGCAATTGTATGCATCACTGACTGTCGCTATATTATTATATTAACGCTTACATCTTGCTGCTGCGGCCAGTCTACAGAGAGTGCTCCAGTGAGGAATCGACTGTGCACCTCTTCCTTTTTACCGATCCACAGTACGAGTACCAGGTATGTCTCATCGGGGAGCTCTTTCGATATCCCATTTCGCACGCAACTGACCCACGCTTGCAATTCCTCCACTCGCTGCTCAGGTGGTGATCGAGCCGCACCTGTGGGTCACCGTGGGCCACCTGTTTTCGACGTTTGTCACACTTTCCCTCCCGGCGGCCTTCTTCGTGTTCGCCTTGGTCTTTGCCGTGCAACGTTGGACGCTCGCTCGCACTGGTGCGTGCTGCTCTTACACCCATACGGGCCTTTCTTTATACCCGCCTGCTGATGCTTAGGGAATGCCCCCACAACACACAACACACAACATGTCAGGCTCCCTTCATTCCTTCGCTTGGACGCTTCTCCGACTCGTTCCCGTGCTGCTGGCGGCGGCGCTATGCGCAAGTGCTGCGCTCTACGTCTTCGACCCGCCCGTGTTCATGCTCCACGAGTCGGCACTGGTCTTCGCCAACCTCTCCCCCTTCACGCCCTCCTTCTCCTTCCACCACGACCCAGTCACCAACCAGCGGATGCTGGCCTTCATGCCCGTCGTGGTGTTCACCTACGGAACGCTGCTCGTGCTCGCCTTCGCGATGCTTCAGGTCTGTCTCGTGCCTTGCGTGGACTTGGCCTGGTACGAGTCGCTCCCACCGTGCACACTGCTGCAGTGGAGTGGGGTGCTGACTGTGTGGCATCATGTCACAGGCGGCGGGCGGCGCAAGCGCGAGGCGCTATCAGCCGTCGCGCGGTGTGCCAGCGCGGAGCCATCCAGCGTGTGTCCGGGTGCCTGGCCCATCCGTACTTCGCGCTATTGATCAGAGTGGCAGTGTGCATTCTGTCCATCTTGGTCTGGCGGTCACAGCCCTTCTTCACAGCGATCGTGGTGGCGTTTGCTCTTACCCTGGTACGCACGCGACACGATGCAATACGACACGACACCACACTAGAACATATTCGGCTCACAAGGCTTTTAATGCAGATATGGGTCGAAGATGAAGCGCTGCGCTACTTTCGCCAGAGCCTCTCGGTTCTGCTCGCCCTGTTCTTGACCTACCACTTCGGCTGCCTGTGGTTCTCGTGGGCCGCTTCGCACCCCTTCGACGGCGCCTCGGCCTTCACTCTCCCGACCATTGCCCTGGCGCTTTACTCGCTCTGCCTTTCCGAGATGCCTCACACTCCAGCCCTTCACTACTTCCTTGCGTACGTGTTGTGTGTGTTGCGTGCGTGTGTCGCGTGTGTCGCGTGTGTCGCGTGTGTCGTGTGCCGTGTCGTTTACACCTTTGCTCATCCGTACGTGATCCACAGTGCGACTGGCGCCGGAGTGGCCGGCTATCTCTTCCTCTTCAGCTGGCACGCGGTGCACATGATCGTGTACGCAGTGATCGCGCTGAGCGTGTGCGCCCTGCTCGGCCTTGTGGCGTCGCTCCTACATCACTGGCTCGTGCTGGCTGCGCAGCTGATCAGCGGTACCGGCGATGACACCACGGCGCTGCACGGGGCCGGCAACGGCAATGACAGCGACAGCGACAGCGACGAAGACGAGAGCGATGGCAGCGTGCCGTTGTCCGTCTGGTACCGGCTCCGCCGAGCGCTGCGACGCTTCCCCCGCACGTGGAGGCGCCACTACTCGCGCACCGAGGCCTCGGCGTTTCGGCCGGAAGACCACGATGAAGGCGACAACTTGTGATCTGGAGTGGCGGGAACAGATGCCCGAATCTAGAGACCGATTCTACGCTTCTTCTCTTTCGTGCGTGTGGAAGCATCGAGGCGTAAATCACCATCATCACCACCGCCAACACCGTGCAGCAACACACGAATGCGCGTTTGGGCGCGAGTTCTCACAACCCTCTGGTTTTCGCGTGTAAACCAGAATTGGCCAATCACAACGACCCCAATTAATGTCTCTCCACGCCGGTTCTCTGTAGCTGCATGGTGTTCTCGCTGTGTTGAGGGTTGAACCACCACCGCCTGCTTCGGCCGAGGGAGTGACGACACAAGAAAGAGTGAACCGACAAAAAGACGAAGGGGGCGAGGAGGAAGGAGAGCAGGTAGAGTTGAAGGTGGTTGCAGGCAGGTGGGTTTGGGGAGAAGTGAAAACATAGAGAAAAGAGAAGGAAAGAACGACGACGTAAACCTGCTCGGGGCGAGGTCGATTGGGTCCCATCCATCTCCTTTGCCTCAGCCCGCCCTCTGTGTCGCAACGACCGCATCGATCTTTCCTCCTCATTGATACAGCCCTGCCATTACGTCGAGTGCTCTTTTAATTTCTTCGATTTCGCGCCCGCGGGCGGTTGAGGAGAGGAATGGAAGATGAGGCCACTCCCGATGGACGCACAAAAGATGATTTTCACGTCATCGAAGAAGGAGGAATCAACAATGGAGAGGATGATGGCAGTTCGGGTTCTTCCTCTGATTCTGAAGAGGACGATAATGGAAGCGACAGCGATTCTTCATCTTCCTCATCTTCCTCATCCACGAATACCTCGGACGACGAGTCTTCTTCCTCCTCCTCCTCTTCCTCCTCCTCTTCTTCATCCTCAGACTCAGACGATGACGATTCATCCACCGCGGAAGATGGAGGTGGCGACGATGGAGGCGAAGGCAATCCCTATGCCATGTCTGACCTCCTGCCCTCGTCCATGCCCGTCAAGGTGTACCCCAGCCTCAACGGCCGCGACGCCACCGTGGCCCAGCTCGAGACCCGCACGGCGCGCATGAACTGGGCCGCCCAGCTCAACGAGACCGACAGCCCTCGCGCGCCGCCGGCCGCCGCCACGCAGGCTGACCCCGCCACAGCCCCCATCGGCAGCGGCTTTCCCATGAACTGGAACGAGAGTACGTCGCGACAGCATGCTGCGTCGTTGTGGCGGTGGTGTCTGGCGTGTGGTGGCTGACGTGTTGTTTGTTTGTTTGGTTGCAACGAGCAGAGTTTCAGGCCATCCTGGACAAGGCCGAGAACACAGCGGAGGCGCGGCTGTGCAAGTACCGCGAGCTCTCCGCCCTGGCTCACGACTTTGTGCACGCCTCCAAGACCTACGGCAAGATCATTGTCCAGGAGAGCTTCCTCCCGCGCGCCTACAAGACGATCAAGCCCGGTACTCTCCTCCTTTGCCTCGATCCCCTTCTTATGACACACACCAACGGCCGTGAACTGCGCGTGCTGCCGCCGAGATCGCGTTCTTCTGACGGTTCCGGTTTTTAATTTGGCGTTTTCTGACCTATCGCATTCAAACGTTTTATTTGCCTTGTGGCTGTGTGACGTCAGCCGACCACTTGGGCGGGCAAGCCGGCGGAGAAAAGTACATCTACCACGGCATCATCTTCAAGTTCGCCACCGACTGGAAGGGTCTGTACCGCGGCGACCAATATGCCGCCAAGTCTGCCGGTATATACAGCGTGTCCCTCTCTCTTTTCCCCCTCTTCGGCACCTCTGTTCTGCCTTCGCCCTTACCATCTACTCCGCGCAATGGGATGTGCCGATAGGTCACGAGTTGAAGAGTCTCATGCGATTTTATGGCCTGGTGCCGGGGCTGCGCATTCCGCTCATGTCGCTCATCGACTATCGCGGCTTCCGTCTGGTGGCCATGAGCATCCTTCCCATCGGTACCTTTTCCCCGCACTTGGCCGCTCCACTCCACTGCGCTGTATTGTATATCGATAGATCCTAACCCACGTGCGTGCAGAGAACGACACATTGGTCTATGGTTCCAACGACTACGGGCAGCATGTGTGGGCCATGAACGAACGTTTCAACAAGATCATGGCTGTCGCTGGCCGCAAACTGAAACTCAAGGGTGCGTGCCTACTCCGTCTGTTAGCGTGGCTGATCATTTGCAATCCACTCACGACCTATTCGCCATAATTCAGGGCACGTGGCCGGCTTCCCTGAAGAAGCGTACAAACAAGAGTTTATTTATGGTCCTGCCGACATTGAGGGTGCGTCTATTGTTTGTTTTCTATATTGAGTAGATAGAGGTTTTTTTTCAATTTATTTATATTTAAATGTTTATCACAGGGCACATCGGCAAGGACGGGCGTAACTACGTCATCGATCTGGCGCGCGTGTGCCCGCCCGTGGCCAAGCACGTGACCTACACAGTGACCGACCGGGAGTACACCGAGGTCATGATGGCCGGCGTGAACACCTCCGGCAGCTGCAAAAAGGCCAAGAAGGCGCGGCGGAAGGACTTCAAGCCTCCACCACCGCTGCCCGTCCACCTCTACCGCCTCTTCCGTCCCGAATTCCTCGCCAGGTTCTCGAGACCTCCCCCACCCACATCTTCTCATTCATCTTCAACCACCCTCTCGCCCAATGTCTGACCCTCCTTCTCCTATGTGCGTACAGCTACGGACGCCCGCTGTCTTCCGATGCGTTCAGCGGCTTCGGCGGCCACGACTCGGCGATCCACAACCGCGAAATCGAAGAAGCCACGATCCATCTGGAAAGCGTGGTCGTCACCAAGTTTTCGGCCTGGCTGGAGGACAACGAGCCCGGCACCACCTCCGACGATCACTCCCTCAGTCAGCTCATGCACCGCAACGGTACCGTCGTCAACACCACTCACCCGAGGGTTCCTCCAAGCTTTGGTGCACCAGCTCTCTCTCACACTGACGGCCTTCTTCGTTTAGGCATCAACGTTCGTTATCTGGGTGTGCTGTATCACCTCGCGAAGCGCTCCATGGTGAAGAAAGCCATCTTCAGAGAGATATGTGTCCGCGTGATCAAGAATGCGCTGCGTGAGCGGCTGCGACAAGTATCATCCCCCTCTTCGTTTGCTTTCCCTCAACTGTGTCACTCCGCTTGTTAACACAAGACCTTTCCACGCTGTCTCTGCGCAGAAAATGCGAACACTCGGGGCCACGATAGCCGAGGAACCCTATCGGGTGCTGGTGATGGAGTTCTTGAACATGGTGCTCGGCCGAGTCGAAGGCCCGCCCAGCAAGGAGGAGACTTCGGCCCACTTCTGGCACGTTGAGCTCAAGCAGTCCATTCTCAAGGACTTCATGGTACACTCCCCTTCGCCCCCCCCCACCACACAGCAGATTAATATATATATATATATATATAAATTCGCTCACATGCCATGACGTGCGCAGTGGTTGGAGGGCAGGTCCTACGCAGCTAAGCACGTGCCGACCGCCGCGGCCGCGAGCGAGGGAGACGACCCCACGGTGCTGTTCCTGATGCTCCTGCAGCACGCGCGCGAGGTGTGCCAGCTGTTCGGGCGAATGAAGCAGCTCTGCGGCTTCGATATCACCGAGCGCGCCCAGACCGAGCTCCACCGCAAGGGTGCCGCCTTCGAGTTGGTACGTGTAGCTTCTCTCTCTCTCTTCCCCTCGCGGTCACCCGAGCTCAACGCGTGCTTGTGCAGGTCTACCCGGATATCAAGAAGGTGAGCGTGCGGGTGCGCAACATGAACATGATCCTCCTCGCCGAGGCATCGACTCTGCACCTTCAGTCTGTACAGCAGTGGTCCAGGGAGCAGGGTACTTGATCCCCCTTTCGGCTTTACAATTGCGGTTTTGCTGACGTGGGGCTGTTCCCTGGCCTCGCGTGCGCAGGCGGCTCGATGCAAATCGAAGTGAAGATGGGCGTGGGAAGCTTCATCAAGGACCCCAAGGGCCGATATACTGGGGGCAAGGCCGAGAGGCTCTTCCAGCTGGCCATGACCAAATACGAAAAGGTGCCCTCTTGTGTTTCTTCTTCTTTTTCTCAAAGTCGTCATTCTTATTTCGTTTTTCTTTTACAGGCGATCGAAGCCACGCCGGACAACGTCGAGATCATGAAGCGTTACGGAGACGCCCTCATCACCCAGGCCCAGCTCACCGGACCCAACCTGGTGGCCCACGGCCTGTGCGAAATGGGTACGCATGCCACACATTCCACCGCGCCCAACGGGTCCTTGCGACTCAATAGACTGACTTTGCCACCCTTCTCCCCCTCCCCCGCCCAGCGCTGCGCATGTACAGACTGGCCATGGACGACTCGGCCGAGCAGGAGGGAGCACAGAGGGAAGCGATCCAGCGCGAAAAGGAGGCCAAGGAGGTGCACGACGACAGTGCAGCCGCGGCCTCGGACAAGAACCGCCGGTTCTCGCGCTGCACGACTTCTGACCTCCTGCGATCGCTCGACGAGGAGGACAAGCGCACGCGCGGCCTGGGCAACGAGGACGACGAGCAGACCGAAGCCGCCGCCGCCGCCCAGACCGAGCGGGACCAGATCAAGGACGACGCGTGGAAGTACAATGGCCTGATCGAGCTCACGGCCTGGCTGGAGCGAACCATGAGCGAGCGCCGGGCGAGTCGCTTCGGCAACCGTCAGCTGCGGCTCAAGTTCATCGCCATCCTGCGCGAGTGCTACGGGCTGCTCACCAAGACGGTGTGCAAGAACGACGAGAACGAGCACATGGTGTGGCTCAAGTGGGGCCTCCTGCTGCTCGAGGAGGCCCGGCAGCTCAAGCGCAAGGAGGACTTCATGAAGCTCGACTACACTGCCAAGCGCGACGCCGCGCAGGAGACCTCCACCTCCCTCTACGCCAAGAGCGGCAGCTACTTCCGACGCGCGCTTATCGCCGCCCGCCGGCGCAAGTGGAAGAAGGAGAGCGAGCTGGCCCGGGCCAGGCGCAGCATGAACTCCTCCTTTGGCCATGCCGGCCCCGGGCGCGCCTCGGGCCAGCCCGCCAAGCGCGGGCTCTCGCTGGCGTTCGACCGGGGACGAAGGGGCAGCACCAGCAGCGCCGGCAGCGGCAGGGACTCGGAGGACGACGAGGACGACGAGCTGGCCGCCATCCACCGCGCCTATGGCCCGGTGCTTGGGTGGATGGAAAACGGGCTCCTCCTGGACGACCACGAGCTCGCGCAGATCATGGAGCTCAAGCAGAAGAGCCCCACTCTCGAGGAGATTCACTCCGAGTACGTGTGTGGTGGGGTGCGTGTGGTGCGTGTGGCGAGGGTGAAGTCTGACGCACAGATGCGGTGGTGCAGGTGGTGCGGTACACCGTTGACGGATCGTGTGCTTTCGATCCTGCTGCGATTGGCCAATGTCAAGACCCTGCATCTGGTCAACTGCGACCGTATCACGGACATGCCGTTCACGTCGTCCATGATCCAAAAGCTGAAGACGCTCCAGCACAGCGGCGAACGTGAGCGCGTTGTCGAGACCCGACTCGCGGCCGAGGCCCAGCGACGCGGTTGCGTCACCGAGCGAACCCGTGCCGGCACCGATGGCGAGCTGCGGCCGCGCAGCCTCAACCACGACCGAGGGCGCCGCACCACCGAGATCAGCACGTCGGCGCCTTTGATCGCCCACCTCATCACCACCACCGGGGGTAGTACCGACGATGAGAGCGAGCCCGCCAAGTCGCTGTCGGCCTCCATGCGGCCCACGCGCACCGTGCGCAACATATTCAAGCACGACAAGCGGCCGTCGCTGGCCAGCGACGCCAAGCCCGCCAAGCCGTCGGCCGACGACGACCCATCGAAGCCCAAGAGCCCGCGCGGTAACGAGACTCCGCGCACCGACAAGGGCGACTTCAAGGAGGCCCGCGAGGCCAACAAGATCCGGCGCGAGGGCTCGGGCAAGATCATCCGCCGATCCGACGAGCGGCAACAACACAAGGAACGAGCAGAGCAGCACGACGAGGCGGCCTCGCTGCTGCTGACCCCCACCACCGCGACGCAGAGGGAAGAGCGCAAGCGGCACCGCCGGAGTCGGAGCTTCAACGACCTCGGCGACATCTCGCTGCTCCACAAGCTGCTGGCCGCGCGTGAGGGCGGGAGCCCCGCGGCCTCACCGCCGACGGGCAGCGAGACCGCCCGGCCGGCCCCGCGGTCGCCCACCCTGCGGCCCTCCATCCCGCGCCTCACGCTGCCCATGCTCGGCAGCAGCAGCAGCAGTAGCAGCAGCAGCGGCAACCAGCCCAAGCCCGAACCAGTCCCAGCCGCCGCGACGCCGTCATCAGGGGAGCCCGCGGTGCCGAGCCCACGACAGATGGGCGCCTGCCCGGCGCCCATCACGGCCCTGCCGGCGCGGCTCATTCCCAAGACCGTGTCAGGCACCTTCACCCCGGTGTCGACGTCGCCGCTGCTGCCGCGCAAGTCGATGGACGTGAGCGCCGAGACGCGCATCTCGTTCACGTTTGAGGACACTGCGCTCAGTTCGTCGTCGCCGCTCATCGAGACGCGGTCGAACCGCGTCGGCCGTAAGCGCAGCACTACCATGAGCGGACCCTCGCCGCCGCCCTCGCCATCGCGCCGAAACAGCGACTCCACGCCCGTCCACAACAGCTTAGATGCCGAGAATCCACCACCGCTCGGCCGCTCGCCCTCTTTCGAGTTCAAGTTCGACGACCCCTCCACTGGTACGCTTAGTTAAGCCCCTTTCGGTCTTACTGTGTGTGTCGTGTCGTGTGCGCGTGGCGTACGCACACCACTCGCTCACAACGCGTTGCTTGTCAATCGAATGTAGGATTGCCGTCATCTACGGCCTCGCTCACCATTCTGCACATCGAGAACTGCCCCAACATCTCGGACGTGATCATTCGTCGCTGTACGTGTTTGTCTGTGCGCGTCAATCCCCCGCACCTCTCCGGTGTTGCTGACGTCAGCCCGTCTTTCGTTGCTGTTGTTGTGTCGTTCGTTCCCGCTGCAGGGGTGGAGGCTTGCACGGGCCTGCGCGTGCTCAACCTGACCAAGACGCAAATCTTCTCGGAGCCCGTGGTGGTGGTCCAGCCGCAGCCCGGCCCCGTCTCCTACGCGTCGGCACGGCATCTGCGAACGAAGCTGCCCTTCGGCCAGGACAAGAGCCCGTCGCTCGCGTCGCAGCCGTCGTCCCTCGCCGTCGCCCTGGCCCTCGCCTCCCCCGGCCCCGCCGCCGCCGGGTCGTCTGCCGTGTCAGCCTCGCCCCCGGCCTCGCCCAAGTCCCCGCGCGACGGCCTCTCGCCCAGCACGTCGCCCCCGCCGTCGCCCTCGTCGTCGCCCTCGCCCTCGGGCATCGGCGGCCAGGTCGACCTGCAGCGCCCGACCAGCAGCCACAGCAGCGTGTCGTCGGCCATCACGTCCATGCTCTCGCCCCGCTTCGGCAACCGCGGCGGCGGCGGGGGTGGTGGAAGTGGTGGCGGGGCCGGCGACCGCGCGGCCCAGCAGCAGGCCACGTTCCTGCGGGGCACCGCGCTGCTCTCGTTCGCGCCCAACTTCGCGCACCTCACGGAGCTCAACCTGTCCTACAGCCACCACATCGGCGACGAGAACAAGCTGCTGTTCATCAACCTCGGCAAGAAGCTCATCCACCTGCGCACCCTGGACCTCTCGTGGAGCCGCATCACCGACATCAACCTCAAGCACCTCCTGCGCTCGTGCCTGGGCGACGAGGGCTCCGGGTCGCGCGACAGCATTGACAGCACACCGAGCGGCGGCGGCCTGCTGGGGCCCAGCCGCAGCAAGGAGGGCAGCGAGCTGAGCTCGACCTCGACCCCCTCCGCCGGCACCGGCGCCTCAGTCTCCGCCTCGTCGTCGTCGTCGTCGTTGGGCCTCCTTGTGCGGGCCGAGGGCTCAGTTGGCGACGAGAGCGACGGCGGCCAGGCCGACTCGGAGGACAGCGAGGACAGCAAGGACAGCAATAACAGCAGCTCGCTCAACCGAAGCAAGATCCGCAAGCGCGTGCGGGCCAAGCTCAAGACCAGCAACGGCGACTACTACGGCAAGCAGCAGTCGCTGGTTGGGGCTGCTGACCTGCGCGGCGAGTCGCTGGTCGAGCGCGAGCGGCGGGGCAGCAAGGAGTCGATCGACCGCGGCACCGCGCGGGAGGGCAGCCTCACGTACCTCAACCTCACGCGCTGCCTGCGGCTCACCGAGAAGGCCATCAAGCACATCACCAAGCGCGGCGTCAGCCTCCAGACCCTCGTGCTCAGCGGCGCCAGCGACTGCGTCACCGACCGGTACCATCATTCCTCGTGCATTCCTCACCACATTCCTTGCACATTCCTTACAGCTGACGTGGCAGGTCGCTGGAGTGGATCGGGGACTCGCTGTCGAATCTGACCAAGCTCGACATCAGCAACTGCCACGAGGTGTCGACGGTGGCGCCGCTGATCATCAACCGGCGGCGCAGCGTGGTGGTGGACGGCGTGGGCCGCGACGTGTCGAAGAAGGAGAACGAGCGCAAGCGGGGCCTCAAGAAGCAGGAGCGGAAGGAGGAGAAGGAGCGCGAGAAGGAGGAGAAGCGCGAAAAGAAGCGCGAGAAGGAGGAGGAGAAGGAGGAGAAGAAGCGGAAGAAGCGCATGTTCATCAAGCGCCGCGCCGACAAGAAGCGCGACAACAACAGCAAGGAGAGTGGCAAGCCCGAGGGCGTGGAGCAACAACTGATGAGCGACAACTCGACCGACATCGACACCGTGCTCGAGCGCGAGGTGGTGCGGGTGAGCATCGGCAGCGGCGGCGGTGACGAGAAGGACGCGGAGAAGGTCAAGGAGAAGGTCAAAGAGGTGAAGATCAAGGAAAAGGAAAAAGAGAAAGAGAAGGAGCGGGAAAAGGAGAGGGAAAAGGAGAGGGAGACGGTGGCGATGCTCGAGGAGGCGTTGACGCCGTCGTTCGGCTGCCCGAAGCTGGTCGATCTCAACCTCTTCGCCTGCAACAAGCTCACCGGGAAGGGCGAAGAAATCGCACGAGTCGCCAAGTCCAGGTCGGGCCTGCAGTCGATATCGCTGTACCAGACCGACCACACGGACAAGGTCATTCGTTCGTTCGCCAAGAACTGCCCCTCGCTCCGCTTCATTCGAGTCTCCCATTGCGATGACATCAGTACGTTACACACACGACACACACACACACACACACACACACACGGCGCACACACAACACACACGTGGCGAATGCTGATGTGCGGAGCCTTCGCTTTATGCAGGTGATGTGGCGATCAACGCGCTGGCGCTTAATTGCACCGAGCTGGAGAGCTTCATTCTGCTTTCGTGTCCCGCCGTCACGGCGTCGTCCATCCACTCGCTGGCCGTGACCTGCACCGCGCTCAAGCATCTGTGCCTCAACGCCAACAACAACATCAACGACTACGTGCTCCAGACCATCTGCTGGAACTGCCGGTAAGCGTGCGGTTGTGTGTGTGTGTGTGTGTGGTGTGTGTGTGTGTGTGTGTGTGTGTGTGTGTGTGTGTGTGTGTGTGTGTGCACTGCTGACGCAGGGGTGCGTGTCGCTGCAGGTCACTGGAGCATCTGTCGTTGTGGAAGAACGAGCGAATCAGCGACGATGCGTTCGATTTCACCGAGCGAGAGGAGGAGGAGAAGCAGAAGCGGCGGATGGAGGAGAAGCGCGAGAAGGACCTCGAGCGTGAGATCGCCGACCTGTCCCTGCAGCAGCAGCGCAAGGTCAAGAAGCAGCAGCAGCGATCCGACGCCGCCAAGAAGCGAGTTGCGGCGGCGGCGGCGGACGACGACGAGGAAGAGATGGGCGCGGAGAAGGACGGCGACGGTGCCGAGCTGCAGCTCGAGGACGCTGTGTCGGTCGATCCCAAGGCCGTCGAGCGCAAGAACCGGCGCGCCTTGCGGAAGGAGAAGAGTCGGATCATGCTCGTGCGCAGCTCGTCCACGCTGCTCTACCAGATCATGCGCGAGGGCGCCATCACTCTCCAGCACACCCAGCAGCAGCAGCAGCAGCAGCAACTATCGGCGTCGTCGTCAACTTCACCGTCATCACAGTCGCAGCAGGCGGACGAGTCGAAGGAGGTGGCGAAGAGTCCCTCGCACTCGCCCGTGTCGCCGAGGGCGAACAGCGGCAGCAAGGTGGTGAGCGGCAAGAGCAAGTCCGAGAACACGAGCCCCGGCAAGGGGACGAAGGTGGCGATCAAGAAGAAGGACAAGAAGCGGCGCAAGGCCGGCATCGCGGCGTCGGCCGGCATGGTGGAGACGCGGACGCACTACCAGGACAACGAGTCGCCGCCGCGGCTCCGCCTGTCCTCCTTCTCGGCCGAGACCCTGCCCACCCTCCAGGTGGCCTCCTCGCCTGAGCCCGAAACGCCCATGCCCTCCGTCGCCTCCACGCCGACCGCCGCGGCCGCCGTACGACCAGTCCTGCCCCCGGCCCTCTACAACCTCAAGAGCCTCTGCCTCAAGAACTGTCCTAAGGTCCGCACACGCCCACATGACCGCACACGCGCCACCGCACACGCACACGCACCACCGCACGCGCACGAATTGGTGGAAGGCTAACCTTTCCACATTCGCTGATGTGTGACATACACGCAGATCACGGACCGGACGCTGGACATGCTGTGGCAGCGATGCCCCCACTTGCAGCGGCTGAACGTGACGCACTGCCCGCTCCTGTCCAACCAGAAGCTGATGTGGCTGCAGGAGGTCTACGTCCACATCGACATCGTGTGCAACGACCGCAGTCAGCTCAAGGGCGTGCGAGGCAGCGGCGGTCCCTGGAACTTCCAGGGCTTCTCCTACTAGTGGCTCACACTCTCTACTCTCTACTCTATCCTTCACTCCGTCTTCGTTCTATTCTCCCACCACCCGTTCCATTTTTGTGGCGAGGCCGGAGCGCTCTGTGTAATGTACACCCAACTCTCTCTCCATCGCTGCCTTTGTTTGGATCTTTTCGCAGGAAGGCGGTCACTCACCCGCTCACTTCACAACTCGAACTCAACTCTTTGAGAGCCATTGCCGCTGGAGTACCTTCCCCCCCCATTTGATAAACGGAATTGCTCCGTCACAGCGCAAGATGTCGAGGATGCCATGGTACACGAGCCGGGTCAAGATGGCGAGAAGGGTGGGAGGCAACACATTAGTCACCCAAGTTGCATCCGTCGGGGCGCTTTCCTACAAGCACAAGACCATGACGGAAAGTGGTTCAGCCTCCTCTCCACATGATTTCCCTGCGCACTCGGGTGGGTATTGAATGTTGCCTTTGGTCTCCACGATGAAAGCGGCCACTGCTCCTGCTTGGGCGGTGGATATGGAGGCAGGCTCGGGGCCTGGATCGACTGAAGTTTGACAGGTTGTGGGCTAGGTAATCCGATGGTTGTCTCTGCCAGGATGTCGAACATCAACACATCTTTCTGGATCGGAGCCCCTTGAGCAGGTCGTCAGCGAGGAGGGATGCACTCTACACTCTCACCGAGGCGGAATGCGAAACGCTGCTCAACTCTTACGGCCTGTCGGCAGGCCCTGACGAAAGGCACCCTCTCAAGAGAGTAAGCGGAGCTGTATTATGACAGAGAACATGAGCCGACAATGGCGATTCTCTCTTTGATGCTCGCTCGCTTCGTCTCCTGCCTGTTCGCGAGGCTCAGAGAAGGGTCATGTGCCTTCGCGCTGACGAAGAGCTCTTGGCCGAACTTTTCAGCGCGACATCGCCGATGCGCACCAGGTTCGTTGTTGTCGTCTTGCGGTTGGTGAAGCGGGTCGAGCTTGGGCCAGCCGTTGGTTTGAAGGGTTGGCCCTTGCGCTCGGGAGCCGTCGGGGCGTCGTCCCGGTTCGCGAGGACAAGGCGGCCAACGAACTCGTGGAACTGGCTTGTGTGATCGAGCGGGTTGTAGTCGCACACGGCCACCTTTTACGTCGTACATAATTCGCATTAGGAGAGTAAAGATAGAGGGGGGCAGACGATTGGCCGCGCGAGGGTACCTTGTTGAGATGCTGATCCATCTCTGTGAGCATCTTCTGTTGTACTGACTCGGCTTGCGAAAGGGTTCTGGCGGGGGGCGGCAGGTACTGCTCTCGCGTCATGACGCTCTGGTGGGCACTTTTAGCTGGGGAACGAGAGCATTTCTCTGCTGGGCAAGGAGGGTCGGTACCCGCAGGAGAAACGACGGATCAGCGCTGAGCTGGTTGGGCAGCAGAATGAACAAACTGAGGAGTGGCGACATAGCATGCGGGTAGCCTCGAGCCTTGAGCAGCAGGCCTTGATTCTGCGAAGGAGAATGCATAAGTGATAAGTCGAGAGGAGTAATAACAAACAAGCAGTGAGACTTGGACCTTGGTTAGCAGAAGGCGCCACAACGCTACGAACTGCTGGCTGTTCACCTTGATCGTCTCCCACTCTAATTCGGCATCGCTGGACGGTGTCACGATAGAAGGCTGGGTAGGTGGGGGCGAAGATATAAGTGTCTTAAGTAGGGCCAAAGCGAATAAGAATCGGGGGCGTACTTCTCCGTAGAGCAGGCTTTCGCTCAATGTCTGAAGTTCGACTCGCTTGACCACCATTAGTAGGGTGCCGCCGGACAAGAGCTGTGCATGGTCTTCGGTCCTGGCTCTGAAGACGGAATCGCCCAGCGCATAGGTTTGGATGACCTCGGCTTTACCGAGAGGTGCCTTCTTATGGTGGCACAGATGCATCATCTCGGCGGGTGCCTTGCAGCACGAGCAGATCTGATGCACCCGGAAGTGTCGATGAGCCAAGTGAACCTACTTCAAGCGGACGTAGAGCAAAAGCTGGAGGAGTACCTGAGCTTGAGCTAATCTCGCATCGAGCATGGCTCGATGAACTTCACATCGAAGCTGCGTATCATCGCTTGAGGGAGCGCAACTGTCCTTCTCGCTTGAAGGAAACCAAAGCGTCGCCGTGGTCCGGCGCGGCGTTGCCCAGCACTTGAACATCTTGCGCATAGCGAACTCCTCTGTGCGCGCACTGAGTCAAAAGCCTCCCTCACAACCACTCGATAGGGGTACCATTATCGGTGCGAGTGATGCTACAGTTTGGCCAGCTTCGAAGGAAGAGAGCCTGTGTTGCAGTCGCTGTGAGCAACAAAGATCTTGCGACACAGCACCCATGCGCTGCGTACCAGTTCGGCGAGCTCGTTGTTCGTGCGGACAACGCCTTCCTCGCTGTGGTGTAGGTCTTCCTGTTCGAAAGAAGACATACACACGAACTCCACGGGTGTATCATCCTCTGCGAGCACCTGGCGCATACCTGCAGCTTAGCTAGAGTGCGTACGATTGTCCAGCTCGTCCAGTTTAAGTAGGCGCGCACCTTGAGAACCTCTTCAAAACGCTGCGAGACAGCCGGGCAGCCCCGGGTGATGTATGAAATCTTGACCTCCAACGCGCGTAGCGCTTTAGGGGTCTTCTTGAGTTGCTGCTCGATGTGTCAAGCTTGTAAGTCACAAAGTCAAGTGCGTAGGCATATGCATAGCATATCCACGTACCTGCATGTAGTGGGAAGCCAGCTCCAAGGCATCATCTGGTCGGGCAAAGGGCAAACGTTAGTGAAAGGGCGCCACAGGGCAGGAGCATTGGAGAAGTACCTCCGCTGCGTGGGGGCGTGTCAGCTACCGAACCGGGTCGTGCGCTCAGCTTCAACTTGGCCAAAGCCTCGATGGCTTGGCGGCAGACCGCCAGCTTGAACTTTTGTGGCTTGAGTAGCGCCTGCACAGCGCGGGTTATTGATGAGGGTGGTGCCGCATAAGTCATTACGTATGTTGTCGTACCTGAGCAGGCTCATCCCTAGATGTGGCGACAATGAGGGATAGGAAGTAGGCTGATGACGAGGGTGTACTGTCATGTGTTGCAGCAATGTAGTGCGCCAGCTCGCGCAGGCATCGGACGGTGCTGTCCCTGAAGGCTTGCATTGATTCTAGAGCCAGACCTTGCTCGTCTTCGTCTACCACCAGGTCAAGCACGACGAAGCGGACCTGCTTCATGTTGCTCCTACACGCGACACAAGAGAAAACCGAATAAAAAGAAATATTTCTTGTCGGAAATGGTGTCGACATAAGAGGATTGATGAAGATGGGGAGCAAGAAGGCGATGGATAGATTACTGCCGATTTACGGGGGCGGAAGCGTACCACGCGTTTTTCAACAAGCGGAAAGCATGCAGGGAGTGTTTGTCCGTGACGCTTTGTATGGCGTGGGCGACAACACTACGGCGAAGCAGCTGCGTAAGGCATTCGATGCGCAGGCCTTTGCCTGGTTTGCGGGCACCTACCACAACTTCCTCGCCATCTACTCCTCCTCATCGCGGCACCTCGAACGCCGAGCTGCTGCCCATATTGACAATCTCAGAAATCGCCGTTCACAACCGGTACCCTTCTTCCCTCCGTTCTACTTTCTTCGTTCCCTTCCAATCGGCCATGGTATGCCAGGGGTGGCGTGAGCTGTACATTGAACACAAGCGGCTGCTTCAAGACCGTGCATGGCAGCTGGACCGGCTGATGCTGGCCATCGACGCTGACGGGAGACGTGCGCTGGACGTGGCCCGGAGTCCTGATCAGGCCGAGGGTTCTCCGATGGCTCGAGTTGTAAAGGACGCCCTTCGGCGAGCAAGTGTTGGTACGCCCAGGCAGCTGGCCCCACTCTCTATTCCAGGCTGTAGAGCGAGTGGCTTACACTACTTCCGCAAAGACAGGCCCGATGAAACCTTCGATGGAGTGTTGTTAGGGTCACACACGTACATGACGCTGAAGAGTGCGGCGCAGTATGAGATCAAAGGCGTCCCCATCGCGCAACTTAACAATCAGCCGCTCAAGGTCAGATACAATGTGTTCCCGCCCACGAGGTACGTTTATCTTCAAAGGCTACATTCGTTCATGTCTCACCCTGCTCATCATGTCCCCACAGGAAAGACTACTTGTCCTTGTTTGCCAATGCACTGCAGAAGGGCAGCCCCCACTACCTTGCGCCTGGTGAAATGCGGCATTGCCTCGAGGTCGGCACGGGAACAGGAGTACTCAGCTTCATCCTGAGTGCGCCCCCCCTCTCTTTTTGTGTGCGGCATTCGTATTTCGTCTAACTTTATCGTTGATCCAGACGCGCACGGGGCGAAGAGAGTGACGGGGGTGGACATCAACGAAGATGCGGTTCTTAACGCGCAGGAGAACCGAGCACTTCTCGGAAAGAACGAGAGCGAGCTTGCGTTTGTGCGCGCCGACCTCTTCCCCGCTGCGACCGACAGTGATGCCAAGTACGATCTCCTGGTGTGCAATCCGCCATGGCTACCCATGCCAGTGGAGACTGCCGAGGCTTGTCCGCACAACCCTGGCACGGACGGCCTCATGGGTGGCGTGCTCGACCGAAGAGGAGACCTGCTTCCTGCGCTCTTCCGGGGCCTCACGGACCGGCTGTCATCGCGGGGTAGGCTCTGGCTCATCTACTCAGATCTCAGCATCAAGCTAGGCCTGCAAGACGAGGTAAACCGACCCTCTTTAAATCACAACGCCGAGTTTTTCAACTTGCTTACTTGCTCGTATTGTTGCAGTCGTGGCTCAAGCATCTCTGCGAGGCCAATGGGCTCCTGGTGCGCGCTCAGACCAGCATGCCGGCACGAGTGCGCCTTCACCCGCAAGATCCGTTCTATCAACTCAAGAAAGGGGAAGTGCTCACCCTGTACGAGATTGTGCCGAAACACTGAGCGGACAGCTCGGGTCTGTTGAGAAAGAAATGTTCATGTTTTCTTCGTTTTTTCCTTCTTTCTTGTGAGCGTTGCCACACAACGTGGGCCAGCAAGTGATTCAGAGCCTGCGAGGAGAGAAATCGCTTCGTGCGGCAAAGGATGGATTCCTCCTTTGCCTCATCAAAAGGCCTTGGCGGAGCATCCGACCGAATCACCCCTGTGCGAACCCCCCCCCCGAACTCCCGATTTAGTGGAGAATTAATGTGGGGTGGTTGTCTTGTGCGCAGGGGAAGGAGAAGGAGAAGGTGGTCGATGAGGCCACCACCTTGGAAGATGAAGATGAGGAAGTAGAGGAGAAGGAGACTGTGGAGGAGGAGCTCTTCCCAGAAGATCACGTAGGCTATCAAGAACCGCGAGTGGTGGCCATAAACCGACCAGATCTGAACATGCACTACAAGTTCAAGAACAACTACGTCAGCACCACCAAGTACAACGTAGACGCTCCCTTCCCCTTTTGCTTGCTCTTCGCCACACTGCGTGTGTGCGCGCAAGTTGAGTTGTGCTCACTCAAATGGGCTTGCCTCGCGCAGTTCTGGAACTTCATCCCCAAGAACCTGTTCGAGCAGTTTCGTAGGGTGGCCAACGTGTACTTCCTGATCATCGCCATCGTCACGCTCACTCCCACTTCGCCCGTCAAGCCTGGTGCTTTCCTTCTCGCTCTAGTGATCGTCCTGGGCGCCACCGCCATCAAGGAGGCCGTGGAAGATTGGGTAAGTTGCAAGCCGGCCGGCTTCTTACCACAGCGTACTCACGCGGCGTATGGTCCGAGCTCATCACCACCCATCGTGATATGTCCCCGTGTCGCCTCTAGAAACGATACCAGTCGGATCGACGCGTCAACTCGCGCCTGTGCGAAGTGCTGCGCAGGAAGGAAGATGGTGGGACAGACAAGTGGGAATACGTACGACAGACATTCCTTGCCACTACTACTCCTCGCGCAGAGTTGTTGAAGCTACTTACACTTGGGCCTCGGCAACACCCAGGTCGAGTGGGCGGACGTGGTCGTCGGCGATTTGGTGCGCGTGAAGAACTGGCAGCCGTTCCCGTCTGACCTGCTCCTCATCTCGAGCAGCAGCGCTGACGGCCAGTGTTACATTGAGACATCGAACCTGGACGGGTACACCTCTTTTCCCATCATTATTGTTATTATGGTTAAAATCAGATCCCGTTTTTGACTCGCTTCAACTTTCAATCGTCAGTGAAACAAACTTGAAGGTGAGGCAGGCCGTCAAGGAGACTACTGGCCTTACCTTGATGAAAGATCTGGCCGTGCTCAAAGGCACTCCCCACCAAATTGATGTGTATACATGATAACGTGTTAACACATACATTTGCTCTTTCTCTCAATTTCTTGCAGGCTACGTGGAGTGTGACGCGCCTAACGAAGACCTGTACAAGTTCGACGGCTCTCTTACGCTGGAGCTACAGGAGTCTCACGCACTGCAGGTGGCCCTCGACACCAACCAAGTGCTTCTCAGGGTACAATACATTCTCCACACGCGATGCCAGCACGGGGGAGCCTATGTGCTACATTCCTCATCAGCGTTCTCACGTCGGTTCAAAACCCCAACCTTTAGGGTTCGGTCTTGCGAAACACCGAGTGGATCATCGGCGTGGTTCTATACACGGGCCACCAGACCAAATACATGCTCTCCACCACGTACGCACAACCCGAGCGGCGTGGTGGGGGATTAGTGCTCAATGCTAACGCGCTGGAGGCTGCATCAGTGATCCTCCCTCGAAGCAGAGCCGGCTGGAGAAGCTGATGAACCGCTTGATTATCATTGTGTTGCTTGCGGAGCTTGGTATCGTCGTCGCCAGCGCCATCCTCGGCGCGATCTGGGAGGTGCATCCAAACTCCTTGCAGTGTTGCGTGAGCCCTAGACCGTGAACTGATCACTTTAACACGCACACACACACACACACACACACACACACACACACACACACTCACTCACAGCAAGCGAACGGAAAAGACATGTGGTTCCTGGAGTTGAAGCGGAACCTCTTCGTGCAGATCTTCGAAAACATGTTCACCTTCCTGGTGCTCTACTCGCCCATGGTGCCGATCTCGCTCTACGTTACCCTCGAATTTGTACGCGTGTTCCAGGCCGGCTTCATCGAATCCGATATCGCCATGTACCACGAGGAGACCAACACGCCCGCCTTGGCCAGGTGTGCCTTGCGTCCATGCGCCTCGTTAGTGTCTGATTGAATCTCACCATTGCTCTGCCCATGTGCAGGACGAGCAACCTCAACGAAGAGCTGGGTCAGATCGACTACGTGTTCTCCGACAAGACGGGCACCCTCACGTGCAACCAGATGGTGTTCCGCGTGTGCTCCATCGGCGGGACGATCTACGGAGAGATCCCGGACTTGTCCGCACCTTCGCCGTCTTCGTCTTCGTCGCTGTCTTCGTCTTCGTCAGGCGTCAAGGCCTTGGCGCCAAAGAAGTCGCGCGCCGAGCTGGTGGTGTCACACGACGCCGCCGTGCACTCGGACGGCGAGGAGGAGTTGGAGCTCGACGATCTCAGCCACAGGGAAGGTGGCCTAGGGGCGGGCGGGGGCGCGCTTACGAACGGCACCGGCAGCGTCGAAGCCGCGGGGGGCAGCGCCTCGGTACCTGGCTCGCGCGTGGCTCCCGTGAAGACGCCTGACATCGAATTCGACGATCCCACCATCTTCGAACACATAGACGATGGTACGTATGACACGACACGCAACACGCCGCAACACGCCGCAACGCAACACACTTGTTCTGAGCAAACAATTAATCTGCTGGCGTGTATTGGCTGCTGAGCAGAAGCCCACCCGAACAGCCATATGACTCGCGAGTTCTTCACGGTGCTGGCCGTGTGCCACTCGGTGATGCCCGAGCTGATCACCAAGACCAACCCGGCGGAGGAGCAGGCCCGGCTCAAGAAGCTGCGACAAAAGGCCAGGAAACAAAAGAAGGGCCTGTACCTGCGGCCGAAGAACTACAACAAGCTCGTCGAATCGGAGAGCAGCGGCACCGAATCGGACACCGAGGGCGAGAAGAACAGCGAAGAGGAAGCAGCCGAGGAGGCCTCGGCCGCCGAGGGTGCCGCACAAGGTATCTACGCAGCTCCCTCCTCGGGTGCATGTGAAAGTGAAGCGCTGATCGTTCATGCGTTGGTTCTTCGTGTGGCGCGTGCTGCAGGGCCAAAGGAAGTGCGGTACCAGGCTGCGTCACCCGACGAGAATGCGCTGGTGGCGGCAGCCAAGTATTTCGGCTTCTACTTCCACACGCGCGCCCACAACACAGTCACAGTAAATGTCATGGGCCAGGACCTTGACTTCGAGGTACTGAACGTCATGGAGTTCACCTCCAATCGGAAGCGCATGTCCGTGGTAGTCCGGTACGATATATACGCCCCCCCCCTAGTGACCAGTCTCCGCCGTGTGTGTGTGTGTGTTCCTCACACCTGCACGTGTGCGGCTGTTCGGTAATAGGACGCCGGACGGGCAATTCAAGCTATTTACGAAGGGAGCCGATAACGTCGTCTACGAACGACTGCGGAAGGGTGACCCGTCGGCTCAAGTCACGGAAAAGCATCTGCACCAGTACGTGTGACACCTCACCCCCCCCCCTCCTCCCCTCAAATGGACGTCTTTGTCTCACCACCCTGCTGGTCGTGCTCTCGTGTGTGGGCAACAACAGATTCGCTTGTGCGGGCCTACGCACGCTCTGTATAGCCGAGCGTGTGCTGGACCCGGTGCAGTACCGAGCATGGAACGCGCGCTTCCAGAAGGCCTCGCTGTCCTTCAACGGCCGCAAGACCAAGCTCGACCTCCTCGCCGAGGAGATCGAGGTCGACCTGGAGCTGCTGGGCGCGACCGGCATCGAAGACAAGCTGCAGGATGGGGTCCCCGACACCATCGAGTCGCTGCTCGAAGCGGGCATCAAGGTGTGGGTGCTGACCGGCGACAAGCGCGAGACTGCGATCAACGTGGGCAAGGCGTGCAACCTGCTCAAGAGCAACATGATCACGCTCGTCATATCGTCGGACACGAAGATCGCCACCAAGCAGAGGCTCGAGTACCTTCTGGGCCTCATCGCGGCCAACCGGTGGACGCAGCTGGCCAAGGAGCACGAGCGAGACGACCAGATGGTCCCCTCCACCGACGAGGGCGCCACTTCCAAGGACGCCGCCGCAGTCTGGACCAAGGGGCAGCCCAAGCCCAGCATCGCGCTCGTCATCGAAGGCCGCACCCTCGTCTACGCCCTCGAATACGATCTCAAGTTTGCGGTATTTTAGTCATGCACACGCACCACCGCACACGCACACACACACACCACCGCACACGCAATCTTCATCGAGGCGCTAACTCTTCCTCTCCTGTAATGTGAAGCTTCTGTCGCTGGCCCAGCAGTGCCACACGGTGGTGTGCTGCCGAACGACGCCGATGCAGAAGACGCTCATGGTGAAGCTGGTGAAGGACAGCGAGACGCCCGAGACCCTCACCCCCAAGGAGAAGATCCAGCTCGAGCTCCGCAAGACGGCCGGCTACCTGACCAACCGGAAGAAGGTGACCACGCTGGCCGTCGGCGACGGCGCCAACGACGTGCCCATGATCCAGGCGGCCCATGTCGGTATCGGCATCTCGGGCCGTGAGGGCATGCAGGCCGTCCTCGCCTCCGACTACGCCATTGCTCAGGTACTCTCCGGCCCTATCATGATGGATGGGCTCGGCCCACTCGCTCACCAGTTTCGCTTCGCTTCGGTTTGCTGTATTCGCGTGATGATGATGATGATGATGCCGGGTCATGCAGTTCCGATTCCTCAAGCGGCTCCTGTTCGTCCACGGCCGCTACTCGTACAAGCGGATGGCACTCCTCGTGCTCTACTTTTTCTACAAAAACATGCTCATCGCCCTCATCAACTTCTGGTGGTCCTTCTTCACCGGCTTCTCGGGCCAGGTACTCTATCGTTCTTGAGGATGATGACCCACGATGACGATGATGATGTTTCGTAATCCGTGACTCACACTTCTACTCTCTCAACCTTGCGCCAACGTATGTGCACAGACTGTGTGGGACAGCTACCTGGGCATCGGTTTCAATCTCATATTCACGTGCTTGCCGGTGGTCGTGTGCGCCGTGATGGACATGGACGTACCCATCAAGGCGCTCGACCGCTACCCTCGACTGTACCGGTGCGTTAACCCTCCGCAGCCCATACAATGATGGTGGTGCACTCGCCTCATGATATACCCCTCGTTTTGTTCTGTAGTGATGGTCAGCTGAACATATCCCTTCACACTGGTATCTTCATGCGATGGATGTTCATGGCCGTACGCCACCTCCTTCCCTCTACGACCAAGGGACACACACACTCACACACGCACACAACACAATGCTGAACTGTTTCATGCGACTCGCTCGTTGCAGGTGCTGTCATCGTTCCTCATCACGACCATCAGCATAGCGGTGTTCAACGCGGCATCAGTGTATGGCCTGGTGCTCGGCTTGTGGGACGTCAACACGGTCATCTACACCGGCACCGTACTGGTGGCCAACCTGCGACTAGCCCTCGCATCCAGGCACGTCATTGCGCCTCCCTCTCTCTCTCTCTCTCTCTCTTAAGTCCTTCTTTCATCGCCCAAAGGCTGACTCTCCTATCACTTCACCATATGCAGCATGTGGACCAAGATCCACCACGTCGTGATGTGGTCCAGCATAATCTCATGGTTTGTCGTCGCCTCCATCTACTGTTCCAAAGTGGCTCTCTACCTCGCTCCCGGTACTAGCCAGCACACACACGAACAGCTTTTTAGAAGATTTCGACCGGCTCGAGAAGCAGCTCGACGTACTGACGCTGTGCTCCGCGTGTCGTGGTCCAGACATGTTCTGGGTGATATTCAACCTCTTCTCGGTGCCCACGTTCTGGTTTGTTATGCCCATCCTCTGCCTCGTATGCCTCCTGCCCGACATCGTGTGGGACTTGTACGCCACCCCCTCCCCCCCGCCCGTGCGCGATGTTGGCTGACTTCGTTGTCTCGTCTCTGTCAGTGTGATGCGGACGTACTTCCCGTCCAACTACCAGGTGGTCCAGGAGATCTACCGAGCCGAGGAGGAGGAACGTAAGAAGCGCCTGGCCGCACCCCAGCTCACTCTGGAAGAGACCGCCTAGACGAGTCCTTCTCTCGCCTCCTCTCTGTCTCCACCCCTTCTCCTCTTCTCTTCGCTTCTGCCGGTTTGAAGAGACTCGTCGCATATTGAGTGCTTCGTGGTCTGTGGTGGTAGAGGTTTCTTGTTGTTGTAGTTGTTGTTGCTCTAGTCCTTCTTGAGCATCTTCTGAACGAGGCGCTTCCGCAGGTAGAACTTGTAGAGGAAGGTGAAACCGAGGGCTGAGAGCATGAGGGTGAGCACGCAGCACACCGCCACGAACACGGTGCTCCCGAGATCGCTGGGCACGTTGACCTGTCGCGAGGCCGACGAGAACGGCAGGAACGTGTGTCCGTTGAACCTGCCATCATCATCACCACCATCACCATGAGCAGGTCCACGTTTGTAGAGCGATGCTAGCGTTGTGCTGCTGCACGTCGGTGGTGCGCGAGATGAAGGGGCAGAAGGCTACCATTTGATGGGTCCGTGCATGGTGACGATGGAGCCCGGCTTGCCGAACTGGAGCCGATTCCTCACCGGGTAGGAGGTGGCGCCGAGAATGCGACCGGCGGCAGCGTGGAAGACGAAGAAGAGGTGATTGTCTGATGACGCAGACCGGTCGCGTGTGAGGCGCGCATGTGTGTTGATCGATGGTGCTGATGATGCTAGTGAAAGGTGAAGCGGGCGGCGCGTACCGATGTGCATGTGGTCCTTCTCGACGACGCCCCACACCGGGATGGTGAAGGGCACGTACCAGTCGTGCCCCTCGGGCACGTCGGGCACCATGGGCACTCGGCAGTTCCAGGTCATGTCGCGGCGAATGAGCGATGCAAGGAACTCGTACATCTTTTCATCTTTGATGTGCCAGCCACACGATGCGAACGACTCCACGCCATATGTGAACACCATGGGTTCGCCAGTCTCTGTACACGTCCTGGGAAGAGTGCACGCTCTTGCGATTAGAGCTACGCGATTAGATGGAAGATTGGGAGACGTACGGGCCAGGCACCCAGCGCCCCTCCTCCATGCACTCGAAGGTCACATTTTGGCCGATGCGGTAGCCTTTGATGTCGTGTCGATGTCCGTGCTGAGCCGCCACCGAGGAGCCAAACAGTTGCAGCGTGACCAGAACGATCACCACCGCAATTAGTGTATGTCGCATCGATGATGGCTCCATCTCCTCAATCCACAAGAAAAGCAAGAAAAGAAACGAAATGAAATAAAACTATATTTTTTACACGCAGCGTAAGCACAACTACCAGGCCAAGGTGGTGTTGGCTTTGATCGTGGCGGCCCTGTCGTGGGTTGACATTCTCTTCTCGTTCCGTTCCATCATCTCGACGTCCCGCACATCGTCGAAGCGAATGCGCGTCTGGTCGCCGATGAGGATCAACGCGCCCATCATAACCGTCCACGGGATGCCCCACGCAGTGAGTCCAATGACTGCACGACACGCAGTGGAGTCCGTCAGTCAGCCGACACAATAGTCAGCACCTCCTCGACCACTTCGCGTCGGACGTACAGATGAGGAACATTCCAGCCCTGCACAAGTGATGGTTGTTGAGTGTTACCATGGAGCGCACAATGAGAAGCACACATTGACAGGTGAATGAGGAAGAAGAGGGCCACGTACATGAAGCCGTTGCACAGGTGGCTTTCAGTGCGTTGCGAGTAGGTGGTCCAGAGAGTGCACCCCAGGTAGGGGGTCATTCTTTTCAAGGTGGTGTTGTAGAGGATCGCGTTTTCGATCACTGCACACACGACACACACGACACACACAACACACACGACATACGACACACGACACACGACACACGACACACACAGTGACTCCCTGAGCTGATGAGAGAGCCAGGCCGCAAGCAAGAAAGGGGGGCAGGGGGTGTACATACAGGTGCTGAGGTCAGCACTTTCGGTCCTGAGGGCGGGACTGAGGCAAGTGCTGCCGCACTCCTTGATCGAGGTGACATTCCGGAAGCACTGGCACGTGGCGTTGCCAGCACACGACCCAGTGCAGGTGCCGGTCGGGCACAGGGCGTCGCCGCAGAAGTAGGTCTCTGTGACCGCCTGCCATGCCATGCCATGGTCGTGACACCACAACAACAGGTCAGTAGCGCCACCGGCCTGGGGTCCAGCGGGGTGTGGGCCGTACGACGGTGGTCAGATTGGCAACGTCGTTGGCGTTGCCGCACGGTCGGCACGCACCGGCGCAATTGCACGTCGAGCAGAAAGCCAAATAATCCACGCACGTTACAACCAGGGTGGTGTTGTAGGCCTGGAAACGTTTGGTGAACGCGTGCAAGTGGCGAGGAACGAGAAACTGAGACAGTCTCTGTGGTGTGGTATGTCGTACGGTTTCAAGCTGGGGGTAGGCGTCGGTGAAGGTGGTGCAGTTCTGTCCCAGACGGTCGAGCAGCCTCTCAAAGGCGGGTGCGACGTTGCCGTTCTTGGTCTCGGCGTAGAGTTGGCACACGTCGGCGCCCACGGCACCGGCCGAGATGGCAATGAGCATGACCATGTAGGCCAACAGCAGCATGACCATCCCCACCCAGAAGACCCTGTGTGTCGATCGATTACCAACTCGCGGGGGTCAGTTGTTCGTGCCGTGCGTGTGGTGCGTGTGGTGCGTGTGGTGCGTGTGGTGCGTGTGGTGCGTGTGACGTACAGGACGGAGGTGGGGCAGTTGATCTTGCACAGCATGAGCACGGGAAGGACGAGGCAAAAGCTCGCCAGGATGCCAAAGAGGCAATAGAAGGCGACCACCGTCCCCGTTTCGTAATCGTAGACGGTATTCTAAACACACACAACGCACATTAATGAATCACCCCCGAACCTTGAACTCGCACGTGTGCGCCGGCTCAAACACTGCCCAGCGCACCTTGTAGCCGTTGACCGTGGACGCAGCCCGGGAGACTTGCTCTGCCGTGTCGGCCATCGCGACGCCGATGCTCTGCAGGACCACCGCCGAGTCGTTGGTCACCTTGGCGATGTCGCGCATAAAGGCGACTTGATTGTCCATGTAGAGCAAGAGCCCTTCATGCGACCACGTGTTCCCGAGAAGCGGCAGGACCATCAGGCAACTGCCCCGGGACCAACGAATGAAGGTGAGCGAAGAAAGGGAAGAAGTTGCAGCGGTGGGAAGGCGAAACGCACAACATGAAGAAGCAGGATACGCCCAGGCAGGTGTTGAGCACGATGGTTTCGCACCGGCGCTCGGCCCAGCAGAGCCGACAGGAGGTGGCGCAGCGGAGGGTGTGGATGACGATGAACGCGATCGTGAACGCGATAATGAGGAAGATGCCCACGCACGCGGCCGGCAGCGCCAGCAGCGAAATCGACTGTGTAACACAGTCGATTACCGCACGCACGCACACACACACAACACACACAACCGGAGGTGAGCCAAAGAGGCACACCACACACACACACACACACACACACACACACACAGCTTTGTGTTGGTTGCGTGCTGTGTGGGAGAAAGGCAGCTGAATCCTCACCTCGGCGTAGTTCACAATGTCGCATTCCCGCTTGGCACTGTCCCACGCGCAGAAATCGGTGGGCACGTCGTCGCCGGCGTAGTTGGCCCGCGGCTGCGACCTGAAAAAGGTCCGCGCATCGCTCCCCACGCCCGACTGCCCGTCATCAAGCAGCATCCTTCCACCCACTGGATTCGACACGCACGACACGCACGACACACATAAGTTCAGGTGGGCAGGCCGGGAAAGCGTGCGGCGAGGGTGGTCGGTATACCGTGGTGGCTAGGCGGAGCATATGGGGCGGCTGCTTGATATTGGCGAGAGCTGGCGAGGAAGATGAAGATGAGGGAGGCTACGGCCACCAGGCTGACGAGAGACGAGGCAGCACTTGCCCACGTGCCCCTGCAGCCGGCTCCTCCTCGATGAAGACCTTTCCGACCTTCTCGGCCTCTCCATGGTGATGTTGATGAGAGAGGTGAAGCGAACGTAGATGAAGAGGCCCGCGTCGAGCGATTTCCCTTCCGTCGGCCCATTGAATGCGAACAGAAGCCTCCTCGAATGGGTGCCTTGCGGGCTTCTCGAGAAGTTGGTGAAGACGATGGAGGCCGTACAAGCGCGGGAAGTGGGTCGTGGCGGTTCCGTTTGAGTGGTGTGCAGCGGTCCTCGTTCCCGCACCACGAACCTTAATTGGAAGTGTTGCGTCGTTTTGAATTGTAGGATACGTACCCTCGCAACGACAACGGCCAGAAAAGGAAGAGAAGAACGAAGGAGAAGAACGAAAAAGAAGGTCACCTCTCTTCATTATTATACACTAAACATGCCCATAACCCAGATATATACACCGACTGAGATGCCCGGGAGGGGGGGCTAAACACACCGGCTTACCAGTTCATGATGGGCCGCACCTGACCGAGCAGGTAGGAGGCGAGCTTGCGCTGACCCACGACGTTGCGATGGTCCAGGCAGCCGTAGTCCTCGGGGTAGGCCAGCAGTGTGGTCGGGATCTCCACATAGGCAATCCGCGCTCGCGCGACGTTCTAGCGAACGTTGTTGTTGTGTGTGTGAGAGAGAGAAAGTGAGTGAGTGAGTGTGTGTGTGTGTGTGTGTGTGAGGGGGGGGGGATTAGTGGGTGACCGCGGCAAACGCATGTGCCGTACCTTATCCGGGCTTGCAAGGAGCCGCTTGACAGCTTGCTGGACCCGCGGGCACGGCGCGCGGTCGTTTTCGGTGGTGCCGCCGCACAAGGCGATGACAGTCAACGGCGCGCCGGACGCCGTTGTCGACTTGTAGGCCGCTAATACGGTCTCCACCATGCGCACGTACCCGTCCACGAACTGCTCGTCCGATGGGTACGGCCACGCGTAGTAGTCGTTCGTACCTGAACTTGTGCACAAGTCGCACACGATGAGCATTGCGCAAATTCCAAACATTTCTGATGGTGACGATGTGATCACGTACCAAGCAGGATGACTACGAGGTCGGGCAGCCAGAGGGTGAAGTTCCAGCGGCTCGCGGGGTCGGTGGCGATGGCGCGCGGCCAGTACAGGGGCATGGGGTCCTCGCTGGTCTCGAAGAGGGAGATGGCGTTCTTGACGACGCCCTTGCCCGACCAGGCCTCGATGTGGTAGTCCGCGCCCAGCCACCGGCTCACCGTCGCCGCGTAGCCCTCCCAGCAGTTCTCGTATGTCTCCAGCCCCATCAGGCACGTCCACGAGTCCGCTCCCTCAATCCCAAATCCTGCAAGTTCTTCCTGTCAGCGTTGCGCTTGCGCGTGCGGTGGCGTGCGCGCGGGTGTGTGCGTGCGTGCGCGCGGGTGTGGTGTGTGTGCGTGTGGTGTGTGGGAAATGGAAGTGGGAATGGCACCATTGCTGTCACTGTCGCTGAAGAACTCGATTCGTCGGCGGGCGACAGCACGATCCTGGGCCGCCGACGGCATGATGAGCAGCTCGGAGGTGGCGGCTGTGGCGTTGTCGATGTAGACCGCGAAGCCGTAGAGCCGCATGCGGGACAGGGGCAAGAGGACCTGCAGAGCAAAGTAGGAGGCTTCGGTGGCCTTGACCAGGGACACGTTGAGGGAGCCGCCCGATGTATCGGGGCCGTTGGGCCGTGGCAGGCCATACTCGCGTAGCTGGTCGTCGGTGAGCAGCTTCCCTCCACGGCGGCCGGCAGCCACCGGCCGGTCGTTGTAGAAGACGAGGAAGTCGTTGTGGCCGCCCTCCATCACCACCCCCACCCCAACGATTCGCGCACCCGGTGCCGCTCGCAGGGATGCATTGAAGCTAGCACAGGGCCAGTCGACCACGACCACCGGCAGCCCGCCCTGGCCCGTTCCCCACTCAAATCGCCCACTGCCGATCCACACACGCTCATCTCGCACTGGCACGAAGACTCGCTCTATAGAGGCAGCATAGGTCAGCACACAGCACTCCACCAGCAGCCAGCTCACCAGCAGCCAGCCCAGCGCTCTCCAATCCATGGATTGTCGGGGAGTAAAGTCCCCCCCCCCAAATAAAACAAAAACTTGCCGACAAGTGGCGCAGTGCAAGAAAGACCAAGAAGCCGAGGATGTGGTGGGTGGGCCTTGCACTGGTGGCGTCGCTGGTGGCGGTGTTCGCGGTGATGTCGGTCACGAAGCAGCGAGAGCGAGAGCGAGAGAGACGGGCGGTGTCGGGGCCTCCCGTCCCAGGGGCCCAGCAGTGGGCAGGCAAGCGCGTGTGCGTTGTGGTCAACCCTATCGGCGGGGCTGGCTACGGCAAGCGAGTCTTTCAGAGAGTGCTCAAGCCCATGCTCACCAACGCCGGTGTTCTCGTTGACCTCATAGGTTCAACCCTCCTCATAAATCTCCCATTATTCATTCGTTCAATTAAAATAAATCTATAAATAATGTAAAATGCTTATGCTCTTCTTGATGCAGAGACCGAGTACAAGGGCCACGCGCACCGCATACTGGCCGAGGTGGACTTGACCAAGTACAGCGCCGTGCTCTCGGTTTCTGGAGACGTACGTCTGCAGCGCACTCCCTGGTGGCCTCCCAGACCTACTCACCCGCTGTCGCGTGACTGTCTCGGCATGCAGGGGATGCTCCACGAAATAGTGAATGGCCTCTGGGAGAGGCACAGCACGTTCGACAGCCTCCCGCCGCTCGCCACCATCCCAGCGGGTACAGGCAACGGTACGGGGAACTCTTTATCGGTGAAGGAGAAGGAGCCGCCACACTACTGTAGTGTCGCGAGCTTGCTTTGCTTACGCTGCTCGCGTAGGTCTGTGCACGAGCTTCGGTGCCAGGGACCCGATTGCTGCTACGGAGATGTTCCTGCGTGGTACGGTCGCAAGTTGAACATGGCATGACGAGGAAGCGTCGCTGGGTCAACTTTCACAACAGGTCGCTAACGTTCTGGTCGCAGGCAAGACACGCGGATTGGACATGATGACCGTAACGTCCCTCGATGAGACCAAGCAAGTGCGCCCTGACTCAGACCGCAAGCTCGCCCTCATGTCCGTACATTGGGGTGAGTAGCAGCCTCCTCGTCTTAGCTTCAACATCTGCGACCAGACACACGCACGCACGCACGCACACCAACACACGACACACGGCACATGTGCGCTTGAGTATTCATTCTATTTCACTTCTGAGCCTCACTTACCTGCTTACCTAGGCTTGACTGCCGATTTCGACACCCTGACGGAGCTGTCGTTCAGGAAGATCGGCAACATGCGGTTCCTCATCACCAGCGTCATTGTGCCTGGGCTCCTCATCTACCGGTACAGATTCTCTTGCTTCTTCTTCTTCTTGTTCATCATCATCTCTCACATGTGTTCCCTGCATGGTGTACAGAGCCAAGTCGTACAAGGGCCGCCTGTCGTTCGTTCCCTACCGAAACGAACACACGGACGAGCGAGGCAACTACAACAAGAAGTATGACGGGGTCAACCACGACAAGCAGCAGAAACGCGAGCAGAAGGCGCCCAGCGGCGAAGGCGATCAAGACGGCGAGGAGCGGGTGGTGATCGAGGACTATTTCTTCACTCTCGTCGCCGCTACGGTCCCCTGGCTGGCTCACGACGCCTGCCTCGCGCCCAAAGCCGAGATGACCGACGGCTACATCGGTACGTACCTAACGCTCTTCTTCTTCTTCGCCTTCTTCTTCTTCGTGAGTCGTAAGCTTACGTGCTTGTCTACCTTGGATGATGTAGACCTGTTCATCGTGCGAGGTTCGAATCGAGGGGTCTACAACGAGATCCAGGCCTTCCTCAACCTGGATGGCGGGAAGATCTGCGACCTGCCCTTCGTGGAGTACTTCAAGGTCAAGAATTTTTTCGTCGAACCGTTGGACGACAGCGACTGCGGCTTCTATTCGATCGACGGCGAATTGGTCAAGGCGCACCCGATCAAGGTGGACGTACAGCCCAGCATGGGTCGGTTTGTGTATTAGGCGAAGGGTCGGTCGAGGAGGAAGAGGAGGAGGAAGTGAGCCGGGCCTTGGAGGCGGCGGGATCATTCTTCGTGTTGAGCGGCGATGAACTTCTCCTTCAGGTTCGTCAAGTAACGACGCAACAGCTCTGTAAGGAACACAACAACAAGTATCAGCTTCATCATCGCTACAGTATTCTCGAAGAAGGGTGAGGGAGTGTACCTGGAGAGAGGGTCGACGTCTTGAGGTTAAGAAGCCGTTGCGCGAGTTGACTGAGCTCTCGCAGGTGCTGCGCCTCCTTCTCCTTCTTGGCGGTGTCGCTCTGTTGCAGCTTGCGGTGGATCTCCCTGGCGGCGGCGACGGCGTCGGGAGGAAAGCCGGCGATTTCAGCCAGCACCAGGCCGAACTTGAGGTCGGTCGGGCCTTCCTTGAGCGTATACATGAAGGTTGGACGTAGCTTCATCCGATCGTGCTCGACTTGGAGGTGGTAGTTCTTTGCGTTCGGGTAGATGGCTTCTAGATCCGCCAGCTGCATGTAGTGCGTTGCACAGAGGGTATATCTGGGCAGAGTGGGAAGCAATGAGCCACGGAAGAACGAGAAGACGCCAAGGAGAAGGCAGCGTACGCTCGCAGGGACAGGAGATATTCACTGCAAGTAGCAACCACTTGGTTAGTCATGCGCCATATAAAATGCTCAGAGGAGGACAGGACGTACCAGATGGCCCACGCGATCGACGCGCCGTCCAAGTATGAGGAGCCACGCCCTAGCTCATCGATGATCATCAAACTGTGGTTGGTAGCGTTCTGTATGATGAAGGCCATCTCCTTCATCTCCACCATGAACGTGCTGCAATCGGGCAGAGAGTCAGTAGCTGGCAGGCTAGGGTAAGAAAAGTGGCAAGAGACACCTGCAGTTCCTTTCCATGCAGTCGCTGGTCCCGATGCGCGTGAACAGGCGGTCCACCAGCCGAAACGAAGCAAACGTGGCCGGCACAAAGCACCCTGCACATAGTTGTGAGAATCGAAGTGACGTTGGTGCCGGACAGAGAGCACGTACCAACGTGAGCCAAGATCGTCAGAAGAGCCACTTGACGAAGGTACGTCGATTTCCCCGACTGTACAAGGAGAGAGCAGAACCAATAAGAGGCGTTCACGTGAACAGGCGATCTGTGATGAGTGATACCATGTTCGGACCCGTGATGACGTGGAAATTAGATGCCTCCGTGATGAAGGTGTCGTTCTTTCGATAGAGCGCTGAGTTAGGTCACGAGCCACTGCGCATCCAGGGAGTGCGTACGGGAATGAAAGGATCCCTGAATAGCTTCTCCACGAGAGGGTTCCTGCCTTGCTTGATCGCCAGTGGGCCGTCCGTCGTTAGCTCAGGGCGTACTGTGAAGTGCTTGAGGGTCAGCGAACATGGGTTAATCCATTCATAGGAGAGGACACTAACGCACCGCAGGAGGGAGTCACAGTCACGTAGGTCGTGAAGGAACAGATCTGGCGTATAGTGGTATTCAGCTTACGTAGCAAATTGAAGACCATGGTCAGGATGCATACCAGATCAATAAGAGCCACCGCCTCAGCTATTTTGTAGATGCAGCCAATGAACTTACGCGTCTCGGACAACAGTTCCTCGATGACCCTGCAAAAGGTCCACGAGTAAGTAGAACTCCATTAAAGGTTCAAGCCATGGTGGCCATACCTGTCCGTGAGTAGGAAGATCTCATCCATGCTTTCGTTGATACGCGCATTGAGCGAGATCATCTCCTCTGCTCAATTCTCGTTAGCTAAGCCCGGTCTGGTGACGGTTGGTTGACTTACCTGTGGAGAAAGCCCACTTCTTGCCCTTCTTTACCACTTGGACTAAGCCCTGGGGGAGATGGTCTCCGGCTACGATCGGACAGCTGAGGTGGTGGCCACGCCGAGTGTTGTACTCGCCCCTCACTCTGTACCGACAGAACTCTTCTCTGTATCTTTTGATCAAGAGCTGCATGTCTGCGCAACAACGGGTATCAGTCGGGTACGGCTCACAAGGTAAGGAAAACGAACCGTCATTGGCTTCTGTCCAGCTCTTTCTTGCCACGTCCAACAGTCCTGATGGAGATAGGCCGAATAAGCTAAGTCCACGGGCACGCAAGGACAGTGAGAGCTACGGACGCACCATGAATGCCAGGCTGAAGGCGTCACATTGAAAAACCAATGTCAGAGGAGAAAGAGAGAGTCCACAGGAGTAAAGACCAATATACCTTGATCGCATAGGCCAACTGTCAGACAACTGTTAGTCAGCAAAGAAGCGAAACCGGATGCAGCTCTGAAGCCTGACCATTACCTGATTGCGCATCTTGTGCGTGTTTTTGACGTAGATAGCGTCTTCACGCACCACATCCTCCAGCTTCATTTGAAGAGCTTCGATTCTGGGGTCCTGGAGGTTGTTGAGTATAGCTTGCAGCAAAGAGTTTTGGCATCCCTTGAGCGCTTCCGCCAGCGGCGGGACTGTTTCCAGAGTGTGTTTCAGCTCCAACTAAGCACGATACGATTGTCAGGTGAGCCTTGTGTTCGCGTAACCGGGCAAAGGGGGGATGCCGTACGATGTGCACCAAGTTGGCTCGGGTCGACTGTATGCTCGATTTCTTGGGTATCCTGACCAGCTGTAACAGGAGGCTATCTGTACGTTCAACGTGAGAACGTGTAACGAAACGCAGGGTAGAAGACAGTCGTACCAAGATCCAGGAATCTGCCCAAGACCGCCGACACCTGACCGACAGGAAAGACGATTTGAGTGAACTCATGTCTCTCAACCGATCGAGTGATGGTCGCGTACGTCAAAGAACATGCGCTCGTCCCCAAGGAACTCCTCTATGCACTCCAGTCTCGTGGTTGTGGTGGACATGTCTGGAAGTAGGAATGAGCGACATCAAAGGCGATCGAGCTGAGCATGTGGGATAACCTGAGGGCGGCTGAAGCAGGTTGATACGCAGAAGGCGACCTAACAACAACACGCTGTGAGCTGTGCTAACTACACCAGCGTTTCACGTACCTCCGCTAATAGTCTGCAAGCGCCGAGGCATGGTGTCAGTGAAGGAAACGAACATGCTAGAAAGGAACAATACCTTGGTGTGGTTCAGTACGTCGAATAATGATCCCTTGGTCTCTTTAGTGCGAGCGTTGACGACTGCAATCGGTAGGCCGTCAGCTACCCAACGATTTCGCCAAGTAAAGGAGCGTCGCACCGATCTCTAGGTTCTCGATGCTTGCCGGATCGATCTGAGCGGATATTATACTCAGCACGGCGATAGCTGGGATTTGTACAGTATGGCCTACGTACCATCATCGTGCCATCCACCGGCTTGTATTGTATCTGTACATCTAAGGTGAGAGGACTGGTTGCGGCAGTTTTCAGCCCGTACCTTCAGGCTGTTGGGTGCGAACGTCATGTGCTGAATGAACTCGACTGCACGAACAGATAAGGTATCGCTTAATGCTCGCTCTGGCGATTTCTTCTCGTCTTGTCTCGTACCATACTTCACAAGGGCCGCTGAAGGAAAAATATCCCTTAGTCAAAACGAACACAGCCATTCACTCAGCGGACAACATACCTGCTGAAGCTAGGGCCAGATACCTGCCGAAGCAAGGAGAAGGGAAGCTACGTTAGCCCTGTAATGAAGAGTACGATGAAGGACCTTACTTGGACGAAACAGAGTGCTCGATGCTGCTGTTCTCGGGGACTACGAGCCGTGAGACTGTTTGCGCTCCATACGACTCAGAAAAGTACTTCCGATTTACATCGATGACGTCGGTATCTGTGTAGAAAGGAGCTTTACAAGTGTCACCTTGGGGCGGAATGGTAACGGGGCATACCCTTGAAGTTCTCCTTTATCGCCTCGTAAAGCTCGGACCCGATAGCCGTGTTGGGAAGGAGGACCTAATGATCAGAGAGGGGCACACTTAGGCTGAAGGCCTGTTATTCGTACTTCAGAGAAGGGACGCAAACCTCCACTGGAGCGTAGGTGGCCTGTGGAAGATGACCCAGGTGAGCAATGTTCGGTAACAAAGGAGAGGTTGGGCGTACAAGCTTTGACGTAGTAAATGAGTAGCTCTTGGAGTCGGTGAATTGAGTCAGCAGCAGTTCGGGCCTGCGAAGGTCCATGATGGCCAGGCCCACTTCCTTCATCCGGTTCTCTGCGAAAGGAGATAAGCGACAGTGTTCGAACGCAGTCCGTCAAGCGCACGCGTACCGTTCACCGCGATCACGTAGAGCTCATGTCTCCCACTACTGTGAGGTGTAGTGCCACGTCTACTGCTGCTACCTGCCGAGCTGCTGGTGCCTCGCCGGGAAGGAACGCCCGTGCTTCGACCATGTGGCTGGTAGGATGTATCGTACTTGGGTCCATCCGCAGTCGCTGACGCGTGACCTCCAGGTGTTCCTCCCTTTTGCATCCTTCAAGAGCATGAGCTTAGAACAATGCGCCGTACGTGAATCGACATCTTGAGAGTTGCCTGCGTTTCTTGCTCGGAGCGGAAAAGGCGCCAAAAAAAGGGCAAGAGAAGATGGAAAAGCTGGAAAGAAATTCAAAAATTGAATATTAATTAGCACGGACATAAAGGGGGTGCTCAACAACTGCCTGTCGAGACTCCTGGCGCAAGTGAGGCCAAGAGCACTGCCTGGCACCACCCCCCGCCAATTTATATCGTTTATTTATTTCGTCCAGCTTTATGTCCAGTGTTTCAGGACAGGCCGCAGTTGGAGGACACCGCAGCAAGAAGAAAGCTGTAGTAGTAGTCAGTACGTACCCCTTGATTCGTTTCTATTGTGTAGAGAGGTGGTTGAGCCCTTTTGCTCATATCTCGAAACATCTCTTCTTGTCAGAAAACAAAACACGGGACAGGAAATCGAGTAGGGCGTCGAGGAAAGGGAGCAAAGGCAAGCAAAGCGATACGATCCCGATGGAAGATAGAGAGGGCAACAATCATGGAGGTAGCTCCGATTCTGAACAGGAGGAAGTTGTAGCCGAGCCCACCTCGATTGGAACGCTGAAGAAGGAGAAAGAGGTGAGGGCGGGGGGCCACGATGATGGGAGCTCCAGCGAATCCGAGGTGGAGGAAAGGCGTGAGAGACGCGACCCCCCAGTCGAGGAGCGGCCACCAGCCACTACGCCTCGAACCAGTTCCTTCGAGGCTTCGACGCCGCGCGACAGATCGGCCTCTGACGTTCACTCAGGTTCGGTCGTTTCCAAGAGCGAGTTCTCCCTCGACGACTCCTGGTGGATCGACTATGATGAGCTCGAGCTGGTGCGCCCTTACCCCCCCCCCCCGTTAATCTCCCACCTTCGTTCTTGGTGGCCTGGGGCAACGCCAGTTATGCCAATTATGCACACTTTATTGCTTCTATTTTGATTGCGAATCAATCTCAAGATGGCTGACCCTTGGCACTCCAACCTTGGGCGAGCAGGAGGATAAGGTGAGCGAGAGCGCAACGGCAACTGTGTACCATGGCGAATACCGTGGACAGGAGGTGGCCGTCAAAATCTTCAACCCAGAGATGATCAACAGAGAAAAGCTCGTCAAGGAGTTCCAAATGATCAGGTACGTACTTGCCACATTTCGTCTTCCGCTACTGAACATGCTGATGCCCCTTTCTCCTCACCACGTTCATCAGCTCCATTCGGTCGCCTCACGTCGTCGTCTTCTATGGCTTGTGCTTGGAGCCTCACATCGCGGTCGTCATGGAGAAGTGCGGCTATGGCTCTCTTGACGAGGTATTCATCTCGCTGTTCCCGTCACGCTTTCTTCTCTAGGCGCAAGGTCACTCACCCTCATTGTGCTGTGCCCGCGCGCAGGTTCTGGCCAATCACACGGACCGGCAGTTCGACTGGAATCGGTTCTTCTCTCTGGCGGAGGGCCTCATCGGAGGTCTCAACACCTTCCACAACAACAAGCCCCAGATCCTTCATCGCGAGATCAGACCTCAGAACCTGCTCGTAAGCTATCCTTTCGCTTTCCTCGTTCTCTCTGTTTGGCTCCTCTAACTCGTCACCTCCTTCTACAGATCAACAGCGATTGGAAACTGAAGTACGCCGATTTCGGTCGCGCCCGTTACAACGAGCGGGTGCGTTCGTACTGCACTGATTGTTGGCACGGTGAATGGCCCACTGACTACTTTGCTCGGATCTATTTAGGGCGATGAGGCGCTTAAGACGCAGACGCTTGATTCTGGCATCGAGAACGTGGCCTACACTGCCCCGGAGGTCTACATGGAGGGTTCCTACTCTACCAAGTCCGACATCTACTCCGTCGGCTTTGTGATCTGGGAGCTGGCCCTGCGCATCGTCAAGGGTACGTAGCACTGCGTAGTCTGGGCCATAGCTTTGGCGTTGCGCTGACTTTCTTGCACGTCCAACAGGTGACCACGAGCCCCCCTACCAAGACCTGGTCAAGCAGGGACTCAACTCCTTCCAGATCCTCCGTAAGACCTGCATGACCGGACTCAGGCCTGACATTCCCGACAAAATGCCCGCGGCGATCAAGGAGCTCATCACCACTTGCTGGAGCGACAACCCCGACCAGCGACTCTCTGCCAAGGGTAAGCTCCGTGCACCATCCCTCACTACACAGACTTTGCGACTCACTTCATCGATTCCACGTTGTGTCACGATCAGACCTGTGGAAAAAGGTGGTCGATCTGCGCAAGGACTTCAGGAAGGCGCCGAACAACTGGTTTGTGGCCAAGGCCGACCAGGAGGAAGAGGATGACGAGGACGAGAACTCCAGCGAACTCGTGAGTCCGCGTGGCTCGATGGGTGGGCATCGCAACCTGGCCCGATCGGGCGACAGCGACGAGAGCCCCATTGTACTCGACGTGTCTTCTCCTAGGCGTACACCCCGAGGAGGCTACGGCTCGCTGAAGAAGGGACAGTGGCAGGCCAGCGAGAAGGAAACCGAGGCCAAGTTCCTCTCCGAGGTGGAGAAGCGTGTCGAAGAGCGGCTCAAGCAGCAGGAGGAGGCCATGCGAAGCGAACTCATGCAACAGTTCAAGCGCACCAGCGTGATGACCGACAAGGAGAAGGTCCTCGCAGAGATCGATCCCAAGCAGGTCGTCAAGCATTTCTCTGTGGGCAAGGGGTACTCTACCTCTCTCCGCCGCAGCGCTCACATTTTCTCCCATTTTTTTCGCACTGTCTCTTACGCTCACGTTGCGCCCAATCGCAGAGCATTCGGTGAGGTGTTCAAGGGCCTGTTGCACGGCAAGGAAGTGGCTATCAAGCAGCTGTACGTCAAGGACAAGCTCAACGACGAGCTGCTCAACGAGTTCAGGACGGAAGTCCAGATCATGATGTACGTTGCGATGCCTGCTGGGTGTGCCACGACACTTAACGAAGCTCGACCGCTCACCGCCGCTCTCCCTCCTCGCCCAACAGTACGCTTCGACACCCGAACATTTGCTTGATGATGGGCGCCTGCACGCAGCCTGAGAACTTGATGATCATCATGGAGTACATGCACAACGGTTCCGTCGACGGCCTCATTCATGGCAAGAAGAAGAACTTCCTCTCGCTCGAGCAGCGTGTCCACATGGCCAGGGATTGCGCCCTCGGCATGGTACCATGCTCTTCCCTTTGTCAATCACCACTCTTACATCTCATTGCGCGGCGCGACCAACCCAACTCCTCTCGTTTCCTCCCATCAGAACTGGCTGCACCAGATGAACCCGCCGTTCCTCCATCTCGATCTCAAGCCGGCCAACTTGCTCGTCGACAAGAACTGGAACGTCAAGGTCGCCGATTTCGGTCTGTCCAAGATCCAGTCGGGCAAGGATGACGACGGCATGGCCGGCGGTTCTCCCTTCTACATGGTATGCTTCTTCTCGCACCTCACGCATTGTTTTCAGGAATGCCCTTTTTTGCTTACACTCCTGTCCCTGCAGGCACCAGAAGTGTTGTTGGGCCGTGGATGCGATGCGAAGGCGGACGTGTACAGTTTTGGTATCTTGTTGTGGGAAATGTACACCCGAGAGAGTACGCTCCTCCCCCACTCCCCCGCCCTCGTGTACCTGGTACGGTTACTTGTGCTCACCGTCGTTAATTGCGCTGCTGATGGCACAGAGCCGTGGCACGACATGTTCGAGGACGAGGACGAACTTATTGCCGCCGTGTGCGATGAAGAGGAGAGGCCAAAGATCCCTGCCGACTGCCCTCCGGCCTTGCGCGATCTGATTGAGTCCTGCTGGCATCCCGACCCGGAAAAGAGGTACTTACTTCTTACTGCTGGGTGCGTGTGGATCGCCTGTGCAGCCTCTTAACATGAGCGTGTTACACCCTATTTTTTTTTAAGGCCCACCTTCCAGGCCATGCTCGAGAAGATGATGTTCGAAAAGGTCCTCATCGAGCACACTCTCCACGAAGCCACCGGCCGTGACTTCTGGATCAAATATTTCCTCACACAGGTACAGTGGCACACACATACTTTCTGCTGTATGCCCAATCAACTGACCGTCTGTCCCTCATCGTGCTCTCATGCGCTTTAGACCAAGGTCGAATGGATCGAGTTCTGGACTTGTATGATATCTTACCTCAAGGTGCCTCACCACCAAATCCTCCCCGATTTGGACCCCAAGCTGGCGGCCTTCAAGAAGCTGCTGAGTACGTGATCCCCCCCCCCCGCACACTCACTACCCACGTCCCACCACCCGTCATGGCCCATTCTATCGCTCACACTCGCTCGCTACACTGTCTCCTGCACACCAGGCGATGAGTACTCCGAGGATGAGGCCAAGGAGAGGCTCGTCAACCCCATCGTCACCAGGGAGAACTTCGCCAAGTTCCTGCGCTACTTCGGCCCCTTCAACTACGCCATGCTGGAGCGGTTCCACGACCTGACCACCAAGCCCTGGTGGCACGGCGATATCTCCAAGAAGAAGGCCGAGTCCTACCTGGCCAAGGCCAAGAAGACCGGTCGGTGGCTGGTGCGCTACTCGACCTTCCCCGGCGACTTCATCGTCTCCGTGGTCACGATCAAGAAGAAGCAGATCACCTTCCAGCACTTCATCATCTCCAACATCGAAGCGCCCGACGGTACACAAACACGCTTCCTCCTTCTACACCTCATCGGCTTTGGCGCTCACTTTTCATCATCGCCGTCGGCATCGTCACTCAACAGGCAAGCTGGTGTTGTTGCTGCCGCCGAAGGACTACAAGAAGGAGCTCAACCTGTCGCTGCCGGAGGATAGGAAGGAGCTGCTGGCGCTGGGCACGCTGCCCACGTTTGGGTCCATCGCCGAGGCCATCAAGGCCAAGCGCAAGGAGCTGGGGATCAAGAACACCACCAAGTTCGTCGAGCGGACGAAGACCAACGCGCCCGTCGTCATGCCCGCCCTCACCAAGGTCAAGCTCAACGGCAAGGGCAGCGGCGTCTTCCAGCGGGGCGGCAAGAAGTAGTCGACCACCACCACCACTACCGCTACCACCCGCTCAAGTGGGTCTTCTTCCCCGCGGTGCACCCTCCGCGCACCACTTCGTGTCCGACTCCTTGATGAACAAAAACACTTTCACCCTTGATGAAGCCCTCGCAAGAAAGAACACGATGAAGATCGTGTAGTGACTTAGTACACGTCACCAGGGGAGCGCACGACCAGCTCGCGCTGGAAGCGGGCGATGTCGATCGGCCCGTCGGCGCTCGTGGCGTGGAACGTGATCTTCCTGGGCGTCCGCGGCAGCAACAGGAACCCGTTGTCCTCAAAGCGGCCCTGCAGACAAGCCAAACGGCGAGAGTGTTGAACGTGTGATGGCGAGGCGCCTGGGAGAGCAGTTGTGCAATGTGTGCGTGCGTGGTGGGTACGGACCTTGAGGGGGTAGGAGGTGTCCAGATAAACGAACGGCGCGGCATTGTCCGAGATGAGCTGCACGAAGGCCTCCTGGCTGCTGTTGCCGGGGCTCACCTGCGCGCTGATCTGGGCCTTGGGCAGTGCACTCTGCTCTCGTGCGCATCACCATCACATCAATTAATGCACCGCATTGCGAATGGTTGGGGTGGCGGGGGAGACGGGGAACGGACCTGGACGATGTTGGCCAGGTAGAAGACGTTGGAGGCCACCTCATTCCCGGATCCATCCACAACGGAGAAGGTGAGGAAGCAGTCGGCTCTTTGCTTACACTTGCCCGAGATCAGCGAGGAGATGGAATCCCTGGGGGACGTACGAGCGGACGTTAAGAGCGATCATCATAATCATCGTCGTCATGGGTGGGTTGGGGGGCGGCTGGTGCCATACGACAAAACGGGCTTGCTGGCGAGCGGAGCCAGGGAGAAGGCGGTCTTCCACTCAGCCAGCGCCCCGACGCCGTCCCACGACCACAAGCGAGTGTACAGAGCACCGGAGAGCGCCTGCCATGTCCGAGAGGTGGTTTGTTGTTGTTTTTAGTTCCGAATAATATGTAGACGCAAGCCCGAGAGTAGGTATGTACGTACCTGGTTGACATCGCTGGTAATGTGGACCTGGAGCGAGTCGGTGGGTTGTTCGTAGGCCGACACGAGCACCGGCGCAAAGAAGTGCCTCACGTAGTGGTGCAGCAGCTTCCACCTTCCTCCGTACTCCAGCGAACTCCACGTGGGCGCTAGGGGGAACGGGGCCGAAGCGAGAGGGCGATGAGTGATGGGTGATCATCGACGCCACAGCCAGCCAGACATGAGTGAGGGGAAGGGTACCCTGCCAAATGTCGTTGAGCTGCCAATAGATGGCGCCCATGGTGTTGGCCGCCATGCCCTTGCTGCGCCGGTAGTGCTCCGACTGGGCCTTGACGCAGAGCGCCTATCGTCCCAGATCGAGAAGAAGAAAACCTTCAGTCACCACCACCAACCACCACCCCCACACGCCCGCCCGGCGGAGGATTCCAGGCTACCTGCGTGGCCTGGCTCAGGTACAGGAAGTCCTTGAACGACTGCAGCGAGTCGGTCACGTTGTAGCGGAAGTAGTGCTGTCGTTGTTGCGTGGGTTGTGGGTCGACGTGACCAGCCACGCACGCGTGAGTGGTCCAACAATAATTGATAATGGCCAGCGGCACAACACAATCACGGGGCCTCGTCATGCGATGGTCAAGGGGCGTACCTGGATTTGCGCAAGGACCTGGGCGTTGCCGTCGGGGTGGTGCTGGCGATGCAGCATGAGATCAGAGAACGGGTGCCAATCGCCCTGCGCGCGCACGTATGGTGAAAAAAAGGGGAGGCCTCGGGGTCAAAACAAACGCCTATGCTCGGGGCCTGGGCTTGTGAGGTGCAATGGTGGCGTACCTGCTGGGTCACGGGCCGCCAGGTCTCAAACGAGGGGAAGGACTGGTAGCCGTACTCCGACGCAAAGCGCGGGCTGGGGAAGTTGGCCACGTCGGTGCAGTCGGCCGCGTAGTTGTAGTAGTGGAGGTCGCCCATGGTCTGCAGTCGTCACGGGTGGTGAGTGGATGGGCGGATGATCATAGGAAGAGGGAGGGAACTGGGGGCGGAGGGGCGGGGGGAGGTTGCGTACCAGGTCGTAGGGGTTGCCCCAGATGCCGACGAAGGGGTTCTGCTCAAGGACGCCGTTGGAGGGCGACGAAGGCCAGAAGGGCCGGCTGGCGTCCAACGTGAGCAGCGTCTCGCGGATCGTGTCGAAGTAGAGCTTGGCATAGTCGACCTGCCCCCCCCCAAGACCAGTTTTTTAGGCCCACACTGTGTGTGTGTCGTGCCGTGATGGGGTGTTTAGGTACCACGTAGAGGCGAGGGTTGGTACGCGTCGCACCAAACCAGTCGAAGGCGGCCTCGTTCTCGTTACTTCCGGACCACAAGATGATTGAGGGGTGGTGCGTCAACCTCTCCACCTGCACGGTGCGTCAGTGGCCTCTCTCACTCTCTCCTCTCACACACGCGCGGGTGAGGTGGGACTGCCGACCTGGTGAGTGACCTCGGCGGCCGTGGTGGCCAGGAATTTCTCGTCGCGAGGGTACATGGCGCACGCGAACATGAACTCTGCACGCCCGATGTCAGAAGCCTTCACTCCCAATAATGTAAGCCCCATCATCGGGAGGGAACGGGGGGAGCGCGATGATTACCGACCTTGCCACACCATGATGCCCTTCTCGTCGCACAGCTGGTAGAACTTGTCCTGCTGGTAGACTCCGCCGCCCCACACCCTGTCGCCAAGGCACAGAATAGAGGAGGCATCGAGACGGGGTTGTTGAGAGAGGCCATCATCGATAACTCCCAGCGAGGCGGGGAGAGGGAGGTATGTGAGAACCTGAGTACGTTCATGTTGGCATCGAGGGCGTCCTGCACGAGCTGCACCATGTCCTGATCACTCACGCGGTTCTCAAAGGAGTCCATCGGCACAAAGTTGGCGCCCTTGGCGAAGATGGGCACCTGCAGCAGCAGCAGCACCACCACCATCAGTCAGCACGCACCGCACCGATCTTCCGTACGTCGGGAGCGCACTGGCGCACGCGCACACACATACCCCGTTGATGCGGAAGAACATTGAGGAGCCCTTTTGGTTGGAATACTTGTCGGTGACGAGCTCAACGGTGCGGAAGCCCACTTGGCGGTCCGCGCTGACGGGAGCGAGCCAAGGGCGATCGTGGTCGTGGTCGTCCCTCAAAGCCGACGACGGGGTGAAGGTCGCGGTCAGGGAGTACAGAGGCTGCGCACCGTAACCCACGGGCCACCACAGGTCCACGTTGGACACCAAGATCGTCGCGCGCACCCGATTCTCGCCCTGTGGGGCACCGTACCCCATTCGGTAAAGGTCAGCCAACTCGGAGTTAAAGCAGCGAGGCCGCCGAGAAGGGCTGACAGCTTACCGCGTGGAGCTGGCACGGAATGTTCTGAGAGGCCCCAGCCACGCTCACCTTCAGCATACCGGCTACGCTCGTCGCTCCTGTTCACCGCGGCCGCGTCAATGCAAGCGCTATACCCTAGGTTTGGTTCCAGTGCCAGAAAAGGAGGGCCCTCCCACCTGTTCCCGAGGGAACCAGCAACACAGTCTCCACCTCCACGCGGAAGTGACGCGAACCTGCCGCGCCCACAACGAAGGTCTTGTTTTGGTGGTGTGAGTGGTGCAGTGGCCATGTGAGAAGGTCGGGCTTTGTGGGGATGGGGGTGGGGGTGGACGTTGGTGCGCACCTGAGGCACGAGGGCGGTGATGACGGGCGATGTGTAGCCCAGCAGGGCAATGGGCTTGTAGATGCCCTGGGGCATGAACGCTGGACCCCAGTCCCACGAAAATGAACACTGCTCCTTCCTGGATCACCCCGCCAGCCACACGACCACCCCGCCATAGCGCCACACGGGTCAATTCGTCGCCTCGTCTCCCGCCCATGGGTCTAGCTAAACACTCCTTCACCTGATGTAGTTGCGGAAGGGTTCCCCCGGACTGCTGTGTGAGGTTGTCGGCCGATGGGAGCTCGTAGGGCGTATGCGCCACTTGAGCCTGGTGGTGCATCGGTCTGAGCCGAGGCTGACTCTACCACCCGCGGCCCAGGTGGTTGGGCGGAGGAGGACGTGCCTTGGCGTAGGTCTCGGCCGAGGTGAAGCTGACGGTGATGGTGTTGTCCGGCCCCGACCGCAACAGGTCGGTGGGCACGGTGAAGAGGTACCGACGGAACATGTTGTCGGCGTACCCGATGACCTTCCCGTTGATCGCCACGCTGGCCACCGTGTCGAGGCCCTCGCAGACCAGCACCACCTGCCCCACCATTCCACTTCTTTCAGCATCACTCACCCGCTTGCACGCGGGCCAAGTGCGGGTCAAGGGTGGTGATCGAGTACCTCGGCGTGGGCGAGCAGGTCGGCCGATACGCGGAAGCGACGGGAGTAGGTCCAGTCGGTGAGCGCGATCCAGCGGTACTCGACGTCGCGGTACCTCACGTAGGGGTCTTCGATCACCTTTGCTTTCTGCAGAGAGCCGCCCACACCCCGACCGAGGAGCGGTGAGGGAACCATCAACTTGAGACGCGTCTTTGTGGGGGGGGGCGTAGAGGCAAAGAGGGGGTGGAGGGAGGTCGTACGAGCAGGTCGAGGTGAATGACGCCGGGTACCGACGCGGCCGCACTGATGCTGCCGTTGCTGCTCGCCACCCGCCAGTCCTTGCCGCCCAGGTCCACAATGGTCGTACCGTCTTGTCCCTCGCCCCTGCAATGGTCGTGTAGATCGACAGACCTCGCCCCCAGTGAGCCCACAAAAAAGGGAGGCCCTGTTACCGGAGGACGCACAGCAAGGGGATCATCCGAGTGCCAGAGCACACGGCCAAGAGCGCCAGCAGTGCCAGCACTCTCATCTTCATCCTTGGTCGCCCTTGTGCACACCTGCTTGCTGCTTTGTTGTAATCCTTCTATGGTCCAATGGGCGTACGCCCGTTGCGAGCAAAACGTATTGAAGAGAAAATAGGGGAAATGAAAAGGAAAAAAACCTTTTTTGTTTGGCTGGGCAAGAAGATTGTTGGGGACGTGGCCACAACAGCAGCAGCGTCGGGCAGGTTCCTGGGAGGCAATGCAACCGGCCTGCTTGGAAGAGGAAGAGGGAGGGGTTATCCAGCATGCGCCTCAGGAGCAGTTGGTGCAGCCATCTGCGTGGGGGCGTCGCAGCAACCACAACCTCAAGCTCCTCGAGGACGGCCTCACCGTCACCTACCAGCCTGCCCCCTTCCCCCTCATAGCCGTATCCCTCCTTCTCCCCCACCACCACGTCACCCTTATCCTCTGGCAGCACCGCACCACAATATTGTCGGGGGGGGGCTTAGCGTACGCTAATGTTGGGGTGGGCGTGGCCAGGTGGCGCAAGCGGACCGACCGTTCAGCCAGCTGCAGGGGCTGTGCTACTTCGAGGTCGTCCTGGCCGATGTGGGCAAGAGCCAGTGCGTGCACCCCTCACCACACAAACCCACACTGCCGAGGCAAGGCAACTGAACAGCGTGTACGACAGGGACCTAGCGATCGGGTTGGCGACACGGGCGCACCCGCTGGACTGCCACCTGGGGAGCAGCAACAAGTATGCGTCCTCCCTGACACCGGTGTTGGCCCTGGCGGCTGTTGTGCTCACACCGGATAACAACTGGCCCTTGTCGTACAGGTCGTACGGGCTGCACTGCAGTGACTACAGCACACAGTTCAAGGGCGGAAAGAAGCTGGTGTATGTGCCCGCTCGCTCGCTCGCTCGCATGTGGACAGTGGTGTGGTGCTGATTGGGGGGGGGCGATTCTTGCAGGTGGCCGGGCACCGTGCCTGCGCTCAAGTCGGGCGATGTCGTCGGCTGCGGGTTCCACAACACCACCCACGACATATTCTTCACTCACAACGGCAAGGCCCTGCGTACGTGCACCTTAACTCTCCTTTCTTTGCTTTGCTGTTTTGCTGTCACACTGCAGTGGTCGACCAACATGTAATGCGCATGGTTTTGCCCTGTGTAACATGTAACGTATAGCGGGAGCACTTCAGCGGATATACGGCGAGCTCTACCCGACCGTCACAGTGTGCAGCAATGGGGCACGCTTCACCGCCCGGTTCAAGCCTCCCTTCGCCTACTCCATCTCTCTGAACTGGGCTCCCCCCGAGCTCGTGGGTACTACGTCGCCCGCTTCCCGATGTGTGTGTGTGTGTGCGCGCGCGCGCGTGTGTGTGCGTGTGTGCGTGTGCGTGTGCGTGTGTGTGTGTTACACCTTGTTGACCGATTGTTCGGTGTCCTGGCAGACTACATGCCGCGTGAGCTCGACCCACTGGCCTGCGGTTCGTCCCTGAAGCTGCACGAAGCCAACACTGTCGTGGAGTACACGAACTCGCATGACGGCATCAATGGGGTACGCCGCCGGTGGTGTTGGCCCTGGGATGGATCTTTCTCTCCACGACTGGGCACTCACCATCGTCATCTGATGTGGCGGTGGGGGTGATATGTACATCAGTTGGTGCTGGCCGACCATCCGTTCAACCCCACACAGAAGGTGTCCTACTTCGAGATGGAGGTGGTGGACCGCGGGCAGAAGGGATGGATCGCCATCGGCTTGAGCGTCTTCGACTATCCGCTGACCCACCATCCGGGCTGGCGCAGAGGGTGCCGTTCTCCCGCCGACGCCGTCTCTGGTTGTCCAGCTCAAGCCACCTGACTCACAGCTGTACTTGGTCCGTTCTTTTGTTTTGGCTGCGGTGCTCAGGTCGTGGGGCTACCACGGCGACGACGGGCGTAAGTTTGGGGAGAGCGGCACGGGTGAGCCATTCGGGCCTTCCTACACCACGGGCGACGTCATCGGGGTGGGCCTCCATCACCAGCGCAAGGAACTGTTCTTCACCAAGAACGGCTTTTTCCTGGGTAAACCAATGCAACACACGCAATGCAACGCAACGCAAAGCAGCGCACGCGATGCGATCAGTGAATCTAACCCAACACTGCTTACCGCTCACAGGCGTGGGCTTCGTGGGCATAACCGAGGACATATTGTTCCCCTCGGTCGGCCTGCACAGCTACGGTGAGAAGGTCCGGGTGCGCTTCCAGCCACCGTTTGTGTTCCAGGCGGAGGCCATCAACAAAGGTACCGCCAGACACACACACACACACCACACACGAGAGAGGGGGAGAGAGAGCTGTACGTTTGCTGATGATACCTCTACGCCAGCCTACAACATTACACCCAAGCTGAAGCGCGTCAGGCCACCACGCACCGGCTGCAATCTACCGCGAGGTACCGCAGCTTTCCGCTTTTGCCGGGCGCTATAAAGGCGTGGCTCCTCCGTAGCGAGCGGCCTAAACGCCAACAACACTTCCCAGACTTCAGGGCGTGGACACCAGAGCAGGTGGGACAGTGGCTCGAGTCGACCGTCGGCCTGGGCCAGTACCAGAAGAAATTTGTTGAGAACGACATCACCGGAGAAACGTACCTCTCTCTCTCTCTCTACATAATCGTCCAATACTCATTTTGTGGTGGTGCGTGTGCGTGTGCGTGTGCAGGCTGGAGTCGCTGGGCGATAGCGACGTGCTGAAGAAGGAGTTGGGGATCACTAGCTTTGGCCACCGGATGCAGATCGTCAAGCACATCCAAGGTCTGCTGAGCAAGGACCAGCAGGAGGGCGGGTCTGGGAGCTCCCTTTCCGACAGGGAGGACAGCACCGGCCGGGAGCGGAGCAGCAGCAGCGGTAGCAGAGAGGGCTCGGGATCCTTCTCGCCACGACCTTCCTTACCCGGTACCGAGGGCCTTGTGTTGCGCGTGTTCTGTGGTGTGTGGCGCGCGCGTGTGGTTTGTCGTCTGTCTTAATTTGTGGGTGCGCTGCGGGCTGGGACAGACGAGCGAGCAATGAGTCGGGTGGAGGTCAAGTACGAGGATCTGGAGATGGGCGAGTGCATTGGGAAGGGCTTCTTTGGCGAGGTACGACGTCGGCACCTCATCGGCCTGCTGGCCCATCAGCCACTACAGACTCTGGTGATGCGATGGTTCGTTGTTTGTTGTTGTCGCGCCTCAGGTGCGGCGGGCAAGGTGGCAGGGCACGGATGTGGCGGTGAAAGTGATCTACAGGAAATCGTTCCGATCAGCCGACGAGTTCCAACTCTTCGAGAAGGAGGTGGCGGTGCTCAGGTAAGGCCGTGTCCTCTTCTGCGCAGCACGCCGCCTTGTTTATCCGCTAAAGGCTGCGCACATTGGCTGACGGTCGAACTTCATTCAGTCTGCTGCGACATCCCTGCATTGTACAGTTCATGGGGGTCTGCGTGGGGTCGAAGAACTGCATCGTCACCGAGTTCATGGCCGGTATACCACTTCTCTCTCCCCCCTCTCTTCGCTCTTCTTCTCTTTCGTTCTTTATTTCTTTCTTTTGTGCCAATTAATTGGCTAATCAACGAACGGGCCGTTCAATCGTCAGGGGGCAATCTGGAAAGCTTCGTGCTGCTCAAGCTGGCGGTCCTCGAGCACAACCCGTATCTCCGGGTGCGTATCATAGGCAGCATCGCCAAGGGTACCTACCCACCCACCTCCCTACCTACCAGCCACCCGTCTTTAGCTACCCTCTCCTCCCCTCGCCCGTCCCTCACCGCGAGAGGGAAATGATGAATGTCAGGAATGTGCTACCTCCATGGCTGGAGCCCCAAGCCCATCCTCCATAGAGACCTGACGCCGCGTAACATACTCGTACACGCACCCCCCCCCCTTCCCACCTTCTTAACTGCTCGGCACGGCCTGCATGACTTAATGAGTGCGGTGCGCGTGCGGCGTGGGGTCGGGTTCGTGTGGGGCCAGCTGGACAAGCACCTGGGCGCGAAGGTGGCGGATTTCGGGCTGTCGCGACTCAAGGGTGAGAACAGGATGACCGAGGGTGTGGGCTTCCTGCCCTTCCAGGCACCGGAGGTGTTCAAGGGGGAGGAATACTCCGAACAGGCCGGTGCGCGCCCCATGCTCTACCCTCTGTACTTTATCATTTGTTAACATGACACACAACACAACACAACACACAACACAACACACAACTCACACACGACATACAGACGTTTACTCCTTTGGCATGGTGGTGTGGTTCCTGTTTGCCGGAAAGCAGCCGGACGAAGGGTTCGCCTCGGCGCTGCGTATGGCCAACATGGTTGCCCACAAGGACTACCGCCCCGCGCTGCCCGATGGGTACGGGGTCCTTCCCAATGAGTTGGTCGTTTAGCTGTTTGGAGGCTCAGGTGCCTTCCCACACGCAAAACAACAAATTCTTCAGAATGCCCGAGAGCTGGCGGATGCTGGTGCGGGCGTGCTGGAGCCCGCAGCCCAGCTCACGCCCCAGCTTCAGAGAACTGCTCCGCACCATCGAACACTACAAACAATCCGAGAACCGTATGCCCCTCTCCACCAACCGTTCGTGGCTAACCGTCCGTGCTATCCGTGGAGTCGTGCGTGCGAGTGCTGATGATGGTCCGGGTTCTGTATGCAGACAGCTCTGGATACTTCGTACCCAACGACCCGATCGCGACCGACCGTCCACCAGCGCCCGTACGCCAATCCGCCTTTTTGTTCACCCGCGCGTCATTGGGAGTTGGGAGGGTGGGTTCTCACCTCGTCCCATTGTGCGTCAATACGTATGGCGACGTGGTGGTGGTGGTGGTCAGTAGAAGTACTCGCGGTCCGAGCCGTCGCTGGAGAGCCTGTACTATTACGAGAGCGAGGGGGAGCACACGACCGCTTCGGGCAGCTGGGAGAGCCGACGGTCGTCGGCCACGCCCTCGCATCACCCGGCGCACCACCAGCGCGCCGTCAACAGTGCCCCGCTCGTGCGGAGAAGTGTCGAGAACTCGGCAGCGGGCGAAGACAACGACGAAGAGTTGGCGGCTGCGGTGGGCCACATGCGTGTGCGAGATGCCTACCACCACTACAGCGAGGGCGACTGCATCAGCACCGAGTGCGGGAGCCAGAGCGAGAACGAGGCGCTATTCCACCACCACCACGGCCCGTTTGATCAACACAGCCCCGGCGGGGAGGAGGGCGACATCATCGCCGCGCGCCTCTTCGGCCCCACTCCACCTCAGTAACACTTGCATCACCAACAATGACACACAACCCTCCCAAGATGCGCGTTGCCTGTGCGTGTGCGGTGCGTGCGAGTGTGTGTTGTGGTAAGAGTACATTGCGGTGGGAAAGCGGAGCCAAGCGATCCCACACATGTGTAAGAGGCCGAGACGTGACTGCGGTGGCGACCACCTCGTCGTCGGCGGTCGGTGGCGCGAGCGGTGGCGTGCAGCGACGGAGGCGCGGAAAAGGGCGGCGGTGGCAGCGGGAAAGCAAAAAACAAAGCAGCGGCGCCAGGCGGAGAGGCCCAGACTGATGGTGGGCGGATTGGCTAGGAAGGGTACGAGTGGTACTCCCACCTCCGCCGTACCAGGTGGCGCACCAGGTAGAGCAGACACCCCGAGGTCACCACCCCGACCGAGATCAGCGGGAAGATCCACCCTGCGCACCACCAGGCAAACAAATTAATTTATCCATAAATAAATAAACAAATAAATAAAATTCCGCCATGTGGCCAGGGTAAGAGGAAAGTGGGGAAGGGAACTACGGTACCGTAGTAGAAGAGAGAGCCGATGTTGAAGAAGGTGATCAGCATGGGCAGGCTGGCGATTAGGACGACCCCGATCTTGCCGAACGGGAGAGCGAAGGGACGCTCCAGCTCGGGCTCTGTTATTATTTCGGATAAGTAAGAGAAGGAGGAGGAAAGGCAGTGACCGGCACGGCCACGGGGGGGGGTAGGGTACCCTTCCAGCGGAGGCGGATGACGGTGCCGGCGAGGAGGAGCACGTGGAGGCAGTAGAGGAGGGACTCGATCTCGACCAGCACCGAAAAGTCCAACAGGACCAGCGCGGCCGTGGTCAAGCTGAAGAAGATGATCGCCACAATCGGCGCTGGAACCAACCACAACCACAACCACAACCACAACCACAACCACAACCACAACCACAACCACAACCACAACCACAACCACAACCACAACCACAACCATTCAAACACGTTGTCAGTCATTCGGGCGGCCGCGTGATGATGGTGGTCGGAGGGGGGATGGGGGTGCGGTACACTTGTACTGGGGGAAGGCGCTGAAGATGGAGGGCGCGACACCCTCCTCTGCCTGGGCGCGGAGGGCGGAGGCCGTGGTGCCGAGGTAGGCGTTGTAGGTGCCCATCGTGCTGGCCAGGCCGCCGGCGATCATCAGGTACTTGATCCACTCCCCTGTGGTCACAGCCTTTGACATCAGCGTATGCCATAGACAATGCACGCGTGTGTCTGCGGTGCGTGTGCGGTGCGTGCGTGCGTCACTCTTGCGCCCCCGTGCGTGTGGCCACTTGTGTTGAGGAGTGAGTACCGAGGCCGATCTCGAGGGCGAGGGCGGGATAGGCGCCCTCGGTGATCTCGGAGGGGTCCTCGGCGATGGCGATGGCCATCGCAATGGGGAAGAAGTACGTCGCGATCATCAGGAAGATCGACCCTGTGTGCACGAGACCCCTCCCGTAAGTGGCGAGGCGCACCGCCACGACACACAAGCACGGAGGCGGGAGGCGATGTGTAGGTACCGATCATGACGATGGGGAACGTGCGCCGGGGCTTGTCCACGTCACCGGCGAGGAAGCCCGAGTACTCGAAGCCGCAGGTGGCCCACAGCAGCACGCTCAGGTACAGCGGCACGTCCCACTCGTCTGCTCAGGCGGGCCGCGACCGCGCGAGGCAGAAGAAGACGAAATTAGAAATTAGTCACCCCGCTGCACGGGGGCACGGGCGCGTGGAGGAGGCGATGGTCTTACCCTTGGCGGTCTCGACCCAAGCGTGCGGATCGAACCGGTCGCTGAAAAAGCCCGCAGCGACGAAGATGACGAACGGGAGCAGCGCCAGTGCCGAGAAGATCTGGACACACGCACACGCACACGCATGCAGGCGTCAGTCCAGCGCCGCTGCAAAGCTCATTGCTACGTCGGGGACGTGGTGCCGCGCGCACCTTGGAGAAGTGGCCCATGGTGGAGACGCCCAGCAGGTTGACGATCATGCACAGGAGGATGTAGCCCAGGTTGATCAGATAGGCCTGCCACCACGTCAACTCAACTACACCAACCACACGGCAGAGGCGAGTGAGACGTGCGCGGTGTGCGTGCGTGCGTGCGTGCGTTGTGGGCGATTGGGTGGTGGAAGACAAGTGCGTGGGGTACCCAGTGTTTCGATGTAGGAGACGAAGATGAGGGGGTAGAGTGCCTGGTCGATGATGACGACCACGATCATGATCCATGCATCGAGGAACGACACGAAGGGACCGAACGCGCGGCGGCTCCACAGGAGGAATCCCGAGGCGTCCGGCATCGCAGTCGCCAGCTCCGCCGTGATGAGCGCCACCGGCAAGCTCCACAGCCTGCACGCACACACCGCACACACCGCACACACCGCACACATGCGGACCGGGTGAGGAAAATGGGGGAATGGCGGAAGAGGTATGGTGGGAGGTTACCAGGGGATGACGAGGATGCCGAGGAGGCCAAAGAGCGGGGGAAGGGAGCCGCCGAGGTCCTCCGTGCCGTAGCTGCCGCCGCACACGAGGAAGTAGACCACCGCCACCATCGAGAACACGCCCAGCGCCTTCTTCTCCCCGTCTCCGCCCGCACCTGCCACATCCGCCAACGGGTCTGCCAGACGACGACCAGAGCCAGGTCACCAACGCCCATGTTTATTTCTATTTATTTATCTGTTGATTATTTGAATACTCGCCTTGAAAAGTATTGCTTGAATTTATACAATTACAACAAAATTAAAAATAAAAATAATATACGAATAGTGTGGGAGAGGAGTACCTTCGTCATCGTACGGGGGTCGAGAGGTGGTTTTGGAGGGAGAGGAGGGCAGGAGGGAGGACGACGGGCTGCTGCCCGCCTCCGCCGGTAGCCGCTCCATGGTGGCGGAGAATGGGCCACCCACCAACGCAAAGAGGAAGCGGAAAGAGGAATGCGGAGGGAACGGCTGCCAAGAAAGGAGAGCAGCAGCTGCTGCCGGCAGAGAATATACGAAGAGGGTCGGCGCAGAGTAGGCACCACAAGTGGTGGTGGGTGGGGGTTCGGCGACGCCTTTTCCTCTTTCACAGCGGCAAGCTGCGGGTCGCTTCAAAAAGAGAGCAATAACTCGAGTTATTGGGCTGAATATTGGGTCGAGTGACGTGGGCAGCGCGTTTGTACGGAAAGGTGGCGATTTCTTCCGGGCCAAGGGGCTCGTTGGGGGGAATTGTGGAGTTACGGACGGTTGTGCGTGGCCGAACACACCGACACCCACGAGGTGCTTGCTAGCGCTGACAAAGATCGACGTCTTGCCGAAGAGAAGAGCAAGGACGAGGAATAGAATCAGTGTAGACTGCAGACCTCGAAAAATACACACTTCTTAAGATGGAACGCCCCTCATCCACCCTGGCGGTGCTGTCGCAGCGCGTCGATGAATTCGTGAAGCAACACAAGCATCTCGAGACAGTGCGAAATGCAATCTTCCTCTTCGTCGTGCTGAGGTATGGCGGCAAGGCGCTGTGGGCGCTTTACGACGTGGGCCTGGCGAGGATGTGCCGCGATCTGCGCGCCTACCTCGTGACGTTCTTCTTTGAGCGAGCGAGGAAGATCCCCTACGTGAAGCGCAAGGTGGCAGAGGAGATGGACAAGGTGTCGGCGTCTCTGCGGAAGACCCTGCTGGCGGGCAACGAGGGCATGATCTCGCACACGCGGCTGCCAGCGGAGGCTATCGGCGCAGAGGACGTGCTGGCCGAGCTGCGAACCCTGCAGGAGATGGGCCACCATAAGTGGGAGGAGGGCCGCGTCTCCGGTACGGTCTACCACGGCGGCGCCGACATCACCAGCATCTCGTCTCGCGCCTACGAGATGTTCATCTGGAGCAATCCCCTCCATCCCGACGTGTTCCCCGGCGTGCGGAAGATGGAAGCCGAAATCATTGCCATGATCGTCCACATGTACAACGGCGGCCCGCAGGCGTGCGGAACGACGACGAGCGGCGGAACCGAGAGCATCCTCATGGCCATGAAGGCCTACCGCGACTGGGGCCGCAAGGAGAAGGGCATCACGGCGCCCGAGATCGTGGCACCCGTGTCGGTGCACTGCGCCTTCGACAAGGCGGCCCACTACTTCGGCATGAAGCTGGTCCACGTCCCGGTTGACCCCCAGACGCGCAGCGTAGACGTGCGCGCCGTTCGGCGGGCCATCACCAGCAACACGGTGGCCATCGTGGGCTCGGTGCCGAGCTACCCGCACGGCGCCATCGACGACATCGAGGCCCTGTCCGAGGTGGCCCTCCACTACGGCGTGGGCCTGCACGTCGACTGCTGTCTCGGCGGCTTCCTCATCCCCTTCATGGACAAGGCCGGCTTCAAGCTGCGACCGTTCGACTTCCGCCTGCCGGGCGTCACCTCCATCTCGTGCGACACACACAAGTACGGCTACGCGCCCAAGGGCTCGTCGGTGGTCATGTACAAGACCAAGGAGCTCCGCTCATACCAGTACTTCGTTGCGTCCGACTGGACCGGCGGCATCTACGCGTCGCCCACCATCGCCGGCAGCCGACCGGGCGCCCTGCTGGCCGGCTGCTGGGCCACCATGATCAGCGTCGGCGAGGCCGGCTACGTCGCCTGCACCCGCGAGATCATCGCCGCCGCGAGGAAGCTCAGCGCCGCCATCAAGAACATCCGCGGCCTCAAGCTCTACGGCAACCCGCAGGTGTGCGTCGTGGCCTTCGGCTCGGACGACTTCGACATTTACCTGCTCGGCGAGCAGCTCACCAAGAAGGGCTGGAACCTCAACTCCCTCCAGTACCCGTCGAGTATCCACATCTGCCTCACCTACGCCAACAAGGACTCAGCCGACGACCTCATCCACGACCTCACCACCCTCACCGCCGAGCTCATGAAGACGCCCGGCAAGGTCGCCCAGGGCGCCGGCGCCATCTACGGCATGGCTCAGGCCGTGCCCGACCGCACCATCGTCGACCAGATCGCGCGCTGCTTCATCGACACCCTCTACGAGAACGTCGAGGAAGGAGCCCCCACCACCACCACACCCAGCTCCCCGCACAGCGACTAGTATTCCAACAATTCGCCCCATCATTTATGAAATAATTACATATTTCCCTTTTTTTGCCAGACGCGTCTCTTGGGCGCTTTGTCACGCTGCCTCCTTAACATGTTCTCTCTCTCTGCGTGTGTTAAAAGGTTTGATTCCCAGTGGCGGTGCCGAAAGAGGTAAGCCCAAGAAGAAACGAAAACGCGCCGCTTCGATACTGAGTGGGCTTTCACACTGTCTGCCGCGGTGTTCTTCTCTCCACAGCAGTCGAAGCACACGCCAAGTTGAAGAAGACTCTTTGGCTCGGGCTCGAACATGAAGGTCTTAGGGTAAGCGTCTCCCCTATCTCTCGAGAGCCTCCATACTTGAACGCGACGGGCGCTTTCGTAAACACCCATCAACACAAGAGATGGATCTAGGAAGATGAATGGATTTGAACGGATTCGAGTTATGCGTGGACCAATATATAGGTTGCATACCGGTATCATTGATGAATGAGAGACTCCTGGCTGATGGGCGTCTCTTTCTCTGCTCTTTTTCTCTGTCCAGAATCGTGCTCCTGTCCCTGTCGCTCCTGGCCTTGGCTGCCGGAGGAGTGGAGAGCACCATGGTTATCAACGAAATCGACGTCTCCAGCTCTGGCGGCCAGTACTACGAGTTCGTGGAGCTCTACAACGCCGGTCCCTCGACGATCAACCTCCTGAACTACAAGTTGGAGGTCTGGTTCGACGATGGTGAGGGCAGCTACTTCCTCGACGAACAGGCCACGAAGCTTCTCCTTGACTTCAACGTGACGGCCGGTGGCTACTACGTCATGTGCGTCGTGCCCGGCCTCATCCCCGGCTGCGTGCAGGAGCTTCACGACTACGAGCAGGGCTGGCTTCCCGACAACGGCGCCTACCTGGTGCTTTTCGATCCCGAGGGAAACCAGCTCGATCTCGTCGGCTACGCCCAGGGTAGCCCCGTGGGGGAGTCGTGCGAGACCGCCCCGGCCCTTAGCGATGATTCCGTCCAGGCCAGTCAGACGATCGCGCGCTACCCCAACGGCCAGGACACTAACGACAACTCGGTCGATTTCGCCGCCGGTTGTGCCACACCCGCCTCCGCCAACGTCCTCATCGCAGACATCGAAATCTGCTTCACCACCACGCTGAGCGATATCGTGATCAACGAGATCGATTACACCCAGCCCGGCAGCGACAACAAGGAGTTCATCGAGCTTCACAACCGCGCCAACTACGATCAGACCAGCAGCAACATCGCCAGCTACGTTCTGAACATCATCGACGACACCAACGCCACCGTCCTGACTACGGCCCTCTCCGCGGCCGGTTACCAGCCCAACATCCCCGTGCACGGCTACTGGATCCTCTGCGTCGCTGGTTCGGCCGACTTCTGTACCGGTCCCGGCGCCCGCCCGGTCGGCGAGGCCATCTTCGAGCTTCCCTCCGCCATCGACTGGCTGCCCAACCCGGGCGGTGAGAGCTCCAGCTACTCCATCCAGCTGGTCGGTCCCGGAGGCATCCTCGACGTGCTAACCTACGGTGGCACCCAGCCCGGCGTCACTCTCGGCACCGGCGTCGATGACATCGATCGCGCGAACGAGGGTCGCTTCGGCGTATCCCGCTACCCCGACTCCTGGGACACTGCCAACAACGCTGAGAACTTCCGCGCCACGTACCTCTTGCCCCCCCCCCCTCCAACCACCATCTTCCCCTTCCTCGTAAACCCCCCTCCGCCGCTCGATCGGCTCCTTCACCCCCCCCCTCGGCGTGTGAGGAGTTGACGGCTGACCTCCCCCTTTGATGTTATCCCCCTCCTATCCATAGGTGCATCACCCCCAATGACATCAACACGGTAACCAACGTGAACTGCGACCCGGCCAACTCGCCCTCGCCGTCGCCCACCAACTCGCCGTCGCCCTCGCAGACCCCGACCAACTCGCCCACTCAGAGCCCCACCATGTCGCCGACGCAGAGCCCCACCAGGTCGCCGACGCCCTCGGTCAGCCTGAGCCCCACCACCACGCCGTCGCCGTCTCCCGTCCGCAACGCCATCCCGTCGGCCCTGGCCCTGTGCGAGAAGGAGAAGATCGACGACGCCGAGGAGGAAGCCCGCCTCCTGGCCCAGCGCAAGAAGTTCTGCCGCCAATACGTGCCTGAGTCCGAGACCAAGCGCGACAACGAGCGCGAGGCCATGGAAGCCGCCTACGAGGAGGCCGCCCAGTGCTGGTACGACAAGGCTGCCGAGTGCCCGGTCGAGCGCAGGTCCGAGGCCAGGTTCATGGCCAAGGAGCTCAAGGTCACCCTCCAGCTCCACAACAAGGAGATCGACTCCATCCCCAAGCCCAAGCGCGGCCTTGCCCGTGCGGACAAGGACGACGAGGTCGACGTTGAGGGCGGCAAGGCCAAGAGGTGGGACATCCTCTGGGACCCGCTCACGGAGCCCTACCCCGAGGACCTCGAGTACTCACTCGAGTACTGCGAGAAGAAGCGCGAGTACATCCGCTTCTACCACAAGGCCCTCCGCTACAAGATCATCGCCTGCAATGAGACCAGGGCCTACTACGACTGCCAGCGCGACGCGTACACCCGCTTCAAGGACACCTACGAGGCCTCCAACGCTGACTGCAGCGAGTTCTCGTGCGAACTCTAAATCCTCCTCCAACACGCGACTACCCCGCCCCGGTGGCTGCTGCGGTGTTAGCAGAATAATTCGACGACGACCAGCTGCCACCACTCCTTCTTTTCCGTTGTTATCTCTCTTTCTCTCATCCACCACTTTGTCCTTCGTCGCCTTAGTCAACAAGGACTCCTTACTTCGATTCTTTTCTCTGGGCGTGGTGGTGTGTTGCGAGATCTGGACCAGTGGTGGTTGGTATTTGTTCAAATGGCTGGTGGCGCAGGTTGTCCCCTCCTCTTTGGCCCTCGTCTCGCGGTGGCTAGTCCGCAAACTCGAGGACGCCGTAGAGCCCGAAGTGGTCGGATGGGTAGACCACCTTGCCCTCGTCGTCACTGTCTTCGCTGTCGGACTCGCTATCCGTGCCCGAGTCGCTGTCGTCCGAACTCGACGAGTCGTCTCTCTCGTCGTAGGTGGCCTGGTAGGCAGGAGAGATGAACACGTACGTGTGAACCACCCGCGGCCATCACCAGCATCGCAACATCGCGTTCAGCGTCTCGGACAGTGGCGTACCTCGGTTCCGTTGTAGACGTGTTCGATGGGACGGGTGCCCAGTAGAAGCACCTCGGCTGGTCGCCAGTTCTTCGACCGGGACAGGATCAAATCGATTCGAACCCTCTGCGCACCACACCGTCGGAAATAGAATACCATCAGCACCAGCGGGGGGGGGAGTGACAGGACTGGAGGAAGGGGACCTCTTTCTTGGCCCGCTTGATCTTCTTGAGCATCAGGTTTTTGTGCGCGTCGTAGGTATAACCGGCGACCTCGGGTCCCTTCAGCTCCAGCCATTGGTCCCTTCGCGTTGGTCGTACGCGTGGCGTTAGTCGGGTGCCCAAGGCCAAGCGTGCGTGTGTTCCCCCCCCCTGTCGGGGCAAGGGGGAGAAACAGGCACAAGCAGACAGCGCAATGAAGTGTGTACCTGTAGTCTTTCATTGTGGACCCCAGGCTCCCAAGCCTCTCCGCAGCGCTGGCAAAGTTGAAATCGCCCTACACGTACGGAGACATAAGAAGCCGCGGTCAGTTCCCACACTGGCTCGGGATATGTTCTCCCTTTTTGGAGGAGGAGGAGAGCAAAGAATGACAGCTGTGCGCCGCATTACCATGATGACTGCGTTGTTGTAGTGCTGATCGTGCAGAATGTGCCGAATGACGCGCAGCTGCTTCGCTCTGATGGGAGCATCCTTTGTGTAGCTCTGCGAATCGTCACGATCGCCACCAGCGCCACGTGAGCTATTTCTTGGGTGTGCACACACGACACCGCGAGTCGGCGTACCTCGAGGTGCGAAGTGGCAACGGCAAAGCTCTGGCCGTTGAGGCTAAACTCTGCCACCAGCACCTTGCGGCCCAGCTGCGTTGGGAGCTCCTGGAGCCTTGGGGCGTAGATGGAAATGCGTGAACCCCAACTCGTGGCACCATGATTTTCATCCATGTAGGGAGGTGAATGAGGCGGAGTGGATTACCTGAGGTGTTTGTAGGGAAGTTTGGAAAGCATAAGGACTCCATAGCCGAGGAAGGTGCGAGCCTCATCGGTATCGGTTATCCAATATCGCTGTCGAATCCACTCCTGCTCCATGAGGAGAGCGATGATGTTGGTCGTCATCTCCTGGAAACACACGACGTCGGCGTCCTTGCTCTCCACGATTTTGAAGAGGGCCGTGAACCGGGGTCGCAGCTCTTCCTTTGTCTCTCTACGAGTGCCGAACCACACATTGTAGGTCACGAACACCAGTTTCCTCTTCTTTACATCGCCTCCATCCATCGATGTCTTAAGGCTATAGTCCCCCTGCTTCCACTTCCCCAGGTCGTTGTCCCATTTGTACGGCTGTAGCTCTGTACATTTTAACGTGGCCAACAGATCAACCACCTCCCCATCGACACGGTCACTGGGTTGCTCTGCGAGGGGCTTCTCATCCATCATCGATGTCACCTGACCAATTTGATCTCTCTTCTTCCCTTGGCGTTGGCTTGCTTCTCTTCCGTTCAAGGTCGCCCACCAACGTTGGCATAAGTATTTCAAGAATCTGGACCAGGCAGTGATGGCATTCCACAAGTGCGCGACACACAATTTGTTTGGTCTTGACGTGGCCGTGGCGCGGCGGGTACTTAGAGCTCCTCCTTCGCCTGCTTCTTCTTGCTCTTCCTGGCCTTCTTGCCACCGGCGACGGCGGGCTGAGCGCTAGAGCCTCCCACAATGTCGAGAAGCTCCACTGGATAAAGGTGGTTAGGGTTTGCTGCGCCACACCAAACAAAGAGGGGACGCGAGTACACACCCTCGAAGATGAGGACCTGGTTAGGTCCAATGGAACCAGGGCCGGACGGTCCGTAGGCGAGGTCAGAGGGGATGTAAAGTTCCCACTTGTCGCCCACAGACATCAGCTGCAGGGCCTCGGTCCAGCCTGGATTGTTGCAATCGTGTGAAAATCGTGAGGGTGCTCAAGATTTGGGAGGCTCGTACCCCTGATCACCTGACCAACGCCGAACTGAGCGGGCTGACCCCTCTTGTACGAGCTATCGAACTGTACAAATGGAAATTCATGGATGTGTAAATTAAAGCAGGCTGCTCAATGGAGACCACGGCCGTGCTTACCTCAGTGCCATCGATAAGGGTGCCACGGTAGTGCACGGACACAGTGTCGGCGGCGGAGGGGCTCTTGCCACCGGCGGGACCCTCAGTGACGACCTTGTACTGCAGGCCGCTGGGCAGGGCAACCACGCCCTCCTCCAGCGCCTTCTTCTCCAGGAACTCCTTGCCCTTTCTCAGATTGTACTTATCCATGTTGGCCGCAGCCACAAGGGATACGAGAAGCGCCAACGCCAGCAGAAGGAACCCGATCTTCATCTTTAGCTTCTTGATGGAAAATAACAAACTGCAACAGTTGGCGGTGACGTTATTTCCATGGCTTTCGAAAGCGAACCGCATTTCGTAAATCTGTTTCGCAAATACGTTGCTGGGTATTTGCGAAACAGAGCGCCAAAAGATCAGTGCAAGATGTCAGCCACAATGCAGGACTATGCCGCCCTTTGCTTCGTGACCGTATTGGCGGCAGTGATGTATTGCTATCACTCCTACTTTGTTCTCCGAGCGCGTCTTCACTTTCGGGTACCCTGGTTTTAGTGAGATTTTATAAAGTATGATAATATCGTGGCAGCTGCTAAATCCTTGACACAGATCCCACCTCCGACCATCAATGGTCCTCCGGTTTTCGAGAAGGTCGTGCGGGTGCAACAGGAGACGCAAGAGCAGTTCACCTTGCTTCTCCCTCTCCTGTGGATATTTGGCGTCTTTGTGTCCCAGCTGGTGCGTGCTCTCCTCTTTGGTTTTTCTTTACTCGTTGGGCCTCTGACGGCGAGTGCTATCTCGTGCAGGTGGCGTGTGTTGTGGCTCTGGTGTGGATCTTCTCGCGAGCCCTCTTCTCTGGCCTGCACGCCCAAGAGAAGCCCACCAAGAGCGATGAGCACTACGCGCTGTGGGCTGAAAAGTACTCACGCGCTTTTTCTTGCGCAACACACTCTTCTCTTCCTGCTCACAACTAACTTCATCCCTTGCCTGTCGCCAAACAGACTGTCCACTGCTATGCCTCGCATCCTGGTGCTCGTGCTGCTCTTGATCAGTTCATATCACTTCCTCCTCTCGCTCACCAACAGCCTCCTTCGTGTGCTTGGGGAGTGACGGCCACGAAAACCAAAAATGAAATAAAAACTAAAATGAAATAAAAAATGCAAACAATGTCGAACAAAAAAGAAAAAGAAATAGAGATCGCCGCACAAACACGGCAAATTGCTTGCCACACACGATGTGGAAGAAGACGTTGCTGGCAATTGGCATAGGCAGGCCTGAGCTGCATCGAGGCGCGATTCGTCGTGATCTCTTGCAATTGCACAAGGTACAACAACCTAAACAAATATGAATAAGAATAATACTGTAGTGTAGATGCTGATCTCTGGCTTTCGCACAAGGCCTTCCACCATGGCGTGCCCAACAATGCTTGCTCGCTTGCCTATGATGTGGTGCAGAAAATCATAGCAATTGGCACCAGGGATGGATTGATCAAAATGTACACCTCTTCCTCACGCCACGTGCACAACCGTACATGCACGAGCAACAAGAACACCGCACTGACGACTGTGCAGCATGGGCAAGCCTGGAATTGAGCTTATCCTTGATGGAGAGCATCGCACCCCAGTGCGCTTCCTTCATTTTGTCACAAACACGGTACGCACACGTGTCGTCTTTCTTTGTTCGAGCGTCGTGAAGCACTGGCTGACCATGGCCCACTTTCTTCGCTGTATCGACCGCTATAGGGGCATCTCGTGGCCATGCTGGACCACTCAGTGGAAGTGTGGGACCTCGAGACGCGCGAGGTAATCGGGACACAGGCCATCGATGAAAAGTAGGGAGCCATCACCGCTTGCTTCTCCTTGCTGCCCTCTGACCCCCTCATTACTACTTACTCACGTGTCTCTGACTTTGACCCACCCCTCGTGCGCACGAGCAACAGAATCACCGCCTTTCACCTCTATCCCGAGTCCAAGTACCTCCTTGTCGGCACAGAGGAGGGCAGCGTACGCGTGATCGACATCGAGGGGTTCCATCTTTCGACCTACAAGATCGCTTCGAAGAAGGTCAGGAAAGGTGCGCTTCCGGGTGATACCGATCCTCCTACTCCCCCCCCCCCCAACATTGTCCGCTTTCTCGAGTGGTGGGCGTCTGACAGACAAGACGTGGATGCGCAAACGCGTGTCAGACGTGAGCACCAAGAACAGGTCGCCCGTGAAGTGGCTCGCTGTGGCGCCCGATTCGGACGGCAGTGTCCTCATTGCCTACGCCGATGGCCTGATTTCGCTCTGGAACCTGAAGCAGCAGAAGGTCGCCAGACACTACGAGCTCCACTCGCAGCCTCTAGAAGCCTGCGCTTGGCACCCGGAGGGCAAGTTCTTCATCACCGGCTATGAGGTAGCTCGCTCCGCCCCACAAACGCTCACAAATGGGCTTTATATGAGCGAACCGATGACGGTCAGCTGATCATTTGCGCAGGACGGGGAGCTTTGCCTGTGGAAGGCCAAGGCCAAGAAGCCGTTGGAGCGATTCTATGGTGCGTTCGCTGTGGCCATGAAGCCACCCATCAGCGATCCATCTCGCACTCTAGCTCACCTCTGTACGTTGCTTGGTGTGCCTGTTTCCATCACCGTTCGTTCTTGTGCAGTGTCGAGCTCCAAAGCGAAACGCACGCCCATCAAGCGAATTGTGTGGACCAAGTGTGCAGGGTAGGGACCTCTCCTTCCCTGGTCCCCTGTTTCAATCTCGCGAAGATGAGTGGCTCACGGTCCCTCGCAATTGCAATTGTAGGGAAGACATGATCATCGTGCAGGGAGGCACCACAAGCCACGACCCCGGCCTCACCATTCTGCAGGCACGTACCCCCCCCCCGGCGTGCCTTGAGTAGAAAACGCAACGTCCCACTTACCCGCTTTTGTCAACCGGTTCACCAGGGCATGGGCCCGCCGAACCCCTACCGCATGGCTCACATCCCATGCCCCGAAGGCGACGTGGAGCAGTTTGTTGTCCACTACTCCTCACCCTGGGAAGGAGGTATGTACACCAGCCCCATCATGGCCGCCCGGGCTGGGCCGTGTTGGGCGGGTGGCTCACTCGGCGTTGATGCCCTCTTCCCCTGCACCCAGGCGACCCGGTGTCGCTCTTGATGCTCACGGAATCGGGCCACTTTCAGTCGAACGTGCTGAGCCGATCGCTCGGGTACGCCTCTCTTTACCTTTTCTTGGCCTGCTTGGAGAAGCTCCTCGCGGCCAGAGCTGACACTGCAAGCGCGCCGCTAGATTTCCGATGGTGACGCTACCACCCTCGCTGATCTTCCAAGACTCGCGCATTGCGGCCGCGCAGCTCTACCCTGACGCCAGCAAGCTGCTCTTCCACGACCTCTTCGAGTCCGGCAACATACGATTCGACCCCTCGGTATCCCTCCCCACCACCCTCCCGTCCGCCTGGTGAGCGCTCAACAAGACCACTAACCACCGACCCATACAGTATTGGCTGGCCACGGGAGGTAAGTTTGCCGAGAAGCTCATCACTGGCCGCGACCTGTTGGTCACATGGTACGTGGACGCCTCGCGATGGCCGCATAGCGCACCCCCTAAATATTATGGTGACGATGGTGGTGGTGATGATGTGCGGACTAACCTGAGTAAATGGGCGATCGACGATAGCCACGACTCGGGCAAGATTCGGTTCTGGGACGCGTCGTCCGTGGCCCTTCGGTTGCTTCTCTCCTTCTATGTCGGCGACGATCAGAGTTCGGCCGAGGAGCGGCGCAAGGCATCCACGAGCACCGCCAGCGGGGAAGTGCGCGCGACTCCGCAGTTCATCACCGTATTCCACTTCTGCCCTGTCTCGCGCATCCTCGTCCTCGGTTGCCTGAGCGGCAGCATCTTCTTCTACAAATTCACGTACTCACCCCCATACGGTCCCTTTCTCGCCTGGCTTGCTGCACTCACGCACTCACACTCTTTCTCGCGCAGGAGCAAGCCATGCAAGTACGAGCGCCTTATCTATCGCCCGCCGCAGCCTCGGCGAGGGCCGCCTCCGCAGCAGCCAACCGACGCCGCTGCGGCCCGACCCAAAGGCTCTCCGCAGACTGCGCCCGCCGCCCAACCACCCACGTCGCCGGCCAAGGCTGCTGAAGAGCCGCCAGCTGGGCATCCTAAGTCCCCGCCCGTTCCCGCCCAGCCCCCGGCACCTCTCCCACCGGTGGGAACCGAGGCGCAGCCCAAAGGGCCACCGGTGCCTGCGGTTCCCGTGGTGCCCACCCACTCGCAGACGGCTACGCCCACCAAGAAGGTCTCTGCCGAGGCGATCGCCGCCAAGTCACCGCCTGGGTCACCGCAGGTCGCGCCTGCTGCGCCGCCGCCGGTAGCTGAAGCACCGAGCAAGCCGTCCACCTTCAAGGCCGGCACTGGGTTCTATCTCGCGATGGAGTGCCTCTTCGATTCGGTGATCAAGAGCGTGGCCTACCTCCCCAAGTACAACCTGTACGTGGACGACACCTGCCAGGGACCATGACTCTCTGGGCCAAAGCGTGTGCGTGCGTGCGTGTTTTCCTTTTTCTCACACTCACTGGTTCATATGCCAGGCTGGCCATCGGCGATCAAAACGGGTTCCTCACCATCGTCGATACCCGAACCGCCTCGCGTGTGCTGGGCGCCGCAGTCGCGCAGCAACCCGAGGTAGGAGCCCTTACAGGGACCGCTTGATTATGTCCGTGCCCTGTGTCTCACTCCGTTTGCGTGTATGCGACCACCATCAGCCCATCACGAGCCTGACATGGGCTGAAGCCGTGGGCGACGAGGCAGACGAAATGGGCAACATGCGGAAAGTCAAGGAGCTCCTCCTACTCGTCGGTGCGGGGCTCCTCCGCCTCCGGAAGAAGTGATGCGTTATGCCCAAACACACGCGCAACCAATTCCTAACTTCCACGATGTGGCCACATCGTTATCGTTGCGCGCTGCGTACACCGCGACAGGAATTGAGGGCGGCTTTGTGACGGTGGTGACCTTCCGTGGGAGCCGAGTCTTCTTCAACCCGCGCCCGTTCGAGAAAAAGCAGCCCTCACCCATCAACCACATCGCGATCGTCGACGCCCGGTAAACCCCCGTCTCCTGCCACCCACATGCACACATGCACACATGCACACACGCGCACACGCGCACACGCGCACACGATCTCACCTATCTTTTGCCTCTCGCGCAGTGGTAAGCCCTATCGTATTCGCGCACCCAAGTGGAAGGAAGTGGACGACGAGGAGGACAAGAAAAAGAGCAAGAAGGGCAAGAAGGGCGAAGAGCAGCACAAACCGCGGGAGGAGCACCCGGCCGGCGGCGCAGCTGCGCCGGAGGGGAAGCTCGAAGACGACTGGGTCGAGGTCGACGAGAGGAAGAAGCCGCGGGAAGAGGAGGGCGACGAACAGCCCGAGCAGGTCGAGCTGCGCGCCGACCGAAGCTGGAAGGGCGCACACGCCGACGCCAGCAGCCAGCTGGAGGAGGACTCGGTAGACTCCCCTCTCTCATCGTGCACGAATTCTGCACTCACACCTAAATTTTTATTTATTTGTTAATTTATAATTATAATGGCAGGACGACGAAGCGGAGGAGGAGGATCCGAGCAAGATGGGGATGCGGTTCCTGCTGCTGTGTGCTGAGGAGAGCCTGTGCATCTACACGGTGCCGGACTACGATCAACTGGCCAGAGTCGAGACCAAGCACCCCATCCTCTCTTCGCACATCGTCTCCTTGAACGGTAAGGCCGCTGCTTCTTCGAACACACCGCCATTGCGCCAGCGTGCGTCGTCGCGCTCACTCGACATCCACTGCGCGCGCAGGGGAGTACTGTCTGGTGTGCTTCACGGGGAACAACGGCCTGACGGTCTACTCGCTGATGGACCTCACGCCGCTCATGGAGACCACCCTCGACCGATTCTCGCTCAACACCAAGTACGTTGTTGGTGTCCCGCGTGGGTGACTGCTTATGTGTCGTGTGCGGTCGTGTAAGCTTATGTATGTGTCCTCCTCCTTGGCCAGCGCCACCATGCTTCGGAATGCGAGCGTGCTGGTGGACGGGCGCATGCTGCTCTCCTCCCTCTCCTCGGAGCTGCATCGCCTCTCCCTATTCGCGGGCGAGAACAGGTACGACCCCCACCACCCGCCTCTTTCCCGCAATCTCGCTCGCTCGCTCTCTCTCTCTCTCTCTCTCTTACACACACACACACACACACCCACGCACGACACACACCCACGCACGACACACACAACACACACAACATACACACAACACACACACAAAACGTGTTATGCGTGCGGGCGCAGTTTGGACCTACCCCACTCGCTGCCGACGGTGCACATCCGAGGCATCGTGCTTCCCGAGCGGCCAAAGGGACTCCTCAAGTCGCTCTTTGGCACCTTCGACCTCTCCATATGTACGACAGCTCCCCTCGAGGCCGTAGTGGCACTGTAGTGACGGCATGCGTGTGCGCGCTCTTGCAGTTGCGGAGGTGGACAAGTCGGCACGTCGCAAGGAGCGCGAGAGGGAGGAGAGGGAGAGGGAACCGGAGCGCGAGAGGGCGCGAGACCACAGGGAGAGGGACGCCGGCGACCACGACGCTCGCCAGAAGCTGTTCGAGGGCCGCGACTCCAAAGCTCGCGTACACGCACCCACCCGCACCGCCACCCTACTATATTTCCTGATGGGCCTTTCTCCCCCACTTGCTGCAGGAGAAGTACGAGCGGGGCGGCGAGGGCAACGAAAGGGTACGGGACGCTCGCAAGGGCGTCGCCGGCCTCAAGGATCAGATGAACCGAAACGCAGAGGTCTTTCTTCTGCCACTACAGGCCTCTTTCTTTCCCTTTCGCTTGTGGATGTCTCACCATTCGAGCCTGCTTGTGTGGTGGTGGCGCATGCGCAGCTGCTGAACGAGCGAGGAGAGAAGCTGAGCGAGCTGGCGCAGAAGACGGCCGAGATGGAGGATAACTCGAGCGAGTTCTACGCCAACGCCAAGAAGCTCGCCGACAAGTACAAGAACAAGAAGTGGTACGAGTTCTGACGTGGTAGAATCCACCACGCACCGCCCCATGAAATGCCCATAAAATGCTAGCACGCGTGCTTTACTTTGTGTGTGAGGCAGCCTGCTCCACATCATCACATGTGATGCCGTGCATGGCGGTTTCCCCTCGGTTTGGACCCAAACCCGATGGCAACTGTGGACGGTGGTGGGAAGCTTGCGGGGGCGCTCCACGATGGTGTCCTCCAGAGGCAGGCCCACACCAGTGGTCTCCACTCTCTCTCTCTCTCTATTTGTCCTTCTTGTCCTCCTTGCCGCTGCTCACAGTGTTGGGGATGTAGGACGAGCGCTTGTAGAAGACGGGCTTGTTCTTCTCGTGGTCCTCCCTCTCCAGCTCCTCGGGCGAGATCACGCGGTGCTCCCAGATCTCGGGACCCAACCTGCCCCGCAGCCGAGTAGTAGGATGAGCACCTCTTCTTCTTCGTCTTGCCCGCATACGAGATGGGGGAGAAGAGGGGGAGGGGGGGGACGCACTGGGGGCCTAGTTCCTCGACGACCTTGCGCAGCTCGCGGACGAGGCGCCGCCTCTCCTTCTGCAGGGCACGCAGCTTGGCCTCGGAGCGGGCGAGCGTACGAACGGCCAAGAGCGCCCTCCACGTGAACACTCCGCGCTGCATCACTCGAATGCTGGTGGCCCCATCGCGCAACGCGCGTCAAGGCCATGCGCAGAGCAACACAAAAAGGGAGCAATGGGGCCGGGTACCTGATGTAGGAGAAGAAGGGAAGAACGAGCCACACGGCGACGGCGACCAAGAAGGAACCCGTGTAGAGCCCCGCAAGCGTGGCGTAGATGGTGTAGGTGAGCGGCACCATCCACAACGCCGTCAGTACCTGCGTGTCGCACACGTCCGACCGAGACGTTAGTCGCGAGGAGGTCAAATAATAAAGAAAATCGACAGAACGACACGCGTGGGTGGAGCAGGCCCGTACCTTGACGGAGGCGATGACGTCATTGCCGCGGATTTTGACCGTGGAGGAGCGGACCGCTTCGCGCGCCTTCTTGTTCGCCTTCTCCTTGATGATGTACCCTGTTACCCCCCCCCCCAATCCTCGTTAGTGTCCCTCCCGAGGCAGCAGCAGCAGCGCAGCAGCGGGGCGTTCGCATTACCCACGGGCGCGTTGAGCAGGGTTCCCGGCAGGGAGACGAGGAAGAGGATGACGAAGAAGAAAAAGTTCACCAGCAGGTTCCTGGGCGGACGAAGGAAGGAAGGAAGGAAGGAAGGAAGGAAGGAAAGAAAGAAGCGAATGAGCGGCGAGTGTGGTTTGACCGCGCGCGAGGGGGGAGGGAACACATATGAAAGAGAGGCCGCCGGCGTACCAGTAGAACGTCTGAGGCGAGATCAGATTCTTGTTCTTCTCCCAGTCGAAGCGAATGTTGTACTCCTCCTCGTCCTCTTCCGTTGCATCGTTTTCATCTTCATCGTCCACGACCGTAGCCACCTTTGGTGTGGGGCCAGAATGAGCGGGTGCCGTTCGGGTTTGTGTGTCGTGTCGTGTCGTGTCGTGTCGTGTGCGCGCTTTTTGGTCGGCTATGCCGAAGTTGCGTGCCTGGTAATCGCGCAGGCCGTTGTCCTTGAGTTCCTTCATGTAGGCGTAGAGCTCCTTGATGGAGTTCTTCACCAGGGGGTGCTCGTTGAACCGAATGTAGCCCTCGGCAAACCGGCGGTTCAGCTCCAGGTACTGATCGATCGGCAGCCTGGACAGCAACGCAGGACGGTTATGATACGAGCCGTCACCACTGTGTGTGGTGGTGGTGGTGGGGGTGCGCCACACGACACGCACGACATATGACAACAAAAACGCGCGCGTGTGCGGTCCGTACTTGACATTGGGCGGTTGGTAGAGTCTGCGTGCGGCGTGAATGGCCTGCAGCACCTTGTAATCGGGCGTGTTCAGAGTCACCTGGAGGGAAAATGACAAAACAAAACAAAACAACAACGTGAGACACTCACACCACCACGTCATGGCCCGCACGACACGACACGACGCGACACGACGCGACACGAGAGAAGGAGCGTACACTCCGCAGGCGAGCTGTGATGGTCTCGAGAAGCGCGGAGCAGGACGCCCTCTTGTCGTGGCGGTACTGCTCGACAAGCTCGCTCTCCGGCAGGATTTCGTAGGGCTCACCAAATTCGAGCGCGACGCGACTCCTATTGGCGAGACACCATCGCACCACCCACCCACCACCATATCAAAGGCGTTCAGTGCAACCCCGCAATGGCCGACCACCGTTTAATTTACCTGAACTTGTGGCCGAAGAAGTAGTTGAGGCCGCAGGGCACGATCTTGACGGGCACCTTGTACTTGTCGACGGCGCCTAGCGCCATCAGCGTCACGCCGGCTTTGAGCGGCAGCAGCTCGGTCCTGTCGTGCGAACCGCCCTCGGGGAAGATACCGATGCTAATATCGGCCGTGTCGTGTCGTGTCGTGTCGTGTCGTGTCGTGTCGTGTCGTGTCGTGTCGTGTCGTGTCGTGTGTCCATATCAGAAACAAGGCCTTTACACGACAGAGAACACATTCGCGCCAACACCGCGAGCGTGCAGCGTACCAGTCGCCGCGCCCGAGAGCGGCCCACACGTGCTGGTAGACGTTGCTCTGGTCCACCTTCTTGAAGATCTTGTAGGGCATCTTCTCGGTGATGGGGTGCTCGTGCGGGGTCTTGACGATGAGCTTCTCGTCGGACACGATCTCGGTGATGAGGGCCGGCTCGAGGCCCTTGATGCTGATCGAATCGCCCACGGTGAACTCAGCGGTAAAATTAGTCCGCTCTCCGATCACCTCGTTCCCGCTTCCGGTCACCACGCCACACCCCTGCAGCAGCAGCAGCAGCAGCCACGCACCCACCACTTTGTGAGCGCACACGCACGAGAGAAGAAGGTGAGAGAGGGGCGTGCGCACGAGGCTGGCGACGTCCTGGGGGCGCTCGACGGGAATGGCGCGGCAGGCACGGGCGAGGTCACCCACGAGGAAGCGCTTCATGGACACGGCCGCCACCAAGAAGCTCACCTCCCGCACGCAGTGCGCCATGAGCAGCGCGCCATCCTGCCAGAGCCACACCAATCACAAATGATCAGAGGGTGAGCCAATTCGGCCAAGAGAGTGGTGGCGCTACATGCAGATTAATCTGGAAAAATCATCAGAAAGAAAGATCTCAAGACATCAACTACACGCGTACCACAAACTGATTCTGGTGGTTGCCTGTCTCGCGAGAGCGTGAGGACACAACGTTAGGCGCATCGAATTAGAACAAAATGGATGTGTGCAGACGCACCCACAAAGATGACAGGACCCTCGAGGGGGATTTTGTCCTGGCCCACTATCTCTATGTCATCAAAGAAGATGTAGGTTATGGTCTTGAAGAACCACACCATGAACCGATACATCTTGGCGCCTTGTCGTGGCCCACCTGCACACCAGAGGAAGCAAAGGACAGCAAAGAAGCGCCAGTCCGGAATGCCGAGCACGCGGTGCGCACTATTCGTCAGCAGAAGAAGCGATCACCTTCGTCCATTGACCAAGGGTCAAGGGGTGTATTTACAGAGAATGTGCGTTGTTGGTAGAGATAGGGACCAAGACGAAGGTAAACAGGGTGGCTGATGATCATCAGGTACAACACTGCAGTGAAAGAGGCAACATCTGTAGCCTCAGCTCGGTGTTGTGGAGGTTTGGGCTAGGCCGACGTCGGCGGTCTGGTTGTGGTGATGGTGGGGATCGCGAACGAAGCGCCAGGTTGTGCGGGAGCGTCGCCCTCGCGCGGTGGCGGCCTCGTGGTCGCGGAGGGCGGCGGTGAGCCAGTCGATGGCCTCGTAGAGGCCGTTTCCGGTGGTGCCCACCGTGCCTTGGATGTGCCATGTGGTCTTTCGCGCCACCCGCTTCAGCTTGAGCTTGCGCGCTATCTCCTCGGGCGGCAGTGCGTGGGGCATGTCCTGCTTGTTGGCGAGCACCAGCAGCACGCCGCCCACCAGCTCTGGCCGCTCCATGAGCATCCGCAGCTCTTCCTTGGCCTCGGGCAGCCGCTCTCGGTCGGCACTATCCACCACGAAGACCAGCGCTTGCGTGTTCTTGAGGTAGTACTGCCAAAGCTGCCGCAGCTTCTTCTGACCGCCTGCGAACAACAACACACACGATCTGTGTCAATGCACATGGCTAGCGGCACAGAAGGCAGAGACGGAAGCATACCAACGTCCCAGGTCAGCAGGGCCAGCTTGTGATAGCAGATGGTCTCCACGTTGAATCCGACTGTGTCAGAACGTAAGTGAGCAGCTGGTGGCAATGCGAACAGTGGTGGTAGGGCGATGTACCGGTGGGGATTGTTTTGACGTGATCGCCAAAGGCGAGGCGGTACAGGATGGTGGTCTTGCCGCTGGCATCCAAGCCGAGCATAACTATACGCCCTTGCGAGCCTCTCTTTTTGTGCAATCGCCACGAGAGCTTACGGTAGCCCTTCGTCAGCGCCCCGCCCATCTGCCTAATCGATGTCTTCGAAACCAATTCACCAAATCTGGAGATCTGCGAAATCGGGTGTGGTCCTTCAGGTAGGTAGGGCAACCTTTAGCAGAGGAGAAGAGAATGGCATGGCGTGGCCGGGCAGGAAGGGTCTTCCGCAAACTCACCCCCAAGGGAGCAGGGCTGCGGCGATGGGGTTGGCCTGCGCGTGAAAGTCGACGCGAAAGCCCCTCGTCTTCCGCCCTAATTTCTTGGCGCGAAACCAGCTCTTTTCTCACCCCCAGCTGCTGGTCGTTGGCGCTGGTCGGGGGGGGGGCGCGATGAACACGCCTGTGGGTGGTTGTTTGAAACGTTTGGGGTTGTGTTATGTATGGCTACAGGCGATATCGATGGTAGATCTCTTATATACACGGTGGGTGGGCGAGCGGGTGCGATCAACTCGCCGAGTCACTACGGTCATCGTCCTCCTCGGTGGTGTTCGAGTCCGTCACAGTTGTTGTGGACGACGTTGCTGCGACGCTGTGCGTAGTGTCGTCGCTGCTGTTCGTCTGCTCTCCAGCGGGCTTCGACTCTTCTTCTTCATTCTCCTCCTTCTTGTCTACCTTCTCGCTTTCCTTTGTTTCCTCGGTCTCTTTCTCCTTCTCCCTCTCCTCGGGCTCTGGTTGCGTCGTGGGTCGTTCCGTGTCCTCGCTGGCCAGAACTGCACGCGGCCGGGCGGCAGTCGTCGGCAATCTCCGCGTGGCGGCGGGCATGGTGGCGCTGCGCGAGGGCGAGGTGGCGAGGGCCTGGTCCTTGACCGATGACAGCGGCGCGCCTCGACTGCGGAGGGCCATCCGGTTGGTCGGCACCCCACGCACGCGCGAGGGACCGAGCACCGACTCAGGCGTGGGCGGCGCTGCCTTCTTCTTGGCGTAGTCCTTGTAGCTCATCCGCTGCATGGTGGCGAACGCCCGCCTAGCGACCGGCTTCGGCGTGGGGTCCTCCTCCTGCTCCCCTTCCGCCTTCTCCTTCTGCTCCGCCTTCTCCTCTTTCATCGTTTCGCCATGTGTCTCTCCTCCTGCTCCTTCCACTGCTTGCGGTTCGGCCTCGCCTGACTCCTTCTCCTCGATAGCGTCCTCCACTGTCGCTTCAGCTGCGCTCACTTCTCTCCGTTTATCGTCCTTCGTCGTGTCCTCTGTTCGCTCGCCTTCTCCCTTCGTTTCCTTTGCCTCCTCGCTAGCGCCTTCGCCGCTAGCAGTGTCGGCGTCTCCGTGCGTGGTGCTCGTGCTGCTGATGTTCGCTTCACGAGCGCCTTCAGAGCCCTGCGTGCCTCCATTTCGTTCGGCCTCAGCCTCGCCGTGCTCCTCCAGCAGCGGTGTTTCCCCTTTCGTGTCGGCGAAAGTCGGTGTGGCGGTAGGCAGGGCTGCGGCTGCGGCGAAGCGAGAGTCCAGGTTGGCGAGCGGCGACGGGGTGTGGCGGGGCGAGGTGAGGGTGATGAGGGGTTGCATGCGAGCCAGGGAAGGCGACGACGGGCACGGTTTGTGGTAGGCGAGCGGCGAGTCGCAGTCGTCGATCGTGGCGTCTTCGGCCTTGTCCTTGGGCGACGTCTTGGCGCTGCTGGTGGTGCGGTGGTGCAGACCACCGTTGTCTCTCGAGGGACTGCCCGGGCTGTCCGCTCGTCTGGCCCTCTCGGCCTTCTCGCCTGCCAGCAGCGGGCGTCGCTCTCCGGCGTCGTCGTCGGCAGGGTCAGGAGTGGCCTCTCGCCGGCTATGCTCGGTCGCGTTGATGGTGGCCAGCGCGAGGCCCGGCGCTCTTGCGTTGCGCTTGCGCCCGAAGAGGGCCAGGAACAGAGTGCCCACGATGGCGACAAAGATGCAGGAGGCGACCGCGCTGCCCCAGCCAACGAAGGGGGTGTAGATGTGTAGATAGCCGCCCTTCTGCCTCTGTCCGCCGATGAAGCTCCCGCACTCGTTGCTGGAGCAAGAGTGGTCGGGCGAGTCCTTGGCGAGGCAGTCGGGGAGCTGCACGAAGAGAGTGAAGGAGAGGAGCAGCGCGACGAAGCAGAGCAGGACCGCGAGCCCGAAGGTCCACTTCCATTTGCTCTTGTTGATGCCCGACTCGGCCAGGACGAAGCGATGGGAGAGGCGGTAGGCCGGAAGAAGGATGAGGCAGAGCACGCAGCCGGTGAGAACGATGGCGAGAAAGAGCGACATGACGGCGAGCACCAGCGTGGTCATGAAGAGCGTGCGGGTCTGTGGCATGTTGACATCGCCCCACGAGAGCGTAGTCGTGCTGTCCGGCGCGCCATCGTGTCCCTTACTGACCCGCAACAACCCCGACCACTCTGCAGGTCCACGCACAAGCACTGGTTAACGAGGCCGCCGTCGACGGACAACGGAGCTCGTGTGGGGGAGAAGCGAATAGCGTACGGTAGTAGGTGTTGACGGTGGCGTCGGCGGTTTCGTCATAGACAAAGTACCAGGGCGAGGCGAGGGCGCCCACGGCGAACAACACGGCCAGCAACGCAAAGAAAAGGAGAAGCCAGCCTTTGACCTTGGAACCGCAGCACGCACAGCAACGGCACGAGCACTTCGGTTCGCTCTCCCCTTCCTCGATCACGGAATCAGATCTCGCCTCCATGTAGGGAGAACTGAATTGTGGAATCAGGCAAGCAACTAGGCAAATTAGAATTTATGGACAGAAAATTAAGAAGGGATTGGTCACAGCCCCCCCCCGCGGCGAGAACGCACCTCGTCAAGGTAATCGATTGCGCTCACTCAGTGCGTCGCTGACATCCACCGACGATCTCCTTTTTGAAGATCTCTTCAATCCGGCTGGTTTGCTGCGGCCAACGGTTGTGTCGACAATATGAAAACTAAGGGAGAACTGCGACCTACCAATCCCCGTCCGCCGAGCCTCTTCCCGCAAGTGCTGCCGTCGGGGGCGCAGTCTCTTTCTTTGGTAAAGAGAGCTCTCCTCTCAAGATGGCGGAGAAGGGATGGAAGAGCTACAGTGCCGAGGCCGTCGGTAATGCAAAAGCCTGCCCCTTGTCATGGGCTGCCTGCTTTCGTACTAATTCCTTCCCCCCTCAGCGATAAGCGATTTCGTTCACTCGGACGCGCCGCGGTATCTCTTGCGGTTCTCGGTGGGCGACGTAATCCAAGTGGTCGAGACGATGGAGGGGTGGTACAAGGGCATCCTCATCGAAACGAAGGAGACGGGACTGTTTCCTGCCTCGTTCTTCCGCGTCAAGCCTTCCGAGGATGGCAAGGACCCCATCATGCGCGAGCTCCACAGCGTGTTCCGTGAGTGGGGTGACCTGCTCAAGAAGCTCTACCTGGTATGCTGCTCAGTCTCAGCCCCAGACCAACACGACAACCCAGGTGCATCTGACACCTCCACCTTATCAGGCTCGGAAGACGAAGGACTTCAACATTCTCTCTGAGCGTCTAAAGACTCTCTTCTCGTGGAACAAAGTGCTCACCTCACCACACACCCCACCGGTACCACACGGCCCATCGACCTGCACCTGTCTGGGCTGCTGCCTTTTCCTGACTCTGGGGGCGTTCCCGTGGGTAAGGATGCGCTGGCCAAGATGAAGGCCAAGGTGATGGCCAGCATCGAAGAAGGGCGCCGTTTGATGGGACTGGATCTGCTGGTGCGTACTAACACCGGCGAGATCGCCACGGAGAGAAACTGCAGCATCATGGAGCTCTACCGCATGGTATCGTAACTCGTCGCTGTGCTCTCGTTTTTATCACTGATACCCTGTGATGTGCCGTTGACCGACCTCTTCTTCTTCTGCTGCTTCTTCTTGTGTTAACAGCATCAAGAGCAAGACCAGCGCAGCGTGCTCTCGAACGTCGTGCCACGACTGCGCAGGAAAGAGAACGCGTTTGCGCAAGGTGGCTCACTGATTGACCAAAAGGTCGAATTCATGCTCCCACTGCACCACATCATGCTACAATTTGTGGTATTCCAGTGTAAGGTACTGCGTTCATGCCACGCACGGAGTCCTTGCTTGCATCGACGCCTCAGTCTTGTTTCTTCTGGTGTGCAAACAGGTGACCGACCCAACAGAACTTCGCTTCTCCATATACAACGCACACAGCAAGACTTTCATCACGGAAGAGTATCCTTTGTTGTTGACGATCCATGGTCTGCCGGCAGACATTGGCCGGATCAACAAGCTCAAGACCATATTTACGGTAAGTTGCTGTTGGTCATCAGGAATGAACGCGGTTGTGGTACCCACAATTTGATTTGGATTGACCTTCACGTTCCCTCTTTCCAGGACATTGACGACAAGGACTTGGCCGACGGCAAGCTGCACCTCGTGTGCTATCTGGTGCGCGTGGGACAAATGCACGCGGACAAGGCCACCAAAGGCCAGAAAGTGAGGAGGCCCTACGCTTGCGCCGCGATGAAGCTCACGACTGCTCGCATTCTCGACGAAGCCTCCCGTGGCGTCCTCAAGCTAAAGTAGGTTTCCTTCCTCCTCGGTGTGGTTTGATGAACCCAGTCGTTCACTCTCGCCCCACGCGCGCTCCTCCAGCTTGAAGAATCTGGACGAGGTGTATGGTGCGCGAGACCCTGCGGGCAAGCTGGTGGAGCAAAGGATGATGATATTCAACACTCCGCAGGAGAGCAGCTTCCCTGACATCCATGAACGTACGTGTGTCGAAACTCAGTCGTGTGGTGTGCACAGAATGGTGGCTCCAGGTACTGACCTGGGGCTTGTTCTGTCCGTTCTCGTCGTACGCAGTGATTATAAAGAACGCCAATGTGGTGGAGGTGCCCAAATCGCTTGGCATCACGATCGGGCTCAAACTGCTGCTGGGCGAATATCCCAGCCTGCTCCAACGAGCACCGCACCTCAAGGAAATCAGTACGGATTGGTCACTCCATTGTCTGTTTGGCGAACGGCGGAACAAATGCTGAACTGACCATCACCTACTCGCCGCCTTGGCGCAGCTGTTGCGCAGCGCTTGAGCGTACAGCCCGGCCACTGCAGGAACGACTACTACATCACGATAGATTCGGGCGAGTTCACTCAGGACCGGAAGCGCGCGGCCAAGAACGTCGAGATTAGTGTCACCGTTCGCGATGGCAAGGGCAACGACGTCCAGGTTCATCACCCTCACTCTTGCAGCACCATTGACCCATAATCGCGATGCGGTGATAGCTCACACGAAATGCTGCCACCCTCCTGCGCGCGCCAGGATGTGCTGATATCGGGTGCCGGAGAAATGCCCGTGCGTGAGTGGAAGAGCATCGTCTACTACCACAACAACACGCCGAAGTGGAACGAAACCTTCAAGCTCCTCATCGCTCCCCACAAATTCCGCGACTACCATCTGTACTTCAGTACGGCCGCAACCGCTGCCCTCAGCCGAACCTCGAAGACACTCACCACATCGTTTCTTCCTTGCACACGCATCTGGCAGCCATGCGACACTGCACCACCAGCGGGAAGACGAACACACAGAAGGCGGGAGCGGCGTACTGCTTCCTGCGGCTCACCGACTTTGCGGGCTCGATCCAAAGGGACGGCGAGCACGTTCTCAGCACCTACAAACCGCAGAAGGCCGACGACCCCGTCTACTACCTGCGAGGTACAGTCGCATTCAGCTGTTGATGATGACATGTTCGACCGGGGATTCATCTCACAACATTGCCAATGTTGTTCAATTGGTACGTGCAGATCCTCAGAAGGTGATACAGCGCAAGGGCGAATTCCTGAAGATCCGCACGTCGCTGTGCTCGACGCACCTGACTCAGCACCGTACGCTCTCTTCTGGCCTGTGGGGAAGCCTGTTCGTGCAACCTGGTTTGTCTAAGGCGCCTTGATCCCTATCGTTCGCTACAGCCGGACTGCTGGGGTTGCTGAATTGGCAATCCCACAACCGTAACGAGCTGCCCGAGCTCCTCAGGCACATCACCTTCGTCGAGCGACCCGAAATGATGAAGGTGATCCCCTGTGATCATAGCTTACGGCCTGGATTGACGGTTGGCTGACATACCCAACTCGTTGGTGTGTATGACCAGTTCCTGCGCCCGACGTTCGAGGCCATGTTCAACATGTTGCACCGCAGTGCGGGTGACGAGAAGCTCCAGTTCTTGGTGTACGATGCCCTCATCTTCGTGCTGGGTATGTTCGCCGAAGACCGGATGTTGCTATTCGTCAACTTCCGCCCGACGATCAACAGCATGATCCAGGCCTACGAGCAATACGTACCCAACACTCCTTATACCTGCCACTCGATTGGGCCTCACCTCCCCTAACCGAGATTCTCTCCTCACTGCTGCGAGAAGGACCCCGCCAAGGCGACGCCCGAAGAAAAGGAGCGATTGGAGGTGTTCACGCATGTTCACCTCTACCTCGTTCCCTGCGTGAAGCGGTGCTTTGAGGGGATCGACCAACCTGGCTCGAACATCACCTCCACGCTCAAGGTCCGGTTCCTCAAAATCGGCGTGTGTTCTCGTGTGCGGTAGTGCGTGTGCGTGATACGTGTGTGCGTGTGGGCAGCGGGCTAATGTTGTTTGGATTACTCCCACAGGCCTTGGAGTACACGATGAAGTTCATCATCGTATCTCGAATCCTCCACATCAAACACACCGGAAGTCCTGCCATCAAGGACGACACGTTCAAGAACGACATGATCGACTTCTTCGACCGCTTCACCGCCCTCATGAAGCGCAACTCGCCCAGCCTCATCGGCGCACAGACGCTCGCGCTCAAGGTACCTCTTCGCCTCCGATCCTTACGCTGCGCGAACGCAGGGGTCCGGTGCTCACGCTGTCGGTTTCCTTCGCGTAGAACATCGTGTTGTGGTTCCAGGGGCTTCTGCTGCTGTTCACCGAGATGGAGTTGGCGACCGTGGTCCACAAGGTCATCGCCACCCTCTCCTACAGCGACAAGAAGCAGTTCAACCAGACCAAGCTCGCCCTGCTGAAGGAAATAGTCAGCTCTCAGCTCTTTATTGGAGAGCGTACGTACCATACAACGCAGCGGTTTTTGCCCCCCCCCCAAACTGCTGACGTCATCGCTTGCGGCTCACTTGTGTACAGAGGCGCGGTACATCCTCATACCCGCGGTGATGGAGCAACTGCGGCTGTTCATGGCCAGCAGCCACAACCCGGACGAGAAGGCGGAGATCATCACCATCGTGTGCTGGATCGTGGATGTCATGGACGACCTCGAGGTACGGCTCCAACCCAACCCAACCCACGCGTGCCGAAAAGTTGCACTGAGTGCGACGCGACTGTGTCGAGCGCAGGACGTGGCGGTGGTCAAGTACCTGCTGCTGCTCTTGGCCGATGTGCTCCACTTGGTAGAGTCCGTGGAGAACCCGTGCCTCAAGTTGGACGCGGCGATGTGCCTGCTGGGCTTCTTCCACCTCGTGAAGCAGGCCGACTTCACCGCCTATCTCGATAACATGGCATCGGAAAAGAGAGAGTCGCTGCTGATGAGGATGGTCACCACGCTGGACCAGCTGATCGTGCGCCCGGACATCATCCCCTGCACGTGGTTAGGCGTCAGCATGTTCCAGTACGGCACCACATCGAAGGTCATCGCCATGATCTGCGAACACCTCAAGGTTCCCCAGGTAAAGCCCCCACCAACATGAGCTCGTCGCCTCCGCTTCCGTTCTTTCTTTGCTTCGTTGGGCGATGGTTGAGTTGGTTGGATGGGGCGTGCATGCGCATCAGCTCTCGAGAAGCCGGTCCGCGGCGATCCAAGTGAACCGGCGGCGTACCAGGACCGCCAGTATCTCGACGGTAGCAGCCCCATTGAGCGCTTCCACCGCTGTCAAGCCAGCCGACACGGCTCGTACCATTCCCCATCCACCCTCGCCTGGGCTCACACGATGTGGCCACCTTACTCACAACACACATGATGGCCTCGCACTGCCGTGCAGCCACTCGCAACAGGGCCGACACCGAGGTGCCGCCGGAGTTCATGATGTGGGTGAAGCTGGTAAAGCTGATGATCGCCTTCCTCACGTCCCGCGTGCTCGGTGTGGAGAAGTTCTCCGCCGCCAAGGCGCAAATCATGAGAGAGGGGTATGCACATCATTACTACGCGGCACTCGCACGTCTGTGCACACCAGCGATTGTGGGTAAGCGAGAGGTGATCGCTCAGTTGAGAGGTTGTTGTGTGTGGCAGACACGGAGACATGAGGACGGCCGTGTGCGGCTATCTGTGCGAGATCTGGGAGACCCTCGGGCCGCTCCAGATTCGCATCATCCCGGCCCTAGTCGCCCCATTGCTAGAGCTGTTGACCGTACCCCCATCACACCACTCTATTGACGCACACGCACACGCACACGCACACGCACACGCACACGCACACGCACACGCACACGCACACCACACGCACACCGAGTCTCGGCTGCAAACCCCATGTTGCCCGCTCACACAGGTGCCGAACAAGGAGCTCAATGAGACGGGCATGAATATCTACTTCAGCATGCTCAAGCGCGAGTTCGAGTACTACAAGTCGTTCAAGCGCGTGGAGCGCCAAACGATCGGCTCACTCGACAAGATCGTGAACGAGTACGACGAGAAGCACCAGCAGAACCTGCTCCAGTTCTTCCTCTCCTCGCTCCGGCAGCGCTTTGACACTGCGCCCGAGATGCAGGAGGTCGCCGAAAAGTTCATGGCCGACATGAAGACCGTACGCCGCCTTACGCAGCAATTCTTGAGCCTCTGCTTCCACGCCCGTTGACACACGCACACATACCACCGCACACGCACGCACACGCAGTTGATCACTCTCTTCACCTCCCTGCGCACGCTGCCGCTGGGACCCGAGTACGATGACGAGCGGACGCTGGCCACCCTAAAGCTCATGGAGTACCTCAAGTCCACCGGCCGCATCGAGCAATACATCGAGTGAGTGCTCTGGGCTCTCTCCTTGCGCGCGTGCGTGCGCGAGTGCGTGTCTCGGTCTAACCCGAGCCATATGTGATTGCGCTCAGGTACGCGTACCAGCTGTACGAGAGGCACCTGGGCGCGGATCACTTCATCGAGGCCGGGTTCACGTTGCTGCTCCAGGCCCAGCTCTTGGACTGGTCCGACACCATCGTCCCGGCCATTCCTTCACGCGATCTAGCTCAGGAGACCTCCTACGAGCGAAGGGTTCTCTCACCCACCATCCTCCTTCCTACTGCGCTATTGGCGCTGCTCGCCATCTTGTTGTGCCTTTATATAACTATAGGTCCCGTCACCATTGTTTTCGTGGCTAACAACAACAACGACAACGACAACAGGAAGCGCTCTACAAGGAGGCCATCTCGCTCTTCACCCGCGGCAAGTACTGGGAGAAGGCGATCGAACTCCTCGAGGAGCTGCGCCACCAGTACCAGCACGTGACCTGCGAGTTCGTGCTGCTGGCCGACATCCTGGTACCCGCCCCAGCCCCAGCCCTTGCCCCGCCCAGTCTGACCACCAATTCCCGCCTCACGCCTTTGGTGGCGCCTACAGCAATCGGAGGCGGCGCTGTACAGGTTGATCGTGACGGGCGAGCGTTTCTTTACCGAGTACTTCCGCGTGGGCTACTACGGCATGGGCTTTCCCGTGGACGTGCGGGTACGTCCAATCGTGCTTGACATGCGTCGAGCGAGGTGAACGGCAGTGCTGACTCGGCCTTCCTTCGACTGTACAAAAACACAGAACAAACAGTTTGTGCACCGCGGTGTTGAGTTCCAGCGCCGGGACGCGTTCGAGGCGCTCATCATGAAGCGCTGGCCGAGCGCAGTGATCATGAACACCACCGAGCCGCCCAGCGCCGAGATCAAGAACTCCCCGGGCCAGCGTACGCGCAATCACCCCTTACGCTCCCCCCCCGCGCGCGTACTGTTTGACTCATCGTCCTTTTGTGCGTGTGCGTGTGCGTGTGCGTGTGCGTGTGCGTGTCCTGTTGGGCAGATCTCCAAATTTATGCCATCAAGATGGCTTCGGCGGAGGAGGCGCGAGGAGAGCACACGCGTCTGCAGATCGCGCATAGCAACAACCGCCGCTACAAGACGTTCGAAAGCGTGAGCGCGTTCCTCTACGCCCGCCCGGAGGATCGCCGACAAAGCAAGAACGACAACGAATTCGCGGTGCAGTACCACAGCTGCGTGATGATCAATGACAGCGTAAACGCTTGGTCTCATCGCAACACGCATCACCGCACACAACACACACACACACACACACACACACAGAACCTGTGGATCATGAACTATTACTTTACATCCGAGGAGGCCTTCCCGGGCGTGGTGCGGAGGTCGGAGATCGTGTCGGTGTCCACCTCCGAACTGTCGCCCATCGACAACGCCATCATCAACATCGTCGATAAGAACATGGAGCTGGAGAAGATGATCGAGACCTTTTCCGTGCCCGGCGGCTCAGGCAACGTGTCCCCCTTCACCATGGTCCTCAAAGGTACGCACCGCCCCCCCCCCGCCCCTGGCCGTGGCCTGACGCCTGCCGCGCACGCACATTTCTACGGCGGCAGGTGTGATCGATGCGGCTGTGAACGGAGGCGTGATGCGATACGAACAGGCGTTCCTGAACAACGGATATGCGGAGGAGCACCCCGATCACGCCGACAAGGTCGACCTCCTCCGCAGCGTGCTCGATCAGCAGATCGCGGTGCTGGACCGGGGCCTCAAGGTGCACCAGATGGTGGTGCCCCCCGAGATGGCCGACCTTCAGAACCAACTCCAGAGTGCGTACCCACACCACACCACCACACCACACTCGCGAGTGTCTCGCGCTAACAGGGTCCTTTTGGCCACTACAGTCGGGTTGATGAAGCTCAAGAGAAGAACCCAAAAGGTCGGAGAGGAGGTCGGCAGACAGCTGAACTCGCATAATGCGGCGTTCCTCGCGTCGGCCATGTACGGCACGGATCTGGCCAAGTTCGCCCTGTCTGACGTCGCCGCCACAAGGAAGCTGCCGGCCATGGTGGCCCCCTTGAACAAGCCCTCGCCGGGCGTAGTCTCCCCGCGGACGATCATGAGCAGTGCAGCGCCCCCACCAAAAAAGCTACTGCCCACTCCGGAGCCCAGGGCTCACAGCTTCGCCTTACAAGACCCCGCGGTACCGCGCTCTCTTAACAGAGCTTCTCCCCATACGGTTGCCGTGTGTTGCGTGTTGTGTGTACCTTTTTCATTCAACGCCATCGTGTGCGGTGTGTGTTCGCAGACGGTGCTAACTTCCTTGTCGCCGCCTGGCCGCACTGCCCGTACGCCCGCCGTTATTGTTTTTACTCTTATTCTCGTTATGCGCGCAACATAACTGGGCTCACCCTTTCGTGTTTCCACCACGCGGAACATGTTGTGTTCTATCACAGAGGGCAGTACCGCTCCCTCACCGCGCCTGGGCGCCATGCGCCTGCCTTCGCCCACCTCATCGGGTAACCACGGCAAGCCCTAACCGAGCCCGCACCTCGCCGCCCTCACCGCTTTTTTCGATCAATAACAGTCATTCATTTCATGCGCAATCATTCACCAGCAGCGCTCGTGTTATGTACATACAACCCATCATGATTGCTGCGTGCAGTCGCCTCCATCCGTCGCGCTAGACTCGGGCGGGAGGCATGGATTAGATGAGGCCGAAGGTGCTGCTGTCGTCGTGCTGTTGCTTCCTGGTCTCCTCGGCTGGGTCGTCTTCTTCGTCGTGGTGGTGCTTCTCGACCTCCTTGCCCTTGCCGTTGTTCTCCTGCTCGTCCTCCATGATGCTGAACTTGATGACGGTGAGCGTCTTCTGTTCGCTCTTCGGGCTCCCGTCGTCGCCTGGCGCACCAGTCGTCGAGGCGTTGGTTGCTTCCTTGGTCTTGACGGCCTCCTTCATCCTCTCCAGCCAGCCCTTCTCCATGCCCGACTCGTCGCTCTTCTTGGCCGTCACCACCGCCACCGACTCCTTCATCCGGTTGAGCCAGCTCGATCCTCCGCCATTGGTGTCGGGGCCTGCGGGGCTCTTGGCCTCGGCAGTAGCGCTCTCGGCCGGCGATCCTGTCGCTCGACCGAACCAGCTCGCCTTCTTCGCCTCGCCCGCCGCTGAAGTGGACACCGCCGGGGCGCTCGCCCCCGTTGCGCTTTCGTCCTTGGCAAGCGCTCCCTTGACCCGGCTGAGCCACCCCGACGTCATGGACTGTGTTGGCGCCGATGAGTCAGGCGTGGGCGTGGCGGCGGCGGCGCCGGCAGTCTCGTCACCGGCAGATGACGGGCTGTCGGTGGTAGCAGCTCCCGTCGCGGTCTTGAGGGTCAGCGCCTGCTTCCACTGGCCCCACAGCCCCTTGTCGCTCTTTATGGCGGTGTCCCCTTCGGCATCCGCTGTTGCTGTTGCTGTTGCTGTTCCTTCGGTGGGCTTGTCCGAGGCTTTGGCGGTGTCGAGCATGGCCTTGAGCTTGTCGAGCATCCCAATCTCGCGCTCCTCCTCGCTTTCAGCTGGCGTCTCGTCTGCGCTCTCCTTGCTCCGCTCCCTCTTCCTCCGCTCGCGCTCTTCGATCATCTGCTTCTTCTTCTCCTCGACGAAGGTCGTGAAGCCCTTCATCGCCGACTGGAACGAATACTGCTGAGACTCCTGTTGGTGGTGGTGGTGCTACGCTCGCGAACACGTTGAGATTAGCGTTCGCACCACCCAAAGGCTATACTTTATAACGTGCGCATGAGGTGAGGATTCTCACCTGCTCGTCCTCTGCGCTTGGCAGAGCCGCGGTACTCCGTCGCCCTACAAACGCCAGATCGGGCGTGAAACTGTTCCTGATCTCCTTGAGGAGCATGACCTTGGTGAAGTGGACGTATTCGCCCATGATGGGCGTGAGCCTATGAATCAACGTATGAGGAATAGAATACTAACAGTTAGGGCGTGCGTGCCAGACCGAAGCCTCCGCAGCGGAACGGTGTGAATGTACCATCCTTTCCAGTCGATATCGGACACGAAGGTAACGATGGAGGCGGCCGCGACGCCCGAAGATTGGCTCAAGGGGGAGCGGAAGGCGGAGGACGGGAAGATAGAATTCATGGGCTCGACCAGGAAGCCACAGCCATCGGTCTCCATGCGCATTACGCCGGGCTCGGGCGCCAGCTTGTCGTAATCGACACTCCTGTGTAGAGGCAATGTTGCAAAGGGAATAGAGAGTGGTGAATGAAACGAAGTTGAGCGATGAACTTCAAAAGAGGGATATGATCAAAAAAACCTGAGATAGAGAACATAGGAATCGCGCTCGTGTCTGCCCCACGACTTGAATACGACCATGTCGCGCTCGTTCTCGGCTGGTCACGACAGAGTCAGGGTTGGGCAATGCGGACACATGACACGAGACCAATGTGGTGTTGTGCTTTGGTCGTCGTACCTCGCTTGGACATGTTGACGGCTTGTGCGAGGGAGGAGAAGGAGGGGAAGAACTTCTTGATGTGCATGTGCACGATCTCGTTCTTGTCGTCGACCCTGTCCAGAAGCTGAACCTTGCTCAGCGTCCGATCCCACTTGGGCCACTTCTCGGCCTTGTTGATCATCTCGAATATGTTCTTGGCCGGGGCATCTGCGCACAGCAAAGGCCAACGAACGACGAAAGATGAGACAACAACGACGAGCCGTGTTAGGTAAGATCGGCGCGCACCAATGACGACAACGCCCTTGTAGATCTCGCGCTTGCCCCCGGGTCCTTCCACCTCCTTTTTGTAGAAGGTGACGCCCGCTTCCTCCTCGACGTAGCGCCACCCGTCGTACTCGGTACCGCGGGCCATAGCGCGCAGCCAACTGAACGCTTCCTCGGGGTGCGTGAACTGTTCCTGCGCGATGATCACGAGTCAGCACCACGAAGTGGGCAGTTGCTGTTGCACTTGGGCGAGAGAGGGCTAGTGGGCGCACAGGCATCGACTGCAGTCCAGGCCACTCGGCCACCGACTCGCCGTTCTCAGCGCCGGAAGCCTGCCCTTACGTTAGGAACGTGACATCCATACCATCAGGCAGCAGTGAAGCCATGAGGTGCGTGGTACTCAGTACCGCTTGGAGGTCTGGCCGAGTTTCCTTGTCACCGGCGCTGAAATCAGTAGTCTCTGAGGAGGAGACACTAGGGTCGGCATCGGTCCCTATGATCTTATCGGTCCACTCACCGCCGTAGGCGCTCCTGGGGGACATGGCGTCGTCGGTGTCGAGATCCACTTCGTCGACGGCGTCTTCATCCGGGTTATCTGGACCCAACACAGCGATTTCCTCTTCATCGGGCAGGTCCTTCCGCTGCTCCTCGAGCACTTCTTGCTTGTCCAGCCGATCTGCCAGGGGGGGGGTGGATTAGCTTCTCGCGCCCGACCTTGCACAAGCTGCCAGTACTAGGAGATGGAGAAGGGCCGTACTGAGGTCAACATGCACCGACCCGATGCGGGGCAAGTGAAAGGGCTTCCCGCGCGCCAAGTCTGCATGAGAGGCCGTAAGTACGCTGCACCACCCCAGTGCGATGCGCAAACACGACGGAAGAACGCACCAGAGAAGTACTTGATGGCGAGTATACGGAAGTCGCGCCCCTCCACCCTCTCCGCGAGGGGCATGAGGTGCTCTTCGATCCATCCCTGTTGCCAGTTGCACCCCCGCGTGAGCTGATGCGCTACGCCGCGATGCGGTACAGAGAGAGTGGCAGTAGTACCCAGTCTTGTAGGATCTCCTGATGGTCGAAGGCTGAGGCCACTTGGTGGTAAGGCGACGTGGACGCAATGATGCGGTACCCATCGGCTCTAAGATAGGGAAGTGAGCAGTAGCCACCGCAGAAGAACGAGACCTGGGGGAGGAGGCGATACCCACTAGCAGGTCCAAGTATGTTCCTCACGAGCTGGAGCGAGGAGCCCAGAGCTGTTTCTGCCGCTCTGAAGTAGCATACATAACAACGCGCAACAGATGAGAGCTGGGCATAGTGGAACGAACGAGTGGGGAGAGCACCTGTGTCGCTGTAGAACGAAGAACCGATTTCTCTTTTCATCCAGCCAGAGGCCGTGCACGTTGATTGACTTGGAGGGCTCGACAAATACCATGGCGAAAGGGAGGTGATCCCTCTGATCTAATACTGTGGCTGATGATGAAATGTAATCAAACTGATCCAAACTGCTCTACACCGATCACTATCACCTCTTGGCCGAAAGCTCTCTTGCGATAGAGAGTGAGTTGACACCGAGGACAGGTGAGGCAGGCCGAGTAGAGGAGGGTGGGCTCAACCGCGGAAGTTCACGGGAGAGGTCTGCAGGCACCGTCTCGCTGGAGGAAAACAAGAAAGAAAAACAACTCGAAATGATTTTGTAAATTGTTTTGTAATTTTAGAAAAAATGGTGAAAATTGTCGCACACTTCACAACGACGAAGCCTTCTTGCTCTTCTTCTTGCTGTTCTTCTTCTCCTTCTTTTTCTTTTGCTCGTCTTCGCCTTTCTTGCTCTTCTTCTTTTTGTTGTTCTTCTTTTCGTCTTCCTTCTTCGACTTGCCAGCGTCGCTCTCTTCTTGCTTCCTCTTCTTGGTCTTCTTCTTATTCTTCTTGTCCTTCTTGGGCTCCTCCGTTGTCTCTTCCTCTTCTCGCTTCCTTTTCTTCTTGTCCCTCTTCTCCACCTTTTCGTCAGTGCTGGCGACTGCTTGCCGAGGCTGTCGGCTCTCTGCTGCGACCGACACTTGCGGAGTGCTGACGTCGCCTCCTGCCCGCTTCCTCGCCATCTCAGCTGTTGGGAAGACACACAACGGGAACCGACCGTCAGCGCGATGAAAGCTTTCATCTTCACGGATCAACAGCTGATCATGCATGTATCGTACCCATCTTCATCTTGAAATAGTCCTGCAAACTCACGGCACTAGTGGTAGTAGTGACTCCGGAGACCGTGTCGGTTTCCTTGTCTTCCTCCTCTTCTCCCTTACCCTCCTCCTTCTTGTCGGCGGACTTCCTCGACTTCTTCGACTTCTTCTTGTCGCTCTCCTCCTCTTCCATTTCCTGATGTACGCCACACCAAGTGATCAGCGCATGCACAGCGTAGCGTGTTATGTTGTCGCTCACATACCTCGCTTTCGCTGCCCACCTCCTGGACCTTGACCTCCTCGGTGGTGGTGGTGGCCACCTTCTCCTCCTGCGCCGCTGCCGCCACGCCATACGGGACGCCGCCGAAAATGGCGCTCTTGTCTTCCGACGAGTAGTTGGCCAGATCCTTGGCCCTCAGCATACGAGAGTACCTGCGATGAGCGTTGAAAGTTCGTTAGCACATCTGCTTGCGACGCCAACGACTTCCCTTCGAGTGTACGTACAACACTTTTCTGGGTCTGCCAACGACGCCCTTCGGCTTCTCTGCAGGCTTCTCTTTCTCCTCTGTGCCCATTGTGATGATGTGGCGCGATTAATTTTTAGAAATTAATCGCAGAGATGAAACAAAGCCGTTGGTGATTGGTACCAGTGGTGTCGGGCTTGGTGCCATACGAAGCGTTGAGACTGGCGAGGATGGACTCGTACGCAACCGAGGTCTCGAGCCAGTTTTTGTTGTGTGTGACGGTTTCGGTTCCGATACCCTGGTTATCGATCTTCTTCTTTACCTTGATGTGCTCCGTTGTTCCATCTTCGTTCGCGCCCAAGCCCTTGCCTTCCTTCCAGCCCATTTTCTCCAACATCTGAAATCTGAGATGAAGAGAGAAATTTAGAGATTGAATTGAATTCCTCGAGATTGCCACATCTACAAAAACCACGAACCCGAAGCGGCCCTTGTCGGTGGCCCAGGCCACATTTCTGTCATCGCAAGGGCGCTGGTCCTTCCTCGGCATGCTTGTTCTTGACTGGCGGCTGCACACAACAATAACAGAGGAGTTTTACTGCGCCACATCATTTTCTTTTATTTCTGGATGCTTTCCTTGTTTCTTGGTGCCCATTACTCTTCCCATTCATTCGTGGCGAATGGGTCCAGCATTGCCAATGGCTTCGCCTTGGGCTGCTGTGCGTTGGGGTGGAGGATCTGCACTCGCTTTCGTTTCCTCCCCACGGCGCTGCAGAAAGACTGGGGTTGTGTTAGGAAATCGCCTGTGCGCCGGCCGCTACGTCCATCTTACCTTGCTCGCGTAGGGAAGAGGCGGTCGAGGCTTGTCGAACAACTTCATGGGTATGCCTGCCAACGCCAGTCTGCACAAGTTGATGAGCAATCATGCTTACAGCTGATCCAAGTGCTAGTGCTCGTGACGTACTCGAACACCAAGAAGTCAGGGAAGCCTACATGCACAGCAGTTAGCGCACAGCTCCTCTTTTGCGCACGAAGCGGGTCTCATCTCGCAACGTACCAGTGGCAACAACCGCGTCGACGTCGGCCGGTTCCTTGAACACCTCGAACGCCTTCTTCCGCGGCGGGCTCCCGGGCGGGGTACCAGGCCTCGTCTCCCTGCCCTCGCCCGTGACCGCGAGCTCGGCCAAGCCTCGCTTGCGGCCCCCGCACGCGAACTGCGGCTCGCTTCCCTCGGCCGCGGGAAGGGTGCAGCCGTCGAAGGCCGGGGCTCGCTCCGCCTCCACCTCCGCCGTGGTGCCCCTGCCCTCGCTAGCCCTCTGCCTGAGCTGCCGGAGCAGACGCTGCCACGCATCGTGCTCCTCCGCTCCTCCCGGGCTCGCCGGTCGATCGACTGAGCGGTGAGAGAAGAGAGAAGAGACACGGTGGTTAGACCGACATTAGCTCGGGCGAGAGGAGGCAGGCGCGCACTGGTGACGCTGGCCAGGGGATCGTTCGGCCTGGTGGTCGGGCTTGGGCGCGTATCGTCGAGCGGCAAGACCTCGGTCCGAAGCCAGACGTCGAACGAGCTGGACGCGTCGACGCTCGCGCACGGTACCTCCTCCTTCTCGACCTTCATCTCTCGTTCCGTTTGGTCTTCTTGAACCCGTTGATCTGTTGTATCCTCGCGTTGGTCGTTTTCTTCGGCTTCGCGTTCTTCCTTCTCGCTTTCCTCTATCAACGACGAGATCGATTCGTTCGCCTCCTCCTCTCCTTGTGGTGCCACCTCAATGTCCATTCGATCTTTATCGCTTTCCTCTTTTCGCTCTTCGTTCTCCTCGGTGGTCTTCTCTTCGATCGTGTGCTCGTTCTGCATTCCTTCGCCCGAGCTTTCTTGCTTCTCGTGTTCCTCTTCTAGTTTCTCTTCGTCTGTCTTCTTTTCCTTGTCGTTGTTGATCGTCGTGTTGGGCGTCTCTACCGTGATCTCACCGAATGCCGCCGCGATCTCCTCTTGGACCTTGTCCGCTTCTCGCACAGACCCGGCTCGGAGTTCGACGTGGTCCTCGAGCTCACCATCGAATGCGATCGGCTGCTCGACGGTTACGTAATCGGCCTCCGTACGAATCGCTTCTTCCGTATCGCCGCTGCAGTTCTCCGCTTCGATGCTTATGGTTGGCGCTGGCTGGGTCGTGCTCTCCTCCTCTTCTATGCTCCCGCAGCTCTTTCCCTGATTCGGAAGATCCTTCGATTCCTCGATCACGGGTTCGATCTCCATCCCCAGCTCGAGTTCCGCGCTCGGTTCCGACATCTCGACGGCAGGCTCGTTCTGCGTTCCTTCTACTTCGCTCTCGCTCGGCCGATCTTGATCAGCAGCCTGCGGCTCCACAGGCAGCGCTTCCTCCGCGACCTCCGTCGCCAGCGGTTGTACCGGTGCTCGCGCTTCGCAGATGAGTGGTTCCGAGGACTTCGTTTCGGGTACGAGGCACGCCGTCGGAGGCCCGGCGAGTGTATACCCGCAAGCTTCGAGGAGTACAGATGCCACCGACACCGGTTCGCTCGCCTGGAGTTCACAAGGCGCCTGGCCTTCGGTCGATACGAGGTAGGCTGTCGGTTCACTCAGTTCACGAAGCGCCGGCCCTTCTTCACTCGAGTGCATCGCCTCCGGTTCCACCGCCACGCGTTCGGAAGGCTCATCGGTAGGTTCGTCCAGGGCTCGTTCCTCGACAGACGGAAGAGGCTCTATTGGCTCCGGCAACGCGAGCTTACACGTTAGGTCTTCGGTCGGCACGAAGGATTCCGCCGCTGTCAGTTTGCTCGGACCGGCGGGCTCGAGAAGTGCTGCCGCGAGCGTCGACCATTGAACGCAAGCGTCAACCGACGACGTCGGGACCAGTACTTGCGGCTCTGCAAGCAACTCGACCTCGATACGAGCGACCAGTGCTCCGGGGTTCGAAGGACTGGCTGGCGCGGACGGCGTTGGAGGTTCGACATGGCCGAGCTCCTTCGGTTCCGCTTCGACAAACTCACCTTCTACACGAGCGACCAGTGCTCCGAGGTTCGAAGGGCTGGCCGGCGCGGAAGGCACTCGTGGTTCGACATGGCCGAGTTCCTGCGGTACCACTTCGACGACGCAAGACGCCTCGACGGAAAGGGGCTCGGGAGCGGGTTCGCTCGGCTCCGTCGGTGCAGTTAACATCTGAGCCTCGGCAGGGTTCGGCCATTCGTCCGAGGCTTCCTCGCTTCTCGTCTGCTCTTCAGGGTCGCTTGGCGTGCTCCGGTCCTCGTCGCTGTCCTCGTCGGAAGTGCTGAGCCCCTCGTCCCGTTCGCGTCCCGTGTCGAGCGCTGGATCGCAGCCGATGTAGTGCGCCGACTTCTCTTCGGCATTGTTCGACAGATCTTCACGCGGTGAGGTACGCCCTTGCGGCTCACTAGGAGCTTCCTCACTGGGAGGTTCGAGAGAGACTTCCGCTTGCTTCGCTAACTGTTTGAGCTCACTTCTTAGTCGCGAAACAGAGAAGGGCATGGCGCGAGGTACCTTGCCGCTTGGATCTGGGACCGTGTCGATCGTTCGAGTGTGAGCTGTCGCTTCTACACCGAGTTCGTTCTCGAGGCACAGACTCGGGGTGGGACGAGCGTCTACAATCGGGCGCGTTGGCGACGAGAAGATGAGGCCCGAGGGGTTTGAGCCGCCGAGAGATACTGCCGCAGGGCGAGGTGGCAGACAGAACGAAGGTCTTGAAGCCAGCGGCCTCGACGGGATGAAGGACGGCGCGGCGAAGAACCGTGAAAGAACAGGCCTATCTCCGTTGGTGCTCGTACCGACCGTAGGCGTTGGAAAGACCGCAGAGGTTGCCGGCTCAGCAGCAGCTACGTCTCTACGCATGCCTGCTGCAGCCGATCCGCTGGTTGACGACGGGTTGCTGCCGAACGAAGGAAAGAAGCGGAAAGGAAAGCGGGGCGGGCTGCGGCTACGCGCCTGCTCTGGCGGGGCGGCCTGTGGCTCTACACGGTTAGCCTCTACACGACCGAGACGCGAAGTTCTACTTCCGAAAAAGAGTGTACGTACCCCGTCCACTGCTGGATCGATTTCGCTAGTGCGCGACATGAATGGCTTCACAGGTGAAGGTCTATCGTTCTGCATCGCCTTGCGTCCGTGTCTCCTACTTGTGTGCTTGCTGTCTGGCAAAAGGGTCGTAAAAGAAATGCCCACAGACACAGGCAGGCAAAACCAAGCCGCATTTCTTTTGCGGCACTTTTGCCAGACAAGCCACGTCTCCTGCTTCGATCTTCCTCTACTCGACACAATGCGGCTCAAGTTTCTGAGCAGAGGTACGCGCCTCGCTCCAGAGAAGAGTAGCCAGGGCTCTGGTTAAGCGTAACAAACCAGCTTCTTGCCTCACCTTCGCGTTCTATCTATGCAGACTTCTTTGCGCTCAAGTCGAACGAGCATGCGTGCAGCTTGGCCCTGATAGCCGCTCTACCGGTACCCCGTGTAGATGCGGACCAGGACACCACATGGTATGCGCGACGAACCTTGGTAATGCTATGCCGTGTTGTTATTTCCAACCGTCTTTTATGTGTAGGGACTACTTGCGCTACGCCACGTTCCCGCTTCAGCTTCTTGGGAAGCTCGGGACGCAGCTCGAGTGGGAGGTGGAGAGCTGTCTTGAGACCTCTACTTCGGAGTTTCCTCAGGACCTCTCGAGCTTCTTCTCTCCCGTTCCGGTCAATCGCAATGAACACAAGCTTGGTGATGAAAAGCTGCTGTTGGATTCACGTCCTGTCGGCCGCACGCGACACGTCGATATCGAGTGCGTCGAACTTCCCTTCTCGACCGTTTCACCGATCTGCTACTTCGACCCGAGACTCGCTAGGTCCCTACTACATAGCTTCACTTCCGGACAGCCAGAGAAAGAGCTTCTGGCATTCAAGAGCATTTATCCGGATGAGTACGTACTCGGAGTTCTCGCTCCTTGGCCACTCTGACCTTCTCCAAAGAGTTCTACACTATTTGGAGCCGCAGACTGGGACTTCGGCAGACGTGGCAACCGTCGATTCCGGACCTCTTCGGGAGAGCTTCTCGTGTCGCGCCTCAAGCGGGCCGGAGCTTCTAGAACCGAGCCACCTGGCCTTCGGCCTTGCCGAGCAAAGCTCTTTTCTGGAGAGCGTGTCGTTCGCGTGTGGCAGCGAATATGTGGATATGGCCCTCGATATGACGCTTCCAGACCTACTGGGTACTTACCTTGCGCCTTTCAGCACCTGCAATGGCTAAGATATCTCGCGAACAGGGCTTTGCGTGTGCAAGAATGAGCCGCCTCGACCGTACGAAGACCTTCCTGCGAAGGACCCGCCGGTGTCCTTCGAGACTGCGGAGGATGAAGTTACTGAAACAAAAGGTGGAGGTACATGGCGCATCTCAGGCTGCGAAGTAGAGCCTCAACTCGAGTTAACCTAGACTCTGTTACCAGTGCCGCTGCTATATCTGGAAGCCCCTGCCATTCTTCTAGCACCGAAGCACGCACGATACACCGGCGCTCAGCCCTGCGTGCAACTGCACCCGCCACCCGAAAAGCTCGCTCCGGAGTTGCCTCTGGGCCTTTCGAGCGAGCAAGAGATGATCGTCCTGGCCGAGAAGTTCTGGAGCGGGCAAATACGCTTTCTCAACGATGCGGTCAGCAGCTTACCAGTCCCGCGGATAAACGATGTGAAGGTGCGCACTCTCGTACTGGTTCGTTCGGTTCTCTCTTAGCGTACGTATGACTGACCTGTGCGCTGCAGGCCGCATACGGAAGCTATCTTGATGCCTTCCTACGGGTCGTTAGTAGCTCTAAGCCCGTTGAAACACTCGAGCTTCGGCTTCCGCCCTTGTGGAATGAAACGCCTCGCGGATTGTCGAGCTCGCTTATGCAGCCGCCAGCGGTGCATACTCTCCACAATATCACGCTCAACTCTCGACCGTGGGAAGAGTTTTCGCTTGAGATAGCATCAGGTGCGCCAATGTGTCTCGCCACACCTCTTCGTGTCTTCTCACATTGATCAATACGTCAGTGAGGCAAGAGGAAGAGCCGGAGCCCATTACGAACCTCATCTTTTTGGATGACGAGGTCTTCTCCAACTTCGGAGAGGTAATCGACACCACTGATGCGTCATGAGAGAATTGACAATTCCGCTAATGATCGTGGCAGGAGCTGGTCTTCATTCGGCAGGCAAAGAAAGACTGCACTTTCGATGATCGAGCGGATAGCACAGGTTCGCGCTTTCTCGAGATCGTTCTCCATACACTTCACCCATTGTAATCTATCTCCCTTCCCCAGGTCTCCTCTATAGATACTTGTCGATGTTAGAATCGTTACCTCCTCCGAGCGAGTTCGCGGCCATTGTAGAGGAGCTAGCGGATCAGCCAGCAGAGCAGCCGTGCCTCTACCAATGCGTCAAGGAAGTAAGATGCCCACCAGCCCATACTTACAACCTCTGTACTGATCACGTTTATTTCAGGACGCCGTTTTGGAGGAACGACCACCCACTGAAACGCGTCGCCTCCGCTCTGAGAATCCGCGAGATCCGTCGAAGTGCTTCACTTCCATTACGGTAGGCCTCTTCGTCTTTCTTCCTGGAGCGCACCTACAACCGCACCTGAAAGTTAGTGCTAGTGCTAATAGTGTGATAGGATTCCATCGATGACTACATGAGGATCCGAGGGAAAGGTAGACGTACCGTGCCCGTAACTCATATCTTCCCCTGGTACTCACAAGAATCTGGCAGCTCTTCCTGAGGTGCACCGCTACGTTTCCGATATGTGGGCCAGTGACTATCGGTTGGAGATACCTCGCGGCGCTCCTTTCCTCGACTATCAGGTGCGGTTGTATGTGCGCTCTTTGCTGGGGTTTACCTGACCGTGGTTCGGTATCAGGTGGAGTTGGCCGACCAGATCCGACGGCGTAACAGCCTGCTAGTTCTTCCTCCGAGCGTTCCTTTTCATCCCGTGGCAGCTCTGCTCGCCTTCAACTACCTCTCGTTTCCCGGCACCAAGCTCTTGTGGTTGAGCTGCTCAACGACCAACCTAAGAGCCGCGCTGCAATATCACAAGTCGCTGATTCAGGGTCATGCGAACTACGGCGTGTTGGGCGTCGAAGAGCTAGACACCGTCAAAGTAGGTGAGAGCGCCTTCGTCTTCGCAGATGCGCGCTCCTTTGCCACGGACACGGCAGATCGCTTGTACGACACCCTAGCTCCGAGTTACGGCATTAGCTCACACTATTTCACGATCGGCAGAGCATTGTTCGAGAACCTGGCGTGTGTTTTCTTCGACTTCACCGGCGAGGACGCTTGGCTCGACACTTATCGCCCGGTCATCAAGCACACACTCGGCAACATTCCTGGATGGAAGCGGCTCGCTCTGTCTTCATCTCCGAGCACCACTACGAAGCAAGTTTCCGCTCTCGTGACGACGCTACCTCTTGAGCAGATCGTGTGCCGGGCACTCGACGACCCGGACATAGCGCGCCATGCGCAGGCGAAGCACTCCTGGCAGGTCGCTCTTTCAGGTGAGAAACAATACGAACCTTACGCGCAAGCGCTAAAACTGACCTGCACCACAGGATCGACCGCTAGCGTCCTGCAAACAGCCGAAGAGAGCCAGCACTATCTGCTCCAGGCAGCTCAGGCTCAGCATCCCCATGTCCGTCTTCCCTCGGGAGCGGTTACTCTGGCATCGCTCAGGTACCCCCATTTCCCTTTGCGCTTTGCGTCTGTAGACTGTATTGATATGGTTCCTCAGGTGCATCGAGCAAGGTCGAAACGGAGCGGCACATACGCCCGGTACGCTCTGACGCCTCTTTTCGATCACCAGAGCTCCTCATGAAAGAAGTGGCGCAGGGTTCGATTCACTGTTTCGCACACTGCTCGCTATCACATCCGCTATCGAGGCCATCAAGATTGGCGGTGTCCTTTTCGCTCGCGATCAGCTACACATGGCATTGATGGGAGGCCAGCTTAGTTTAGGTACAGCCACCGAAGCTTTCCTTTTAGCCTGCCGCACTCCTGCCGCTTGCTGAGTGAATCGCCATTGCGCAGCGGAAGTTGGCGCCTTCGCCGGAGAGCTGGAAATGCTGGCAGGAGAAGTCGAGGCGGGTCTCCTGCTCGAACACCCAGGCTTTGGCAAGCTTTGTGGTCTGCTGCAGGAGGCAGCGCGTCCTCCACGCTCGTCGGGAAGGCCATTCAGGGTGCGGTACCTGCTTTCGTGTTGAAGCGCCCCGCGGCAGCCTTTCCTCATATCTGTTACAGGCCATTGTGGTGGTTGATAAGCCTGAGATCATTCCTGCCATGATTCAGGCGATCCAAGCTGGGCAAGCTAGCCGCCCGTCCGCAATCGGAGAAAGAGACATTATGTACGCCTGAAACTTTACGTGACTGATGTTACATTTGCTGATCATGACGCTTTTAGTGACTGCCTTGCGCATTCTGGCGTGGACTGCTGGATCGCGACCAAGGAGGCCGTCCGGAACGACTTCCCGTGGGAGGCATTCACCTTGCTCGCCGTCTACGACTCCAACCGCCCATTCATCGAGTCGCTTGAACTACAAGCGCTGCTGTCCCAAGAACGCATCACCGAAGTGTGCATCGTACCCGTGTGGCAAGAACACGCCTCCAGCGACGAGTTTGTAAGTGCTTGGTGCCATGCCGTGAGGTAAGCTACTCGAGTGGAGTCTGTGCTCATTCGGTTCCTCACATTTCTTCATCGTCCAGAGGTCACTTTCATGGACGGCAGGCGGAGAGCCACCCCGCCCATCCCATTACGCTTCGCGACATAGATGCTCGGAAGTGGCCAGGAAAATTGTTGCAAGGTATGATGTACACTCTTACCCGCAACCCATGTTGCGTACTAACCCTGTTTCCAGATTTGTCATCAGTTGCCTGCGAGGTTGTGCAAACCACCGCGTCGGTTGAGCTTCAACCAGTGACTCTGATGGCGAGCGAGGGCTTATTGCAGCATCACTCCCTCGTTCGAGGTTTAGAGAAGCAGCACGTCGCCCTGATCGAACGCACGTTACGCGATCCCATCGACATCATCTTCGACGATAGAGTATGTATGACTATCCGCCCTGCGGCGGTGCTCTCGTCCGACGACGAAGCGAGAGCATTGGTCAACAGCATTCTAGCCCTCGTCTCGTTCGAGAAATGCTGGCTGATCTTCACCCTCCGCTCAGACGGAGCAAGGTAGGTCTCACCTCCTCTGTATTTGCGTTCGGTGATGAGTCTAACTCCCTGTAGTGACTCCCTTCCCACCGAGTCCCTTCAGCGAGTCACCGCTCGGCTGGCCAACTCGCTGCCGCAGGTAGTCATCCGCTATGCCTTCACCGATGAGGATACGGTGTCGATCATTCGCATAGCGATCGAAGAGGCCGCTTGCACGAGCGAGGCGTGGGAAAAGGTTCTTAGTGCTTTTGCTGGCCGTGTCACGTCGCCATCTCACTTCTCCTTTCCTCTCAGTCACTGAGTCGTTGGAGCAATCGCGAGGGTTGGCTGCTACCCGAAGAAACGCAAGTACGTGGCCTCTGGTTCTGCAGTTCCGATCTCCCTGCATTGTCAGTTGTGTTAACACAATCGGTTCGTCCCGTTTTTCCACACAGCACGAACTATTCCTAGCTCGATGTCCGATGATGACGCCATTCACGGCTCAGCTCGCCCTCGCCGCCGGGCCGCTTCGGCAGTTCATAACTTCGTCGAACGAGGATCGCATTGCGCAGAACCCCTGGATCCCACCTCGCGTTCTGGTACGTACCCCCTACGTCTAATTTTCGTTTTCACCAGATCATGATAGGTTTCAAGTGGCTCCCTTGAACCCTCACGAACTTGGTGGTGCACAGGAGCTCTTCCACCAGTTCGTGAACTGCGCGCCCTCGGGCGAGGCAGCGCAAGCAGCAGTTGGTCGTGCCACCAACAAACGGAAGGCTCCCCTCGACGACGACAGAGAAACACAGTTGCGGACTGCAGGTCGTCCCGCGCAGTGGCCGCGCGATACCTACCCACTGGACTCGAACAAGAGGCCCCGGGTAACGATGTCGCCCGCGCCCGCGGCGGCTGTGTCGGCGCCGGCGCCGGTGGTACCTGCGAGTACGACGTCCGCTTGTCACAACTGCGGCAACTGCGGCCGGCCCGGACATTCCGCCTGGCAGTGCTACAGCGGCGGCTCGGCGGACAAGAACCCGACGACGCAGCAACAACGCGGCGATCACAACTACGGGGCGGGACGAAAGCGGAAGCAGGCGGCCCAGCAGCCTCGGCAGTCCCCCCACCACTCGACTGCTTCAACGTCACAGCGAACTCGAGGTCCAGCCGCCGGCAGCACCGTCGCCACCAACTACCGCAACCACACCAACCGTGCGAGCAGCAACAACTACAACAACAACAACAACAACAACAACAACAACAACAACAACAACAACAAGCGGGCAAGGCGAGGAGGAAGGTGAAAAGAACAACAGGGTACATAAAAATGGGATCCACCTCCTTTTTTGGTTTTCCGTCACTTCGGCGCTGAAGCGGAGTACGGAAATCGAACGCTTCTTGACTAAAGACCACACGACGGCAGGCATCGAGAAAAGGAACGGTCACATAGTTCGGACGGGGAGAGAGAGAGGACGAAGACCTTTGTCGAGGAAGATGATGAAGGAGAGGAAGGGTAGTACCCTTGGTGGACGACCGGGAGACTCTTCGGTAATCGTTCCAAGGTCCCCGCGGGTCGCCCCGCAGTCGGGGGACAACGAGCGAACCCCTCCACCGCTGGGGCTTCTGGGGAAAGTGGCCAGCATACGAAACCTGTCGCGCAAGGTACGGGCTCCCCGGCCACCACACGTCATGAATCCCTCACCCTCTCCTCCTCTTCTTGTTCAACGCACAAAGAAAAAGCTACAGGAGGCCACCAAGACGAAGACGGCCGACACCCCAACAACCCTACGGCCCAAGAAGGCGAAGGACCCGGCGGACGACCCCCTGGGCGAAGACTGGCACACGGCTCCTCTGCCCCCGCCACTCAGCGGCGGCGTTTTGTACATATCGCAGGAGCTGTCCACCGTCACCTCGCCCCCCATTCCTCCTTCGCCGCGCAGCGCTGGTAGCCTCGGGGCAGCCGCTGCCGCCCGCCACCCGCGAGGTTTCTTCGACAGGCACTCGTTGAGCGTGCTGCCGGTCAGCCCCAACTTCGTCTGCCCGCCCCCTGCCACCCCCATCACATCTTCTCCCTCTCCTCTGCCGAAAGATGTCCGTGGCGACATTGCCAAGTTCCAGCTCGAGGGCTATGCACGCAAGTACTTCAAGACCCGCAAGAAGGGCATCTTCAAGCGGCAGGTGCCAATCAAGGACCTCCTCACATTCCAGAAGGTACACGCGGACTCGGCGACCGCTGCTGCAGGCAAGTGCCCTGACTCTTTCTTCTTACACCCCGCCGCGGTCGTGCAGAAAGATATGGATAGTCCTCTGCTCGACCTCAAGAACAAGCCGGAGCTGCACTCCATCGCCATCAAGATGTTTCAACATATCCTCAAACCCTTCATTCCTTCCTCTGGCCTCTCATCTCTTTCATCTTAGCTCTTCGCTACGTCTGCATTGTTCCTTAACACGCACACTGATCCTGACCTACCAAGGCCTAAAGAAGCCCTTGCGGCCAACGGAGGAGATCGCAACGGCCAGAGAGCTGCTACAAGAGGCACTGCGAGAGGGGCAAATACGAGATGAGGTCTACTGCCAGATATGTAAGCAAACCTGTGATACGCCATCCGCGTACGTATACCCTCGTCTCTCTCATATCTCTCTCTCTCTTCTTGAGGCCACATTCTTGCCACCAGAGCTCACATCGTTGACATTTTTACAGCGAGATACTCTACAAGGGGTGGGAGCTCATGACGTTCTGCTGCGTGACCTTCCCACCAACGCGCAATTTTGAAGAGTGGCTGCGCAAGCACCTGTGGGAGCACACGAAGCTCTCTGACTCACGACAAGCTTCCTACGCCCGATTCTGCGTGCGGAAGCTGGACCTGATCTGCGAGGCGCCACCAAGCGCGCGAGTGCCCTCCTACCACGAGATCGAAATGATGAAGGTGCAGTGGCCAGTGCCATTAATTGATGGAGATCGGTTTCGCTCTTGTGGCCGCTAAACGCCAACAACACGCAACGCGCAACGCAGGAGGCACCCTTTTGCGGATCACCGTTTGTGATGTCTCTACAGGAGATCATGGACTGGCAGAAGGAGAAGGGAATAGGGTTGGAAGTGCCTCAGATCATGGTACACCTTTGCGAAGGAGTTCTCAGACTCAACGGCCACTCTGCCCTGGGCATCTTCAGGTCCGTCACCATTCCGCAGGATCCCTCTGCTACTCTCGCGTTGGCTGACTCCATGATAACGACGACGACAACAACAGGGTGAAGGGAGATACGAAGCGAACCAACGACCTCAAGGCCGAGCTCGAGTGTAACCGATACACGCTGGACACGCTCAACCCGCACGATTTGGCCAACCTCCTCAAGACATGGCTTCGAGAACTACCCGACCCACTCATCCCCTTCGAGCTCCAGTACCCATCTCCCAATCTCTTTTCACGTCTTGCTATGTTCCTCCCACGCTGATGGTGCGGTGTGTGTCGTGTGTCGTGTGTCGTGTGTCAACAAGACCCAAGTGTCTGGCGGTGGCGGACACCGTGCAGCCGACGTTGCAAGTTGTAAATACCAAGCTGCACCCGCTCAACAAGAAGGCTCTGCTCTACCTGGTCGAATTTCTACGTACCTTCCTGGCCCCCGAGGTGGAGGGCCGGACGAAGATGAACCTCGCCAACCTCGCCACCATTTTTGGACCCAACCTTCTTCGCGCTCCCGACGCCGAGGTTCGCTCTCTTCCCCCAACCACGGGAATCGCCTTGCATTGCGCCTGGTGTGTCGCTCACCCACTGCTGCATCGATGTTGTTTTTTTTCCCTGTGTGAGTAGGTATCACTCGAGAACGCGCAGTTGGCTCAGGATTTTGTGAACACATTGCTCAAACACTGGAGGGGATGATGACAATGCGTTGATGATGTTGGCGTAGACGAGAGGACATCACGGCGGACAAAAGATGACTTTCTTCGCCTTTTCTCTTTTGCACAGAATTCCTCGAATAGCGTAAATGTTGTTTTTTTGCATTTGATTAACCACATAAGATTGAAAGGATGGACAATCCGCCGGTGCGACGGAACCAGACGGGGGCTTCTGCCCGCAACAACCATGGCAAGCGCCTGTTCGAGATGATGCTCCCGCTGCAGCCCTTCACTGGCCTGCTGAGCGCGGTCACGGTCCGATTCCAGGCCCACCACGACCGCCTCGACAACGATCGCGCCTTCCCGCTGGGGGTGTGGCGCGAGGTGTGGCGCGGCAACTCGAGCCCCCTCAAGCGCCCGGTCCTCTCCCGTCCCACGGCCCTGGGCCTCATGTACAGCCCCGGCTCCCTCTACACCATCCTTTACCAGTTCGTGGAGCACAAGCTGGGCCAGGTGCTGGCCTCGGCCGTCTGTCGGCGCTACTTGGAGTGGGCCACGCTGGACCGGGCCGACTTCAAGCACACCAAGGAGGCCTTCGAGGAGGGCGACGTCATGTCGCGGCCGGGCCTCTACGCCGGCTACCTGGCGGTCAAGTGCGCCGTGTTCGCCGCCGTCCATGTGGTGTCGCACCCGTTCTCGATCCTGCGCACGGTGGTGCTCATGCGCGGCAACGTGCCGCTGCTCGAGGACGGCGTGTGGGCCAACCTGCACTACGCCAGCCCGTGGGCCAAGACGGGCCTCTACATGAGCAGCCTGGGCGCCCACGTCGTGGCCGGCACGGCCGAGGTGTGCCTCACCGACGTCGCCCTGCGCACGCTGCGCCACGCCTACCGCGGCTTCCTGACGCGCCAGCAGGCCGCCAGTGGGGCCACCCGCCGCCGCGGCGAACAGCTCCCGGGCACCCACGTCGACCGGCTGCGGGCCAAGCTCAACTACGCGACGGTGGTGAGCGCGCTGCAGGTGGTGGCCTCGTTCGCGGTGCACACGCTCCTGTTCCCGCTCCTCACGGTGCGCATGCGACTCGAGGCCCAGGGCGGCGTCGACGACGAACCCGTGACCGCGCTGCGACACCTGGGCCTCGTCGAGTGCGTGCGCTCCATCTGGGCGAACGAGGGCGGCGCCGGCTTCTATCGCGGCTTCGGGGCCCACGTACTCACCTTCGCCGGCAACGCGCTCTGGATCGGCATCATCTACGGCCTCACCGAGGCCTACATCAACCTCGACGTCGACGAGGACGACTAGTCTTGTCCACTCTTCCGTCTTCGTCATCTTCTCTGACGCTAACATTCCCATTGTTGCCTCAAGAGCAAACATAGTTGAATTGTTAGTTGACAATCGTCATCTTCATTGTTCAACGTGGTGTCGTATATCAGCCGTGTGCGCCCTCGGTGGCGGCCAGGCGGAGCACGCGGAGGTAGGCGTCGGCGAGCTCTGCGATGGCGGCGGGCGCGACGGTGTTGGTCGGGTAGTTGAACGACACCCGCAGGGATCCGCGCAAGGTGAGGGCCGTGATGGAGACGAAGGGGAACGACGACGCCGCCGACACGCCGAACGACATGTCGTCCAGCATCGGGTGGCGCCCGTTCAGCGCGCGCACGACGTCGGCCAGCGGCCCGCCCGGCTGGGCGTCGTCCATCGACCCGACGTTGCTCATGCTGAAGGCTGGGCACGGAAACGGGGTCGTGAAGTAGCGCGAGTGGTAGGCCGAGAAGGCGGCCAGGTACTGGGCGAATACGAGGCTCGTGAGGTGCGCGCCGCGCCGCGTGCGGCTCTCCAGCCGCGCTCGCACGATTCCGCACTGCTCCCGGAAGTAGGCCAGGAACGGCGACAGGGCCTCCAGGCCTTTGTCGCTGGTCGCGGGGGTTGGCGGTGGCAGCAGGGCGGGGTCGGTGTGGTGGCAGAGGTCCACGCTGGAGAGGAACTGGCCGAGCGCTGTGGGTGCCACGCCAGCTGCGGCGTCGTTGTCCGAGGAGTGGTCGGTGGGGTCGTCGTACAGCCGGGACTGGTGGGTCATGAGCTGCCGGCGCATGTCGATCAACTGCACGCCCCAAACGTTCGCCCTTCGCTGCGAAAAAACAGACCGGTCGCTTCAGCGCAACCCGAGCGAACGGGAGAAAGGGGGGGCAAAGCTTACCTTGAGCGCGCCGGCGGTGGTGGCGAGGAAGGCGGCGGTCATGAGCTGCACGCCCATCGAGGCGCCCATCTTTCGCCCGTTGCGCTGCAACCTCGCCGTCTCTTCGCACGAAAGCCTCCGCTCGACCACGCCCGTGCTCCACAGCGGGCGGCGATGAGACGACGACGACGAAGATGACGATGACGGCGGCGAGATGTTAACGCGGGCCGTGTGGGGCAGCGCCTGCACGCGATCGGAGACGAAGCAGCGGTGCATTCGCAGGAAGGACAGCAGATGGCTCACGAACGCGACCGGCCGGGGCATCCACGCCGGCAACATGACCGCCTCGATGGGCGGCGGGATCGGCGCCGCGCATGGGGCGCGAGACGACAAAGGACCACCACCGCGGCCGCCAACGTCCGGTGAGGCCATGGAGTGGTGGCGATAGAGCTCGATGAGCTCGACCCCCAGCAGCGCCACACTCCTCCCGTCCATCAGATCGTGCGCCACCGTGATCACCAATCTGTAGTTTCCACACGTCAAGTCCTTGTCCACACACACACCACACACACACACACACACACACACACAGCTACAGTTGGCGGTGGCGTACCTCACCCGCGGTCGGACGCGGCTTGCGCTAGTATCGCCGAGGCTCCTGGAGCGCTGGATCGACGGCGCGGATGACTGGATGACGGTGCAGCGGAGGAGCGACTGGGCGCCCTCGAACCCGGTGTTGAGCTCGCGAGCCAGGATCCGCTGGTCCTCCGCCCGACACTCCTCCTCGCTCGCCTCCTCCCCGCCCCTCGCCTTCGCCGCCTCCGCCCCGCGCTCGTCGGCCGTGGCGTCGGGAAGCTCCAGCTCGACCAGTGGGATCGGCGGCGGGTCGTCGAGTCTCTTGAACGATGGCCGCTTCTTGTGGTCGAGCACCACCGTCGACTGGAGCAGCACGTGCCTGCGTACACGCGCGCACCCACGCATACCATCATATATGACACACACACCACATGTACGCCCCCCGAGTGAGATGAGAACGCTGGCGAAGGTGGAGGTGGTGGTGGCGAGGGACCTCGACTGCACGATCCGCAGAGCATCGCGCAGGCGCTCGCAGTCCAATCTCTCCTGCGGTGGCCGCCGTGCAGCCACACACAACGGGTGAGGCGAGATCGATCGCAATGGCGTGTGGTGATCGCGTGCGGTGTGCGGCTGGGGAGGTGGGGTGGGAGTGGTACGTGGAAGCGCAGCACGAGGCTCATGTTGTGATGCCCGCACTCCTGTCGCAAGTGGTGCATCACGTTCTCGAACGCCCCGAACTCCCGCCCCTCTGCACTCGCCCCACGCGCAGGTCCAGCGAACCGCCACCGACCGGTCAGTGCGTTGCCCCCCAAAAGGGGGGTTTAATTTGTGACAAGGTGGTGACGTGTGGGGGGGGATAAAGGAAGAGTAGATGTGGGTGAGGAGAAGAAGGAGGAGAAGGGGGAGGGCACGTTGGGAGGGGCGGGCGGTGGGGCGTGTGGGGCGGGTGTGCCACCATCGCCACCAGAGGAAGGTGGCGGCCAGTACCAGCCCCGACGTGAGGGTCAGGAGGACCGAGGCCAGCATCGCCACCACCGGCATGGTCGCCTAGTGCCTACGGTGGAGCACAAGAGGGAGAAAAGGGGGCAACCACAGGGGGGCACCACCTGCGAAGTAGTACAAGTCAACTCCTTGTGCCTCGCCTTCTTCCTCTTCTTCTTCTTCGCTCCTGGCCGCACCGGAACGTGGGTCTCAAGGCGAGCTCCAGCCCATTCCTTGAGCACGGAGTTGCAGCCGCCAACCAAGCATGCTACAGCACGTGGGAGAGCTCACTCACCAACCCCAACCCCTCCAAACGATCGCCCCCAATGACGGTCGTGTTCGTGTGCGGTCGCACGACACGAGCTGTCTTTCGATGTCGGTGGGTCTTGCAGAACGAACAGAAGCTGAGCTCGACCAGCTCGCGATCTCCGGGGTGAGAGAAAGGTTTGGCGTGGGTCTTGTGATGGTGATGGTGATGATGGCTGGGCTATGTACATGTCGAGAGCCGGTTGGGGGGAGGGTCAACATAAACAATTTCGCTCACTCGTTTGAGGGGGTGTCGGGGCGTGCGCTGCGGCGTCGTCGCGGGCTGGAGAGCATGCCGGTCATCCTCTTGCTCATCTTCTGTACAAGGCCGGTGTCGGTAGCTGGCGACGACGCGGCCGCCCCGTTGCCGCTCGCGCCGTGCGGGTCCTTGAGCGGCGTCGACGACCCCCTGCTCCCGCCGCCGAAACTCTTCCGCAGTTTGTTCTTCCTCCCCGCCGTTGATGATGAAGATGAAGAAGAAGATGGTGATGATGACGACTCAGCCGCCGGTGCGGGCGAGTCGGCGGTGGGCGGCTGGTGAGTGGCGGTCGAGGTGAGGGAGGTGCTGGAGGCGCTCCAGCGCGGGTCCTTGGCGCTGGCGCTGGCCGCCGCGGAGGAGGAGGAGGGACTAGAGACGGTGCCGTAGTTGCGGGCGGTGAGCATGCGGGCTCCGCTCTTGCGCCCGAGCGTGTCCTCGCTGGGCTTGCGCTGGCTCCGCAGCGCCTCGCGCTCGTCCTCGGCTTCGATCTTGGCGGGCGGCGGCGGCAGGCCCTGCTGCAGGGCCAGTCCTCGCCTCGCCGACAGCGACCGATTCTCCGCCTCAAACCTGGTTCCCAACAAACGCAGCACCCGTAAGTCGATGCGGTGTGTGCGGTGTGTGCGGTGTCACGTACAGGCCGGAGAGCTTGGGTGAATGGATCGCGGCCATGACGGATGAGACCGGAACTGCTGCGGGCCGGCTGGAGGCCGATCGACAAAACATTATTGGCAACCGGTGAGATCAGCCCGCAAAACCCACACACCACCACTGGCGGTGGCGCTGGGCGAGAGGTGTACCTGGCGAGTGGCATGGTGGGCATGCGGTAGTGCTCCTCGATGACGCTGGTGTAGCTCACCTGCTCCTCCAGCCGACCGTACTTGCTACGTTCAGACAGCTCCGGCGGAGTGTGCGCTCCGTCGTCGTCTTCGTCGCTCACGTGATGGCCATCATCGCTCGCGTAGTGGTCATCATCGCCGTCGTCGCCGTCCCTCTCCACCTCCGACTCCTTGGCTGCAGCTGCCACCTCCGCCGCTTGGCCGGATCTCTCGCTCTTGGGCTCCGCCTGCGGAAGCTCCTTCGCCCCTGCGGAGGTCTTTCGCGCCGCCGCCTTTTTGCCTCCCTCCTCCCTCTCCGCCTTCTCCTTCTCCTTCCTCTTCGTCTTCTTCTTTTTCTTTTTCTTCTTTTCCTCTTCTCTCTCCTTCTCCCGCTCCTTCTCTCGCTCCCGCTCCTTTTCCTTCTCCTTCTCCTTTTCCCTTTCCTTCTCCCGTTTTCGTTCCTTCTCCTTCTCCCGCTCCTTCTTTTCCTCTTCTCTCTCCTTCTCCGGGTCCTTTTCCTTCTTGCTGTTCCGCCGCTTCGTGGTGGTCGCCTTCTTCTTCTTCCTGCTGGTGCTGGTCGCTCCTTCGTCGTCCGTCTTCGGCGATCGCGATCGCGGTTGCGCGCCCTCTGTCTCCGCCTGCGCCACCGCCGGCGCCTCCGCCTCCGCCCCCGCCTCTGCCTCTATGCGCACCACCGGCGATGGCGACGGCACCGTGGCCGGCTCCTCGCGCTGCTGTTGCTGCTGCGCCTCCGCTTTCGCGACGACTGACGATGATGATGATGATGATGAGGGCGAGGGTGGCGACGAAGGTGGTGGGTACAGGTCGTTGCTCCGCTTCTCCCTCGTCAGGCACACGACCCCGGCCTCCGATATCACCGCGAGCCCGCCGCCCTCCACCGGCAGCTGCCCGCCTGCTGCCATTGCCGCAACTGGCGGCAGCGGCGGCGATGGCGGCAGCAGCAGCAACCGGAGCTCGTTGCGAAACTCCTCGTCCTCCCGCACCAGCGTCAGGATCATACTCTTCATCTCCCGCATCCGCGCCTGCCCGTGTGCGCCCGCGTGAGTGAGTGGGCGGTAAGAAAACAAGAAAACAAGTAAATAAGGTGGCGAGGCGAGTACACGTACGGCCTTCTCTGAGTCATCGGTGGCCTCGAGGGCCTCGTCGACGGTGAGCATGCGGCAGTCGGCGGTGAAGAACTTCTTCTCGTACTTGAGCCGAATGTACTTCTCCCGCTCGCCCTCGGTGATCATGGGCGGGGCGGGCTTCTTGACGCCCGCCATCTGCCGCCCCTCCCACCACAGGTTCACCTTGCGGTTCCCGTTCTGCTTCAAAAACTGCGACAGACACATGCACCCAGCATCGACTATCAACTCTCTGCGGGGCGACTTGTGCACGCGCGCGTGCGTGTGCGGTGGTGTGTGCGATGGCGCGTGCGGCGATTTGTATGCGAGAAGGATGAGAGGGGGGCTTCTCATACCTCGACCTGCTGCGCTCCCCAGGCGTCGAGCTGGATGGATCGCACCTGGGATATGGTGGATCCCATGCGCCGATGCACCGCAGCGCATTCGATGCAGATGAACGCCCCGAGCTCCATCAGCACCCAGTCCGGGTCTGCGCGCACACAATTGTGAGCCAAGGCCAGTCACCTCCTCCTCCCCTTCGCCAATCACAGGCCTAGGGGAATGAGTGCGGAGCTGCTCGCAGGTCATACCATGGGCATTACAGTCCGCGCACACCGCGTTGCATTCCTCCTTGCGTATCTTGAGCAAGGCCATGCGGCACGACTTCGAGTCCGACCACGAGCCGTCCTGTTTTGTTAACTCCACTGGTGAGCGATGACGTGGCTACGACTGTACAGTTGGTGTACTGCAGAGTAGGTCCGTACGGATTCGCTGGTGTCGGTAACGACGCCGTTCTTGGCGATGTTGGCCTTGAGCAGCACGGCGCACACCCGCTGGATGGCGATGGTCCAGGCCTCGAGCGCCTCCCGCGTGAACGCGTCGAACGCGTAGTTCTTGTCCATTGTGATCAACTCAAAGCCGTGCCTGGCACCACCGTCCAGTGAGCCACCAAAGATTCGCTGCCGCTGATGGGGGTGCGAGGTTGGGGGTCGGTGGTCACCTGCTGGCCATGTTGAGGGGCCTGATGGAGGAAAACATGAGGTCGATGGACAGCGAACAGAACGGGTCCTGTAGGCTGTTGAACCCGTAGAAGTGGGTGTTGTTGAGGACCATCCACCTCCGCTTCCACCGGCCGCGGTTGTTGCGCTTCAGCAGGTAGCCTTCCATCACCGTGTTGACGGACGACAGGCCGAGGCTCACCTGCAAAACCACACACAACACACTCAGACTCGAACCACACGCACACGCACACGCACACGCACACGCACACGCACACGCACACGCACACGCACCACCGCACATGATGGGATGGCGTACGCGAGAGAGTTCGAAATAGGGAGCCGAGAGGCGGATATGGGGCAGAGGAGGTGAGGGGTCCGTGTTCCTTCGCATGAACCACCTGGACCCGCTCAAGTTCAGGGGAGCTGCATCCCGAGCCAACCGGAGAGAGATTGTGAGCCAATTAGGCGCCATAAAGGGGAAGAGTCGGCCGAGGAGTAGCGTACAGTTGGAGGGAGTGACAAGGCGAGGCGAGGGACTGGGGCTGGAGTCGATCAGCGCGTCGGGCACCGGCTCGTCCAGTTCGTTTTCGGTCGATGCTGCACACACGTTCAGCGCCGCCAAAAGGCGCACAAGGTGAGGCGTCAACAAGGAGAGAGAGATGTGAATTCAGGAGAAGGAGGAGTGGGTGGTTACCAGAGCGAGGGGTGGCTTGGGGAAGAGACTTCCTCCGGCCGGGCGGCAGGGGCTCTAATGAGAGTCTGCTGTACAGGGAAGCGTCGCCTGCTGGGTAGAGTGAAGTCACACACACAGAGAGAGAGAGAAGAGCAGAATCGTGGTGAGACCCCTGATCGCAGCACACACGATGTGTCGAGGGGCCGATCGGGGCGTACTGTATTCGGGCCTGCGCTCCCCGGTGACTGGAAAAGCGAAAGAGAGGTGATGGTGGTGAGACCATGGTTCCCCGAGGGGAGGTGAAACAACCGCGCAAAGAGAGGAGTGAGAAAGGTGGACTGACCGACGGGTACGCTAAGGAATTTTGAGAGCGAGTGCGTCGGGGTCGATTCGGGCGTTGCGGGTGGTGCCTGCGGCTGTGTGTAGACCTGTGGCTTGGATCCCTTGAGAAAGCCGTTCCTCGGCGCAGGAGACGACGCTGTCACCGACCCTTGCGCCCATCTAGGCACCACATAGAACATACGTGAGCACTGCGATCATGACTAAATGGGGGCAGAGGCGCGTACGGAACAGCAGAGGATCGCGGAACGGAGGAAGGCCGGAGGCTGGCGGGCTGATGGGTTATCGGGGAAGAACCTGCGACCGCCGCACCAGCAGCGGCCTTCGGGGCTGCGCTGGCCTCAGTGTGGTGGCTGTTATTGTTGTGGTTACTACTGCTAGAGGCGCGGGCGGGCGAGGTGCGGTGTGATCGTCTCGCGGGACTGGTGGAGGATCTGCTATGATGGCTGCTGTGGTGATGGCCCGGCAGCTGGCTATTGGCCTCCCCGTTGATCGCGGCCGTAGCGGTGGTTGCCGTGCTGCTGCCGTTGTTGTTGGCATTATTACTGGCAACCGTGGCCATCGCCTCGCGAGCTCGCCGACCTGTGCGGACATGGTCGTTAGCCGCTGACACCAGCTCTCTAGACCAGGAAAGACAGAGAAGGGCCGCACCTGCGCTGCTTCGTCTCGCCTGCCGACTGCTGCCGTCTGGTACGACGGCCACGGAGAGCGATGCCGACTTCTCCAGCCGCTTGACCTTGATCGCCGGACCGCCGCCGCCGGGCGACTCCTTCGACACGGCCGCCTTCGATGACTGGCGCGCCGACTTAGCGCGCTTGAGCGGGAGGCCGGCCGCATCGGCCGCGAACGACTCGTCGTCCTTGTTCTTCGCGCGCGACTTGTCCTTGATCTCGCGCCGGTGTCGGTCCCGAAGGCTGCCCGCACGCCTCTTCGGCGAGGGCGCTGGCGACGAGTGCGGAGCGGAGAGCGCCAGTGGGTTGGGATCCCGCTGCTGCTGTTGCTGGTGGTGGGTGGAGCTGGGCGGGTCGGCGCCGACCGGGACAGAGCCGTTAGAGGTGACGGGCGACACCAAGGCGGACGACGGGATGCGGGAGGAGATGGCGGAGAGGGTGAGCGGGCCGGCGTCCTCGATGTCCGAGTCTCCGTCCATGGAGCGTCCCATGACCGGCGTGTGGGGCGACTCCATCGGCGAACTCCCATTCGGAGAGGCGGGCGGATTCACCCTGCCATGCGCCACACACTTAGCGCGCTTCACTCGTAGAGCTGTGGTGCTTGTGTGCGCGCTCGCGTGCGTGGGCAGCGTGTGCGCGTGCATGCGTGTGCGCGTGCATGCGTGTGCGCGTGCATGCGTGGTGTGTATGTTGTGTACTTTTTGGTGCCTCGAATTGGACTGCCACTGAATCGTTCGATGAAAACTGTGAGACACACGCCGTCAGGTTAGGGTCTATTAATAACAATCGTCACCGTACGGCTGGAAGTAATGTACCATCGACGCTGCTGTTGCCCCGCAGGTTGAAGAGCTTGAGCCGCCGGATGGACGCGATACGGCCCGGCTTGTCGGCGTCCGCCGTGATGCCCACCTCCCCGCCTGCCTCCTCCTGTACAGCCTCGCCCGTCTTGCCGCCGCTTCTGCTCCGCCCGCGTCGCTCCCGCTTCTTCTCCTCCTTCTCCTTCTTCTTGCTCTCGTCGGACATATTGCGCCGCGCCTTGGCCGCCTCCCGCTCCTTCTTGGCCTGCGCCTTCCGCTCAAAGTACCCGCGCGCGTCCGTGCCCTCGAGCGAATCGGCCTCGGACCACAGGTCCACATCGGTGGCGTTGTAGAGGTGGCCGTTCACCTCGATAACCTCGGGGCCGCTCCGCTTCTTCTTGCTCGACCGGTCCTTCTTCTTGGACTTCTTGACCGGCGTCGTCGTCAGCAGCGGCTTGCTCGATGGTGACATCGGCGATGGTGGCATCAGCGATGGCGGCATTGGCGATGGCGGCATCGGCTTCTTGACAACGTCTTGCAGGAAGTTGGCCTCCATGAGTTGTTTCAACTCACTGTGTGTGTGTGTTGTAGCGGAGCGAAGCTCGAGATGGTCAGAGTGGCCGCAATTGGAGATGGAAGTGGATGGCAATGGCAGGCCCGTACCTTTCGAGCGAGTCCTCGCGCTGCACGGCCGGGTGAAAGCTGCTCTGGTAAGACCGCTCCAGCAGCTCCTCCAGCGACGAGTCGCGCCTTCTCGCGGCCAACGCGAGCGACCAAGGGGTCCAGACGGTCGGTCGGGTCAGTCCATGCAAGAGCACGCAGCGAGGGGGAATGCAGAAGACGCGTTACCTGAGGATCTCGGAGCCGGTGCGCACCAGCTGACGTGCCTTGAGGACCTCTTCGAAGCTCAGAGTGCGTAGCGACTGCTTCCTCCTCGCGACGGTCGGCTGCTCTGGGTCCGCGTCAGGCTGGTCGGAGACGACCACCTCGCCAACGGCGCTCGTGGCCGGGAGGAGTGGTGCGCTCCCTCCATTGCTGTTGCCGCTGGCCAGCACCTCGCCGCCCCGCATATCTGCGTGAGCCGCTTGCTCGAGCTGGGCGGGGCGAGGCGAGGAGGAGCCCAGGGGCCGATGTAGGGTGGGAGAAGGAGGGGTTGAAGTGGTCGGGGCAGGATTGGGTGGCGCGAAGATGGAGGGGTCGTAGGCGCGAGGCGACGGCGAGGCGTTCATCGAGGTCCCCAGGATGGGGTGGTAGGGGCTCAGCGGCGGCAGTTGGGCGGCGGAGCTGCTTCTCCGGCTGATGGTGAGGAAAGGGGGGCTGTTGCTGCTGCTCAAGGTTCGCTCTCGGGGAGTGATGTCTTGCGTCTTCCAGAAGTTGATAAGTTCTGGCCATGAAGGGGGGTTTTCGAGTGGTGGCTGGGAAGGTGTAGGTGTCTCTTCCATGAAGATGCGAAGATGTGAGATGAGCCGTCAACTGAGTCCGTGCGTAGGGGCTAGTTGGACGTGAATCTCTCTCGCTACGTTTGGCCTGGGTCTCTACTCTCTCTAGGCCAGCCGCATCGAGGCTCTATGCCCCTTTTCGTCGTCAAATTCTCTCTCTCCTCTCCCTTTCCTTCTTTCTCTCTCTACCACACAACGAGCACTTCTCTGTGTTGCAGTGGGTGGAGGGGACACAGGGCATCAACAACGGCAACGGGGTTCAACGTCAACGGTGAAGAAAAAGGCGCAAACGCGTACCGGCCAGGGAAAGCACGTGCGTAGAAGCCGTCACCACGCTGCGAGAAGCAGACATCGCGACAGACACTTACCTAATTGCGACGACGCGCATCCTTATCAAGCAAGCGAGACGTGGCGCGATCCGTAAAAGGCAAGACGGGTGTACATAAGAATGATAAGAATGCAACACGCAGCCGCCGCACACGCGAGCACACGCACGACACACACACGGGAGAGGTGCGGGTGCCGGGTGGTGCCTCGGCCCCGGGGGAGGCTCTGCATCATCAGCACACGCCGCGCTTGGCCGATCGATGACGAAAGTTGTGCGCTGGCCTAGAGCTCGAAGTGCAGGCCCACCATCGGGCCGTCTTTGCCGTAGGAGGCGCTGAACATGAGGGCCGCCAGACCGAGGTGAGCGCCCAGGCTGACGCCGAAGCCCTTGTCGGTGTCCCACTTGGCCTTGGTCATGAGCGGCATCGTGGCCGAGGGCCACGACTCGACGCCCACGGCCATGTTGGACTTGAAGCTGAAGGCGTTCACCGTGTAGCGGGCCGAGGCGAAGACGGTCTCGGAGAAGGGCAGGGTATAGGTGGTCTTCACGCGCCCGAGGTGGTTGTATGTGGCCGTGATGTGCGTAGCGGCAAACTTACCGCCTTCCTCCTTCCGAATGACATAGCGGCCTCCCACCGACCCTGCGCGTTGCGGAGAGAAGAGGGCGCGTGAGCCAGGCTGCAGCCTTGGTACCTGCAGTGATCGGCGAAGGAATGGGCACAGCGCGATGGCGATACGTACAGCCCACGGGCTGCTTGTCCTTCATGGCGTATCCCACCTCTCCACCGACGGAGAGTCGCTGTGTGATGGCTTGCATGTGGCTGAAGCACGCGCGGTCCCGCTCCGAGCTCCAACTCAATTTGGAGGTGAAGCTTCCTCCGCTGTACGAGAGCGACGACATCAACTGTCGCGAAGCGAACCGCGATCAGCACGTATACAGGCTTCACAACGAAGACGTGAACCAGCACTCGCGCAGGAGGAGGAAGTATACCATCGATCGCCCGGGCTCCATGGACGTGAGGATCATGTGTCGTGTGCTCCAGTTCTTGTTGAAGCGCTGCATGTACATTCCCTGCACCATGCCGTCGAAGGTGGCCTCGGCCGACAGCATGAAGTGGCCACCGCTTTCCTTCTGTTCCGCCTCCTCCTCCTCCTCCTCTTCGTCTTCGCTCGATGTTGTGTTGTCGTCGTTGTCGGGGCGCTCCGTCACTTCGGCTCCGGCCTTGCTCAGGACTGCAACGTCGAGAGGTCGCAGCAGCGGCTTTGCTTCCGCTGCGCTCTCCGCTTCACCCTCTGCTTGGCCCTCCCCGGCGTCCTCTTCGTCGTGCAGCGCTTCCATCTCCCGGGCCATGGCCTCTTCCATCGCTTGGTGCATGGAGGGCATTGGCCGAGACGAGTACGAAAACCCGATGGTGGGGAAGGGGGGCAAGATCATGAGGCGAATTGATCGCTCGAACCGCGACGAAATCTGGCTGCCCCATCGGAACCCAAAGCCCGGCATCGCGTCGAAGTCAATAATTCCTGGAACAAAAATGTAGCGGCGGAATTTAATCTTAGATGCAGCAGAGATTGAGTAGTTCGTCATAACTCCAAACCTGTTGAGCGTCCATCAACTCCCTCGTAGTCGCCAGGGTTGTTTGGCAGCTCTTCCGGCGCTTCTTCGAAGTCCATTGTGCTCTTTGCTGAAGCTAGAGATGCAGCCGAAGGACTTGTTTGGGAGAGGAAAAGGCGCCAGAAAAAAATAATTTCCATTTCAAAACCGGGCAATAAGGGTCCACGAAAAAAAGAAAGGGCAAAGTGGGCGATTTCGGTTCTTTCTTCCCTCTTCCTTCTCTCCCATCCACATCCGCCATGTCCGCTGCGGTACGTTGTCTTCATGAGTTGATCTGCTTTGGGGGGGCGAGATTCAACCTGCTGGATTGGAGATGGGAGACTGATCCTGTGGTCTTCGTGTGGTACCGACAGGCCGCCGCCAGGAAACGCACCTTCAAGAAGTTCTCCTTCAGGGGCATCGACCTCGAGAACCTCCTCGACCTCAGCAATGAGCAGCTGATGGACCTCGTTCACGCCCGCGCCCGCCGCAGGTTCTCCAACCGTGGTCTTAAGAGGAAGCCTGTGGCCCTCCTCAAGAAGCTCCGCAAGGCCGTACGTTCCCATCCAATTGCGCTCATCAATTGTTAGGGACGCATTTTGTTAACGCTTGTACGTTCAATTTCGATCCTGCAGAAGAAGGAGTGCCTCCCCAACGAGAAGCCCGCCGTCGTCAAGACCCACCTCCGCAACATGATCATCGTCCCCGAGATGATCGGCAGCATCGTCGGTGTTTACAACGGCAAGGTCTTCAACGCTGTGGAGATCAAGCCTGAGATGATCGGCCACTACCTGGGCGAGTTCTCCATCACCTACAAGCCCGTGAAGCACGGTAAGCCCGGTATTGGTGCTACCCACTCTTCGCGCTTCATCCCTCTGAAGTAAATCCCTTCCTATTTATGCTACTACGGATCTGTGCAGTGTGGTGGGATAAGTAAAAAATCAAACAAAAATCAGACAAACGAGCATTCCATCATCTTTCTTTTGTCTTGCACGCGCTTTGCGAACAAACCCACGTTGGGCCATCAAAAGCTTTGCCGCCCAGGCGTGAGTTCGCGGCTCGGTGCACGGGGGCCGGACTGCCTCACCAGCGCACCCACACCACCGAGACTGAGCCCCACCTTTTGCTGCATTGCAACGCTAATGCAGCAAAAAAAAATACGATAAAAATGGTTTTGCACAATGAAAGACATTTTTCTGTTTATTTACTGTCCGTCTAAGCGTTCATCGCCAGCGATCGACCACTATTTATTGTCATGGGTGTGGTGAACACGAAGGAGAGGCGCAACTCCAACAACGACGATACCCTACCCAGCGAATTTCTCTCCAACTCGTTGAATGAACTTCAAATTTTGGAGGGGCACAAGGACATCGTGAGGCTGCTCGTTGTGCTCGACCAGGCCAGGTGCCCCGCCTGCTCGGCCCATCGCCTTTTCCTTCTTCTTGCGTTGAGTGCTGACCTCCTCTTCCACGTTGTGGACAGAATCGCGTCGGCTTCTGACGATGGCACGATAATGATTTGGAACTACCAGACAGGCGTGCAGATTTTTGCTCTCTCGGGCCACACGAGGCCCATCACCTGCCTGCTTCTGCTCGATCTGCACACCCTCATCTCGGGATCTTCCGACAGGACCATACGGATATCTTTTTTTACCACCTTCTTTTTATTTATTTTTATGTCACGTTATCATAATATTCGTTTTATTTGTGTGTGTTCTATTTATTGCCCCCCCTCTGTCGTGTTCTCCTTAACCTGGTCCACGTGTGGAACATCGACACGGGCTCGTGCGAGCACACCATCGAGAATGCTCACGATGGCAGCGTGCAGGTACTCAACTTTACTTTCCGCACCCTTCCCTCCGGCCTCCGGGCACCCCACTTCCAGCTGACCTCCTCCCCTCGTCGTGTGCAGTGCCTGACCAAGCTGGAGAGCGGCAGCGAGACAAAGGCTTCGCTTTTCTGCTCCGGCGGCAACGACCTGCACCTCAAGGTGTGGGAATTCTCCTCGAGCGCTCAAACTCCTCCCGTGCTCCTCGGCTCCATGGAGCGACAAGAGGAAGAAAGTACGCTCACTCGCCCGCCTTCTTATGGCCTTCGACTAGTCTTCTTACTCCGGTCATCACTCCTTTCCGTGTCGTGCCTTCTCCTCTTCTTCGCGCAGACCTGCACTGCCTTCTTCCCATCAGCGAAGACCGAGTCGTGACGGGCTCCAACTCCTCATTTCTATGTACGTCGCCGCCGCTGCGATGCTTGCCATATATGCGACCTTTATGCTGCCTCAGGGCAAAGCTAAATAGCAAGATATTCGTATGGCATGCAGTTGTGTACAATCGAAGGACTTTCCAGTTTGACAAGCTGCTGGCCTACCACCGCGAGTCAGTGCGATGTCTCGTCACCGTGAACGGTACCTCTTCTTCCCTCTCCCTCCAAGCTCCCATCGGTGCAAGCCGGCGCGTCACTGGTCGGCCCCTCATCAAGTGGTATCCAATGCGTGCAGACGCTCTGTTCGCCTCCGGTTCGCTGGACGGATCGGTCGTGGTGTGGCAAGCGGATTCGTTGGCGCCCCTCAAGGTGCTCGACTACCCCGAGAAGTACTACGAGAACCACATCTTCACCAACTCTATCAACCACATCACCGTCCTGACCGAGGTACATCTCGCGCCGTGTCGTGTCGTGTCATGTCGTGCCGAGACTTATCGTTGTCTCCATCCGTCGCTTACACTTCCCCTTGTCGTCGTGGCGTAGCGGTATATCGGCGCGGCTGTCGGTCGAGGGTTCAAGGTGTTTGATATCAGCACGGGTGACTGCGTCGCAGAGTGTAAAGATGGACACGACGCCAACGTCACCCGAATCCTCTCCATGTACAATAGGTGCGACGCACATCCTCTCACACACGCGTTGTCGGGCATGTAGTCTGAGCGTCTGTAATTGTGTGCAGAACTCGGATCGTCTCCTGCTCGGCGGACTCGTCAATCAAGCTGTGGGGCGCACAGCTGGGCGGGACGTCGCAAAAGACCCCCGCGTCGCGCTACGCTTTCGGGCGACTGCGTGCGGCGCCCACGCAGCCCGTGTGCCTCGGGGACATGTGGGGCCACTCCGATGCCGTGTACGACATGGTCGCCCTCTCCGACAGCGCCCTCTGCTCGTGCGGTGCCGATGGCCTCGTCATCCTGTGGAAGGACGGACGCGAGCAAACCGAGATCAGGTACGAGGACGTTCTCTTCATCAACACGCGTGTGTGTCAGTTGACCTCATGCTCTCTCTCTCTCCCTCCCCCCGCACTTTGCACTCGTGTGTTACACGCAGAAATCAGATGGCGGCGATTTCGTTGATGCAGAACCTGCTCCTCGAGCCGCCCACGGACGAGCCGGAAGAGACGTTGGCGCTCGACCTCTCGGCTCCCATTGCTCCCAGCGAAACGCCCCAGGGCCGGCGCAGCCGAGCCAACAGCACGCGACGACCCCGAAAACCGTCTCTGACATCGGTCTCTTCCCTATTCCCCCCCTTTGCCCCGGGGTCTCCCTCTGACTGACCGTGGCCTTGCCCCGCATTGCAACGACAGCCGAGGACCAAGCACAAGAGCCCATTGAAGGCCAGCCGAGACGGAACCCCCAGCAAGCCCTCGGGCCTCAACTCGCCAGAAGGCCAGAACGGGAATGCGGAGAGCCCCGAGCGAATGACGGTCAGCGACAGCCAGGTGCAGTTCAGCAGCCAACAGAAGCGGAGGATCACCCTCACCTACCGGGCCACGCTCGACCTGGAAATGGAGGCCGGGGCCACTCTCCAGGACTCGGGCGCCTTCGACCTCCGCCAGGAGAGCAACAAGAGTGGTACGCGCCGGCCCCTTTTGCCTCTTACACCCATCATTTTGATTCCTAATTTTTCTCGAAACACATCTGTAGAAGAGTTCGGGGCGGTGGAGTACACGAGCGATGAGTCGGAGATGAGCTCGAGCACAGGGGATCTGTATTCGACGCACAGCGGTCTCGTATGAGCCCTTTCCCCGTCTTATCTCTCTCTCTCTCGTGGTCAGTGTACCCACCGATCTTGTGGTGGTGGTTCTACCACAGAGCACCCAATCGCCTTCGCGAACGCTGGAGCGGGTGGTTAGCGAGGACTAGTCATCCCAACGAACCACGCTGGCAGACTGCCCAGCGGCCGCACACGCAGTTATTTTTGTCGCGTTGGACACAGCTGTAACATAGACGTTCTCACACTAGCACTCGTCGTGTGCACCGCCAGCTGGGCGCGTGTGGCATGCTACGCCCACGGCACATGACAGCACGACACACGGCACACGACACGCGCGACGATGGTGTGTGTGCGGTGGCACGTACAGGCCGACGGCGCAGCACGTACCTGTCGTTTGACAGAATTCCGATTGGGGGCGGTACTGGGAGCTCCGCCACCCAGAAGAACGCGGCGAAACAGCAACTCTCGTCTTTTGCTAATCGCACAATTTGGCCAAATTGAAGATGGCGGCCACAGGCTATGCCCCACTTAGGGTGGGCGAAGACGAAGACGAAGGCTCGTACAGTGAGCAATTGGATCGAAACGAAAAATCTCATGCGTTTGAAGTAGGAGAGATTGAAGCAGATGAGGAGATGGAACGGAACGACGAAGAACTGCTCCTTCCGCGACCAGAGGTCAGGGTGGTGCAGGAAGAGCTGTCGGTCCCGTCCGACGTCGAAATCACTGTTGATCCACCTTCCGACGAAGGAGATGAACCGCTGAAGGCCGCCGGAGGAGAGAGCAGCAAGGCACAAGTCTCCCTCCCGTGGAAGATCCTGGTCATCGTCTACGGCGTGCTGGTGGGCGACGCCATCGCCTCCACCGTCATCACTCCCTTCGTGCCAGGTACGTAATACCGAGTGGTGCCACCTTGTGTCAATATTATTTTTATTTGGTCGAATAAATAAATAAATAAATAAAATGTTATTAACCCTCTTTGGTTGTATTGGCAGACATGTGCCGAACGCGGTTTGGTATCGCCGAGGAGCAGGTGGGCATGGCCTCGGGAGCCCTCATCGGGGCGTACAGCTTGGCCTCGTTTGCCTCTTCCTTCTATCTCGGGTATACATTCACGGCCCACACGCCCACACGCACACGCACCGCCGCACACGCATCGCCGCACACGCACATGACACTCATGCGCGTACACGCCACAAACGTGCAATGCAACGCGACCATCGTGCAACCATCGCGCAGGCATCTCGCAGACAAGTACGGGCGGAAGCTGATCGTGCTATCGGGTCTCATGTCGGGCGCGCTGGGCACTTTCCTCTTCGGCCTCTCCCCCAACTTTGCCCTCGCCTTTGTCTCACGCCTATTCGCCGGTTCGTACGCGCACTCCAGTCGCCCGATGCGCATGGACCCCGACCCCCCCGTGCCATAGCACGCTCGCTCGTAGGGTCCGTATCTCGGACACGCGTGTGCACGTGAATGCTGACAAGCGTGTGCGGTGCGTGCGGTGCGTGCGATAGGATTTTTCAACGCCAATGTACCGGTGACGCGAGCGGTGTGCGCCGATGTGACCGAAGGCCAGGCGCGCATTCTGGCCTTTGCCTACATCTCCGCCTGCTTCTCGCTCTCCCGCAGCGTGTCCAGGTGAACCTTTGCCATCCGCTCTCCTCTCTTTTATCACCACCATCACCACCATCACCTCTCTTCTCCCGTTATTCTTTTCGCTCACGATGGCGGCCGTGTCGTGTCGTTGGTCGTGTCGTTGGTCGTGTCGTTGGTCGTGTCGTGTCGTGGTGTCGCGCATGTGCGCAGTGGCATTGGAGGCGCGTTCACGAACATCGATTTTGAGGGGGTGCCGGTGTTCGAGGACAACCGCTTCCTCTTCCCGTGCCTGGTGGGCGGTACGTGCCTCTACCGTCCCGTTGGCTCGCGCGTTTGGTCTTCTCATGGCTCACCTTATATATGGTGCGCCCCACCCACGCCCAGGGCTGCTCAACTTCGTCTCCTTCCTCACGGTCCTCTTCTTCCTGCCCGAGACCAACAAGGGCGCCAAGTCCGCAGACAAAAAGAAGGGCGTACGTCCGCCTCTCACTCTCCCCCCACAGCACAGCTCTATTAAAATGTGTGTTTTTTGAATGGCTGCGCGCAGTCGCTCCGGGAGGGGCTGAAGGTGGTGCTCAAGGACTGGCTCATGTCGAAGCTCATCCTCGCGTCGTGCCTGGGGTCCTTCTGCAATGGCGGCCTGCTCGTGGCCATGGTCCTCTTCTACTCCCTCGCCATCGAGGTACGTACCTCTCCCCACCCACCCACCCTCTCGCCCTTCTCGCCTCACGCGCCTCACGTTGTGGTGTGCGTGTGTGTGTGTGGTGTGTGTGTTGATTACATAGCACCACGGCCTGGGGTTCGACCCCCTGCGCAATGGCATCGCCTTCACTGCGTTCGCCGGCGCGGGATTCATATTTCAGGTGCGGAGTGGCACTCGCAGGCACGCCATCTATCGACATAGACGACTCGCCTAACTCACGTATCGACGTGTCGTCTTCACCGTCGTCGTCGTCATATGCTGTCCAGGTGTACGCGTTCAAGAGGGTGCTGGCGTGGCTGGGCGTGGTCAAGATGTTCACCGTCAGCGCGCTGCTGCTCTGTCTGGGCTCCGTCCTGCTGCCCAGCACCGCGTTCATCTACTGGATCCTGGGTGCGCATCTCTCTCACTTTTGCGACCGGTTGTCTACCGCTCTTGTTTGTTAAACAGCGCGCTAACGGAAAAGCTGATGTTGTGTGTGCGCGTGTGCGTGCGTGTGTTCACTCGCTGTGTAGGGGTCAACACGACGGCGACGATCATCGTGTGGGTGGCGCTGACCATCATCGTGTGTGTGGTGATCGCCACCGGCTTCATGTGCTACCTATCCAGTACCCCCTCCCCACAGCCGCGGCGGCGGTCCTCTTGCCCCCCCCCCTCTCTATCGCGAAAGGTTGGGCAAAGTACTGACGACCGACTTTCTCTGTTGCGTGTGGCCAGCGTTGGGCGCCATGCTCAGCAACGCGTGCGATGACACGCGGCAAGGCCTGACCATGGGCCTCAACCAGAGCAGCTCCTCGCTCTTCCGGTGCGCGCATCACCACCAGCCCCCCACGCAACAACGCGTCTTTTTCTGACGCGCGCGCTGTTCGGTGCGCACAGGGCGCTGGGTCCGTTCATCATCGGGATCGTGTTCTCGGTGGGTGTGGCGCTCGACTTCCCCTTCTTCGGCTTCTGGATCCTGGCCGCCCTCTACCTGTGCTCCTTCCTCGTCCTCGTCCGCATGAGCCCGCTCGAGCGTTATCGCGTGGGGGACAAGGCCGCCGAGGTGCTGGTGGTTAAGGAGGACGACGAGGCCGCGGCGTCGATGGAGATGTTCGTCATCGGCGAAGATGACGACGACGAACTACACGACCAGTACGACAGCGCCTTCATAGGCCAGAAAATAGCATCACAAAGCAACAACACCCACAACGAAGCGCGACGTAACGAAACCGTCAAGGAGGACGAGAAGGTGGACAGAACATGAAGATGATGTTGTGTGGAAATCGTATATTTATAAATATTGTTTTCTCTGCGGTGGGTGTATGTCGTGCGTGATCATTGCGTGTTCACGCGACGTCGGTGGTGTCCTCCTTTCGGGGGGCGATGATTATCGTACACTGTCTGGGCACGCCCAACACGGACGCCAGGTCTCCCGCATACTTGATCCGCAAGTACTTTCGTCGCAGTTCCCTGTGTGCTACGGGCGTCAGCCACCACACGACGACACGACACGCAAGGAAACGACAGCGAATGAGGGGGGTGGTGGCGTACGGAGAGGCATCGGGTCCGAGGTGGCAGTATTGGTGCTCGGCGGCCGAGGCAAAGTGAGCCCGGAACTCCTCGCCGTAGGGTCCCTCCAGGATTCGCTCCACCCGCTGCTGCCACTGCTGGTTGAACTTGCGGTTGCCCACCGAGCGGATGAGCTCCACGTCCTCCAGCCGCCATCGGTCCAGCACCACCGATCGGACCTAAAATGTTTTGTTTTAAATCGATCGCACAGCGTTCATGAGACACTTCGAAGCGCGACGCAAAAATGGGGGTGGTGGGGGTGGGTAGAGACCTGAGAGATGTGTACGCCGAGGCTCCTGTGGATGCCCGAGCAGGCCAGGCAGATGAAGATGCCGTAGTTGATCGACGCCCACTCTGCAGGGCGGAGCACAGAAGAGCAGCGTATAAGCAAATCGGAGCTAAAAGCGAGAAAGAGGGCAAAGGGCCGTACCGGGTTGGGGTTCGCCGCAGTCGGCGCAGTAGAGGTTGGACGACCACCGCAGGGTTCGGTCTTTCTTCTCGTCCTTCGCGTCGCTGGCGCTACGGCTCTTCCGCTTCGCTTCGCTTCCCTTCTTCTTGTCCTTCTTTTTCGTTTTCGTGCTTCCCTTGGACTCGAGCCCCTCTCCCTCCTCGTCCTCATTGTTGTCGACAGGGCCAGCGCTCGTCTCGGCCTCTTTGCCCTTGGCCGAGACCTCGGCTTCGACGTCGCCGGCCGCCGGCCTCTCCTCCTTGGCTGCGGTGTCGTCGCTGGTGGTGCTCTCGGAGTCCTCCTCCTGCTCGCCCTCCTCCGGGAGCTGCAGCTCGGCCTCGATGATCTCGCGCAGCAGGCGGCGGCTCTCGGTGATGCCCAGCTTGCCGTCCTTGTCGACCGCATCGGCCGTGGTGGTGTCGGCCCCGTCGCCGTGCCCGGCCTTGTCACCGCTAGCGGCGGCCGAGTCCGAGTCGTCGCCCGCCAGGAGCATGCACGTCACCAGCGTGTCGCGCTCGCGGTTGATGATCTCCACCCACTCCTCGTTGTCGCGCTCCGACGGCGACAGGAACCGCACGGTCTCCTCGCGGGTCATGAGCTCGAAGAAGTGGAACGAGCCCGATGAGCCGCCTGACGTGGCCGACAGCGTGCGCGCGGGCGACGTTGCCGGGTGCGCTGCGGGCGAGGGCGACGTGGTGCCCATCACCACCGACGACGATGACGAGTAGGGCGAGTTGCCGCGCGGGGAGGTGCGGCCGGAGGACGGGGGCGAGGGCGTGGTGGCGCTGAGCCCGGCGATGCTGTTCTGGCGCTGCGGCGGGTAGGGCGAGGAGTGGGCGGAGGACGGCGTCGAGGCGGAGAGCGATGACGAGAGCGATGCCGAGCGCGGGCGCTTAGCGGTGCGGCCCCCCGGGGCGGTGGCGTTGTCGCCGCCCGGGCTCGCCTCCTTCGCCCGGGAGTCCTTGCGCTTCATCTTGGCCACGCCCGGCTGCGCCTTGACGAACATGAGGTCCCACTCCTCCAGCTTCTCCTTCTGCTTGTCGTCGTACAGCATGAATCGGCCCCGGAGGATCACTCCCCACCTCTGCTCACCAACCAATCACCGCAAGGGTCAGCCCGGAAAAGAGCGAAAGAGAACGAAGAAGAAAAAGGAGAACGAAAGAGAGAAGTGGGGGGAGGACCTTCTGCCAGGTCTTGCGCATGCCCTTCTCCTTGCGGCGGTAGAGCCAGCCCTCGAAGAGGGAGTCGTCGAAGATGGCGGGCCGGGCGATGATGCCCGCCTGGTCGAGGTCGGCCGGCAGCTTGGACCGGGAGAGCGACAGCGGGAAGGGCAGCATCGACGCGATCTTCTTGTTGGCGCTTCCCTTCCTTCCGCTGCCGCTGCCGCTGCCGCTGCCGTCGTCATCGCTCGACTCGCCCCGGGCCTCCTTGCGCTGCTTCCGCTTGCTGCCCTTGGCGGCCTTCTTCCGCTCCTTCTTCTCCCGCTTGCTGACGCTCCCGCCTTTCTTCTGCTTCTTGCCGAGCCCGGCGATCCGGCTGCCGCGGCTCGTCGCGACCTGCTGCTCGCCGGCGTCGCTGACCTCGTCGGACTTGGGGCCGTCGGCCACGTCGTCGTCGCCGGCCTCCTTGGCCTTGCGCTTGCCGTCTTGCCGGCCCTTCGACGAAAGAATGTTGAGCAGGCTCCCGATCTTCTTCTTTGTCTTCTTCTTCTTCTTCTTTCGCCTCTCCTTCTTGGACCGCTTCGTGCCGTCCGAGCTGCCGTCTTTGTCGTTTTCATCGTCATCGTCGTCATCGTCGACCTCCCGCTCGTGCTCCACTTCGTCGTCGTCGCCATCGTCGCCGTTCTGAGCGTCGCGATCGGCGAGGGCCTTGTGGAGCATGGCCCTGAGCGTGCCGCACATCTCGTCGAAGAAGCGGCCCTCGCGGTCATCGTCGAGGAGCCCCGGGGGAACCGCTATGTGCGACGTGTCGGGGTATTGCCCATCGTTGGAGGCGGTGTAGCTGCGCTCCCGGGTGCTGTGGCCACCGCCGCCGCCTCGGCGCCGGCGGTATCGATCCATCTGCTTCTCCTCCATGCGACTCACCAGCACCTTCAGCTCGTAGTTTGACATCGTGCACAGCCTCCGCTCGAACTCCTTCAACTCCCTTCACCACACAACCCAGAGCTTAGCGTCGACCACAACAGACACACCACACATACACCACACATACGATCACAGTCCAAGTCGCGGGTGTGTGGGAGGGGTACCTCTGGAATTTAAGTTCCTCTTGGATGCGGTCGATCTCCTTCTTGAGCTCCTCGATCTCGTCGAGTTCGTCGCTGTCCCACTCCTCCTCGGCGATGCCCTCGAAGCCCTGCGTCTGCACAAAATACACGATGTCCCGCGCCGTCTCTCGCTTCAACTTGGCTTCGCTCTCTTCGCCCGCCACCACCGGCCATGACGCGCCGCCGCTCGTCTGTCCCCTCATCTCGACGTCGGCATGCGACGAAAGCAGAGCGTGGTCGCCGCCGCCGTTGGTGTTGTTGTTGTGTTCGTGGTCCACCTCATCCGTACACACGCCCTCGTTCCACTCCAGGTCGCCTTCCTCGATGATGCGCTTGAGCTCTTCGGTGGTCATCTTCTCCAGCTCCTGCTCCAGCATCATCTCTGCATCGGCAATAGATGGAGAGAGCGCATGCGGTGTGTGTGGTGAGTGCCCAGAGAACGAAGAGAGGAGAGAGAGAGAGAGAGAAAACGATGCAAGGCGAGGAGAAGGGAAGGAACCAGCAGCGCCGAGCTCCATCCTGAGGTGAAGGTGCTTGGCGTGAGCACCCACTATTTCGTCGGCACGAAGGGCCTCCATGGCGCATCCCCCTGGAGACAAGAGGGTAGAGACACCGGTCAGCTGCCCCAGCCCAGCAACCCTCCAAAGCAATTTCGCTCGACGGAGCACCACAACCAAAAATAAACGAATAATAGAACAAAAGAGATGTTTGCATATTTTAAAAATAAATAAAAAGAAAGAATTGCGTGTCGCTTTCGTTCTTTGGGGAGGAGGGGTACCAATGGGTTTCGGAGCTGGGGCAGGGAAAAACCGATGTGTACAGCAAAGTGGGCAGATGCCAATCTCTCGGGGGATGAGGCGCAAGAAGGTGCGGGGGGCAATAAATCTCGAGACCTCCGGGGCTCGTCTCACGCGGTGCCAACAGTACCAGAATCTGTTTCGTTTTGTTGAGTTCAAAAAATCGAAAAGAGGGCCAAGTTCGCTGTGGTGCGGTTTCGCTGTGCTCGATCGCGGTAGGTAGGTTGCGTACCCAGGGGAGCACGGGGTTTTTCGGGCTGGTTCCGGCCCTCCTTCCTCGTTCCTGCCTGCCTCCTCTTCCCTCTCTGCTCTGGTCGGAGTGCTCGTGCTCCTGCTTTCTCCTAGTTCTGCTCGACAAACGCCACCACAACTAAAACACACCAGGTTTGCGTTTTTCCAATTTTCTATCTTCGTCGGCACTGTATGGCGGCGCTTTACACGGAATCTGAAGAATTTGACGCATTGGGCCAGATCGCAGCAGAGATTTCAAGTGGTCTCCCGCCTGGGCCAGGTGCTCGCCGGGGGGGGGGGCGCAGGTGCTGACCTTGATCGAACTCTGGAGGTGCAGGGGTTCGAGGACCAGCAGGCTCGCTCGTGGGCTCGAGCGGTAGAGGGGGTTTTACCGGTCATGAGCTGCGTCTGCGATCCCACAAGGAGGCCATGCTCCATCGCGCAATGCCTGGGCCAGCAGGCGCTGATGGTGAGATAAACGCACGATTGAAAAAACATCGCGGGAACGAAGGGCCTCAAGTACCCTCGACAAAGACACCGGCGGCGGCAGCCATCGTACACGACGAGATGGGGTTGAATGCTCGAGGCAGAGGAAGCAGAATCAAGCCTGATGGTGAATGAATGTGAGCACGGCGAACACGTAACACCCAAGACAAGAGGCGAGGTGCAAACGTACCGAACAGGTAGTGGTGGACGTGTATCTCGTGCGTCTTTCGAATTATGTATGACGCTACGCCGATGGCCGCCAGTACACACCCGTAGGCCAGCGCGTACCAGAGCAAAAGGCCATCGAGAGCCTGGACCAGATGCAACCGGAGAGGCTGAGCCACGGAGGCTGCACCAGGAGTGAAGGCCCGAATGAAGAGGTACGCACCAGCAAGATGACTTGACAGGACGCCACGAAGAGGAGGAAACCAAGCAAAACGGCCAAAGCAATCAGCTCCTTCTTCGTGTAGGTCTTCCACCGACTCGGCACGACAAGCTGGACGCACAGAGGAGGCAGATGAGTTAGTCCAAGAACGCGTACGCGCTGATTGCAGTTACCGGGAGGGAGGAGGTGAGGTGCCTTGTCGCCCACGGCGCGCAGGAAGAGGTTCTTGTCCATGTAGGTGATGTGCAGGCCCGCGTAGAATGGAACAACAAAGAACAGATAATTGTACAGAAGTGCAAACGCCTCTGCGTCTGCGCGCGGGTCGAGCTGGAAGAGCGCGCCCACGACCTGCTCCGTCAGATCGGTGGTAACGGAGCGAGGATTGGATTCGGCTACGAACACACACCGCCACCGCCACCGCCACCGCCACCGCCACCGCCACCGCCACCGCCACCGCCACCGCCACCGCCACCGCCACCGCCACCGCCACCGCCACCGCCACCACAGGATGGATCAGCACGTGCTGACTACCATGGCGAGCAAGAGTGACGTACGAACGGCCAAAGCGAAGACTGGACCCAGTAGGAAGAGAAGCGGGCCTGAGGCCAGCAACTTGACCACTTCCTGCAGGACCGGTGGTAGAGCGCGCACAAGGTCAGATCGCTCGCTTGCTGCGCAAATGGGGCGGGCGATGGGCTGCAGTTGTACCCGATAGTGCCCACGGCGGCTGCGGAGAGGGTTGGGCCGCTTCTCTGTGATGTGGGCGACGAAGATGAACCCCATCACCAGCAGCACATGCCACACCACCACGCCCGCCCAACCGAACCGGTCGTTCCTCAGCACCTCTGCGCCCAGCCACGTGCGTGCACACAGACTGCCAGTTAGATGGGCACACGCACACCGCTTCGCACATCAAAAACGCGAAGGGGAAGGAGTGGAACCACGCAGGAGGGGAGAGGCCATGGCTGTGGAGGGAACGAAGCGCGTAGCGAGCGAGAGCAAGAGGAGCCCGGCGAGAAGGTGCACCGTCACGCCCACCATGCGCCTGGCACGCTTGAGCTTTCTCCTCTCGGCCCGTGCTCGTTGCTCTTCATCTGTAAATAAGACGTCCTTGTTGCTGCTGTCATTCGTGCTTTCATTGCCACCCCCGCCAACATCTTGTGTTTCTACTTCAGATGCACCAAGATTTGAATCAAGATTTGCGTCGAATTGCACCAGCTCGTTGTCGTAAGTAAGCTGGTGGTATGCCACTTCGGCGACATGTCCAGTGGCTTGGTCAGCATCTTGATCCATCCGACTTCTTCTTGGTGCTCTACGCCGTCCCGCGCCGCCCAGCATTGTACGTGATTTTTTATGAATTTTTTTTCTTTTGTTTCAATTTGTGCCAAACCCAAAGAGCGAAGAACGAAAGCGAAAGCTGTGCAAAGAAGTGGGGATAGTTGTACGCAGGAGCGCACGTTTGTTTTTTTTTTACTACAGTGTTTACAACAACACCAGCAACGATGCTCACTTAAAAGCACTTGCGGTGGACAATCGAGGGACCAGACTCGTCGTACTCCTCCTTGGAGATCCACATCTGCTGGAAGGTGGAGAGCGAGGCCAGGATGGAGCCACCGATCCAGACGGAGTACTTGCGCTCGGGGGGAGCGATGATCTTGATCTTCATGGTCGACGGCGCGAGGGCGGTGAGCTCCTTCTGCATGCGGTCGGCAATGCCGGGGAACATGGTGGTACCGCCGGAGAGAACGACGTTACCGTACAGGTCCTTCCTGATGTCGACGTCGCACTTCATGATCGAGTTGTAGGTGGTCTCGTGGATACCGGCCGACTCCATGCCGAGGAACGAGGGCTGGAACAGGGCCTCGGGCGCACGGAAGCGCTCGTTACCGATGGTGATGACCTGACCGTCGGGAAGCTCGTACGACTTCTCGAGGGCCGACGACGAGGCGGCGGTGTGCATCTCCTGCTCGAAGTCGAGGGCGACGTAGCACAGCTTCTCCTTGATGTCGCGCACGATCTCGCGCTCGGCGGTGGTGGTGAACGAGTAGCCGCGCTCGGTGAGGATCTTCATGAGGTAGTCAGTGAGATCGCGACCGGCGAGATCGAGACGCAGGATGGCGTGGGGCAGGGCATAACCCTCGTAGATGGGCACGGTGTGGGTCACGCCGTCGCCCGAGTCAAGCACGATGCCGGTGGTACGGCCCGAGGCGTAGAGCGAGAGCACGGCCTGGATGGCGACGTACATGGCGGGGGTGTTGAAGGTCTCGAACCTGATGGGAGAGAGAGAGAGAGAGAGAGGAGGTGAGTCTATCTTTCATGCGAAACCACACCTATATGCGTGGCGGTGATGGAAAAGAGGAGGAGTCTCGTACATGATCTGGGTCATCTTCTCGCGGTTGGCCTTGGGGTTGAGGGGGGCCTCAGTGAGCAGCACGGGGTGCTCCTCGGGGGCCACGCGGAGCTCGTTGTAGAAGGTGTGGTGCCAGATCTTCTCCATGTCATCCCAGTTGGTCACGATGCCGTGCTCGATGGGGTACTTGAGGGTGAGGATACCACGCTTGGACTGGGCCTCGTCACCGACGTACGAGTCCTTCTGGCCCATGCCGACCATGACGCCAGTGTGGCGGGGACGACCGACGATCGAGGGGAACACAGCGCGGGGGGCGTCATCACCGGCAAAGCCAGCCTTGCACATGCCCGAACCGTTGTCGATAACCAGAGCCTGAACCTCGTCTCCCATGTTGATGTAGTTGGTGGTGGTGGTGTTGTAGAGTTGTAGTAAACTGAAGATACACTGCCGAGAGGTGCGCCTTTTATTGTGGGGCGTGGTGCCAACCACGGTTGCTCTGTCGCTTGGTATTGCGTGCACGCTTCTCCTGCGTACTCCGTCTGACCAATGGCTGCGCTGGGACTTTTTAATGGCGTGCGATACCGCGCTGCCTTTATGTAAGTCCGATACTGCGAGACTGCGCAACCAATGACCTACCGTCTCGTTCTGACCTGGCTTCTACCGCGGGGCTTGCGTTGTCCTCAATTTCGCGGAAGGACAACTCCACAGGAACGAAGACCAAAAGAAAACATACGAGAAAATAAAAAAGAAAGAAAGGCACACACAAAAGATGGAGGGAAAGGTTGTGGCTCTGTTCGTGTCGCCCGAGCGTGGCGTGCGCAATGCCGTTGACCTCGTGCGCGTGTTCCCCGAGGGACTCGAAGGCGATCGCTTTCGTGTGACCACGGCAGGAGCCTCAACAGGTTCCACCACCACTCGTTGATGGCAGGAGGGGGAAAGAAAGAGGTGCCTTGCGGTGGCTGATGGCGTGCCATGTGGGCAGGACGCGAGGTGCTGCTGGTGGACGAGGAGACGTTGCTCGAAGCCGGCATGCAGGTGGGCGGCATGAAGGAGAACATCACCGTGCGTGGCTTGGGCCTGGGGCAATCTGAGCCTGGCGCCCGATTCCGGGTGGGCGCCGACCTCGTGTTCGAGGTGGGCCAGAAGCTGGCCTGCGTTGGCGAAGACCCCGCTCTCACCGGCAAGCGAGGTGCACCTTCTTCTCCTTCACACTCCATCGCTCCTTCGCCTTTGCTCACTCGCTTGCGCTGCCGCCGACACCTTCACTACAGGAGTGTTTGTGCGCCTGACCGAGGGAGAGGGCGTAATCCACAAGGGCGACGGTGTGCAGCGACTCTAGAGCACGCACGCGTTTTAGTACTACTTTGGAAGAAGAAGAGCGCTTGCACGAAAGCCAAGCGCCCAACAAAAAGCCAACTGTTGATGGAAGCTTAGCTCTTGTCCTTGCGGGCGGGCTTCTTCTCCTTCTTCTCCTTGTCGCTCTTGGCCTTCTTGGCCTTGACGGTGCCCTTGAAGTTGGGCGATGAGGACAGGGCCGGGATGGTCGGAATCTCACCGCTGCTGTCATTGCTGATCCTAGGTGTGACACACACACACACACACACACAACACGCGGTCTCAGTCAATGGACGAGACACAACACCTCACACGCACGCGCGACAAGAAAGGCTGGCGGGAGGAAGGTGTTGGCACCTGTCGAGCATGTCAGTGCTCTCAGAGCGGGTGGAGAGCTTGGCGACGGCGGGGGACTTGGAGAGGCGCGCGATGTCCTCGGACATTTCGGCGGAGATGGACGAGGGCAGCTTGAAGGTGGGCACCACCCAGCCCTCGGGCAGCTGCGCGCGGTACTCCTCCACGCCGCGCTTGAGCTGCTCGTACTTGATCTCCAGCTGCTCCTGCAGGCCCGCCATGTCGGCGCTGCACACGATCGCGTGGATGTTCAAGCCTGGCCATCGTGCAAACAACGATCAGCACCCTCTCACCCTTTCTGTGCTACAGAGGGACTGGGTGGGGGGAGGGAAATTTACCCTTCTCAAGGATGTCGACCTGGTAGAGGATGTTGTTCTTGAGCTTGTTGATGAGCGGCATGTCGCCCGGGTTGGCCGAGGCGTAGGCCGGCGTGAGGAAGGCCTTCTGGTACATGGCCACGCCTCCAGCGACGGCGGCGTCGATCACGCCGTTGAGCACCATCGTGAACGGGTTGATGTTGAGGTCGCGCGACGACCCGTGCCTGTTGTATAGGGGCGCGCGCACGTAAGACGTCATTGACTTAGTACTCAGCCCCCGGCAAGGAGCCTTTCGAGTAAGCGACAGAAAAGTACGCACTTGATGATGATCTCCTTGAGCTCCTCGTTCTTGGACTGGATCGAGTTGACGGCGTTCTGGATGGGCGTCACCTCGATGATGCGCGACTCCACGATCTCGGCGCGGCGCCTGATGCCGGGGAACGCGTCGGCGGTCATGAAGTACGAGTTGCGGATCCACAAGTCCTGTGTGGGTGGTGGTCGAGGGACCGCGCTGTCAGACACCACCGTACAATCGCAGCAGGACGCACGCACGCACTCGAGAGTGACTGAAATCGCGGGCGTACCTCGAATTCGTTCTCCTTGTTCTTCTGCTTGTCCTTCCGGAAGGGCTTGGAGTAGACGAAGACCTTGACGTCGTTGCCCTGCAGGAACTTCTTGATCGAGGGCGGCATCCGCTCGTTGACGACCTTCTCCTTGGCCTCCATCTCCTCGACCGAGGCGGCCTTGACCGTGTAGATCTGCAGGTGCTGCTTGTAGCTGCAGAGCGAAGGGGGGGGGGTACACACACGGGTGATGAAAATTTGAGGCGCACTCGCATCTGAACCGAGCCGAGCGAGGACGAACCTGTTCTTGACCTCCTCCCCGGGCGCCTCGGTGAAGTTGAGGAGCTCCGCGGCGGGCCAGAGCGCCGTGATGCGCGCCTGGAAGTCCCTCGAATGCTGTGTGGAGGTGGCGACGATGAGTCGCGGCACTCGCGGGAGAGAAGTGACAGAAGCGAGCACTGGCACGCCGTGAGGCGGTGGGCGGTGGGGCGCATACCTCGAGCTCGTAGCCCTTGAAGATGAACTGCCTGTTGGCCAGGTTGGCGGGGAAGCCCTTGCCGAAGAAGCCGACGAAGAAGTAGTCCGAGTAGAAGCGCTCCTCGCTCACGATCGAACTGAAGAAGCGAGCCTGGCGCGCCTGTTTGTTCGCCACGCCCGTAAAAAAGGGAGACAGTTTGGTCTGTCAGAGTAGGGCGGCCGGGCACAGGACGCCAGGCATGGCCCGGATAAGATGCTGGCGTACCAGGACGTTGGAGAGCTTCTCGTAGTCGAAGAAGATGCGCTGGTACTGGAAGCGCAGCTTTTCCATGAGGTCGATGGCCTTCTCCCACGCCTTGCCATGGTCGAAGAAGTCGATCGCCTGGAAGTACAGACGCTCCTGTGCACGAAAACAAACAACACCACAGCCGGGTCAGTATATGGGCTTGACCGCGTGTCCACAGACTCGCTCGAGTCGAGTGGCTGTACCTTGCGCTCCCACGCGATTTCGCTGTTCTGGTGGGGTCCCATGGGGGGCACGGTGTCCTCGGTCCAGTCGTACAGCTCGGCGTGCAGCAGGAGCGTGAGGCCGGCCTCCACCAAATGACCGTTGGCCTCGTGCTGCTTGCAGAGATCTGTGCAAGGACGCGCCAAGTGCCCATTTTAGGTGAATGTGTGAGTCGAACGCCCTCACACGCGCGCACACGGCGAATCGATCGACGGGCACCGCGGGACCCTACAAACATACCGTGGATGTACTTGACGTATTTGTCCTGGCGATCGGTCTGCTTGAGGTACTGCATGAGCTGCATGGTCGCCTCCGTGCGATCGTCATCGTAGGCCTTGGGCAGCACGCGCAGCGCCGTGAACAGATCCACGATCTTCTCCATGTCCTGCAGGAACGACAGACCTGCAATCCACCAAGGGGAGGGGGGGGGAAGCAAGAGTCGAACGTCAGCCGATCGATAGGGCAAACGATGATGACTCCATAGCGAGTATAGAATGTATGTTACCGTGCTCCCTGAGGGCCTCGTCCTTCTCGGCTTCGAAGCGCACGTTGAGCGTGGCCCTGAAGTATTTCTTGAAGGAGTCAGCGGCCTGCTGGGCCTGGGTCGAGGTTGCCGAGGTGATCATCGCTCCGACAGGGCGACCGATGGTCGAGCCGCTCCTGCTCAGGCCTGTCAGGCTGGCGTTGCTGGCCGACGAGGCGAAGCGCTCGTTGACGATCTTGTCCAGGGCGTCGATGGTCTGCGTTTCGACTCCGCGGAAGGTGCGCGTGGCGCTGAACTCCCGCGTCAGCGTTGAGAAGTACAGCGTGAGGCCGGCCTCCTTGAGCTGCGGCTCCTCCACCATGGCTAGCTCGAGGAACGGTCCGACGAGCGCCTACATGCGTTCACACAACACAACACAGCACACACCCGTCGTTCAGAAAATGGATATTCTCGCGCCATCAGCAGTGGCTCGACTCCTAGCTGGTACCTTGATGAACAGGGTCTGCCTCGGGCCGAGCACGTTCCAGACCTTCTTGAAGTGGTCCATCACGGGCAGACGCATGTCACCGTACCTGGAGCGCACAACAACCAACAGACGGCGAGAGAGGGTGAGCCGGTGGTTGGTGCAAAATGAATGGGGAGGGGGAGCGCAACGCACTCGGTGTGGATGAGGGACTGCTTCTGGGCGGTGAACTTCTCCATGGTGAGGGGGCCGGCCGTGATGAAGTTGATGGTGAGGGTGAAGAAGGCCTCGAACACCTTCCTCTCCATCACCGTCGCAGAATCGCCGCTATCCGCGGCAGCCTTGCGTCTCGCCGGCAGTGGCAGCCCACGACCTGTAATGCTGCTTCCACCGGCGGCCGGGCTGTTCGACAAGCGCCTGGGCGCAGGAGAGCGGGCAATGGCGGTGCCTGCGCGCATTGGCGCAGGAGAGACGGGCGTTCTGTATGGGTAATAGCACACCTGGGGGTCAGCGAAGGACTAGGCTCAGAAGATGGGGGATTTCGACTACGAACCCGCTGGTGCCGGAGGAAGAAGAGCCCAGAGAGCCGACGGGCGAGGGTGCGCTGCCGTTGGGCGGAGGCGACATCGAAGAGCTGCGGTTGACGTCGGCCGCCGCGCCGCCAGCGCCGGGAATGGAACGGGGCGGCGTGGCCGGCACGGGACGAGCGCCCGCGACGCCGCCGGGACCGCCGGGCCTGGGGAATCCGGGCGACGAGGGGGAGGGCGAGGGCGAGGGCGAGGGCGAAGACACAGGTGAGCCGCCCGAGGGCGAACCCGGCGTGTTGACCGCCTGCAGGAAGCGGTTCGCCACACCGCCGCGGGCCGGGATGGGCACGCTGCTTGACGCGGCCGGCCCTGCGTAGGAAGCCGACGCCGGTCCGCCGGGCGAATTGAAGGGGGACGACGAGACCAGGCCGCCAGAGACCGGCGAGGCGCCAACGCGCGACGGAACGCCGGGGGTCGGGCGCGAGGGTGCAGGCGAAGCAGGGGCCGGGCCGCCGGCGGTGCCCGATGACGACGAAGTGAGTGGCGACGGGCCGCGGAAGGAGGACCCGCCGGGGGACGACGAGACCGAGGAGGAGAGCGATGACGTCGGGCCGCCGACAGTGCGAGGGCCGATGCCGCTGCCGCCGCCGCCGAACGAGGAGGGCTTGGCGCCGGTCGGGCCGGAGCCATCGGCGGAGAGGAAGCCCAGGCGGAAGGGCAGGATGTCGTTCATGATGGAGATGACCTTCGAGATGGTCGAGTACTGGAACATCTGCAGCCCGAACCAGTTCTCGGGGAAGGCGGGCCGCTCGGAGATCAGCGACGACAGGTTGCGGAATAGCGCGATGAGTGTGTTCTGCAATAACGATAACGATAACAATGGGTCATGATAAGCGTCAGTGGCATGCACATCAAGCAATGCAGAACACAGGGCGCTCGGGTGCGAGGGCCTACCCTGATGTTATCCTCGCCGTTGAGGGAGTGGAGGAAGCCCTGGTAGTTCTGGGGCGCCAGGAGATAGAGGATCGACAGGAGGCACATGACGATGTCGGCCTGCATGGCCTTGTCGCCCTGCTGGCCCGGCTGACCCATGAGATCGATGCAGCGCAGTACCTCCGGCAGGACCGACGCCACGCCCGAGTCCCACACGTTGGTCTCCGACTGGGAACGCTCACACGTCAGCCTCGCACGCTATCGCAAGCAAGCAGGGTGGTGGCGGCGGTGGGCACGTACGGCAAGGTTGGTCTGGAGCTGCTCCAGGAGGAGGAAAAGGACGGAGATACACTCGCGCTTCTCCTCCAGCCTGTCCGACGAGCTGAGGAAGTGCTTCAGGTTCGAGAGCACGACCGGCATGAGCTGCTTGCGCGCGCCTGATCCAACAAATATTAAAATATTATGAGCCGGGGGGGGGGAGAGGGAGGAATGGCCGGCCAGCAGGGGTGACGTGCCTGCGTTTTGGAAGAGCGAGTCGGAGATGATGGAGTGGATGAGCAGGAGCTTCTCGACGTTGAGTCGGGTCGTGGTGTTGCCCTTCACGCTATCCAGGAACTTGCCCGCGATCGAGCTCCTCTCTTGGATCGAGAACAGGGACTCCAGGTGGGCGAAGAACCGCGAGAAGTGCCTGACGGCGAGCGTCTGGGCGCCGATGAGCCAGTCCGCCTTCTGGGCCATCAGCTCGTTGAAGACGTCAAAGAACCCGGCCATGTCGCACTTGAACTCCTCCTTACTGTGCACCACAGCGAGCAGTCGTAAGACACAACAGACAGCCACCTTAATTAAAGTTGGTGAGTGTCGACTGCATGGGGGAGCAGCGTACGTGCGGAGAGCGTCCTGCGGGTTGGTGCGGTCGTAGAGAATGCGGGAGGCCAGGATGAACTTGAGCAAGTACTCCAGAGCCTTCACGGTCGGAATCAGTTTCTTGCCCGAGATGGGCGACGGCGTGGTGCTGGTCGTCAGCTCCTGTTTCAAGGGGGACGGGAGGGGAGAGGCGTGTCAGAGTGTGCACACATCCGAGCCCCTGTGCGCAACACGATCACTCACCTTGAACTGTTCCTTGAGGCAGAACATGAGGTTCTTGTGCATCTTGGAGAAGTTGTTGTCGGCGTCGTCCGGCGAGCCGCCGGGCCTGCGGAGGCCGGGCGAAGTGGGAGGCACGCCGGAGCCGGTTGGGGAACCGAGCACGGAGTTCCTCTGTCGGTGGTTGGGCACCGCGGAGGCGGCCGTCGGCGCCGGGGCCGATGCGGCGGGCTTGACCTCCGCCTGCTGGTAGTGGATGATGTAGCTGTCGAGGGCACTCCGGTGAGTGGACTGGCCCTGCTTCTCATCGTACAGCAGCTGGATCGTGTTCACAATGGCGTCGTATCTGTGGAATTCGCAGGCGACGAGGTGTAACCAAAAGATGGAGATAATGTTAATGTTGTATCAAGTGCGAAATGACCGAGAGAGGGCGCGTACACTTGGAGGGAGAGCTTGGTGTTGCCCTGGCAGCTGGGGGAGACGAGGATGGCGAACAGAGAGTCGAAAGTCTCCTTGAGGAACTTGACGATCTCGTTTTGATCCACGAACGAGAACTTGTTGAGCATGCCCGCCAGATCGTTCTGCTGGCGCCACTGCAGCAAGCCAAGCATCGACGCTGCGATCCACATCGCCCTGGTCAGTTCAATCCCCGGTAATTTACAGGGCAATGACTGATGAGAGTGGCGTACCGTTCTGGGTGAGGTAGGTCGAGCAGAGAGTGGTCTTGAGCTTGATGACTTCGCCCTTCCTGATCGCCAGCTTGTTGGAGCTCGCGGCATCTAGAAAGATGCACAATGGCCGAGCGTGTGAGGCGACGACCCAGCGTTGGCCAGCCGGGCGCAAGTGAGACTTTGCCGAGACGTACCGAGGTAGAAGGCACGCTCGTCCACAGAGCGCGGAGGCTTGAAGGTGGCGACTTCCTTGGTGCCGTCGGTCGCCACCGTACCATCCGCGTTGGTGAGGCGGAGGAATCCGTTGCTGATGACCTTCGCGCCCTTCTTGCCCACGCTCTGCATGTCATAATTATGCGTTCCACAAAGAGGCCGGTGAGGTTCACAGCGAAGCCGTGCACGGATGGCAGGGAAGGGGAGGGGCGCATGTACCTGGAAAGTAAAGTACAGGTGGCAGCGAGGGTAATCCTCGGGCTTGACGTTGACTCGGATGGTCTCCTTCCACACGGGGCTGCCACACTTATGAAGTACAAGCGACTTGAACTCGGTCACCGGCTTTTCGCCGGTGCCCGAGCTGAAGCAGTTATTGACCGGGTAGCCGTTGTCGTCGCGGACGCCCACCAGTAGCTGTCGCATGGATGACCACAACGGGTCGCCAGAGGTCAGTCTCCAGAATGGCGGTGGTGGTGGTGTGGGTGGCGGCTGCGAGGTTACCTCGAGGTTCTTATCGCCCGCTTCGGAGGCGACGATGGCGCTGTCGAGGGTGATGTACAAGTCGTTGCGGCCCACCTGATTCTGGTTCTGCGAATCGTTGATGTTGAGCTTCTGCTGCAGCGGGAACCTGCTCAAGTCGGAGAACGACTTGACGACCTGTCGAGAGATGAGGGTTGTTAGGGTCCGCTTTCACTGGACGGGGTGAAGTGCGTACGTGGTCAAAGGTGCCGCCGAAGAGACGGAGGCCGAGCGAGAGCGAGCCCTTGGGCTGCGACTGGTAGGCCGACGCGACGTTTTGGATGATCACTGGTTGCGCGAAAACCAGAGCGGGATGAGCTCATGAGGAGCCAAGAGAGCAATGGCTGAGGAGGCGCGCCGGTCAACGTACGGTCGGGAAGGGTGCCAAACTTCTCCTCTTCCTTGGGGGCGAACATCTTCATCGAATGCTCGCTCTCCTTGCCCAGACCGAGGCCCAGCTCCGCCAGGGGCATGACACCGCAGGCGAACGGGCGCCTGAGAGCCTCGTCGTCCTTGACCTGCACGTGAAGGTAGGGTGTCACACCTGGGCGTTGGGCGTTCAAGTGTGTGACGCGTCATACCTCTTTCTTGGCCTTGGCGCTGTCGTCCCACACGAGCTGGCCCTTGCGCACCATGCGGCACACCAAGTAGGCATCACCACCGTGAAGCTCGGCCACCTGACGAGGCGCACGATCAGTACAGAGGTGCGACGCATAGCAAGGCTTTTATCGAGGAGGGTTGCGCTCAAAGAAGCGCGGACGAAAGAAGGGCACGTACCTCAAACCAGGACTTCATGGTGCCAATGGCGTTGATGTCGGGCGGGAGACCGTTGGCGGTGAGGCCCACCTTGAATTCTTCGGTCAGGTTCTGGCCGCTCCTGGCGCTGTACAGGGAGAAGTACAGCTCGGTCGGCTCGCCAACCTGGTGGTTACACGATGTCAGCATGCATTGGGCACACATATGGGACAGGTGGTGAGGAAGGTGATGATGAGGAGAGACCTGGCACATCGAGAGCTTGAGCTCCAGAAGGAGGCAGTGCTGGGCGATCTCCTTGGCCGTGGTGACGCTGATGAGCTTGGCGCTCTTAGCGTTGAGGTCGACCATCGACGACTGCTGCCCGAGCAGGTCGCGCGACGCAGTAAGGGGCTGCGCATACGAATTCCACGCGGTGGTGTGTGAGTTCACCCTGTCGTTCTTCTAACGCGCCCTGGGCAGACTAGTAGTGTGGAACCGTACGTTCTTGTCCTTGGCCTTATCAGCGGAAGCGTCCTTGTTGGCGCCCGGCGTGGTGTCCTTGGAGGCCAGCTCTTGGTGCTGCAGTTGATCGCGCGCAAGGAGATCACACAGTGAGCAACGTTGAATATCTGACACTCAGGAAAAATGCGGAGAGGAGGGGCGCGTGGGGGCCGAGCAAAGGAGGTGTACCATGCGGTAGAGCTTGAGCACGGCCGTGTTGTTCTCGGTGGCGGGCTCGCCGGAGGGCGTCTTGACGATCATGTCGAGTCCCAACAGACGCCTGCCCTCCTCGATGTTGCTCATCACGCGCGGCTTGAGTTCAGCCAACGCTTTCTGCATTCCCCCCCACACACATACAATCGCGTGAGTTGACGACACACGAGCTCCGAGCGGCAAACGGCGGTGGCGGCAGCGGTCGCACGCAAAGGCACGTACAGGGGGCGTATGGGGCGAGGTGATGATGCGGTGCCAGTCGAGCAGGACCTTCATGCGGTCCTTGATCGTGGTGTACTCCTTCATGCGCCTCTCCTGTAGTCCGATCACAAGAAGTGGAGTAAGCACTTGTGTAGCAAGTTCGGTTTCCATGCCTCGAATTATAATCAGTGCGCGGGTGGAGGCTGGTACGAGGTAGTACTGGCGCATGAGGGCGCCCCACTCGCGCAGCACGCCGCGCAGCTCCTTGGTGATGGGGTCATCATCGAGCTCGCGCGTGATGGAGACGTAGGTCTTGGGGAAGATGCCCTTCACCTCCTTCGGCTGTGACACGCGCGAGAGAGAGAAAGGCAGTGGAGAAGGTGAACAACTGTAGACGGGCCAGGCAGAAAGGCGAGGGGGAGGGGTACAGTGCGGTCAGAATCGCCTTCGCGAGCCTCGATGATGAGACTGCCGCGGTACCAGCCGTCAATCTCCTCCTGGATGCTGGATTGTGGAAGATGGTAAGTTGAAAAATGAATTGAAAAGAGATGGCCTGGCGGGTAACGCAGTCGGTACCGAATCTTATCGCCGATCTTGAAGGGCAGCTGGAACTGCGCGCCAGCAGCCGGGCGATAGGGGAAAATAGCTGATACAAGCCCGAGCTGTACAGTTAGCCTCCATCCTCTTCAAAGATTAACGAAACGGCGGCGGGGGGGTTCGGAAAAACAGGGGCGCGTTCGCTTTTCCTTCCGAAGGAGGTGAGCACCCAGCCCCAATTAAGTTATCATTATACAGCCACCCGCCGGAGGTAGAGGTTGTGCTCTCACGACGATGGGAACGCAGAGAGCGGAGAAGATGGAGAAGAAAACGAACGAGGGACCAGGTGGTCGAAATGCGATAGAGGACGGAAAAGGCTGCGCATACGAAGAGGGATCCCAAAGGATACTCACCAAAGCCGAAGGCGTCCATGGGCTTCCATTTCGCACCCACCGAAGAAGGAGCCGACCACGCCATCCTTTGAACCGTTCGTCTTGGTGTTGGGACCTTTGTTTGTCTTGGTCGTGACAAATTAATTTGCTTTTTGTATTTCACAAACCCGATTGGGAAATAGCAGGCCAATAAGAAAATTGGGATAACTACAATGAAAGGGTGAGAGGAAAAAGAAGAGAAAAAGAAGAAATCAAATCGAATCGAGCACACAGAAGATGTCGCTGGGGGTGTATGCACTGGAGCCGGCCACCAACGGCAAGGTGTTGCTGAAGACCAGCGTGGGGGACATCGACATCGAGTTGTGGCCGAAGGAGTCGCCCAAGGCCTGCCGCAATTTCATCCAATTATGTCTCGAGGGCTACTACGACAACACCATCTTCCACCGCATCGTGAAGGACTTCATCGTGCAGGGTGGCGATCCCACCGGCACCGGCTTCGGTACCCCCTTTGCTCTTTCCCTCTTTTCTTAAAGTCAATTCCTTGGCGTTGGCATGGTGGCTTATCGTGCAACAACAACAACAACAGGTGGCGAGTCCATCTATGGGCAGCCCTTCGCGGACGAGTTCCACTCGCGCCTCAAGTACAGGCACCGCGGCATGGTGGGCATGGCCAACACGGGCAGGGACCAGAACCGCTCCCAGTTCTTCATCACGCTCGGCCCCGCCGGCGAGCTCGAGGGCAAGAACACGCCCTTTGGCAAGGTCACGGGCAACACGATCTTCAACGTGCTCAAGCTGGGCGAGCAGGAGGTCAACGAAGAAGACCGGCCGCTCTATCCGCCGCGGATCCTCGCTGCCGAGGTGCTGTCCAACCCGTTCGACGACATCGTGCCGCGCGACCTCTACGCCCTCGGCATCAAGCGCAAGCCCGGCGAGGAGGACCAATCGGCCAAGCCCGCCGTCGACCGGCCCCAGATCCGCAAGAAGAGGAACGTGGCGCTGCTGTCGTTCGGCGAGGAGGAGGGCGCGCAGGAGCCGGCGCCGCAGTTCAAGCCCCGAATGAAGAGCAGCCACGTGGCCGACGAGCCCGGCTCCGCTGCCGATGCGGAGGCCGGACCCAACCGCGGCACCAAGGCTGCCGGTGGAGCCAAATCGGACACCGTTACCACCTCCAGCAGCAGCCGCAGCTCATCGTCGACTAACCAGGCACACGCCCTGTAATTGTTATTTTTATAATTTTTATTTTTATAATTTTTAAATTAACCTCTGGCGTCGTTGACTGACGGCCTCGACGCGTGCGCGTGCAGGACGACGACGAAGAGGAAACGAAGCGAAGCGCGAAGGATCGCCGACCTTCGGAGAGAAAGCGACGAAGAACGGAGGGACGCAGCGACGAAGAGGCCGGAGAAGAAGACCAGGAAGAGACCACGGTGGTCAAGAAGAGGGACGAGAGTGCCAAGAGGAAGAGGAGAAGCGACGACGGGGACGCAGAGAACGACGATTCAAAGAAGCCGGCGACATCGTCGGCCTACGATGAGGTGATGGGTCGGCGGGAGCGCGAGAAGGAGGAGCGGAAGAAAGAGTTCAACGAGCTCAAGAAGTCGCTCCTCTCCTTCAAGAAGCAGTCCGACAAGCCCGCGGGCGAGGACGACGACAAGAAGAAGAAGGGCGAGTCCACCCTCGATCCGCTCGAGCAGATGCGCCTCAAGTACAAGGACAAGGCCAAGAAGCGCACGGGCGACCGACAGAAGCAGACGTTGGAGGCGCTGAAGAAGTTCCAGTCGTCCCTCAAGCAACCCGACAAAGAGTGGAAGCAGCACGTTCTCAAGTTCGAGAAGATCGGCGGACAGGTCAGTCAATATTTCCCACGATTCGTGTGTCTGTTGTTTGCTGCTTGATGGCCAAGAGGGACAAAAACTAACAACAAGCCACGTCCAAACAATCATCCATCTATCGCAGATGGAGAAGGAGGAGGAGCTCTACTCGGTGTTTGACCCGCTGGCGGGCAAGGACCAACGCTCCAAGCCCTCGTGGCACAAGCAGCGACTCCAGCGCAAGGACGCCAACCCGGAGAAGTGGTAAAAAAAATGGGCCAGCCCGCGTTGCAACTCTCTTTAGGGAGGGAAAATGCCATGTTTTTTATTTTACACGCCCGTCCGTGCAGACACACGTTGGGGGGGGGGAGCTTACTGTGGTCACATCACTGTTCTTCGATGTACTTGGAGACCGTCTCCTTGAGGGGCAGGTACTTGGTCTCCACCATGTTCTGTTTCGGATGAACGTAAAGGAGTGTTGGTCAGGTTTGGTGCACGCGCACAAGCAAAGGGGGCTTAGGCTGCTGCGGGAAAGACGGTCAGGTACCTGGAAGGGGATGTGCTCTGACGAGATGAGTGACTTGCTCAGACGAATCGCGAATCCGCACATTCGCACGAAGGCGGACATGTGCTCTGTGAGGTGTGTCAAACGATGTGTGAGATAGGTCGACAGTCACAGACGACACGACACAGACACGGCACACCCGATTGCGCCGAAACGAAACGAGATGAGAGAGACGGGGCAGGTAACAGGGGTCGCACCTTTGAGGTGGGCGATGAGCTGAGGGTCGTAAGGCTTGCCGGTGTCGGGGTCGATGGCGCCAGGAGGAAGGAAGGTCTCGCAGATCTTGAGCGGCCCCTCGTTCACCACTACGACGAAAAAGAGAGAAGAAAAGAGTCAGCACCGCGCATAAAGACCAGGGAAGGAGGAATGAAATTGTAGTGTGGCGTGGGCGTACTGGTGACGACGGAGCCCTGGATGACCGAGTGAAGGGCGTTGAGGCGCGGGGGATTGGTCTCGAGCTGTTCTCGCAGCGCCGCCACACGGTTCTCGATGAGCTCCACCGCATTCTCCAGGGGAGTGAGGATGACCTGATGGTGACGGCGATTGAGTAATTCGTTGAGTGGGCGTGGTTGTCTAACAACAACAGCAGCAGCAGCAACAATTCGTACGTTTTCGGTGGACACGACGGGGAGGCGGGCGAGGATGTAGGGGAAGCAGAGGCTGGTCTTGAACATGATCTTCTTCTTCTGCTGTCGCGCCAGACCCTCCGCCACGTTCTTGCCCTGAGCCGTGTAGCCCGTCTCGAAAATGAACGAATCTACAGCCGAAGAAAGGCCGAAATGAAGAGAGAAGAGGTGAGCATGCGACGCTGGGGGGACTGAGTCTATGGAGGCGGGGGCTGGAGGCGTACTGATGTGGAAGTTGCGGGCGTGGGGCGTGACACGCGACGAGTCGGCGTGCGGATTGACGGCGCCGATCTGCACGTAGACCTTGCTCTTGTCCATCTCCGACGGGTCGACGGCCTTGTTCTGCATGATCACCACATTCTCCGGGTCGCCGCCCACGCGGCCCTTGTGCTTCTCCTGTTGTGTGCGGTGCGTTGCAAAGGCCACGTCAGCACGCCTGAAGGCGTTAGTTTTCAGAATAGGCCCGAGTCGATCGTCGTGCCTTGAGTTGGGTCTGCATGTGGCCGAGCTTCGTGTGGCCGGGCAGACGGTAGACGAACTCCTTGCCGTCCAACTCCTCAAACTTGGAGCCGTAGTAGCCCACGCGGTAGTAGACCGGGAACACGCGCACCTCCTTGTTCTGAGGTGGACGGGATCAGCTCATCAAATGCCCGTAATTACGGGGAAAGGAGGGCAGGGGGCAGTACGGCGGTGATGAGGGTGTCGGTCAGGGCGCGGAAGCGTTCGAGGGTCTGCGAGAGGTACGGGTACTGCTTCTCCGAGCTGAAGATGGTGGTCAGCATCATCAGCACCTCCAGGCACACCTCGTACGCCTTGGCCTGTTCCCGCCCCAACCATGATAGAACCGATAGACGACAGACGCGTCAGCAAGTGAAGTGACCACACACCACACCCGCCCAATTCTAAGAACTCAAAGTAAGTGAACCGCAGGCGGACCTGTTCGAGGAGCTTGACGGCGGATTTGAGGAGCTTGGTGAGGCCCTTGGGGGACCAGATCTCCACGTTCTGGAAGGTGGAGTCGTCCTGGATCTGCGGCAGCGACATGTCCTTCATCACGTTGGGGGCGATGTCCAGGAAGCTCTCCGCCTTCGACAGATGGCGAACCTGTTTGCGCAGTCAAACGCCGATCGAGTGAGCGGCGGTGCGTGGGCACCAGCTGGGTGCGCGCATGTGGATGTGAACGGTACCTGGAGTTGGCCCTTGGCGACGAGGTATTCCACCACGAGCGCGGCAATGTGCAGCTTACACTGGGCGGCCTCCTCTGGATTGCCTTGCTGGTAGCGAGTGAAACCGCAATGGTGAGAAAGAAGAACAGAACGACCAACAGAACTGTGTGTGTCGTGTCGTGTCGTGTCGTGTCGTGTCGTGTCGTGTCGTGTCGTGTCGTGTGTGTGTGGTTTACGTTGACTTGGAACTCGGCCAAATTGCGGAGCCACTGCACGCGCAGATCGGGCGAGTCGAAGTAATCGTTGGAGATTCGGAGGTAGACTTCGGCAATGGTCTCGGGATCGTTGCGCACGTTGCTCCCGTAGATCTTGGCGCTGTGAGACCGCACACGAAAGAAAGCAAGAAAGAAAGAAAAGAAACGAAAGAGTTGGCGTGAGCTGCATGAAGGATGGGTGGCGAGGATGGTGCGGATGTCCTAACCTGTAGTCAATGAGACGGAACATGCGAGCGATGAGTTCGGCCACGCTGGCATCGAACTTCTGGAGGTCGGCCTGCTTGCCCTTCTTCGCGCTCGCATTGGAGAACTCCTTGATGGCCTTCAGCGAGTCCTTGAGGAAGTTGAGGTTCTGTCACGTGGCCACCCGAAGAAGGAGAGTCGTAAGCTTACGTCGTTGACCCGAAAAGGTGCGCTTCAACACCACGAGCAAGGGGTACCTCGTTGTCCTTCATGCCGCCCACAAGTCGCGAGACGGCCACCGTCGACTGCACCTGCATGCGCGACAGGTTGCTCGATGTCTCCCAGTTTTTCTGTTGATCGAATTACGTGGCAGCCAAGGAGGGGTGAGCTGAGCAGCACGGAAAAAACGCAGGCCGACCAACATAGGCGCGTCGTGCGGGCGCACCCTGAGGAAGAGGTAGAACATGGAGGCGGCCTTGCTGCGGATGAGGGCGTCGGTGGAGTTGCAGTGGGCCAAAATTTCGAAGGAGAGCAGCTCGCAGAACTTGGAATTGCTGCCGTACTCAAACAGCGCTTGTTTAAACACCTGCACGTGTGTATCGTGTGTGTGTGTGTGTGTGTGTGTGTGTGTGTGTGTGTGTGTGTGTGTGTGTGTGTGTGTGTGTCGTGCGTCAGCCGGCAGGCGGAAGAAGTGCGCTCATAGCACGGAGAGTGCGACTGTGCGCCAAGTTTGAAAGCGCACGTACGTGGACGACGAACTGGAGAGTGGTGTAGATGATGTCGAGAAGCTTGGGGTTGTGTCCGGAAGCGTGGTTGTGAAGCAACCGATGCAGCGTCGTCAACACACCGCCGATGGAGACGCTGCTCACGGAGTTGAGCTCGTCCTCGAAATCGCCCATGAAATCGACGAGGAGGTCCGCGATGATGAGGCCCACCTCCTCGCCCCCGTCGTCATGCTGCACCGGCCACCATTTCAAATTGGTCAATCTTTGGTTGCCCGCAAAAGGGGAGAAAAATGGGGGTTAGTCGGCGTACATCGAACACGCCGAGGCATGAAGTGAGCAGGCGGAGGAGAGCCGCATGCCGCTTCTGGGCATCCTTCTTCCACCTGGAGTACCCACCCACCACGAAAACGGTTTTTTTTTCAGTTTCTGGTCTCTCTGCTGCCAATTACGAGCATGCATGGGGGAGGGGGAGCTGATATAAATACCAGGTGCGGATCAGATTGCGTGAAGCGTGCCGGAAGATCCACATCAGGCAGGCAAACCATTCTCTCTCATCGCCGTACGGCACCAAACTGTCGGCGCGCTCCACCATCTGCGCACGCATGCCGTGAGTGAAGCACTGTGGCCAACACCGCTGGTTGAAAGGTCGAGGAGGAGGAAGAGTGTACCAGGAGGACGTAGGGGAAGTAGAGATTGGCGATGTGCTCTCGAACCGTGCGAGACTGGTAGCGCGGCTCATCGCCGTGCTTCTTGAGGAGGTTGCGCAGCGTGTTGATGCCCTATCGTTCACCCATGCACAGACAAAGAACGGTCAGCGTGTGTGTGCGTCGCCACACTACTCCATCTTGGCCGAGGCAACTGCAGGGAACTCGGGTACCTGAGCGCGAAGCGACTTGGGCTCGTCGACCGTCGAGGCGATCTCCCGAATGAGCAGGCCCACGAAGAAGTGTTGTTTCCTATGTGCGCCACCATCATGGTTGTGTGAGCCACGAAGCAGTGCTTTTGGGGTTGGGGGGGGGTGAGAGGTGATGCACGTACATGTGTTGCTCGAGCAGGAGGTCGGGGTCGAGCGTCGGGATGCTTTGGGGCAGGAGCGGCAAGGAGAGAGGCACGAAGTTGTCGTACTCGAACAGCGTGCGCAGGAACTTGAACTTGCCCAAGCGCGCATGCGCATCCCGCACGCCAGAAATGTAGTTCCACACCTGGCGGTAACGTTACAGCGAACGACCGCGAACGGGCGGTCAGCCTCGCGAAAAGCGACATGTCGCGCAGACTCCATTGGATGCATGAGGGAGGGGGCTGACGCTGTACCATGTTGAGGACGATGCCGCGGTCCATGATCTTGAGCATCTCGCGCAGGAACGCGGGGAAGATGGAAATGCCGGTGAGCGAGGGCAGGCCGCCATCACCGCGACCCTCAACGAAGAGCATGTTGGTGAGCTGGCTCATGGCCTCGAGGAAAGGCCGGCTGAAGCGCGTGCTACGTGTGCCCTCATCATCTAATGGTAGTGGTGATGATGGCGCATTAGAGAAGCCAGCGTTCCTTCCTTAAGCTGAAGGCATTGGTGGTGGAATGGATAGGTGCAAGCAAAGCGGTGGGTGGGGGGAAGGGCACGCACTGATCTCGCCGGTGGAGTGGATCTTGAGGATCATGGACTTGGTCATGACCTCCAGGAGGAAAGCCACACCCTTGAAGCTCATGATTGCTGGGTGCTGTGGTGAACACACACACACACACACACACACACACACACACACACACAACGTTGATCAGCGTTGGTCGGGAGAGGAATGCGAGTGCTTAGGGGAGGTGGAGTGCAGTCACACCTTTTCTTGGAGGAGCTCCATCCAATACTTGGCGATCTGCTCGTAGGGGTAGAGCATGCCGCCCTCCACGTTGTCGAACATGAAGCGCACGTAGGAGGCCAGCGACATGGCCAGCTCGCTCTTGGTGCTACCCACCTTCTCGCCTGTCGCTTCGGCCGCCCTGCAGGGTGGCATCAAAAGCGTTAGCGCGACTCTCTTTCGACGCATTCGCTCCAATACCCTAAGGGGATTGGGGGGGGGGGCGATGGCGGTACCTCTGCACCACGTGGACGATGCCCAGGAAGGCGAGCTTGCGTTGCGCGCTCTTCTCGCGGGTACACAACACGCGGAACAGTTCGTTGAGGAGGAGGGGCATGAACAGCACGCATGCCTCGCCACTGGCGCGATCCATTCCATTCAAAATTTCCTGAATTCCAGACCAATCACAGCCACAGTCATTCGCCCGATGAGATGAGCATTGTATCAGCTTACGAGAGTAGTGTTGACACGTACGATCTCATGGGCGTCGGAAGGATAAGCGGCCATGAGCGCGCGCAACGAAGGGCTGGTGGTCTCCTTCTTGAGCGAGGGCCGCTTGAGCCGCTTGTCGGTCGTGGTCAGCTCTCTAAAAAGGTGCATCGCAATGATGTGAGCGGAAGAACGGGCGAATGGGGAGAGCGCAGCCACTAGGCCAGTACCCGGTCGGTCGGATCATGCGGAAGAAGCTGCGCAGCTGCTTGTCCTGGGTGTAGATGGAGGACCACATGCGCGTGCTGACCACCACGAACGACTTGGCCACGTCCTTGTTGGCGAGGGACGGCGGAGCGGTCAGGTAGCCCGCGGGGAGCTCCTTGACTACGGCCAATGTGTAACGTCCGTCGCGCACGTGCCTGCCGAGTGACTCGGGTCAGCGAGAACAGCCAGCAGCGCGCCACTGCATTGCACATGCCCAGGCTACTATGCTTGAGCGTACTTGATAAAGCTCAGATCTTCGCCCTTGCGGGACTTGGAGGCTGTGGCCAGAGGCAGCACAGCGTAGCCCAGGGGCACATGGCCGGCCTTGTTGCCGCTCACGTTGATGTGATAGATCGTCAGGAGCAGATGGTGCTTCGGCGTGAGCACACCCGGCACCTTGAACTTGAGCTGTGCGGACATAATAATGACATCACATAGAGTGAGCCAAGCCACCCACACACTGTCAGTAGAGGGGCTGAATCAAACCTCGTCATAGAAGTGAGGCTTCTTCTCGTGGTAGAGAACATTGGTGCACCCAACTTCGTTGAACTTGGCCATCGATGATTTGCCATAGACCACCTGCACGCACGGGTCATTCGCACACATTAGTGAGCGTGGAAGGGGATGCATTCAGGTAATGTGTGGGGGGATGGCTGTACGGGGAGTCCTTTGGAGTTCACGTCGGTGTCTGTGTCTTTGAGGCGCACTTCGATTTGGAAGTTGGCCGACGCAGGTCCACCCTGTTGTACCACACAACACCGGTTAGTGGTGAGTTGGCCTCCGCTCAATTGAGCACTTTCCAGGCGTACCTTGAGCGACAGGGTTTCGGGATAGACATAGAGATTGTTGACGTACGTGACGAAAGGCTCCTTCCGCATTTCCAAGCTTTCCACTTCACGCACAATCTTGTGGTGGGGGGGAACGCGGAGCATAAGCAGGGGACAGCAACAACAACAGTCTGGGGATCGGATCTACGACGTACATCAAGGGAACAGGGGTTCTTCGAGAGGAACTCATCAGTCGTGCCCACAGGAAGGAACGACGGATCGTACGTGTTCGTCACTGGATGTTCGTAAAAGCACGACAAGCAGTTAGGTTGGATGAATGGATGGGCGGTAGAAGGGCCGCAAGTACGGTACCCGTTTCTTCGAGGCCCAGGGGCAGCACTTCGAGCTCGAATTGGGCACCGATCGTCTTGGCTTCAGGACTCTTGACGGTCCTCGTGATCAGGTGAGATCCCTTAACCGGCACCGACTCCTTCTTGTCGTTGCCTCTGTGGACATTTGCCACAGGAGTGTGTAAGGTAACCTCCGGGTGTAAGTTCGCAGCAAAGACAGGAAAGAAGCGCAGACGCACCCGCCAAGAACCACGTCGAGGAGGGACTGATCGTCGAACGGGCCGTGCTTGGCGATGGGCACGATGTAATCGATCTTCATCGTGTTGTAGGCGTCCGTACGCAACGTGTACGATTCCGTGAACACAGGGGCCGCCGCCTGAAGAATGGAACCCCGACCCAACATTGATCGCAATGAGCGCTTATGTTCATCGGGAGAGAGGGGAGCGGACAATGGGTCATACCCATGCAAACGGTTGGACGGGGTAGGGCTTGTGCTTGAAGGCCGACTTGTTGTGCTTGACAAATTGCTCAATCTCTTCCTTGAGTTTGCCCGCGTCCTTGGCCTTGGCCTGCATCGTCGGCGCAATTTCCCCAGCCCCACGTATTTGTTAATATTAAATAATAATAATGTCAACCAAAGGCAACAGGTCAGCAGGACCAACTTGAGGGCGGCGTGGCGTACGTATTTGGCCTTGAGGTAGTAGCCGATTTCCTTGTCGAGGTCATTGCCGCAGAACATCTTCTCGATGCGGATGACCAGGTAGATTGCGGGAGTGGGGTGGTAGATTTTGAACACCGCCTTGCGCGCCTGCGTCTCGATGTCGTTCTGCGCTGACAGTGGGACCCCTGCGCGTAGTGTTCTCATCGTGTCAGAAGGTCAAGATGCACACCCTTGTTAGCCACGATGGTGGCACAGGGCGTACCGAGCTCGAGCTGGCCATTGTAGTCGAAGTGGAAGCTCTCGGAAATGCGGGTGCGAGTGGCCGTATCATACAGGGCAGCAGTACAGAACAGAGGCTCCTGGAGTTCGAACAGCTGAAACTTGAGCTCCTTGAAGTGAATCAGCAGGCGGGTCGATCTGACACAATAATAATAATAATTATAGGGCATGAGACCAACAGCACGGCATTTACCTTCACCTTGGTGCGTGAGCAGAATGAGGGGGATTGGGTAATACATACATAGTCGGAGGGAACGGCCGAGAGACCACAGCAGCCTTGGATGGACCCTGCTGCTGGTCATTGCTGGAGAAAAGATCGCTGTTGGAATTGTACTGCACGCATTCAAGAGATACCAAAAGGAACGCGCGTCAGTACACGAACGCACACGCGCGCACACAATACTTTTCGAACAAATATGTGTTGCGTTACCAGAGTGTCCTTGTTCTGTTGGAGCACAGCTTTGTCGAAGGGCTTGTTGCAGATGTCCTCTTCGATGTGGAACTTGTACTCCTCCCGCAGCAGGGGGACTTCGCCCGAAGATGTAGCGGCGCGTTCGAAGGAACGCGTAGCCCTTCGCTCCTTCGGCGACAGCGCCGTAGGACCCGAGCCCGAGAGGGGGCTCTGCGCCCCTGCGGTCTCGGCGGAAACGGGGAATGCGCCGCTGCCTTGGTTCGACCCCGTCTCTCTGGCGCTGTTGGGAGCGGACGCACTGGCGCCGCCATCGGTGGCCGAGATGGGTGGCGGAGGCGGTGAAGGGATGATGTTGCCCTTGGGCGTCGACGGTGCTGAGTCAGCGGCGGCGCGGAGGAGCGGATTGAGGCGGACGTTCATGTTCGGTGCCGGTTGGTCGGTCCTCCTGACCTTGGCCTTGGCAGCTTTCTTCAAATTGGGCGACGACGTGGACGATGCGTTGGTCAGCAGCGCGCCGCGTCTGCTTCGCTGCTTCAGAGCATCCCAGCGAATGTGCCACATTCCGCACGCTGAGGCCCGTAACATCAACACCAACAACCAACATGTTAGGGAAATGGGAGCACGCGAGGAGGAGCTGAATCGGTGGTTCACATGAGAGCGTACCGGTGGTGATGTTGGTTTCAGTGTCGGAGGTGGTGTCCTGCTTGATGACCATCCAATCCTTGGTAAACGTGGAGAGGCACGCATTCAACCAGGGCGCATTCTCGGTCTGAGACTTGAGCAGATCCTCCTGTGATGATCGGATGCGTGAGTCGTAGTAGTTTAGTCATAGATAGAATATAGGGGGGGAGAGTGTACCGGAACAGAGGGAGCGAGGGTACGTTCCTGCCTCCTCTTCTTCTTCACTCGGATCGGCTGATCAGGGGACAACAACGCCTCCCGCACCGCGGGATCTAGACTCGCAGAGGCCTGCGTGCGCGGGTCATGGTAAGCACCCATCCAGCCAGGTTCGAGGCGGTGGAGCCGCATTCTCGAATTGGAATGAAGGAACGGTGGAGAAGGTATGGCACCTCGACGTACTCCAAGTGCTGCATCTCAAAGTCGTCCCACTTCCCCAGCACCTTGCTCTCGCCCACGTCTGCCGCGATCACCAAAAAGTATTCAAATAATAATAAATAAATAAATAAATCATCAGTTGCAGGTAATTTGGGACAGATAATTAAAACAAATATAAATAAAAAATAATAATAACAATAATAATCATACAATGAATAACAAGAAATTATAATAATAGAGGGGGCGACAGGGAGCTGGTTACCTTCGAGCGAGGTCTGCCTGACGCGGGGCGACATGACCGGGGTGTAGTCGTACTCGGTTGTGACTTCAGGAGTAGCAGCAGCCTCACCGCCCGCGAGATCGTCGCTGTCGGCTTCGGACTCGCCCCCGCTCGCCGCGGCGGCACGGGTGGCAGCTTCGCGACCCGAGTAGCGTGCGCCCTCCCATTCCTCCTCGAGCTCCTGCGTGAGCGACACCACCGATGCGTTGCCATCGAATCGCACCTCCTCGCCCCCTCCTCCCCCTCGCGGCGATTTCGGATCCGCGGCGGCGAAGGGAATGTGCGACTTGCGCCGCTCGGCCGCCTCCTTGAGCTTGTCCTTGGTCGTCGAGGGCGTCACCCGTGCCACCCGCACGCTCCCGCTCTTCTTCTTTTTCTTGGCCTCGCCCCCGCTGCTGCTGCTGCTGCTTCCGCTGTCTTTGTCCAGGCTCCGCGTCGCGCCGCTCAGGAGCTTCTTGACCTTCTCCCGCTTCTTCTCCTTTTTGATGTCCGTCGCGACGGTCTCAGAGGAGGCGGACGAGGGCGCCCCACCTCCGCCCCCTCCTGCTGTGGCTGCGGCGTCGCCCCCTTCGTTTCCATCTTTGCTCAGTTTCGCAGAGACCAGGGCGCCCGATGATTTCGTGCGTCGATGTATGCGTTTGCTGTTCGTTCGCTTTTCCTTCACCTCCTCGCCCCCTTCGTCAGACGGCCCCGTCGAGTGGGAAGGCGGGGTGGTCCCCTCCTCTGCTTTCGTTTCCATCTCTTCTCTCTCTCTCTCTCTTATGTCGTCTGGGCGCGGTTGGTTATGGTGAGCTCCGGGCAACCGCTTTGCGCCACGACGAACGTTGCCGTGGGTTGCGCTTTGAACTCACTGGGGCCTATGTTTGCCTCCTACGAAGAGAGCGAGAGAGTGTCGTTGCGTTTCGGTTGCCTGAACAATTAAGTATTAATTACACATTCCATACATTTCTGTGGACGTAATGCCCCCGAAAAATAAAATTTTCTCTATCAGGGCCACCTTGACTGGTCACTTCTTCTGGCCACCGCTCACACGAGAGATGAACGGAATCGAAGGCGTGTTGGGCCAGGCCACAGCGCAGGGAATCGTCAACGCTGAGCAAGCCGCCCAATTGTTGAGGCTTTTCCGCGATACTGCCCTCGCCTCGCCGTCCGTAGGACCCAGGTCCATCTACCCCTCCCCCCTCTCTACACCAGCTTCGTCCCTCCCCCCATGTACCACCAGCGCTTACCTGCTATAATAAATTTATTTATTATTGGTGTGAACACAGCTTTTCAATGGCCAACGTGCTGCACTACGGCGGTGGGCTGATGGCGATTGGCAGCACCTCCCTTCTGCTGCACTACGGCTGGAAGCTCTTCAAAGGCACGCCTTCTGCTGGCAATCATATCGGGGGAGGGGGTGCATGGGATGCTGGCGCTGATGAAACGCTGCGTTACGTCGTTGAGCAGGAGTGGGTTTGTTGGCTGTGTCTGGCGCCTATGGGGCGCTTGGTCTGGCGGCGACCCACTACCTGGTGAAGAACAATGAGCCGTACGTACTCCAATTCGTCACGACAACCTTGGATACGTAGAGCTCTTCAATGTTAATGTAGCCCGGTGGTGACCGTCGCTTCTTCTTCTTCTTCTTCTTCTGCTGCTGCTTGTGATCAGTGTCGCTGCTGGCGTGGTGGGCGCGTTTGTGGTTTGCCTGGCTCCGATCGCCACGTTCGGCGTTCAGGAGATGACCGGCTTCTTGGGACTCCCCTCGTCCAGCGGCTCCCTGGAGGCCCCCGACTACGCCAAGTGCGTAACCCCCTAAACTTGGTAGGGCGGGGAGAGTGCTGCTTCATGTGTGCGTGCGAGACTCACACGTGAAGATCCATCTGCGCCCAGTCTCTTCGACCTAAGACCGGGCAGACACGAGATGCGCTTCATTCCCATGGAGGCGATGACCGTCCTCACCGGTAGGCATTGCCAGGGCTCGTTCTCCATTTACGGTAAATGTGTTAGTTCTGCTGACGCGCACACACGGTGTGTTGGTCGCGGGTCAGGTTGCGCTCTGCTTCGCTACTTCAAGTTGCCCTTCCTCACGTTCCCTGTGGCTGTCAGCGCCTTCTACACCGTGTTGGACCTCATTCAAGCACGCGCTGATCACCACCCCTATTATTCCTACAAGGGTATTGTGCACGCCCACTCTCCCCGGTAGTGTCAGTGTCGCCTGTCGCCTGTCAATCAATCCATAGTAACAGCCTGACCTGTGGTGCACTAGACTACGGCAATGATTATGCCACAAAGGTGCAGCGACGAAATCGCCTGTTCCAACGAACTTTGTGTCTGCTGGGCAGCTCGACCATCGTTCTGGCTCGTGTGCTCGAGAAGCTCATCATCCCGTACTACACCGGTACGCTCAGTTCCTTCTCGGCTCTTCGTTTCGTTCTCGTTCTCGTTTTCTGGTCTCTCATGATGGGCAAACAATGCAGGCCACTCTCTGGCGAGCGGGCGCAACGGGGACTATTCGTTTTGGTTCTACCTGCTGGGAGTCATTTCGGTGGTGTGCGCATCGGAGGAAATGGACTTCCTCCGCGAGCAGAGCACCAAGAAGTGGTTCAGGTCGCTCGTCCTCTCGGGCGTGCTCGTGTCCTTGGGCGAAATCTGGGACAGGTATCTGTCTACCCACGCATTATTTATTTATTTATTTATTTATCGATTCTCATTATGATGAGGAAATACTCTCTTTCTCCTCCCAGGGACACGTTCACTCGCTTCGGCATGGGAATGCTCCTCTACTCGTTGGCCCGGCCTGTGGTGGAGAAGAGCCTTGCGCAGGCGTCGCTGAGCACCTTCATCTCTTCGGTGCTTCTGGTGCTCGGTCCGCTGGTCAACAAGAAGTACCTCACCGTGATCAGCGGTCTGCAGGTGCGGATCTCCCCCCACCCGTGGTGTCCCTTTCTCAACCGTCCACCTGACCTCTCTTTCTATCTCGTGCAGGTTTGGGGCTACCTGGCCAGATTGTCCCACGATTACTTCAGGGACTCGGTGGCGTTCCCTCTCGTCCTCACAGGGCTCGGATTCGGTCTGATCGGTGCCGGTACGTATCCTCTCTCTGTGTGTCGTGTGTCGTGTGTCGTGTGTCGTGTGTCGTGTGTCGTGTGTCGTGTGTCGTGTGTCGTGTGTCGTGTGTCGTGTGTCGTGTGTCGTGTGTCGTGTGTCGTGTGTCGTGTGTTCCGCCCTCTCGCTGGCTCCTTCGTACTCAGCTTCCTCCTCGCCGCAGGTCTCAAGATGCAACGCTACGAAGACATGCTCACTTCCCCGGCCACGGTCTCCTTCTTTGCTGGAATCAAGCAGTGGCTCCTGCGCTTCATCTAGACCGCAGCAGTCAGTTCTACTGATCCGTGCGAAGTTGAGTTGTACGCTTTATTATGCATTGGTTCATTCGTGCGCACACCCTTCTTCGTTGGCTGCGCTCACGTGAGAATGTAGTCGAGGTAGAGCGTGCTGGTTGACGTGAGCCCGTGGCACTCCCTGAGCGTCATCGTGTCTGGCAGCTCGCGTACCTCGGCGTCGAAGTGTTCCTCCGACGCGTCGCCACCCCCGCTGCCGGCAGCCGGCGGGAGGTCCGTCATCGCGCACAGGCGGACCTTTTCCGGCGTGAGGCCGTACTTTTGGAAGAGGAGGCTCTTCACGCCGAACACGGTGAGGCTCTGCGGAGCGCGAAGCAGCGTGAACCGGACGTTCAAGTGGTCGCCCCGTTCGATCACGCCATCGTCGAGCTCCTCCCGCAGCAGCTTGAAGTAGAGCTCCTCAAAGTACCTCTCCTCTCCATCCTCGAGCCCTTGGTCGTCGTTGCTGCTCGCTGCCGCACCGCGGCCGCGGGACGTGTAGGAGAAGAACGGCAGGAAGGAAGCGAGCAGGGCGAACGTGTTGTACCACAGGTCGCTGAAGAACTCGCTAAACATGTTGCGCGAGAAGTGCTTGCGGATCGCCTGCTCCCGCTCGATGATCTTCATCTTGTCTTCGCGCACCGACTCAAACAGTTGCCACATCCGGGCGTTCTTCTTGGCCGTCTTGAGCGGCTGCGTCACACACATCCAATGATGCGTCAGTGATCATGCAATGCAATCTCCATAGCGTCTTGGAAACCACATACCGACCGCGCGAACGTGTCCTCAACAAGGGGATTCTCTCCCACCTGTCCAGTGGAATATGGTGTGTGGTACGGTTAACGTGGTTTCAGCGGCGGTGCTCTCTTGGTACCACTGGAGAGGTGCGAGACTGGGTAGATGATGACAAGAAAATACTCGTACCTGCAGGAGGAAGGCTGCGCACGCGTATGCTTGAGCCTCCACCGCAATGTGGAGGGGTGTGCGGCCGTACAGGTCGCGTTCACTCATCGGCACGCCGGCCAAGAGGAGCAGTAGCAGCATGTCAGCATGACCTCTGCGGTAAGTCGCAGGAGGAGCGATGTACGGGTTAGCAGATCTGCCCTGCCTCGCAGGAGTGTGACTGAGACGCAACGTACTCGTTGGCGGCGAAGTGTGGTGCGCTCCAGAGACCTCGCGTGCTCTTCTTGTAAATGTTGACCTTACACTTGATGAAGAACTGAGCCGTGTCCTCATCTCCAGCAGCGACACTGACCCCACAGGGAGAAGGGTAAGGACGCACTCTAGTGTTGCCGCAGCCTCACCCTCCACCACCACTACGCTGGCGTGTACGTACCAGAGGAGGAAAGGAGTGATTCCGTTCTTGTCTGTTGGCGGGACGTGGGGTGCGGTGAGTGGCGCCAGGGAGGTGTGGCTGTGGTTCACAGGTGACGCACCTTCAGCGTCCATGGAGGCGTTCTTTTGTCGCAGTATCTCAAGGACCGTCAAGTTGCAAGTGATAGCCGCTGTGGAGGGGGGAAGCTTGAGGGGTTGGTCATGGCTACAAATAAAGACCTGTGAGAGAACATTCGGACAAGTACCCTTGTGAACGACCTTCTGACCATAGACATCGCGGGCGATCAGAGACGCCCCTTGTTCGAGAAGCATCTCCACAACCGCGCTTCGTCTTTCGCATGCAGCCCTGTGCAGAGGAGTCGTTCCTAGCCACACCCGACGTCAGCGCGTGAAGCGCTTCACTCCGTGGCGCGTTGGCACAAGGCGTAAGGGCCGGTACCTTCATTATCCGTGCTGTCCACTTTGGCGCCGTGAGCCAGAAGCAACTCAACGCAGTTGGCAAGGCCGTAGTTGGCGGCCTTGTGCAGCGGAGTGCAGCCATCGACGTCCCTGTGCGGAATGCTCAGCAGTGGAGTGATGGACACAAGGCGGGAGGGGCACCATACCGATGATTAGGATCCGCTTGCGCGGCCAAGAGGAGTCGCAAGCACTGCACGTTTCCTCGCATGGCGGCATCATGCCTGTAGGAATGCGTTAGCGTGGTGCCCCCTCCCTCACAATAAAGCGATACAATGGCTCAGCAATTCAAAGTCCTGGGCGTACAGCGGAGTCACGCGATCTTTGTCCAACGGGTCAACGGCGGCACCCATGCGCAGGAGAACATCGACCACCGAGTCGTGGCCCTTGGCTGCGGCCAGGTGAAGCGGAGTGGCTCGCTCCCGCATGAGCTCCGCGCCAGGATCGATACCGCTCTCTTTCAAGAGCAGCTCCACTTTTCCCGCGTCTCCGTCCTCCACTGCATAGCGTAGCTGCTTCTCTTCTGGCCGCTCTTCTATCCTTGCCCGGCTGGTGGATCTCTTCTCGTGGGAGGAGGCGCAGCGCTTGGCTGCGCCAGAGGTAGTCTCTTTGCCTTTTGCTTTGGAGGTGCTGCTGAACCTGACGTGCGGTTTGTTAGGGTTGCTCTTGGTGCTTCTCTTATCTTCTCCCTTCCTACTCGTAGGTTCTGACGCCTCGGGAACTTCTGCTCCTCCGCCCACTTGCAGATTCCTCTCCTCTTGGTCCTGTGCTTTCATGCTCAATCAACTGCGCTGCACCGCTGCTGTGGGCAAGTTCGCTTCTTGCTACTCGTGCTCCTTTTTGATTTGTCTCCTTCCGCCTTTTAGACGAAGGTGGTGGTGGTGTGCGACGAACAATGTCACTTGGCGTGGTTTCGCCTCCTTCCTTTTCGCTTCGCCCCTTTTTCCTTTTTCTTTTGCCTTTGTAAGGGCGGCCATGACGTCAGCAAGTATTTGTTTTGTGTTTTTTGTTTTTGGTTATGGCCCAAAAGGCGCTGGCTCAGTGGCTGACGAGGGGGAGAAGCGCGTCGGAGAGGGAAATGAGGCCAATGGGCACGTGGTTCTCGACCACGTAGATCCTGTGTACTCGGGAGGCCGCCAGCTTCTGCACCACAAGGCCGTACGTGTCCTTGGCAGAGCACCCGATGGCCGGGTTGATGATCTACTCGGAGGGAGGCGCGCGTTAGCACCGCACCAAAGCAGTGGATTTGCGCCGGCGCAAGCGGCGAAGAGCTGACGTACGTCGATCCTCTCCGAGTTGATCTTGTAGATGAACTCCCTGACGCCAAGGTATAGCCGCTGAATGAGGCGAGCATCTCCAGCCACCACCTTTGGTGGGGGGGGGAGAGAAGGCACCTAGTTGTCAGCTGGCGCAACGACTTGCCAAGTCGAAGAAAGAAGAGTGCGTACCCGGATATCTCTCACCGAGATGTTGCCCACGAGCTTGCCCTCCTCGTCGACGACGCCCACGGCAGAGATGCCGCGGTCAGTCATGATCTTGAAGGCATCAATGGCACGGGCGTTGACTCCGATGGTGATCACGTCCTTGTGGCCCAGCAGCAATTCGGCCACAGTCTGTTCGGTGACGGATCCCAGCTTGTCGAGGTGGGCGGCGAGGTAGGACAGCACCGACGACTGCGTGAGGAGGTTGCTCACGCGTCCCTGCAGGTCGATCACCGGCACGCGGTGGACCTTGTGCTTGGCCAGCAGCTCGATCACCGAGTAGAGCGACGAGCCCTCCCGCACCGGCACGAATGGGTTACGCGACGAAAGGTCTATATTTGGAGGGAAGGTTCATTTGGGGGGGGGGCAACCGTTAGGCACCAACACCACCAAGCAAGCGAGCCTCTCGACGATTGGGTTTGGGGGGGGAAGAGCGTACTGATGAGGTCCTTCACTTTGGTGGTGATGAAGCGCTCGCCCTGCTCGAGGAGCGAGAGGAAGTTCTCGCCCATTATGTCTGTTTCGGTGTAGATGTCTACAATGAAGGCGGCCAAGTCGACCATGTCGACGAAGCCGATGTACTGGTTGCGCTCCTTGTCCAGTACAGGCGCGCTCAACACGTTGTACTTGGTCAGGAGCTGCGCCAACAAACAAAATCGTCAAGAGAGTTGTTTGGGTCAGCAGCGAGCTTGAGTGGGGTGGGGGGGGGGCGAGGGAAAACAAACCTTGAGTGCCGTAGAAGCAGAGTCGGTGGCGAGCACATGGTGAATAGTGTCCACCTTGGGTAGTTCCTCAACGTTGACGTTCTTCAGGTAGTCCATTTGATAAGCGAGAGAGTGGGAAGTGCCAAATCTAGATTGCGACTGTTTGCGCGGTGGTGTGCGTGAAGAAAGCAAAGCCAACACAACTGCGCGAAAGATAGGGGGGAGCGACCAATAGAAATCATGGAAAAATGGTTGATTTCTGGCCGACGTTCCCACCGCCAGTCAACGGTCTAACACATGAGCGGCCGAATCAGCGACGGCGTTCCAAGATGATACCGCAAAAGTGACAAAATCGATCGGCATGTGAGGCATGCCAAGAATGAAGGCCGCGCACTTGCGCGACAGAGGAGTCGGCGGAAGGTGGAGGAAAAGCACGAGCCTGCGGCGGTGGGTGTCCTGTTGCGCGCTTGTGCTGCCCCTTCACGGAAAGGCAGCCGCCGGATAGGGCAGGACCTGTACAACGCGCCGGCAAGGGAGTTCCAGGGCCACAAAGAACGACCCTAAGAGAACAGGACGAAGAGGAAACAACACCAACACCAAACAGCAACAGCAACAGCACCGATAGCAACACCAAAACATAAATAAAAATATGGCACAGCACCAGGTAGAGATGGAGCAGATCCGCTTGAAGGCCCTGATTGACGAGAGCGAAGGCACAAAGGTGCAGCCCGTGGTAGTGGTGCGCCCCTCCTTCAAGCCCAGAGGAACGTATGTTCTGCCGCTCTTTTTCTTCCCCTCCCGGCTGCATTTCCTGTTTGTCATTTTCTTTTTTATATTCTATATTTTTATATTATAAAATCTATGTCCGTTGGCCACTTCATAATTCATGATTTATGGATGGTTTTTCGCGTTTCGTTTTCGTCTTTGGTGCTCACCTTCCCCTCCCCAATCTTCTTCTCTTTCCCGTGCTGCTGCTGCTGGGTTGGGCAACCCTCTTTCTCTGGCTCCTCATCTGTGGACGTGTGTGGTGCGTGCGCGGAGACCCAACAGTGCGGAGCAGGCGTGGCGGTCCGGTGAAACGGAAGAGGAGATGATCGCCAAGAAGCTCAAGGAACTGCAGCTGAAGGCCCAGCGGAGGGACCTCAACAAGGGCGACCCCGCATGGAAGCAAAAGGAAAAGGAGCGCCTCGAAATGATGGAGAAGGAGAAGCACCTGCAGGGCATTCTTCAGCATCCGCTTGCCGTACGCGTCCCTCTCTCCTCAGTTGTCAGTTCTGTCGCTGCCAAGCACACAAGGTCAAGGTGGGTGACTCTTTTCTCTCTCTCTCTCTCTCCCTCTCTCGCGCTCTCGCTCCACGGTGTTCACAATATTACCAGTCCCCAAGGAAGGGCACCGACGAGGCGGAGGCGAAGGGCCAGGAGGAGAGGTCGCAGAGCCAGCCTACGACCCCTGTACACACACCTGTGAAGGCCGAGTCCTACTCGCGCAGTGAGCCCTCAACTCCCATTTTCGATGGTACGCATTCACCTGCTTTTTAGCCTTTTGCGTGGTGCCATCAACCTACTTACTCCTGTGTTCTGGCTTACATGCAGAAGGGGACCAGCAGGGATCAAGGAAGAGGGAGGAGGCGAGGCTGCGCGCACACTACCTGGCGGTGCACGAAGACAGGACCTCGTAGGTACAGAGCTGTCATTGGGTCCAAGAAGTCTACACACACTTCAAGCACATACACCAACCCTACGGGGATCACACCCACTTCCTTTCTCTACTGTTGTACAGAACACACCAGATCTAAAGTAGGCTGCAACCACTATTCCCAGTGACCTAATGCCTAAACCTCAATCTCTCTCCTCCTGGACTCTACACAACCACTGCTGACCATGGGAAGCAGGGCACTACTTTGCATTGTCTTCTTTGTCCTTATTTGGATAAACAAGCAAAAATCGAAGTGCAAAATGCAGGGCCACCTGTTAGGGGAGTAGTGCTCACAATGAAGGCAACAGAGGTGGTTGGTAGCAGGAAGGCCAGGGACAATGAGGTCCACATGCTGATGTGCCAGCTGTGGCCAGATGATGAAGAGTGGCTGCAGGCTGCTGTGAGGCTTGCAGACTGGTTTCTGGCAAGCCTGCATGCATATGTGGAGGCCTTGACAACACAAGTGGTATTGAGTGTAGTTGTCCATGTGAAGACTGAGCAGAAGAAGCAGGACAAGGTTGTGGTGGAAGCAGCCAACAGGGTCTGGGGTAGCCAACACTGACAAGGCCTGCACCATCTGAGACATGGCATGGCATGCATGGCACACACCACAACATCCAGTTTCTCTTCAATCCTCTTGTACACACTTACACACCTCATTCTGTTTGCAGAAACACCACCCCTCCTCCTGTGTGTCAGAACACTGTGTCTGGAAAAAGGTGCCAGTGGCACCTTTTGTTAAGTAAAATCTGTACAAGTGATATATGTGTATGTGCAGTGAAAGCAGTGCTTTTGTGAACATGGTGTGTGAGTGGTTTTGGCAAAATATGTACAGAGAGTGGCAAAACAGGGAAAAATGGTGTTGGTCAGGTAAAAGCAGATGGGGCCAAGGAAGAATTTCAAGGCATAAGTCTAAAAAAAGGGCAAATGTATTTTGTTGGAATGAGGAACAGAACAGAGTGGAGGGAAACATTAGCCAATGGACTTTTGCACTTTCTGTGGACTGGAAGAGGAGGAGGAGCTGGTCTTGGGTGTGAGAGGGGCAAGGGCAGGATGTGAAGTTAGGCCTTGTAGGAAGGAAGTGATGGCTGTGAGATCTGACTCCTCCAGGAATTTAGAGTGGAAGGTGAGGAGCCAGTTGCCAAGAGAGGAGATGTTGCCCTCTGCTATGGGGGTAGAGGAGAGGCAGACAAAGCTGGAGTAAAGGGCAGCACAGAAGGAGAGGAAGTAGGTGGGATTTGCCTCATAGAGAATGTGGTAGGGGGTGGTGGGCAATGTGATGGGGTGGGGAGAAGGATTGGGAAGCTCTAAGCTCTGGATGAGGAAGCTGTAGAGGCTGATGTGAAGTGGGGGGCAGTCTGATGATTGAGCAGTGAGGAAAGCAGGAGCAGAGTGGACAACCTCATGTGTTGGGTGTGGGATGGGGGAGGCTGGCCAATGGAAAGGTGAGCATGGGCCAGTGCTTGCAATGGCCTAAAGAGCAGCAAATTGGGGTGCACCAAAGGCAACATGGAGAGGGGGCAAGATCCTAGGCGCCAAGAGAGAGAGAGAGAGGATTGATGAGTGCAAACTGGCCAAGAAAAGCAGAACAAAACAAAGAAAAAGGGCCAGCAGGCCAGGCAGGGGTGAAAGAGAGGGTCAATGGGTGAGAGCAACAATGCACACAAGGGAGGGCTCTGCCAGGGTAGGGGTGATGAGGAGCTGAGGTGACAAGGAAGAGAGATACACAGGCAAGAATGTGAACTATGAGAGCCAGCCAGCAGCCATTTGTTTGCAAAAACAGCCACTTTTTGCAAAACAGCCACTTTGGCAGGCCAATGCTGCAGAGATGTAGGGGAAAACTGAACAAAAAGGGGTCTATTTCTTGTTTGCTCTCTGGTGGTGTGTGTGTGTGTGTGTGTGTGCACCTCCACAGAACCCCCCCTTGGCACAAATCAGCAACTCCACCATTTGCTGCCAAACAAGACACACCTCACATTCTGTTCAGTGCTCAAACCTCCCCCACCATCATGGGTACCACTACCACCACCACCCCCATTCCTTTTGGAGTTAGT